GCCGTTAAGGATCGTGTTTACTGCGAGGAAGTGAGGAGTCGCGTGAAGATTGGGAAAAGAAGGAGTGAGGAGAACGTCAAAGTCAAAACGAGCGAGAGGAGGAGGAGGAGGAGGAGGAGGAGGAGGAGGAGGAGACTTGGACTGAGCTGGAAAAGTAAAAGGCTGACCTGAGTCTATGGTATCTCTAACACTTTCCGAAGGTGACTTGGCAACGCTTTTTTTTGCCAAAGAGGCCCGTACATTACTTTTTTCTGTCGTACTAGCACCGTGGCAGATGCATGGCCTGCAATCTCAACGATTCATCCTCATAAGTCCTTGAGATGCTGCTGCGTCCTGCCTCTTCATAGCAACGTATCACCCAGAGCACAGCGAACCAGACTGACACCCGCTCTGACCGTCTCTGAGGCCCCAGCGACCTCGAGGCTTGGGTTGACCTCAACCAGGTCCATGGCCACCAGCTGGCCGGTCTCATGCACGCATTCCGCAATATAGTCGCCCTCACGCAGGGTCAAGCCGCCTCTGACCGGAGTGCCTGTGCTGGGAGCCCATTGGGGATCTAGCGCATCCACATCGAAGCTGAGATGGATAGGTGTATCGGTGCCAATATGGGCAAGGGCCATCTCGACCACTCTACCGATACCATGTCGGTCAACGTCATGCATGCTGAAAGCCTTGATGCCATTCTCGCGGAGAATCCGCTTTTCGCCGCGGTCGACGTCCCGTAGCCCAATGTAAACAAGTTTCGAGACAGAAAGCGCAGGCTTGTCCTTGAAATCTCGATCTAGCCAGCCAAATACATCCTCGCGATCACCCTTGGCGAGTCCGGTGAGGAAGGCGACCGGCATGCCATGGATGTTGCCGCTGTCTGACGTCTCGGGGGTATTAATATCGGCGTGGGCGTCAACCCAGATGACTGCAATTTCTTTGCCCAATCGTTCGCGGATGGCCTTGGAAGAGCCTGCGATAGTTCCGACAGCAATCGAGTGGTCACCACCCAAGGTCAGCACCATACGGCCGTGCTTGGCCTGGTTGTAGACTTGGTCGGCCAATGTCTGGGTGACTGCGCTGACCGAACGAGGGTTCTTCATGCCGCGGTGAGGCTCGTCCGACGCTTGCCGCATCTCATTGTAGTTGTGGACCTCCTTGTCACCGTGCAGGTTGTATCCCAGCTCTTCATCGATCTGTTCCAATAGTCCGGCGCGGAAGAGGGCATCGGGTGCTGCGTCGACGCCTTCCTTGCACTGCCCTCCAGAGAAGCCAACGGCGACGACGCCGAGGTCTGCGGGCGAGGACAGGAACTTCTGGTGGATGGTCGAAGGGGCGGTCATGGCGTGTCCGCTAATCTGGGACTTACCGTTGGTGTAAGAGGACTGGATAGTAGTAGAGGGCATGTCGGAAGCAAGGAGAGTAAGCTGAGAGGGTTCCGTTCTGAGGAGCAGACGAGCCGAAGATCAATGCAGCACGGGGAAGGAGCGATGGACAAAAGAGACGCGGAGGACTGAGCAAGAGCTGACTATACCATTCTTTTGTAGTTGCATCGAGCATGTGACGCGGGTATCCATTCTACCTGACATCTGGGTAGACACGGAGGGGCAAAATTCGACAAAAGATTGTGGTGCTGCGCGCGCGCGTGTGTGTGCGGGCGCGCCGCATCTCGAGCTGGAGTTCGTCCCTGGCAACTTTCTCGGCCCACTACCGTCTGCATCCCTGGCAAGGGTGCAGCGGTGCCTCGGATCTCACTCATTCTAACCTCACGGTGCTGGCGGCTGTGCTGCAGCCCAGAGGCCGGGCGTGGGGGATCGTGGTCATCACAACCGCTAAGTGCAGCTGCAGCCGAGGAGGCCGAAGAGACTGCAAGCGGCTAAACCTCTAAGTGACTGCCTTTCCTCAGCCTTCCCTTAAGTACAGGTATAAGAGAGCAATTATTCAACAGAATCTCCTCAAGAATATTACCCGGCTGGCCAGAGCTGACCGTCCTGTGATTAGGAAATTTGATTTTGACCACATGGTTAGATTCGGATCTAATTGCTTTCAAACAGCTGATCCGGTCCGATTGTTAACAACCTTGCTCGAATGTACCTATTGTGGCGTCGTACCCAGGAGTCTCGCTGCTGGAGGAACTCTGCACAATCCACGTCTGTCGGCACATATAGCCTGCCCGCTATCTTCGCCTCAGCCGCAGCAAAGCTACCAACTTTGGCTGCTCCTTGCAGTCGCCCCTCTATAAAGATGCGCGCCACAATCATCACGTTGCGCATCTCTTCCAAACCCGACCTCAGATCCGAATGGATTCTTGACAAATCCTGGGAATACTTGGACATCCATGCTATTAACTCGATGAGAGCCGGAATGTCCTGGAATATGCCCAGCGTCTCAACGAGTAGGCGTAAATCGTGCGGATCAGGCACGGCCTCGTGTGGCAACCTTGCGTTTCGACTGCTAAGCCACCTGCCCGGATCTCGACCGCATTGCGTACAGTCAGCGAAAATGTCCTTGATCGTTGTCGCCGGCTCCGAGATGGCCCTCCAACGCGGCCACGGGCCCCATTTGAGAAGCGTCTGGTAGACATTATTGACATATCGGAACGTCGTGAAATCATGGTCGACTCTAGCATGCCTCATAACGCCCAAAAGGGCCTTCAGATGTGCGCTCAGCTTCCGAGTGTATGCCCTACGTGCGACGTAGTCACCACTGCCCATGTGCTGCGAAGCGTGCAGCGACAGGCCCTTCAGCGCCTCACTATACACCACTCTCTCGGTCACCTTGCCCAGTGACAGTAGACTCATAGCATATTCGATCGGTGTAGCGGCCCGTGCAGAGGCAGCGTTGCTAGCATCTGCGCGAACCCGAAGCTTCGTGCTGGCCTCGCCAGGGATTGCGAACAAATGGCCAATGAACCCTCCTAAAACGTGTGGGGGAGTGGTTTCAAACACCACTCGGATCATTTCCGCAGGATGATTGTGTGCATTGAGTAGCACGTCTTTCCTGTCGTCCGACAACCTTGCATCCTTGATGTACTTGATCGTCTGATCCAGATCGAGGCTATTCCGCAAGAGGGCCGAAAGCAAACGACCACCTGGTTCAACGCCATCCTTGCGCATCTGTGTATACAAGCCCTCTACACTTGGCGGTGCTTTGTCCACATAGATAACGTCCAGAGGACTTGACGGGTCACTCCATGTTTCTTTGCCATCCCCCGGTACGGCGTCGGAGTTGGAATGTTGATCTTGTGGACTAGCAAAGAGCTTTTCAAACATTGCTTCAAAGGGTCGACCGTCTAGGGGTTGCATTGAAGCCACAGTCTTCTTGCGATAGGACAGAAAGGCTGCCCAAGCTTCACGGACGGTCCGTGTTGCCACAATTCTCGCCGCCCAGATGCTGGGATGATCAAAGGAATCCGGCGTGTCCTCTAGCCTGATACTCACCAGGGAGGGCAACGGCATTCTGCGGGTTTGGATGGTCGGGCTAGCGTCTGTGTCCCAACCTGCCATAATCTTTGCGGCCACTTCCCAAACACCATGAGCATAGCCCGCTTCATTCATTCGGCGTAACAACTTGGCAGCGCGAGACTCCCTACCTGGGTACTCCAAGCTGGCGTCCATACCGAGTCTGTCTTCTCGCCACGGCGGCCATGACAGCGACTTGACTCTTGCCCAGGCGTCTTCCGGTGGTGTTTTCCTATGTGCAAGCTGAACACTTATGAGAGCTCTGTAGCCCTCTCGGTTGATCGGAAGCTCGGGCCGGTGTTCAGTCATGCTTCGTACAAGCTTTAGTTGAGCGACTTGCTGTATGGAGGCATTCCTGACCGGGTGCCAAGTAGTAGGTAGCGCTATCAGCTTGAGCAGCTTGTTGCAGTAGTCTGCCAGCGGACCCAGATATGTAGTACGCCGCCACAAGAGGATGCTGCAAGCAATATCGACAATGGTAGGAAAGGTATCAGGTGCTACCCTCCTGGCGTGCCGTAGTAGACGTACTGCCAGTATCATACCTGACGGCTTATCCCAGGATTGGGCGGCAAATATAGTCTGATCCTTTGGTTCGGCACTCTCTGTTTGCGTGGAATTCTCGAGGGCGTAGCTGTTGGTGACGTCTCTGATACCTGGTCGGGAGGATTGGGAAAACTCGTCGTGATACTGGGAGCTTTTGCGGATAGCAGCTAGCAGGAGCCGGAACGACTGCGGCGGGATGTACACCGCACGCAGAATCTGAAGCGGAACTATGTGGGACACAGGATGCTGCTCAAGCCTGCGAGCCCTATCAACCGTCTTAGCATATCTGGATACCGAGTCCGCGCTGTTTTCGGCCACCAGAACGCGGGTCCAGGCATCAATGTCCTCGATAGAGACTCCCTCCTTATCAAGTATGGCATGAGCCTCCGCATCCAGGACTTGCATTGAATCAAGCTGCATAGCCCTTTGATACCTGGATGCATTTGAACGGTATCGTTTTAAGCGGCGGATTGCGGTGGGTGCCCAGAGGGCAATCAGCTTCCTCACACCTTCGTTAGCTCTGAGAGGTGTGGCAAGTTCCCATTTCCCAGCCCGCGACCTCTCGGCCGTACTGCCATCTGCCCGGTAGGCCCTGTGACTGATCGTTCGAAGTGCTGGGGTGTAGGACAGATCGCGTTTATGGCGGATGAGGTGGACTGGGGCGCTAGAACAGGCGAAGATATCTGGATACAACTCGGGGCCCTTTATTGGTGTGCTGTTGGTGTCCTGGGTTTCATTGGGGCCGTCGGAAGGCCAGAAACCTGATGCGCCTTCGAATGTATTTTCACTCTCGTACAGGGAAAGAATATCAATGTCGACTTCGTCCGGCGCAGGAACGATCGCCGTCTGGCTACGAGGGGTCGCAGTGCTGATAGATTGGCGCCATGGTACGCGCCTTGAAGGCACCCCCGATAAGAAGTTGTGATTCGGGCCGCAGGGTTTGATTCGTTCTACGCGGCAAATGTCAATGTCGATGATCAGGGCGCGGCTGCTGCGGCAGAGCGATTTGCGCAGGTAGGTTGAGAACATCCATCGATGCTCTCAAAGAATCATTTCCAGGTCTTCTGGCCCTGTGGAGAGAAAGAAGAAGCTGGTCACAGGCGTGTGTGAGCGGGTTGCAATAGTAGGCAAGGATGTGTCTACTATACAGTACAGCTCCAGCATCGCGGGTCAAAAGCGTGACTGGAAGTGCCAAGCATTTTTCTCGCTTTGGGCTTCAGGGTCGCTGCAGCATCCATCGCAGTCTGCTCATCCTGCCCCATCCAGATCGACGAGCATTGTCCTCCAGATTCGCTCTCGTTCCAGATCGCGCAGTCCTTAGATACCAATCGTGGCCTTTCGGGCTTTTGGAATTGAGGTCACAATTCGCAACGACGGGCTGGTGTTAGTTCCCCTCCGCTCTCTCACGCGCATCCCTTCGTCTCCCGCGCCGCGTCGCGCACTTCCTATCCCCGCAAACCTACCAAAGCACCGCGACGATCTCCCCAAGCGATTCCAGGCAAACCGCAACCACATTCTCTGGACGCAGGATGCCAACGAGATAGATCGTTCGCGAAAACCAATCCAAGTGGAAGATCAGCCTTTGTTTTGGCGCAAGATGGCAGACACGAACGGGGATGCATCGCATGTAAAAGGAGGCAGAGAAAGCTCTCTACATCTCGGGAAGCGCAAGCGCTCGTCCTCGCCGGAGAAGAGAGTGCAGGTCAACGGTCAGGGTGCCTCAGGCTTGCAGAACTCGCTGATCACGGTGCTCGAGCAAACACAAAAGTACGTCCTGTGTCTGTTCGTGCCATTCTAAGGCTAACATGTTCCAGATCAGATATGCTCACGGCCTTTTTACGTTCTCCCATACCTACTGGATCGACTCAGAAGCCTAATGCGAAACGTGCACGCCTCAGCTCTACCGAGTCCGAGCCTGACACCATTGAACATCGTATTCTTTCTGGTATCTATCAGTCCAAAGAGGGTATCTTGGAAGATGTCGAGCTTGTCCGCAATGCTGAGCCTCAGGCTTTGCAGAATGGCACCGTCAACGGTGACCTACTCGAGAGGCCTCCGAGCGCCTCGGATGATGTCGCTCACCAGCTGATCCAACTCTTATCATCGTCCCAGGCCATCACGTCTCCCAGGAGGTCTGTGGAACCCTCTATACCTAGCCGCCATGCAGGCCAAATTATCATGCTACGCAGTGCAACCGAGAAGGGTGTGTCCATGCTCTATTCCGGCCTACAATCAGACAGCGCCGAAGAAAAGGATCTGACCAAAGATGGTCGGCGACTCCCAAATGGATTTGATCTTGCCGAGCCGGCAACTATGGACGCCAATGTCCTTGCTCCGTCCAAGCAGATTCGCAACTTCGGGGACGTATTTGGGCCCCATCGGAACACGAAGGCTTTAGAGATGCCCCGATCTCGCCCCACCTTCAGAAGCAATACTCTGAGCTTTAGCTCCCACCAGGTTCCCAATCGACCAGCACCTGTCAATCGACCAGATTACAAACACCAGCAGCTTCAAACAGACTCATGGCTGACATATGCTGGGGTGCATAAACTGGGCGATGACGATCCGAGCCGGCGTTACAGAGACAAGAATGCTGTAGCCCACGACTTTCGAGCTGCATTAATCGCCAACGACGTCACTGTCAATCAGTCTGACGAGACTCTGGGTCTTTTCAAGAAGGCATTCTCTTCGTTTGCGCCTACATCGGATAGTACAACATCGTTAATTTCCGCCCATGATCGACAGCGTGAATGGTGGCGCAAGCATGGAACTCCACGGATTCGCAAAATCTTCAGCTCGAAATACCCCGACCCTGAAGAGGCTGATACCGTTGTGCCCAGTGAGCAAGGAGAGGGTGATGAGTTCGCAGGAGTTATCGACTACGTTCCAACTGAGGCCGAAGAAGCATTGCCCGACGAGGTCTACCCCGAAAGCATTGATGAGGTCTTGGATGAGATTTCTCAACTACTGGAGACGGTGCATTCTTACCAGAGGATGCGATCTTTGGAGAGTCGGCCATCTGCCGACGCCACAAAACCGTCTACGGGTGAATTCGACACGTACGAGTTGCTCCGATCTCAGCTAGCTATTCTGATCGCCTCGGTTCCTCCATTTGCTGTTTCGAAGCTAGACGGCGATAAGCTCTCCGATCTCAACATTTCGACCAATGTTATGGTCAATTCCGTTGACTATCGTGGAACAATGCAGCCAGACGACTTTACACTGTCGAAATATCGGACAGCACACCAATCTGCTGCCACGCGCATGCCACAGGTTGCAACTCCAAATGCTCGAACACCATATCCTGCGCAAAATAACGTAACGCGCTATGGGGCGAACTTGCAAAGCTATGCACACAACCTGGGTCTGCAAGCTCAATACGCTCAGCGCCAGGCTCAGCAATATTCAACCCCTCAAAACATCCAGCGTAACTACCAGACATATCAACAAGCTGGTAGCTATTCCGCCCAGCCAAACTTGCAGCAGTTTCAGCGACCGGGGGTGAACGGCTTTGGTGGATGGTCCAATGCCAATAGTACGCCACAGACCAGCTTTGCACAATCGCCCTCGCAGCCGGGCTATCAGCAACGAGCGCAGCAGCAGCCGGCAGTGTTTGGTGGCCAGTCCCCCTCCAGACCGATGGCCAACGGGCAAATAACATACCAGAACACACCGTACCAACGGCCGCAAGTTGCCACGCAGCAGAATTTTTCGCCCGTGCCGCAGCAGACTATGCAGACAGGGGTCACCAATGGTGGTCAGTAGAATGAGCGCTGCCGCCGAGGAATCTTGATTTCGGCGAGAGCCCTACTTCAAGCACGGAATTCTGGATTCAGGACGATCAAGTCGGTTCAGGGCGCAGGACTCAAAAGTGTCATCATCAAGTTTATTCAAGTTTTCGTAATTGACTGATGCTGAGCAGCGGATGCAACCCTGCTCGTAGCAACTTGGGACGAGGATAGCTTATACAAAAAGTGTCAAGCATGAGATTGGATGCTGTAATGTTACGCATTAGCCGTATGCCCACTCAACCAGCAGCCACACCTGTTTGGAGTGCCAATTCCCGTCTTAGCAACGGGCTTGAGGGCATAGCACATCTCAGCTCGGGTCCAGCGCCATCTGCCTCGCTCCTTGCTCCTCCTCCGCGCTCCCTCTGGCCGTCAACAGCTCCACCTCCGCGTCAATATCCACCCGCACCTCCTCCTTCCACATCTGCGCCTGCGTCTCAAGGAACCGCCACTTGATCCGCGTCGTCGTCGGTGGTTGGCCCATCGTGCCTTGCTTGGTCGTCTCCGTCACGTCTATCCCAGAGGCATCGAAACCGAAGCCCCGTGCCAACGCCGCCTCCGCGGAGGCGGAACCCGAACCGGTTTCGGCGGCGAGCAGAAGCTGCTGCTGCTGCCTCCCCCGCTTCGCGCGCTCCAAGTTCTGCAGGCGTACCAGCGCGCCTCGGCCCATGCGCGGCGGGGCGTAGCGGCGCTCGGCGACGACGCGGAGGCACGGGGTCTTGGTGACGATGGCTTGGGAGGCGATGCAGAGGGAGCGCTCGTAGGCGCGGACGTCGCGCCACAGGAAGGGCGAGGAGGCGGCGTGGACGCGGGAGCGCCAATTGCTCAGGTCGATGGTGCGCAGGGAGCGGAGGCAGGCGAGGAAATCGGGCTTGGCGAGCTGGAAGGAGAAGTCTTGCAGTGAATCCCAGTCTAGGGTGAGGGCGGTGATGAGGGCGAAGTTGCTGGCGGGGATGGCGTGGGTGAGGAGGTGTAGGGCGGAGCGGGAGGCGAGGTCGAAGGTGTTGGAGTAGAGGATGGGCAGGGCTTCGGTGTGGGTCAGGCGGGAGACGCGGAGGAGTTGGGAGGAGAGTTGGAAGGGTCGAATGGTGGGATGGGGGGTGGAGGTGGTGCTAGTGGGAGTCGGGGGAGGTGTAGATGGGGCGGGTATGGGGGCGGGAGCGATGCCCAGCGGATCAGCGGTAACAAGAAGGTGGGTGTATATGATGCGGCCTGAGAGAATGAGTGTCAAGATTTGGTCTCTGGACGATATGGGAGACTCACGGATTTCAGGGGGAAGGCCCAAGAGTGTAGGGGCGGGCCTGGAGGGATCGGCCGGTGCCTCTGTCATGCTGCACTAGAGTTGCTACTACACGTTCTCGGAGGTACTGATACTCAGCTTGGCTTTCGTAGGACATATCTCTGCTCAACTGGAGAAGAGAAGCAGGCTCAATCAATGATGCGATCAGGCAAATAGGTGGGGTAGGACCCGAGGCTTAAGGCAACGCGGTCGCCGCCACCGAGGGCCGGAAGAGTGATCAGGCAGCGAACGGCATATATGATCTACACCATTGTGATATGGGCGCTGCATGAACTATTCCCGCCTGTAACAGAGATTCGGATACATGCCCAAGAAATACCACTGCGTAGGCGAATCGCCAAGGCATAAGCTTGTCAGGCAGTATTCCTTGCCATCCGTTTCGGAGCGAGTCAGCAGGCGTAGAAACTTCGGCAACGGCCTGACTGGACGGTTTTAGTGGTGTCAGCGAGGCCAGCGCACTGCTAAGGAGCAAAGATCAACATTGGATGCGCGATGCATCTGCACATCAACATCCCAGTCCGATCGGTGTCTGCGCCTTACAGTTCTCGCAGCCAACGGCTTCTCTTCGTGAACTGGAAACGCCGCTTTGAGCGCCGTTGAAGACGGCCAGAATAAGCGCGACACACTTGTCTTAGTGAGAAGTTCGGGCGATAGCGTACGCCCAGAGCGATGATGTCAACCAAGACTTTGGGTAAGCCTCCCGGTCTCAGTCGCCTCTCCAACTGGCACTGGCACCAGGAACCAGGGCGTAATCAAGGAACTGGAATACGAAGACTGAGGACGCCCGAGGTGGCTGGTAGAAGTGTATAATAAAACCAAGGGTCGCTACCGTTTACTTTTGTCCTTCGCGGACCGTTGCCCCCGTACCGTCACACGACCGGCGTAGCCTCTTCAGAGCAAGGCGTTTCTCCTCCTCATAATACTTCCTCCAGCCGGCAGTCTTCGCTTGTCCATCACTTCCCTCCGACTCATTCTCTTTCGACACAATTGTTTCGCTTCGGGGGCATATTTGTCTTCCTTCGTTCAACGCTCACACACTTCAAGATGTGCTTCGGTAGCAACGGTGAGACCGTGGTCATTCGCAAGCGCGAAAAGCCAAGATATCACCGCGACGTCTACGTCTCTCGCCCCGAAACTGCGTCCTATCGACGCGAGACCATTACACGGCGTTCGACTTCTGCCCACAGACCGTCTCACGACCACCATCATCATCACCATCACGACCATGGACGCAGCAGATCGCGCAGCCGATTGACGGAAGAGCGTCGCAGTCGAACCGTCTACAGAGATTAGCGACAGCGAGGCTAACGCTAGAAGTCGCGTGTGGAAGGACACTGTTCGGCGCTGGACAATTGTGAAAGGGTTATGAATTGACGAGTTATGTTCATACGCTTCTTGTAGAGCAATCTTGATTCGACCGTTGGAATGTGCGATTTGGTTGGCTATCCCAGAAATCCGTGCAGCCACCACCTATTGCAGGGTGGACAACGTACGTCTGACTAGATCCATTTCTTTGTCAATGAGGGGCAACCTGTCAAAGGCGACCTAGACTCTGAGGTGTGGTAGCACGCTGCACTTGCTTAGGCCCTTCTCAGCAGCGCGTCATCACATCCCGAGCTGTGCATGAGCCGTCGACGTCATTCCTCCCACCAAAGCCGGGCGAAGGCTGGAAGGCACGGCCTCTTGCGCAATAATACTCTTCGATCCCAGCGCTATCAGTGACATTCAAGTTTGCTTCCAAGCTCAACCTTGCACCTCGTTACGTCGTGAATCTAAGCGAAGAATTCTAGAAGATCCTACAGCCCCCTGTACGCAACACCTCCAGCACAGTAGCTGCCCCGAAGCATACCCCACCCTCACCATGCAGCGAGCTTTGAGCGTTCGGTCCAAAAACAAGGACTCCCACAAAGACCCGCCCAAGCATCGTCTGCAGATGCTGAACTCTCTGCGCGGCGTAGAAAGAGCAGAGCTATCCAGGCGTCTTGCCAAACTGATCAAGACCGAGAATCACGCTATCGGAGCATACGAGTCCGCCGGCCGCGAGCGTCTGTCGATTGCTTCACAGCTGTCGGACTGGGGCGAGTCCACCAATGATGACTCCCTCTCCGATATCTCCGACAAGATTGGAGTTCTGTTGTCTGAGATTGGTGAGCAGGAAGACCTCTTCGCTCAGAATCTCGAGGACTACCGCAGCATCCTGAAGCAGATCAGAAACACTGAGCAGAGCGTCCAGCCTTCCCGAGACAACAAGAACAAGATCGCCGACGAAATTCAAAAGCTCAAGTACAAAGAGCCGACCAGCCCTAAGTTGGTCACCCTGGAGCAAGAACTTGTCCGAGCGGAAGCTCAGAATCTCGTGGCTGAAGCTCAGCTGACCAACATTGTAAGTCATGAGTTTTTGCATCCGACGATAGCCCAGCTGACACGTCACAGACTCGCCAGAAAGTCAAGGAAGCATATGATCTTCACTTCGCCGCAACAATCGAGCGCGCCGAGAAGCAGATTATCCTCGCCAAACATGGCCGTCGTCTCTTGAATTACCTCGACGATACGCCAGTGGTGCCTGGCGATGTTCGTCAGCCATTTGCTCACGGCAATGACGCAAGACAGGTGCTCGCGGACGCCGAGCATGAGTTGCAGATGTGGCAGCCAAGCCTAGAGGCCGTGGAAGTCAACTCGACCGGCCTTGGGTCCAATTTGATGCCGTCCGAAGAGGTCGCTCGTGGTACTTCATCGGTGGCAGATACTGCCGGAGACATTGCATCCCCCCAGAGTGAGACAACTTCACCCACGCATCATAAGCCAGCCGAAGGTACGCATCTCGAACAGGCGACTGCGTCCTGAGCGGAATCGGATCTCCGCCCGTTCTAGAAGGCATACACATGGTTGTTAACCAGGAGCGGTCCGGAAGCTGGCGATGTATTAGTTGAGCACGTATTTCTTTTGATATCCACCTCCGAGGCGACAGTGTTTGTAGGGAGGAACGGGACCATTGTCGTGTTGGAAACGAGTTAGCATCGTGTACGATTTATAACCATGACACTTGATTCAAGTTGAGGTTGTTGCAGGTGCGCAAGCGAAACTAGAAACCGTTTCACCACCGACGCAAGCGACGATCGAGTTGCTGCTACAGCTTCGATCCAAGCGAAGCACCCCCTTGTCCGTTGCGTTCGGAAACAAGTCTTATCATTGGTCTATTCTTTACCCGATCTCGTAATTCATACCTGGCTTCGCATGGCGCTATTCTGTGCTGAACGAATGGTTGGGACTTTGTTGGAGAGACTCTGAAGTGCAGCCGTACGCGCGAGTGCCCTCGGACATGTTGTTATCCGCGACGATCAGTGAAGTCTTCACCCAACCACTAGCCATAAGATTACCGCCTGTCCTTGGGAGCCCAAGTCATGGGGTCGGCAAAATGCTGATGATCTCCAAATGAGTTGCTAATCCAAAAGTGCGAGAGGTCTCATAAGTTCATCGTCACCACATTTCTCATCACGTCAGAGACTTGAGAATCGCGGTTTACATCTTCTTACCGCCCACTCACCAGGTCATCTTTCGCAGTCGCCGTAAAAGCAGAGTCGAGCCGACAAACGGCAGCTGTTCCTCCGACACTGGGGTTGAAACGTTTGTAACGCTTGCCGATTGCCGTGGTTTCAGGATCCTCGATCCACCTCCTGTTATAGCAAAGCCAAACCCCAACTTATTTTCTACGGAAACCCTAGAAGCTGGCTCTTCAATATTCTAATTCCCTGTTCGTTGTCGACCTTTCCATCGCAGACGCTGCGCCCGAGTGTTGGCAAGATGCTACGACTGCTTGTACTGGCCGGCGTGGCGCTCATCGCCTACCAGCTCGTTGACTGGACTATATCGTTCCGGCGCAATCTGAGAAAGGCGCAGCAAAGCGGTCTGCCATATATCCAAGTCCCAGTCTTCTGGTTGCATCCAGTATGGCTTACAAGCCACCGCATGCTGCTCCCGTTTCTGGCCAAACTTCCACGAACCTGGACACAATGGGTTGACTTTTGTCTACCGGACATCGGCTATGGATACCGTTACGAGGTCTTCGAGCGGGTCGGGCATGAAACTTTCCTCACCGTGTCACCGGGCGGTCTCAGCATGTATACATGCGAGCCCGCCGTTATCTCGCAGATCACCACTAGGCGGAACGATTTCCCTAAGCCAACCAAAATCTATCGGTCGGTCAATGTATACGGTCGGAATGTTGTATCGGCCGAGGGGAGCCATTGGCGCCAGCACCGAAAAGCAATCAGTCCACCGTTCACCGAGAAAAACAACCACCTTGTCTGGCAGGAAACAATCGACCAGGCCACGTCCATGCTAAACTCGTGGCTCGGCCCGGACATGAAGGGAAACAGGACGGTGAACAGAGTGGCGGATGACGCCATGCGCCTCAGCTTGCATGTCATTAGCAGAGCTGGATTTGGAAGGAAGCTGCAGTGGCCTGAAAAGGATGCTCATGTCAAAGTTGACAGCAGCTACGACGATCCATCAAAGATCCAGAACGAGGAAGAGGCAGCGGATGAAGGCCATTCCATGAGTTACACCTACGCCATTCACTGTCTGCTGGATAATATCTTATTCCAGTTCCTTTTCCCACGATCAATCATGAAGTACGCTCCCGTCAGCCGACTGAACAAGGCGAACGAGGCGTACCAGGAATGGGGTAACTACATGAAAGAGGCGGTAGAGAAGAAGAGAACCGACATGCAGATCGGCAAAGATACCAAGGAGGAATGTATGGACATCTTGGGCCAGTTGGTGAAGAGCCAGGAGCAATCCAAGGACGATCAGAGTACTCAATTGGAGGACTCAGAGATGCTGGGCAATATGTTCGTCCTCATATTGGCGGGACACGAGACAGCTGCCAACTCGATTCATTTCTCTATGGTGTATTTGGCGCTACATCCGCAAAGCCAACGCCTGCTCCAGAGGGACCTAGATCAGATCTTTGAGGGTAAGCCCCCGACTGAATGGGATTACGATCGAGACTTGCCACAGCTCTTCGGTAGTATGGTTGGCGCGGTGCTCAACGAAGAGCTTCGACTCGTGCCTCCAGTAACAGCTATACCCAAATCAACTTGGGGAGTTACAGATCAGCAATTGACGGTAGAGGGAGAGTCCAAAACTGTACCCGGTGGAACATTCATTGGGCTGGTCACCATAGCTGCCCACAGGAATCCGAATCACTGGCCCAAAGGAAGACCGTCTTATCCCGGTGGTAGGCCAGTGCACCCCATAGCCAACTTGGATAATGATCTGGAGGAGTTCAGGCCTGAGCGGTGGCTGTTAGCCGAGGAAGGGCCATCTGATGACCGAACGGGGCCCGCCAGTACAGGTCACAGCAAGGAAGAGATGCCAACTGAGACATCCAGAGGTGGCGATCTCAATATCAACGAGTCTGCAGACACTTCCGAGAGGTTGTACAAGCCCTCCAAGGGCGCCTATCTACCTTTTAGCGAAGGCTATCGGTCATGCATTGGGCGGCGGTTCGCACAGGTGGAAGTGCTGGCTGCGCTGGCTGTAATCTTCCAAAACTACTCTGTGGAGCTTGCGGTGGACAAGTACGCTACCGATGAGCAAGTGATCAAGATGGACGTCGATGCGAGGGTAGAGGTGTGGCATAAGGCGGCAGAGGATGCCAGAGAGCTGTTGTTGAACGGTCTCGGCGTAATCATCAGCTTACAGATGCGGAAGGGGCATGTCCCTGTACGGCTGATCCCGAGAGGGCAGGAAAAATTCCCCGTCGACGCTGATGAGAAGTGGAAGCGGAAGCACCCCGAGAAGTGTACGACAAAAGGCCACCCCGGATGGCGGACGTGGGACGGCAGACAGGGCTACCATATGAACGCTGTGCGATCGTGAGGGAACACGACCTTGGCTTGAAAGTGATAAGATAGATACTCGATATAAAAGCATCCACCTGGAGGCCCATATTCCGCCTCGAGTTACTTGCAGTCTACTCCACCGCTGGAGGAGATAGCGGAGCGTGCTAGGTGGTAATTATCGTCTGCGAGTAAGGGAACTTGAAGTTAACATGTGGACGCTTGCAATGTACGGCGTGTGGACCTGGTTGGGGCATGAATCTTTAGTTGTGGTTGTGGCAGGCTTAACCCGCCGACCGGTGCTCACCGCGCTGTGTTGGCAGCAGGTGAATCGCTGAAGCGGATCAATAGCTGCAGCCCAGGCGCGGTTGCCCGCCAGAGCCAACGGCGGGGTGCCTCCATTTTGTCGCCGCGTCTCACCACTCTTCTCTCGTCCATACAATCGATCCAAGTCATTGCCGCTTTCCGCCAACTGCCATTGGCACAGTCTATCCTCCGACATGCGGCAGCTTCTTCGAACCCGTCTAGACTCGGGATGCAGCCTCCCAGACGGCGTCTGCACCGGCATGGCCCCTTCGCGTTGACACTTAAAACCCCCCGTGGGCCTATTGAAGCCCGCGGGACTATCGTGCAGATTGGGCAGCGATCCTCGTTGGGCATCGACGTTAGGCAATCACGAGATTCGCTGCCCCGAATATTTGGTCCTATCTGCACATTACACTGGACCACATCACGAGTTCTGATTCTCTGAGCCGCCAGGTCGGCCGCTGTTTTAAAACAGGATCCCTGGTCATGCAATCGGCAAGTCGTTCTGTAACACTGCTATTATTCTCATTCCTCGTTCCCGAAAATCAGGCGTGTGCGTTGAAACTGGGCGTCACTTGTGGCTTGACGCCTGTCCTTTCCTTCCTGTGTCAGAAGGCCAGCCCCCATCCCTTTCGTCCAAATCCCTCAGTCTGATACCTGTCATGTCACTCATCCAAGTTCTCGCTTGCGAGGAATGAGCACTCCTTTCCATCCCTTCCTTCCAGAAGACTTGCATTTCTGAAATGGCGTCGCCACATTGTGGATGTCGTTCGTTCATTAACGTCATCTCGCCGCTTGTTACTGCCACCTTCAACGGACCAATCGATCCTTGAATGCATTGAATGCAGCAGCTGTACCATGAAAGCAGCAGAGTATGTTGCTACCAGTCAGAGACCAAGGTCAGGGCCGTCGACACCGAAGCTACAGTCACGGCTCTGTCTACAGCGATCACCGAGCTGCTCGCTCATCTAAATTCTCTCTACTATCCGCCATCACGACTCAGTCGAGTGGGTCAAACGGAAGTAACTCCACTGTGACACAGGAGTCATACAACAGGTCTTCACGGAAGAAAAAATCCTCCAGGCGTAAGAAAGAAAGCAGCAGGCCGAGGCCAGTCACCATGGATCCAGTCGAAGAAGCATCCGGGGAAAGTGATCCTGTCGAGGACAAGATCGAAAAAGGCGAGAAGGTCGATGTGTTTAGCTTCTTGGTCGATGAGGAACCGAAGCAAGATGGCGACCATCGTCCCACATCTCCGCACGGCTCTGAATATGAAGACGAACATGAGCCAGATCAGGTGCCTGATCATCCCGATCCAGAACCCGAACCCGTTCCCTACCCCGAAGATGCCATTCACCAGCCGGACTTCTCAACCAGAAGTTATCATTCCGATTCAGGCATCTCGATGGAAGATAGTAGCTTTGTGTTGGGCAAGACTACACTCCAACCATTGCTGCCCACACTAACCGACTCCCGAGCCAGCAGTGAGCAGCCGCCAGAGCTACCAATTGATCGTCACTTCCATTGGCGTTATCCTGAGGTGCCCAAACCCAAGCATCAGGCCTTTGTATCTCAAGGTATGGAGTCTATCGATCATCCCGTTGAGGACATCCACGACAGAGATGACGCCCGGCCTCGCGGCAGCTTGTCACCTCCTTCCGTGTTCACCGAAGACGAGGCTACCTTTCCACTAAGCACCGACCACCTTGCCGACATGCTGGCGAATCTGGATACTCCCCCAATGTTCAAAGTATTTAAGAAAACAAACTATCGCATACTGCTACAGCTACAAGATGAGATCATTGAGCTCCAGGAAGAACTTGCTCATCTTGATACATATGATGGCAGTCGCAGGCTGAGCAAAGACGCCAGCACCGGCGATACCTGTCGGCGGCTGAGCTTTCATTGGGGCCAGTGTGATTTCGACCTCTACAAAGCCAAAGCGGAAGTACTTGGGCGGCTTCAGATTAGAATGGACCAATACTGTAAGGGTTAAAAGCCCCTCATTGTCCTTGCTAACTATATACCAGACAAGACTCTTGTCCTCTCACCAAAAGTCAATCGCTTTCGTGGATCGATGGATTGCAACTCTCCCGAGGTTTCAAGTTTCAAGAAAAAGCTCGAGACTCATTTCCACGTCAGCCGGGCATCACCACCGGAGTCTGAGACTGAATCTCCTGCGACATTCAGGTTCCTCGATGACGAGAAAGATCTCGTCTCTCTGCACTCCCCAACAACATCGTCGCTAGTCTACGCCTCACCCTCGATAGGCCCTCTATCACTCATCCCTCTAATCATTCCTCTTCTCCTCTTCAAGATTTTTACCAGCGGCATCAACAGAATTCTCATAGTCGGGCTCACGCTTGCATTGTCTTTGTTCATGTTACGCAACGAGAGCATAGCGAAATGGGCAGGATCAATAGACGGCAGACATGGGCATGACCAACAGGCGCTGATTGTTTGTACCGGTATCTCGATGCTTGTGGGTTTACTAAGCTGAAGTATGCATCGGCAACGAAATTGTTTGCGTAAGGTAGGGTCGAAGGAAATGAGTTTGCTGCGGGTCGGCCATATGATACCCATTATTGTTAGTTATTCAGTGTGAGGCTCTCACAATCTTTGACGGCCTATGCGAGATAATGAACTTGGAAAGCTACCACACATAATGACCTGCAATTATCCTCAGGACAGCATGTGAAGGGTCACAGTCATGGTGGAGCATGACGGAGATAGCGTAGCTATATCCGGAGATGCGCCAAGCTTTGCCTCCCGCGCCGGAGCCTCGCTCTGATCTTTCAATGCCTTCAGTCACGACTTTCTCACAGGAACCTCTTCTTCGCTCACTGTCAACCCAACTGTTGCGCGACGTCCGCGCTCGCTCGCAAACATGTCAGACGCCGATTTCGAGACCGTCCGACGCCTGCAAGCGGAGCGCAACGCTGCCGCGGCCGCGAAAAAAGACTCTTTGTCATTCGACCCCTCCACGCAGCGCTCCAGTGTCTCCGCCGGCAAAGTCTCAGTCACCGAGAGTCTTGATACCGACCTCTATGATGCCAGTTCGAATGGCGTGAACAAGTATGCTGGGTATCACACCTCCATTGCCGCCAATGGCGATGACGATGAAGAGATGCCTGACTCCGACACCTCGAGGCGCCTCATCGGAAACTACACGGCGAGCAAGGAGCAGATGAACGAATTCTCGACTGGAGGCGCGGAAGAAGAGGATATCCTGTTGGGGAGGGAGAAGAGCGCGCGCATTGCGGATCGGGAAACCGACTATCAGAAACGGCGGTTCGAGAGAGGGCCATTAACGCCTACGCGCGCTGACCCGTTTGCAGCGAACAAGCATGCGGGTGCGGCGCAGGAGGGGGGAAGTACATATCGCGAAGTCATGCAGATGCAGGACTTGGAACGGGAGGAAGAGAGAGTACGGAAGCTCATCGAAGAGAAAGAAGCGAAGGCTGCGCTTCATGGAGATGCGGACGATGATGATGTTGTGGTCGAGCACAAGCCCACGCTCAAGGAGGCTGAGGACAAGGAGAATGCGGACAAGGGCAGCACAGTCGAGGCCACTGGGCGCAAACGCAAGAAGAGGTGGGATGTTGCGACTGATACTACGCCGGCAGCGGAGGGAGAGCCGAAGAAGCGGTCGCGCTGGGATCAGGCACCTGGTATCGATGGTCAGCCTGCGCCGGCCAAGAGGTCAAGGTGGGATCAAGCACCTGCACTAGGCGACGGTGGCGCAGCTCCGGCTGCCGCTCCTGCGCCAGCGTTGCTTGGTGCCGACGGCGGAGCCAAGGGAGTGTGGACTGATGAAGACCTGGATGCCATGCTGCCCAGCGAGGGCTACACAATTCTTGAACCTCCTCCGGGTTACGAGCCGATCCGACAGGCCGCACGGCGAGCTATGCCTGCTTCGGCGTCCAGCTCGACAGGTATTGGTGGCTTCATGATGCAAGAACCCGAAAACCCTCGCTCGATGGGTAAGCAGCTACCGACAGAAATTCCTGGTGTTGGCGACCTGCAGTTCTTCAAAGCCGAGGATATGCAATATTTTGGCAAGCTCGTTGATGGTTCTGACGAGAATGCCATGTCTGTCGAGGACCTTAAGGAACGAAAGATTATGAGGCTATTGCTCAAGGTCAAGAACGGAACACCACCCATGAGGAAAACGGCGCTCCGACAGCTTACAGACAACGCTCGGCAATTTGGCGCTGGTCCACTCTTCAATCAGATTCTCCCACTACTGATGGAGAAATCACTAGAGGATCAGGAGCGGCATTTGCTCGTCAAGGTTATCGATCGTGTGCTATACAAGCTGGACGACCTGGTGCGGCCGTACACGCACAAAATCCTGGTGGTTATTGAGCCGTTGCTTATCGACCAAGACTACTACGCTCGTGTTGAGGGTCGCGAAATCATTTCTAATTTGTCGAAAGCTGCTGGTCTGGCACATATGATCAGCACGATGAGGCCCGATATCGATCACGTCGATGAATACGTCCGGAATACAACCGCCAGAGCCTTTGCTGTCGTTGCGTCAGCATTGGGTATTCCAGCACTACTGCCCTTTCTCAGAGCTGTTTGCAGAAGTAAGAAGTCGTGGCAGGCTAGGCACACAGGTGTGAAGATCATCCAGCAGATTCCTATTCTTATGGGCTGCGCGATTCTGCCTCACCTGAAAGGACTAGTCGATTGCATCGGCGACAATCTTCAAGATGAGCAGGCTAAGGTGAGAACGGTGACATCCCTAGCCATTGCCGCTCTCGCCGAGGCTGCCAATCCTTACGGCATCGAGTCATTCGACGATATCTTGAATCCGCTGTGGACTGGCGCTCGCAAACAACGCGGCAAGGGTCTAGCAGGTTTCCTGAAAGCCGTGGGATACATCATCCCCTTGATGGACGAAGAGTACGCCAATTACTATACCAGTCAGATCATGGAGATATTGCTACGGGAGTTCCAGTCGCCGGACGAGGAGATGAAAAAAGTCGTCCTCAGGGTCGTGTCACAATGTGCTAGTACAGATGGTGTCACCGCAGGCTATCTGAAGGAGCACGTTCTAGCTGATTTCTTCAAGAATTTCTGGGTTCGACGGATGGCCCTCGACAAACGCAATTATCGACAAGTCGTGGAGACGACGGTCGACCTTGGCCAGAAGGTTGGTGTCAGCGAAATCGTTGAACGCATCGTCAACAACCTCAAAGACGAGTCTGAAGCTTACCGCAAAATGACGGTGGAAACCATCGAGAAGGTTATCGCCGCTCTCGGTGCCGCTGATATCGGCGAGCGTCTTGAGGAGCGCCTCGTCGACGGCATGCTGTTCGCATTTCAAGAGCAATCTATCGAAGACATCGTCATGCTCAATGGCTTCGGCACCGTCGTGAATGCTCTCGGCGTTCGGTGTAAGCCTTACCTTCCACAAATCGTATCCACTATCTTGTGGCGTCTCAACAACAAATCTGCCACGGTCCGTCAACAGGCGGCGGATCTCATCTCCCGTATTGCCATGGTGATGAAGCAGTGCGGCGAGGACGCCCTCATGGGAAAGCTCGGCGTCGTTCTATACGAGTACCTGGGTGAAGAGTATCCTGAAGTGCTTGGCTCGATCCTCGGAGCCCTACGCTCCATCGTCACCGTCGTGGGTATCACACAAATGCAGCCGCCGATCCGCGACCTCCTACCACGGTTAACCCCCATTCTCCGCAATCGTCACGAAAAGGTGCAAGAAAACACCATCGACCTCGTTGGCCGTATCGCCGACCGTGGACCCGAATCTGTCAACGCCCGTGAATGGATGCGGATCTGCTTCGAGCTACTCGACATGCTCAAGGCGCACAAGAAGGGTATCCGCCGCGCGGCCAACAACACTTTCGGTTTCATTGCCAAGGCCATCGGCCCGCAAGACGTGCTGGCGACGCTGCTCAACAATCTTCGCGTGCAGGAGCGCCAGTCTCGGGTGTGCACGGCGGTAGCCATCGGCATCGTGGCCGAGACGTGCGCGCCGTTCACTGTGCTCCCCGCGCTGATGAACGAGTACCGCGTGCCCGAGCTGAACGTGCAGAACGGCGTGCTCAAATCGTTGAGCTTCCTGTTCGAGTACATCGGCGAAATGGCCAAGGACTACGTCTACGCCGTCACGCCGCTGCTCGAGGACGCCCTCATCGACCGCGACCAGGTGCACCGCCAGACCGCCGCCAGCGTGGTCAAGCACATCGCCCTAGGTGTCGTGGGGCTCGGGTGCGAGGATGCCATGGTCCATTTGTTGAACCTCCTGTACCCGAACCTCTTCGAGACGAGCCCGCACGTCATCGACCGCATCGTCGAGGCTATCGAGGCCATCAGGATGGCGGTGGGTACGGGCATCGTCATGAATTACGTTTGGGCCGGGCTTTTCCATCCCGCCAGGAAGGTCAGAGTGCCGTACTGGCGGCTGTATAATGATGCGTATGTGGCGGGTGCGGACGCGATGGTGCCATATTATCCGAATCTGGGTGGCGAAGGCGTCGCGAGGCCGGAGTTGGAGGTGCTGTTGTGAGCTGGTCCTTGCTGCCTTTTGTAATGCTGTACCTGACATGGCGGGGCGTTTGCATATTAAGTGGGATTATTGGACAGAGACGAAGGGGGTATGTCGGTGGTGTAACTAGTATTACAGCTTGAACGAGACGAAGAAGTTGAAGCCCAAATGTTTTCCTCCTATAAAAAATTCGTGTTTTAGAGATATGTATGAGTTTGTGCTGCGCCATGGCATCTTGGATCTTGATCGAGTCGGTCAGCTAAGAGCTGTCCTTTCCCAGACAATGCATTGGCTACCGGGTTGCTGCGCTCAGTAAGATTTTATGTAGCCGTAGGAGTAATATCCTACACGAATGTTGGCAGGACTGCTCAGCTACGCCGCCACGGCTATCTCCATTTTAAACCTGCCGGACAGGGGCCGTGAGACCTGGACATGAGTGTGATATGGGAACGCCCAGCAGCAGAACATGCATGAATATAACATAGAACATGAGTATATGAGTGGCTATAGAAATGTCTTGAGCGCTCCAGAATGTCGTCCGGTGGGCCGTGACATGTCATATCTCTTTCTAGAGCCACCCTGCTGCCTGAGGAGACAGGCAAGACGATGATGGTGTTTGACAGAGTATGCAGCAGAGCGAAACGCCGTGATATTGAAATCAGTGCCCGTTCGACTACTACTAGTACTACTAAGACTGATCAGGCTCGAGCGTTTCCAGTACTTCCTAGTATCCCATTAGTCTGTGCTTCTCGTGCTCGAGCCCGATGCCCAATCAACTCCAGTTTGACGTACCTTTGAGAGTTCGTCAGGACCTGTAATGGTCCACGTGTCTCGTGTGAGCTACCACTCCTGTTTAGCGATGATACTCGTCCGACCGCCCAAAGCATTTAGTGTCTCGAGGCGGGGTGATAATTAGGGCTTGACTCACATCGAGCGCGTATGTGCCGGGGCCCCATACCCTGTTGAGGTAGGCTCTGAGCTTTTGCTCGTCGAGATAGCGCCCTTTGACGATTTGAGGCTTGCGGCCACCGCTCGTGGAGGTCGAAGAGATTGTGGTATTGGTGGAGGCGGTGGTCGACCGGCTGATACCGCCGGAGTTGGCTCGTCGCGTCATGCTTGGGGTCTGTGTCTGATCTGTATTGGTTTAACTTCAGAGATATGTGGTCGTCAAGCAAGACGTGAGCGCGTATATATGTGCCTTTGGAAAGTGTCAGGCTTGCGAATGAGTAGGACAGTAGTCCTTTCTGTGTTCGAAAGGGCCTTTGGTTCACGGCTCTTTGGCTGCATGGCCTTTTGATAGTGCGAGTGCAAGGCAGACAGGGAGTCAGAGGGGGGCATATGCAGTATTCAGGACTGCATTGCATTGCATTGCATATGAATGCTGGAATCGGCGACCTTCAATGCCTCTCGCTGGTTCATTGCAGACAAGATCCTCAATGAGGCTGATTCCAAACATGGTGTGCAGATGTAACTATTGTGAAGCGACTGCTACACTAGTACTCCTTTGCTACGATATGAACTACCTGTAATTATTGCTATTTCCCTTCTGATATTCGTGGTATCCAATATCGGCAGTACGTTGTTGAGGATCCAAATCGATAGCCTTAAAGATTTTCCATGTGATAATAGTGTCTCCAGGTAAGACTCTGCTAGGCGCTGCGCGCTTAATGATTATCTCGAAAAGCGAAGTTGCTGCCCGTTTCATCTCTGAAGGTGGCAGATTTGGTCCTAGAGAATCAGTCACTACGAGAAGCAGCAGGTGATGTGGTACACTGGTGGCACCAATCTTTCGATACAGGAACTTACTTTGCTGAGCGTTTGAGGTGCGTTGATCATCCATACATCCATCCTCCTCTCCACAGTGAAGCTGTCTTTTGCTGGGTTGAGTACTCCTAGGAGACCTTCGAGACGTCCACGGTCAATGTAGCTGCTGGGAACGTATTGTATTTTCATGGCAGAGCGTGAGTCCATGGCTCCTGCGTGGGGAAAATCGAAACGGATCCCTGCGGGAACGTAATACGGATCTGGTTTGCAGTACTTTGGACTTCCGTTCGTGAAGTGAGCAAGCAATATTATCAGGCCTTATATCATCAACACATCAGCTGCAGAAGTCCCTCAGGGTGACGCTAAGGCCCGGTGGCGAGAGCATCAACCTTGGATTTGGTCTGGTGGCGGTCCGGGCACCCTGCCACAATCATCCGGGTGCTGTGCCCTGTCCCCGAAAGAGCCATCATGTCAAATCCCAGAATGCGGCTGGAGCGAGGCGAGTACCGGAAAAAGGACAGAGCAAAGACGTTACACAACTACAAATCACCAATGGCCACTGCGCCTGGCCTGTGGGGCGCGAGGCGGAAATGGGGCGGCAAGTGATTTGGGCCTGGGCGTCGCGGATTTGGGACACTTCACCTCTCTCCCAACCATTATCCGCAGAGTCACACATTCGCCCCGTTCCTGACCGGTCGAGCCTGACCGCGAACATCATGTGCTGTCTCTCGCGTGCTGCATTAGCGCGCCTGCTCGCATATCGCGAACTAGTGATGCTGGGGGGAACCCCACGATGTGCAGGGTCGCGAGCTTTGTGCCATTACTCGAGATCCATGACGGATGTGCATGGCTTCACCACGCCCCGTCTCACTGACTATAGCAAGCAAGAACTTCGACCGTTGGACTTATGATTGCGAGAGATGGTACCTTCTGATTATTTTGAAGAAATCTTTTATTCGCAGCAGACCAGCGCTGCACTGGGTTTCGCTGCCAGACGTCGGAGCAAATGCTTTACAACCGAGTCCGAGAGCAGCTCTGAAGTGGAGCTGTACAACTGGACTTGCTCAACGCCCGCTCCCGAGCACGAGGTGGGAGAATCATGGGACCGCAGGATTCCGACCTCAAAGGTCATCCGGGCTGAGAAGGATATCCCGCTTGTTGCAACGAAACCTGTTCTGCCAAATAGCATATGTGCTGACGGTTGTTAGGGAACGTGCCAAAAGGGGATAACCTACCTGTGAGCAAAGTATTGACATTGACCAGGTATTGTACTGACTGGCCCAGTCGTCTGAAGCAGAGAAACACTTTGAGTCGTGTCAAGGTCTCCTATCCGGTCTACAAGGCCTTGGCCTCCCAATATAGCATTCATCCACGTGTCGAAGACTTCATCGTTGCATTTGGAACTGAGATCCACAATATCTGCGCTGCTTCTCCGCCAGCAGTCGTGCGCTGTAAAGGGGATCTCCGTGAAGAGACAACCCGGAACGACAGAGAGTTTGGTAGTTACAGCTCCCAGCATCGGTGACTGGATGTCGTCTAACGGGAGCTACAGAAGTCTTCTATGACTTGTTATTTGCCGAAAGGCACAATCGACCAACACTCCAAAAACCCTGGTCCCAACGACAGTCGTTCATCTACCACAAACACGGCGGGCTAACAAACCGCCGTGTATTTCTGACAGTTTCAGCATCCGACTTTGTGGACAAAAGAATAATACATCATGTCGAAAATGTACAACAGTACGGACGAGGTCACCCGATTGAGCTCCATACGATTCTCCTCCAAGCTGCGGTGGCTACGTGGAGAGAGTGTACAACACATGTCGATAGTGAGGTGCAGAAGATGGTGGGATGCTTTCTTTGTGTTGTGGTGAAGCTGACACTGTAATAGGCTGACCAAGCCCTCGTTTCCAAGGCGGTAGACCAAGAAATCACACATCGCGTGGACCTTGAACCCGTCGCCGACATGTTGTCTGAGATCGATACGGCCTTAAGCAGCCTAAAAGACGTCAGCGAGCGGCTACAGGAACTCCACGATAGTTCATGCGATGGGCGGACAGTCTCTACTCAGCAAAATTTGGACAATTCCTCGCACTCTGCTCTAGGATGTGCCCTGTCGGAGATTGCGGTGGAAATCCAACATTATAGAGGCCAAATATCCTATCTCTCCGAGAGAATTCGACGCGTAGGGCAACTGGTAAGATCAGATCGCGTCGGAAGTGTCACAATACATGCTGAAGCTATGGTCACAGATCACGGACCTTCTCGAGCTTTCTGACAGTCGTAGCATGAGGACTCTGGCCGAGCAAGCCCACCACCAAACCGAAAACATGGGAAAATTGACGGCCAAGGCAACCCGTGACGCAGCAGCCGTTAAAGTTCTAACCGTAGTCACTTTGGTGTACTTACCGGCGACGGCGGTGTTGGTATGTAGCCATGTTGGATGCAGGCGAATAACTAACCGTCTATGCAGAACTTCTTCTCGACCGACTTTGTGACTACTGAAAGACGAGACAATGGCTCTCTGGCCTTGATTGTAACTGGCAACTGGTGGATTATACTTGCGGCTGCAGTACCTCTCACCATCGCCACAGTCTATATCTGGCAGATGTATGTACGTCTGAAAATCGACAAGCTGCCGACCGCACAGGCACTCCTCGGCACCCAAGCTGGCAGTGCCGTCACGGATTGGCGAGAGCGGCTCGCGCGCAGCCATCGGACGAGGCACATCAGCAAGGCATAGCTGTCTACGGTTCTCACCGGTTGCCCAAGGTCCCCCGCGCAGCTTTCAATCCCGGCACTTGTCATGTTCTGCTATTTGAATTTTATCAGGCTGGAATGATCAGCCTCGAGCTATGCTCGTGTTCATGCAGACATCCCGCGCTAAAACGAGAGTTTGCAGCTTGCAGTGTGTGTCCAGGGTACGACTGCGCCCCCTTGTAAATTGGCCATTTACTGTTGTGCAACATGTTTAAACCCAACTTCGAAACTCCTCGCATTAGTCTGTACTAGCCAATGCTCAGATTTCGTGATGACTCTGAGGGTCGACCTGTCGAGGCTGAAGTATTTGGGACATTTCCTCGGTCCGGTGTGGTTAAGCGACCATTTTGTGGCGATGGGTTGTTTCTAGCCTGATGGAAGCCCGACCGCAGAAGTCGCCTTGATTATTTGAAGGTGTCGCTCAAGCTTAGTGCCATGTGGTCTTTACCACTTGAGACGATTCTGCTAGAGAATGTCGAAACGCAAACGGTTGAGCAAAGTTTTCCGATTCCCTTTCCGTGACCAGGCGCTGTCCCGGCATGCCGCACCAAGTAAGGGGACCCAACAAGCGTCTGCATCGTCTACACCAAACATTGCTGGTACCAAGTCTCAGCAATTGCCCAGAGATGGGTCGACAGGCCTTGTCCACATGGATCAATCGAGTGTGAAAGACCCTGTCAGTAGTCGTCCATTCACGCCAAAACTGACCTTGCGCACCAATACTCTTGACTCAACTCAAACACTAGAACCGCCGGAGCATGGACAAGCTGCAAGTCGTTTCCAGCGAGACTCGTCAGTCCGTACTGGTCTCGGACTGAATCCGGGACCGTACAGGCCTTCGCCTCTACGTCAGCAGGGCATTGCCAACACAGCTCAGCCATTATTGGAAGAGACGCCGAAACTGAAGCAACTCTTCCCTCTGACAATCCCGGTCAGATGTCACATCCGCTTCAACACAAATCATCAACTCCAGCGACTTCTCAGGAATGCTCACTTGAATTCCGTATCGGCAGTCGATGAAGACGACAATTGGAGCTTTGAGACAAAAGAGATCGACCTTCCGGATCAAGAGATTGAGTGGTACAAGCATGACGCTTACCACTCGTTGCAGCCCAAAAAGCATATGCAAAAGATTACTGACGGCCATCCGGACGTGCGGGAGGAAAGCCTCTACATCAGACACGGCTGCTTCACAGTTGAAGGCCCACCAGAGCTGCGACAGAATTTGAAGTTCGTCAGATTTGCAGATGTGACCGAGCTTGCCCAAAAGTCTATTCATGCCATCTGTGGCTTCATTCATGAACACCAGTATAAAAGATTCCATCTGGATGTCCACTGGGAGTATTCAACTCTGCAGTTGTCGGTGCCACCTGAATGTGCGAATAGCTCTTTCTATGAGATCATCAAAAAGGGGCTGGAAAGCAAGCTGGTGACAAACTTTCGTGGCCAGGAGTACATCCCAAGGTGCGATCTTGTCATGTTTCAGCAGACCTCTGTGATCCAGAACATCATCTCTCAAGATCAATCTCTTAGTCATGGTGACAGAGATGGCATCCTTGAATCAGCAGTCAGCAGAGCAACTCATCTTCTGCTGATGTGCGTTTACAACGAGCAACCGATGTCGATGTTCAAACATCTACTTGAGGTCCATGACATCGATGACGGTAAACTAGAAGCATACGTGGGCCACGGATACCCTCCTATACATGACGAGGTCTGTCAGCAGGATCGCTGTCTAAAAGCGATCAAAGCCATCCGCCAAAGTGCACCTCAGTTCTTACCATTGAAGGTGGGAAAGGATCCACGTTTCAAGGTTTGGAAGAACGATATGATCATCCCATTGCATTTCTACGATGAAGCGGAAGGGAAGCCTTTCGTAACTCTAGACGACGGTGATGACGAAGACATCACTGGGGACAGAGAGATTGGAAGAGGCGCCAACGGACAAGTCTTGAAGATCTGGGCTGAACCGTCTCTGCATAGCCTCCCTGGAGTGAGTTTGTTCTACACTGGTTTCCGGACCTAGCTGATTCTGGTAGAGCTTGAAACAGACGTTTGCCCTCAAGAAGGCCAGCAATATCAGGCTGAAGGCCTTTGAAGCTGAAAAGGTAATGCTCGAGAAGTTGTACGACTATCCGCATAGCCATATCACGCCTCATTTCGGAAGCTGGCAGCAAGATGACCATACCTATATTCTACTCCCTAGTGCGAGGTGTAACTTACGGTACTACTTAACGACCAACCAACCGCCCCAGCTCAAAATGACTGCTGTTAAGTGGTTCTTCGATCAGCTTTACGGCCTTGCTGATGCCATCAAGCATGTGCACCACATCAAACCAGCAGGTACCTTGATGAACCCCGATCCCAAAGAACTCAATTTTGGCTACCACCACGATATCAAACCGGAGAACATCCTTGTCTTTGAGAAGGTCGCGGGTGTACACCCCGTTCTACAAATTTCCGATTTTGGAGCAGGCTCTCTGTATGATGCAGATGCGCAGACGGCGTCCAGGCCAGTAGATACCGTACGAGGAACGCGGACCTATTTTGCACCAGCTGGAGAACCGGCCACCAGACCGGTAGACATGTGGTCGCTCGGTTGCTGCTTCTTGGAGCTCACGCTATGGTTGTTCGGCCTCCTCGATCCAGTACACAGTGAACAGCCGTTCACTGAAGAGCGCAAGTACTTCCCCGGCCACGATCCCAAAGACACAGATGATGGCTTCTGGTACCGGCGGAGGGACGGAAAGATTGAGCTGAAAGAACCAGTCATCAACAGAATCGACTCGTTACGCGAGCGGTACTGTAAAGATATGGAAGTTTTTCAAATCCTCCTCGAGGCCATTAGAAGGCCTGACGGGCAGAGATCACTTCTAACAATCGACAAATCCACGCGCATGGATGCCACAACATTGGTCGACTGCCTGGATAGTATCCGAAAGCACATCAACCTGCAGATGCGTAAAAGGCCCGCCGAGGATGAAGACGATCTGTATGCTCGGTATTTCGACCGGAACTTGTATGGTACGGAGCAGGCTTTGACACCGATCGATCCGTTCGAGCTGCGGACTTCATTGACAACGAACCCGCCATCGTCAGCACGAAACAGCTTTGTGGAAGAAGAGCCTACGGCCTCTGCTTCGCTACAACCGAAATCGGGTCAACGTCAACGATCTACGTCCAGCCTGGTCGTTCAAGCCGGCCAAGGTGCAGAATACCAACCCCAAGCCAATGGTTCTAGCCTTGAGGTCAATGGCGTAAATGGGAGGGCCATAAGTCGAACGCCGTCTCCACCAGATGATTCACTTGCAAATGATCTTGATAGACTGCAGCTCGAAACATAGCGGCGTACATGGCTTCTCGGCGGATTGGCGGAGTTCGGTCCGTGGCTCTCGACGTAAGATGGTAAGTAAGCAGACAAGCGTATTTCCTCTCAAAGGCAGTGGACACTTGACACTTATGTGCATGTGAAGCACCAAAGCGTGGGTCTCACACAGTGGAGCGTGGCCTTAGCTGTGTAGTAGGAGATGTAAGACGGCAAGAGGCAACCTCCGTTGATCGGAGTTCTTCGTCGTCCCTCCCCTCTTTTGCCTTTTTTTCTCCAACTGAAGGCGGCATGATCGCCTTGTCCAAGGCTATTCCCACGAGAAACCTGCAATCTATACACCGGCAAGGTGTACACTTCTTCGACAAGAACAACAGCAGCCTAGGTTGCGGCCATCAAGCAAGGGCACCAACTCTACACAAGCACCCCTTCGCCCGCTCTATCACCAGCAACGCTCCAATGGCGACCCCATCCGACGACAGCGGCATAGCCGACCTCTGCCAGAAGACCAAGAACCTCGTCCCCCAAGATCTCGGCTCCGAAGCATGGACGCTCCTCGCCGGCGCCATCATCGCGCAATCCACCAAGCCCCACCACCTCGCCACGCTCTACACGCACCTCACCACCACAGACCCAAACTTCAACACCCCCGCCAGCCGCACGCGTCTCTCCCTCCGCTTCCGCGACCTCCTCCTCAAACAAGTCACGCTCGTCGGCGCCCCGCAGGTGCTCTGCGCCGTCATCCCCCTCGCCAAAGCCGACGCCTCGGACCACGGTGCGCAGCACGCCTCCGTCGCCGCCGCCGCCCAAGCCAGCACCCTCTCCCCGCAATGGCACGACATCTCCGTGCCCGCGATCCACGCCCGCGGCTCGCAGACCATCGACACCATCTATGGGCCCCTGCTGCCCAGCATCTTCGACTCGTTCGGCGCGCACTCGGCCGACGTGCAGTTCATGGAGCTGTTTTCCGTGTACGGCATGTATCTCTCCGAGTTCACGCACCTGACGCCGCTGGAGACGGAGCTGGTCGTATTCGTGACGATCATGTGTACGGGCCTCAGGGGGCCGGGGTTGTGGCACATGCGCGGGATGGGGAGGTTGTTGGGCGCCAGAGGCACGGACGAGGGGACGGAGCAGATGCGCAAGATCAAGGATCAGTTGCGGGACGTCAAGGTGGCGGCGATGGAGGTGGTGGAGTGGTTGGGCGAGGAGATGGTGGTCAAGAGTGGGTTGAACGGAGGCATGGATGGGCGGGGGTGGGCTAATGTGGGAGATGTGGTGAGGGAGTTGGGTGGGTGGGGAGATGACCCATTGCCGGCGGCGTGAGAGGTGGTGAGTGTGGCGTGTGAAGAGTAGAAGAGAGAGAGAGATATATATATATATATTTGTATACAGTCTAGAAGTTCTACTACATCCATCGGCCAACCAACGGTACCGCTTTGTAGATACGGTCCCAATTGGCAGTCTCCCAGCTCTGCCACCCGCCGTCCTTTCCCCTGCCCACCACGCCGAGGCCACCGGCAATCCACGCGCCCGCCACCACCGCCGAAAGGGCGTTGACGATCCATCCCCGCCTCCGCCGTTTCCTCGCCCCATAGTCTCCCCCCTCCGTCACATACTCCCTCGAGACACGCAGGTACTTGGCCGCACCGCCCACGAAGTGCCAGCTCGCCACCCCCAACATGGCCACATAGCCCAGGTTCGCCAGCACCGGATGCCTGGCGACCCCGTAGGCAAAGTAGCGCAGCCCGACGCCGGAGCTGCCGCCGTCCACCTTCTGCGGCGTGATGCGGTTGACCAGCACGTGCGCCACGAACATGGGATAGAGAGCGTAGCCCAGCGCCGATGTCAGACTCAGCTTAGGCCAGGGGATGCGGCGGCGCTCGCTGTGGGTTTCGGCGCCGTGGCGCTTCGCGTTCTGTCGCCGGCGGTAGACGCGCAGGGCGATGCCCGAGGCCACGTGCGCGACGACGGGCGCGAAGATGAGCAGGGGCTCAATGGGGAAGGATTGGTAGTAGGGCCGCGTCAGGAGGAGGAGGTTGTCGGATTTGTGCAGGGATTGCGTGAAGAGCGGGATGAGGGCTGTGTTGGCGTAGTGGAGGGTCAGGTAGATTGAGGGGCCGACTGTGGCGTATTTCTGTATGGAGGAGAGGAGGTGGATTGTGCGGGAGGGGGTGAGGCCGAGGAAGTTGGTTGACGAGGTCGTCTTCTTTGAGGTTGCGGGCAGTGGGAGGGACGCGGACGAGTCGAAGGGATCGGTCTCTTCGTCGACCGGGGAGGGCTCGAGTTCGTGCATGGGGATGGCGGAGATGGAGGTGCGGGATTCGCGATCTGGGTCGGTGGCGGTGGACGCCATGTTGATTGAGGTCTCCTGCTGCGCTCACCGGCGAGATAGTCTGTCCAGCTCGAGGAAAGATGATGGATTGCAGTCGCGCTCTCCGCGGGGCGTCGCAGGCAGCCAATCAGAGCGCGTCAATTACACTCATGTCCGCCCGCAGATGAGCCAAGATGAAGACGCCGCCACGTGGTTTTCATTTGCACCAACCGCCCTCGTCTTTGCTCCTTAACAACCGACGGTCTTTCTACTGCTCTGGCATTGGAAACGCCGGAACACAAGCAACGAGCCGAATGCTCTGCCAGAAGCTTACAGAACTGTCTCGCTCTGCGGGCTTACTTGACGGCACTGGTTATATAGATATTCCACGAGGTTACCGGAATGTCACTCGTATTTATATATGACCATTGATCCATGCCCTAGTACAAGATGAAGCGACCAGTGACGCGAAGGGAAGACCATTCTCCCCTCTTCACTCGTTGAGAAGGCATCCTTGGTGGCCGAACAATCGGCACACCAGAAATCGCCCAGAACTCTTGGTCCTCGCCCTTACATACGTTCACGAACACGGCATAACAGGTTCGTTTGCTTGACAAACCAAAGATTCTCCGTCTCGAGTTTCTCGTTCGGATAGGCTAGTGAAAAATCAAAGTTCCGGATGAGCTCTGGAATGAGCTTGGAGATCTCCAGTAGGCTGATATTACGGCCGATGCATGTTCGACTGCCAACACCAAACTAGAATCTCGTGGTCAGCATTTCCAATGACTCGGGAAGGTTTTGGCCGGAGAACTGACAGGCATGTAGTAACGATCCATCTTGGAAACACGTTCGGGCTCGTCTAGCCAGCGCTCGGGTCGGAATTGCGCTGCGTCTTCGCCGAAGACGGCTTTGTTGTGATGAGCGACCCAGGAATTGATGCCCACGACGGTCTGCCGGCGTCAGTAAGGGCCTGCTTCAATGGAAACCAAGATTACGTACTCCGGCGGGGAAGTACGTGCCTGCTAGGGTAGCGCCCCCGGCTGGCACGACTCGAGCTAGCGGGAGGCCAGTCGCTGGATGCATGCGCAGGCCTTCTTTGATGCAGGCCTGTAGGTACGGCAAGGCTTGTGCTTCATGATATTGAATAGGATTCGAGGCTTTTCCCGTGGCCGCTGCGTTGTCGATTTCGGCACGAAGCTGTCGAGGTTTGTCAGTGTGCTGGCCAAACTACTGGAGAGAGCCGGAATGTAGTACCTTGTTGTAGCATTCTGGCGTCCGCATCAGGTGATAGAGGACTCCGGACAGACTGACCGAGGTTGTGTCGGACCCGGCGCCGACATTGGTGATGGCGGTGGCGAATACCTTGGCCATAGGGAACCCTGCTGGATCCTGCCAGTGCGACCGAAGTAATTTAGCAACGAAGTCCTCCCGGCCAGCCAGCTTCTCGTTGCCTTCTGCGGCTGTGCTAGCATCGCGTAGTTCGGCTTGGGCGAAATCAACCATGTAGCTGCGCCCAGAGGAGCCAAGTTTGCTTTTGACCCAATAGATAAGCTTGTGGAACTCGTTGAAGATCCCGACGTGGGTCACATAGATCAAATAAGAATGTAAATTAGCAAAGAGGCCCCTATCATCCCCTTCGTCCATGAAACCAAACCGCTTGTTGAACTAGAAACATGGTCAGTGCCTACCCACACCTGTACAGATAGGAAGCGACTTACGGTTATGAGACCGATAACATCGAATGCATAGCTGAGGAGTTAGCACCCTGGAGTAGGAGGGGCGTGCGGGTTACCATTGAAGCCAGTGTTGTAGATCGAAGATGTCGCCACGTCTCCCAAGCTCACGCATCTGTTCCACGAAAATCCCAACTGATGTGTCGACGTAAGGTTCAAATTTGAGCAGGTTGCTCGTCGAGTACAAAGATGCAACTTTGCGGCGGTTGGCAGCATGGATCTTGGGATTCGGTTCCGCAAAGAGATCATGTGATTGTCCTGGTGCAACGGCTGCACTATACCAAGGCGACTTTGCAATCAGTTAGAGACTGCCAGAATGCCGTGGACCGCGTACTTTGATGAACTCTGTCCCATGACCGTAGATGACTTTGACAGCCTCGGGATCATCAAGGGAGTACTGGTTCGGAGCAATCCTGACGATCGATCCTACGAAGATTAGTCTGGTTACCCACGGCCGGACTGGACCACATGCCGTGCTGCTGGTGCAGTCTGATGTTTACATGTTCGAATCTTCGGCTTGCAGCAGCCTTGAAATACCAGAGACGCGTGAAGCGCGCGAGAGCCGGACCAGGTAGCCGGCGGAGGGGCGAGATGGCTGCACGAAGAAGAGAAAAGGTCAAGACCAGGACAAACAGCGAAGCGCCAAGTAACAAGCACATAGGCATCAACGGCACATCTGCGGATTGCAGCACTGACAGCATCTTGAAGGTTCGAGCTGGATTTGACGTTGGGGATAGACTGGCTACAGTTCGCGAGGGCCAGCGTGGTTCAAGTACCTTACCTCTTCTCGAATTCGTGCACGCGGGCAGCGCCACATCTTGTAACGGAGAGCCCCACGAGCGCTAGCTTTGAAGGTCGAGATCCGCTACTTGGTGTATCCTGGATGGGACTGGAGTTGGGAGTGCGGGGGCCCCGCTGAGTTCGTCGGTTGGAGAAGCAATACGGCAGTGCCTGGGTGGAGTGTGGTCGACAGGATGGATGGTGCCGATGAGGCACCAGCAACGTCCGATTAGAGGTATCGAAGCTGCGTCGTCTATTGACTTGGATCTAGCATGCCAAGGACGGACGTAGAGATTGTCGCAAACAGCCAGATTCGGTCGTGATATTGTAAGTGGAGCAGCTGGCGGAAGAGTGCAGTCGTTACGTCATGCTTACAGACGATATAGCTCGGAGCGCCGCATCAGACGCTCCTAGATATGTCAACGTCGGTCGAAGAGTGAAGCCATGGCCCCGAAAGTGTTCATGTAAGTGCTGAGGCCGATCGTGACGTTCTGGTAGCTGAGATGGCAGAACCGGTGTGACGGGATACATCGCAGGGGATGCAATTTACGCAATTTCAAAAGCGCATCCAGACTGGGAGTACACCTGTCTCGTACGTACTGAAGAGAAAGCCGAGCGAGTGCGGCAGGCTTTCCCATCGGTGAAGGTTGTGCTTGGCGATCTCGACGCCTCGGAACTACTCGAGGCTGAGGCCTCCCAGGCAGATATCGTTTTACGTACGCTTGCGATGAGAACTTCTCGTCCAAAGTGCTAACCTCGCATAGACGCGGCAGATGCATCTGATCATGAGGGCGCAGCCAAAGCAATTGCTGCCGGTCTGGTCAAAGGTCACTCCAAGAACAATCCCGGGTACTGGCTTCATACTGGCGGTACTGGCATTCTAACGTACAACGACTCGAAGGACAATTTTGCAGGCTTGGGCAAGTGGAGCGACAAGCAATATAACGATGCCAGTGGTATCGAAGAGCTAACGAACCTTCCTGATGACGCCTTCCATCGGAATGTTGACAAGATCGTCCTCGAGACGGGTATCAAGCACCACGAAAGTGTGAAAACTGTCATAGTGTGCCCACCCACCATCTACGGCAAGGGACGTGGTCCGGTTTCAGTCCGAGGCAGGCAGCTGTACGAGTTAGCTAAGCTGGTCCTCCAGAAGGGATACATTCCCATTATTGGCGAGGGCAAAGCTCGATGGAACAGTGTCCACGTTGGAGATCTCAGTGATGTATACCTTCTATTGTCCGAGAAAGCGGCCAAGGGGGACACGAGCGATGAGCTCTGGGGAGCAAAGGGATATATACTGACCGAGAACGGCGAGCACATCTGGGGTGACCTAGCCAGACACGTAGGAAGAGAAGCCGCCAGACTCGGTCTCATCTCTGAGCCCAGGGAGGGCTCGCTTGGTAAGGACGAAGCCATTGACCAGGCCGGATTCGAAGCCGTATCGTGGGGTCTTAACAGTAGGGGCAATGCTGAGCGGGCGCGTAAGTTTCTGGGCTGGAAACCATCGCGGCCATCGATAGAAGAAGAAGTTCCGGATACTCTCAAGCAGGAGAATGAGAGGATCAAAGGGCCGGCAGTTTGAAGGGTGTCTGGAATCTGACGCGTCAAGCGTGTTGCTGGGAATAAGGGCTGCTATCTCCGCCTCCACATACCCCATACCCCAAACACCTGAAGCTCCCGCTCCCACTACCCCAAACCTCGGCCTTCGGCCTGGGCTGGGACCCTTCCGAGTTCTTCTTCGATGGCAGGTGCTAGATAAGTCTTGCGATCCTGCAGACGACACGCTCTATGGAAAAACTACGTGCATTATCGCAAAGACGAATCGCCCCGGTCGCTGAAGCGATCGGCCTTCGGACTCGGCCTAGCACAAGATGCCTGGCTCCATGCTTCAGTCGACATAGAGAGCAGTATGCACGCCAGCAGCCCTTCACCGCAGGCTTGACTCAGGCTCGTTTATCTTCTACCGCCTCGTTGAAGTATGTGAGGCTGGAGAGGGAAGACCTGGGTCAGAGCCGCGGATCCGTGGCCACAGTGAAGCTTTCCAATCCCAAAAAGCTCAATATTGTCAACTCCGACACGCTGGTTGAGCTCACTGGCGCGCTTGAGACCTTGCAGTATGATGACAGCTTGCGTGCCGTTGTGGTGACAAGCGAATCATCCGAATCCTTCACGCCAGCCTTCTGTGGCGGCGCCGATATTCGGGAAATGAGCGCAATTGCATCGCCAGAGCAGGCCAGAGCGTTCATTACCAAGATCTACGATGTCTGCGAAGCTATTCGCAACATCCCCGCCATCACGATTGCCCGAATCGATGGCGTCTGTCTTGGTGCTGGCTTGGAGATTGTGGCGGCGTGTGACTTCCGCTATGCAACCGATCGCTCGAGGTTTTCAATGCCTGAGGTCAAGATCGGGATTCCATCAGTGGTGCACGCTCGGTCCCTGATCAACATAATGGGATGGCAGCGGGCCAAAAAGTTGATGGCATTTGCTGAGGTCCTGAGCGCCTCTGAAGCCGAGAAAGACGGTCTACTAGATAAGCGATACTCAACCACGACTGAGATGGATACTGCTATTGGTACGGACGTCAATGTTCTGGCTTTGCACGGGAGGAAAGGGATGCACGCTCAGAAAAGGCTGTTCAAAGCATGGGAAGAATTGGATTTCCATACAGGTTTGCGCACCAGTATTGACGCATTTGCGGAGTCGTACAGCGACAGCGGCGAAGAACCAAGATCCTTCATGAAAGCGTGGATCGAAGAGAAGAAGAACAGTAAGCCACCGAGGTAGAAGCATGCAAGCAGCAGCACAGTCAGCCTCATACCTGCTGCCCAGCTCGTTCACCCGTATGATTTCACTCGAGGCAGCACGAGGTGAGTATGTCCCTGTTCCAACCCCTGCCCCTCTGCAGCCTCGTGCGTCTGCAATGATGAACCTCGGCCTGAAGTGACGTCGGCTGGACGACTCATGGCCAACGACTTCGAAGACCAAGATAGCCCAGATGGCGAAGGGTACAAAGGCTGCTGAGAAATTTGGTGACGAGCACCAATCCCCAACCGGAGTTCGCGATCTGACTCGGTGACTTTTCCAGGAGCGGCCTAGATCCCGACTGCGAATGTCGCGGGGAGGGGCACCAGTGCGGGGAGTGCGCTTCTCGGCCAGCTCGCCAACGACCACCCCTCCTTATGTCCGCCCCTTGGTGTCGACCTAGAGACAAATATAAGCGCTGCCGAGTACCTCTCGTTATGTTGTCGCGTATTTCCAATAATTGTTTCCTCACCATAGTCGTCGACTGATCCGGGCCACCTTCAAGCCAATAAGAAACTCGCATTTACTGCCTGAAACCTGTCAACATGTCCTTCCACGTCAATGTCCTCTACCCCAACCCCGAAGGGGCCACTTTCGACCTAGACTATTATCTGAAGTCACATATGCCGCTGGTCAAAAAGAATTGGTCATCGTTTGGCCTGAAGGGCTACACTGTGACCCAGGCTCAACCGGGTCCTGACGGAGCGAAGCCGCAGTACAGCATTCTCGCCGTCCTACACTGGGAAAAGGCTGAGGATGTCGGCAAGGCTATGGGAGACCAAGACACTGCGGGACCCATTCTGGGCGACATCCCCAATTTCAGCAACCAGCAACCCATCTTCCTTACTGGTCCTGTCGTTGGCAAGGACTAGACGAACATCCTGTAGGACATACCCTCACTGAGAAGCCTCAGCAGCACACCTGATCTGTATGTAAACAATGAAAACAAATACACCTCTACCTTCATCGTTTTCCGATGAAGGCAGAACTCTGCAAGGCCAAAGAGGGGTTTCGGCCATTATCTGTCGGATATTCCCCCCCAATTTCAGGAGTTGTCAGCCTCGGCGGCGAGGCTGAGTCCTTTCCACCAGTTCCTTAACTCGCACCTTCCCTACGACGCGTTGTGCTTCTGGCGAAATTTTCGTTGCGTCTGATCATCTTGTATTCATCATTTCTGTTTCAGTGAGCTGCACGAGTCGATCGTCCGCGTGTTTCTGTCTCCTACAGTCTGTGTTATAGGTTGGAACTCAACACTCTCCCAGTCCTCTCCTTCCTCTCAACAGCCCAGACTGCTTGATTCGAATCTCTTTCCAATCAACACACTGTGATTCCTCGCCAAGCAACATCTTTTGCAGCTGCAACAACAGTCCAATATCTTACACGCCACTTAGACAGCTCGCTGCATCGTTGGCATTACAATCTCCCACCGTCTACGCTCGGGCATTCGTCAACGCCCATACCAGCCTTCCTTCAAAACCTCCGAAAACTACGACCAACTGCAAAGCATCGACATGGTGCAGCTGCTTACCATGCCAGCCGAGATTCGCCTTATGATCTGGAAATATGCTGTCGAGGATAGCCGGGAGGAAAAGTTCTGTTGCGCCTGTCCAAACCAGAAGAAAGCTCGGAAGAATCCACGCATACGCGAAGATCCCATCCGCACCCCAAGGCTGGTATTGCGTTTGGTCTGTAAGCAATTGGCGTCGGAGATGATATTCATCACTCCCGAGGCCACCTGGGCCAAGTTCTGCAACATCAAGTGTCTTCGAGCCTGGGCTCAGAATGCTAGCACAGCAGCGTTCAATAGACTGGCCGCGGTCGAGCTGCAGTGCCGGGAAGGGTCGCCACTCTGGGCCAACCGCTGGACTGGTGGCAATCTCGAGAGATATTCTTCCAAGAAGCTAGAAAGGCACATGCGTGAGTTGCAAACCGTGATTGGGGATATTGTGAAGGTGCGTGAGTCCCAGGTGATGCGCAAAGGCAGTCCTCTGTGGGTCTACGGCTTCTACAAGATCATGAAATCGACTATCGGTTTCACGTTGTGGACAACTGCGAGCCCGAACGACCAGATGGCCCGACTTCCAGAATGATGAAAAGTTTGAGCCGGGACCATTCGCCGGGCGTCCACCATTCGTGAGCCGAGACTCTTTCGCTGTGTTGTGGGACATATGACTGCTCGGAGGCAAGTAGGGTGTAAAGACGGCTAGGCTTCAGCCTGACCAAGGAAAGCTCAACGAGGGACCCCAATCTCATGAGCTTTATTCATCCCAAGGACTGATATCGTGATAGTATCAATTTAGATGTACATCACAGCTCCCAGAGAAGATCGTTATCGGACATTCCGCTTTGATCTGTACTGCACTTTTCACTCTGCCCCGGCTTCTGCCACACCTGCCATCGAAGCTTCTCAACAGTCAAAGTAAGCACCACTTGCACAGTATTCTGATCACCCCTCTTGAAGCCACCGAAACTCTCCTCCCGCTCCTGATCATCGCCCATCCTCCACGCCCCCTTCAAGCACATCCTCCGCTGCTCCTCCATTCCCGGCTCTTCCACCCTCACGCTCACACCCAGTCCCTTACCCATCGTCCCCCTCATCTTGCCCACCAGCTTCAACACATACCCCTTCACCACCCCCAATGCCCCAGCCGTTTTCCCAGAACCACCCTGCAACACCCACCCAGTCAACCGCATCCCCACCTCCACAACGCTTAAGCGCCGCACCACACAATCCGGCGCCACGGCCACGTACGCCGCCAGACACGTCGGCGAGCAGAAGACGAGCCGCAGGCCGTGCGCGGCGCTGTGGTCGTGCACGTGCCGGCTTAGCTCCAAGTGCATGGCGCGGCAGGTCAGGTGGAGGGAGAGGCAGGGGTCGGTGGGGAGGAGGGGGGAGTGGGCGGCGGGGAGGATGGTGGAGCAGGGTTGGGGGAGGGATGGGGGGGTATTGGTGGTGGTTGTGATGCTGGTGGAGGGCGAAGTGGACGGTCTGGTGCGGTCGAATGGTGGGTAGGTAAGTGGTGGGAGGCATGGCGAGATGGTGAGGTGGATTGGTAGGGCGAGGCGGAAGATGTGCAGACGGAGCTCGAGGGGAAGGCGGAGGAGGGTGGGAATAGAGACGTCGTCTGTCATGGCTCTGAATGTCTGGCTGGGCTGGTTGGTGCCTGAGATATGGTGCTGAGGAGACAACGGATTCCATAGCGGGGTTGTCGTAAGGTTTTCGATGGAAAGATATAGTGCCTGGTGTTGATTTCTCTAGCTGTCTAGGACCCAGGTCGGGCAGAGTGAGATGCGGCCATTCAGCCTCGTATAGCCCACGTTACATGCTGCTCGGAATACGAGTGAGCACTCGTTTTGGGCGTTGCAACCTTACATAAGCTCTTTGAAATATGGAGTCGAGCTGATAATTTTAGGCGCGCATTATTGAATATCGAGGCGAGTGTCATCGTCAGAATGTTCCAGTGGCTAGTTCCAGTGGCTAGTTCGTCAGGATGTTGTACGTTGTATGAATGGAGCCCACCCTTTGAGGTGTCGGTCCCTGTGTGGTACTATTGGCTGCATGGTGGCTTGGCGGTGTTCGCTGCTAAGCAGGGCTTATCAGACTTGTGTTTCTGAGCTCCGTGTTCTCTTGTCTTCTCTCTCCATACTTTCTGCCTGCCTGGGACGGCCATGAGCAGCTCCATGGGGATCGACATGATCACTGGTGAGAACAGAATCTTGACAAGGCGGCCAGGCGACAGGTGGCTCGCAGGCTCTTGTGCGGCTCCGCTTAGCATGGCTTGACGTTGATCAGCCGCGTGTCGATTATGGTGAGAGGAAGTAGGCGTTATGGAGAAGATGGCCTAACTATTGCCAAACTGAATTAGCGAAGCAATCAGACGTCTTGCTGTGCAAAGGGAATGGCGACAAAAGTGGTTACAGAAGGTCACGATTTACTTGGAAGAAACAAAGTTCAGAGGCTCAGAATTACGTTTCCGGAAGGCCCAGGAGCACGATTCAGTCATCATTCCAGGAACTCATCGAATGCTTACGGAGAGGGCGCCTGTAAATATTGTCGGCCTCTACTTCAAGCGGTCTTGCGGAAACTACTAGACCCTGCACACAGCACGGCTTCGTTTGAGAACTGGCCAGCCTTGAACACGACGATCCAAGCCCGAATGAGCTCTTTTCTTTTGCCAGAATCAACATCGGTTGTCGGAGCCCAGTACACCCTCTGGACTCTGTTCGGGCTTATTGGTGACTGCCAGTCATTCTTGAGATAACGCTCCAACGTAGTCTTGGTAGTGTTGAGGCTGTCCGCTTTGTATTTGGGTGGGATTCCCTCAGACGGGATACTGCCACAAAAAACATGGAACTCCCGAACATGGCACACTGGATGAATATGGGTCTGACTGGCTGCTAATATGGCATCACCTTGCATAAACCGTTAAGCCACTTTTTTCCTGGTGGGTAGGAAGGCAGTCCAGAGCCTTCATGTAAGTTGTAGTCGTATGTCGGGCCGTGACCTCGCTAAAGATCTGCTTGTTAATGGTGAGGGTGCTGATCGAGGACGCAGAAGCGACATGCCAGAAGCTAAGGCCTTTGCCTTTCAGGTCTTACAGGGCGTAGGGAGAGGGTCGAGTCCAGACTTGTGCCGGTTCACAGATGTTATATGGGCCAGGCTCTCGGCCGGTGGACGCAACTGCGACCATGATGTCGCGACCGAGCTCCTTCTCGGCTTGAACGATAGTGTCAAAGATCTTCTGCCGGATTTCCGGCGGCAGCGTCAAGAGATGAGGTGCCATGTCTGATGGTGTTACACTGCCATGGTGTGTTCTGTCACGTATAAGTTTAGCCCGGGAGTTGAATAGTAAGGTCTCAGCTTACTGCACCGCTTTTGAGAGCATGCAACTTCAATATCGGTGGCAAGACAATCTTGCATGGTGTCCTCAAAAGTTGTGCCAAACACAGGTACAAGTTGAAGCCGTTTGTTCTGCCAAGATATATGGCAATAAGGTGTCCACGCTAACCTACAGAGGGAATCACAGCGTTGCTGGCGTGAAGCGTCCCGGTTGCTTCAATCGATACTGTATGAAGATTTGATTGAGGATGAGCGGTGAGAGCATGCCATCAGCATGTGTGTCATTCGAGGATCCAGCTAGAGCTCGACGCTGACTCTCGCCGGTATCAACCTTGAATAGTTCAAAGTATCTAGCCAAAGCTAGATGCGGACCGTGCTCGTTGAATTAAACGCCAAAGTCTCCACGAGGCTCACGGTGCTGCATTCTGATAACATCAAATCTCCATTTTTCTGAAGACAGCGACAACCCTGGCCTGCTGCGCGCATGTAGTGACAGGCGTTTTCGACCACCATTCCACTCAATACAACCTCAGCAAACGTACAGTTCCGGAGCCAAGGCAGGGTTCTTGAGTGAGTAATCCATTAAACATGTCGCTGACTTCTGCGTCGAGTAGCTGATGTCTCGCCTTCTTCGCCTGTGCTGTCACCTCGAGTTGGCCGCAGCATATTCTCGCCTCAACGCATTTCGCCATGTTGCTCTTGAGAGCCGTCTGCATCTGTTTGAGTGCGATGGTAGATATATCAGTACTCTCGATGGTTGATGAGCCTGTCTGCTGATGGCGTAGATCCACGACGTAAGGTTGGTAAGTTAGGTGCATGCAGCGACGGTGTCGAATGAGAACTCCACACTGATTTGTCGCCCGATCACGAGATAAGTCGAAGATGGAGTGACTCTGACGGGACTGAGAGTGCTAACGTTGATTGCCAAGGGCTCATTCAATCTTGCATTTACAGAGCTTGTCAACAGGACCGGCTGACGTACGCTGGACAATTCACTCGTCTCCAGGTTTTCACTCGACAAGACTCTTAAAGATTGCAAACACGACTGCCCCACCTCTGGCAACAAACATATTTGGAGGTCCCCTTGGCCATGCAGCGCTTGTTGCAATTGAGACTCGAGCCATGTCCACAGACGCTGGATACGGTTAGTGAAACCAGAGCCCCAGGAGGGATTCTTGGTTGGATCTTCGCCGCCCCCTCAAGGACGTACTCTGGGTGCTGCTTGATGAGGATCATGATAAGTTCACGAAGAACAAACAGATCTTATGTGACAAGGCAGACACAAGAAAGCTAGGCTGCCTCACGCTTACCCGATTTAGAAGAAAGGCATTGCTAGCGTGAGGCGGCATCTCCACACTCAGGCAGTGAACGTGGCCCACTCTGAGACGCTGACACTTGCTGACTCCTGAACTTCTTGCTGATTCTGAACTTCTCTTGTGAGCATTCAGCACACTGGAAATGCAATGGTAAATTCCCTTTAATAGCGGAAAGGCGAAACTGTGGCATTTGCTGCAATGAAGAGCTCAGGAGACACCTGAAGTCCCTTGGCATATCTCGTTTCATGTCTCCCGCCACCACAGAGCTTGCTGTGCTGTGAAACTTACGACATTTCCGTCTTCCTATCGTTCTCCACACCATTTCTGAGTCTCCTTCGAAGTTCCATACTGCTCTACCACAATCTCTTGGCGTCAACCCCTCACATCCAGAGTCCTGCGCCGCATCGGAGCATGAGGTCATTCCTCCAACCGTCCCCTCGCCAAACCCAAAACCTCCGAAGCCGCATCCCGAGGATAAGATATTGGACTTCGACAGAACCATTATCGTTCCGGGTAACACTAAGATGGCTATCAACGGCGCACCACGGCAGATAAAGACCCTCGGCTATATCGGCTTGGGCAACGCTGGCTTCTCTATGAGCAGTAACCTCCCACAGAATGGGTACCACCTCATTGTTCATGATTTGGACCAGGACAAAGTAAAGAAGGCGACGGCATGGAAGAACACGACCGCAGCAACCACAGCATCCGGCAAGGCCGACCCGGCCGCGTTCAAGGACTGCGACGCCATCATCACCATGTTAGCGCACGGTGGCATCGTGAAGGATGTACTTCTTGGGGTTGACGGCATCGTCACTGCTCTAAAACCCGGAACCATCATCGTTGACACATCCTCCTCGTCCCCATTCGACACAAAAGCGCTTGGGAAAGAGCTAGCCGAACACCAACTCCATCTCATCGACAGCCCAATCACGCAGACTTACATGCATGCTACCGATGACGGACGTTCAACCCTGATGGTCGGGTCCGACTCTCCAGAGCACTACGAGCTGATCAAGCCCGTCTTGCAGTGCATGGCGACCTATATCTTCCACATGGGGCCATTGGGATCCGGACATGCCATGAAGACCCTCAATAACTACATCATGGCGTCGTCCATCTGCGCGTTATCAGATTCTTTGGTCACGGGCCAGAAATACGGCCTGGATCCACAGACGATGGTTGATTGCCTGAACGTCGGCACTGGCGTCAACTTTCCAACAATGGACACTTTCCGAAGGGACGCGCTAACGCGGAATTTCAACTCTGGCTTCGGCTTGGCGTTGCTCGTCAAAGACCTCGGGATCACAGAGGACTTTATGAAGCATAGCAATTTCGAGACGGAACTGCCTGGCATCCTTCGAGGCTACCTGAGTCACTCGATGGACGTGATTGGCCCGGAGAGGAACAAGACTGCCGATCACACAGAATGCATTCGAGGCTGGGAAGACCGTAGCGGACAGATGCTCAAAAGGACAGAAGAGCTCAAGAATATTCCAAGGGAGGATTTTGAGCATCGCCTGAAGGGACTAAATCGCTCGTAGTTTCGGCGACTTTTATCTCGTATAGCATAAAGACCACGCCGACCGCCAACCCCGGTCCCCGACCTTGGCAGCCTCTGGCGTTGGGCCGAAGTCGTCCGGAGGCCATTCTGCAGTCGCGCACAGGCCTCATGGCGGCTTTTGCACACATTCGTAATCCTGGGAGCAAGCATAACTCGCATTCCATGAGCAGCAGTCTCAGCCCTGCTGATAATCAGGCTGCACAATCCTGCCAAGAGCGGAGAAAATCCTCTATCTCCGGCACTCTGCATACGGTCAGAGCTTCATGGCCGAGCGTCTCGGTCTCAGTCGCTTCTAACAATCTCGGACGAGTGCGGCTCTAGCAGTGCAATGGCTCGACTTAAGATAGAACGACCGCACAAGATGCTAGAGACTACTATATTACTTTCGCAAACATGTGCATCCCGTACACGCTGCGTGCCTTCTTTGGCCAACACTACATGATACCCAAGCCAACCCTCAACGAGAACAATCTTCCTGATCAGGCAGGTCGCGTCATCTTGATCACCGGAGGCTACGGCGGCGTGGGCTTCGAACTCGCTAAGATCCTCTACCAGCACCATGCAACTGTCTGGCTGGCAGGGCGCTCGGAGAGCAAAGGACAGAAGGCCATCGAGGCACTGACCGCCGAATACCCTGGCTCACGTGGCTCGCTTCACTTCCTCAAGATTGATCTCTCCGACCTAACCACCATCAAGCCGGCAGCAGAGGAATTTCAGCGGCAGGAGACCAAGCTTCACTGGCTGAACAACAATGCCGGCGTTATGCATCCTCCTGCGGGCTCGAAGGGTGCCCAGGGGTTCGACTTGCAGTATCAGACCAACATCTACGGACCGTTTCTGTTCACCAAGCTGCTCTCACCAATATTGAAGCGCACGGCGGCATCTGAGAAGCCCGGCGACGTCCGCGTGACTTGGGCAGGCAGCACGGCCACCGTCGTGAACACTCCTCCTGGGGGCGTCGCCTGGAAGGAGGATGGCTCAGACCTCGTGCATGCATTCGAGCCACCCATGATGCCTTACCATATCACCAAAGCCGCCAACTATCTGCTCGCAGTCGAATTCGGCAAGCGTTTCGGCCAAACAGATGGCGTCATGCATCTTGTGAGTTCCTCTGTCGTTGTTGAGAAGCTTCAATCTAATCTCAATAGGCCTACAATCCCGGCACTCTGTCATCGGATCTGGGCCGGACATCGCCCGCTAGTATCCGCATGATGGGAAAAATGCTGGAGTCACCGGTGAAGATGGGTGCGTACACGGAGCTGTACGCTGGTCTGTCCAAAGATCTCACCCTTGGAGAAGATCAGGGAGGGTGGATTGTGCCGTGGGGCAGGAGGTACCCCATGAGGTCGGACATTTTTGCAGAGACGAAGAAGGAGGATGGAACACCGTTCAAGATGTTTGAATGGTGCGATAATATCACCAAGAAGTATGCATGAAGAACAGCGTCGTGCCAGTAGTAGGTGCGGTGGACTCCGAGACTTCTGCTCATGATCGGCTTCGGAACTTTTGAACTACAGAGGGAAGTGAATACCCAATAGAGTCAGACCCTGTATTATTTGCACACCGCCATCCAGAGGCGTCCTCCAATCACCCAACGTACAGTGACTACACTACACCTGACACAACGCTGCCTTCGCTCGCATCTTCTCCGCCTCCAAGAACGGCCAAACCGCCATGTACTTGGCCAGCGTGAGCGCGATCTGCTTGGCGGGATCATCGGACTCGCATCACGACGACCTGAAGACATCTCTGTATCGCTGTGTAGCCTCTATAATGCCCATCAAGATCGATAACCTAGTTATTAGGCATACATTTCGTTCTCGAAGGAGTCGACAAGTCGAAGTATGTGCCGTTCGGCTACCTGGATCTTGCGATCGTATAGCATGAGATTCTGGCCAAGTTCTTTGATTATGTCTTTAACATTTTCGATCGTCTGTACAGCAGTACCACCAACTATGAGTTCTATGATGGCGTCGTGGCATTTAGATAGCTCGCGAAGCGCGGGTGGTGCCGCTACAAATCTTGCAGGCGATGCGCTTGGAGTTCGAATGGGTAGGGCGCACAACATCTCGACCGAATTTGACAGTGCTTATCAACGTATTGAGCCTCTGAATAGGAGCAGCAGCAGAGACAATAAAATCCAATATCCCTTGAAGCCATCGAAAGACCGTCAAGTCCAAATGTGACATCCATTGTCACCGTGTTACAGCATCCCCCCACCTTGGGTGTCGCCTTTGCAGCTGCCTCAGATGTCACTGTGAAGTTGGCGCTGCTATCTATGAATACAAGTAGAAAAGTAGACTCGCGCAAATCGATTCCGCGTCTGAGTGGCCTCTCAAGAGCGTCAATGTCCATTTGCATGTAGCTCAAGTATCCTTGAAGTGGATTTTACATACGTACTTTCCAGCCTCCTGACGGCACCTTTCTGCCTAGCAACCACCCATATATATCATAAATCGCGAAAATCCTCCCAACATTCGCACAGACCAACGATGGGTGACACCACGTTATAAACCAGGCAGGAAGAACCATAAGTCCTAGGGTCTAGATGCCACTGAAAAATTGTCAGCGCACAGTATGTACGACTTGATATCTATCGAGCTACCTCTACCAGTAGACATATTTTCGGGGAGGGATAATACACAAAAAGAAAGAGGCACACAAGAAAGCCCACAAGGAAAAGGTCAAGACATCCCTTAAGGGAGCATATTCCTCTGTTCTTTTTGCCTTTTTTTGGGGTGTATGCCTTTTTCCGAATTTGTGTCTCTGGGCATTGGCAGTTCGTCGGGAGGTAGAGATGCTGCACTAGATACAAAACGCTACCATGGATGGAAGATCACTCCGGAAATGGTTTCGCGATGTTGCGTCAGGCGTCAGGCAAACGCGCCAAGTGGCCAAGTGGGTCCCGGCACCAGCCCGGTAAGGCGTAAATCGCCGGCCTATGCTAGCCAGACCGGAGTCAAGGCTGGGCAAACAGTGGCATGCCAATTTGATATCACCCAGATTCTCCGTTCGCTTATTCCAAGGCTCTCAAGGCCAGACCAAGACCCGATGCTGAGTCCCATAGCACGGAGAAGAGTCAATGATCGAGCAGAACACGTCTGCGTCTGCACAGTCATAGTCCAAGCCGCACTCAAAGGGACCAAAGCGTTTCTCTATCTAAGTAAGGCTTGACACTTATTTAGAAATTTGATCAATCACCAGAAGAGATGCAGAAGTGTTGTTGGCGCCAGGGCACGCGTGTGACACCGCGACACGGCAGGATCAGCCCGAGATGCACCTGAGCCTACGAAGTCTGCAAAGGCTCATAAACGGCAGGATGTCGGAGGGCTGACAGCGACAAGACGCTGTGGAGTGATCTGAACACCAGGACATCGACTCAAGCTCGGCCATCCTACCAGCCGAAAGGAAGCCTGGTGCCTGTCGCATTGTGGTAGTCAACTCTTCGATTCAGGAAATATAAGCTGCTCCATGGAAGTCAAGATCGAAGGATCAGGACGGGGAAAGTATGTTGGGTGGCCTTAGAAGCCCAGAATCTGACGCAGGGTCTAGAACCAACCGTAAATTGTCATCTCCTCTGTCCACTGTACTAGCCCCGGGTTGCCCCATTCTACCAGAGATGACCTCAGTCTCTCGGCCCCCAATAACATCGATCTACGGTACAGCCTAGCATCACAGTTGCTTCAACATGTTCTTGCTGACAACTCGGTGGTGCGAGGCTGGAAGTCGCAACGACCGCAGCAGCCTCTCTGTGCCAAGTACCATTCTTCCAACTCGTGTTTGGCTGTCAGAAGTAGTTGGGCTGCATTGTACAACTGCAACTTACTATCCGTATTGCTAGCATGAAACGCGGGCGCAAAAGCGCTGTCGTCAAACGGCAGAGCTTATAGCTGTCGAAGGATTCTGGCCAAGAATAAATTAAGCTCAGCACCGGTCGGCTTGGTTGAGCTTGGAAAGTTTTATGCCTTAGCGACAGCTTAACCGAGGCAAGCGGCCAATTAAGCGCCTGGGCACGTCAAGCTAGAGCTGACTTGCCCCCCACAGAATCCTGCTGACTACCTACGTGTAGGTAGGAAGCGGAGCCCCTACGCCACGTAACAGCTGAGAGGCAGACTGCGGTTCAGCTGTGACACAATGGAGCCCAAATGGTGGTGATGATATAAACACCGCCGTGTTTCTGCTGCAATACCTTTCCAGACCTCTTGAATCCGAGCATTTGCCATTGACGACAGCAGCATGTTGGTCTCCGCCTTAGTTCTGGGCTGCGCAAGCGCCGTACTGGCCTCATCAGGCTACCTTAAGCTCGACCTCGAGCACGTGCAGGGCCCGCGTCTCGTCAAGCGGCAGACCAACACGGACCATCTTGGACAACAAATTGTTGCGGGCGAGAATGGCTCTGTAGGTTTCCTCGCTACATGACAGTGCCTAACACTAACGTGCAAAGCTGTACTGGCTCAATCTCACCATTGGCACGCCTCCACAGTCTTTCCGCCTTCAGCTGGACACTGGTAGCTCCGATGTCGTAGTCACCAACTCCAAAGTTAAGGAATGTAAGAAGGAAGGAGGCTGTCCTTCTGGCTCCTATGACCCAGGCTCCTCGTCGACCTACGAGCTGGTCTCAGAAGGCACTTTCAACAATAGCTATGGTGATGGAACGGCTTACATCGGCGACTACTTCACGGACGTTCTATCCGTTGGTGGCATCGACATCAAGGCCGGCGACCTCATCGTCGGGCTCGCTAATCAACTGGAAGACGGTCCGCAGCTCGTCAACGACGGCACAGGCCTCGTCGGCGTGGGCTATCAAGCCAACTCCGGCGCTGTCGTCCTCACGCTCCAGAACAACACCCTCCCATCCACTGTAATTTCTGCCATGGTGTCCTCTGGCGACATTGGTCGACAAGCCTACTCGCTCTATCTCGGGTCACAAGAGGCCGCCAAAGGCAGGATAATCTTCGGCGGCATCGACCCCAGCCTCTACACCGGCGACCTAGTCGCCCTACCGGTCCTCAAAGACCCTGTCCAATACGCCGAGTACACCGACTTCAAGGTTGCGCTCACCGGCGTATCAGTCACCGACGAAAGCGGCACCCGCCTCCTCACGGACACCGACTTTGCCATGCCCGTCCTCCTCGACAGCGGAAACACAGTCACCAACCTCCCCAGCTCCCTCGTCGACGCCGTCTACGGCGGCTTCGGCATCACCAGCATCGAAGGCTCCGCCACCATCCCTTGCAGCCGCAACCGCGCCAACGCCAGCCTAACCTACCACTTCGGCGGCGGCGACGACGGCCCCTCCATCAACGTCCCCCTCTCCGCCCTCATCGCCCCCCTCAGCGAACCCGCCCAATTCTCCGACGGCCAAGACATCTGCCAATTCAAAGTCGACGTCCCCAACGGCGACACCCTCGTCCTCGGCGACAGCTTCATGCGTTCCGGCTACTTCGTCTTCGACCTGGACAACAACCAAGTCGCGCTCGCGCAGGCCGCCACTTCATCGGTGGCCGGCAGCAGCGGCAGCATCAGCGCCATCATGTCCGGCACCGACATCCCCGGCTGCAGCAGCACCAACACCTTCAGCATCGATGTCTCGAGCGCGACGCTGAGCGACGAAGGCGGTCCCGCAGCGGCCACGAGTGATAATGCGGAGGCGACGGGGAGCATCAATCCCGTGACGCCGACGTTTGATCTGGGCGCGGCGGCGACGGAGACAGCGAATGAGAGTGGCAGTAGTGGCGGTTCGGGCGGCAGCAGCGGCAGTGCGAGCTCGAGTGGGAGTGGGATTGGAAGCGGGAATGCGGCGCCGAGCGTGCGGGTTCCCAGCACGGTGGTCGTTGCTGGGTCGAGCGTCGTGGCGTTGGCCGTGGGGTTTGCTATGGTCCTGCTGTAGTCTGTAGTCGTAGTTGTGGTTGTAGTTGGAGGGCGCGGAGTTGTTGGTAGTTGCGGTGCGGTACGCAGGTGTCGAATGAAACACAGAACACTATCTAGCGTGAATGATGCTCTTGAGATTTTAGACTTATTCCGATTATTGTCCTCGAGCAGTTACGTTCATAAATACATATAGCAGCAACGCACTAAGTCGGACACATGGAACGGTCAATGGTAAAAGTTCATCAGGAGTGCAATGCCGGCTATTAGCTATCTTCCTCTCAAGGATATTAGTTCATGTGTCGTGAAACATAGAGGGACGAAAAAAATTCCACGCTGAGAGTGATCAAGCCCACGGTGATCCAAAACCAACCAGTCGTTTCCATGTCCAGCTAAGCTAATGGGACCATCAAACCCTCTCCCGATGGCCGACGAATCCATCGCCATTGTTCGATTTGGGCACCGGATCTTCCATGGGATTCCGCTCCGTCTCTCCACTGAGGGCACCCCTATGCTCCACATCGCCGGCGGCATCACCATCGACCGGCAGCTCTGTACCGGCCTCCTTCCGGATCCTGCTCATCTCCTCCTTGCTGGGCGCAACCCACTTGGAGCTCTTCATGGGATTGACTCTCTCGATGTACATGGTGTCGAGTTCTTCGAGCGTGCGACCTTGACCTTCCATGACGAAGAAGTACACGATCAACGCGGCGACGAAATTGCAGGCAGCAAAGACGTACCCATAGCGGAAATCGATGGCTTTGGTGATGAACGGAGTGAAGAATGCGATGAGAAAGTTCCAGAGCCAGTTTGATGCGGTCGCAAGCGCCATGCCCTTCGCTCGATATCGAGAAGGATACAACTCGCCGATGATGGCCCAGACCATAGGACCCCATGTGGTGGCGAAACCGAGGATGAAAAGACAGGCAAAGACAATGAGGGCTGTCGAGGCTGACTTTGTGCGGCTGGGATCTTCCTGGTCGAGAGAGAAATGTCCGACTGAAGCAAAGATCATGAAGCAGACGAACATCCAGATGGAACCGGCGATCAGGGATTTCCTCCTTCCGTAGTGCTCAATCAAATAGAGGCCGATGAAAGTGACGCCGAAGTTGATGCCGTTGAGAATCATTTGGGTCACGTAACTGTTGTTGATGCCAACACCCTTGAAAATGGTGGTGCCATAGTAGAAGAAATAGTTTGCGCCAGTGAGTTGCTGGAACATCTGGAGGGTCACGCCAAGCGCAACACGGTAAGCCATGCGTGGAGCACGGAACATGTTGATATACTCGCGGATGGGGCCATGCTTGATCTGGTTCTCTGCGCGGAGCTTAGCTTCGATCTCCTCCAGCTCAGTATGAACGGCGTAGTGGTGGGCAGGGGCGCCAAAGACCTGAATCATGGTCTCTCGAGCCTTGTCAACGCGGCCACGACGATAGTCGTAGCGTGGTGTCTCGGGAAAGAACAAGATTCCAATACCGAGAATGGCGGTGTAGACCCACCCGATAGCTAGGACGATTCTCCACGATCCAGAGTTGGCGCGTTGATGTTCATATGTGCCAAAGTTGAAACAGGCGGCGAGGAAGATACCGAGGGTAATGAACAGCTGATATGTAGAGATGAGGGCACCACGAATCCATGGCGGAGCAGTTTCGGCTTGGTACATGGGCCTGAGTTACGCGTCAGTAGAAGGCTGTCGAAGTACAAGTTGCACTTACACTAGCAGAGACAGAGCTCCAACACCCAGACCGGCCACGAAACGTCCGATCATGACCTGATACCATGCAGTATTGGCTGCGATCTGGATAATGAAGCCGACGGAGACAATGATGGACCAGAAAGTGACTGACAGACGTCGACCAATCTTGTCTGCAATTGGGGCAGCAATCAGAGCACCGATGAGTGTACCAATGGATAGCTTCGAGAATTAGATTGTCGTCTTCGCAGGCCGGCAAGTGCACTTACCAAAGCGACAATCAAACCGGAACGCACATCACTGAAGTATGGCTCGCCATTCGCTTTGCGTTGACCAAATCTGTCCAAGAAGTCGGGCATCTGGGACCAGGGTCAACATCTGGCTGTCGTGCAAGAAGACTGACTGCTTACCTCAAGGAATCCCGAGATCTGGCCAGTGTCATAACCAAAAATCAAGCCGCCCATAGAGATCAAGACTCCCATAGCCAAGCTGCGACCTGTCACCCGCTTCAAGGGACTGTAGTCGAGATGGGCCAGCGAATGACGGACATCAGTGCCCTTCTCGGAATCAGGGTTGTACTGGTCGAAGAGCACGTGTGTGCTCATGCTGAGGCCCTTCATGGTGGGCAGGTACTTCGTTGGACCAGAAGCAGTTTCCAACGGTTACTTGAGGAATACGTGTGTGAAGTAGGTGCAGATGGACGTCTACGCCAGCTATATAGCGTTCGCAAGTGGAAGGGCTAGGAAAGTCAAAGCCAGATCAACTCGTGATGTCCTGCGCGGGAAGCTGCGGCTTAAGCGACAAATGTCTCTGTGAATCGTGACAGGGCTTCAGGTTCAGGTTCAGGTTCAGGTGCGGGTGCGGCGGTGAGGTCATCGGTGGGGCGGAAGGCAACAAAGGAAAGGTGTGCGGAGCGTGTGAGTGCACGAGGGCAGGAAAAAAGAAAGCGCGCCGACTGGAGCGAGGTTGGGGTGCGAATTGTGGGATCGATGGAGAACGGGCATGGTTTGACACGAGATTGGCCATCGAATCGTGGATGTCACGGCACGGAGGCGCGGTGGCAGGGACTGTGTCTGGAGAAAATGAGGTCGCAAATAGAACTTGGTAGCCACCTACATGCAAGGCATTTACCCCCATACAGGTAGTCTTCTCGAGAACGCAGCCCTGGGGCAGAAAGCGAAATGGTGTGGTGCCCCCGGATTGAAGCGGCGGATGCTGATGGGACAATCGCCTCTGGTTACTGTCTCTGTCAAAGCACATGACGATCTGGATAATACTCATGTAATCAGGGGTGTTAACACCCTTTAACAAAAGCTTCTCATGTGGCGTGAAAGGCATGACGTTGATTGTTGCAGCGGCGGCACAAAGCCTGCCTGCGAGTCTCCCGGGACGTCCGGGCGGTGGACTCGGGTGGCTCCTCTACGGTACTCCGTCCCTGTAACGAATGACGAAGCCTTTTTCGGCTACCTCCAAGCATCTTAGACCCAAAGCTTGGCTAGGTGGTACTGCTTTTGATGATTATCAATAATATGTGGAGCGTCTGGTCCAAAGTAATGTTGTCCCTTTTCGAGTATTGATTTTGAGCCCGTTGAGGGTCCTTCATGTACTGTACTAATAGGGCTGCGGAGGCCCCCGCAGTCTTACTCTAGGCACGACTTCCACATGCAAGCCTTTCAATGCGGAAGTATCATGACTTCCAATTCCGAGCCTACAATTATGCACACATATAGATAACTCATTGCAACTGAGTATCAAGTCGAATCCGGCTTCAGACGGATCTCGCTGACAAGCAAACTAATTCACTGACAATAGCACCCACAAGTACGAATACGCATGACTGTGATGAGATTCATGCCGGTCTTCTTTCCGCCCTGCCCTTGGCATCATGATCTGAGCTCCTCGGAACTTGGTCTCAACCACCATGACTCACCACCACCACCGATAAAGTCGTCGACAGATCCAGCTCTTCCAGCTGTCCACAGGTGAAGAACACACTGAACTCTGCACAGCAGCAACACCATGGCAAACCCCGCCCCGCCCCTCTCCAGCATCCCCCCAGCTCTGGCCTCCCTCTCCGCCAGCCCCGCCGTACTCTCACTTCTGCAAGACCTACACACTCAAGCTCTCACCGAGCCGCCCTACATCAGCACCGACTCCCAGCCCCACACCGCCGCCCTTGACCGCTTCGTCGCCCTCGACCCAGACAAGTGTGCCCTCATCTACCTCCTGCTCCGCTCCAGCGGCGCGCGCTTCGTCGTTGAGGCTGGTACCTCCTTCGGCGTCTCCACCATCTGGCTGGCACTGGCCGTGGGGCAGAATGCCGCGGGCGGCGAAGCCAAGGTCATCGCGACCGAGAACGAGCCCAGCAAGGCCGAGCGGGCGCGGCGGTACTGGGACCAGGTTCCGGACCAGGTAGGACGCTGGATCGATTTGCGGGTCGGGGATCTGAGGGAAACGCTGAAGACCGATCTACCGCGTGAGATCGATTTCTTGTTGTTGGACAGTAAGTTGTGACTGGTGGATTTGCTGGTGGGGGCAGCGTTTCCTCCGCTGCGGCTGCTAACCTTTCACTTCAACTCTAGTCTGGACGCCGCTCGCGTTGCCAACCCTGCAGCTGGTGCAGCCATATCTCAGAAAGGGAGCTATGGTCGTGATAGACAACATAACCGCTGCCGCCAAGGGCTACAAAGAGCTAGAGACTTATTTCGCGGACCCCAACAATGGCTTTAGGACCACGGTCGCTCCATATGGAGGTGGGTTGGGGATTGCCGTGTATATTGGCAGAGATGAGTGACACTGGCGTCGAGCGCTGCCATTTTTTGGCTTTGCGTCGACCGCCATCACGACTGATGTTCAGACGAACATCTACCAGAACGGGATGAGTCATTACGAGTGAGTGAATGCCTGCGAAGAGCAGATCGATCTTGGGGCAGAGCCCAGCTATACAGGTAAATAGCCAGTTGGCTGGGTTTGGAACTTCAACAGTACGCCCTGGCCATTGAACACGTTTGGATTGTGTGTGACTGCTCGGATTTCTGTCTATTACGATCCCATAATATAAATGCTAAACACTATAGCCATACAAAAGCTGGCCACCCAACATCGTGCCTTCGTCTTGGTCCTGTACTCCAAATATGACATAAACGCTATCACGCCTGGTGTCGCGTATGTCATCGCGCTGAACGCTTCCTTTCCTCACTGTTTATCGACAGTGCTGTCGCTGTGCTGTGCTGTGCACCTTGTTACAGGTGCATTGTCCTGTGTGCCAATATATATTCGACCGAGTTGATGAACAGGAAAACCCACACCCGGTCAGAAGGCCTCCCTAGCCCCATCCGAGGCCCTTTCTCAAGACTTCAAATGCCGCGTCGACGACGATTCACTCGGTGCGCCTTTCTTCGCCGCCACAGGCTTCGACGTGATATACACAAGGGTATCTTTCGTGATGTAGCCGTTAGCCATATTCGCCGCCTCCTCATCTACCATACTGAGACCCGGGCTCCTCGAGCCATCTGTCCAACGACTCGTTGAGACAAGAGCTCGAGATCCCGTCAAGACAGATCAGTGGTCCCAACAAGATCGACTAGTCCATCAAGACAGCGAGGACGCATCCGAGTCCAATCGCCCAAGTCATGGCACTGTAGGTCACCCACCTTTTGAGACAACCCCCGGACATGAACATGGTTGAAACAACGACTTGCGACCCGAAGTACGCTATCGGCGTTGAGGTGGAAAGGTAGAGGCACGCGACGCTGAACCCAATTTCTGCTGAAAGCTGATGTTGCCGGTGAGAAAGCGCATACCGAGCAAAATCCGATGTCGTGCTATGATATTGCGGCGGGGACGTCGGAGCCAATGGGAAAACGTGCCCCAAGCCAACTTCAACCGCTAGCAACCACTAGTCATCTCGGGATGTCCTGCAGATTGCCGATGCTGAAACGAGGATAAGCGGAAGCTGGAGAAGCGGAGCATAGGACGGAGCCATTTGAGCGCACCGACGCCAGAGTCACGGCTGGGCGTAGGAGTTGGAAGTCCACTTTGATACAAGAGTGGACTACCCCAAGCAGTGACGATCCTATTCCCAGTTGATGGTTAGCCAGTATCCGACCGAGCGATGACTGGCAAGTCTTTGCCAGGTAGTAACGAAGCTTGGTAGTGCATAACCCAAGGACCCTGGGCTCTCAGGAAAGTCTAGGTGGTGGGACATACACGGAGTCTTCGACCCTCTGGTGGCTCACCTGTGTCTTATGTTTTTGGACCTCACTCCTGGCTTTCCGCCGCATCGAATTCTTGCTGCAACCAAAACCTTCTGTGAGGCAGTCTTAGATTCACCACTAGACGTCACTCGGATTTGGGAGCCGAGAACAGGCGAAATGAACGTAGACTTGAACCAGCGGCGCGCCTGTCAGATCTTCGCAGCGCCAGTGATCTTCGCATATAAACTGGATGTCTACCGATGGCAAGGGGATGGGCTCACGAGCGCTCATTGAGGTTAAGCGGCGCAAATTCTTGCTTCAAAGGTCAACGGCGCCAACACGCGGGAAAGGCCAGAGCTGCATAGGTGCCTCGTCCCGCTGCTGGACGAGACAGTAGCTGACTTTCTAGTTCTCCCAAAACGAGCGTTGGTACCGTGCGTTATTGGACTCTATTGGACCAGGGTGCAGGACTGCTCCGCAAAAAGTGCTGTCAAGGGATGGAATTAATATGTACATCGGAGAATGATAGAACTATTACTTGTAATACTCCTCGTTCTTCCTCCTGAAAGACGCTTGTTTCGCCAATTCATTACAGTGTATGCTAATGCTTTTAGTATGTCTCCAAATGACTTCGTAAACGTCGTGATAGCTTTGCCAGATAATATGTTGCTTGTGGTTCGATAGTCGATCATCTACCGCGCTCGACTTGGCCGGCCCAGGACCTCGGCCACACTTCCCTCGAATTCCGTCGAGTCTGGACTGTGGTGGATAGCATCACTTGCGCGATGTTGTGGTACGAAACCCACGCTAGACGGTCGATCGTCAAATGCATGGCTTCCTAGTGCTGACGAAGTCTGCCGTAAATGCTGAGTGTATGACACGGGCGCTGCATTTTCCTCGTCGCCCACATGCATGTAATCTGACGCGACTGAATCTCCGCCCATCGAGTGGCGGTTGACCTTTGAGGGCGATGCCTGTACGTTTGTGAATGGAAGGCGGCTCGCACTCTTCATGGTAGCTTGACTACCTCGTTGCTGATTGGGCGAACCCTGAATGCTAGACAGCTCAGCAGGTCCCGTTAGTGATGCTGATGGTGCAGCCAAATCTCGAGAAGAATGCCTCCTAGAGCTCTTGCGGGGAATAGCTGGCACTGCAGGAACATCCTCCAAAGTTGAACGTTGACCTTTCCGAGATTTACGAGATTTCTCCGACCCGATTCGACTTGGCAGCTCAATATCGCCCACCGTATTTATTAGGGGAAGTGATGGCGGCTTCGCTGGAATGGGACTGGGGCTCCCAGGTTCGTCATCCGAAGTATCGCTGCTCGATGCATCATCATACAGAGCGCTTTCCCGTGGTGGGCGTTGGGAGACTGAGTGTAGAGACGCACTTCTACCTGCTCGAGCTGCGACCGGGCTCTGAGGGTCATCGCGGTATGGCTCCTGGATCGCTCTTTCGGTGCCTGGCGCGGGTGGCATAAGCCCAGGAGGGGGTGCCCGAGCACTCCTGACAACCTCAAAACCCTTATGTTTCTCATGCGTTTTACCACCAAACAGGTTTTTGAACCAGCCGGTCGCAGAGGATACAGTGCCTGTTGGATCAGCAGGCCCAGTTTTTAGCTTCCGTGTTCCACTCGATAGAGCTGGCCCTCGAACGCCGTAGTAGAAGTCAACTTCTCGCACAGCGTAGTCCTTGGCAGGCCTGGATGCATCGACTGGCAAGTCTTCGAAGTCATCCCGCTCCCCGCGGCCGAAGCGGGAGGTGCCTTCGCCAGCGTCATCGTCAACCATGGCTTGCTCATCAGCCATCAGACCGGTCTTAGGATTAGACCAGTCTGCACTTGATCGTTTGTCCGGGGAATTGAGAGCATCCATGGTGTTCCTTCTGGGTGGTCGGTAGTACGGATCTTTCTTATCAACCTGATGTTGAAGTCCGACAATGCCTCCGGCAGATTGAGCACTTAATCGGTTCGTCAACCGCTTCGACACAGTGCTGGATGCATCGGGTGTACTCTGACCAGCGCTAAGCCCGTCAAGATTTTGGCTCATCCTAGCGGGATTGTTTCGTGCTTGCTGCAAAAGCAATGTTGAGCTTGCAGAGATACTCCTGGTCCTTGATCGTGTCATGTTGAGGTCCTTAGGTTCTGTGTCCATACGTTCGAGCATAGCAGCTCCAGAAGCCATGCTGTTACGTTCCTGTGGCGTGGCACGCCGAGGTACCCTTCTCGATAACTGACGCATGCCAAATGCCTTGACCAAGCCACCTCTAGTAGCGCTGCCATCATCGCTATGGCCCCCTGCCCCAGCGAGCCGCGCAACAACCTCAATCAATGTCTGGACGGCATTCAAGAAGAAGCCAAATACAAGCACACAGGCGTGGATCAACAGTATCGCATACCCAATCCAACCTCTTGTTCCGTCCGACACTTCCAAAGTAGGCACAAAGGCGATTGAGAGAAGAAGAGTGACAAAGCGAATGGCCGAGAAGCACGTATGGTAGATGTTCATCGAGGTAGCCGAGGGAAATGGCCGGAACGCGTTGAGAGTGAGGATCATAACAATCTCGCAGATTGCCAGAACAACGATCTGAGCCACACCAGATGGCTGAACAGCGCCAATTGCTATCCCGCGGGTAAAATTGACAACGATGGGCACCAGAGCGAACATCGCGGCATCGTCACAGTAGGTGTTATACAGAGGTCCATATGCCAGAACAGTGATCAAATCGTCGAAAAGAAAAGCTCTTGGCTTCGTCCTGAGAAAGAGAAAGAAGAGCCTAACCGAGAATAGTATAACGACGACCATGAGGATAACTGCGATGGCGACAGAGTAAGATGGTCCACGCGAGGCAATTACCAGCTGGTAGAAGGAGAGTGACGCCAATGGCAAGAGAAAGTAGTTGAGGGAGATCCGAATGCAGTTGCCGGCCGTGAAAGGTCCGTTCTTGGACCGGAGATCTTCCGCTTCGATCTTTGCGACTTGTCGATATGCCCAGCGACAGGCGAAGCCGACTTGAGTGAGGATTGCGATCGCCACGACAATGATTACCAGCCAAAGGATCATGCCAGCCCAGGTATCGCGAGAAGAGCCCATACCAACCAAGCGCGTCATGCGGTCTAAGCCGTAAATCGATCGGGTACCGTACTGGTAGACGCCATCAACAACAGGCTGGTAATGGACGCCACTGACCAAGCTTTGGTTGAACATGAGCGCAGACCATGACACTCGGCTCACAACTGGCTGATAGAAACCCGGATAATTGAGGGTCAGACTGCCGGTGAGTACGATGAATTGCAGATACTGGAGGCAGTCGGCGAAGCCGGGTGTGACCAGGCGGAGGAGATCCTCATCGCGGCCGAAATTGCTGGTCCAATTGAAAATGTCGGAGCTTCCCCAGGGACTGAGCACCGCTGCTGCGATGGTCGCCACACCGACCATAATGAGAATGGCTAGGGGTAGGTATCTTAGCAGGCCACTCAATGTATCACCAAGGTCCGGAGTTATAATTGCAAGAACGCAGCCGTATGAGCTTGCAGCTTGGTCACCGGCGAGGATTCTCAGTCGCGCCGATATTGAGGTGAACGAATACGTTGAGTTCATCTGCGCGTGAATTGCAAAAGCTGGCAGACGGTCGAGTTCATTTCGGGTCGCGAAGAATGCAGGACCAAGAGGGCAATTGCCTTGCACAGTACTGTTACAGAATCTCTCTGCAGGCACCGTGTAGGGCGTATAGCTCAGAACGTTCAGCTCGCCCACCAGAGTCGTATACGCGGGGTTCCCACTTATGAAATCCGGTATCTTGCCAAATTGATTACTCGTGTCATTCCATGATGGATCACTCGGCGGAGGGTAAGGTTCGTCCGTAGCTTTTCCGGTCACATTACCATAGACGGTGATGTTGAGGGGCTGGTTCTCTCTAGCAAGATCGAAGACTGCTGATACATTCAGAGGAACAAACTGGAGAAGCTGGGGATCGGAGTCGACAATGTTACCACTGAGGCAATTGGTGAATTCGACAAACGCAGCGTCGGCGACGGGGATACAGGTTGCCACCAGCAGTAAAAGGCCGAGGACTGCATGCCACGACCTGAATGTCCGGCTACGGCCGCCCAGGCACAAGGACTCATTCATCTTCAAGCTTGCCTGCGTCGACAATCCTTTACGGAAAGTACATAATGCGCTGTAGGCCACCGTGGGCAAGCCCGCTGAATGGGATCGGACGGCGAAGGAACTCGGCGCAGCGGTGGGACTCGACCGCAGACTTGTAGGCAATCGACTAATCTCGCAGTTGGGTTCACGTAGACCACTTGCACACTGACACTTTTTCGGACCAGAAAGATCGCATGCAGGAGAAAACGTTTCGAATGTTCGGTCAAGTCGAGCTGGGTAACGAAAGAGCGACGAAGAACGATAGGGCTGTGATCTTGCGGCAGGAGCGCATGAATGTTGTCGGAGACTATACAGGCTGAAGTATGAGCGAGCGTGAGGATGATGAAACAGTGAAATCGCAGGTGGCGCAAAGATGAAGACTGGGCGCTGGAAGGGTTTGACTATGAGAGGATGCCGTCAGGTCGGGAGTTCAACTTTTGGTGGGCAACGGGGGCTGTGCCGTGGACAGTAGCCTATGGCAAGCTAGCCGCAGCGTCCACTCTGATGCCGCTCCCGCAGCCTGGATGTTGCCAACTCGACTCAACCGAACTGGTTCCAGGCCAGTTTTAGCAACCACTACTCCTCAAGAGGAACTCTTGGTAAAGCTTACAGGGCCCGGACATGCCGCTAGGAAAGGAGGGACTCGCCTAAGCCAGGCTCTCCGCAGCGCAAATCGATTGAATCTCACGATCACGTTGCCTAGAACTTGTGCGAATGCTTTGGCAAGACGGAGCAGCGGATGGAGGGATAGTATAGCACTTGCTCACTTAGATCCTCGGCCTTAAAATGTTGCGGCAATAAATCGCATGTCAGCATTCGTCCTGGACGTACGTGACACCTGCTGTCGCAAATCGCGGAGCAACACCTGCAGTGTTTCAGTCTGTAATCTCTCGATTCATTATTGCGCTCCCCGTCAGTGTCAACAAGCCACCTAGGTGCCACGTAAGTGGCCTAAGGGAGGTCGTTTGAATGTCTTCACCGTGCTGCAGTAGCTGCCATCCAACGCTTCGCCTTCCATATTGTGTTGGAGTTCCGCTTCTGAACAAATATCGATAAGGGTCATTACTGAATGTGACTGTGCCCTTCCAATTAATTCGAAGACGCATTTTTGCCGGGCTTCCGAGCAAGCACGCGACAACTGTGCATCTATCAGTTCACGTGCCAGCCTTGTGGTTGGATTGAGGCTGATGTGCCAAGGCTCAGGGACCGCAGGCATATGCCGCTGCTCCTCTCGTCCCTCTGACACACCTTGCATCTCACGTTACTCACTTTTGAATGCTCTGCAGGAGACTTCGTGGCGAATGCAAGAGCCACTTCTCCAGCGAGGCACTTGTTCAACGCCTTCGTTTCTAACCATGTCTTAGTACTCCGTCCTCTCTATACTGCTGTCATTCTAGAACCACGCCACGTGCTGCGATTGTGCCCGTGGCATGATTCCCTTCTTCGATGCACTTTCATCATTGAACCCTCAAACACAGCAGTATCCTGATATAGACGCCGCTCCTACTTCAGCAGTCTGCAGCAGGCGCGATGTCAACCTCTGATCCCGAATCTTCGTTGTCCGGGGTGGCTTCCGTAAACCCACCCATGCATCCGGCTCTGCCTGACAGAAGTCCAGCCCGTCCCAACCATCCTTCCTATCCCAGGAGACAGAGCAGTCTCACGGATGCCAGATATCCAGATCATCTCACTGGATCCTCTTCGATCAACCCGCAGTCCGTCACTGGTCGAGACGGATCAACACCACATTTGCCACCTTCCATTGATGCACAGGCGCGGCGAGACATCATCACCGCCATGGACAGAAAGAGAAGGCTTACTAATTCCGCCCAAGATCATGGAAGAAGGCGCCAGATGCCCATGGGTCTAGCTGACCGGGCGGTGCAGGAGTTACTTGATTCGGACGAAGAGTCACCATTTGCAGAGCGCCCCTCGGCGAACAGACACGGAGAGCAGCGTGAGGTGGTAGATTTGACTGGATCTTCTCCACCGCTAAATGCTCCTCCGCATCCTCCTCCTCAGGAAAGCAGGACGTCATCTACCAACTCTAGGAGATATGTCGTACCGCACTGGCAACCTGACTCAGAGGTCTCCGAATGTCCAATCTGTTGGAGGCCATTTACATGGTTGTTCCGGCGTCATCACTGTCGAAAATGTGGTAGAGTAGTCTGCAATGAGTGTTCGCCCCATCGAATCACCATACCACGACAATATATTGTCAATCCACCAAGCCCCGAAGAGTCTGCATCACCCACGGCTACTGAGGGATATAGGGTCGAGACCATCGATTTGACGGGCGATGATGAAGATGGAGATGGTCGGTTTGCGCGGAGACATCTAGAAGGCGGTGAAAAGGTTCGCCTGTGCAATCCCTGTGTGCCAGATCCTCAACCAGACCCGCTGCCCAACTTACCTTCAACGGAGAATCTTGATCCAGATCCTCGACCAACTGGTTCTCTCACCTCAATGTTTCAAGGACCAAGAAGACCATCGCATACTGGGCCTGTCCGTCCTCCCAACCGCCATCGTACGGGAACACTGCCAACGTTAAGCCCCATGCCCACTGCAAACACGCCTACGTTTGGATCATTCACTGGTCGTCCGAGACCGTCATCCATGGTTGGTCCATCAGCGATGTTCCCACCTGGGTATGATCCGAGGTTTGGCCCACATAATGTATATCTTCCTTTTCTCACAAGAACAGTTTTGCTAACACTTTTTTCAGAACCCACTTCCTCCTCTACCCTCTGGCAGCTCACATTCTTCGATGTATGGTCATGGACGATATGCATCGCTAGATTCACGAAATCGAATCGCGCCCGAGCCTTATAGACGGTCTCGTGGTAATTCTATGTTTGACCAGCACCTGCGTGATCTTGGGACTACGCCACCAGCGCCCCGACATACACGGCCTCGTCTGAACGAAGCAGATATTTGTCCTATCTGCCGACGAGCCCTTCCTCCAGCTGGCCTGGATGGAGATGAGAGCGAACGGGAGGCGCATATCATCAACTGCATCAGTGCCCGCGATCACTCGTCTGGCGAAGGAAGTTCTTCACGGCCCAATGCAGTGCACATGATATCTTTTGTTGCGTCGGAAAAAGACTGCCTGGGAGGAGATGGTAACGCACAAGAGTGTTCGATCTGTATGGTCGAGTACGATCCAGGAGATGAATTAGCACGGCTGGAGTGCTTCTGCAAATTTCACAAGGAGTGTATTGTGTCATGGCTGAACAGAAAGGCCGAATGTCCAGTTCACAAGGCGTCGAATATGCATTTCTAGACGGCACGACGACATGATTAATGACCATGGAGGAGGGAAAGGCTGGGTATTATCTGGTGCAATAGGTCCATCAGCTCAATACCTAATGTTACATGCATCTCATCATTAGCACATCTCAGACGTTGCCGTACGAATCTGTTGGACGTGATTGTGTTGCTCACTATCCCTGACGTACTAGGAAATAGAATGCGCGCCATACGGCTACGTATCAGTAAAACAACTCCTTACGCCACCTGGGCGCCTGCAAGGGGCGATGGAGGTAGGATTTTTCAGCCGCGTTACTTACGGTCCGCCGGAGTGCGGAGGGGGAAAGTGGCATGGCTTGTCCTGTTCTGCGATGGCGTTACCTGGAACTCCGACTGGTCGGTTCAAGAAAGGCACCATCGATTCCTCTGCTCCGTTACACAGCTTCCCACTCCCTTTCGTACTCTTCGCGCAGCTGGGTTCGCCGGAGAATAATTGCCCCAGACGACTGCAGTGCTCGACCATGACCCATGTGCGAGGTTGACGTAGGACTCGTATACCAAAGTCCAAGCCAGCGTGGAAATTCCATCGGTGCGCGGCGTTCTCGACCTCCGACTCTACCACCGAAACCGCGATCTGTTGACGTCGTTCGCTTCTTTGCTTGACCAGCGTTCGCAGCCATGGCCTTCCAGCCTGCGCATGCCACACAGAATATTGATCCTGCTTTGCGACAGCAGAACTCGGTAAACACGTCGCCAAAGCCACGCGACACATACCAAAATGGCCCAACCCAATCTTATTCTCCTGTGCAATCGACCAAACAGTCGCCGACCACTGCCTTTCAGGGCATGCCACCGACACCAAGCTACTACTCTGTAAGTCGCCCGGCCTGTGTCTATGATTGTGGGCGGACCGACATTGTCTTCAGCCCTTCTGAAGATGCCCCTAATGCTAGATACATCAAACCACTATGACATCCCGCATCAGCCCAGGCTCACGCATTGACTAACCTTACTAAATAGAAGCCTGTTCCCCACGAAAGTCCTGCCGACGACCAGAGCCCGAAAGGCGATTCCAACGATCCCAACGACCAGAAGCGAACCCGAGCCTGTGAAGCGTGTCGAGGGTTGAAGGTCAAGTGCGAATTTGACGAAGTCAACAGCCCGGATACCTGCAAGAGATGCGCCAAAGCCGGTAGGCAATGTATAGTCACCGTCCCAAGCCGAAAGCGACAGAAGAAAACAGACAGCAGGGTGGCAGAACTGGAGAAGAAGATTGACGCACTGACTGCAACTCTTGCAGCTCAGGGCCATAGTGAAACAGACATCCACCACCCCGTTGTGCAAAGTCAATTGCCTCCTCGGCCAGTGTATCCTGAACCATGGCCCCACGGCCAACCAGCACCACCAACGCGTACTTCGCCCACGAACACAATTCATGGCGTCAAAAGGAAGCTCACAGGCGAGTTCGACTACTTCGGTGGTGAGCTACACAAAGCCCAACAAGCAGCAGCCTTCAAATCCTCGCCAACCCCTGGGCCGTCTTACCCACCACCCTACAATCCTGAGCCGCGCATAAAGCAGGAGTACGAAGATCTGTCCAATGTGGACGTTGTGGCTTCGGGTCTTGTCGATGTTGTCACTGCACAAAAATGCTTCGAGAGATATGTCAGCGATATGTGCATACATCTCCCTATTGTCGTTTTCCCGCCGAACACCAACTGGGAAGACGTTCGAAGACAGAAACCAATTCTCTTCCTCGCAGTTCTCGCTGTTGCCTCTGGTACTATCAGAAACGATTTGCAACCGAAGCTGATCATGAAGGCAACGAAGATTCTTGCCGATCGGATAGTATACCGGGGCGAGAAGTCCCTGGAAATCGTGCAAACCATACAGTGCATGACCACTTTCTATCAACCACCAGAAAAATACGAAGAGCTCAACTTCAACCAACTGATTCACATTGCGGCTGTCATGGCGCTGGATATTGGCATGGGAAAGCGATTCAAGAAGGGCAGTCTCACACTCTGGCGGCCGTTCACCGACAGCAAGCGCTCATTGCCAGATCCCATGAGTGCCGAGACGCGGCGTTGCTGGCTCGGTTGTTATTTCATGTGCTCAAATTCCTCGATGTCTCTCCGGCGGCCTCTTCTGGTCCGTTGGAGCAACTATGCCGACGAGTGTGTTGATATACTGAGCAATGCGGAAGATGCAGCACCCACTGACAAGTGGCTATGCTTCCTCGTCAGAGCTCAGCATATCGCAGAGGATATCGGGCTCGAATTCTCTATGGATGACCCTGCTTCGCAGGTCTCACTCACCGATCACAAAACACAATATCATCTCAAAGCCTTCGAGCGACAACTTGAGGAGTGGGAGAGGTCTGCTACACCGAATATGCTCAAGCAACCGATTATGAAACATGTAAAGGGTATCATCAACCTGTACATGCACGAAATCGCCATGCATCATAACCACAACATCGACGACTTCAAGCCGCCTTTCCACTCAACTCCCATAGATGGGCCACCTGACCCAGACTTTGTGACGCCAGCTCACATTGAATCCCTGACTACATGCATGAGATCTGTGCATGACGTTTTCCATGCGTTCCTATCCATGGATGTCCAGCAGTTACGCAGTCTACCAACACTGTTCTTCGTTCGCAACTCATATGCCGCCGTGGCCTTGATCAAAATGTACACGGCCGTGTCGGCGAAAGGCTCCAAGTTCGGGTCCATTATCAGCACTGATGACCTGCGAGTAGACTACTACCTCGACCGTCTGATCGACTGTCTTGCCCGTACCGCCGAGGGCGGGATGTGTAAGGTTGCACACAAATTCAGCATCATCTTCAACATGCTAAAGCAGTGGCACACTCGCCGCACGGATCCCAACAGCAACAGCAGCAACCCAGTCTCCCGGCAGCGCACGCCACTCAACACACAGCGGACGCCCTCGGTATCTGCGCAGAACCCGCAGCAATACTCGCAAGGCTCACAGCGCGACGGCACCACCACGAGCTGGCAAGCGCAGCCACACCATAGGTCGCAACAGCCAGCGCCTCACCCACAGCAGCAGCAACAGCCTCAGCCTCCTCGCTCCGGCCTTCACATGCTCTCCGAGGCAGCGATGAACCCATCCGCGCCGATCCCAAATTCAGGTCTCCCGCCATCACATCAGCCTCAACCATCATGGCTTCCACCAGGTGCCCCACCAATGAATACCATGCCACCCGGTATGAACCCTGGTGAGATGCAGGACCCCAATTTGATGTATGCAGGCGCCATGGGCGCGAACAACGGCCTGGGCGATTTCCCGGACCTGGATCTGAACACGATGGCATATGGGTTCGGCGACGAATTCGTGGCGATGGGTTTCGGAATGGGTATGGGGGATGGAGGGTGGGCTTTCTAATGCCTTGAGGAGCTTGGCTTTGTTGGCGAGGCTGCATCGAGGTGCCCGATGATGGAGCAGCGGTTGGCGCTGGAAAGTCCTCTGATCACGTCTACTTTCACATTCGGAAAGCGAGGGCGTTGTTGAATGGCTGTCAGTCTGTGCCCGCTCTCGCTGTTGAGCTTGGACTCTTTGCTCGTTTGGAATTTTGGAATTTTGGTTCTTTTCGATTCTTTTACCTAGCTATCCAAATCATGCTTACCATGTATATGTACGAGTACGAAGACGAAGACGACTGCGATGAATGACTTACTGGCCTGTACTACCATGTCACGCACGGGATCTGTGGTTTAGGCCTATTTGAGACTCTTTGCTACGTAATAAGAGCAATCTAGCTTTTGAAGCGCCAGCATCCGTGTGTAGCATGAATCCCGTGTCTCTAAAACGTGCTCAATCGACTTTGGGCGAGGTACTCGTCGACACCAAAGGCTCACTCGGCTGCAACGGTTCAGGCAGGTCTGTTTCTGGTAATCAAGTATACGACTGGGGAAACGGGCACGCGATATCGTAGTGACTGAAGAGGTCCACGCACGCGGCCTTGACCCGAGAGCTCGGGTGTCTGTGAACGAGAGATGGACAGGTTCCGAAGTCGGTTGTGGCTGAGGTGATCAGATACATCTGTTGAAAGCTGCTTCTAAAAACGAAATGGATCTCATTGTTCGCGAATATCGATCGGCCTTACCATTCAGGGGCACCGAAAATGTTGAGGTGAGGAGGCATGACTGCGGCGGCGGTGCGTCCGTATATCGGCGATGAATTGGAGCCATGTGGTCCTCTCGCTTAGACATGACGGTCGAAAGCTTCTCTTGCGGGACGTGATAACTTTGATACCTACCCGTATCAGATGGAGCCAGAAGACCGAGCCCACATCAGAACGGAATATCGGGCCTTGGTCGACTGTGATGATGCCTTGTGCTTGGCTCAGAGCATGTGCTCCGGTGGCCGTGAGGCGTTTGAAGAGGAAAGCTCGAGCCTTGCAGGAGTGGCAGGTCATAGCGAGCTGCGATTTTCTCTTGAAGAAGGGCCGCGGATTTCAGCACAATCGCCATCAGGCGGTTCGCATGTGAAGACCAGGTTCCCCCACCTGTTTAGCCGAGCAAACGCTCACAGGTGGAGCAGACCACGGTCCCCCAGCGATGGGGTGCTTATGGGCCTAGTAATGTTTCAGATTTATGCAGATTCCACATATGTCTGTCGGTAGAGGCATTTTTGTTGTGTGGTCAGGTATTTTTCTTGTTCTCAAGGATCACGTGTCAGTGATATTCATTGGTGGCACTGTATTTAGAGAGGTGTGGCTGAGAAAAGAGAGATCGTCACCAAGATCTGGGGTTGGTGTGGCTCGTCCGATGATCTGTGGCTCAAGAGCAGGGAAGTGGTCGATTTGAGTGCCGGGCAACCCTGCAGAAGCAAGACCTGGACAGTCCGGCACCTGGAGGAGCTTGCCGGAGATGCAAACGAATCTTCATGCCTCTCTGAGTTGCTGGCTGGATTTCAAGGAACCAGCGCGGCAAGTGTCGGTAGTGTCGGTAGTGTCGGTAAGAATTGTAAGTCTTTAGCTTTTGGATGCTGTCATAGCTTACTTTTTTGAGCTACTTAATCGGTCTTTGTGCAGTCAGCAGTTTAAGAAAAGGTACTACGCGGACATGTCGTTTAGCCTGAGCTGCTGAGACTATGGAGAAGGCTGGGGTAGACTTTTTTTCGGTGCTGTTAATCACGAGATGGCGGAAGCAGAACATGATGCTCATTCTCATTTGGCCGGAGTGCTACGTCCGAGCCAGAGGTGATATGTAGAGGCTGGGTTGTACATGCACAAGCGAGACATTTTAGACAGGCATGTGCTAAGAAGAGGCAAATTATGCACAGACCTACAGCCTGGACGCTTGGGTGCGGCTCAGTAGACCTGCTCAATGGCAGTACAGACTGGTAAACCGTTGGTTTTGATGACGACTTGATTCGGAGAGGGGCCTGGCGCAGGATACCCTTCCCTTGCAACTAAAGGGTTGGCATCAGTCAAGGTAGACATTTAAGGCGGATCGCGGCAGCGACAAGGAGACAGATGAGGGGTATGTTCCGAAGCGATGGGATTTACGAGAACGGGTCGCCCTAGGAAAAGCGCGGGAGAAGAGAGGATGCAGGAAGAAAGCCAGGGTTGGAGGAACGGTTGGGAGGGGTGGAGGTTAGCTTTGGCTGCGGTGGGCTGTCTGCGCTTGCGAAGTCTTAGCCTTCTTAGCCCCTCTTCTTTTTTATCGACCGAGGCCACTCGCTCCTTCCACCTGGAGCGGCCGCGTATACTGCACGACTACTCATGACACCATGGACACGACATTTCCATTGCCTCACGATCCTCCACAGCTGACATATTTCCCCTGTCCCTGATCACAGCCTCCTTCAGCGGTAGTGTCCGTCCTGTGCAGTGAGTTTAGTTCGTTCGTCACTAATGGTCAGCCGCCTGTCTCGCCCCGATGTCGTATGGCGTACGACTACGCATCTCACCTCGACTCCAACGGACATCGACTACGAGATCTTCATCCAGGGATCGGCATGTCAGTGTCCGTTGACGGGCCACAGGACTTGTGGGCTTCCAAGCTCTACTCACCTCCATCCAAGCTCCATTTTCCTGCTCTTGTTCGCCACTGTCGACGATCAGTCCTCACCTGTCTCCCCATCAGATGCCCTGTCAACATCTTGATCGAACACCACCAAAGGTCCTCGGGAGCAAACATGTTCTGACATGGCGTGTGGTCCATCACGAGCACTCAACCCGGACCTCCGTTGCCCATTGTCTTTCTGTTTGACCTCGTTCTCAGCCTGTTCTAGACGTGGGGTCACGACTCTAGCCCAATCTAAACACTCTGCACTGCGGCATTACGCACCAGATACGGCTTCTACATGCATGTCTCACTTAGTACACCCTTCGTCATGGTGTGAGTGATGCCTCACAGTCCGATGCTACTCGTTTACACCTTTCGAGGACCCCGCAAATGGTGCATGTGCATGCATATGCTTGCATCATCCCCTACCATACTGCCGCTCCACCATGACCATTCGGAGTTCAGCTTCTTCAAATATTATGGCGACCGCTCGCTCACAAGGTGTTTCTTTTTACAGCCTGAAGTGACTTAGAGAGCAGGTACCTGAAGCCTTTCAACGCAGCACTGTTCACTCGCTCAACGGTCTGCACACTCTCGCTCGGCATCGTCTCTTTGCGGTAATACACATCGCCATCATGAAATACACAGCGGCTCTTCTGGCTCTGGCCTCCACAGCGCTGTCGAATCCTCTCCCACAGGGTGTAACCGAGAGCATCTCGCCGGAGGCCTCTGCACCCGCGGGCTGCAAGCCTGATGTTGATGGCACCTTCAACATCCAAGTCGTCAATGTCACCAGCTCCTCAGCCAAGGTGAAGGTACGTCTATATCCTATGGGGATGTTACCACAGTACTGACCCGACACAGCGTCAACAAGACGGAATCCTCACCATGACACTGAAGGGTGGTGTTCTTATGGACCAAGCTGGTCGTACTGGCTATATTGCTGCCAACTACCAGTTCCAATTCGATGACCCTCCTCAGACCGGTGCCATCTACACTGCCGGTTTCTCTCTGTGCGAAAACGGCTCGCTTGCTATCGGCGATGAAGCTGTCTGGAAGCAGTGCTATAGTGGTGGCTTCTACAACCTCTACTCCGAGGATGTGACTTCGGGCCAATGCAACGAGATCTACATCGAGGCTATCAACGGCGGCGGTAGCAGTGGTGGCAGCACCGGTGCTGCCACCCAGGCTTCTGATGGCCAGCCGGCCGAAACCGGCGCTGTCACTCAAAAATCCGATGGGTAAGCGTCCTCTTTGATCTTAAAGTCATCTGTAGCCGTCATGCCTCAAGGCTCGATGGTGATGGCGGTGTCGTCAAAACCTTGGCACTGCTGGCCAATACTGAGCTAACGTCCTTCCAGTCAACCCCAAGAAACTCCCGTCTCACAGATCTCCGACGGTCAGCCACAGGCAGCCACTGGTGCTCCTGTGTCCCAAATCTCTGATGGTCAACCACAGGCACCCACCGGTAACCCGGTCAGCCAGATCTCTGATGGTCAGCCTCAAGCACCCACTGGCAATCCGGTGAGCCAGATCTCTGATGGTCAGCCACAAGCACCTACTGGTGCCCCAGTGAGCCAGATCTCTGATGGTCAACCTCAAGCACCTACTGGTGCCCCCGTGAGCCAGATCTCTGATGGTCAACCTCAAGCACCAACTGGTGCCCCAGTGAGCCAGATCTCTGATGGTCAACCTCAAGCACCTACTGGTACCCCGGTTAGCCAGATCTCTGATGGTCAGCCACAAGCACCCACTGGCGCCCCCGTGAGCCAGATCTCTGATGGTCAGCCACAAGCACCTACTGGTGCCCCAGTGGTAAGCTCCTCCCAACTCTAACTAGCACGGACAGCAAGAAGCTAACGTAACTACAGAGCCAGATCTCTGATGGCCAACCTCAAGCACCTACTGGTACCCCGGTTAGCCAGATCTCTGATGGTCAGCCCCAAGCACCTACTGGTGCCCCAGTGAGCCAGATCTCTGATGGTCAACCTCAAGCACCTACTGGCAGCCCCGTCGTATGTATACCATGTCTCGTCTTCGAATTAAGCTGACCTTTATGAAGTCCCAGATCAGCGACGGTCAGGTTCAAGCTGCGACCGGCTCGCCCTCCGCCTACACTGGTGGCATGCCTCGCCCTACTGCTGGCCTATCCGGTCTTGTTGCGGCGGGTTTCGTCGGTGTCGTTGCGATGCTGTAAGAAGCAGGCTTGCTCGACCCGGCAGAAGCGTTTTGTAATGGAAAGGGATAAGTTGGGGTAAAACTATTTCATTGCTCATGATGGAGACTGCATATCTGCATACACCTCTCACATACTCTACGATTGCATGAAAGGAGTCTCATGCAAAGCATCGACTTGCACCGGCTCGAGGTTGAAGCACGGGTTGACCTGAAAATGGCAGCAGTGCTCACGGGTACGGCAAAGCAAAGCAGCACTAATATCGCCGCCTATTGTAATGGCTAATAGCTGAGATGTTTACCACGATCCTTACGAGTTACGGCTCATCAAAATGTACAGCATTTTCTTGAATATTCAAAGCTTGGTCTCTCTTTCTGTCAATAGAAATTTCGAAGCGTATGACCCAAAACCGTCCTGTAGCTGTCAGCAGCTCGAGCTCCATAAGCTCTCCCATCCACCCCGTCATGAGCACAGTGGTCCCGTCCCCAGTCCTGGTGAACCCCGCTCCCTACCTCCGAGCCCGTCCCTCCCCTGCATGCTGATCACAGATTCGCTTCTGTCACTCGTCCCACAAGTGCACGATAGACACGGCTACAGCCCCTAACGTCCACCGCCTCCAACCGTCTTGGGACAGTCGCCGTGGAAACGCCAGCCACCATCATCAGCACCCCCATCCGGTCATCTACTTCCACGTACATGTGTGCTTCACTGGCAAAAGCTAGCTTCGGCCCCAAACCCTTTTGGGTGTGGCAAAAGAACGTCTTGTGACATGTAACTGTAGGTCCGTCGGTGTCGGGGGACCCGTACTCGATGTACTTTTTCATGCTGTCATGGATTAAAGCTAAAATGCGGGGTTCAAGGCATTCGTACTGCCCCAGGTGATGGTGGGCCGGACACGTCTTTGGCCGAGAGAGTTTCTGCGCTTATACGGAGATACAGTAGCTGAGGCGATCCCTGCTGCAACCCGCTTTTCCAGCTATCGAGACAAGAAACCCTACGGCTCCGTAGAGATCGATGGTGCTCGCACACTCCGTGATCCGAGGATGCGAAGTAGCTTCGCTGTGCCCCGTAGCCACACACTACTATACTACTGTAGATCTGCGCCGCCCCCACGGCGCCACGACCCTGGGGCTTGGGGAAACGCACCTCGTCATGAAAGCCAGCGCCTACGCCATGCATGAGGCTGAATAGCCCAGCGGGGTTCAAGCCTCCTGCGATCTGAAAGTCACGGTTCTCTGTCTGTTCTTCTCACAGCCAAGAAAATGTTTGTCCTAGGTAAGTACCAAGCACAGTGCCAACTTGGCTCGGCTATCGCGTGGCTTTTAACGGTCTCGAGATAAGCTACGCACAGACGAATGCTTGATTGCATGCCACCGCATGGTAGAAGATAAGAGGGAAAAATCGCCCAGTCAGACCGTGAAGGCGCGGGAAGTTCGATGGTCACTTGCTCGTTTCGTGATAGCAACACGGAATGATCCTACCTGCGTTTTGCGGTGGGAACAACGGTACGAGATCCTGGGCCAGATACGCAATCACGTAGGAGGATATCCAACTACACATTGTCTCACGTCTCTTTTTGAAGCCAAGTCTACCACTCCATCCGATCATCGCAGACGAGGTCAACACTCCACCTCTCATGGCCCTTCCACACCTGTGCTCCATCGTTACAGCTTGCCACCACCTCCCTTAGATCCGATATGAGACCGCCCGGTCCGGACGCATAGACAGTGGTCGGTCCGCGCACGGTACTGTCGACGAACTCGGTCACGACCTTGGCCATGTCCGGACGCAGCGTCACAGCCTGCAGTGCTTCCGCGCGGCTAGCCTGCTGGACCGAGAAGCGTCTGGGCGACGGCGACTGCGACGACACTTCCTGGATCTCGTCGCCCGTCTCTGAGGACGAGGAAGACGACGATAGCCCGGTCTTCGCCTCCTCGTTGACGCGCACCCCATTTTTCTCAACGGCCTCTCCACTACAGCAGGCCGCCCCCTTTACCACTGTCTCCTCGGCGCTCTGCCCCTCCCGCGTCACGAAGATACGAATGCTGAGGTTCATCCGCCTGCTCGCCGCCTGCAGCACGTCCAGCTCCTGCTGCACCCACTTCACGTCCGCACGTCTCCGGACCGCCCACACCAGCTCGATCTTGCGGTCCTTGGGCGCGTCGACGGGAACCGGCAGCGTCATCAGGTAGAACAGCACCGGTAGCACGAACGTCACGCCTGTCCCGCCTGCCACCAGCAACACGTTCATGTCCGGCGCGTCTTGCAGCTCCGCGACGTGACCGGTGCCGTACGGGCCCTGCAGTATTACCGGCGTTGTTGCCGCCCGTGTTGCTTTTCGCTGCGATTGCAGCGCGGGCGGCAGCATACTCGTGCTGCCCGCCTCCACCGATTTGTCGCTTGATTCTGCCGTATCCGCCGCGGCAGCTAGCTTCGCGCGCGCCAGCTCAGCGATCTTCCTCGTCTCTCCGCCCTTGGCGCGGAAGACGTAGCTGTGCCGCTGACCCTCGTTGCCGCCGCCCAAGCTCGGCAAGCTCAGCGGTGTGAACGGATGGCTCTGCCAGATACTGCTCTCGGGGAAGCAGAGGTAGAAGTGCTGCCCGACGGCCCAGGCGGCGTGGTTGTGGACAAAGTCCAAGCGCACGATGTCGCCGTTGCTCTCGTCGGGGAAAGAAGTGATGCGTGCCCTGGCGGGCTGGAAGCGCATGCGGCTCGTGCTGTCAGGCAGGAATTGATAGTGTAGCAGGAAGGTGCGCAGCAGGCGGGCGAAGCGGTCGAGGAACCAGACGACCAGTGACGCGATGAGGAAGCAGCCTAGCTGGGCCCAGTGGCCGTAGCAGGCGCCCATGAAGATCGCAGCCATGAGGTAGTGCGCTTTGCGGAAGGCCTCGTAGCCCATGCGGCGGATGGCACAGGGCAGCGACAGGGCGAATATCAGGCTCAGTAGCACCATGGCGACGACACCCCAGATCATGTAGAGCTGCTTGATGAAGCTGTTCCACACCTTGGGCTGTGGCTGGTACAGCCGCGCCTCGACGATGGTCCAGCCGATGGTGTGCACGATGGACTGCACGGTGATGATGTAGCCGAGCCAGCGGTGCAGGAACTGGAAGGACTGGTATGGAATGCCGCTTAGTTGCGAGAGCAGGGATTCGCGGTTCGCGAGGAAGACGCTCAGCGGAATGAGCGCGTAGGCCATGACGCCGATGCGGTCGGAGAATGGGCCGAGAGAGCTGCGTGTGTTGTACACACCCGGCGTGTTGCTCACGGGCGTCACCCATGTGGCGTACCGATAGCCGACGAACGTGAAAATGGTGAGGTAGGTGCTGAGGAAGGCCAGGATCAGGAGCTGCAGGCGGGTGACGCGGCCGAACATGGGCCGTAGCGACTCGGGAAGGAGGCTTCGGCGGAGGGAGGCGGAGAGGGATGCAGAAAGGCGATAGAGGAGCGGCTGATGGGCGCTCTCTGGAGAAGATGGTGCTTCTTCGCCTTTGGCGGCACTGAGGGACGGTTGACGCGAAGGAATGAGGCGCCGTCCGATGGCATAGCTGAGGATCAAGCCGCCGAAGACTATCCACATGATGCCCACGAAGAGCATACCCTGGTCGTGGGCGCCGTACACGACATCGAGGTACTCGCCTGTAGAAAAAACCGTGAGTCAACGTAGTCCAGATATGCATAGTGGTTGTAAGTTGAAGGGTGCAACGTACAGCTTCCTGCGTCCACCACACACGGCACCACGCGCTCCGCATAACCCCAGTGTTTCTCAATGGCGGTCGCTGCCGCATGGTCCTGAATGTGCTGCCTCACCACCAACGTTGGTGGATTATCTGTCAGCGACGCCATCGTTATTGGTGCCCGGAAGCAAAAAAGTAAAGTGTAGTCCGGAGTATTTCTTCGGCCGAAGACAGTAACGCTTCGTCCACTCAACGGCCTCCCATTATTGTCATGTATAGAATCCCCCGACAAGAGCGACGCCGGATCGCTCAAATACCCTCCCGCTCAATCTACTTCTTTGTCCTCCCCGTCGCCGAGGACGAGTGGGTCCGAAAACGTGCTCCTCCGACTCCAGCGAGGCTTGGCATGAGCAGGTTTTCCAAGCGGGCAGGGCCCGCTCCTACACTTCCCGCCTCGTTGGCGTGCGAACCAAGAGGACCTAGACGTGAGAAAGACGCAGATCTGAGTGGTCGACCAAGGGTGTCGAGTAGGACCGAAGGGCTCGGGTGGGATAGCTCAGATCTTTAGGCGGTTTGCCCTGCGTGCAGACCGCCCAATAAAGTTGTGCAGGATTCGGGTGGTGTGTTGCTGCTTCGCGAACCTTGAGTGAGCAGGTTTGTTTTTGATATGTGCTCACGGCCCCTCGGTGTTCTTCTTTTCCCACCGCTTCGTTGATCAGGATATAGAGTGGTCTCGTCTGTTCGTTGGGTTTGGGTTCTTCCGCTTGGACTTCAGACTCATCTTGTCTGGGGAGACTTGTGTCAAAGCCACCAATTCGCACCTTGAGACCATCACCCACCTTTCGACTTCGTTGTCGTGATCGTTGCAAACGTAGCCCACGATGGACCACGGCGATATGGGGGCCGATGGCCCAACGTGCAAGATCTCTGTAAGTGCAGCACTCCGCGACACCATCACCATCATTTGAAGCATGGCTGACTCGATCGTAGATGTTGTGGAACTGGTACACAATTGATGCTTGTTAGTGACACGCACATAATTCGTATGTTCGAGCGAGATACTGACCGCACCGATAACAGGCTTCCTAGCCGAGTCCTGGCACGTCACATCCAAAGGCGCATTCGCCGCGTCTTGCATCGGTGTCGTCTTCTTGGTCGTCGCACTCGAGTTCCTCCGGCGCCTAGGCAAGGAATACGACTCGCACATCCGCCAGCAATTCCAACGCCAGGCGGCAGCGAGGTTCTCGAACCCCGGCCCTCAGGATTGCTGCGGCCCCAACAACCCGCCGACGTATCCCGACCAGTATCTTACCTTCCGGCCCTCGCCTCTGCAGCAGCTCATCCGCTCAGTCATCCACATGGCCACGTTTGCGGTCGCGTACTTCATCATGCTGTTAGCCATGTACTTCAACGGGTACATTATCATCAGCATATTCATTGGGGCACTGTTGGGCAAGTTCCTGTGCGACTGGGATAGCATCAAGATTCCGGTTGGTGCACCCACTTCCACTGGCGGTCAGGTGAAGAACCCTGGACAGGAGGAGTTGACCTATTGCTGCGGTTAATTTGGGAAAGGAGAGTGGAGAAATGGTGGTGGTTAGCAGGAGATGAGCCAGCAGCTCCGTTGATTGATCTCTCTATAGCAATGGGAAAGGCTATAGGGACTATTCGGTCCAATAGCTAGGGGCTGAAGTCCCGCCCAATTTGGAATACGCATCCACTCTCCGAAACCCGGTTATGGTAGTTGCCTTCAGTGTTTTCTCAAGTCTGGTTCAAGGAGCAGTTGTTGGATTTAGCGGAGTGCTCAAAGAAGGGCTTCAGGCCTGAGCCATAGTCGCTGCTGCGCTCATATCGGGAAGCAGTCGCTCACTGCTCCACCGGCTCTCATAGGAGCGGTTGCGACACTGCTCGAGTTAGCAGTGCGTCCAGAACGCCTTGCGCGAGCTCCTTCAATTAGACAACGTACTCTTTGCCAGTATCTGTTGCGCAACAGCAACAGAACAGAGAAGCTGGCCAACAGACAATCTGCCAAGACGCATCGGATCAGTACGGTGCAAGGCCGGGCTACTGGCAGTGCTGGGACGGACAGTGCCAGAATCGGCGGGAACATACTCCAACTGCCAAGGTAACGAAGAATCCTATCGTAGGTCCTATGACCTTGATGCCGAGCGGGCCCTTGCCGCACTGAATGCACACAACTGGAGGGAGGTCCATGACTTTGGAGGGCTAGGGAGCGCTAAGGGGAAAGATATCCGAGCCAGGTCAATTTGCCAAGTGAACGGCGAGACCGCAAGTGAGCGTTCCTCCGTCGTCAGAGAAGATACTAGATAGTAACGATGGCTGTCTGTCTGTTGAGAAGGGTCGAGATGGCCGAGGCAGATGGTGAAGATGTTGAGTCCAAGGTTTTATGACGCGTCAATCTTGGAAGTCTGATCTGGGCTGCAACACGACTTGCCTCACCCGTCTAGACGATCAGTTTCACGCTCTTGAAGTGCGAACGACTTCAGATCCGGTCACTTTTATAATCGTTCAGCGAGTAGCATACAGAATAGGCGTTCGCGAGAAGATGAATGCTGGCGGCTCGTCCAAACCAAAGGAGCAAGTCTGCTGCCCGATCTGGCAAAACTCAAGCTTTCATCGGCTCCGCGATCGCACGAGGACCGTGCGGCGGCAAGTCGAAAGTGAGCTGCAACGATCTGTGCGCGATTCTCCCCTTCTTCTAAACATTATATCTCTATCTATGCAAGGCCGCGAAGACGTGGGCAGAGTTCCGATGTCTGCTTCTCACCGAGCCATCCAGCCTCCGTCGATGACAAGGTTCTCGCCCGACATATATGCCGATGCATCACTGGCCATGAAGACAGCGACGCCCTTGAAGTCGTCAGCATCACCCCAGCGACCCATCGGGATGCGACTGGTGATCGAGTCGTAGTTAGCCTTGTACTCTGGCTTGGTCCGAACGTCCTTGTTAATATCCGTAGCGATATATCTGCCTCGTCAGACTGGCTGGAAGCTCGATTCGATCACGTGTACTTACCCTGGAGAGACACAGTTAACACGGATACCACGTCCTGACCATTCGTTGCTCAGCGCTTTGGTCAGTTGTAAGACGCCGCCTTTGCTCGCTGCGTATGCGGCCATGTTGATACCGCCCTGCATAGCGGCCAACGATGCAACGTTAATGATAACGCCTCTCCGCTTCTCGGCCAGCCATCGAGTTCCAACTTCCCGACACATCGCGAAGATGGCCGCCAAGTTGGTCCGCTGAACATCATCCCAAGCCTCGTACGAAAGCTCTTCGGCTGGGAAGCGTCGTTGTAGGCCTGCAGAGTTCAGCAGTACATGGACCTGACTGACGCTCAGCGCTTCTTTGACGGCCTCGCTGATCCGCTCTCTCTCAGACATGTCGCATTGAATCAGGGTGCATTTTCGACCCAAGGCTTCTACCTTGGTCTTGGTATCGGTGTTGCTAAGATCTCTCTGTGGCGGATGTTAATCCTGAGCTAGATCAGACTGTGCTGACTCTGTATCTCTGCACCTACCTGCAGAATAATCACATCCGCGCCGGCTTCTGCCAGAGCCAAGGTCATGCTCTGACCTATTCCTTTTGTCGCCCCAGTGGCAAGCACCGTCTTGCCGCTAAGATTGAAGAGTCCCGCCATCTTTGCCACTGCTTCCTTTAAAATGGTCCGCCGATAATTCTGGACCTCTCAATATATCGTCCACGCCACTCATTCAAAAGCTGGAAGCCCTCCATTTCCTCTTCGATCACGACTCGGACTTGCTCGGAACCGACGCCGCTCTACGTTGGCCAGTATGACCTGTCAAGCTTCAAAAAGACCTCGGCACCGACAACTTCGTTACCTGTACCCTGACTACCGTGCGAATGAAGAGCAATGGAGAACAGTAGCTCCACCGTTATCTCGGAGCCGCGACGACGACAGAATATTGCTTGCTTGACATGCAAACGTAGGAAGGTGAGATGCGACGCTGCCTACACAGATCCGCCCTGTACTCCATGTCGGCGTGGTGGGCTACAATGCAGTCCAAGTGACAAAGTCATTGCAGGGCGTCCGGCGGCATCCCGGCAACGTGCTGCTCGCCACTCCATCTCAAGACAGCACAGTGATATCAACGAGCGCGTGCTGCCCGAAGAAGTCGCACCCACACGGACACCCTCCGCGGAACGCTCTCCTGCGCAGAGCACAAAGCCAGAAATCAGCACCAGTCTCTCCAATTTCGTTGAACAAGGCGTCACCACCTCGAACTGGAAGCTCTTCTCGGGTCAGGATCCTACGAGAGTCGTATATATTGGCACTCCCATTGGCAACTTGGCAGCCCTGGTAGGAAACGAGCAACCTGCAAACCTCACCAACCATTTTCCATTCCCAGCTAATAAGTCACCATTACCATGGAAACCCAAACCCGGTGTGCTGCCTTTCACCGTGAGTGATGATCTTTTGCGAGACGTTGGCAGCGTACCGACTCGGGAGGTGCGAGACGCTCTGGTAGAGGCATACTTCCAGCATATACATCCGATCTTCCCGGTGCTTAGTGAACCTCTATTTCGACGCCAGTATGACGACCCAAGAAATCCTCCGCCGTTGATACTGCTCCAAGCCGTTCTTTTGGCGGGCGCTCATGTGACTGATCATCCCCTGGTTGCTGCATCACGATCGACGGTCAAGAATACCTTATACAGGCGAGCCCGTGAGCTTTTCCATATCCGCTACGAGAACGACAGGCTTTTCTTAGTGCAAGCCGCATTACTGATGACATGGCATCAGGAGAATGCGGATGAGGTCAGTTGCAATACGTGGTCATGGACTGGCATGGCCAGCCGCATCGCTTTCGGCCTTGGTGCGCATCGAGAACTCTCATCTCGGGTATCAATACCAATGCCCACCTGGGACCGCCGCCGCTACCGTTTCGTATGGTGGACTCTCTTTCACACCGAGACCTTCGCCGCTCTGCATTTCGGGCGCCCATGCTCAATACGATTGGAAGATTTTGACGTTCCTGATCTCTGCGCAAACGACTACCTCGACCCAGACGACAATCCGGACAACAGCGTCCGCCGGGATTGCTTCGAGCTCAACATCGCCCTCAGCTACATCGCTCAAGACGCCATGCGCCTGTTCGCACCCCGCGCCCACGTATCTCTCCAAAGCAGTCTCGTCGCCTCCATCAACTCCCGCCTCGCTTCCCTGGCCGTGACCCTGCCCACAGGCGACGACGCCTTCTCCTGCCAAGCGCGCCTCAACTACCACCTCGTACTCCTGCACGCCCACCGCCCCAACCGCAACACCCAGACTAGTACGAATACCAACGACCCCATCAACACCACCACCAGCAGCAGCGAAGCCCTCAAAGTCCGCTCCGAAGCCGCCTCCACCATGCTCTCCACCCTCGAAATCATGGTCGCCAAAGACCACATCCGCCAATGCCACTTCCCGTGTAACACCGCCCTTATGGCCGTCGTCGTGCAGTTCATGCAGGACATCACGCTCGCCATCTCCGGCGAGGCGCACGCCCGCTCTGTGATCCTCGCCTCAGGCGCGCACGCCAAGCTGGGCCGCGCCATCGGCCCCGGCCGCGAGATCGCCCGCTACTGGCCCAACGCCGAGTCCGTGCTGAAGCTGTGTCAGCGGCAGCACGAGAAGTTTGGCGCCGTCATACAGGCGTGCGTGAATGAGCCGATGAGGAGTCCCGTGGATGGAGGGTTGTTGTTTGGGGGTGGAGGGGCTGCAGGCGCTGCTACGGGCGCTGCTGGCTTTGTGGGCGCGCTGGGTGGGACGGATGGAGATGCGGGTGATGGGTTCTGGCGCGATTTGTTTGCGGCGTATGATGCCGACGGGGTAAACTTTGGCGTTGAGGGGGAGTGGGAGGATTATGGGTGGATGAACACCAGTAGTTCGATATGAATCGTGTGTAGCTTTTGCTCAGATAAAACCACAGCACTTTGCCAGAGCAACCCAGCCTAAGTGTTGTCCCGCATCCTACTTATGGCTTCATGCGCCCAGGGTAGGTAGGATTCGAAGTCGTGGAGGAGTGAAAGTACGGTCGGTACACGTGCATGTGCAGTTGACTTTTGCGATGGGGACCTGACGGATAACCATTTCTGAGAATTTCTGAGCTCACCCGGTATGGCGACGAGTTTCCCGGGCGCTGGTGGTATGGCTTCATGCGGCCAGCCTCAGTGCCCTCGAACTCATCCATTATGGCTTCATGTGCCCAGGTGGAAGTCCGTCGACCGTGGCAGAGCAGAAGACAACAAAGGCGAGGAAATGGTGAGCGCACTTTCGTCCACAAGGGTTTTCGGTATTCGTCAGGCGGAAGTGGCAGCTCTAGAGAAAACAGGGGAGCATCATTCGATCATCAAGTGAGTACTATGCCCCATTTACAACAATGTCTGACGGCTTGAAGGCGAAACGAATCCACGACCGGATGAGGCAAGACCTGAGCAGGGTCGCAGGCGCCAGGAGGGTGGCACAATGATTACAGTCGATCGGTAAGCCACTAGGATCTCACCGCGTCTGGTGCCTTACTAACCACCGCTTCGACAAGATAAAGATCCAGACAGGATCGCAGGGGCTAGGATGGTGGCGAAACCATTCCCGTCGATCAGTAAGCTACTGGAAACCCCAAGCCTCTTTCCGTTACTGACTGTCGCATCAAAGGTCTGACTGCAGAGTCATCGATCGACGGCATACTGTCGAGAGAAAGGACTTTGGCAGTCGCTAAGATCAGGGCGAGCACGGTGCGGAATTTAAGTGGCTGCGGACCTCAAGACAGGACAAACGATTGGTGAAATTGGATGCACAAGGATATCAAACAAAGCAATAGCACACACTGTCTCGGATACAATGGAACTACAGTTGCCTGGACATTGAACAAATGATGGGAAAGAGAAAAGCCCTGAAGTCGCTTGAGATCATGATAAGCTTCGACGCCAAGTTCGCTCCTGCTGCCACTGCTCCTGCCCTGGGACATTGCGTATCTTCCGAGTCGGTGACCAACGTGCTTGATTACTTGGAAACACTCGTTCCCAGACTACAGAATGTGATACCAGCATGCCTACAAGATCATTGGAGCTTTCAAACCTGCATATACAGCCGTGACTAAGATGGTACGCAGCCAGTAGAATACGGTGGAACGGTGGGACGTGTGATGCACTTCTCCATTCCTGTGTCCTTACTCCAAGCAAGCTCTTCATGATGTCGACGCTATAGGTGAAACGAGGCCAGGAGACGAGCACGAAAATGATTTGTTGATCGGATCGAGAGACAACCATTCGAGACTGGAAGTCTCCTCAATCACAGGACGGCAGCCAGTCCGTTTTGGGAGCTATGGTCAAGCTCATCATCAGCACCCTCATTGGGGCGCTGGGTGGCTTCCAGCTACGAGGAGCTGTCAGTCGCTGGGCGAAGCAGTCATTCAAACGATTTCCTGGGTCTGGAGGGAGCGCGCACGGAACTCGAACGCGAAGCGGGCTCTGGGTAGCTGCAGCAGCCACGGGAGGCGCGACTGCCACAGCTCTAGCTCTGTCAGAACGGCCAAATCCTTTCGACTACCTCTCGTCTAACATCGGAGGTGCACACACCTCCTCGACGTGCTCCCTGAAATCGATGCGGTCCGCTGTGTACGACCTTTCACGGAGCAACCTCGAGGCAGCCAAGGACGACTTTGTCAAAATCCTAGGCGCCGACAGTGTTGATCTCGATCTAGGAGCACGAATCGCGCATTCTAGCACAGAATGGTCTGCTGCCCCACGAGGCGAGCTTGATCGCTACGCCATGATTGTCACTCCACGCACGACCGAGGAAGTCAGTGCGGTAGCGAAGATCTGTCATCGGCGAAGCATTCCAATGACTGCTTTCTCCGGCGGTACAAGTTTGGAAGGCACCTTGGCTGCTATTCATGGTGGTGTTTGCATTGACTTCAAACTAATGAACAGTATCGTTGCGGTACGAAAGGACGATCTTGATGCAACGGTGCAGCCAGGCGTGAGCTACGGCGAACTGAACCAGGTTATCGCCGAGCAGGGCCTGTATTTCCCACCGGATCCCGGTCCAGGTGCACAAATTGGTGGAATGATTGCTCAGGGGTGTAGTGGCACGAATGCATTCAGATACGGCACTATGAAAGACTGGGTACTTGGTTTGACGGTTGTGCTCGCTGACGGCACGGTTGTCAAGACAAGGGCTAGACCAAGAAAGTCAAGTTCCGGTTACGATCTTACGCGTATCATCGTCGGCTCAGAGGGCACACTTGGTTTTGTGACCGAGGCCAACTTGAAGCTTACCAGCAAGCCAGAGAATGAGCGTGTTGCAGTCGCAGCATTTCCGACCACGCAGCAGGCCGTTGAGACAGCAGTTAAAGTCGTCCAAAGCGACATGCCCGTGGCTGCCATGGAGTTACTTTGTGATGTGGCCATGAAGGCCGTCAACATGGGCGGCTACTGCGACAAGGAGTATGCTGAAGTTCCCACGCTCTTCTTCAAGTTCTCCGGCAAGGACGAGGCGGCCGTGCAGCGACAAATCGAAATTGTACAGCAATTTGCGAAGAACTCCAAGTGCAAGAACTTCGAGTTTTCCACATCAGATGCCGAGAAGGAGTCTATCTGGGCAGCCAGGAAATCCGTGCTGTGGAGTATGATGTCGTTAAAGAAGGATCCGAGCGATAGCTTTCTCAGTGCAGACACTGCCGTGCCGATATCGAAGATGGGAGAGGCGGTAGATGCGGCTAAAAGGAAAATAGCTGAAAGTGGGCTGATTGGGAACTGCTTGGGCCACGTGGGCGACGGCAACTTCCATACATCGGTCTTCTATTCAGCAGATGAGAAGCAGAAGGCGAGAGAGGTCATTACTTGGATCCAGCGCCTGGCAATCGAGATGGGCGGGACCATTACTGGAGAGCACGGAGTTGGGTTGGAGTACAGAGACATGGTTGTTGAAGAGCTAGGAGACGGAGGTGTCGACATGATGCGGCAGATCAAACTCGCACTCGACCCGCTGTGTTTGCTCAATCCGGACAAATTACTGAGACTCAATACCAAGGCCAATCCCGAGGTCTGACTGTCGCCAGGCAACACACCGACACTGAGGGACGGCCAGGTCTGACAAGGCCCGGTAGCACTGAACGATCCGACTGACCAGGACTCCAAACTCCCTGCTGATCGCAGAAGCAACATCGTTCGATACTCCAGCGTCACGCTTCGTCTCAGCACCATGACGGCGGCGTTGTCCAGTCTGGCTTCACCGCAACAACGTTTCCCGCCCCTTTGCGAAACAGCCACTTCGCTAAGCTAGCCTCCTACGGCCTTACGCTTACGGAGCTGTCGGTACTCTAGGATGTCCCAACGACGGCGGCTGCATCAGGCATTTTGGCCATCGTAGCGAACCCGCCGGCGAGCCACAACTATGTCCATTGTAGGCGGATCGCTATGTAAGGGCAGGTATGCACACAGGCCAGCGCCAGGGCTATGGGCTGTGAAAGAGAGCAGCTATGGTCATACGCTGATAACACGTGCTGAAGCAGTTGAGACGTGTGCCGCAAACGAGGGTTCTGATCCTCGCTTTGGAGGTTCAGGTCCCGAAGATTCTCGATGATGAGTTAGATAGATATACTGTTCATGTAGCGACCTACAAGGAATAGAAACCCACATTAGCGGCTGGCTATGCAACAGAGAGAGAAGTGAACTTGCGCGAGGAGAAGGCGCGGATCAAATGACACATGCTAAATGACCGGAGAACGACACGTCTCCCGTCCCTCGTCAAGTCTACGATTAACAGAGATAAACAATTCTCTCCTTAAAGTTCAGATCGGAGTGATCGAGACCTGCCTCCTTCGATGATCTGATCAAGGCAGGCGCAAATGGCGGACAATGTCATGAGCACTGGCCTGTCCTACTTTGGATGGGCCTTCCTGCCTGCGGTAAGTCTGCCTCTTTAGCGTCGAGCGCGCGTGCTGACTTGCGAAAGCAAGCGACGAGGATACTGCAGAGCCTCTACTATCGCACAACCATCACTGCCGGTAGACGCCACCCCCAGCCAGGCGAGCCGCTCTATGCATACCATCAGCGCCGAATCCGAATCATTGTTCTCTGCCTCTACCTGGTCTACACTGTTGCGCAAGCACTGTACGATATCGAGCTTGCCGGCGATTTCTATACTGCCTTGGGGGTGTCGCCAGATAGTTCAGAACGGGAGGTCAAGGCGAAGTTCAGGAAGCTTGCCGCAAGATTTCATCCGGACAAAGTGCGAGAGTCCGAGGTTGCTGAAGATGTATTCCTGCATCTCAAGCTAGCACAAGATACGATCCTTGATCCTGCGAAGAAGTTCGCTTACGATCGTTTCGGGCCTGCGGTCGTGCGGGTTCAAACGCCCGGGCTGAAGACAACCACAGACTACGTCTATCTGGGCTTGAAGACGAAGCTGCCGCAATATATTGGCAATGCCGCGATGCTCATCGTGCTGAACTACGTATGGTTAAGTCGATGGGGTCAGTTCTGGCGATACTTTGCTGTTGCGGTTATGGCTTTCCTGGAGCTGTACTTCCTTACTCACACCTGGAATCCGCCGTCGACCGTTGTCGGGCTCGGCACGTTGGCCCATGCGGCGCTTCCTCAGTTGCTCCCACCACATCTCTTACCGTTCCAGATTCTTTCTGTGGCTAGGCGTCTGTCTATGTCGCTAAACATATTTATTTCCCAGCTAGCACCACCTTCAGAAAAGAGCAAGGCGAACCCGAACCAGCACATCCTACAGCAACTCGAGCATCTTTCACAAGCGTCTGCAAGGGTCGATGGGGAGGCTAGCAACATGTTGGCGCTTCAGATGGCACCGTTCAAAGGCAGCGCAGAGGATACGCGAACTCTTCGTGACGGTATGAAGGAGAGCTTGGTCATGACCGCCGTAAGATCAAACCCCGACGTTCTACAGGCCGTGCAGGAGACTGTTGCAAGACGCAACAGAGAAAACGAACAGCAAAGGACCTTTACTGCGGAGGATTCTTGAACAACCACAGCAGCAAATTTCTGCAGAGGTTGCTGCACCAAGCTAGACACCGAGGCGCAGCATTTTGCCATTCCCGAATGTCTCAGTTGCGTGCGGTGCAACGTCATCAGCGATCAATAGCGTGAAAGGGAGCAGTGACCCGCGCCGAAAATGCGTCCGCACCCAAAACTGAACTCTGCACTGCTCACTCTCCAACTTCTGGCCAACTATGTGACAGCAGAGCGTATCCAAGCTGCCAAATTCGAGAGGAGAGTCTCGCACCAAGATTTCGGAAGACGCGCACAGGTATCAAGCGTTCAACGGTTTTATGCCCTCTTCGTGACTTGGCTCACAAATTCAAGACGCTTGCGTGGGCGCTAAACCCGTCTCAGTCCGGTACCTGAAGATCACTCTCGGTAGCCAGGGGTACCAATTTGGGGGCCTATCACGGCAGAAGCGATTTTCGGCTCTGCCGGCTGGTCTTCATGTTTCCTTTCTCCAGCTTTTGCATGTTTCGTTGTGCAACTTCGATCATTGTAGTCTCTGCTCGACACTGTCCCGTCCCCCGCCATCATGGCCGTTCGCCATAACCTCACCATTACCTTTGTGTTCAGTCTTTTGAGCGTGGTTCTAGGACAAGAGTCTGCATGGCTGACTCCCGATGGATCCCAGCCTAATTATACCACGGCGTTCTCCAACGCCGACCTGGTCACAGTCTCCTGGAATGCAATGACTGGAGGTCCCAGCGATCTGTGGATCAGCGCGGTAGACTCCAATTATGCCACACGTCTGGGGTCGAATATCGACATCACTCGAGCGGGAACCTATCCTTGGACAATAACGGTGGGAGATGAAGAAATCGACATAGACGACCGCTTTCTACTAGCTTTCATACCGACGGGAACATCGTATAAGAAAGAAGCTTCCACTCAGTACGATACAAGCCCAGCTTTCATACTGGTGAAGCAAGGCGAACCACTGCCATCGAATACATCGGCGACCAGCACCTCATCGACACCATCCAGCACTTCCAGCCCAACTTCGGACTCGACATCAGAGTCAAGCGCCATTCCTACTGAGGACTCGTCAGATCCATCGGACGACTCATCGTCCAGTCTCAGCGGCGGACTGATAGCTGCCATTGCCATCGGAGTTTTGCTGGCGGTAGTACTTATCCTAGGCCTGCTGTTGTGGGGTTTGAAACTTCGTCGCAAGGTCAAGGCTGCGAATAATATCCGTTCTTCCGGCATCATACCGGTATCGGGAGTCATTCCGGTGCGTCCGGGAGGAGGCAATGAGAAGCGCATCTCCGGCGTACATGAGACCAACGGTGATCAAGTGCAGCCTGTGGAATTGCCGGCCCGGCGCAAAACCGTTTACCACGAGATGTCTGGGTGAAGCGTCAGAGATGCAATGATATCTTGATCATCACCACGCAGACCGAGGCCGGTTACGTACAGGCCGGTTTCCGCCACTTTCTCGCCAAAAAAGGTTGACGAGTTGAGAGAATTGGATCACGGAAATTTACAACAAAGTCCACGAGATGTCTCACGAAATAGTGGCTCTTTTCGAGTTTCCCATCTGACAACTTCTCGAAGACTACAGAGGGATGGCGTCGGTGTCGTCGCCCACTAGAGCATCACGACGCTCCTCCGCTAGCATGACCAACGCCTCTGCGCTACACCTGCATGATATAACAAATTATACTAACATGTAATACAACTACACGCAACCCTGCAACTGGCGTTGGACGCGCATCAGAATGTGGGTTGCGCCGATTGGTCGAGATGCCGGCAACTGCTCCCCTCCAAGCCTCGGGAAATAGGAGTCGGCGCCGAGATGGACCGAGGCCAGGGCGCTCGCGACCCCTCTTTACTGAACAATAGTAGATCGCAATAATGCAACTGCTTGCAGCTGAGACGGCGATGTCAACAATGTGGCTGCCTATGGTGGGATAATAGCACCAGCAGGTTTATTGCTGATATTTTATTATTATATTGATTAAGCAGCAAAAGCTTGAAATACGATTATCCTTAGTCCACATTCGCACACGAATTGTATACTACATATCCTCACAGCCGTCAAGATGGCACCCATAGTCTATCGCAACACCGGCCCAGAGCCTTGGGTCGACATACCCAATCTCGACCTCTTGACCCTACTCTTCGGTAGCCTCGCCCTTTTGCCCGCCGGCATAACATAACCCTCCTGTTCCTCCTCCCTCTCTCTGACGGCGACTAACACCCCAACCAGACTCCGAACACGCCCCCTGGCCCCCCGAAACCGTGCTACACGTCGACGCCAAAGACCCGACCAACCAACTCACCAAAGCCAGCCTCTCGACCCTCACGCGCCGCATCGCCCACGGCCTGCGCACCAATTACGGCATCGGCGCCCACGGGGCCGGCCGCGACGTCGTCACCGTCATCTCGCACGGGCAGATCCTCGTGCCCGCGCTCTTCTTCGGCATCATCGCCGCGGGCGGCGTCTATAGCGCGGCGTCGCCGCACTCGACGCCCGCGGAGCTGGCGCGCCAGGTCACGCTGGGCCGCTCCGGGCTCGTCGTGTGCAGCGCTGAGTTTGTGGAGTTGTTGCGGCGGACGGCGCCTGAGTGCGGTAATGGTGGTGGCCTGCCGCTGCGGAATGTGCTGGTGCTGGATTCGGCGCCGGGCGCGTGGAGTCTGCGCAGCGTCGAGGGCGGCATCAATTGTATCTCGGCGCAGTTGCTGGATTGGGAGCGGGTCACGGATCCGGTGGCGCTGAAGGCGTCGCTGATTGTGATTCTGTGGTCGTCTGGCACGACGGGGCTGCCGAAGGGCGTGATGCTGAGCCACCTGAACCTCGTGGCGGAGACGTATATCACTGCGCTGTCGGGTCGGGCGTGGGGGGCGCGCCAGGTGGAGCTGGGGAACGAGCTGCCGCCGTACCGCACGCTGGCGCACTTGCCTATCAGCCACATTGCCGGTTTGTTTGGCTATCTGATCGGCCCGCAGTACTCCGGTGGGCTTGTGGTCTGGTTGCGCAAGTACAACTGGGTGGATTTCTACACGAGTGTGTCCAAGTTTGGTGTTACGGCGCTGTATACCGTCCCGAGCATCTTCTTGCGGATCGCGAAGAGCGAGGAGGTGAAAGACCATTTTCGTACGGTGGAGAGTGCGATCACAGGGGCGGCGCCAATGGACGGCGTGCTGCAGCGGGCGGCGAACGAGCGGTTGGGCCGGAAAGTGGGCGGGACTGGAAAGGAGGAGACGTATATCGGGCAGACTTGGGGATTGAGCGAGACGACCGGGGCGGTCACAGCGGTGCCGAAGGGGGAAGTCGACGAGAGCGGGTGTATTGGATTTGTGCTGCCGAATGTGGAGATCAGGTGAGTCGACGGTTCGCGCCACACAATATAGGCTGTGCTGATGATTGCAAAAGACAAATTGACGATGAGCTGCGAGACGTCAAGCCTGGAGAGCCAGGGCACATGGTTGTGCGATCGCCTCTGGTCACCAACGGCTATTTCGACAACCCCAAGGCGACTGAGGAAGCGTTCGTGCAGCTGCCGGACGACGACGGCGACAAGTGGTTCTGCACGGGCGATATTGCCGTGATAAGAGACGGCAAATTCTACATCGTCGACCGCATGAAGGAGCTACTCAAGTACAAGGGCCTGCAGGTGGCGCCGGCGGAGATCGAGAACATCCTCGCGAGCCACACCGGGGTCGCGGAAGCGGCCGTGGTCGGCATACCAGGGACGGAGGAGGGTGAGGTGGGTAGCGATCTGCCGAGGGCATACGTCGTGAGGAAGGACGAAAGTCTCACGGAGGGGCAATTGAAGGACTTTGTCAAGAGTCAACTGGCGTCCTACAAGCAGTTGAGGGGTGGGGTCGTGTTTATCGATGAGATACCGAAGAACGCGATCGGGAAGTATCTGAGGAGAGAGTTAAGAGAGAGGGCGAAGAAGGAGGTGGCAAGCCCAGGTAAAGCGAAGCTGTAGCATTGCTGTGCACTGTTGCGTTTGTATCAGGCAGTGAAACCTTGGCATCGAAGACATGCAGTAAATCTAGAGAACCAACTCTCCAATATCCAGTGTCATGACTCTTCTGAACCTTCATCAGTGATAGACATACCAGGAGAGATCCGCGTCATCGTCAAGTTCATAGTCAGTGAAGCCATTGCCCATAAACCTGAAGCGGTTGCGGCTCCGGTACCGGATTTCGAAGTCCTCCGGCCGAGGGTTCTCAATCATTTTCTGGAAAAGCAACGCGCTGCCTGCGAAAGTCGCCGTGACTCGTCCGTCTATACGGTTGTTCTTGTACCAAGATCGGCCTACTCAGGGTTTAGCAAGGCGATACGGACGATCGATGATCGATGTGTGCGTACTCACAGTTTGAGGTCCATGTAAACCGCTTCATGATCTCGTCACCGTACCGGACGAACTCATCGACGACGTCCTGACGAGGAGCAACAGATGCGATATCCTCCGCCAGCATCTTCCGCATCCACTTGATCATCCAGTCTGCCGCCCACTCCAGGCTGAAGATGAGGGAGCCGTGGCCAACCGTGGCATTTGGACCGGTGAAGATGAAGTAGTTGGGCATGTCTGGACATGCTACAGACTGGTAGAGGTCAATCAAGCAGCACCAGGGCTTCTTAGGAAGGACACTTACTATGTATGATTCCGGCTCGTCCTTCCACTTTTCTGCCAATTCCACTCCGTTGCGCCCCACAACTGGGAACGGCGGGCGTTGCGAAACATCGAAGCCTGTAGCGCACACAATCACGTCGAGCTCGTGGTGCACCCCATCTTTCGTCCATATACCCTTTCCATCAACCCGATCAATGTGGCTCATGGTCAACTTGACATTGTCTCGGGTGAAAGATTCGAGGTAGCCCGCCCCTGGAGTCACTCGACGACAACCCACTGGCCAGTCGGGGATGAGCTGTTTGCATAGTTCTGGATCATTGTTCAGCTTGTCCGACATCTGCTTGGTAGCGAACTCCTTGATCTCTTGCTGCGGCTTGGAGTCCTTGACAAAGATCCTGAAGCCCCGGTTGACGTTGCCGATAATGGTTTTCCGGTAATTCTTGAGCTCTTCCGGGTCCGTGAACTTCTGCTTGTCCTCTTCACGATACACGGGGTTAAGGCTCGGGTCATCGCTGCCTACCAGCTTGGCTGGCGTGTGTCGGGACACGATCCAAGTGGGTGTCCGCTGGAAGGACGTGACTTGTGTGCCTGGTAGCTGAGCCATTTGTGGTAGAATTTGAATGGCGCTGCTGCCATTGCCAATGACACCAATCCTCTTGTTGCTATAATCGAAATTGTGATCCCAGCCGGCGCTATGCACCTTGTGGCCGCTGAAATCGTGGAGGCCAGGGATACTGGGCCATCTCCAATGGCTCAGTATACCGCGTGCCGAGATAAGGACATCTGCCCATTCCGTCCTTGGGCCAGTGTCTTCGTGCCGGACTTCGATTCGCCATTTGGCTTGCTCTTCATCCCAGTACGTGGCCTCGACTTTCGTGTTGTATTGGACATCGCGATCTAGGTTCCACTCCTTGACCGTCCGCTGGAAGTAGTCCCGAATTTCCGTGCCCGTGGAATAGAAGTGCGACCATTCTGGAGACGGGGCAAACGGGAAGGCGTAGATATGGCTTGGTACATCACACTGCACCCCAGGATATACGTTCGCTACCCATGTGCCCCCCGCTTCGGACTTGCTCTCGAAAATGGTGTGATCAATCAAATCAGCGAGCTCCTTGGCGTAGGTGTACTGAAGGCGATGCGCAAATATCATGCCAGAGTAGCCCGCTCCGATCGTGACGACCCGCAGCTTGCGTTGAGGAGTGAAGGCTGGATTGTCGAGGACTGGTATCTTAATGGCCGCAAAGGGGTCTTCGTGGTGAACGCCGTTGGTCAACGTGCCGTTCGGTACTTCTCCATCTAAAGGAACGCCGTCAGGATGCGCAGTGCTGGATCCATTTAGTGTGGTGCGCGCAACGTCGGTCATGTTGGGAAATTCTAGACACTATGCTATCTAGGGATCGTTGACAAGTGTTGACATCTCTGTTCAGCAGGACATTGCATGTTTGTGGCAACTTCATTGCAACTCCAAACAACGTGCCGAGAGCCGATCTGATACCCCAGACTGCATACTACTGTTGGTGCCGATGCGGGGAGAAGTGATCAGTATAAACCCTCCGAGTTGGAGAAAGTGCCTCTTAGAATGCTGACGACGTCTTCCCCTCTAGTGCCAAGACTGTCGATGCTTCGGGAAGGAACATATAAGGCCGAGAATGTATCTGCGGGCGTGTGTATACGAGCCTTTATGCAAATTAGTGGACCTGCTACTACAACGCGAGTCTGAAGCGCACACAATCTACGTTTGCGGTCAGGATAGACTGTGTTCTCCATCCAAAGCCCCACATACAGGCAGTGAATGAAAGTTTATTCGGCTTTCCGGGTCCACACCAACCTTGAGAGGCTTAGCCCTTTGTCATTTGCCAGAAGAGCCTGCAATACCATTGCATCCGCGCACTAAAGCGAGCGGACCGTTGATAGCATGGAATGGTCTCCAAGATGAACGGCTTTCTGAGCATGTCTCGGGTGTCGGTGGACTGGCGGAGAATGTACGGATATATGGCAAAAGCGAGATGCATCACTGCCACGTGAAAGATGTTTTTACTCATTCATGACGTTTTGGTGAACAACCCTGATCAGTAAGGTGACAGATTCGACTTGCGGTGAGCAAACTGATGCCAGGAACAAGGTTCCCCAGCTCGAGCACACACGAGTGTTTCCTGCAAACGCCAATTAGACATTAAGCGTATCAACATGGTCGAGCAAGCATGGAACCGAAACATTGTTATACAGCCCTCCCAAGCTCCTAGTGGAGATACACATCAGGGGTTGCTAACCCCCCGTATCTGCGATGTAAGCCAATCCTCTCCTGCTGAGGTACCGTGTTCCCCGCGGTGCCTGGCCACGTTGCAATCCTGTCCCCGCACATTCTATGTTACACTATTGTATTGCCTCACATTCGCTTTTTGTTGTCGTGACTCCCAAAACAAGAACATAGTGTACAATTGCCGAACAAAACGACTGACACCGAGAAATACTGAGCGCCGCCTCACTTCCTAAGTCCAAAAAGAAACGGTAGATGGTCAAGTCCAGTACGTGATACAGAATGCACTGCATTTTGTGGCACGATCTCGCGCGCCTTTGACCTGCTGCTAATTGATGCAGGGCTCGGCAGTTTGGTTGCCAATGGAGACGAATCATAGCATCAGCAACGAATGATGGATACCCTTGCGAATGGCCTGGCTTATGCATTGGATTGGGGAATCAGGTTTGTCCTCTCGTGCCTGTGGTGTGTGAAGTGAAGCGCAACTTGATGATCTCCTCGCCCAACCATACTGAACAAGTGGCGCCTGTTGCGGCTGGGCTTGCCAAACACTGCAAATCGCGTCTTTGCCACTGTCCCCGAAGAGGTTGACGAATGAGATGCTTGATGTCCCTGATCCAAGCTATCATGGCGTGAGAGTGCTCAAGTTGGCCGGCTATGGTTGCTCACCGACACTTGAGGTGTAGTTCACGATTTTGGACCGAAGGATGTTGAGCTTCTATCCCGTCATCAGCAAACATACGTTGCTCTCAACATCTCAGGTGCTCCCTGCACTAGATCCAAGTCGAGCGTCGCTCATTTACCCGTGAGATCTGTCGTTGGCAGTGGACGGAAACCACGTATTCGGGCAGAGCACGAAAAGAGCCAGGGGCGCCTTGTAGACAAGCTGCCAGACGTGAACGGCGCGACATATACCACTGACTACAGCTGCAACTTGTGGGCTACCGTTCCAGGGCTGTCTCTTAGTCGTGGTTGTAGTTCCTCGTAGCTGGGTCAATGATTGATAGGTTGTCTCCAGAAAATGATCCTGAGAACCGCGAGGGCACTGAAGCGGACGACCAGGCAGGGCTAGATGGCTCGTGAGGCTGTAAAGCATCGGCAACTGGAGGAAAATCCCGAGATTGCTCCATTTCGTCTTGCAAGATCTTGAGCTTTCCAATATGAGCTTCAATCTTTCGATCGAGATCTTCCAGGACACTCTGGTCGTCATTGTAGAGAGCCCGGCCCTCTCCAGCACGGGCTCGAGCGTCTTCTTCATAGCGGTTTCGCTGGTGACGATACAGCAAGATTTGATCCTCGAGGTCGTGGATTTGTGCTTGCTTACTGAGAAGCTCCAACGCGGTCGGTCCCAGTTCTTCCTCGAATTCAACCACGGATGACGCGTCGCTCGTGCTGGTATCCCCACGAAAATCGAGCTGATATTTGGCGAGCATCATGGGCATTCTTTTCTGCATTCTAGAAAGTACGCGTGGGGCCGCCCGCAGCATGGTGTCTGCTTCTCGGAGAAGTTCCTCGTCGAGTTGTTCTAGTCTGGATTCTATGGCCTCCAACGACATCGAAGGCGGTGAAGATTCAGATCCGGATTGGGCGCGACTGCGAGGTGAATTTGGAACGCTGTCCATCTGTCGTTCAGATTGGTATTCTCGCTGCAGCCTGCGCACTTTGATACACGCACGTCTCAGCTGGGTTACTTCGCTCAGCACGGTCGTCATGGTTCTATGTTTCGCAAGAAAAGCGTTCCACATCCACAGAGCTTCCTCAACTGGTGATCTTTCGTGGGTTGCAGGGTGTTCGGGTTCAGATGCAGGAGCTACTGGCTCACTTTGTGATGCACCAGACATGGGCGCAGCCCGTTGCTGATCTGCAGAACCTGGACTCGGCAGAACAGAGGGCGTTGCATCCGTACCGCGCGCGTCGGAAGGACTTCGTCGAGATGGATCCTGGCTTGCGGCAGACGTTTGCAGTGCCTCGGCGTTCTCAGTAGACGAATGAGCATCAGATGCATTGCCCATTGAAGCCGTGTCCATCGTCGTTGCAAGCGCGGGATCGAGCTTCGTCTCTGGTGGAATGTGGATAGCCTTGTTGACAGAACTGCTCCTGCTGTGGCCGCCACCTTGCTGAACACTATCCTGTGAAGCTCCGCAGCCTGCTAGCGCTTCACCCAAAAGGAGATCTGTGCAGACTGCCGCACTACACGAGATGATATTAGGGTACACGAGTGATCGCAGCTGGAAACGGACGAAGAACTTACCCTTCGGGGGACTTTTCCGCGCTTGCATTGCTTCTCCACAGATAGCTGAAGACATCCATCATTCATCGCTAAGCTACGCAGATCGCTCTGTAATACTAAATCAAGTGCCTCTGAGACCATTGGGTCGCTGTTGACGGCAGAAGATCACAAATCGAAGTCACTGCTGTCCAATTTCAGAGCGTAGAATGGTCCTTGCAATCAGGCTAGCACATTCGGTTAGAGCAGTTGATCGGGGCTAGGAGGCGGGAAATGATGCAGCCGCGCGCATGCCGCAGTCTCCCGTGAAAGCGCCAAGCAGGCCATCCTGGTGGCTAAACGAGCCATAGCACTGTGGGTTGGCCACTAGCGTCTGCCTACCGCATCGTGGGGAGGACCTGGCGCTGCGCAATGAACAGTCATTTGAAGGCCCATTGTCTGTATTGCAGCCGTACTGCTCTTGGTGCGGAGTATCATCATCATGGTTAGTGCCCCACTGTCAACGCTTCCCGTAGGTTGTGGCTACCAGCCTACTGCAGCCTCCAGCAGGCCCTCGTCTACACTGGCCATGCTAATCGACAGGGAGTAATGGCATCCCCGCGTCTGCACAGTGCAGGATAGCAGCATACTCCGTATGCCCCACGGACCTACAGGGGTAGCCGATGGACGCCCATCTTCAGGTATCTCATTGCTAATTACGCGCCTAACTTGCCGCCGAAAAGTTGATGACCTTTTCATTCGACGCCCAGCACTTCGCCAGACAGAGCTGGTCAAGAACATACTGTATTGGCCTTCTCAGAAATCTCAGAGCTTCGACCTGTCGCCGAGCCGCCTGATGTCGCCGCCCGCCCAACATCCGCGACATCTCTATCCTTGCGGTGAAGACTGTGCCTTGCATTTCTAGGAGTCATGAGTCGGCATAGGGAAGACACGCACCCACGCAGAAGTGATCGGGATCTCGTGCCAGAGTTCGAGCAGCCGAGAACACGCGCTGAACCGCGCACGATACCAATCCGGATCGATGATCGCTCACCAGCAGTAATATCGGACAGGCATCGGGGTTCCAGTGACATCCATGACACCCCGTACGAAGACCGGGACCGTGGCTACGAGGCTGTATCTGGACCGCGCCTCAACTCAGCTCAGACTCCCACCAGCAGGCAGTGAGTACTCGGATACGTGAGACTGGCTCCCCTCTTTGCTGACAGGTGACAAGCATGACGTTGGCTTCGAGCGTTCCGAGCACTACTCCAATATCTCGCAGTGGTCGGAGAATGAGCTTCCGGGAGGAAGGCTTGACGCGACGACTCGACGGGACAATCTTCCCATCGAGGGAAACTACGGCGGTTAGACAGTCAGTGCTTTCAGTACCATTACCCGGTCTACTTGCTGACAACATATGACAGCATCGCGACTGAACCGCACAATAATATATCAAGCGCTACTCAGCAGACCTCACGCTCGCAAAGTGTGCTCACTGCTCTACAGCAACATTTCGTTCAGCTAAGCCCGACCTCCAACCGGCGCGATTGGGATCGCTTCACTGATCGACATTCGAATCTGTTCGCGGAACCCGAGGACGCCGATCTGTACTTCACGGAGGCTGTCATCGCATTGCAGAATAGAGATCCGGCTCGAACGGGTCTGTGCGTCGAGAAAGCCGTCTTTCTTGACCTTTTGGGCGGCAGATCGCAAAAGTACCAAGACAAGTTCTTCGACGACTATCGCGACGAAGACACTGCTGCCTGTGAGAAGTATCGAGAAAGATTCCAGGACTATTCACGGCGCTGCCGTGACGAGGTAGCTGCGACGCGTAGACCAGCAACTACTCAGCTTGGCTCAACACCCCAGCCCCCAGCCTCTATGCCACTTGGACCAAGTCCCACTGTAAACCCTTCGGATCAAAAGGGAAGGCACGACACGCTGCATAACCCCAATCAAGATCTCAACTCGTATAGTCAGAGTCCACCGAGCTCTAACCAACGACCCAATACGATGTCCCGTCCGACATTGGCGCAGCCCACAATGCAACGACTGGATCCTGCCCGCCATGAACGATCGGTACAGCAGCATGGCGGGCCCCCCATCACCATAAAAGATCCGGCCAGCACCAATCTCAAGCCCTCGATCAAGGGCAATTCCAAGAACGCTGAGAGCGAAACGTTGGATGCGCGCTATATTCGACGAGACCCCAAGCGAGCGGGAGCCTTCTTCAAACGTGGCCGTGTCTTTGCGATTCTCGAGCATAGTGAGCATGGTAATCCAAATGATGATGACACTGGCACAGAAGCTAAATGGATTACCAAGAAGATGGGGTTAACCGTGTTCAGTCACATTCGTCGGTATGTGGTTGTAAGAGAAGGCCACGGCTATTGCTGGGCGGTCCCAATCAACACGTATGGCGGCCACGGCGTTGGGAAGAGGGGCTTGAACGAGGCGAACATCCAAGCCCACGCCATCATCTACACCAGCGAGCGTCCGCCGCCGCAGCTGCGGAGCGAGCCAACTATGAACAAGACTCCCATTGCTGTGGATCAAGGTGGCGATGCTGACCCTCTGTCCCCCGCGAGCCGGGTGAATTTCCAGAAGGTCACGACCATCGAGCACAATGTTCGCGCTCGTAGCTTCGGGCGCGTCCGCGACAGCTCAATGGCTCATTTCGAAAGCTACTGGAGGCAGCACCTGATGGCGTAACATATTTTGCGTGGCGAAAATATACATTGGGTTAAGCCCGACTTCCCTCGATCGACGTTGTCTACGAAAGGGGGAAAGAACGTTGCCCGAAAGGGCTTTCATGATATTCCGAACAACCTCAGCTCCGGAATCGTTCAGAGACTCGCGCCAGCCTCCCTTGAGATTACGATTCTGTGCTATCTGCGAAAGAAGAGTCGCCACGATTTCGCCTCCCACTGCTACGCCATGGACGATACGAAAGAAAACACTTTCTATGATCACGACCATCTCCAACAACGTCAATGACTTTTCCTTGGTTACAAATGTGCACAAAGTACTCTTCATGGGAGCATCATTCACGAATAATGCCTACGAATCTGGCGCAGGAGCTTCTTGAGCATTGGCTTCTCTTCTGACGACATCGTGGACCTTCCTTATGAGTTGAATGCGACCACCATGTGGTTCGTTTGCCACTTGCTTTTATCTTTACGACTTATGTACGGACGCCGAACCCTGCTGCTTTCAGATGAGCTGACTGTTCACCGACTGGCGAGCCAGCCGCCGCATTCATTGTTCCAGACCTGTAGTTATGAGCGCCAAGCGCAAGCTCAATAATGACCATTTCTTTTATTTTGCGTCCTGTCCTTACCATGCCTTGCTCACGGCTTCAAACGCCACTGTAAAACGCAGATCGTCGTACATGTGCTGCGTACCAACAATCACCCTTCGCGATCTTCCCAGGGTGATTTGCAGTTTTTCCAAGTAAATACTATTCGAAAGTCTCCACCATCCCGCCTCGGGCCGTCTTTCGCTCCACCCCCAAAATGCCCCTTTGGGAAAGGTCGCTGCCTCGCTGCACATCGCCCAAAGCCGTTGACACCAAATGGGTACTGCGCAGGTCATGACAACGTAATTCCAGGTTTTCGTTGCGTGTGCCTTTTGCATTTTGATCAAGCGAAGGGGTGCAGATGTGACGACGATCACGGCGGCTCCACCAGTTCATGTCAGGAATTTTGGCTGCAGCGTGCACGTGGCACGTAGCAAGGGATCTCAGATGGCAGAGAGGTAAATGTCCGTGATATTGCGTTTCAGGCTGGCTAGGCTGGCTAGGCTAAGCTGCTGATACGGGTGTGCCGTGCATAAGATGAAGGTCTGTAGTCGAAGCCATATCTCTCTTACACAAATGCCAGCCTGTAGAACCGTGTGTTTCCAACGGCGTGCCTCATCGTCTGTTCAACGACGGAAGAGCAAGCTTACCTGCATGCATCTCATGCTCGAATTGTATCACTGTCTCTGCTCCGGAACCCTTGGCCCCTGCATACAGACAAGCACAGTAGCGCATAAGCGATCCGTAGCCTCATGCAAGCAGCCATGACATCCGCACAGCTCGATGGTACCTCCACACCGCTGCCGATCCACACCTATCCCAACAAAACACATCAGATCGCTGGGTCGTGCATAAGCGACGTCCCAATAAATCGCAAATCGAGGGGCGAAATCTGAGATATGATGCATCAGGAATGACGTGCATAACGCAAGGGGAGCGGTACCTCTCATTCGCACTCTTTCCACGGCAGGAGAAACAAGGCAACCGCTCCACCCCCGCCCCTCACGCTGCGGTGTCCGCAAGTGGTTCGCTAACTTTGGGAAGAGATCCAGTTTGCCTCGTATCTGGGCCCACTCAACGCTCGCTTCCCTCCCCGGATCGACGTGCGTACCTGTCACTCAGCCGAATTTACCACATATGGGGTATACGCTACGGAGAAGTGATGAACACAGTTGCGCGTAATAGGTCTCCACGAAAAGGACAAAGCAGGAAGCAAGAAACCCACGGCCTTCGGCGCTCAATAAGCTGACGCTGTAACAATCGTATCGTAAAGCGCAGTATATCCAACACTAGGAATGTCAACGTCTGTGTCATAGTCGCCGATTAATCAACAGGCCAGGAAGCTGTCGTGGCGAATGTGATAAGCAACCTGGACACCAACCAGGGCAGGCTGGCACAACGTACTTCATAAGGTGGCGGAGCTCGGATATGTCACACGATTTGCCGCATTTGGATGGTATCAGAGGCCAAAAGCGCAGGGTCTGGTGTTAGGTCTGAGACATTTCTTTACGACTTCCAACAAGTAAGGGGCTGGCAAGCAGACCTCAGGGGGGGCTCGCGTCCCGATAAATTACGGGGATAACGTGATACTGAGTTCTGTAACGGGTAGAATTGGTGAATGCGGCCCAGGAAGCCTGGAGGAGGCAACCGGGGACTTCCCGATTCCAGGACCACTTGGCGCCCCGTACTCTGAGCTTATTGGGGCGTCGGCGGAAGCCGGGGCATCGCTCAGCCGGGGCGTGCCGCTGATGTAGGCCACAGAGCACAGTGTGCTGATGAATGGTCACGGACAGATGATTGGAGTGCATCAAATACGTGGGAGGTTATTTGGGATTGGTTGGTGCGAATCACCAATGCCACAAGCTGGAGGATAAATAACGCCCATAATTCGCAGTCTCATGAGGCTGGCGCAAAGCCAGCCTGACCAAGACGTATATCACAGCTGGGTCACGGGTGATCTTTCGGTCCAGGCTGCGAATGATGAAGGTCAAAGCTGCTGTTACACGGACAGCCACGCCTACACAAGGCGCTAGACTTGGTGCGGGACGGAAGGCAGTGGTGTCGTCAACAAGCTGGGCCCTCGTAAAGGAGGGTTGCACAGCAGGCGCGAAGCGGCCTGAGAAGAGAAACAATCCTGCTGAAAGGCAGTTCTGGCCTGCAGATAGGCTGTGTGCCACGGAAACATGTTGCCCAGGGTGTAAAGGTGTCAGCAGCTTGTTGGAGGTCTTGTACGGGCTATACGAGGCCAGGCAGTGAAATCCTTGGCGTTTTCGATCATATGCATACTCCGATCCGTGGCTCGTGGTGCACGTAGGGCGAATGCCATCCCCTTGATGACAGAGTCATATAGCAGATGATCGACAGTGATTGGTATCTGAACTACTGCCAAGAGTCTCGGAGTCGGCGTCTGGAGGAATGTTTGTTGCCAGAATGCATCCGATGGCTGGATGATCTACTCAATCGTTGTATAGAACACGGCAAGAAGCAGCAGCGTGGGGCATTCTCTGAGATTGGCAAAAGTGCACAAGTTTTAGCGAGAGAACTTCCGGACTACTGCATTGGAGTTATGGTGTAGAGTTAATGCTCAAGCGCTGGACTACTCAGGCAGTGAATGCCGATCCGACGTGGAAATGGCAAGGATCAGTTTTTCGGAAAGTCGCTGAAACCCGTCAATAAGCGGAAGGCACTGGGTAAGTTGACATGTCAAAGCAAGTCTTGCAGTTGCAGCTGAGATGTAGCTGAATAAAATGAATGATAGACGGCGGTAGATTGGTGCTCCTTCCGGCAAAGATGGCTAAATTGCCACTTCAAGTTTGCGAGTTCTGGGATGCCTGTAATTCTACCGGGCACTGGCCTTTGCGCCGCAGATTTAAGAGCATTGCCGGCGTAGCATCCAAGATAGGTTCCGCAGAGCCTCATCAACCCACCATGAGACAGTGGCGCGCACATGCCAGAGTGCTACGGACCCGTGGCAGATCGGAACTGGCCTGACTGATGCAGGTAGTCCACGAGCCAGCCAATTAACAGTGGCAGAATTGCCGCTTCTGCTTTCCACGAACAATCCAGAGGTCAGGTGCGCACCTAGTCGTCGTCTACGACCCCAAGCATCGGCATGCCACCGCCAATAGAATCGGTCTACAGGCTTTCAGCTGTAGAGCTTCGCGGGCCGCTTGATGCGGAATCCCTGGCGACATGCGCATCATCAAGCCAGCAAGCGTCGCTGCCGTGTTGTACACTGTTGGTAATTTTCCGTACTCTTAGGATTAGCATGGGAAATGACAGAAGCGAGAACAGATGTTAGCGAGGTAGAGCGAGGGTAAGTCTGCGACGCGGCTTCAGCACAGTGGCAGAACTGTGAGGGGCGCGGAAAATAGCTTGATACGAGCAAGTTCGCTCCCCCCCACGTTGGGCCACGAGTCTTATGGCACTGGGCGTCAGTAAGAGGCGTCCCAACAGTTGGAGCCTTTGTTCTTCGGAAGCGAGTCCTTAACCAGTGTGTGCACTCATAATCAGGCAGATCTCGCAAGAGTTCTGCAACATTAACACTTGTCATTGGACTTTCAATTCCTGGGGAAAGCCCAAGGTGATGCAACCAGTGCCAGGAAATAAAGATGGGCGACGTCCAATGCCTTTTAGATACATTTGCTGCATCTCCACGGCTTGATTATGGTTGAAACATGATGGAGGTCATCTCAAACTTCGGTCTGGGGTTGTGTCAACGGAGGCCAAGGATGGATGCAAGGGAATGCCCTGTGGCGCCGTTGTCGAGCGCAAGGGTATGCATCCAAGTCAGCGATGTGAAACTCAGAGCGAGCTCTTGGAAGCACGGCCGAAGCCTCCTTAAAGATCGTAGATTGGGTACAATCAAGTAGATATTCCCGTCAAGCGCCAATGGATGCTAGACGTTCGCAAATTTCCCTGCGCTGTTCATCCAGCTTGTCCAGAAAGTCCAAGGTGCCTGACCCAGGCACGACCGCTCGATTGCCTCGATCAGCTGACCGTGACGATGACTGAAAGATGGTAGCTCGTGATCAATTGGCTTTTATCGTGGTAGGTCCAGAGTAGGTTCTGCGCCTCGGGATCGAGACCATCGTCAACATCCTTGGGTGTATTTCTCTGACTGTCCGGCTAGTCTCCCCGGTGGTCAAGCTGTTCTCGTGGAATTTGCAAGTGCCGTAATGTACTGTCGTGCTCAAAGATGCTAGGCGGAAATTTCAGCAACTTCGCTTCCTCTTCGGCGAGGGCTTCTTCATTCTGTATGAAAGATGGTTTGGCTGCATCAAAAAGATCCCAAATGCACCTCGAGATTTTCCGCTGCCTAGACCATTGTTCGCGTCCTGTAGTGGTATGCTCTCACATCCTTCCCGAAGACGCTTCTTCAGGGCATTCGCTGCTGACGAAGCTTGCGCTTTCGCTCCGCAGCCGTGCCACGCAATGGCGATATTTCAGGCCCGAGGAGGAAAGTTCTCGACTGTAGCTTTGCGACACCGAGCGGCGCTCGTGAGGAAAGGATGCCGTCGTTTGCACGTGAAGCGGGCCCGGGACACGGCGGGAGAGAACCGTAACGAAGAGCTCGGGTCGCTCTTGTGTCGGCCTTGCGTGACTATAATTGCAGCCGCCTAATGAGACGAACATTCTCGCCTTGAAGGGTCGGTGCCCCTGCGGAGATATTCGTTAATTATCATAATTTCAAGATCGCTCACGCTGGATGGCATTAAGTATTCGCAGCAGGTAGTCAACACGCATGCAGCAATACTAGCGGCGGAATTGATAGCGTTCGAAAGACGAGGCAATCGGAGCGACCTATGTATGTTCAATAGTATGTCTGGTCTACTAGCATACACTCACAGGGGAGTACAACACTTGAAGTGGTCCAGGTGGTGGCGGCCTCGCAGATGCGTTGAACGCTAGGACATTAGGAAGCGTATCTCCGGGCTGCTGGCGAAGTCTCCGAGATTGCGTCAAGCTGTAGGTGTCGCGTCTGTCATTCTCTTTGATAACCATCGAAGCACAGCCATTCAAGCTCTTGTCTGTGCCGGTTGCAATCTGTCTTTCCACCTCGGCCCATAGATGCTCACAGTCATCCTTGCTTACGGGTTGTGGGGTTTGTGGTAAAGGCAATCGAAGCCTACAACCAGTGTATATTTGCGCAGCATTCAAAGCTATGGCCTTCTACCCCTTCCTGGACTGTAGAATCATTATTGATGTCTCCACACGAGTGTCCTGAGACTCGTGATCGTCAGAGCCTTGACTCCTGCCAGACATCGACGATGCCTGTCACTGCCGAGATGATGGTAAAGATGGCAGTGACAACGAAGCTCACGATGGCGACTACCAGACCTACCCACTGATATTTCCTTCTGCGATCAAACCACCACTGCTTCAGACGCCGAGGCTCCGATCGGTCGTAGTTGCGCCAAATGACTCTAAGCTTGTCTCCAAAGTATGGGTAATTCTCGAGCCTTCTCTCCAGCAACTCATCGCGCAGCCCTACCTCAAGGTCTACCTCGTGCTTCTGCTCGATTCTCCTTGTTCGTCGACGCGTCCTGACACCCTCTACCGGGAAGAACAGGCGGATCGACAATGCTAACTCCTCCAAAAAACCCCTTGGGTAGATGTCGCTGCAGCACAGTCAATGGCTCTGTACCCTGAAAAGGATCTTCCCGGTCACGTACCTGTATTTCAGGGCCAAGAGTCGTTGGACAGCCCCCGTGTGCCGGAAGAACTTGATGCGGTCTCCCACCATGTTCAAGTGTTCGCCCATGTCACTCGTCCATTCAAAACTAAACCCAGCCACTCGTTGAAGTGTCTTGGCCGAGAAGTCATCGGGTAGCTCATCTACATCCAGCCTTCCTATTTTGGGCAGGCTGTCTCTAACGAGCTGTGTGATTGTCTCGTGGCAATTTTCTGTATTGACAACAGTGAAAAGCCACAGCCTGACCGCCCCAATCACTGCCCTGTCTGCGTCCTCATGACTCTTTATTTCCAAATCGTTCCAGGTTGACTTCTCTTGGCAAATGATTTGTCTGACCTCACTCAGCTTGAGCTCACTATGCTTCTTGACGATATTGACTAGCGTTATCGCCTCGGAAGTCTTCTCGGGCAGCTCGTCTGCTAGATAGCAATTTAGGAAATGTGCAGAGTATGATTTCGAGGCGCTATGTCGGCCCAATGCGGAGAACTTGTTAACATCGAGATCCCATACCTGTTTGAGCAAGTTCACAAGCTTCAGGTCTATGCTGGCATCGTCAGGGCGGTTGCGTGAACGCCACGGAGAATAGAGGAACCGTTTCATAACGAAGGCAGGATTGGCATGAGGTCTGAGGGACAGCTGATCAAGGGAAGCAGTTCAGCCTGATAGATACCTGGCCGCAGAGCCAAAAACGCCCAGGCTTGCGGCTGGTTGATATGCAGTCGCCTTCGCGGAATCCGCCCACGCTAGACCTTCTCGGACGATCACGCTGCGCCGCCATTATTTATGCGATCCAAAGATAGCCTTATGGAAAACTTACGGCCAGATGTCTCCCATCCATCCTCGAAAACAGGACCCGTCTTTCTCAGGCGTTGGAAACACAGCCGCCGGTCTTATGAGCCAAATCACCACCAACACGACCACGCAACTGCGCTGTGCGGCTATGGACGAACCAGGGCGTTTCCATAACTGGGGTCTTCTAACACCTGATCAGCGTGATGGCTATGTGGAGGCAAGTTGTACTTCCTCGTTCGCGCAAATAGAAAAGTGGCCGTGTCATGGCGAGAAGTGGACGCATGCCTGGCGTCCCGCTGGTCATCTGAAAACGCAATGGGTGGAAGTGTACCTGAGAGCGTGCAAAGCTGTATTCAATTGCCAGGAGAACAGCAGATACCTCGCCGAAAAGTGTGACTTCCGGAAAAATCGACAATTCCCCATGAAACTCAGTCTCTATCTGCTTGCGACAGCTGCTGACCGACACCAAGCGGTACCGGTCGTGGTGTTCGAGCACCCAGATGCTGGTTATATCCGAGCCGCAAGAAAGTTGGTGGAAGAGCAGAAGTGCCTTCATGGCTTGGACTGCCAACTCGCGGGGCGCTTGCGCAAGATTACGCTGAGTACAAAGGGTGCAAGGGACACGGACCAGACAACAAGACACGACCGAGTGCCGCCTCTGGACTCTCGCCATCTCCCTGAGCGCACAGGGAGCATCGACGAGCAGGCGGGATCTGAACGCCAAGTTAGCCAACGGCCGCCACCGTCACCTTACATATACGAACACGATGAACGTATCCCAAGATCATACCAGACCGTTGGTACAGTGAAAAACCCTGCTGCTATCTTCGCCACAGGAGCTCCAGACAGGGCACCGTAAGTCAATAACTCCATTCACTGCCCATAAACTCACTTCTGCGTGCAGGTCGAGTGTGTCGGCGTCTACTTATCGAACCTACACAGAGCAGGACGATTATCTTCCTGCTCTGCCACAAAGCGCTCAGGATTTCCTCTCCAACGTTCCTCTTGGTCAGTATGGGCAGTGCCTGTCGTATGTGACTAACCACCAGGGGGCTGTCGTGCAATCCTTACATATACCACTCTACTTAGATGAAGCAGTTACTGCAATTTCCAGGGGCGATGATAATTACGCCAAGAATTGCATTGAGAAGGCTCTCATCGTCGAAGATTGCTGCAAATATCGAAATACCAAGGACAGACTCAGCTACTTTCAAAAGCTTAAAGACAAAAACGAAAAGTTCATGGCCGTGTTTCTCCAGCGACTCCAGCAGAAGTGGACTCAGTGCGAGCAACGGCAGCGCGACAAAGGAAAGCAGAAACGTCCAGACCCCCGAAGTGTAAATCGCCCTTATCCCCCACGCCATGCTGGTGTGCCAGGCGATCCAGGTTATGGTCCCGTGAACTATACCTCAGCTAGCCGCGAATCGTTAGTCAGCAGACCTGAGAGGCAAGCAGCGATACCACGTGGCCAGTCAAAGGTTTCTCATACCAAGTCTGAGTTGAGAGCGCCTCCTCAGTCAAAGGTTCCTCGGTCCGAAGGAAGCCTGATTCCTGGAAGAATGTTGGGCAGAGTAAGGGTGGACCGAGTACCACAAGAAGTTTGGACAACATTTGGAGGCTTGATAATTGTTCACCGCTCGCTATATCTGTTGACAGTGGCGCACGCTTTTGTAGATTTAAGTTCGGTACATTCGTCCTCTGGCAAGTACCAGGACGCGGATGAAGCCCGCAGCATCTCCAGCGCACCGAGTTCCGGCCTAGTGTCTGATGGTCAACCTCAGAAAGCAAAGATTGTTTTAAGTCAACCACTCGGATCATCGATTGAAAAAAGGCCCATTGAATTGGACTTTCGCCCAGTCGACCCCATCAGCCACAAAAGCCTCAGCAGTATCTCGCTCGACTGGGCTTTGTTGGAAGTCGAGCCCACCGAGGCAGATGGAATAGCCCAAAGTTACTCTGGAACCCAGGAGCGTGTAGATTCGGTCTACTCGGATCTTATACCACCACAGAGACCTGTGACAGTATTCGGGGGAATGAGCGGTATCGTACAGGGCCGGCTCGAAGGAGATGTCTCAGTACTTGTTCTCCCGTGGCTTGGCTCAGCAATGACGGTGTGGGTTGTCGATTGTCAGACCAGTAGGTCATCCTTCGCTTTTCTGCCATGCAGTGCTAACATACTCGAAGCTAAAGGAGATTGTGGTTCCTGGGTTGTCGACCAAGTCCAGCAGGTGTTATATGGTATCGTGGTGGCTCATGATCCTGAGATGGCAGAGACCTACATTGTCCCCGCTCACGCGATCTTCCAGGACATCCGTAGGATGTTCGATGTTGCACCAGAGACTGAAGCTCTGTTATCGTCTTCGGAACCGCTACTTTGGCGTCCTGCTCAACGAAGTCCTACGCGTCATGAATATTCCCCGAAACGGACCCAAAGCTCGAGCCCCAAATACTCTTTCGGGACCGGAAGCTCCACATCAAGGATCGGCGCGGCTGCTTCTCGTGGTCACTTACAGCAGCTCATACGAGAGCGAGCGTCTGGACCAGCTTTCTCTTTGCCCGTGTTTGCACTTGATGCTCCCGCTTCGACAAGATCGCTTGCCCTGAGGTCGCGTCATGCGATGCATGCCGATCCTTGTACGTCACTAGATTCGCCACCGGATGTTGACCTGGACAGAATTACATTCGCTCGCCTTGAGGGAGAGGGAAGTGATGCGGGCCCAGAAGATGAACTGGACCGAAGGTATCGTCAACGAACCGCCAGAGATGCTGGCAGACTCTTTCAAGTAGGAAGAGTGTTCTCGGTACAGAAGCACGAAGACTTCAACGGAGATCCCAAGACCTACCACACAACGCCAGGTTGCTTGCTGACCAAGACATCGAGAGGCTGGATAATCAGTCGCAACTCCCAATATGTCGTGGTGAAGGAGGGCCACGGCTTCTGCTGGGCAATACCGATCACCACCTATGGCGGGCTCGGGACTTGCAAGCGCGGCTTAAGTGCTGCTGAGGTCGAGGCTCATGCTGTAGTCTATTCAACAAGCAAGCCGCCGAGCCTACTGGACGGTGAGAGACCGTTGACTAAAACACATATTGCGGTCAACTGTCATGGGGATCATCAGCTCCACAGAGCCAGCAGAATCAACTTTGCCAAAGTCACGACGATTGAGCACAACGTCCGTGTAATGGACATCGGACGAATAGCACCCGAGTCTCTGGCCCATTTCAATGAGTACTGGAAGGATGAAGTGTTCAAACAATACGGCAGGCGCCGCTGAGGCGTGTGAGTTTGCGTTCTAAGACCCGCGCTTCAACCACGAGCCGAGGCGTGTGGGAAGCGCACCGGTCCGAGAAGCTTCTCTTGAGCTTATTCTAGTTTTGGTTCTAGGAGTGTTCTGGTTATGCGGGCTACAGGTATTGTAAAGAGGACGTCTGTCAAGGAACAAATTGCAGGCACTCGCTCTCTACGTCCCAGATGAGACTAGGCAGAGGAACTTCATGTATGGAAACTTCGTAGACCACGGCTAACATAACCAAGTTCTTGATACGAATAACAAATGACGATTGTCAAGACTTCCTTATCTTGTGGGCGATGTTACAGCAGATATGGGTCGAGTGTTTCCTTCTGTCGTTGGGGGTTGCCAAAGCACATCTGTTGCATGCCAGTTACTTACCATCACGACATCGGATCCGAGCAATGAGAAGTCAAACAGTCCCACGTGTAGTAGGGATCAGAGCCCAACATGAATCACCCGAGCGTGGGATCGGATGGTTGAGATCTTGTACAGACACAGCAGCAGCCCGAACACTCGTCTACCGAATAAGGCAACCGGCCCCACAGTTCCTGTACCCCACTCCGCCAGTCTACTCTGGAAGTAGTTCGCACAAGGTTCGCGCGCTTCACTACCAGTTTACACTTGACGCCTCACTACCGAACTTCGACCTTTGCTCCCCTGTTGGGGTGCGCTACAAGGTCCTATGATCACCCGCGTCGCCGCCGTCGTTAGGCTAGCAGCAGCATCGATCTCTTCTTCCAGAATCCTCGCTTCCACTAAGGAAGGGCAACACTAACGCAGATCCCGTGCGACGTGAAGTACTTTCGTCGTCCTGAGACATGCGGTACGTTTCTCCTCTTATCCTACGGTTGGCTTCCAACTCCGCCGGCTGGACGTGGGCCCGAGGGTCGAGCGGCATGCAAAGCATAACCGCTTGGCATTCAGGTGCTCCGGCTCCTCAATGCTTCGCGACTGCATGTCGTCGCTTTGTGTCGATCTCAATGGTAGTAGTGCCACTGTCGCATGGTCCGAAAGTTCTTTCACTTGATGGGCCTGGGGCGATTACTGCGGCCTGGTTACCGTGCACGTGAGAAAACTGCTAGGAGAGACCGGAGTAACTAGTTCTCGCCGCAGCAAACGAGCCGGCTCCCGCAGATTCGAATGTCATCCAGTCGTCCGCTCGGATAGAAACGGCTTTCCCAAGGCAAGTTTGATTGAAGCCAGCACTAAAGAAAGCACCTGTGGAACAGCTACCGGGAAACAAAAGCGGCTAGAGAGCCAGCTTCATCACCGATACGTAAATATTTCTGGTTCTTCACAACCATGTGATGTATGTTGCACTCAAAATGATCTGTGTTTTACATTCTGTACTTTCAGCAGGTCAAGCGTCGAGAGCTACCTGATTAGCTTTGCGCTTGGGCCATCATCCGCCGGCGCGTGCTGAGGGTACCGCTCACACCAGCGCTGCACCTGTACAATCAGACATGCCGCCTCTGCCATCACCGTGACAAGTTCGGTGACACGTACTCATGCATACTGGCCGAGTTGCATCAGGCTTCCTGCCGAGAGACACCATTGTTTGAGATACATTCACGCAGCTTCAGAATGGATGTGCAGCGCAGCTCGAGCTCACTTTGACGGACTCAGGGACGACACAGCCATCTAGTCACAATGAGTGTTTTTCCTGGCCGGCATAATGTTGGGAATCGATCGTTGCCTGCTCCCAGTCACCTTTCCTGTAAACTCAAGACTACCGGAAGAGCTAGTGCATCCTTCTCGACTCCGAGGTGAGACTTCTCCGTCACGCTCCGCTGACTGGCTCGCCTGAAGGATTACTAGTTACAGGATCGGTTGCAACTTCTAGGTCTAGATAGGGCTTGATCCGCAAGCCGCACGCCCCCCCAGACCCTTTGTTCTCCAGTGCCCGCGTCAAGGAACTTCGCTGCCCACGGTTCCACCATCTGGTCTGCTGGAGCTCCAGCTCAATATCATCGGCACGAGCTCCATCTGGACCATGTGGGCGTTATGCATGCGGGACCACCGTCAGTCGAACCCGACTACCAGCGACACGGCACCATAGCCTCTGTATCCGTACCGTTACGCTGATGTCAGTTCTCACGTAACTTGTTGGTTCGGTCATTTCACAACACCAGCCATATCCGTGTGAGGCTACCTGTGGGTCGCTGTAGCCTGCGAGACAGGCGTGTCTGGCAGACCCTAGGCGCCTCACTCACCGCCCGTGGCGAGCCGTTCAACCAGCCATTCCATGTCAAAGCATGAATGGGCCAAGGGGCTCACACCGCCAGTCCTTGTTGCAGTCCTGCGCACTCGCTTACGCAGGCTGAGTGCCACCATACCGACGGTGAAGCGCTGGAATCTCAAATCACCTTCCAGCCAAAACCGACAACACCATCGTGTAACGAGCCAGTTCATCAGTGGTGCCCAACACCATCAACTTGGGCCACTTCCGGGGCAACCAACCCTGGTTATGTTCACGGCATGGACTCTGCACGAGGGCAAGTCCGCAGCGTTGGACTTGTGCTTGGGCTCCAAACCTGCTGCCGTAGAGTGTGTATTGTTTCATTACTGCGTTACTCTGGCCTGTGATAGCCTGTGTCCAATGGCGGCAGTACAATACACTGGGAAGTTGCGCTGCCCAACTAGGAAAACCTGATAGCCAACAGGACATGCAGTGTACAAGCGCTGAGGGACCCGCCATCGGTCGTCCCCGATCCCAGCTCGCTGTCCAGAGGAGTATATCCAGACTGCCAAGCCCAAACTCCCTGCTCTTTTGAGCCTTACCCCCGATTTCGGCGCGCCATTATGTCCGTCCGAAACACTTCGTGCACAGGATCCACCCCCAAAAGCCCATCACAGCACATCCCTTTCCCCATCTTCATCCCCGACGCCCTGAGCCACACCGACTCCGCCGGCGCCACCACCCAATTCCCTAACCTCTCTCCCCTCCCAGCACAGTCCCGAAAGATCCTCCTTCCAGTGCTCCTGCCACTGCTCCTCGAGGAACTCGATGGTCAGCGGCTTAGGCCAGCTGCGAATCGTGGCGTCGGCGGTAGGGTCGCGCAGCAGTGATTCGTACGGCCTAAAGGACACGCGATGGTGCGTGATGTGCGTCGAGTCCCAGGTATCGTCCATATCGATGTGGAGTTGGGCGTTGGCGTGGAGCTCGAATCTGGGGGTGGAGGAGTCTTGTCAGCGAGGGCTTCTGAAGGTGGGTGGAGGAAGGCAGTTCTGGGAGTAGAATGGGGGCCTGGGGGGAGAAGGGGTTGACGAGAGCAGGTGAAAAGCAGCTGGGGTGCTCCTGCTTCTCGGTCGCAGACCCAATGGCGAGGCAGAAGCGGTTACGCCGGCGGAGTTTAGGCAGGTCCTAAGGAGTGAGAGGGCGTGTGCATTGGACGTGGAGGGCTGCTAGCTCTGCTGGAGTAGGAGTTCGAAGCGAGCCAGATAACATGGCTGGGTTACAAGCCCCAATCGCACCCGCTCTCCTGCCAAGACCCATGATGCTCTGTTCCATCAATGGGACACTCCGCATACGAACAAGACATTACGATAGAAAATATTGACCGAATCAAGCAATAACAGAGAAGACTTACCCAATAAACGTCTCCGCCGCGCCGCCCATGCCACCTCCCAAAGAGCCGCCCATAGTTCCCAACCCTACAACCTTGGCGCCCGGACTGCTCTTGACGAGACTGTAAATTTCGCAGAACGGCACCAGTTCACGCATGCCAGGGTTGGAGCCAAAGGCAGGGAAACGTAGGTAGTGCAGATCACGAGCGGCATTCTCGGCCGCTTTGCTCTGCCAGAAGTACCCTAGAATGATCTGGTCGGTGCGGGAGAGGCTGCCATGACCGCTGGCAACGTTGGTGTTGCTGGATGGGAAAGGGTTGGCGTGTGAAAGCGGACGGCTGGTTGCCGGTGATGTACCAACAGTACTGCCGGCATGACCTGCCGTGCCGGCGGTGGCTGATGTAGGCTGACTGCCGGCGCTGCCGTGCGCGTAGCGATGGGAAGTGTTGGTTGGGTTCACCGCGGGGGCCACGCCGGCGTTGCTAATTGATTGTTGGTGAGCGCCGGTTGCTGCAAAGTCGTAAGAGGCGTCAGACATTGCGGTGGATGAGGCAGGTCGAGAGCCGTGGTGCGAAGAGCCAGCAGTGCCACCGTTTGCAAAGGCGTAAGATGTGGGCGGCGATTGGGGCATTTGCGGGTTGGAGATAGAGGGGTGAGAGTTGCGGTCGTGAGAGCGATCGCGGTCACGGTCGGATTTGCTGAAACGGCGACGAGAGAAGAAAGACATGTTGTGTGAGGAGGCTGGGATGTGAAGTTGGCAAGTGTTGGCGTTGCCTTTTGGCGTGGCCGGGCGTTCACAAGGCCCTTGGGAGCTCAGGTGGAAGTGAACTCGGCGCAAAAAGTGGAAACGAAAGACGAGGAAGAGGAGCGTCGCGAGTGGTTTAGAGGTGGTGAAAGCGAATGGCAGGAAGAGAATACTGATACGGATACAGATGTGATCCTAGGAGGCGATAAAAGATGGTGGCGGGGAGACAATCTGATTGTCAAGAACATGCATGGTACAGGCACGTTTCGCATGAAGCCATGATCCGTTGACAGTCCGGCGCCTAAACTTGGTTCAGTTTAGGCCCGGAGCGGGAGGACGAATCTCGGCGAATCAGCGGCCGAGGTGGCTGGAGCGCGAGGCTGGGAGGTGATCTGGTGGATCTCTCTTAAGTTGGCTCTCGTTGCCTTGTGGTCCGTTATGTTGGTAGATTCGCATGAGAATTTCATGAATCCGCCCTGATCGAGTGTCCGAAAACTTTGTGGCTGTTGGCCGGCCTGTCAATTCGAGGCTCTTTTCGATGACTGAGGCCGTGTCCAACAGATCCATCCGTCGGAACTCTGCATCCCGAATCCCGGCACGTACCTGGTAGATTCTGCACGGCTTCACTCCCTGAACCCCGTTCTACGCGTCGAGTATGTGTTCTCCAGATCCCGATGGCATGCATCAGCTTTTCCTCTGCCGCCCCTAGAAACAAGCATTCCCAGATGATACATAATGGAAAGCCTTCAACGAACCCCTGAGTATCCGACATCCTTTGTGTACAAACCAACAGCAACTCGGGCCTCTCTTCGGTCGGGCCACAGCCAAAATCCCCCGTCACGCATACCATTGACCTTTGCCTAATGATTTCGAGGGCTTCGAAACTTGTGGGCAGCTCTTGTGACCTGTTCAATTTGTGGTATCTTCTATGATTAGAGCCAATTCAGCATGACCCTGGTGATCGCCGATTGACACTCTATTGGGCGGGGGCTTGCTCACTTGCATTGGACGCATTGAGTAGGGTTGTCGTCCTGGTAATGAGCCAATTCATCGGGCCGCCGGAGAGATGTTGTAACAAAGCTCTTCTTGAAGGACTGCCGCCATCAGCGGTTACCTCGTAGTTGCCCTCAACACCGGATTCGCTGCAACTCAGAATCACAATTTCGATTGCTGCTATCATGATTAGACTGGTTGCGATTGTCATCACCAATACAGGACTTACAGCTAGAAGCCGTGCGGTCCCTCAGATTGAGGAGAAGCTGGTATTCGGTAGTGCTAGGCCGTAGGCTTGTGCCCATGTTCATCGAAGCTGTCGGCGGTGGGAAGGTAGGTTTTCTCAAGGCAATCGCCGAAGCGAATGTCGCTTTACCAGGCACGTTCTTGACTGACTAAACACTCAATCAAGGCACGAAACAGCCTATCTCCATCGTAGACATCTCTGAATACATGCTTCCCTGGCAGCAGCCTGCGTATCGCCTCGCTCCTCCACGGTGATCAACTCAGGCTTTGAATATGATTGCTGATACTGCTGGCAAGCGAAGAAGACAAGAGCGCGGTCCACAGTGTCTCGATGAAAGCAACGAAAACAAATGATTTCCTAGGTTGTGCCAAAGGTACGCTGGCCGACATCAGATAGTACGGGCCCAACAATGACCTTCAAAGCGGCCGAAGGGGCATTTCGCAAGTGAGCACGGGCGATGGGAATTGGGGAGATGCACTGTGTGCTCTGTACTCGTAAGTATGCATGGCAGGAAAAGGCCGATAGGGTCCAAGATTTGGATGAGGTGAAGAAAGAGATCACGCTGCTCCACTACCCGTCTTCCGCTTCATCACTAGTAATATGGAGCCGGAAATAAGTAGCAAGCGGCGGCAGGAGCCCAACTCATCGCAATCACCTGCTCCGAGCTCGTCTGTCCCCGACATATCCTGAGATCGGAAATTGCAGTCACTGGCCGGCCCTTCGCTCAATGTGGGCAATAGGGACAGAGAGTACCGTGGCAGATAGTAGATCGGCGCCGGCGCTGTGATGGCGGAAGGCCCGCGCCATGATAACCTTGAAGACTGTGATTACATGTGTCGAATACGAAGCTACGCCTCACTGCTTCGAACTGAGGCTGCCCGAGCGGGGATGTGTCTGTTCACGCTTGAAATAGTTACAAGTTGCCTCTGGGAATAATGCCAAAGATTATATGGAGATAGCCACGCCGTTTCTCCTTCTTCGGACGCATGACCCAAGTCCTGATCTGTCTGCAGCCGCCCCTGTACTCATGCGGAACGGCGATTGGGGGTCCGAAAAGGCCATAATGTTCCTTCTCCATGCCATCCTGAACGGTAATGGTGACACTCAGAAGCGACGTTCAGCTGCTTGAGACAAGCTTCCTGAAACATTGCCGTCACATTATGGCGACCTTCCAGCCGTCTTAGTGCAGTGCACATTAAATCCGCGTCCCCCAGGGGTTCGTGGAGCGGGCCGCGCCATCATAGCACTAAGGCGATAGTGGTTGTCCTGAATGAATCTCCCATTCCTTTTGTGGCTGAGTATCCCATGTGCCAACATTTCATGAGCCTGGAAAAATGTCTAGCGCCTCGAACTCGGCTTCAAACTCTTTCTCGTTCTCCAGTGGCCGACTAGCGTAGCACCCGACCATGACTCTTGACTTTGCCGTAGACCCTGCGAAAAAGCCACCAACTTCGCGTGCCTTAGTGTATTGGTTCGAGACTTGCTCAGGGTATAGTTGCCCAGTCGAGAAGGACTCTGGCATGCGATACCATACCCAAAGTGCATCATTCACTCTTTCGAACTTGATTCGTAGGCTGGTCTTGTGGAGTTGGAATCCCACATGAGCAGAGGTGTCGAACGTAATCGCCGCGAAGGATTGATCTGGCCATCCATTCGGGTGCGTGATGACCGTCGCTAGCCCAAGAGTGCCGTCGCTTGTTTGCTGGAGGCTAGCCTTCGCCCATTTCCCAGTGTGCTCGCGCTCTGAATGCATTCTCCTTCGCCTTCGCCCCTGCGGCGACGTTGGACTGATCCAGGGTTCCTCCGGACTCATGTCACAGAAGATAACGATTCCTGCCTGGTCAAAAGTCTCTTCAAAGGGTGCCGACACCGTCACCTCCAGCAAATCGAACGACCGATCCGTACTAGTCAAGAGCATGGGCGCGGAAAACTCATCGCCTGAGTTCATGAATCGCCATAGCCTCGAGTCGGCGGGGCATGCGAGGGAGAAATACTCGGAGATGTCGTCCTCGTGCTCAAGACCACCGCGCACATTGTAAGCCCTATATCGGCTGTCATGCGCCATGCAATGGGTCGCCGTTGATCGTGACGGATGGACGATATATAGGCTTCCCGCGTTGACTGTGACAGGCGTCCAGCAGTGCGGGCTGCTGATCCACTTCCACGGCAGTAGTGTATATACTAAGGTTTCGCGGGAGGGCTTGCAGCAAAGTAGGGGCGGGTTCAGGCGAAGCACGTCGGAGCTTAGGCGACCCAATCCTTCGCGACAGAGGCCGGCGAGTTTATTGATTTTGCAAGGGGTAGCGAGCCTGACGATGAGTTATTGCTTATATAGGTTGACGGAGAGTAATCTCTTCTCCAGTGAGGCGGATCGGATAAGCTAAGAAGATGTAAGATTTGGGTCGCCCGGGATGACGCTAGGAATGAGTTTCCTGACAAAGATGTGGGTCGAGGGGCGGGATGTCCGGCAGTCAAGCTGGGTGACGCGATAAAGGATGGTGGAATGTCAATGTGCTAAATGTAGTCATGGTGGTGAGTGAAGGAATCAGCTCGAGTGGTTTGCTGGTTGTGGATGGGGGAGGTGCGAGCGAGCTACACCTACTTCTTGGAAAGGTGGACTCGGATTATTAGTGGCGATCGCCATGCCTGTCTCTCAACGCGCTGGTGAGTTGGCTGCCGAATGTGGCGGAGAGGAACGACTTTGTCCTCGTGCCACAATAGCCCGATGGCTGGTGGAGGGGCAAAGCCAGAGCTGAACCCGAACCGCCACCATTTCAGCTGGAAAGGCCAATGGATGGGCTAGAAGGCCTGACTTTTCTGCAATAGAAGTGAGCTGATTTCCTGAAAGACGCACATGAGACCATGTCGCACAACAGCTGGGAGTGGCCGAGGAAGGCGTCGGTTACGGTGACCCCATGCTGTGCTTCATGTCTCTGCACGGGCGCTGCTCCAGGCCAGCATCATCGCATGCAGCAGAGGTGACATTTGTCGACCCTTGGATCATTGCAAGGTCTGGGTTAGAGAGGTGGTCCTGAAGGTGGTCATGATGTTGGAATGGGAAAGAATGCGACGAGTAAGTGTCATCCGCTTGATATGCAACCCCTGGTCTTTGCAGGCAGTGTCCCTGCATGATCAAAGCGCGTGCAGCTCCTAGCCGATCAAGCGCCACGCCATGTTCGTCCCGATTAAGCGCAGACTGACTTCGTCAACCACAACTCAACGTCCGGCAATGTGTCTACCCTTGTTGGTGTCACACCAATGTCACACGCTCACTCCGGACACCTGGCTGTCTCAGTCTGAACAGGTGTACCCAGCCTACTGATCCATTCCAATCTGCTGACGAGCCAGCAGTTGCAGTCTTGTCTGTCCCCTTCATACGCGTCAATCATGTGTCAAATGCACACTCGCATGACAGCTTGCCTGTCAAGTGTCGCCAAACGCGCGATGAGGCATACTTACTATCTTCCGCGTGCTGGTATGACACGAGGCCGCCTGCGGCCGTTATATTCAAGGGGGTTGCGCCGGCGGCACTTTCACTGAGGGAGGTGTGGACCAACTTTGCGTTCGCTACGTCTATGCCGCTAGGGTGTACCGACCACATGGCCACAGGAGATCTTCTCCACTCACGGAAGATAGGTTCATATCGTTCGCCTCATACGAAGATATGATTCGCTGATTTACCATCATCGCTTCCCCTTCTTCTTCTTTCCACCACCTCCACCACCTCCACCTCCTTGCGGAGCATTTGAGCCGGGTTTGGCATCGATGTTCAGGCTCTCGTTGACCGCACCTCCCTGCGTATCACCACCAGCCTTCTTGCCCTTTTTCCGTCCCTTTGGCGCCCGATAGTAGCTACGATCCTTCATCGGCAGCCACCTCTCCGGATCCGCCGTTTTGCTAGCATCATAATCCTTGGGAAGGCGCGACTTGCGAGTTCGCTTGGGCTTCGATGACTCGCCATCCGCTGCTCGCTTGCGAGATCGAGTTAGCTGAGCGATTGCTAGAGCGTTCGAGGACTGCGGGATGCCAGCACTCTCTAGAACATCCACATCGATGTTACGCGTCAGCGCCGCTACTGCGGTCAGTTTAGCCGCATCACCATCAACGGATTCTGCCTCGTCAGCGGCGTGTGAAGCCACAAACCCGGCAATGGCCGCTTTGTCATCCGGTTGCTGCTCTCGGAGCTTACTAAAGATGTCCGCCGCCACTCTCGCGTCTTCAGGGTCCCCGGTTACGAGCAAGGTTGACCCGGCGGCCCGCAGAAGAGATGCGGGAGCCGTAGATTTTGTCTTCCAGAATGAAGCAGATTTCGCCAACTCTTGCTGTATACTGGCTTTTCGCCCTTGGCTGCGAAACAATCCTATCAGAACGCTGACGAGACCAGGATTGTACCTCACATTTTTCTCGTTCTCATTCGTTGAGGTTTCCAGCCGTGAGAACAAGGATTGCATAAGTTCGACCGCTGATGTCGTGTTGCCTGTCAGGACGTACATTTGAACCAGGGTCAGCACAAGTCCCACATTGTTCGGCGTCCGCTCAAGCTCTGGCAGGACTTTTCTAATGGCTGCTTTGCTGACCTCATTTTCTGCACGAGCTGCGGCACTGAAGGTGGACGACAGCACCATATCTGGACGAATGGATGTGGAATCCTTTCCCTTCCCAGCCGAAGTCAGGCCATTGAATTTGAGGGCTCCCAGATCAACGGTCTTCTGATTTGAAGCGAACGGCGTAGCCTGGAACGAGAATAGGCGGTCATTCTTTTCAGGCTTCAACGGCGTGTTGAAGGCCTTATGAACGAGGAAAGGATTGGCCGGTTTCAAGGACGTCAAGAGTTTGTTGCTCTGTGCAATTGCTCTTGTAGCCACATCAGGAATGGCGTCCGTCGATATGTCGTTGGCCAGAGCATCGGCCTCGTTGAACTTCCCTTGCACCTGGAGGACATACAGCCACTGAACCTTGATTGGTAGAAGCTCTTCTTCCTTCTGCTCCTCACTTAGCTCTTCGTGGTGTTTGCAGAGTTCGTTTGCCCGTTTGAGGAGAATCTCTGCTTGCGCATACTCGCCGCGCGCAATGCTGCCGCAGGCCGCGTTGTATGCTGTCTCGAATTGCTGCAGATCGTCCGCGGCCGGCCGCCTTGTCGAGGTCTCTCCACACCACTGACTCTGTGCCTCTGCTCCACCATTGTTGATTTTGCAGTCTAACTCTTCATCCAATAGACCCTGGCTCTTGATGTCCTGGTAGATCTGAAGCACCCTTGCACTGTTCTCTAATCGATATTGCGCCTGAGCTTCCAGGTGTTGAGCGCCACGCCCTGATGTCTTAACAGCAGTCTCTGCCGCTAGGTCAAAATTGCCGGTTTTGTACAAGGCGTAGGCGTATTCGAGTGTGGCACGGTCTTTCAGTGGTTGGCCACTTTCTTCGATGAATTCAAGAGCCTCGTCGTAGCGGTCAAGCTTGAGGAGGGCAATGGTCCGGGAATGCTGGGCTTGTATGTCCGTCTTCGATTTCTTCAGTGCCGCTGCGCTAGCCTTCAGGATCTCGTCATGGTCGTCAATCGTGGCCTTCTTCAGAAGACCGGCGAGTAGTGGGGTCGTGACGGCCATGCCGCAGGATTTTGGGGGAGGTCTTCGGCGTTGCTGCTACCACATCATATGCTTCATGGGACTCTATTAACATATGGTCCAATAGACTCAAACGCTCTCAATATCTGGTGGAAGCACTCTTGGGTTCTTAAAATATTGGCAGTGAGGAAGAAATTACATCGGATGTTGTTCACCCCACAGTGAATATTTGGCTCTACAAGCCCTAACCCTGACGCTTTTTTGAAGCAGCGCACGCGACATGAATTCAGCCTCGGAGTAGACCGGCCATCGATCGAAGAGTCTAATGCGAAATAGCTAGTTGTCCTTCTAGTTGAGGTTGCAGACACCCTCCCTGCTGCCGTTGACCTGAAGCCTGTTGCCGAAAAGCTTCCAGAAGTCCGAGGACCATCTTGGCATCAACTCACCTTTCTTCACCAAGACAAACATGTTTGCATCTTGATCATTCAATTCATCGTCACTGAAGGATATCAGGTCGTCCTGCTTAGCCGCCGTGTTCATGTCCGACTCGCTATCGAGCATTTCGTAGATGTTGACATCACGCATCTTCTTTGTCAAATTCTGAACTTTCACCTTCTTAAGTTGGGTTCCAGCTTTGCCCTTCACGGCGACGACATCCGCTTTCACCATGTCGGCTTTTGTGCGGCGAGAGCTTCCAATGACTTGGGGCTTAGAGGTTGCCTTTTGCGTGCCCTGCCGACTACCGTCGCGCTCGACGCTGCTTGCCCGGCTGCTTGACATGGACTCGGTAGCTGTGTAGTAGCCCACGTCATCTGCACCAAACTCCGAAGGCATCGAATGGAAGGCACCGGTCCGAATAGCCTCTTGATATTTGTCCTCGCGCTCCATCTTCGCAGGGATTTTGATGGCAATATTTGCTGTCAGTAGACTATCATATCCAGCTTCGTGGTTACTCGTGGTGTGCAGGTAGCGGCCGTATCCTCGAGGGATCTCAATGACAGGATATTTCTCAGAACTTAGATCTGCTTCGACTTCATCGAGAGAGGTGTTGCCCCAGCGTCTGTTTCCCAGGGATGCGATATGCTTGGTGTCCACAACTCCTGGCCAGAGCATGTGAATCTCGTCGGCAAAGTCGACAACCGTGTCGGGAAGTTCGCCGATGAAGCAGCTGTACAAGTACACCAGGTCGGTGAAGCAATTGTGACCAATCATAACACGGGTGCGCTTGCGTGACTTCTCTTGGAGGTTCGCAATAAGCTCCGTCGGAGACTGGCCCTCTAGGCTCGTGCTCGCGAGAGCTGGGACCAAGTATTTCTCAGGGAGGTTGCTAAGATCGCCTCCGACAAGTGCCTCGATAATCCACCGAAAACCGATAGCCTGACCAATGGTCCTCTCCATTTCTTGAGCCAGAAGTTTCTGGGCAGAGGCGTGCTGCTCTGCACTTGGACAAGTAACTCGAACAAAATGTCCCATACCTTGGGTTTGTAGGCTTTGGAACTCATTCTGAATAGTCTGATGTGTGAGGCGGGCTTGATAGCGATTCAGTGTTTGCGGTACACCAGGTGCTATGCCGGGAATATTGAGAGACTCTTCACGTTCCGCCAGAGGCTTAGCGAGCCATGCTGCTGTGGCAGAGCGGATGTGGTCGATGAGTGGCTGATCCACAGGCTTGACGTCCATGTTCTGAAGGGAAGTTTTGGGCGCATTGTCTGCGATCATTTTCAAACGAGCTATCTGCTCCTCTCTTCGCGAGAGATACGGAATTCCGGCAGTGATGGGCAGGTCGAAGCGGAAGCCGCACTTTGACAGAAATCCAACGGCTGAGATACATCAGTAGGAGTTCATGGTATAGAGTCTGTATACTTACCGCCGCTGTTGGAAGACCAGTCCCTGGTGAAATGGCGCTCTTTCAGAGCCGGAAGAGGTGAGAGGTGAAAGTTGTATGTTCGAGCGACATAGCGGCCTTGCTTGGCATCTTCTTGAACGACAGTCAGACCAATCTGAAGAATTTGGTACTTCTCAGCAGCCGCCTTGATATCGTGGTAGAGCTCTTGGAGGGTAAGCTTGCCGGTGTTGTTCGATCTTCGGCCAGCTATACCAGAGAATTCCAAGTCGAAAGCAACGAAATGACTCTCGGCAATCTCCTGGATGATCTTGACCGCCTCCTCAGAGAATTGCGCCTGTGAGATATCCATGGTGCTGTAGCGATGCAAATACCATGCGCTTTGAAAGGGTGGCAGCAGGTGAAAGATAAGACATGGGATGAAATGTTTGATAGCAAGCACTGTTAAAGATCGAATAACAGATGTTAGCCAAGCCCAAACTGATGAGTAGCCTAAGTCAGTAACACATATTAGTGCGAAGAATGAGTCCAAGTTTGAGGTGGTTGTTTAAACGCGCCGAAAGGAATTCGAGTGGTCATCAAGTATCGCAACTATGGCAGCGGCTACCAGTGAGTTTCGCTGCTTTGTTGAGACGTGAGACAGGCACATTGCTCTAAGAGGACTCAAAGATGAGCCTCACAGTGATGTTCAGACATGGAGTCCAAGCCGTTTTATAGGTTTGCAATAAGTAACATTATCTACGGTCTGAACCTGGGGCACTGCACAGCATTGGGAAGTTCAATTTGATCCACAACGGTGTCGGTGAATCCATTCTCCGATGGAGCCGAGGTCCTTTCAATGCAGCCCCAGTTGCAATCTCCAGCTGCTTGGAGCGCTCATCACGCGGCCTGTCACTGCGTTCATACTACCACAAGCATTCCACGATGCTTCTCCTGCTACCGTCTCTATTGCTGTGAAGCACGATATATCCGACTATTCACGCTCCTGTACATCATGTCGTTCGGCACCGAATCTCAAAGCGACTCGCAATATCTCTCCTCGTCACAATCGTCACTCAGCACCACGAAGAAGGCTTCTTCCGAAATTTCCAAAACATACAAGCATGCCTCACAATTATACCTGACAAGAAGACTTGCTGAAGCATATGATGCGCTACAACCGGTCATCAAGCCTCCGCAGCCGAGTGCCCGTACCCGACACGAGGACGACGGTCCAGTGCCCGCGCCCATCGCAACGGCTTCTACGTCTCAGCGTATTAAGACTTGGAGCTTGTATGCTGCTCTATTGAATGCCACCATCGATCTAGGCTCCGAGGCAGGTTCTCAAGAGTTTGGGCAAAAGCAGTACCGTAACATCCTCAAACTTGTGCAAAACGGAGACGTGTGGGAAGAAGTTGTGCAAGATGGTTACCGAGGGCGCGAAGCCTCTGTGGACGCCGAAGTCGTCTACAATATATCGACTCTTCTGCTCAACAAAGCTCAAGATCAATCCGTGAACCAATCCCGCCTGGAGAGATACCTGTCTTCATCGTCACCCTCGCCGCTCGAAATATCAACTCAGATCAGCGACTCCCTACGCAACGGCCACCACTCGCCGATGAACGGCGCCAGCACACCTAAAGATCTTTCTTCGCGCATAAAGATAATCGAACTCTTCACCCTGCATGTTTTGCCCAGCAACAACGAATGGGAGTACGCACGGAGTTTTGTCGCCAACAGCGACGTTCTAGACGACGAGCGGCGGGAGGCTTTTCTACAAACTCTTTTTGAACTACAAGAAGTCAAGGAGCGAGATTCTGCTATCGAAGATGCAACGGACTACAGCACAGAACAAGATAGCCCTGAGACAGACCCAGAACCGCCCTTGCAGAATGGTTACAAGGGCCACCAACGGACAAGCAGTGAAGTCGATTATGGAATCGAATCAACGCACCCCAACGGTGGTGGACATACACCCTCACAACTAAACTCTGATTCGCCACCATCAGCAGTATCCTCAAAGCCCTTAACCACAATTGCACCACGACCGGAGCCTACGAATTCCGCGGCTGTATCCCGGCCACCGCACCTCTCACCACCAGCACACACGCCTCGCCGCCCCCCTCAGCGCCGCTCAAAAGCCCAGCAACAGTCCGGTCTGACAGGCCAGGCGAGGGCGCTGTTCACTGCGCTCTCGAACCTGACTAGAAATCTCGGTGGGGCACTGGTTGGTAACTCGAATGCCGTGCTACGACTGCTACTGTTCATGCTGGCATTCCTCGTGGCTTTCAGCAGGAGAGACATTAGTGAGCGGGTGCAAGCTATTCTTGGCCAAGGCTGGGAGAAGATGCGGCGGACCGCTGGTATGGGCGTCAAAGTGTCATACATTTGATTAAGAAACAGTGTTCGAAGCGCGGCGAAGTTCTAGCACATGTGTAGACGTCACAATTCAAATTTTGCATAAATCATACTGGATGATTGGTTTTGGCTCTACGAATACACCACCCCGGTAGTCTTCTACATCTGATCGCCAAAAGGCTTAGATGCCCGCTGTGCCTTAACAGAATGTCCATCTGCGCAACTCCGCAACACTAAGTCATTCCTAAACTTTTCCCCCAGTCGGACCGGGGGCAAATTTCGTGCTCAGAGCTCTAGTGAACAGCTTATTTACTGCCCACATCTCCAATCTGCTTGACATCCAGCCTCACGCCTGCATCCACAATCCGCTCACAGTAATCGTCCCCAAGACAGCTGGGGGTGATGAACCCACCACCACTGAACCTGTTCTTCAACGCCCCTTCCTGCTTCGGGTCCAGCAGTACCAGCGCAGCCTCCACCATCAGCAGGGCCGTCAAGTCATACATGCTGCCTCCCTCGTAGCGGAACACGGCCAACGCCTTTCGCGGCACCTTAGCCAGCTGCTCCGCTACCGCCACGCCGCGCAGCTCCAGTACATCGGACTTGCCAGCTTCGCTCTTTGGGCCCGAGCCTGGTTTGTACGGAGCTAGAAGCTTGAAGATGAAGCGCGTGGGCGGGAAGGCGAGCAGGAGAGATAGTAGCGCGATGGCAAAGTGGATAATCATGCCGACGACCGGAGAGGAGACGGCCATGTACTCCTCGTAGGAGAAGTTGAAACCGTAGAAGAGTGGCGTTAGGCCAGCCGAGCGGTGGACTACAGCTTCGTTGGGACGCGCGGTAATGGAGGTGGTGAGCGCGCCGAGGCGGGGATAGGACCACGCGCCAGTCCATTTTTGGAAAGCTGTGCGCGAGTAGGTGTTGGGTTCGGGGTTGCGTGGATAGATGGTCTCTTTGGTGTAGGGACGCAGGTGACTTGGAGAGAGGCAGTACGGATCGGACATCACTTGGCGTAGTTCGCTGGCAGAGAAGGCATCGAATAGATTGAGGCCTGAAGCCATAGTGCCGCCGGATGCGCCAGAGGTCTTGAGCTCATGGATGCTGCCGACCATATCCATAACGCCACAGTCCCAAACTTTACGGATGAGCTGAGTGGCTTTGAAAGCGATCAGATCGGAAGGAGTGGATTCGAGGCCGACGGCTGGAATGAGAAGGGCGCCAGACGACTTCGCCGCAGACTCGAATTGGGTAATGATAGACTTGATCCAGGGAGTCTCGCCAGATGCATCGATGTAGTGGGTGCCAGACTTGGCGCAAGCCTCGACGATGGGAGTCGAGTAGAGATGGTACGGACCAACAGCATTGAGAAGTACACGGGTTCTCTTGGCGAGGGGCAGCAGCTCAGGGGTTGCGAGCTTGCCAGTGGTGATAACGGTGGGAGGCGTACGGTTAGAGTTGAGCTGCTTAAGAGACTCAACAAGGGACTTGAGCTTGGTCTCTGAGCGTCCAGCAATGGCCCATTTGGTGTTTGTAGGCAGCTTTTGGGTTATGTATTCGGCCACGAGCCTGCCGGTGTAACCACTCGCCCCGATGACAACAATGTCAAGCTCGCGTCGGGAGGCCATCTTGATGCTAGGAATCAGAACAGTCTGAAAGGCGACAAGTTGAAGAAGACGATGAGATAGGACGGAAAGGGAAGAACCGAATGTTAAGAACACGTTGCCGTCGAAACGATAGCAAGAAGCGGTGGTGTGGTCTCGTCGTGATAAAAGAATACGGCTAGCCTATTTTTGGGAGCAGGGAGACATCAATCTCCAGGAGTCCGACAGTGGTGTCCGGTTTGCATAAAAAGCCCGAAACATTTGTTTTCCAGACTTGTCCAGGAGGCTGACCTGCCAGTGGTTTTAATGGTGACAAGCCTAGCCACGGACTCCTTAGAGTTGACTTACGCTCGAATCCGACGCTCTGGTTTGACAGTGCAAGATGATGACCTTGGATCGTTAAATTTGTGGGCGCCCGTAGGCTAGTAGCGGGCGACTCTCCGGGGGGAGTTGCTACTCGATTGGGTTCTGCAGGCCTTAGCTAAGCCGCAAGAATCCATGCTGACTGACACGGTAGTTTGAAGGTCACGTGTGCCAAGTTACCGCCAAGGCGGGCACCCGCACCACAATTTGCTGGCTGCGACTTTCGACTTTGTCGCTTCTGACTTTGTTCACGACACCTCCATTAATCCCACACCACTTCGTCAAATACCGCCAACATGACGAAGCGCACCAAGAAGGTCGGCGTGACCGGCAAGTACGGTACTAGGTACGACAGGATCCCTCTTTCGCCCGATGAATCACACGCTCGATTCCACCGAACATCAGCACATCGATAACTCTCCATTCCAAAGCTATCGTCTAATACATTGTGAACAGATACGGCGCGTCTCTCCGCAAACAGGTCAAGAAGATGGAAATTACACAGCACGCTCGCTATATCTGCACCTTCTGCGGCAAGAACACCGTAAAGCGTCAGGCCGTTGGCATCTGGAAGTGCAGAGGCTGCAACAAGACCGTCGCCGGTGGTGCCTGGACCGTCTCGTAAGTCAACGCGTGCTTGCACTGAGATGCGCATCTTTGTGCCCCGCTCAACGGATTCTGACATATCGTCCATAGTACTCCCGCAGCGGCCGCCACGAGATCAACCATCCGTCGTCTAAGAGAAATTGCGGAGGTGTAAACGGTTCATGCATGTGGGGGGCGTTCAAAATTCATGAGCTACACATAGCGCATTTCACCCAGTCTCGTGCGGATAAGATTTTGCAGTTCAGTTCGCCGACATCTTGTCCAGGATGGACGAGACGAGACGATAGATCGCAATCGAAATAACGATGATCGGAACGAAGCACGAACCAAGATTCGCCTTCTCGAATTCAAGTGAACCCAGTCTGACACAGACTCTTCCGTTTTACTGAAACTCAACCCCCGGCTTTGATTTTGTACATTCATCCCTCTTCCTCTATGTATGTTTTCAGGCAAACACCTGTCAAGCCAATAGCATCCTGGCTGTTATTTGGCTCCCGGCTATAGTGAATAGGCCCCAATCTGACGGCATTCTCCGTCTACTCTAATTTATTCAGCCGTGCCTGAAGGCCCTGGCGATGATGAAGCCCACGGCGAAAGATTCTGGTTGTTATTAGGCGTTGTGTCTATGGCATGAACTTGCCGGAGACCGCAATGGATGTCAGGCAAGTGCAATCATCCTATTGGAGCCTGATCATTTGGCCTGAGTCACACACCGCTTTCTGGTCATTTATGTTCACGAACTTGATCTAGGCATCATCAACAGATACCTCGTGCGGTCGATTGCGCACGCGTCGTTGGACGAAGCCTCGGGGCTACAAGTCATGCCTTGCACTGCGAGGGTCACGTTGGTCGGCCGCCTTGGCGGGTGCGACAGGTAACGACCCCGGCTGGGCCTAGTAGGTGGTCCGAGCTCAGCCTCTACTACTCGCCGCCTCCACTGCATCGCATTTCGTCTTCCTTTCCATCACTAAAGACCCCGGTCCCTTCCCATGACTTCAATGAGACCCAAACTTGCTGCAACACCTTTCTGCACCTTCGATACTTACACTTTATGTCAGATACCTGCATCGTTTGCCTTGGAGACTTGAGCATCGGGAATGCCGAGATCGTTGGCCTCTCCGTCACTGACGCCAAGTCTCCTCCGCAGCATGATGCCAACATCAAGACTGAGGCTGCCCACGACAACGATGTCAAGGTCAAAGTCGAAGATGCTCCTGAACTGATCGCCAATATCAAACCCTGTGATCACTTCCTCCATAACGAGTGTCTTACACCATGGGTCGAGCGGGCCAACAGTTGCCCTATTTGCCGAGCATCCTTCCACTTGGTCGAACTCAAGGCCAGCATATCAGGTTGGTCGACACCTTCCAAATAGTACTGTCGCAAGTGGATTGCTGATATGCCCCAGGCCCTACACTCTCCACATATACTGTCGAAGACCGCCAACAGGTTGCTGACCTTGACCCCTCTATGTTCCTCGAGTATGCCGAGGAGGAAGAGGATGACACCCCGTGCCAAAACTGCGGAGAAGATGACAACGAGGATGTCCTCATGTTCTGCGATGGGTGTCAAAAGATGTGGCATACATACTGCGTTGGCCTTCAAGAAGTACCCTACGGTGCCTGGTTTTGCGATAACTGTCGTGCCCAGCGTACCTGGGGTCCCCGTGCCCCGGCCGCCGCACGAACCGCACAGCCAGGTAGACGCCGGACTCGTGGACAGCAGCGCCGTCAACGCAGTCTGCAAGTCTCGCATGACCAGAGCTGGAATGACGTGTGGCAATCCGTATGGTCCAGAATCAACCTCGACTTGGACTTCCCTTACGACGACGATGAAACGTCCGCTACCTACATCCGCCGCCACCGGCAGCGAAACTTTGCCGAGAACCGCTCTGCTCACGAGGCATGGCGGTCGCGCCTGCGTGTAGCAGAGCTGCAAGGGGCTGGCAATCGTTTTAGAGAGACGGAGCCAACCTTGTCTGGACTGACGCGCCACCTTCGCTCACCAGTGCCACAAGTTCAAGACCCGGAAGAGCTTCTCGCATGGGACGCCTTCGACCAAGCTCGAGCACATTCGGCTGAGTCGAGCTCTGCGCGACGCGGCAAGAAGAGAAAATCTCGCTCGTCATCGCCTGCGCAGACCGAAGCCGAAGTCGCCCCGAGTCTTGTACCTGTCAAGCGAAGAAGGACCAGTCAATCTGCTGCGCCAACTCCTGAAGGAGCTCGAGGGCGTCGTATCTCTAGGCCAGAATCGCCACTGCCCCGCCGTTCCCTCATGCTCGACTCCGTAGGTCCTAGCTTCCTGCAATCGTTACTGCAGGAGGTCGAGGATTCATCGGATCGCGCTGGCCCTATACTGAATGCTACGATAACCCGTCCTATTCGAACAGCAGGCAGTCCTCCAGCTACCGAACATGGCTCACCTCGTCCCTCATCTCCAGCGGGATCACCGAACCCCTCAAACCACTCTTCGCCTCGAGCAATGTCCCCGTCGCCACCGCCACCAGGCCATCGTCCAAGCTCACCGGCAACGCTCACCTCGAGCATTCAACCAATCTACCCGGAACCACAACGCAGCACATCCCCGACGCGCGAAGCTCCCAGCAGCGATGCTAGACCAAGGCCGAATCGCTCGTCCTCCAACGTTACTACCGGCGTTGCCCAACCTACGCCTCGCCCACGCCAGTCTCGCGTACCTCGCGTACTCGAACAGAGTTTGAATAACACAGTAGCTTCACCTTCTCCTACTCGCCCCTCTCACAATGCAAGTCCAACGCAATCCAACCATGCCAACGTCATTCTTCATCCCAGCGAAACCTCACCAGCTCGCGCTAGCATGTCCCTTTCGGCCAAGTCTGATATCCAAAAGCTTGTAAGTGCGGCCCTCAAGCCACTCTACACCGACGCGACCATAACCAAGGATGAATACACAATCATAAACCGCGACGTCTCTCGAATGCTTTACGAGCGAATTGGTGACTTTAACACACTGGAAGATGACCAGCGGAGCAAGTGGGAAAAGGTGGCAGGTGAGGAAGTTGGACGGGCAGTGGTGGCATTGAAAGCCGAAGGCTGACATGCTAGCCAAGCCGAGATGTTTGGACTACTCGCCTTTCGGGTTGACTCAACTCTACTTATTCCTACAACCGGTTTGAATTTCTGGAGACATCATGACACGACTTGATGAGCATGATTTTGATCATGATACGACAGCGTTGGCGCTACGGACATTGGGACATTGGGCGGCATAGCATGGCATTGCTCTGCTTTTATTTTTCCGAAGGTTAAGACAGCGTGTGCCTAGTGGTCCCATATAAGTGGTGTTCGATTTGCGTGCGGGCAAGCAGCGTCTTTGGCTGAGCACTTCTGGAATCGGAGCATCACGCCGTTTTCTTGGGAGTGGACTTTTGCTCAGAAGCACTACCAGGGCATGATTCACAGGATGATGCAGGAAATGATCCACAGACGACCAGGGGAGAATCTTATCTGGAGGGAGTTGCTTGACAGTTTAGCCTATCAATGTCTGGTATTAGTCTGCCAGAAGTCCGGCCCTTGGACATAAAGGTACTCGATAGATGCACAATACCAGCAGGTTTACACGACTCTCTCCGCTCAAAGCGATTTTGCTAAACGATACAAGATCCTACCCAGAGTTGTCAAGGAATGGTGTTTAGACGCTGCTCGTCGCCGCTGTCCTACATTGGGCAGCCATGTAGTGAAACTATCGGTGGCTCCCGATTGATCTAGGTGCTTGTGGGCGGATCAGTCCTTCGACAGGAACTCTCGAATCTGCTTTGCCGCGTTTCAAGAAATCCAGCAATGTCACGAAGCGCCTTCTGTTTGAGTCTCTTCCTCCCATGCGACTGCTGCAGGTGGGGAGCGTGGGGAATGAGGAGAGCGATCGGCGCTGGCTGACGGCGCCGAAGACCGAAAGTCACGGACTGCAACATGCCTACCCAATGAGCATACGAGCTAGAACATCACTGGCAATGCCGTCTATGACTGTCCCGCTTGTACAGGCAGGAAAACGTCACGGAGATCCACATTCGTGGCCGAGGCAGTGCATCGGTGAAGGATGTGCTACAAGAAGGAGTGGTTGTTCGTGCTACTTGCTTTTATATGGGTCGCATTGGCTTCAGCTGAGGGAAGTGACAGGATGCGACCAGCAAGAGAGATATTGAATAATGCTAGCTTCATATTAGCAGCTTCCACGGGCTGGACGACCGTAGCTGCCTACGAGAACGGTGGCTCGGCTGCTTGCGAATCACTGAGCGGCGCCCTCAGCATTGACAACGTCTCCGTCGTTTCCAGCACCTACTATCAGAGCGGAGGACATATTCCTCTCCCAGGATTGGTTGCTTCCTGTGCGTCGGACGATGGCGAGAGCTCTGCCAACGCGACTTCAGACCTCTGCCGACTGGTGCTGAATGTCACCACGAGCAGCACCAGTGAGGTGTTGATCGAAGCGTGGTTGCCCGATATTTGGAACGGTCGATTTTTGGCCACAGGCAATGGCGGCATTGGCGGCTGTATCGATTACAATAACCTAGGGAATGGCGCAAGCTTCGGCTTTGCAAGTTTCGGGACCAACTCGGGTCACAACGGTTCATCGGGATATAATTTCTTTCTGCACCAGCCGGAGACAATCATCGACTTTGGCTACCGCGGGATCCACGTCGAAGCAGAAGTTGGTAAGCAGGTTGTCGCGCAGTACTATGACGAGTCCGCGTCCCACAGTTACTACTCTGGATGTAGCACTGGCGGTCGGCAGGGGTACACGAATGCCATACTTTATCCCGGCGATTTCGATGGCATGCTCCTGGGCTCTGCTGGTGTCGACTGGTTGCACATCGTTGCGTCCAAAGGAATCTTGGCGGGTCGCATGGCCTGGCCCGACCTCTCCTCGCCATCATACGTTCGACCGGAACAGTGGCCTGCTATCGTGGATGCGCAGATCAAGCTTCTTGACCCCTTAGATGGCGTGGCAGACGGCATCATTGACGACCCGACTGCGTATAAACTTGATGCCGCTGTGCTGGCCTGTGGAACTGGCCTGCTCAACGATTCTTTCTGTCTGACCGCTGCGCAAGTTGAATCTGTCAACGCCATTTATGAGCCCATCGCCGACACGAATGGCTATATAGTCTACCCCTCCTTTGATCTTGGCTCTGTCACGAATGTTTTCTCTTCGAACCAAGTCAACGAGTCCGCAAACCTCACCTATCGCATTATTGACGATTTTTGGCGTGGCGCAGTCTACAACACCACAGAATTCTCATCCGTCAACTTTACCGTTCAAGACATGGATTTCGCGGTGAAGCAGAACGTCGGCCTAGTAAACCTTGCTGGTGGCGCGTATCCAGACGGGCACAACATTTCCGCCTACCGTAACCGGGGCGGAAAGATACTTGCGCTGCACGGCAGAACTGACCAGACCGTCACATCGGGTCTCGCAGCGCGCACATTCCGGCGGACTGCACAGACGTTGAATGCGTCCCTGGCAGAGATGCATGACTTTTACCGCCTCTTCTATATCCCTGGCCACGATCACTGTTCAGGGGGTAAAGGGCCATGGGCTGTCGGACAGCCGACGGCGCAGAAATCATTTATAGATCCGCAAGGGGAGTTGGGGAATAGCAGACATAATAGTTTGATGGCGCTAGTGGTTTGGGTTGAGCAGGGTCAGGCGCCTACCTCACTGGTAGGAACGAAGTTCCGAGACGATGACTTCGACGCGTTGGAGGTATTGGGGCAGCGGACGCTGTGCGTGTACCCGAATGTCAGTCTGTGGGATGGGGTGGGAAGTACAAATTACGCTGGAAGCTGGAGGTGCGAGCTACCATGACCGGAGATAGGGAATAGGTTGGGACTGGCTTTTGGCAGCTTGACTTCAGCTGACCCAGGTCTAACCTGAGCTTCCAACCACCTCAGCTACAAAGGACTGTCGTTAACATTCCTTGCAATCTAGAGGCCTCTCATTAAACGCCGAGCCGAACCTACTATCAGCTCGCGCTATGTTGACTCCATGTATGGCTCCGTCTTTGTTGATTCCACGGTGTGATACCCGGGCCAACTCTGGCCTATCCTTTGAGAACTAAAACTCCTCCCCGGGATCGCGTCCAGGCTTCAAATGAGGAGACCGGCCGGGAGGAAAGAGACAGCGATGCCAGTCGGGAAGTGATGTCGCTTCTGTAAATCTTCCCGACCATCATTTCATTCGTGACGCCAGGTAGAGGTACAAGGCTTGGCGTTCAGCCGCATGCTGGGGTGGTTGCGGATTTCAATGTCGAACCTTTCCTCCTCGACCGTTAAAGCCGCCAAGAGCGAGGGTGATTGGTAGGTCGATGAACGATCGATGTCAGCGATAGCGAAGTCCTCGTCCCCACCTCGGTTCCTCCCCAGCGACTCCGCCCACGGGTGAGTCGATACCTGGAATACCTGAATACCATCCCGCTTCCGCATCCTCAAATGATTACGATACTGTTCGTCCACGGGAGGCGGGCCTCCGTCATCCTGGAGTGTCGTCGTCATGTTCCGATCTTCTGGTCAGCTAAGGTTCGGCCATAGGAATCGCATCATCACCCCTAACAACTCAGTCTCTTTCATGCTACTCGTTGCCGCGAGGCTACAGCTCTAGCATGAAGTTGCATTGGATGCTGTTGGCATTACTATATTGCACAACCGCATTGGCGCAGTACTCGAATACCACGATACCTCCATGCGCCGTAAAGTACCCAGCCGAAGTCTGGGACCCAACTAATTCGAAGGCTAGGCCAAGTGCTTCGCTCTCATACTCCCAACGACCGACTGTACGGTCATTGATGCAGCATGTATCTGCGCGAGCGAGCACCTGTACGCCGAGATGACAAGCTGCGTAATCTCTGAATGCACGGTTCTTGAATCATTTGGTACGTTATTAAGAGTCCTAATGCGTGGAGGCTTACTAATTTGTTTAGCCGCTGCAAGAATTGGAGCCGACGTCTGCCACTATCCTAGACGAGATCGCTCCGCAGCATTTCGCCATATCACCGTGAGCCTGGCTGCAACCGCCCTTCTCTTGATCGCCTTCCGAATTCTTTCACGCCATAGCGGAACCCACGATTCTCCTTGGGGCTGGGATGATGCCCTGATCATCATTACAGGGGTATCGTCCATGCCGCTGGCCATATTGTCTGGTTTCTTCTCACATTATGGACTTGGAACAGACGTGTGGTACTTTCCCGTCGAAGACTTCACAAGTTTGTACAAGTGCTTTTTCGCTCAGCGCATTACCTATTGCGTGACGACCGGCTTAGTTAAAATCTCGCTCCTTGCCTTCTACCTCCGGATATTTCCCAGCAGGACATTCCAACGTCTGACCTGGGCCTTGATATGCTTCGTCAGCATGTGGACCTTCATGTTCACGATTATTCAACTCAATCAATGCAACCCTATATCGTACGTTTGGACTCGATGGGACACCGATAACAAGGGCCGCTGCTTAAATTACACTGTGATGGTTTACATCCATGCTGGAACTAATCTTGCTTTGGAATTGGTCATCCTTTTCATGCCGATGCCAATACTGTATAACCTGCGTATTGATTGGCGGAAGAAAGTTCAAGTCTTCATCATGTTCAGTAAGTTAGCTCACAATTTTGTCAAGCCCTGACTATCGACTTCTCGCCCTATCCGAAACACCATACCTGCTGCTTGTCCGCGCTCCCAACTCTGTTCAGATATAAATGTGCTGATCTGCTACTCATAGGTTTTGGCATTGTAGTGGTTGCAGTGAGTTCACTGCGAGTGGCAGCAACTGTTGATAACTTAAAGAGCATCAATGCCACCTGGTACGCCTGGTCGGTCCTTCTATGGTGCAACGTGGAGATCTTTGTCAGCATAATCTGTGCTTGTCTTCCTTCAGCCAAAATATTTTGCGAACGGCTGGTGGTGCGCTTCTGGCCAGTCAAGGTATCCAGTCTGGGGCGCGACATACTGGCACGGAGGCCCAGCGGCATGCCGGGAAGCATCAACTCGATATTAATACGAAAGTCTATTACTGTGTCATCACCACAATCAATTGGGGGAGGTGAAATGGCTGAGCTTCAGCCTTGGGATACAGGCTTCAGCGGTTATGCACGATCAGTGGTAACTATTACAGCTAACGCCGAAACACGACCCAGCATAGACTACCGGCCGGGCATCACTTCCGTTTGAGAGTCGTCTGAGGAGAAAGTACACTCGATGGTGTGAAACGATATGGAGCTCGGTGATCTTGCTGCCGCAGACGAGGATCCCCAATGACCCTCAACAAAGCGTCCTACAAGCCATACGCCAGCAATCGGCACATACTTGGAGCGAAGCCGGTGTGACCTGTCTCCTTTGAGCAGCATACAGGCGCGCTCCCCGTGCAAGAAGGGCTGCGTTCCCTCAACGATTCTACCTGCGGCAGTCCTCCTTCGATTTTTAGATGCTTTCACACTTGCTCTATATTCCTCGCCGTGGCAATCGACCATGGCATTAATAGCTTCCCGTGGGCTGGCTTCGACTGACTGTGTTATAGTGGAGCCAATCAAAAAATCCTTGTTGAATCTCGCAACATTGGTGGTCGAAAGCAGGGCTAGGCTTCTATGCGAGTATGGGCTAGATTTGGTGGTATGTCCGCTTTCCTTGAAAAAATTACGTACGCATGAACATAGCAAGAGAAACATACTAGCTGGAATTTGACTAAGAAGTTGTTAAGAGAATATAGAGCACGAATAATGGCAAGTCAAGGTAGCAGGGGTGCATGAGTCCATTGGGCGGTAAGCTGTGGTAGTATACAGATGACCGGGCATCTAGAACGTTGTGCTTCTGGCGGCATTGTGGTAATGAATTGAATAACGGAACCCATGAGACTACTTTAGGAGTCGTTGAGTCGCCCCGAACGTCCTATATCCGGGAATCATGCGTTCTCATCGAGAGTTCACTCACGCGAAGCGCGCGTTGTCCACGAATGCTGAGGTCGTGCGAGGTGGTCTTTGGATGCAGTTATCCGGACTCGTAGGACTACGGTCGAGGTGCTCGGTGAACGCGGTTCTTCTAGCTTCGGTCGTGAGCCTCTCCCTGCTTATCGCATCCTGTCTTAAAGGATGTTGGGTGTCATGTTGCGGAGGCTGCATCGGCGGGCTAGGTTTGGTGCCCTGCCCAAAACCAGCTTTGGACGTTTCGGATACGCCGTCGAGCGCCATCCGGATGAGCGCATATTTGATGACCATCGTGAAATGTACTTGGAAGTGGAAAGCTCAGGAAGCGAGTTACTCGTTCTCAGCGATCATCTGGACAGAGGCGGTATTGAGGCAATGTAGTGGTGGAACCCGAGAAAGTGCAAGATAGTTGCGGCAACGTACATTACAGAGCTTCGAACCTAAGTATTTAAGTCATCAGGGATGCCTTCTCGAGTATTCTATGCACGGCAGCCTGGAAAGGGGCGTGGTGTTATTATTGTCATCGTCGTAAGCAAGCATACGTGGTTGCCAAGGCTCCAAGTCAAGTGAGGCGACCGGCAGCGGCGAGATATTGGCCCCGTTAGCCATCGCAGACTTTAGACCAGCATTGTTGTAGAATGTCGGTCTGCAGTGGTGTCTTTACAGTCGTGGCGATAGAAAGGAGCAGTGCTCCTAGTTCTGAAGAAAGTGTCTGTTCATGGCTACGAAAGTACAAACACGAACCCTGTGGAATAGCTGCAGGTACAAAAGCGCTGTCTTTAGGCCAAACGGATAACTTAGATCCGGGGCTGGTGATGTGATGATGCGTCTAATCGTCAGTTTGCGTGTCGCGTGCAGAGCCTTGCAGAAGTTGGCGAACAAACTCTCTGTATGATTGGGAAATGTTGAACCAAGCGTGGTGCCCGGCTATAAGCCCACCACGGATCCAAGGGGCAACCCAGCTCCACTCGGGCTGTGTCAGTTGCCATAGGCTTGCCAAAATTGTATGCGTGCAGGTCCCTGCCCCCAAGGAACCGCACGCCGTGGAGCTTTTTCCCTTGCGATCTTCGCGGTCGAAGTTTTTGGTGCTAGCAGAGACCCGTTGCTTGTTCGCCTCTGGCGAGACCATCGACAATTTGAAAAGGGGCCATCGTGGCGAGCATGCGTCGCCGTTGAACTGTTGCTCTCATCATATCCGTCAGCGCCACACCTTCAATTCGTCGCGAATACGTCCAGCAGCTCTTTACCGGACGGTGCGCTTTCCGAACAGTGTAGTAAGTGCAGCTCATATTGAAGCCTTGACCGCCACTTCCATCGCCGTACGCTTTTCCAGCGCATGACAACCCACTCCAACAAAGTGGCTGACAACTCTTTGACAGACACCGTAATATGGACTAGTGACACCTCCGGACTCCCTCCACGTTGACCCTCTCCCCTCGATACCTCCGCACTTCAACATGCGAGGCAGCCACCTTCTCCCCCAGCGATTCCGCTCGCTCGGGAACAGCGACAGCTGGCTCAACCGAAACGTAACCTCGACGTTGGAAACTGTGTCGCGTGTTGCCTGCCAGCATCCCATTCATTCCATTGTTGCCATTGCTCTGATTGCCAGCACCTCGTACGTGGGTCTGTTGCAAGAGTCGCTCTTCGATACTGGCCTACCTTCGCTCTCCAAAAATGGCAAAGTCGATGTCGATGCGCTGCTTAAGGGCAGCAGATCTCTGGAACTCTCTCAGAATACCGACTGGAAGTGGATGCTACTCGATGACCAGCATATTCCCCAGACATCAGAGGTATACACTTCGCCAGAAATTCACGCACAGTGCAACTTACACCTGCAGAATATCGACCACTTCGCTCTGACTACGCTCATCTTCCCCGACTCGTCCTCCTCCCAGCTTGCTCCTCATGCAAGCTCGGTCGACATCCCAGACAATGTTACCGCGTCGAACGTCCCGAGCACGTCGAACGTACTGTCTCCATTTTCTCAAGATAGCGCTTTGGCTTTCTACACCCCTTACTCGGATGTTGCAGACTTCCTGCGCTCGGTACAAGAGCTCCCAGCCACCAGCGGAGCTGATCCGCTTGCTGCCGACAAGAAATGGACCATGAAGGCTTCCCGTATCAATGGCAATGGCCATGCATCGTACCGACTGTGGCTACAGGAAGGCTGGACATCGTTCGTGGACCTGATCAAGCATGCCGAAACACTTGACATCGTCATCATGGCTCTTGGCTACCTTTCCATGCACTTAACCTTCATCTCGCTATTCCTGTCCATGAAGCGCCTGGGCTCGAACGCCTGGCTGGCCGTGTCGGTCCTGTTCTCGAGTCTGTTCGCCTTTCTCTTTGGGCTGGCTACAACCACGAAGCTTGGTGTCCCAATTAACATGGTACTTCTGTCCGAAGGCCTTCCATTCTTGGTGGTTACCGTTGGCTTCGAAAAGTCCATTATACTCACCAAGGCGGTCTTATCGGCGTCTTATGATTCGAAGAGAAAGACTTCTGATAAGACTGGGCCGAACGGCCATGCTGTGGGACCGGGGGCATCGTTCAGCGCGCCGCCATCTATTCAAGACGCCATTCAATTGGCTGTCAAGGAGACTGGGTTCGAAATCGTCCGTGACTATGTCATCGAGATTGCTGTGCTTGTGGCAGGTGCTGCAACAGGTGTTCAGGGAGGACTCCGACAGTTCTGTTTTCTGGCCGCATGGATCTTGTTTTTCGACTGCGTTCTACTTTTCACATTCTATACCACCATCCTTTGCATTAAACTGGAAATCAACCGCATCAAGCGGCATGTCGCGCTTCGGAAGGCTCTCGAGGAAGATGGCATAAACCACCGGGTTGCGGAAAATGTGGCCAATAGCAATGACTGGCCCGGCGGTCAGAGCGACAAAGCTTCCGTTTTCAACCTCTTTGGCCAGAAAGTCAAGGCGAATAGCGTACCAAAGTTCAAGATCTGGATGGTCACCGGATTTGTCATGATCAATATCGTCAATTTATGCACCATCCCCTTCAGAGCGACCACGAGCATGAAGACGCCCGCCGCCACTATTTCGAGCGTCTTGACTCCGGCACCTATCGATCCTTTCAAGGTGGCTGAGAACGGTCTCGACAGCATCTATGTGGTCGCGAAGAGTAAACGGGTCGAAACCTATGTCACTGTGCTAGCGCCCATCAAATATGATCTAGAAAGTCCACCCCAGACCGACGACTTTGGCTTTTTCGATCACGAATACACCGATCAATTTTTCAATGTTGTAGGTGGACGAGTCATCGAAAGCTTACTCAAGAGCCTGGAAGATCCGGCCCTCAGCAAATGGGTCCTGATCGCGCTGACCTTGAGCGTCATCCTGAATGGCTATCTTTTCAACGCCGCGAGATGGAGCTTGAAGGAACCACATACTCCAATGACGTCGCCTGTTGTTCCTCAAATTGCGCCTCCAGCATCGCCTGTGATCAAGCGCAGCGAACCTGTCAATACCGAAGCGCCATCCACCCGGAGTAGGGAGGAGTGCGAGCAGATGGTGAAAGAGAAGAAGGCTGCCCATCTCAACGATGAGGAATTGATCGAACTCTCACTCCGTGGGAAAATTCCTGGATACGCCATCGAGAAGACGCTTGAGGACCCCAGCTTGATGACCAGGCTGGAATCATTTGTTCGTGCTGTGAAAGTCCGCAGAGCGGTCGTCTCCCGCACTCCAGCAACCAGAGAATCAACAGCCCTGCTCGAGTCGTCGAAGACTCCGTATAAGCACTTCAACTACGAACTTGTTCACGGTGCATGCTGCGAGAACGTCATCGGGTATCTACCACTGCCTCTTGGGGTTGCTGGACCGCTCTTGATCGACGGCCAGAATTATTTCATTCCCATGGCGACGACGGAAGGCGTCTTGGTGGCAAGTACCAGCCGGGGGTGCAAAGCCATCAACGCTGGCGGCGGTGCGGTGACTGTCGTAACGGGAGATGGCATGACCCGCGGTCCCTGTGTCAGCTTCCCAACTCTTGCCAGGGCTGGACAAGCTAAAGTTTGGCTTGACTCTGAACAAGGTAAAAAGGTTATGACGGACGCTTTTAACTCGACCAGCCGATTTGCTCGTTTGCAGACGCTGAAGACGGCACTAGCTGGAACCTATCTGTATATCCGCTTCAAAACGACAACAGGCGATGCCATGGGTATGAACATGATTTCCAAAGGCTGCGAGAAGGCCCTCGAGACCATGTCTACCACCGGAGGTTTTGATGACATGCACATCATTTCACTGTCCGGCAACTTCTGTACGGACAAGAAACCTGCAGCGGTCAATTGGATTGACGGCCGTGGCAAGGCGGTGGTCGCCGAAGCTATCATTCCTGGCGATGTGGTCAAAAATGTTCTCAAGAGTGATGTTGATGCAATGGTTGAGCTCAATACCGCCAAGAATCTCATCGGAAGTGCTATGGCTGGCAGCATTGGTGGCTTCAATGCGCACGCTTCGAACATCGTTACGGCCATCTTCCTGGCTACCGGTCAGGATCCAGCGCAGAACGTGGAGAGCAGCAACTGTATTACCATCATGAAAAAGTAAGTCTCACACGTATCCGACGACTGCAAAGCTAACTTTATCACAGCAATAATGGCAATCTCCAAATCAGCGTCTCCATGCCGTCGATTGAGGTGGGCACCATCGGTGGCGGCACTATCCTCGAGGCGCAGTCGGCCATGCTTGAAATGTTGGGTGTTAAGGGTGCACACCCGACCAACCCCGGTGACAACTCCAGAAGACTAGCGCAGATTGTGGCAGCAGGTGTGCTTGCCGGCGAGTTAAGTCTATGCGGTGCTCTTGCTGCCGGTCACCTTGTGAGAGCTCACATGGCACACAACCGCAGTGCCGCTCCCACGAGGACGGGCACTCCAGTCAGTTCGGCAGTGGAGCCTTTTGTTCGAGCCCAGAATGGGCCAAAAGTACCTGCGTCTTTGAAGATGACCAACGGAAGTAAATAAGAGCCAGTCAGCAGATGTTGAATGTATATAAGAATACCCCTGGGACGATGCCTGTACATACGGGGTGGGGGTGCAAGGCGTTCAAGCGGGCTGACGAGGACGATGCATAAGCGACTAATACTACTATATATATGAATGAAGACGGCCTCACGGTCAATAGCTGCAATTATCTTTGGTGTTGCTTTTGCAGGTCTCGTGATCAGGGCACCGGGCGGTAACAAGAACGGGCATGTGTTTCAGAAGAAGGGCGGGACAGGAGGGTTCGCGTAGGTAAAGCGCACCAAGGCGTTGACTTGCATATTAGCGCCCGCGATGCTGGTCCAGTCGACGGGCAAGAAGGATTGCTAGTGGAGTTCCACGGGCTCGAAACTTTGCGGGCTAGATGCTCGTCAGGGGCACCTAGCCATCGGATGGAGGCAGTCCAGTGAAATGTCGTGCTGGTTGGCCGCGCCTGAAGAGTGAACGAGGTTGCAATCGATTTTATATTGTGAGTGGGTGCCTAGATGTGTACACCATAAGATTTTCGTGAGGGCGCCTGAGGCCTGAACCTGAATCGCTTGAAGACGAAGTTGTTCGCACTCTGCTGGCGGGTACTAGTAGCAGGCTGCGCTCCGACACCCGAAGTTGCAATCACTGGACTCGACATTCCACACACCCCATCTCCTGAATTGTACCTTTTCCCACAACGCTCCTTTGTATCCCAAGGAAGCGGCTTCAACAGCAAGACGCCAGCTCCAACTCCAGCCTTCTATCCGCCGTCTAGCACAAGTGGTCATAGCGACCACATTCCGGACATCTGCGGTTGAATCTGTTCGCGACCGCCACTTCACGAACTCAGGCACCTTTTGCTTCACGAACATTTATACCAACAAGTCAAGCTCTACCGAGTTCAGTTCATGTAGCCTTCGTCTCTGTTTGTCGAAAATTGATTCGACTCCATGAACGCCCCCCTCCCGCCCCCGCCAAAGGGGCCGGACACCATGAGCCCCGTATCGGTCGGTAGCGAGTGGTCAGGCGTCAACAATTACAATACTACGGGTCCTCGCAGTGAGTCCTCGTACACTGCCTTCGACAGTCAGATCAGTCCCATGTCCGATGGAAACCCTCCCCGCACGAACGGTTTTGGGCCACCGCAGTTTGACTACCAGCAACGTCGCCCATCCGAAGCCGGTTCCAAACACTCCTCTCGCGCTCCTTCAATAGCTCCCTCACGTTCCAGTGACGGCACAATATCAGATCAGCAGAGCAGGAGATACAGGAGAATGGAAGCAGAGCTGGGCCAACACTACACCGTGCTCCGTGCATATCTAAGAGGAGGAAACGCACATCCACGACCGAACAAGGCACGAGACAAGCTCTTGAGGTTGTCGCCTATACAATTCCACGAGCTCAGTACAGATGTGTTCGACGAGCTCCAGCGTCGGCAAGCCCTTGCACCTGTCAACGGTCGCCCGCCACCTCCCAGGGATAGAGTTCCACCATTCCTACAACCACGACCAGACTTCCACGAGAAACGCAACCAGGCGCGCCAGAAACTCTCCTCGCTTCAGACACCAAGGTTTCGTGATCTATCTACCGACGTATTCTGCGAGCTCGAAAGGAGATTCCCTCAGTTTGCGAAACCTGATGGTCGTCCACAGTCCAGAGGTGGTCCACGCGGGCCAAATGGCGTTCCACCACGCGGCCATTCTGCGAATGCATCAGTGAGTAGTAACAGTGGCGCCTTTCCTCCTCGTGGCTCGTCCGGCGACGATTTTGGCCGACCCATGCAAAGACAGTTCCAGAGCAACACCATCACACCAAACAAAAGCATGATGATCGAGGATGAAGATGAGATGGCTGGTGTAGATTCGAGATACGACCGGTCCAGTGACGCGTTCGGCCTCGAGAGCGCCTTGACCAGTCCCAGAAGTGATCGAGACACCTCCGCTACGTCACAGAGTATCGGGAGCAAGACCGGAAACTTGCAGATGGCAAGCCTAGAAGCTGAAATCAGCGATTTGAAAGAACAGTTGAGGCAGAAGGACGTAACGCTTCAGCAATCCCAACCAAGCGCTGAGCAACAAGAACTACAGCAGGACCTCGATAATAAGCTCCGCGAAGCAGAACAATTGAATAGATCTATGAAAGATGAGCTCGATCGACTTCACCAGGAGCACGCCAGTGTTGAAAGAAGCCTGAGAGCGGAAATCGAGAGTGCTGAACAGGCCGGAAACAGCAGTCGAGCAGCACCCGAAATTACAAGAGAAAATGAAGAGCTGCGGGAACAGCTGCGAGAGCAACAAGAAATTATCGAAGACGTCCGAAAGCAGGCCATGGTATATCTGGAGGAGATGCGAGCCATGGCTGATTCAGGCGCCGGAAATTTCGAACGGGAGGACAAGCTACAGTCTGATGTACACCGGCTAGAAGAGGAGGTAAAGGAATGGAAAGCGAAGTATGTCCGAACGAAGACTCAGCTTCGCGGCATGCGAGCGAGCTCCCTTGGTCTCAGCATTTCCAGGACCGACGTAATGCAACATGCTCGAGATGGCGCCCTCTATGAAGAGGCAGGAGCTGTGAAAGATGTCCATGTCACGCGCTTTCAGATTGCCATTGATGAACTGCTTCGGGTTGCTCGCAGTGACCCAGCAGGTGTGCTGGAGCACATGAAATCGGTTGTGATAGCCGTCAGAAGCATTACTACGGATATCGACGCGGCTTCCCCATTGTTGAAGGACGAGGAGACAATGAAGAAGCGGTTGAAAATGAAGGGAAAGGTTTCTGCTACGGCCAACAATGTCATTACGGCCTCCAAGAACTATGCAGCGGCAGGAGGCTTGTCTCCCGTGAGCTTGCTAGATGCAGCAGCTTCACACTTAACCGCTGCTGTTGTCGATCTAGTCCGCTCAGTCAAGATCAAGCCCACCCCGCCCGGAGAACTGGAGGATAACGATGAGGGCAATCTGGAAGCGATACAGGACAATGGATATTTCAACATTGCAGAGAGTCTGAGGCGACGCAGTGCTGTTGACAGCATCTACAGTGCTATCAGCACTCCAGATCCTTCGAATGGCACTGGTAGACCTGGCTCCTCTGCTCATCGTCGCTCTAACTCGACATATACCAACGGCAACGGTCTCAATGGGGCGAGTAAAGGGCTCGGCATCAAGGCTGGACTGGGTATCGGACAAGAAGACGCGGATCTTGAGGATCTCAAGGTAATCACACTCTCCTGATGCTATCGGTTATGACTGACAGGTTTGTCCACAGATCTATATTGAGGATCAGTCCGACCAGCTTGTGGAGTCCATTCAAGTCCTTATTGAGGCTATACGTCGTGAGGAGTCGATCTCCAGCATTCGCAACAACATAGAACGCATCGCTAGCACCGTTGAGGCAGTCCTAGGAGCATCCGAGAGGGGCGGTCAGGAGCCGAGCTCTTATCGCAACGAATGGCAGGCCCAGACAGGACCCGTGCAGAACAACCTGGAGGACTGTAAGAACAAACTTCTCCAAGCCGGCGATGAGTCACAGAAGTACAATGGTAGTACTCCGGCAAAAGAGTTCACGCAGGGACTACCGCCAATTGCCTTTCAAGTAGCCAGGGAAACCAGGGAATTGGTGAGACGGATTCAGGGCATCAAGCCCGGTGGCGCCGGCAGCACCGGTGATGACGACTTCAGCTGATGGCTCCATATACAGCCACCGATGTCGAGATGTGTTCAACGAGCAGTCCGAGATGAGAAGCTACCTGGTACGAGTCAATAGTGTTAATGGTAAATATAAACGTATCGCCGTTTTGTACGAGTCGACGTTGCCGGACACCAGGCTGAGACTGACTCGCTTGACTACGGTCCTTGGCGGCGCCGGAAGCTCCTTTCTCTCGCCTCAGTTTCGGACTCATTGTCTACGGATTTCATGCCATATTCATCATAGATCTCAGTCCAGTCATCACCATCTCTTCTTTGTTCGGTGTATTATAGCCTGTATATTACCGTGATTGCATTTGAGGCGGAAACAAGCTGCCCTGAGAACTTGCAAGCTGCTCTGATACCCAAGTCAAACACGTTTGCCATTACCTACAGAGCCGGTCATCATCGTAACCATCTGTGAGTGATGTCCCATCCTCCGACCAGCTCCAGAAGCTATCACTGTTGCCTCATCTGCCATTCGAACCCGTGGCTGCTTGGTGAAGCGATACTGGATAGCTGGCCCGGACGCAAGAGCCTTCGGCAATTCACGTGACTACATAGCTTGGCGTTGCCCCTCACTGACTGCGCGTGTCACCTACTAGAAAAACATGGCGCTGCCCCTCCGGAACTCGATCTTCAAATCCCTTCGATCCCCACCATCTACTTCCATCCATCCTACTCGCATTACTTCTCCATCGCCCTTTCTAGCAAGATCATTCTCTGCTTCATCCGCCATCATGGGTCAAACTGCTTACTTCGACGTTCAATACCCCGGTGGTCAAGGCCGCATCAACTTCAACCTGTACGGTGACAAGGTCCCGAAGACTGCTGAGAACTTCCGCGCTCTCTGCACCGGCGAGAAGGGCTTCGGCTACGCTGGCTCCAAGTTCCACCGCGTCATTCCCCAGTTCATGCTTCAGGGCGGTGACTTCACCCGTGGCAACGTAAGTGGTTTTCAGGAGTGGTTAAGAATGGACACTAACATTTCGCACAGGGTACCGGCGGCAAGTCCATCTACGGTGAGAAATTCGCCGATGAGAACTTCTCCCTCAAGCACACCAAGCCTGGTCTCCTCTCCATGGCTAACGCTGGCCCCAACACGTAAGCTCTGTTTCACCTTGAATCTTAGCTGAAACTAATAACTAGATAGCAACGGTTCCCAGTTCTTCATCACCACCGTTGTCACTAGCTGGCTCGATGGCAAGCACGTCGTCTTCGGCGAGGTTGCGGACGATGAGAGCATGAAGCACGTCAAGGCTATCGAGGCTCTCGGCTCCAGCAGCGGCAAGCCCCGGGGCGACATCACCATCACGAGCGCCGGTGCTTCTTAGAGACTGCCTCCCTCTTGTGCAAGATGATGGACTACGAATCACAAGCACATACTCATTTCTATGATGCCTGCAAACATTTAGACGACAAGCGCTTGTGGCTACTGTTTGGGCAAGATGGCTTTTCGGTCATCAAGCTTGGACAGCTACAGCAAGCTTCTGCGGTAGTTCATATGCTTCAGTATCAAGCTGTACCCATGAGATGCAGGTATCGGCTGGTGCATAAGCTCATCAAAAGTTGATGCTCAATTCTCCATCCTACTAGCCCCGATTCTTACCATTTTCTTCCTTACTGTACCCAGTCCTCGCCCATTGCAGCTTGTCCGCTGGCAGCTGAAAATCTGAGGCCCGATAATTACCGTTTTGCCCCTCATCTGACAACATCGCGCCCCCCAAAAACATGGGCCCGCCTCATCAGCCAACAAAAACAGCCACAGCAGTACACATGCGGGGCAGCGGATCCTTCCGTATTTAGCTTCAATGGCGTGAGAGACCGCTGTGCCCCTCCTCCGTCATTAAGGCCTCGGGTTCTGCTTTCCCGGCCTGCCTCGAGGCTCTGTCCCCCTATTCTGCCCACTGTCGACGTGCTCTGATTCAGGGCTTGCTATCATTGACTGCGGTACAAACCCTCGTTCGTGCCGATGAAGGTCAGGGCACTGGCAGACGATGGCCGACCGCGCTCCGGCATGGCCTTAATACGTGTGGCTGTCCGCTATGGTCAGCCTTGCCATAGCGTTCACAACGTGCTTGTCAAGCAGGTGTTGGTTGCAACAGCTGCGCCCCGTATATACGCTATGGCTGGCCTCACTGAGCGTTCATGGCCGGCCACATGATGCGTATATCACATGGCGAGTCTGTCCTTCCAAGTTTTCTATTTTCTTCTCTTTACGGCTTTCCTTTCTTGATCTTCGATGCTCTGTTCCACAAGGACTTGTCACCATCAACTCGGCCACTCAGACTTTACGAGGCAGATGTCGGACGCTTTTCCACCGTGAACAACCGCCACGACGATGGCGTTGAGGCCGCATTTACGACTACAGCTATGCCAAATCTACAGATCTCAATCGACACTACGCATCTGTGCACTTGCGAGCTAGTACCTTCACCTGCCCTTGTGCCGAGTGTAAGAGACCTGTGATGGGGGGTGGATTTGTGAGGAAAGATGTGTTGGAGAGACACTGAAGAGCAGGAGCGTGTGCCTTTTTTGGTTGCTGGACCACTTTTGCATTTGAGATATATGGGCGACTCGAGCTACTGGGTAGGACGAATCTGAGCGAGTATTATTGCTTCTTCCACACTGTGCTGCAGAGGTACGATATACTGTTTCCCATTTTAATGCAATAGGGTCTCGGACGCGAGTCCATGGGTTTCATGACTGTCAAGCCTGATCCCGACACACTCAAGTCTATCAATTCACTCGCCACGCCTCGTATCAGGCGTAAACATCCTACACATCTGTCTGCCTCACTTTTCCCAGCCATTGGCCGGACTGGTTGACCGACCGCTCATGCTTGTATATGTGTATGGAGCAACGGCACTGAGTTGTAAGCAGCCACTTCGTCATCATGGTAGCCTTCAAATCAGAAGCATTCAGCCTGTCAATTGGCATCGCATGCCTATGCCCCTAAGATGCCCGGCGGATCTTCGCCGGATGTTCTTCTTCCTCTGACGACTCACTCTTCCAAGGCCGAGCTCTGTACCATGACGCGACGTGCCGTCAGAGAGAGCAGGCTCTCGCGCTACACTTCGCCTTGCCGCCTTCGTCTCGTGATCGGGCCACCGGCGTATCACGGTCTGCATCGAGTTCCCACAACACTATCACATCCCTTCTCAATTCACTCTACACACCACCGCTATAATGCCTTCTCCTTCTTGCCCCACATGTCGATCAGAAACGGCTTCCCCTGGAACCCATCCCAGTCCAGCCCCTTCCCTACTTCCCCCTCCGCACCCTCTCGATCTTTCAGCGGCAGCTCTCCTGGCCTCTTCACCACCAACCTCGCCACATCGTCACTATCCGTCCACCGGACCTCCCACGCCTCAGGCCCCCTCTCCGCCACCGCAGGCCCAAAATTGTCGCACGCAGGACTGGCCTCCAGCGCCTTGAACAAGCTCGTGATGGCCACGCCGTGCGTTGCGATCAACACCGTCCGATCTTTCCCGCTTGCCGCCGTCTTCGGCGCCTCCACCCCGACAATCCGTCCAAAGACGCGCTTCAACCTCCCGACAAAGACGTCAAAGTCCTCGACGCCAGGCCGCCCATCCGCGCTGCGCGGACTACTCATGTCGATGGCATCGTAGGACGCGCCTTCGAGCTGACCGAGCCCCTGGCCGCGGAGGTCGGCGTCTGCGTAGATAGATGGTGCTTGGCCACTGGCAGCGGCAGCACCAGAGGAAGTAGAGGAGATGAGGTCGAGAAAGGGCTGCACCGTTTGCACGATGCGCTGAAGCGGGGAGTGGTAGATGGCAGCGACGCCGTGCGGGTGCTCCGCGTGGAGCTTGCGTGCCAGGACGCCCGCTTCGGCGAGGCCTTTGGCCGTTAGCGAGGTGTCGCGGTGGCCTTGCAGGACGCGCTCTATGTTGTCTTGGGTTTCGCCGTGGCGGATGAAGAGGAGGTGGAGTTCGGGGTGGTGGCTGCTTGTGCTGCTGGCGCTGGCTGTTGTGGTCGATGACATCGTGGCTTGCACCAAAGGGGAATGGGGTGGTGAGGTTTGGCAACAGATGGGCGGGCTGGAATGCGTGCAGGAATGGCGGTGCTGTGATGTAGCTTGTCTCTGTATGAGGCTGGTTTCGTTGCTCGTGACTATTCTCCTAGCTGAAAGGTATATCAGTGCCGAGGTCTAAACTGACTTTACGGGGCCCCCCACACCCGTCACTCCACATGGCAAAGTTGGTAGGACCTTTCGACAGTTGCGTTAGATGAGGACATCATACTGTCCATGTAATAACACAGAACAGGTCTCGCGTTGAGTCGGTGTGCCTCACCTCGGAACGGATGGTCCAGCAGTCGTGGCCTCGTCGCGCTGACCTTTGATCTGCAGAGTTCTCCTTGAGAACCGTAACGGTAGGAGATATGCTCCCAGAACCGAGCACATCGCTCACTAGGAGTGACAAGCAGGGCGAATCATCGCAGCCAACCACTTTCGGGGGCCGAGCAGCACATTCTGCCTTTCCTTCCACTGGGTCTTGATCTGAATGTCTGAATTTTGCGGCCAATCTTCGCGGCCGCCCTCCCATTCAATCACCTTGGCCTAGGGGCCAAAAAGGCCACTGGTTCTTGAAGTCTCGCACCAGATCTTTGCTCTGCACCAAAACGCCAAGTTCCTGGCTTGTACCCCAGCTCGCAGCATCCATGTTCCCGCTCCCAAGCAACATCCTTTCATCATCCACAATCGTCACCTTGGCATGCAGCTTCACGGCCGTGGTCTCCTGGTCTTTCTTCCCCTCTTTAACCTCCCGCGCACCCAATCCGCCGGGAGAGCTCGGGGAGTCGAAGTAGTACACATTGAGACTACCGGGCAGCTTTTGGACTGAGCTGGACAGGCTGGAGAGGCATCGTGGCGTTGTGCTCCCGGCTGTCACGAGCTGTTCTGCCGTCATGAGGTTCTCATTGGTGCAAATGGTGATGGCGACGCCACGTGCAAGGGCGGCATGAAGGAGTGAGAGGACAGTGGGGGCGGTAACATTCGGAGTGAGGAGGATGATGGAGCGAGAGGCAGTACGCAGGAGATGCGAGGTAGTGGTGAGGAGAGGCGTTGGTGGGTGTGATGGAGGAACAGAGGGAACGCAGGGGAGTGAGCAGAAGAGGCGTTTGGGCGAGAGGTGTGGCGGCAGTAGAGACCAGGTATGCGGTGATGGGAGTAGTGCTGTAGGTATGCGGTTTGATGAAGACATTACTTTTGGTACCGTCTCGTGTTCGGCGTGAAATGCGTCGGGTCCCTGGGGCTGTGGGAGAGGAGGCAGTGGTTCGCCCTGTAGCCAAAAGTTGGTATGGAAGCTGAGCAGGTGGTCCACAACAGGCCCTCGCATGCTAATGGCGGTCTCAAACCAACGCTCCCATGAGATATTACACGATGGAAATATTGCAAGCTCACGGTCGATGATAACGTACTTTGAGTGGATGATACCGAACGGCCAGAAGAACTTGCGCGTTACGTTCAACTGAAGTCCGGGGATCTCACGCACGTCCGGAAGACCGAGTTTGGCCCACTTACTGGGACTGTAGATTTGGCCCCGCTGTGGTGTAGGAAGCAGCATGTTCCGCGCAAGTGATTTTGATGAGAAGCATATCTGGACACGAATCTTGGTAGAGGTCTCAGAAGCCTTGGCGGAAAGGGCAAGGAGCGCAGAACGGAGCGCACTACGTGTGGCAGAGTCGGCCCAGAAGCAGGTAACTAGAATGACCTCTTGCTGGGCTTGTGTTATCGCAGGTATGATAAGAGACTTGTAGAGGCTAAAGCCTGTTCCAGTAATGAGTGACAGAGGTTGACTTGGTTTATAATGGTTGCTAGAAGCTTCAGAAAAAAAGGCGCAGGATTCTGCAGGTGTCGGGCCCGCCTCAAGGTCGCGGTCCATTGGTTCATCGACAAGTCGGCGCGTGCTTGACGTGTCCATCTCAAGAGATTGAAGATACTGACGCGCGTTGAAGGGCATGTGGTCTGATACTGGATGTATGCTGCAGCTTTCTACCCCGATAGGTACGAGGCAAGCGGCGAAGTGCTCGCCACTGACATTATCATTGCTTAGAGTCGATCAGAGGAGTGTTCTGAAGCTTGTGCTGCCGGCTATAGAGGTCTCGAAGTTGGAACAAGGAAGGCAAACGGTGCTCAAATTAGGCGCCGACTCGAAACGACGTCACCCGCCAAGCGAGCTCGCAAGTCGTAGGCCAACTCACTACTGACTACAGTATCGCAATTGGTCTCTAGAATAGTCTCTCTGTAAGGCTACAAGAGCAAACAGCGACCAGGGGTGCATTGATGTTGTTCATCATCTTTGGAGACAGAAATAGGCATCCGTGTAGGAGTGCACTCACTAGCGCGTCACTCCACTGTAGCTGCCGGACGCTCAGCTTTGCATTTCCGATAACGCGTATCTCGCTAGAATCTTCGGTATATCGACTGTCTTAATGGGGTCCAGGTGGCATTCGGCCCTGGCAGACATGTGCGGGTATTTATGCGGGGAACCTGGCAGCTCAGTTTTTCACCCGCGAACAAGTACTGATCGACGTCCAACGGCACTTATATGCACTAAAACGCCGTACTCGCTTGCTCAAAACTCTCAAGCTTTGTCGTGGCAACAGCTTCGAGAAGCTTCAGGGGAGGATCCATCCCTGTCTGATGATCTCATGGTAGCAACTGTGACTACGCTTGTAGCCAGCTAGCCACCGCTTTGCGGGGTAGTGGAAGCAATGAGCAGAGTCCACTGGAGGTAGCAACCCGCAAGTCACGGCAGCTATGTTGCGAGCTGTGCGTCCAGTCAGCTTAATGCACTGGTGGTGGAAAATACTTATAGCACTTGCTGGCCTTACTGCTTTACTTGCTATCTCCCTTCATCCACAGGTCGATTGCGACAGCCAGGCAGTGAAAGCTTGGCCTGAAACCTCGACGAAAATGACCTGGACCATCTTTGCTCAAGCTCTGCTGTGTCTGACGCCGCTCTTAGCCGGTGCTCAGTCCGACACGGCTTCCACTGATGCTACAGCCAGCTCTACTTCATCCGTGTCTGCGCAATTTACAGTCCCCGCGTCTGCCGATGAGGGTGCTAATTTGCTGCCCAACATCTACGATCCGGACGCGATGGTCGCTCAAGTCGAATGTTCGGGGTACACCGCCAGTGAAGTCACTACTTCCTCAGCCGGCATCCGAGCTCGACTAAGCCTCGCTGGCGGTGCATGTAATGTTTACGGTAGCGATATCGATGAGTTGGATTTGGTGGTTGACTACCAGACTGACACCCGACTACATGTGTCGATTCAGCCCAGCCACATCACCGCAGACAATGAGAGTTGGTTCAATTTGCCTCCAGAACTAGTGCCTACTGCTGAGCAGGAGGACGGCAGTCCAGACTCGAGTGACCTTACCTTCTCTTGGGAGAACGACTCAGACGCCGGGTTTGGTTTCAATGTTACGCTTAACAGTACGGGCGAGGTCCTTTTTTCGACCATTGGAACCAAGCTTGTCTACGAAGACCAGTTCATTGAATTTGTCACGTTCCAGCCAGACGACTACAACCTCTACGGTCTTGGTGAGGTTATCCATGAGTTGAGGCTTGGCAATAACTTCACACGGACAATATACGCAGCAGACGTGGGCGATCCTATCGATCGAAATCTCTATGGCTCTCACCCTTTCTATCTGCAGACCAGATACTATGAGATCAGCAACGGCAGCGAGCCAACTCTTCTCACAAAATCAGAGGGCCTTCGTGATGCATCAGGCAACTATAGCTCCTATACCCACGGCGTCTATCTCAGAAACGCGCACGGCCAAGAGGTCCTGATGAATCCCAACAATGTCACTTGGCGCACTCTTGGAGGTAGCATTGATCTGTACTTCTTCTCGGGACCCACTCAGCCAAATACCACTCAACAGTATCTCGACGTGGTTGGAAGACCAACTATGCAGCAATACTGGGGCTTTGGGTTTCATCAATGCCGATGGGGCTACCAGAATTGGTCTGTCACAGAAGAGGTAGTGAACAGCTACGAAAGGTTCGGGATCCCGCTTGAGACAATCTGGAATGACATTGGTACGGATTCGCTCCTGGCGTCTTTGAAGCCGGACACTTACTAGCTCGACAGATTACATGCGCGGTTATCGTGATTTCGAGAACGACCAGACTAGATTCCCATACGACGAAGGTGCAGACTTCCTCCATCGTCTGCACGATAGTGGTCGCCATTACATCCCGATCATTGATGCCGCGATATACGCACCAAATCCTGACAACGAGAGTGATGCCTACCAACCTTTCACCACAGGCAACGAATCTGAAGTATGGCTGCTGAATCCAGATGAGTCGGTCTATATCGGAGCTGTTTGGCCGGGGTAAGTGTTACACATGACTTCGTTACAGAATCTTTGAGCAAGTGCGGGATAGTCACTAATTGTAGCGCAGATATACGGTCTTCCCTGACTGGCTCAAGGACGAGACGCACGATTGGTGGACAGGTGAAGTAATGTCCTACCATTCCAAGATCCCCATAGACGGCATTTGGATCGACATGAATGAGGTGTCTTCGTTCTGTGTCGGCTCCTGCGGCACCGGAAATCTCAGTCTCAACCCAGTCCATCCGTCGTTCGCCCTCAATGGAGAACCTGGACACATCCAGTATGACTATCCAGAAGGCTTCAATCTCACCAACCAGACCGAAGCAGCCTCTGCATCTGCTGCAAGCTCTTCCCAGGCAGCCGCCTCCTCGACCTCGGACTCTGCAGCCTCTAGCACGTCGAGCACGAGCTACCTCCACACCACACCCACTGCGGGTCTTCGTAACCTCAATCATCCGCCCTATGTGATAAATCATGTTCAAGAGGGTGCCGATCTAGCCGTCCATGCCGTCTCTCCCAACGCAACCCATCATAACGGTGTTCAGGAGTACGATGTCCACAACCTCTATGGCCATATGATCCTACAATCTACTTACCGCGCACTTCTCGCAACTATGCCTGGGAAGAGACCCTTCATCATCGGGCGCAGCACTTTCTCCGGCAGTGGCAACTACACGGGTCATTGGGGTGGCGATAATGCGTCTAAATTCTACTATATGTACTTCTCGATACCACAAGCACTGTCTTTCTCCTTGTTCGGCATTCCCATGTTCGGCGTTGATACATGCGGCTTCAACGGGAACTCGGACGAGGAGCTCTGTAACCGCTGGATGCAGCTGTCGGCCTTCTTCCCTTTCTACCGCAACCACAACACCCTTGCTACCAACAGTCAGGAGGCCTATGTCTGGGCAAGCGTTGCCGAAGCGAGTCGGATGGCTATGGCAATTCGATTCCAGCTCCTGCCGTACCTCTACACGCTCTTCTACTACGCTCATACACGCGCGGACACCGTCATGCGCGCGTTGGCGTGGGAGTTTCCCAACGATCCCTCGCTGGCAAGTGCGGATCGACAGTTCTTTCTCGGTCCGGCGATCCTTGTCACGCCCGTTCTCAATCAGGGCGATGAGACGGTCGATGGCATCTTCCCGGGCTTGATCGAGGGCACCGATCTGTACTACGACTGGTACAATCAGAGTCAGATCGAGGTACCAGGCCAGAAGAACACAACCATCGATGCCCCGTTAGGACATATACCGGTGTATATCCGTGGCGGAAACGTACTTGCGATGCAGCAACCGGCATTGACGACCAGAGATGCGAGAAAGACCGGGTGGAGTGTGCTGGTAGCACCCGGCGTGGACGGTTCGGCAAGCGGAAGTCTGTATCTGGACGATGGCGAGAGCTTGGAGCCGAATGCGACTAAGCTCGTCACTCTCACGGCTGCCGTGGCATCGACCGGGAATCTGAGTCTGCAGGTTGAGATCGAGGGCGACTTTGATGGGCTCGACACGCCTCTAGGCAACGTCACATTTCTGGACGTGCCGCAGAACAAAACAACGGCGTCGATCAATGGCGAAGAGGTCGGTAAGGTGAGTCATAACGCGACAAGCAACAGCGTGCTGGTGTCCGGTCTCGATCAGGCTCTGAACGGAAAGGCATGGGGAACAGGCTTCACTCTCACAGTCCAGTAGATTGGATCATCAACTGCAGTGGCTTCGGCTTCATAGAAAAAGAATTACAGGTCCATTGACGTGAGCTTGCATTTACTGCTTGGTACCACTCTCCGTAACGGGTTGAAACGGTATTGCGGTTGAGCAGCATGAAATCTTTCGTAGTAGTGCCACGAATAAGAATTACCGGTTTGCGTCCGAACTCGCCACTCCGGGCTCAGTCTGCTGCTCGTCCCGTTGCGCGTCAGTCCGTTCCACCCTGTCGACGGGTTGTGGTCGAGCTGTGGTCGTCAATCGCACATCGTCCTTGCCCGCGATGAAGGCCGTCCTCCCCGCAGGACGACCGATGATCTTGCCCTGACGGGCTTGTGCGCTGCGCTCGAAGTGCTCATCGGCTTCCTCCTCGGAACCTTTGGTGGCGCGACCGAGGCAGCAGCGTAGCATCCATACCAGGGGGAAGCCGTTGTCGCGGCGATAGTGCTTTGAGGTGTAGGCATTCGTTTCGCGCATTTTGTGGAGGCTGTAACTGAGAGAGTCGAAAGCGGGGAAGAAGTTGTGTGGTACCGAGCGAGGCAGAAAGAGAGATATATGTCCGAGGGCCACTGCATATTTTTAAAAGCATGGATTGGAAGCCGTCTTAGCGTACACGCTTGGTATACATAGAACAATTGAAGCGACCGATTCGGGGGGTTTGAGCCGCTCACCGCAGGCCAGGGGGCAGTATGGTTTAGGGAAAGTTCAATTCTGGCATGACTCAGGACACTCCGTACCCGGCACTGACTTCCAGGCTGTGGCGCTTATGAAGAGGAGTGTAACGTGGCTATCCCGATCTCAGCCACTGGGACGACTGCCGGGCGTGCCCGGGTGGTCCAGCTGACGCGAACGAGGCTGCACCTGATGGCGGCACCCTTGCAACTTTAATTAGTGGGTGATGTGTATCAGGCCTCCCTCAGCCCAGAGTGTCTGAACACTGCCGTAGGGCACTTATAGCTTTGTCGTGCCGAATCTCACTCACGCCTTCTTTTGCTTGCACCATCTGAAGAATCACAATTTACATCATGGCTTCATACGACAGCGAGTACGACACCCTGCGTGCGACTTTTGCTTCCCAACGCACCAAGTCCATCAAATGGAGAAAATGGCAGCTGAAGCAGTTCTGGTGGATGTTGGAAGATAACGAGCAGCGCTGGCTGGATGCCTTAACCACTGATCTCGGCCGCCACCCTTTCGAGTCGGCCACCTTTGAGATCCAAAGCTACAAGCGCGACGTTCTTCGTGCACTGGAGAACGTCGAGAAGTGGGCAGCTGGCAGTGCCCCGGATGGCGCTGGCTTGTTCTTTGGCAAGATAGGCCAGGCCTGGTTGAGGAAGGAGCCACTCGGTGTTGCCCTCATCATTGGTATAGTACAGAGCTTGACCTACATGACCGCTTTTCACTGACCACCATAGGCGCTTTCAACTTTCCCCTGGCTACTTTAGTAAACCCTGCCATCGGTGCGGTCGCGGCCGGTAAGTGGAGTTCATCTGATAATGATGCCGTTCACTAAGGCACAATTAGGCAATTGCGTGGTCCTGAAGCCTTCTGAGCTGTGCAAAGCAACCCAAGACCTCCTTATCGAGCTGGCTCCCAAGTACCTGGATAACTCAGCCATCAAGGTCATCACTGGTGGCGCCGATGAGGTTGGCAAGCTCCTCGGGTACAAGTGGGACACTATCTTCTACACAGGCGGTAGCAAAGTCGCCCGTATTATCGCGAGCGCCGCAGCCAAGAACTTGACGCCCGTCACCCTCGAACTCGGTGGCCAGGATCCTGTCATTGTCGGCAAAAGCGCCAATGTCGATCTGGCGGCCAAACGCATTGCCAATGCTAAATTCGTCAACGCAGGCCAGGTCTGTGTGAACGCTAACCATATCTTCGCCGACCCTGCCATTCACGACCAGCTGGTGGAACGTCTGATCTACTGGAACAAGGAGTTCACCAAGACCGACGGCTCACTCGCTAGCATTGTCAACGAACGGCATTTCGATCGCATCTCCAACCTCCTCAAGGGCACTAAGGGTGATGTTGTCTATAGCGGAACTTCCGACCGCACCAAGCGGTATATCCATCCTACCGTGGTCAAAAACGTCCAGCTCAACGACTCTCTGATGAGTGAAGAGTTGTTTGGTCCTATCGCTCCTGTATTATCCTCGACCGTTGACGATGCTATTAGTGTGGTCAACTCGATGCCGCACGCACTTGCGCTTTATATCTTTAGCAATGACAAGGCTGAAATCGACAAGATTCTCGATGCAACCAATTCCGGCGGTGTCACCATCAACGATGTGATGATTCATGTAGCTGTCCCCGGTGCACCTTTTGGAGGTGTGGGCGAGTCAGGCAACGGCGCTCAAGGTGGCAAATATACATTTGACGCCTTTTCTCATACTCGCACTGTCTTGAGTATGCCTGGCTGGATGGAGAAGGTCTTGAGCTTTCGGTATCCGCCCTTTGATTTGAGCAAGATGGGGATGGCCAAAGTGAAGGGCGGAAGCCTTATCGGCAAGAGAGGCCAGACTATGGAAGAGCAGACTGTGGGTGGTGGCTTCAGTGCCACCGGAGTGATTGGCAAGGCCTTGCTGGTTACAGCCGTGCTGGTCGGCTTGGACCGCGCCAGTGGCGGCAGGATGTTGATCACTAAGACTTTAGGTGATGTTTTGCAGCGTGTCCGACGATGAGTTGGACTGGCAGCTCGAACGTTGGAACAATCCCGACCTACTGGAAGCCATGGGTGACGACGAAAGGCTACGTTGACTCCCCGTCAAGTTGATAGGCAATGTATACATTACTAGGCGGATCTGCGCCGCAAATAGGCAACCAGAGTCTAACATCTGACCCCATTGGTACGTATTCGCCCTAATGAAAATGCACTAACGAGGCTCCCCGCAAAGCCTCAACGGGCAGCTGAAGATTCGTCCTGGTTCCGCCGAGGAGTCCGAATCTGCACAGGGTGGACCGGCATAGAGTTCCTCCAGGGGCGCCTGAATATCACACCTATATATTTAGGAGGGGAGGTAACGACGCAATGAGACTTCTCTCTATGTACAGGAGGTTCCCTGCCTGATCATTCGATCGATACACCTATTCCCTTCCAGTCTCAGCTCAACATTAAGCGTCTGAGAAGACTGTGAACGAATCACGCCGGTGTACTGCAAGTACCCCAGCTTCTCTCCTCGTTTGCCGACGCGCCAGCTCTCAAAAATGGGCATCAAAATCGTCGTCGGCCTTATGGGGTCGTCGGTCGCCAGGGGCGCCGACACGCTCCAAAAGACCGCCGGCATGCAGTCCTTCCTGGATGTCTGCCGGCGCCACAAGGTTACCGAGCTGGATACGGCACGCGTCTACGCCGGCGGCAAATCCGAGGAGGTTGCCGGGGCCGTGTCCGCCTGCACGCAGTTCGCCGTCTCCACGAAAGCCCCAGCTTTCTCACCCAACTCCCTCACCTACGACAAGATCGTCGCCAACTGCAACGCTTCTCTCAAGGCGCTGCAGACGGACAGGGTCGATATTTACTACCTTCATGGACCTGACCGCGCCACGCCGCTGGAGGACCAGTGCCGCGCTATCGGTGACTTGTATGCGCAGGGCAGGTTCGCCCGATTTGGTGTCAGCAACATCAGCCCGGCGGAGGTGCAGTCCATCTACGACATTTGCCAGCGCGAGGGCTATCCGCTGCCCAAAATCTATCAGGGTGGGTACAACCCCATCGGCCGGGGGCCGGAGGGGGAACTATTTCCGCTGCTGAAGAAGCTCGGCATGGGTTTCTATGCCTTCAGCCCCCTTGGAGGCGGACTGCTGGCGAAACCGATCGAGGAGCTACTGAAGCCCAAGCCCGGCACGCGCTTCGACGAGATGAAGATCTTTGGCGACATATATCTGACGGAGGAGATCACGGCCGGGCTGAAGGAGGTGCAACGCGTGTGCGATGCGCAGGGCGTGCCGCTGATGGAGGCGACGATGCGCTGGTTCCGCTGGCACAGCGTGCTGGCGGAGGAGTGGGGTGGAGAGGAGAACGGCGTCATCGTTGGGGCGAGCAGCGATGCGCAGCTGGAGGAAAGTCTCAAGGCGTGGGAAGGGGAGAAGCTTCCGCAGCAAATCCTCGATGCTTGGGACGCTTTACATCGCGGTTTGGTGGAGAACGGCAAGCTGCCTATGTACCATAGTTGAGGGTGTTCGAAGTCTCATAATTTCCACAGTGGTTGCTCCAGCTTACTTGATCATTGACTACACAGTTGCAGATGACTTTCACTCCTGTAGCCAGTTTGGTCTATTGTAGCTGTGATGCCAAGACATATACTTCGCCTTTCACAGTACCGCCACACCCGCAAATCTGTTCACATGGATTAGGAACTCGTATACAGCGTTTAAGATGGGTCAATCTACGCATGGTTAGCGTCTCATGATCTCCAGATCAATACTGCGGCTAAGCACGGATGGATCGATTTCACATTTTACGCCAGCAAGCCGTGCACAGCGATAGCTACTCACCGAGACCATTTCCCGCGGGGACCATAGTACCTTTCCCGAGTCTCAAACTATTTTACACGGAAATTAGTGAGTATGTTATGGCACAGCAATGCTGCGAACGCCAAAGTGATTCGATGCATAGTTCCTGCGCTATTGGTTCCTACGGGCGCCGTATCACTGCCTGATCCAGGGTTTACTGCCCTCCCACTTCTGCGACTGTTGGTACGGTTACTGCTAATGAGTTGTCCTAGCATTGGTCACAAAGCAGAGCAGCACCGACCTCTATACCAGTTCAGACCCTACTTGTTCATCTGCTAATACCGCTGTGCGGCGTACGTCATCTTGTACCCGAAACCCACGCACCAGGCACATCTCTGCATCAAACCGTGCTCCTCCTTCAGCTACATGCCTTGCGCCTGGCCACCATCAACGTCTCCGAAAGTCTTTGGTGCGGGTTGATTCGTTGGGATCTGGCTTGGGCTCCCGCCGGCCCTTTCCTCCTCGCGAACGCGGCCGAGCCGTCGTAGAGCCTGCCTGTAGTAGGCGAGCGATGCAGGGCGATGGCGTAGGCGGCAGAGTTGAAACGCAAGCCTGGAGCGTGTGGAAGCGGGACAGGGTCAGGGCGTACAGCCGGTGAAGAGAGAAACGCTATCGTTGAGTCCGTGTAGATTCGTCACGCTTCTCCGAGGCTGCTCTCTGCTGCTCCCATGGGGGCCGTGGTCAGCCCGCACAGGACAATAAGCAGGTATAGGTTGACCTAGATTTCCCACGATTGCAGTAGGGCCCGCAGCAGTCGTATGCGGAAGTCCAGGATGATGCTGTATTGCTGCCATCTCAATAATTGGGGGTACAGAAGCAATAGGGTCGTGTGTGTCTGCACGTTGCGGACCCCCAAAAAGGTCTATCAGAGTATCAGGAGCGTAGCTACCGTTGTACAACGGTACCTTGGCTTTTCCATGATTTTCAGGCAGATATCTTCTCGGTTTGAGGGCTCCAACAATTCGACGCAGGTCCAAGCATCGTATTCTGCCGAGAGAACTGCTCGGACTCAGATAATGCAAGATCGGACGCTCGTCTGAACCTCTGAACTTCGCCGGTATGTCGCTGTTGGTGCAGGGGATGCGCATGACGCCTTCCCACCCGAAGTGCTCTGGAGGTGTAATTCCACGCATAGTAGTGCTGAGGTCACAAAGCTCGTCGTACTGCCAGCCAACGAGGGACGAAGCTGGCTTCCGACCAAGACAACTCCAAAAGCATGACATCTTGCATATGCTCTCCAGCTGCGGCATGAGCTCGAAAAGCCAGCTATATTGATCAGCCTTACCCTCGTGAATGCAAACTTCGAGGATGTCTCGAGCCTATTTCGAGCCTCTTTTGCCCAAGGTGGAATGATAGCACCATCGTTGAAGTGGTTGACCGTCTCGAAGACCCACTCACTCCATGTGAGATATGCTCTGGCGCCCAGCCAGTGCTCGACCTCATACAAGGCGTAGACATTGCTGAAGAGAAGAGCACCTGGCTTCTCACTCGTATCAGAGCCTGTGATGTGGATAGCATCTCCCACACGGTCATGAACATATTGAACTTGCTCAAAGAAGCGTTCGTCGGTGTAGTGGTGGGTTGAGAGGCGAAGGGTCGGAACGGGGACGTCGACCACTAGGTCGGAGGGGTAAAATGGACCTGAGTCAAATTTAGGTCATGATAGCTAGACAGACATGTTACTGTGAGTAGCGACGCCACGTAGACTCAAAGATTGTGGCCATATATATAGGCCCAAGTAGACTTCAATGACGCTTCTGTCTCAATAAAGTCCTCTGCAGTCTTTTGTATGCTCATGATTTCAGAATCTGCTACTTACTGCAAGGGAGTCAAAACTGCTCCACGAGAGGCATCATCGGCTGTTGGAGAATTTTGGAGGCGCAAATGACTTCTGCAAACTCAGAGCGGAACCAAAGCTGAGATATCGACCAGAGTAGCTGTTAGGTGGCTGTTGAGCAACCGGCGACTGAACCGGTGGGCTTGATCCAGGTTGTCCAACAATCCAACAAGCCTCACAAACGATGCACCACGAAAATGGACTTATGTCTAAATTGTATACAACAAAGACAACAGGCGCGTAGAGAGCTAAAAGGGGTGACAATAGTGGAGATCTTTCTGGCGGTGACGCTAGCTGCAACTACTGCCTGAGATTCTGCCTCATCTATATGTGACCGGCAAGTGAACCAAATTGAAGGGTACCTTCAGCCTCAGAGGACCTCCAAATGACAGTCAGTGTCAGCCCAGATGGAGGTGCGAGATAAATCAGCCCGAGGCAGCACCAAGTAGAGCCTGTCTTGGCGCTGGAAAGGCTGGGTGCCCCTGGTTGCCTTGCCGCCTTATCGATGCCGAGTATGACCTGTGACCTCAAGCCCCACATCTGTGGCTCGTCAATTCGATGCCGGTGTAGAGTCTTGCTGGTATCCTTGCTAGCCGGACCCTAGCCAATCGCCGAAGGCCTCCCCTGAGCTCGCTGATAGCGCCTCTCCTTAAGATCCAACTCAGCCTGCCATTCCGTCGACCATTCCTTCAGCTCCTTCAAGCACGTTTTGCCGAGGGCCGCCTTACGATCATCGCCTAGCAGCTGTCGGAATTGTGCGTCTTTCTTGATGAGCACCTTCTCCATCCAGGTCACAAAGCTCCCCATGCAGTGACGAGGCCAATCTATGCCCTTGGGAGCAGGCTTGAGCTTGTACTCACCAGAAGCAACAGCTCGAGGCTCGGCATGCTTCGCGTAGCAGAATCTCTCAATTCTTGCGCCCCATCGGCGGTATGCTTCCCTCATAATTGCATTGTAGTCTGTTAGAGGCTCGGGGCCTTCGAGGGCGATGACCTGCGGGAGGAGGACCGATAGGTGATGGTTGACTTCGATGTAGCCAGCTGCGTTGTAGTACGTGCTGTCCGATTGGTCAAGGTCAGCAGGCTTGTCCATGGGGCGTGGCGCTTCCAGGACGGTGGTATGCTTGATGCCTTGTACTGCACCAGAGTCACTGGCGGCCGAGAGTATTCCGACAAAGGGATTGACAAAATCGAGGTCATAGAGCGGTGGTCCTGCAACGTCAAGGGGAGGGACCCGTTGTTGATGCATAGAAGTCGCTAGTCCAGCGTTGCTGGCTGGGGTCTGTCTGTCTGGTGTGCTTGGGCTAGACATCTTGCCGGGAGAAAGATAACAAGGGTGATAGATAGGTAGCGAGGCCGACGTTGTGGATCGGAGTGTCTGGGAGTATGTTGCAGGCGACCTATCTGCTTTGTTGTGATCGTAGATACCGGTGCTTGAGCACTGACAGGAGGGTAGATACAGATGCGCCTTTTGTACATCTTCGAAAGTAAAGAAGAAATCCCGTGTTCACACGGCAGAGCAGCACTTCCAGCATCAACCTGGTGTCGAAGTGACTTCAGATAATTAGATATACCTAGAGCTATTGTTGTAATAGTGAAAGCTGGGATGTGAAAACCACCATCTGGGGCTGGCTTTTATGGTATTCATCGCTGTCGCCATTGATCATCCATTCATCTTCACTGTGTGCGGATGGAGATGAGCTGCTTCTATGGCACCAAAGCCCAGGCTTCGCCGGCTGGGCTCCATTCATCCTGGTCACTACTTTCAGTGGCGAAGTGAATGAAGTCCATCAAAAGCATAGCAGCACTGGTGATAGAGCGCAGGGGTGAAGATATTATGAAATGCGGGGAGCATCTTAATTCCTTTCAATCACCTTGGCCTGGATCTCCATCTTGCGATGACTGATGGCAACTAAGAAGCCAGTAAAGTCTGACAGAGGCGGGGAAGGTTTCATAGGTGGTTCTGACAAGGTTTTGATAGACATGATAGAGGCCAGAGTAACCATGACCTCTTTGCTCCTGTGATGGAGTTTGGTATAGTCGGCGCTGGTGTGGTTGCCTGCAATACTACTTGATAACAATCAGTCAGCTCCGAAATGCAGACCAGCAGCTCAAGGGCGAGCAGATGCAAAGAAGAAATATTATGCCAGCACTCTTCCCGCTGAAATACCCCGAGAAAACATCAAAGAAGCCAATGATAGTAGCTTTAGATCAAGGTTGATTGGCATCTCATGCGTTAGCCAAACACAAACTTCTTCCAGTTTCTTTTAAGCTGTTGGACCCCTTGTAGGAGCTGCCAGCCTTTGATTTCGCAAATCTTCAGCACGATTTCCTTGAGGAGTTGGTCCATTTTCTCTCCGGCACAATGAAAATCGCTCTCAACCAGTATCCTGTCGTCAGGTAGGGCTTTGATGACAGCTTCGGCCTTTGCCGCGGCAGGAGTCGAGAAGTTAATACATATTGAGAAGGAGAAGTAGATATCGGCCGGCACCGTGTTAGCAAGGAACTGCTTGAGCGCATCTGGAGGACCGGAGTAAGAGTGCATGCAAATCCTAGGCGGATAACGTCGCGGGCTTTCATTCTCGGTGGTTTGCTTATCATGATCGTCAGGATGGAGATTTGAACTGCTTCGCTGGCGCTTTTGTTCTCGCTTAGATGGCTTCTCGTTACCCTTCCAGAGCTCTTGAAGCAAGTCGAAGATCGCCCCATGTGTTTGCACGCTGTGAACGGAGACAGGTCGTTTGTATTTCCCAGCGAGCTCGAATTGTGCCTTCAAGATGACCTTCTGGTGATCGAGACCGACTCGATAGGGCGTCAGAGGCCTACCCTCGCGGGAACCTGGCGTGTACTCTTCTTTAGACCCACCTGTCTTCTCCGACAGGTCGCCAGCCGAGACAAACACAGCTCTCGGTAATCTAAAAGCTCGATCGAGACCGATCTCGCCCACCAGTGCCAGAGGAAACCGCTCTAACCGTGCTGAAGTCTCATCAAGGTATCTCGCAAGTGACACAACCTCCGGAAGAGATTTGAGGAACTCATCATCTTCAGGGGCTGGCGTCAGCACCGCTCTGTAGTGTTCTATTGCGTTTACCTGCTCCGGGGAGTTGCGATCATCGTACATTTGGTACGAGAACCATGGATGCCAGCCAAAAGCCGGAACAACAGCTTTTCGATCACGATTACCAGCTTCTCCTTTCGAGCCGACAGCATACCTATCGGCAGTATCCACGACAAGGTCTTGGTCCTCACGGCGGGAAGCCATTACTGTGAGAGCCTGAGCGTTCATACTGGCGATGTCCTGGATTGACGCCATGATGTCAGTGGGGTGGCAGTGAGCATCAAAGACACCCGCTTCCCACATGGCCTTCTCATCGCTTGCCGATGAAGACATGATGTCGCGTTTGGTACCCAAGAAAGAAGATCTATCGCGCAGTAAATGCAGTGGGGCCAGAGATTGAGCTGGAGATGAGGGAAGTACTGCAAGGTCTGATTCAAGGACTTGGCAAAATGCCGGTGTTCACCGTCGGCGCAATGATGCACAGGCGTCAACAGGCGTCAACAGCTCGAAAATGATACTCTATCTAACTCCTATGGATGAGAGGCTGCTCTCTGAGACATAAGCCATCTATAGATGGGCAAGAAAAGCGTTGCTACAATGGCCGCGTGGCAATAGTCCTGCTCACCCGCAGCGTCTACTGAAATCAGTGTCCTCAAACTCCAGTCGCGGCAGGGCATGCCCACGCCAATGCTCTCATAACTCCTAAACTTCGTAAAGGGCTCTGTCATCCCAAAGATCCAACGTGTTGTCGTCAAGGCTCTCGTATCCTGTGTCATTACTCGCCATGCTTTGCCTTCTCTTCTGCCGCACCACAAACCATGTGCTCGACTGACAGTCAGCGATCGGACAGTCTGCGCGCGGCATGAACGAGCCCACCTGGTTAATATGCTGATCGAGCTCAGGTAGCCTAGCGATCAGGTATGTAAGAGCAGCGGCTGTCAGAATGGTAGTCGTCTTATTTGTCTCTAGTGTCCGAGAGGCGAAGACCAGCTGCGCCTGCTCAACACTGTTCTCTTGGTCCAGAACCATCAGGGTTTTGGCACAATGCAAGCAATTCTCAATATCTGCCCGCGCCGAAATTGGCGTTGATGAGTCGATGAAGAATGGTCCTGGGGTGTGAAGGCCTGGAGAAGTACCCTCGGCAGGCTTATGCAGACGCAAGATATCGGACGCTCTCAAGTGAAATGTATTGCGGTTCGATTTGCCGAACAACGCATGGGCTGCAAGTGCTCGGAGCTGCGCTGCAGAGTCCTGAGGAGCAATCTTCAGCGCCAGAGACAACTGGTCTTGGAGCAAGCCAGTCTCTTCAGGGTTTTGCATAGATGTCTCAAAGACTCGTCGCAGTGCTGCAGTGGATCTCCACGCGGCAATGGCATCTAGAGGCGATCTAATGGCATGGTCATCGACAACAACATCCATGAGAGTGTCTTCCGCTTGATCGTGCGTCGGACGATCATACATTAGATTGTACGCCCTCTGAATAACCGTGTCGGTGAAAACATCTTCGCATTCCATGGCGAGCAGTGCAGCAAGATTATTCGGAAGGCGTTCAGAATCGTGAGCTTTAGTTTCCATTTGGAGCCGCCTGGCATGCTGCCATTCGCGAGCTGCAAAGAACTTGGCAACGCCGTTGGCAAAACGGTACGGGGCACTGTCCCGTTGCCCGACGTTCCAGAGCAAGACTCGACAGTGCAAGGACTTTTGCATCAGACGTATCGGTGTCTTCGGTAGCGTGCCGGATCCAAAGCTCGTCAGGACCACTCGAGATCGACTGACTTCGACATCGCCACCAGCAAGCTGTGCATCGATAGCGATATCCCATGCTTTGATACGAGCTGCATCATCTTCTATTGCCCGGCCAGTGAGCCAGAAGTACGCTTGGTACCCAAAAGTGCATCTGACCACGTAGTTGATCCATTCCGCCGTCACTGCCATCCATTCAGGAAAGAAGTTGTGGTGAGGAAGCTTCAGCACTTGCATGCTTGTACTCCATGCTCTGCGTCTTACTTCGATAGGAGACGCAGGGACTGGTGCCTGGTCGGAGGGTAAACGTTCCTCTTCAAAGTTCTCCTTTCGAGGTGGCTTCGAATTGAAAAGGTAGGTGAAGATGAGGAATGCAGCGATCGTCAATGCCAGGAAACCTTTGGCCAAAGGCAGGACACCTCCAGCCCGGCAGAATTGCGCGAATGCAGAAAGGTAGATTCGAGGGGATCTTAGAAACTCCCAGCCGTCGAGCAGCTCGAGAGGGATGCCGAACAGCCCTTTTTGACCGGAGTCAGAGTCATGCTCGTGTTCTGAGAAACCCTCCATGACCATGAGTCCGGCTAGGGAGCCGAGCATAACACGCCTGGGCCATTTGCCTTTCAGAACGGAGTTTTGCGAACTCGAACTGTAAATGTGACCGTAGTGTTCTTGCGTCTGACTCTGACGCAGTCGTCGCCAGGAGTCGGGGATTGGAATGAGTCCCTGGACGGGCTGGGCGGGTTTGGATTCCTGGTCATCCGAGGTGGTGTCATTGCTCGGCCCCGTGGTCGCAGACCCACCTTCAATAAGGGATTCGCTTGTGAAAGCAGTAGCGCGGTGGGAATCGTGGCCGCCTTGGGCTATGACTTTGTCTAGGGTCTCCAGGCGTTCCTTGAGCGACCGATTTTCGTCTTCCAGGCGCTTCGTGCGGAACTCGAGGTGTCGAATGTACTCGACAGCTTTAGTCAGGATCGAGGCTTTGTTGAGTTTGTTGCTTGGGGTTAGCCCATTAAGATCCTCATCCTCGCTTTCCGCCCCCAGGCCATCTGTAACCCTCGCCTTTTGGGTCGTGCGCAGGCTGGGGACGCTATCCCTGAGTTCCGCAATCTTCTCGTTGAGATTTGCCCGATAGCGCTTCTCAATTATGTTATGCGGTCTCTTCTTGGCGGCCGGAGGAGGCAGTTCCCGCAGTGGTACGATACCGTTCGTATCGTTTGGGGATAGCTTGCGTTTCAGAGGCCGCGCGTTGATGGGCGATGTGTCGTCACGTAAGGTTTCACCGGACAGCCTAACATCTGTGCTAGGTCGAGTATCTGGAGAACTGGAGCTGTGTCTTGGAGTCGGTAGGTCGTACACTGAGGGGGCGGTGAGCGATTGAGGCTGAGCTGTAGCAAAGCTGAAGTCGTGATGGGTGGCCGACAGTGGTGAGATGGGGAGAATGGGTGCCTGCGTGACCTTCACGTCTGGCATGGAGGTGTCAATGCCGTTGGTGGCACCTCCCCAGTCAAAGAGATTGTCGAACTCTTCTTCCGTGCGGTCCATGGCGTCAGGGGGCGGCATCGCGCAGCAGATAGTTTCGTGGGTCGGAGGCAAATCGGGAGGCGTGCTGGGCCATATATAGGGAAAATATGACGGTCGACGATCTGCTGTTGAAGCTGCACCGTACAACAGGGAAGCAAAGTTGCTCAGACTGCTCGAGGGGTGCACCAACTGGTAGAGGTGTACTGGCTTGCGCCGAATGAATTGGGAGGGGCGGACCAGGGGCCGTGCTCAGCCAGTCACGAGCAAGCCTCGAGCCCGGGCAGGTTTGCAGCCGAAGCTAAGCCACAGTCCGATAACGACAACAAACCCTGGAGATCACTTCGCCTGGGCTTTTCCGGCCAATTGTCTGCTGCTCGGAGCGCGCTTAGTACCAACGGTTGGCTCTCCGCGCGCTCATATAATCATCCGATAGGGGACTTCGCTCAAACTGCACACGCTGTTGTCAGTAAGAACTCGAAGATCGTATGGAAGGAGAGGCTCAGCCTCTTGCAAGCGACTCCCTCGACCCTCGGATCCCGGGTAGGACGTATCGTCTCCCATTTCATGCACCAACAAGCACAGTTCTGACTGCTTCAACATGCCGGAAGAGGCATAGAGAACGATTCGGTGGCAAGTTGCTAGCAATACACCTTGGCGATCCAGAAGGACCAACCTTCCGGTCAGGATCCAGCGGGAATTCATCCTGCTAATAGGTTCAATCAACTGACCGTGTTCGAGGTCTCTCAGAGACCCTCCCACTTCCAGATCTGACCTCGCATTTACCCTCCAGACTTCGAAACGAGTCCGAGAAGAGTTTGATGTGCTAGTAGTGAGGAATCGTCTGTCGATACCCCGAAGACGAGTCTGAACCTGCTACCACATCCGAAGGTGCCGTGCGATGACGGCGCTCCATAACCTTCACCGCTGCGGCAAAGTAAAGCCTGACGGCTTTGACGCAGTGCTACAGATTGATTATCTTCGATTGCAGATATGCGTCTGCGCTCATGTTGAATTGCTACCCTGAATCAGACCATTAATACAAAGAGCGCCAGCGTACTTTGCCTCACGGGGCTCGTGCTTCGACTGCATGTCACCGTCGATATTCCAAGAGCATGTCCTTCGAAAGCAAGGGAACAAACGGCCAGCAAGCCGTCCCAGTTAGGCTACTACGGGTGATCAACACAAACATCAATAAACGCACTTATACCCTCGAAGGCTGAGGCATAGCAAGTCGATCCCTCAAGATCATCCCCCTACCGAGTGGCTTATTTGGTGCACCCAGCTGACCAAGTGGATCCAACATCACATGCACTGGCTACGAGTTATACAACAGGATATGCTACCCTGAAGTACGTGGTTAAACGTGGCAGCCCATAGACAGGTCCGCAGCCTGTTGATCATGGCATGGAAAGGTCTACGCCGAGTCATGCACATACCTACAGAGTGAAGATCTGTTACACCTCTTCGATGGCGCATGCAAAACTGGGACCACCTCAAGCAGCGAGAATGGACAGTACTCATTCGAGGTTTGCTTTGCGGGGTTCGTGTTGGAGTTCTCCGTACCACGGGGGTTACTAGACCTAGGGACGTGCAGAAATAGCTGCAGTGTCTATAGGTGGGTGTCACTTTAGTGACTGGGGAATGGACTCACGGCAATTGACACATTGGCTAAGCAGAGCATTGGCACTTGAGCGTGCTGAAAACTTCGCCATCACGAGTGGTAAAATGCATTTCTTGGATATTTAGTTGAGTGTGTCTCTGCCTTGTTCACTCCACAACAGTGTAGTGTTATGAATTTTCTTTACGTCAGGCCACAGCAATCGTGGTCTTCAGAAAATATCCTATTGCAGGCTTTGGACGGCTCTTTGTCTCCACGAGTCCAGTGGACAGCCTTCTTCAAGGCTACGTGTCGTCGGCGATACCAGACAGTGTCGTCAATGCCAGGCACTAGTATTTAGGGAGAGCTTTTGGAATGACGATTTCGGCCAGAGCCTGAAGAGATTGCCAAGTAAGTGCTCTTTACGTGGCTTAGGAAACTATGTATGCATGTAAGGTATGTACACATTAGGTGAAGAGAATTAGAAGGAGAGGCCACTGCGTGACCAAGTGTTTCAGTGTGCCAGGAGATTCCAGGAGTCTGGTGGTACATACTTGGTCCTGCCGGTAGCCGAGCTGTCAAGATTGGGTGTCACAATTATTGTGCTGCCTGGGACCCGTTGCAGTCAAACTTCCCCCTTCCCACCATATCGACCACTATCTTTCTCACACGCCGCATAGCTCTGTAAAGTACGCATCACAAAGCCACTAACCATTGTGCCGATAATTCCGCCAGCAGGAGTATTTCGGCGCCCGTGTCACTCCCTCGTTTATCTCCCCGGCTCCGGCCTCGGTGGAAGCCTCTAAAGTCAGAATTTTGTGGGCCAGCTTGAGCCGCCTGATCCGCCTATCACAAGTGCCTAATCACGCCATTGCAGCGCCACTGCCGTTAGCCTCAACACCTAAATGAGAGCTGCCGTCATAGCCCGCAGGACGAAGGCTACGCAAGAACCAGCGTCGCTAAAGTGGGTGAACTGCCAACCGCTCGCTTCCAACATGTCCTTGTCACGAGGTAAGCCCGGACCCATTTCCATATTTCGTCCCACGAAATCGTCGATTGCGTAGTCAGCGACAGATGGAGCCGTTGCAGTGAGTCTGGGCTACGTTTTGATGTCGCTGCACAAAACACCTGCGCCTCAGAACGTTGATCATATGGCGCGAGCTGGGATGGTCAAGACCCTGAGATGAGAACGAATGCAGGGACGTACAATTCCCATGTGGCCGGAATATTGGTACTCACCTGCAAGGGCTGTAGTCTGACTGGTGCTCGGCGGCCATGTTGTGCTCCAGCCGTCCGTCAGAGCCGTACCAAGCCCGCCACCATCTTTGCTGATCTTGCCCATCGCCTTCTGACCGTCGCCGCAGATCGTTCCGTCTCTCCCACTCAAGCCCCGGCCCTTTCGCAGTACATCCAGCGGACCCGACAGTCCTCCTCGCTCACAATCCACACTAGGGCGGATGCCAACACCGACTCCATCCTGAGCGCGCCTGACCAAGCAGAATCCACTCCTCAATCTTACTTGGCAGCCGCCTACGTGCCCGACATTAATGGGCTTGCCATCTCTCCCTCAACCTCTATCAGCCCAGACACCACTCAGGAAGAAGATTACTCGAACGAAACCGTACCATCGGCAAATCTGATTACTTCCAGCACCACAAAGCCAATCCGTATCCCTCAACCAACTTATGCACCTCTCGCTCTTTTAGATCCAAACCGAGTACCCTCTGGCACCCCTCTATCCGCTCGTGGAGATAGAAAGGGCCACCGCTTCCCCTTCTCCAGGACACCCTCGCCAAGAGGACGCGCCAGTCGAGGCTTTTCAGACTCGTACAAAGACGCTGCTCCGGTGCATCCGGACGAGGTTGGCCTTCTGAAGCGCAGAAGACGCTCAACCTCGTCCACGCAGTCGCTCATATTCACCATGCATAGCGATCAGTACACTGTCCGCTACACTCCTACTTCGCCCCTTTCGCCCCAGATGCCTTCTTCAAGCCATCCGATGTCGCCTCAGCCATCGAAGCGATCCGCTCACGCGAGACCACCACCACGGAACCTCCACATGTCTCTGCCCCGATTCCATCCTATGGCATACCCTCATCATGGTCAAGCAGCCTCGCCTACCTCTACAGTTCCAAGTCCGGCCATAGCGATTACTGGAGTCAATGGAACACAACACATCGAATCACCACGTATAATGAGGCAGAAGCACCGGGAATTTCTTGATAACGCCAAAGCTGCGTCTGTGCAGGCTGCGTCCCCTGCAAGCAACAAACCAACCTCACCCCGCCTTGACCCGTTAGGCAGCCCAAAAGGTCCAGTCACGCCTCTTGCACTCGAAGATGGCGGCGATTACTTCACTGTCAAACGTGCTGGTAAACACTCTCCAGCCGCCAGCCCCAGTGCGAAAATCGCCCGCAGTGACGTTTCGTCGACTCGTGAGGACCTTGCCAAGAACAAGCGCAAGGTTGATGTGTATCAGTAAGCGGTCATACGCCCACCCGCACCGCTATTCCGCACTACGAAGCACCACGAATCTCATTTGTCATCAGCATTGCATGAACTGCATTTATACCTGGAGCCAGCGCTCGGTATCGGCGTTGTGAGGGGCTCTTACATCGGTTGAATGCCGATGTCGTACCAAAGCCACAAAATTATGCCTTCACGAGCCACAGAGAGGGAGAAGCGACACCAATTCTCGGTCTAACCATCTACGGATCACGTTAGGAGCACTTGGGGGAAAGTACGGACGAGGAAGTCAAGAAAAATGACCGCACAGCTGACTGCTGCTCTCTGTATTGCTAAACTCAGTTCGAGGGGCGATTGAATTGCCTTTGACACTTTTCTCGGTTGGCCTGGTCAGATATAGTGGCTGGCCTTCAAAGACCAGTCCCAATCGCATTACTTCAGATCCACTCACTCCTAGATGTAGAGACGATTTCGCTGAAGAGTACTGTGTTCAACTTCGTCCCTGAGGACGAAATGGTGCTCAGCTAGAACTGACCGACTGTGGGATCAGGCTGGGGAGCCAGGTGGCAAAATAATACGACCTACTTCTGTCCAGACACCGGGCTTGCATCTTAGGGTTAGGGCTCATGATGCTGCGAACGGCCAGCTGAAGCATCAAGGGAGACAGCACTCAGGAGACTTGCAGGCGGCTGACGACGCTTCTTCCCGTGAAAGTACAGCACACTCTTTTCTAATTCGACCTGCGCCGGCTCTGGCAGCTCTGCTCCCTTACACTCCTTTCGTTTTGGACTTTGGTCCCGTCATGATCTGGGCGCCAGTCGCTGTTCATTGTTAACACCCTTGTCTAACGGCACGGTCTGCCACTGCCACATTTCATGCCCTACTTCGACATGCGTCAACGCAGCAGCAGCGGGCGTACCTACATCCTCGCCGCTGTCCTCTGCGTTGGCATCCTCTATTTCCTCATCAGTCTCTCGTCTCCATCCTCCATTGACCCATATCAACTGGTACGCAAACGTAAGGCTGATGCCGCAGCCCAGAATCCACTGTCACCACCCACTTCCGCCTTTCGCAAACTACGCACCGCCGACCCCCCGGGCGTCCGTCGCCCTCCTCCCGTTGTTCATTATCAACTTAATAACTTGACCGCAACGCCTAATCCACTCCTCAATAATGAAAAGATCCTCATCCTCACGCCCCTAGCACGTTTCTACCAAGAGTATTGGGACAACCTACTCAAACTTTCCTATCCCCACGAGCACATTTCCCTTGGTTTCATCACGCCGAAAACACGGGATGGCGATGTTGCAACTGCCGCTCTGAACGAAGCCATCAAGATTACCCAGTCCGGTCCTGAGCCTCTTCGCTTCCAATCCGTTACAATCCTGCGTCAGGACTTTGAAGGCCTGATCGCTTCGCAAGAGGAGCACGAACGACATGCCCTCGCTAATCAAAAAGCCCGTCGCGCCGCCATGTCACGCGCACGCAACTCTCTCATCTTCACCACCATCGGCCCTTCGACCTCATGGGTCCTCTGGCTAGATTCCGATATCATCGAGACACCTTCGACCCTCATCCAAGATCTCACATCGCACAACAAGCCCATAGTTGTGCCCAATTGTTTCCAGCGTTACACCGACGAAGAGTCTGGCAAGCCGGCAATCCGGCCTTACGATTACAACTCGTGGCAAGACAGCGAGGTTGCGCGGCGGTTAGCGGCGCAGATGAACAAAGACGATGTTATCCTAGAGGGCTATGCCGAGATGCCTACATACCGCACGCTGATGGCCATGGTGAGCGAGAAGGAGAATGGCGACCCCGAGAAGATCATTCCGCTGGACGGTGTAGGTGGGACAGCACTTATGGTCAAGGCTGAGGTGCACCGCGATGGCGCCATGTTCCCACCGTTTGCCTTCTACAACCTCATCGAGACGGAGGGTTTCGCCAAGATGGCTAGCAGGCTGGGGTATAAGAGCTGGGGGCTACCGAACTACTTGATTTATCATTACAACGAGTGAAGGAGTGGGCGAGTTAGTGATCGGAAGAAATTGGTGTCAACGCCCTCCAGGTTCCGAATCCGTGCGTTTTCCGACGGAGAGGGCACCACCAAAAGCACCAGCGAATAGCGAAGCAGCATCAATGGGATTGGCGTCGATCAAGGACTGAAAAAGGCGAATGTTTGGTGCTGTCATACAATACTACTTATAGAAGGGGACAGGATGGCACGGCGCAGGAAGCGCAAGACCGTTGGTACCGAGTCTAGGCAAGAAGCAAGCCACTGTAAGAGAATCACAAGTGAGCGAGTGCAATCGAGAGATGTATTTGTACCCATTTTGATGCCTGCAAGTCACCTTGACGGCGTCGTCCTTCGTTACCCGTCTCTCGCTCGCCCAGGCTGCTGCCTTACCAGCATATCGTGCTTGGTACAACTATAACCCATGATAGTCGCCTGCCCTTAATACCCGCTCTGCTCCCGCCTGCTATCCCCCTCGCCCTCCCCTCCTCCCTCTCCCTGCACCTTCTCCTGCGCCTCCTTCATGCCCTCGCTGTCACCCCTCAAGCCCTCGAAATAGGCCTTGATGTCCTCAGCGCTCACAGCCTTGCCACTCTCCGCGTAGGGGCGCAGAAAGTCCTTGACCTTGTCCCGCAGGTGGTTGTACACCATCACACCCTCAATGGCGCGCACGCGGTCGACGTTGTTGAGAGCCGCTTCGCCGCGGTCCAGGAGGGAGCGCGAGCCTGCAGACCGAGTGGAGTGATGGGTGGCATCGCCGTTGGCGGACGAGGCGGAGGAGAGGGACGGCTCGTACACGGATTCGTCGTCGAGGAGGATGGGGTGGGGGATCAGACGAGGATAGCATGCGGGGCAATGGCAGAATTGGTCTCGGAAGTTGGCTTTGAGCATTAGGGAGAGCATTTCTGAAGGAGGGTGTGGAAGTTGGGTGTGTTTATGGGCGGGAGTTAGGTCGACTTTGCTGGCACTATTGTCGGCGATTGGATTTGTAGAGGTCTCGCCACTGACTGCGACAGCTTCTTCCTTGACCCGTTTCGTAGGGCTCGGGGGAGGGAAATGCTCTCCTTCATCAGACGCCTTCCTCTTAAGGCTTGGACGTTCGTTCTCAACGATCACAGTTTGTGGCTGTGAAGGCTGCGGCGCCGACGAGGATTGCCGGAACACTGCCGGCAAGAATCCTTCGGTACCTGCGTAGGCCTTGATCCAAGGGTTCGCCTCAACGCACTTGAAGCAGACCAGTGCCTCGAAGTCGTCTTCACTGGGAAAACCTGGAGGCATAGGATGCTCCTTGTCCTCGTTTTCGCTCGCTGCAGGCGCGGCATTCTCTTTATTTTCTTCGCCGCTCTGCAGATACCAGTCCTTAGGGAGACCCATTAAGCATTCTGGGTGATACCAGTCTTCGCCGCAACCACCATTTTCTGGCGTTCCTAGCCCAATGCACTGGAACATTGCGCCCTTCTCTTTGTCTGTGTCGTACTCATCGCCACAGGCACAGAATTTGTTCTGGAAATTTTGGTTGTAGGTATTCGTCTTCGCCGGCTCTTGAGAATGGACACCACGAGCGCCGGTGACAGCGTCCGACCGCAGTGTACACGGCGCGTCATTGGTAAAGCGCGCAGTACCGCAGTCGCAAACGAAGTGGCGTCGGTTGAACAGCTCGACTAGATTATGTTCGCCATGGCATGAGATGGAGCAGGCATAGCAGATGCCGGCTGGCGTATACTGCTGGGCTGCGGAAGCGGGAGGAGGACTGCACGTGAGGCAGGCATACACCTCTTGTCGAAGTGGCCCGAGAATACTGGTACACTTATCAAATTTGTAAGGGAGGACTTCTCGCGCGTCGGCCTCGAGCGCAAGTTGCTCATCGATGAAACTGTGATGGATCAGTCAACTGAATGACTTCTTCGCAGAAGACTTACTCTGCAGCAGTCTGTGAATTCTTGGACTGCTGACTGGCATTGGCAGCGGGTGCATCATCGGCCGGCTTATTATCTGGTATGGGATCCATGACGACTGAAGGCGCAATCGTTGATGCGAATAGGCAGGGGAAGTAGTGGTGGAGGTAAAAGCAGACCATCACCCAACAGACTCGGGCTGCGAGCGACAGTCGGGACGCGTTATGATTGGTTGACGCGGTCACTTCGGCGCGCTCACGCGAATGACGTACCGGTCGTCGAGTAAAGTAGAGGTATTCTGTTTCGTCAATCGTTGTTCACCTACGCCCAAGGATCAATCATCACCGATGGATCGCTCATGGTTCACTCCGATGCTGTAGGGGTCGCACAGCAATCCTGGCGAAAAGAGGCACTACACACGAGCAGCGCTAGCATCGGCAGTTTCAGCAGTGAACCCCAATGGTCGTTGCGGTGATGGCAAGATCATGACCGTCGTGGACGCATTCGTTATCAATACAACAAAGCTGTAATAGTAGTTTCGACTGAGCCTTAACCATGCGTGAAATGAAAGGACATGGGCGAGCCCTTAGGAAGACCTTCTCATGCCGTGGTAGGGATGCATCGGGTTCACATAGATGTATAGACGCGTACATCGTAAGAAGAGGCCATATCTCTATCTGCCACCCTACCAACATTTATGTGCGGTTCAGAAATGGGTTGACGGCTTGTGACAACTAACTCGTGCAACGGCCTATACGCACGCCAAGTCCTACAGGCAGTGAAATCTTGGCATGGCGCTCACGCAGTGTCGAATCTTTGCATCAGAGCCAGCTACATTGCGCGATTTCCGCTCTTGCAGTTCTCCACATGACTATGTATCCAGCTCCTACTGTGAAACGACTCTAAATATGGGGTACTCATCCCCAACCTCTACCGGTATGATGTTGAACGCGACAAAGCTGTCAATATTCTCCGGCTCCAGAGCAATGAACGCTAATCCGGCATTCTTCTGTCTCGTGCTTACGAGGAAACTTCCTGGCGGTAGCTCAACCTCAGTAGTCTTAGGCTCAGTTGTCACGGTGAGCAGCACGACTCCCTCGTAATACGAGTCCCCAAATTCCGCCGAAGTGATGTTCAGCGTCTCGACTTGGCCGCGGAATGGGTTAGTCAGTGTCTGAACCTCAAGTCCGTAGATTCGAAGTCGCTCGGCGAGGTCTGCCCAAGCCTTGGGAATAAGGTAGGCTTCGGGACGCTCGCGCGTTAGATTCGCATTGACGGGCGTTGTGACTGAGAACTCCACTGGCACTTGGACCACGCTTCCGTTGGTGATGTCGATCATGGAATATGGTCGGGTGATCACGTCGCTGGAGTCGGTGATAATGATCTCGTCGTGGCCGTCGATAAATTCCTGGATGCTGGTTTCCATCGTGTCATACACGTCTTGGGCATTGTCTGCGGCTGTCTCGATAATCGATTCGGCCATGGTCAAGCCTGAAAAGGTACGCCTGGTAAACTCTTGGTCGGCAATACCGATGCCACGCATCTCGCAGAGGAAAGTGATTGACTGCGTCAAGCCCATGGCGTTGCGGCCAATCTTGCCATCACTACCTGCTTCGGCGAAGGAGATACTTGAGCCAGGTGTAGAATTGGTGCTGCCGGTCACGTATGGCTCCCATCGTAAATCAGCAGCCTCCATGGCAGAACCTATGTTCTCCGCGAAGACTTCCTCCGAGAGCCGCCGAATCTCGGGGTGAATATTGAGGTTTTTGGCTGCACTGAAAAGACCGTCGCTAGCATGCTTGTAGCTGCCTCCATACGTGCTCGCGGCGCCATATTCGTGCATGTCCACAGCCACATGCGGAGCGAAGTCGTTGAACACTTGCTTGAGATCTCTCGTTTGCCGCCTTGCGAGCTTGATATGGTCTCGATTGGGGTCAAAGTTAGTTGCTAGTGTGCGTTGGAAATACGCGACTCCATCTGGATTGTATCGAGGTAGGATCATAATGTCCAGCTTTTCGAGCAGGGAGGCAGTCCAGGTTTGATTGGCGTCCATCTTGCCGAGAAGCGCCAGCAAAGACTGATCGCCTGCGGGCTCATTTCCGTGAACAGCTGCTTGAAGATATACTCGCACTTTATTCGACGTGTTGAGCGCAGAAGTCGACTCTTGGTTGGACTCAGAAAGGTAGACATATGGAAACGCCCGGCCTTCTTCTGATTGGAAATCTGCACTGGAGTATGACATCCACTCATTTCTGGCAGCTAGGCTACGGAGGAAGTAGTCTGTCACATTAGCAACGTGGTCACAATGCCGTGGCCTCACTCACCCAGCTCGTAGTCATCAGTCGGCCCTGAACTGCCATTTGCAAAGTCGCCGGGCACACTCTCCGGCTTCGTGAACGCTGGAGCAATGAGCTTCGTGTTCGGATCAGGGAAAGCTGCTTCGATCGTCGCATTGTCCCTGCGAACAGGCACGTGGTTGTCGCCGTATCGTTGTGCCTCGACGGAAGTCAGGACGACCGCCAGGCCAAGTAGAACTGACTTTAGGAGCATCTTAGCTTACATAAAAGATCCAGTATAGACGTTGAAGTTCGTGCAAAGTCTGTGCCTCCTCAACAATCGCAGCGTAATCGGCCCCATCTTGTATATACTTGGGAGGTTTCGGCATAGATACCGACGTCGCATTGTTGTAACGGAGATCCTCGTCATACCAGTGCTCAAATCTCGGCCGTGCGCACGAAGAGTGACATCTCGATTGCTCGTGTTAGCCCGCTATCTCTTGTGAGCTTCCATATGAGCGCAAGCTCGCATTGGCAACGCGAAAGACAAGACTTAGTAAACGTCGATCACCGCGGAGAGGCGTGGTCGGAGTGCGCCGGCGAGCTTCTCCGCGCTTGGCAAAATGTAACCGCCTGGATGGGCGTAGTAGTGGCTTCAAGTTGGCACGGACGCCACTGTCCGCCTCGATTGGCATGCTGCGAGGCACTTTGTGCAGCCTTTGACCGAAGGTAGAATACAACACGGCGTGGTGTGTTATCTGTCTCCTTGAGGGATATTTCACAAGTCAGGCGCGAGGAACTCGATCCCACGAAATTACAGAGGATCTGGACAGCTAGAGGTCCCTGACAGCGTACAGATCATATCACCATATTTGCCTGTGCAGGGTCGAGATAGAAAAACGGTGTTGATACAATGTGCGCCGACTGGTGTAGGTAGGGAGGGATACCCAGGCAGTGATAGGGTGAAGCGGGACGTCCACAGGGCTAAAGTGGTCGCATGCCAAGACGTCGCGTGTGGAAAGCGCGACGCGTTCCTGATTTCAATTTGAAACCCCCTCAATGTTGGCCTTCATTGGTATTGCCATCCTTCGAGAAGAGCATAAGAAACTAACACTTGTTGTGTTGCTATCATGAGGTAGTACTCCTAGCTTCCAACTGTCGAGAATTGCGTACAGGTGATACTGACTGCCTTTCTGCAGCTCACCTCTCAGACCCAGTATGTCCGCCGGCAACCGCGGTTCCAGTAACCCCTCGCGTCGCAAACGCCTGCGCGATGAGGATGAGGATGACGCTCTCTCATCTTCTCCTGGTATGTGGTAGCTGCCCTTTGGTGGTCGCATACTGACCGTCGCGAGCCCTCCCCTCTTCGCCTCCATTACTACCAAATAACGAGAACGATGACGAAGACGATCTGGACGCTCAGGACGACCTTATCGACGACATTGACGATGCCGATGAAATGGCAGAAGACGAAGACGGCATCGATCTCTTCGGCGATAACTTCATGAGAGACGAACGCGAACGCAGAGAGCAAGATACATACCAGGGCCGGATGATCGACGATGAAGGCGACTACGCAGATCTTGACGCGGCTACTAGACGACAACTAGAGGCGCGCATGGACAAGCGAGACCGAGAACTTGCCAGCAGACGGCGTATGCCCGCGGCGTTCATGCAGGACGACGAAGATGATGCTGGTGTTGACCTCACAAAGCAACCCCGCCGCCGCCGTCACGCCTATGATGAGGACCATGAGGATATGGACCTAGATGACAACATAATGGAGGAAGAGCTCTCTCTTGAGACACTTCAAGACGTTAAAGCTTCCAACATTGCCGAATGGGTCAACATTCCCGCAGTCACGCGAACCATTACACGCGAATTTAAGGCCTTCCTGACAGAGTACATCGATGCTCACGGGACTTCAGTTTACGGAACCCGCATCAGGACGCTAGGCGAGGTCAACTCAGAGTCTCTGGAGGTCTCGTACGATCATTTGTCTTCCACTAAGGCCATCTTGGCCTACTTTCTGGCGAATGCTCCGACTGAAATCCTGAAGATCTTCGACAACGCGGCGTTCGAGGTCGTCCGTCTCCACTATCCCAACTACGAGCTCATTCATCCTAAGATACATGTCAGAATCTCGGATCTTCCTGTACACTATACACTGAGACAACTGCGACAATCGCACCTCAACTGTCTCGTCCGTGTCTCGGGCGTGGTCACACGCCGGACTGGCGTCTTTCCCCAGCTTCAGATGGTTCGATTCACTTGCGGCAACTGTGGTGTAACATTGGGGCCTTTCGCGCAGGAGTCGACTTCATCAGAAGTAAAGCCTACGTTCTGCTACGGATGCCAGAAGCGGGGCCCATTCACCCTTAATACCGAACAGACCGTCTACCGCAACTATCAGAAACTCACGCTCCAAGAATCTCCTGGAACTGTCCCAGCAGGACGCTTACCACGTCATCGGGAGGTTGTTCTGCTGGCTGACTTGATTGACAAAGCCAAGCCAGGCGAAGAAGTGGAGATTACTGCTATCTACCGTAACAATTACAGTGGACAGCTCAACAACAAAAACGGGTTTCCGGTCTTTGCTACCATGCTGGAAGCCAATCACATCATCAAGACTCATGACCAGCTGGCTGGCTTTAAGCTGACGGAGGAAGATGAGCGACAGATCCGTGCACTTGCCAAAGACCCTCAGATTGTAGACAAGGTCATCGAGTCAATCGCACCTTCCATCTACGGCCACAAGGATATCAAGACTGCAGTAGCATTGTCGTTGTTCGGTGGCGTCAGCAAACAGGCTCAGGGCAAGATGAACATTCGAGGCGATATTAACGTGCTGCTTCTCGGCGATCCGGGTACAGCTAAATCTCAAGTCCTGAAGTACGTGGAGAAAACAGCCCATCGTGCTGTTTTTGCAACTGGCCAAGGAGCGTCAGCTGTCGGTTTGACCGCTTCCGTCAGACGGGACCCTTTGACAGCTGAGTGGACACTCGAGGGCGGAGCTCTTGTGCTTGCTGACCGAGGAACATGTCTGATCGACGAGTTCGACAAGATGAATGATCAAGATCGGACCTCGATCCACGAAGCTATGGAGCAGCAGACGATATCAATCAGCAAGGCAGGTATTGTCACCACACTCCAGGCTCGTTGTGCCATTGTGGCTGCAGCCAATCCCATCGGCGGTCGCTACAACAGCACTATTCCATTCAGCCAAAACGTCGAGTTGACCGAGCCTATTCTGTCACGTTTCGATATTCTAGTTGTCGTCAGAGACACTGTCGATCCGGCGGAGGATGAGCGTCTTGCCAACTTCGTTGTCAACAGCCACGGCCGTGCTCATCCAAACCAGTTGTCGGTTGATGATGGCGACACAGCTGCAATGGAGACCGAGGAAAATACGGTCAACAATGGCGAACCAGAGAAAGAGGGCGCCATTCCACAAGAGCTCCTGAGGAAATATATCCTGTTCGCACGCGAGAAGTGTCGACCCAAGCTCTACCAAATCGATCAGGATAAAGTGGCCCGCTTGTTCTCGGACATGAGGCGAGAGTCACTGGCCACCGGGGCTTATCCTATCACTGTGAGTGCACACCCTGGGACTGTGCACGTCAGACATCTAACTTGATGCAGGTCCGTCATCTGGAAGCGATCATGCGCATTGCTGAGGCATTTGCAAAGATGCGCTTGTCCGACTTCTGCTCATCGCAAGACATCGATCGTGCTATCGCAGTGACAGTCGACTCCTTTGTCAGCAGCCAGAAGGTTAGCGCAAAGAAAGCACTTGCAAGAGCGTTCGCCAAGTACGTAATAGTCCTACTCCAACCTCGATCCGGCTAACACAAGGTACAGATATACTCTGAAGAGACCAGACCGCCAACAGAGAAAGGGAGCTGTTGGTCGAACAACAACTGCTGGCTCGAATGCAACGGGCACAGTATCTGCTTAGTTACGATGATGCACGAATGGAGTTTGTTATGGCAAAGGCCAATGCACGGAGAGATGGGTAGATGATACCACTATGATGGGCGGGTCGTATGTTGTAGCTATTGTGGAGAAGGTTGGCCCTCCCATAGATGACTGGCGTCTGAAATGCACGATAAAATAGTATTTGTTTGCATGCTACCCCTACCTCAACAAACAACCAGTAACAGCATCTCGCTAATCGAGCCGATCGCCAACTGCGCTCTATACGCGCGACGCGTCGCGTTTTTAAGCTTTTCATGACTTCATCAAACGCCCAAATGATCTAGCCTCACATGTTAGGAGCACGTACGGGCCAGTGCTTTTGTTGCTGTGACTCTGTACCTGCCACGAACCGACAAGTTCTGCGTGGATTGGCCAATTTTGGATACATCATCCTCATAAGCAATCCCGACACAAAGGGTTCCAAGTCAAGGAGCGCATTTCTGCCGACTCACCCTACTGTCTCGCCACGCTTCCCAGACAGTGGAAGATTGAGCAGTGAAGCATGTCCTCTTGCACCATGTCACCAGAAACTACAACCACAGAGTCGGCGGGGCCCACTCCTGTACAATCGACGCCGCCTTCGTCGCCGCTCGAGGAAAGCAAAGATGGGGTGGTCAAGGAAGAGAATAAAACCGAAGTTGACGTTGAGGACGAGGAGGACATGGACCACAAGTCACGCGCTCTCACCAACCTGCTCAAGACTAGCTCTGTCTTTGTGGCTATCATGGCGGACAAGATGAAGGAGCAGCAGAAGCGTAACCAGGAGGAGGCCAAACGTGCTTCTGCAAAGAAAGCGAAGGCAGGAGACACAGTGGACGAGGGCAAAGGCCCAACCAGGAAGTCTGCGCGGACTGTGGCTACCATCGCTGACAAAGAGGAAGCGCAGAAGGACGAGAAAGAAATCAACCTACCCTCACGTGGTCGTGGCCGAGCGGCTAGACCCCAGAAACGCAATGCCGTAAAGAAAAACATAATGGACTACATGAAAAAGGAGGATGTTAACATCGACGAAGGTCCAACTGTCCAAGAAGCTCTCGCCGAGGCGGCTGACGAGTACGAAGGCGAGGGCTTGGGCGCACAGAACCTTGTGGCCACGGAGCAGCCGAAACTCATTACAGGCGGGCAGATGAAACATTACCAACTTGAGGGCCTAGAGTGGCTGAAGTCTCTTTGGATGAACGGCCTGTGCGGCATCCTGGCGGATGAGATGGGCCTGGGCAAGACGCTACAGGCCCTCAGCATGATTGCGTTCTTCAAGGATAACAACATTTCCGGCCCTTTTCTGATAGCCGCGCCACTGAGTACGGTACGCAACTGGATTGAGGAATTCAAGTTCTGGGCACCGGACATCGAGACCGTATTGTATCATGGCAGCAAGGACGAGCGGGAAGTCCTCCGGCGAAAGCACATGAAGATGAACAACCAGAGCAAGTTTGAGTTCCCCGTCGTCATCACGAGCTACGAGATTGTAATGAACGACAAGAAGTTCCTCGCCAACTACCAGTGGCGGTATATCATTGTGGACGAAGGTCACCGCCTCAAGAACATGAACTGCCGCCTCATCAAGGAGCTCATGAGCTACAACAGTGCTAATCGGCTCCTACTGACAGGCACTCCACTCCAAAACAACATCGCAGAGTTGTGGTCGCTGCTGCACTTTCTGCTCCCAGAAGTCTTCAACGATCTCGATAGCTTTGAGCGTTGGTTCGACTTCTCCTCGGTGCTCGACGACAACGGTGAGTCTAATGGGAAGACCAACAAACGCAAAAACAACCTAGTGTCCACCATGCACGCAATACTCAAGCCCTTCCTACTGCGTCGCGTCAAGACGGATGTCGAATCATCTCTGCCCAAGAAGCGTGAGTATATTCTTTACGCGCCTTTGACAGCCGAACAAAAAGACCTCTACCGCGAGATCCTTGCAGGCACGAGCCGCAGCTACCTGGAGGAGAAAGCTATAGAACGAATTGAAGCACGCTCGCTATCCCGTCCAGCCTCGTTGAAGCGCAAGGCCAATGACTCGGGACGTTCCACACCCGCCAAATCAATCAAAGCCACGCGCGCATCTACTCCCTCTTCCGAAACCTCCGTCGCCTCCACGCGCCGTGGGCGGAACGCCGCTCGCAACACCACCTACAAGGACGTCACAGATCGTGAGTTCAACAGCAAGCTGCGGCGCCTCGAAAATGGGGAAGAGGAAGTCAGGCTCGACACACCCAACCGTGTCGACGGCGCTAACAGTCCGACCGATAGCGACGAAGAGGAGGAACTGCAACGTGCACAAACGCTGAAGTTGGCTAAGAAGGAAATCGCATCCAAAAAGCTGCAGAACCCCATTATGCAATTGCGCCTAGCCTGCAACAGCCCGCACAACTTCTACTGGCCATGGGGGCCATCTACGGCCGCCGAAGCCGATTCGGGTGACTATCCCGACGTCGACGAGAGCCTGATCAGCGCATCGGGCAAGCTGTTACTCTTGGACACACTGCTGCCGCGACTGTTCAAATTGCGGCATAAGGTACTGATCTTCAGCCAGTTCAAGACGACTTTGGACATACTGGAGTCGTATGCTGGCGGGCTGCGCGGCTGGAAGACCTGCCGCATTGATGGGTCGATCTCGCAAGACGAGCGGCACGAGCAGATCATGGCGTTCAATACGGATAGCTCGTACAAGCTGTTTCTATTGAGCACACGCGCAGGGGGCCAGGGCATCAACCTCACAGCGGCGGATACAGTGGTGCTGTTCGACAGTGATTGGAATCCCCAGCAGGATCTGCAGGCGATGGATCGAGCGCATCGTATCGGGCAGACGCGGCCAGTCATCGTATATCGTCTAGCGACACGGGGCACGGTGGAGGAGACATTGCTGCTGAAGGCTGATGGGAAACGGAAATTGGAGAAGTTGGTGATTCAGAAGGGCAAGTTTAAGAGTCTGTTGGAAGGCGTAGATGCGGGATCGCGCAAGATGAGCCAGGTAGAGGCAGAGGAAGTCAAGGGCCTGCTGAAGGAGGAGGAGTGGGAACGCTATGATGTTGGGCAGGAGGGCAAAGAGATACTCAGTGAGAACGAGCTGGCTATCCTGACAGATCGGAGTGACAAGGCGTACGAGCACGCTGCAAAGGGAATTGGTGGAGGAGGCGGGGAGCGGGGCGTATTCAAGCTGGCGGCAACCAAGGGAGGTGTCGACGATGTGCTGGACGACTTGACAACAAAGAGTAGTGGCACAGGGAAGTAGCGGTCGGCAGGCGCGGACAGCGTGGTTGTTGGCTTAATGGTCCATAGCCAGACCATTCTGGATATTGATCACTAGAGCAAACATTGTTTGGATGCTACAGCACAACTCTGCCATGGCCACTAGAGTGATTCCGTGCCAGCGGGAACGGACGAACCGAACCTCGACGGAGGGATTTGATGTTAGCCACGCACGGAGCGTCGAGCGTACCGACGGCAAAGCTGTGGTCTTCAGACTTCTACAAGCATCATCGTTTCTCACGGATGCACTTACTTCGTTTGCCGAGCAATTGAGTTGCAGGTAGCAGGCGCAAGCGGGACGAGTACTTTTCGATCGACGTCTCCCAAGCGAGCCACGGCTCACCAGCGCAAAGTGCTCTGAATCTCGGATGCATTTCGGAACGAGGGAAAGTGTCTCACTCCGTATGGCCGCGCCAGATCCAAGAGCAAAATCGTAGCTTTAACACCGCTCAAGACCCTCGCCGGCTGGAAAGATGTGAAGATTGGGCCATCGGACAGCATTCGTCCGGCCGCAGACTCGCAGTGGCGGCTGCTACAACCTCGTCTATCAGCACAGTGCACACATTAGCACCGGAAGAAGCACTGTGTTGCGGAAAGTATCCCACATGAACTGTGGTGCAGGTCGGCTGGGCAGAGCGGGCATCACCCACGACGAGGCGGCCAAAACACCCTGGTGGGTGTCTGATCTCCTGCATAGTGCCAATCAAACGCCTGAAACAGAACTGCGACACGATGTTTGGCAAAGGTCTCGTGTTTCCAAGAGATGGCTATACACTTCACAATTGCTTGCGACAAGAAAGCAAGGCGAGACCTCGGTCCGCCTGCTTGTCCAAACTCTGTGGTCCTTCCTACTCTCGTCCGTTGGCACCGGCTGGGCCATTTGAAGCGCAACGGAAATGCGAGATTCCTTCTCTTCCTTCCATCCAATTTGCACCACTGACCGTTCTGGGTCGCGGGCACCGTCTCGCCAACATACGCCACACAGTAATTGATCAACAGATTCCACTGTCCAATCACAAATATAACTATTACAGCAACCGCAGCCACGCTCCTACTCCTTACGGAGTACTGTGTGATGAATCGTCTCGTGTGCCCTACTGCTGAGTTTGAAGATTGGCACCCCCTGCAGCGTATCAGAACCCGAAATAGTCGGCTTCAGGGGGCTCGTGCCCTTTTGCGCCATCTGTCAGCCTGTCCACTTCTAAGCGCGCAAACCATGTGCGAGAACTGGACGCCCAAGCAAAGGAAAGGAGCCGCTATTCTCAAACTATCACCTGGCGGAGATCCATCCCGGGTCGCCGGTCGCGGTCCCACCTCCTAGTTACGCCTCAACGACTCGTTTAGACTCCTGGCCGCCGACTCAATCGCTTTGGATTCCTTGTTCACCAGCGACTGGGGTGCGGGCCGCGCCCGAAGTGTTGTGGTTGTGGCACAATTGCTAGCGGGCCTTCCCGCCTCTCCGACTGTCACAGATGCCGACGCATGGACCACCTTAGGAGGATTTATGGTCGAAGCGAACCACCGGTAGTTCGGGGGCTTCAGTCGAACTTCTTCACTTCTTGTTGCACCTCGAGTATTGTGTACTGTGCTGGCAGGTTGGATTGGTCGAAGCGCATCCATGACTTCTGCTGTGCGAACGCACTCACGCCCTTGTCTTCCGTCTGATATCTTTTCCCCTTCGTCGTTCCAAATTCCACCAACCGCGAGAGCACGACGCAGCTACAGGCATGAGCGGTGATGCCGCTCTGGTTGCAGTCTCAATAGCGCTGTCCGTGCTCTCACTGCAGGCTGTCTTGCTCAGATGCATATCTCGCTTCGCCGTTGCGAAGCAGTATGGTCTTGAAGATGCACTGGTCATATTAGCGCTTTGCTGCTCTATATGTTTGGCTATACTTTTCACTCTTGGTATGCCCTACCACCGGTCTCGATATCCGGACGCCTCTTTACCGGTGACAGGCGCGCTAACTATGCTATAAGACTTTACCTCAATCGATGACGAAAGCAGTAATGGCTTTCCCAGCACGCAGTCCTTGGAAATACTGTGGGCAGCACTGTTGCTCTCCAATATCGGCATCCCATTGATCAAGACCTCGATTTTGTTGCAATATCTCGACTTCTTCATCTGGCCCAAACACCGCAATACATCCTGGGTGCTCCTGGGCGGCGTGGCCGCATTTGGTGCCGCCGGCGCCGTGGTGTCCATTTTCTCATGCCTGCCCGTCCAGGCCTTCTGGATCATGACCGAGGACTCACAATGCGTCGACATCCGAGCCTTCACCCTCACCAGCGCAGCGTGGAACCTTTGCACCGACGCACTGGTCCTCGCCCTACCCATGTTCGCAGTCGCGCGATGGGCCCAGCCCACAGCTGAGCGATGGGCGTTCGCGGGCTTGTATGCTCTGGGCTTCATCGCCTGCATCGCCAGCGGTATGCGGCTGTACGGCCTGCATACCGGCGACGTCATGCGCGCTTCGGGCGACAACACGACCCTCTGGATCAGCACGGCCGTGGAACTCAACACCATCATCCTCTGCGCGACCCTGACCACGCTCGGCCCACTCACGGATCGCTGCTTCCCAGGTTTCCTCTCCAGCTGGCTCAACTCCGGCCGCCGCCCAAGCTACAGCAGGACTTGGCTGAAGCTCAAGGGCCGCGACTCGCCGCAGCCCGCGGCTGTGGAACTTCGTCCGGGACAACCGCATGAGCCCGCGCGGGCGCCCAGCGCACTGTCACAAACTTCAGCGCCCTCCGCGCCCGCACCGTTTGAGACCCCCACCATGACCAGTGTCACGACGAACAAACGCGGTAGTGCCCATCCCGGTGCGCTCGTAATGATCCCGGTCGACCTGGAGAGGGGTGAAAACAAGCCACCGCGGCTCTTGGTCCGGGACTCAACCCCGTGATATGGAAATTTTCCAAAAAGTAGATGGAGTGAAACAGAGGGGACAAAGAGCCGCCTTCCCAAGGCTAGCGAGTTGTGGCGCTGAACGGCAGTCGAATTCTTGCTCAAAATTTTTGGCGTCACGGATGAGGTATATCGGGGAGCGGAAGCATTTAACAGGGACTCTTTGTTTTTTGGCCGGTTAACGAAGTCATGACCCACAGCATAGCATAGCACAGCACAGCACATGTTGTGTACACATTAGGTTTTTTTGTACAGCCTATAGTAGTCCCAACGGGATTGAGATACCCCAGGTTCGGTTTAGAGTCAATTGAGAAAATTGATATGCAAATGCAACTGCCAACTGCTGAATGCGAATTGAATGCCAAAATGCCGAATGTGGAATGTCAATGTTGGAATCAGTTTGCCGGTCGTAGAAGTGTAGAAGAGCCGGCTGCGTTTCCTGTACATGCAGACCAACACTGCATTCGTGGGAGATAAAACGAACAGATATTCAGATCAAGAATAAGGATTGCTCGAGGAGGTAAAGTGATATCTACGCAAGTTGTGTACATGGCTATCGAAGCCCTGGCTGACTTCCTCAGCTCTATTTTCGTGCGTCCGCTGCCAGTTTCTTCTCGCACGCCATGCTTGGAAGCATAGCTCTCTCTGTAGCAGACGGGACATGAGATTCCACGTAGCAATGATCCTCTGTACCTTTTCTCGCCCTCATCCTCTGCGTCTGGGAGTGGTGCTTTGCATGCCATTTTCGCTTGGCCTCTAGCCTCAACATGTGACGCTTTGCCGCCAGAGGAGGGCGACTGCGACCCGTCCATCTCGAGCAGAAGCCTGTGTGTAGTAGAGCTTCGTGAAGTTGCCATCCTGAGGCTGGTTTCTGGAATGGTATCTTTCGATAATTCTGGGATTGGTACATCCTTTATGCCTCCTCAAGTCTTCCACCACCTCGAAGCTCCTCGTGCTCTAGAGCCACCGAACTTAGCCTCTTCCTTCTCGAAGGTTGTGCGTTCCAAAATCGCTCGTGCTCGGAATGCCTTCACAAACTTCCAAGCTTCAGTGTCGGCAAGATTCCAAGCTTCTGCAACTGCCCGCAGCTTCAGAATATTTTCATCCTTGCTTTCAACTGTGTCTCTCGCCCTTCTCAGGAGCGCAGCCTCAAAGCTCTTCTGTTCGTCTGATGGAGGCTTCGGGTCGGAGCTCTTATGCTTCTCTTCGGGAAGTCCAGCGGGGCCCCTCCATCGTTCTGGTCCAGGGACTGGTGGAAGCGACTCGCCATGAGCGATCGTCGTGCGAGGAATCGAGAAGCCGAAAACCCAGTCCAAGTCTTCCAGCCACTCTTCCGGAAATGGCTTGATCCTCTCTGGCTCCGGATGTGCATCATTAGTCGGTGATTTTGGTGGCGGTGGAGGAGGGTGAAATGTGGATGGGAACTGCTCGGTTGTGAACCAGAGAGACCGGCTTGATCCAAACTCGGATGCAACGATATCTTTGACACTCACGACCCGACTGGGACCACCTCGCCCGTCACCGAGCAGATCTCTCGTGACTGCAAGGACCCACTGGTCTCTGTCCGTGTGCCGCCTTATATGTTTTGTTGTTATATGCTCGACGGTATCGTTGTTGAGGGTGATCATGGTCAAAGGATGGGGCACCACGCTTAAGGTGAAGACAGTCGAACTGTTCTTGAAAGCTTGCGGAGTGTTCATGTGCATCTTAGATGCTACGCAGGGACTGCATTTCGGCCGATTGGGAGGACATGATGACTGCATAATCGACTCTGGACACTCGGTCAATAGATGAGCCAAGTCAAGGACTGGCTCAACAAGCGTTGTTGAGTGTGCAGGGAGCGGCTTCAATACCGATATGCCACTGCTGAAGGTGTTCTGCCAGACGGTGTGAAGATGCGCGTCGATCATCTGGTTGAGCTCTCGTTTGCCCTTAGCAGGGGATTCCTCCATGACGTGGTCGAGGGCAGGATATTTGTCTTTGATAGTTTTGCTATCGTAATGCGCGATAGGACCTGGCTGCTCGGTCTTCCAATGCTCTTTGCTGATAGCTTCAGTGATGGTCTTGTACGTGCTCAGCTTTGCATCATTCAAGGCATCCTGTATCGCATTATTGACATGAATCTTCTCGCCTGCGAAAAGACCAGCGTTGAGTCCTTCAAAATTGGTGAGTTGCGCGTATTGCCCACGCCGCAGATGACTCAGAAGAACGTCGTCGTAGGCACTCATCGGTACGCAGTGCCAGCTTGCAAGTAATCCAGATCCCATATGACCCCATGCAAGGAAGCGCATGAACTCGAATTCGAGGTCGTTGGGCAGGTCCCTTGGCTTGATGCTCTGGTACAGCGGATGATTCATGGCTTCAGCTTCGCTCAGAATCACAGGTCTGAAACCCTTCGCCCACCACGCACGCCTCCACGTTAACAGTAGCTCCTGATCAGCCTCTTTCGTCTCCTTGTCCCTTTTTGCTGTTGTATCGTAATATGTATACACTTGAGGACGCTCAAGGACGTGTGGAAGTACTGCACGGTCCTCGTCAAGCGTGACAGAAGAGGAGAAGGGGTTCATCCATCGCCAGTCACTATGCCAGGACGTATCTCCACTGGTGCTGTTCTGTTGTTGCGGAGGCTTGTGAGCACTCTTATACCATGATATTCGAAAGTCTGGCACATCGAACTTTGGCAGATTCGGTAGATTTGCCCTGAGCGTCTCTGGAGTTTTGACCTTCTCGGCTGCGGCGGAGGCAATCTCGCGAGACGAAGAGGAGAATAGTAGTACAACGGTAAGAGTGACAGCGACGATGAAAACGAAGGTGGTGAAGCGCCGGGGAGGCATGGTGAGAATGATAACGAAATGACTTCTATACAAGCATCAGCGGCAGTAACAGCAGCTCCTCAGCGACCTGAGGTGCTGGGACGGGACAAAGGTTGCGCGTCGTTGCGTGCAACGACGGCTGCAGTTGGATGTCATGCAAAGCGCCGGAGTCTGCGCTTCACCGTAGGCCGGAAAAGTCATCCGACAAGCGACTTAGTCACAAATGTACTTTTCTCCGACACCGCTCATAAAAAGTATCTGCTCGCATGCTCTAAAACACCTCGACCATGGCGGTCAACGGCGACATAAATCACCTCGGCTGGTGGTCCGAGCAGCTGAAGGATCTCACCGTCTCACCACTGACAAGAGATTACCCCGAGGTAGCATCGGAGAACGTCCCCAAGAGGGCAATTGAGGCAGTAGAATCCCTAGCAGCGGACGAGGAAACCAACGAGTCCATCAAGACGCTCGCGAAGAATACGACTCCCACAAATGTTATGCTTACGGCTCTCGTTATCCTCGCCGCGCGACTCACCGGTGACGAGGACATTAGTCTTGGCGCCAACGATGCACCTAATACTGACCCTTTTGTCTTGAGGCTGTTCCCAGCAGCCTCCGAATCATTCGAGGCTCTCGGACAGAAGGTCAGCAGCACCTCTGACGCAGCGAAAGAGAGGAAGGTGGCTTTGGATGCATTGCAGTCTCATCTCAAGGTCTCTGCATTGTTTCGATTTGCGGCCTTCAACTCCAGCGCCGATGCAGCGCTTGCGGGAGTTACAGTTGAATCCACAGACTTGCTAATTACCTATACATTCTCGCAGTCTGGCAGCCTGTTTCTTTCTGCGAGGTACAACCAGCGACTCTTCTCCAGCGCCAGGATGGCGGGCATACTAGCCCAGATCACGGTACTTCTGAGGAACGCAGCTCAAGATCCTGTCAAGGCCATAGGGGCTATCGACTTCTGCACTCCGGAGCAAGAGATGCTGCGTACAGACCCCACGTCGGACCTAGAGTGGTCCTCGTTCAGAGGGGCAATCCACGACATCTTTGCTGCCAACGCTGAGGCACATCCTGATCGAACGTGTGTGGTCGAGACGAAATCAGAGGATGCTCCCGAGCGTGTGTTCAATTACAAGCAGATCAATGAGGCTTCTAACATTCTTGCACACCATCTTGTGCAGTCCGGCCTAGAGATCGGAGACGTTGTCATGATTTACTCCTACCGAGGTGTGGACCTCATGGTCGCTGTTATGGGCATCCTAAAGGCTGGTGGTACCTTCTCTGTGCTAGACCCTGCCTACCCTCCTGATCGTCAAAATATCTACCTTGAGGTCTCAAGGCCACGGGCACTTGTTATCATCGAGAGAGCCACAAAAGAAGCCGGACAGTTGGATCAAAAGGTGCGCAGTTATATCGCTGAAAATCTCAGTCTCAAGACAGAAGTGCCAGAACTCTTCCTTCACGATGATGGGATTTTGACCGGCGGCAACGTTGACGGCAAGGACATCTTCGATTCCGTACAGTCATTGAGGGCCAAAGGCGCCGGCGTGGTAATTGGGCCTGACTCTACTCCTACTCTATCCTTTACCTCGGGATCAGAAGGCAAGCCCAAAGGTGTGCGAGGTCGACATTACTCTCTAGCGTTCTATTTTGACTGGATGGCCAAGACCTTCAAACTTTCGGACAAGGACAAGTTCACGATGCTGAGCGGCATCGCCCACGATCCTATTCAAAGAGACATGTTCACGCCGCTGTTCCTGGGCGCACAACTGCTCGTCCCAGCCAAGAACGATATCCAGAACGAGCGACTAGCTGAATGGATGGCTGAGCATGGTGCGACGGTAACACATCTTACCCCTGCCATGGGTCAAATTCTTGTTGGGGGTGCTGTCGCAAAGTTCGACAAACTGCATCATGCATTCTTTGTTGGCGATATTCTCATCAAGCGTGACTGCAGATCGTTGCAAAATCTTGCCCCAAATGTCAACATTGTGAACATGTACGGGACTACAGAGACTCAGCGAGCGGTAAGCTACTACGAAATTCCATCAAGAACCCAACGAGAAGGCTTCCTGGATGGTATGAAGGATGTCATCCCCGCTGGGCGTGGAATGTACAATGTGCAGATGCTGGTGGTAAACCGCTTCGACACTTCGAAGCTGTGTGCTGTAGGCGAAATTGGCGAGATCTATGTTCGAGCATCAGGTCTAGCAGAGGAATACCTCGGTACACCAGATCTGACGGCTAAGAAGTTTGTGAAGAATTGGTTCCCAGGTCACGAGAAGGGCATCGAAGAGGATAAAGCGCGTCTCCAAAAGCTCAAAGATCAGCTTTGGGCAGACCCGAAGCTCTACTTTGGGCCTCGAGATAGACTGTACCGGAGTGGCGACCTCGGCAGGTACACGCCATCCGGTGACGTGGAATGCTCGGGCCGTGCAGACGACCAGGTCAAGATTCGAGGGTTCAGAATCGAGCTAGGTGAGATTGACACACACTTATCTCAACATCCACTCGTGAGAGAAAACATCACCCTTGTGCGGAGAGACAAGTTCGAGGAACAGACTCTTGTCAGCTACGTTGTCCCACAAATCAAATCATGGCTGATGTTCTTGAGAGAGCGTGCTCTTGAAGACCAGCAAGATGACGGTACACTCGTCGGCCGCTTCGAAAGATTCAAATTACTCCAGCAAGCTGTCGTCGAGCACCTCAAGACGAAGCTACCAGCATACGCAGTTCCTTCCATCATTGTACCAATGAGAGCCATGCCTCTCAATCCCAACGGCAAGATCGATAAGCCAAAGCTGCCTTTCCCAGATACTGCGATGCTCTCAGCATCAAGGAGAAGGAGATCTTCTACAATGGCACGACTCTCAGAGGCTGAGCTGACCTTGGCTGGTGTCTGGGCTAAACTCGTGCCTGGATTGACGCCGAATACTGTGAAGCCAGACGAGTCTTTCTTCGACATTGGAGGCGACAGCATGAAAGCACAACAGCTTGCGTACATGATCAGAAGAAACCTCGGGGCTGATCTGGCCATCAACAGAATCTATAGCAAACCCACGTTGAAGGACATGGCTGCGACCGTCGACAGGTTGAAGTCAGCAGAATCACTGACCGGCCAGGAGGAGGATCTCAAGACTCATTTGGGAATGGAGTACGGCAAAGATGCCCTGGAGGTGGCCAAGCAGCTTCCAGTCTCCTTCAAAGAGGTTGGAGACACTTCCAGCCCTGTGGTATTTTTGACCGGTGCTACTGGCTTCCTCGGTTCTTTCATTCTGAAAGACCTTCTTGAGCGAACATCACCAGCCATCTCTAAGGCTATCTTGCTTGTTCGGGCGAAAGATGCAGAAACGGCGTTCAGCCGAGTCAAGATGACGTGTGCTGCTTATGGCGTGTGGCAAGAAGCATGGGCCAGTCGCATACAATGTGTCACTGGCAGTCTCGGACCGGCCAAGTTCGGTCTATCTGATGAGGACTGGTCAGCTTCTGCGGACGCGGACGTTGTCATTCACAATGGTGCTCAAGTCCACTGGATCAACACCTATGATATGCTTAAGCCACCCAATGTTCTCGGCACAGTTGAAGCCATCAAGCTCTGCGCAGAGGGCAAGCCAAAGAGATTCTGCTTCGTCTCATCCACCAGTGTCCTTGACAGCGATCATTTTGTGCATGAGTCTGAACGTATTATTGCAGCTGGAGGAGAAGGCATCTCCGAGGATGATGATCTCTCTGGCAGTAAGACGGGCCTCGGTACTGGCTACGGTCAGACAAAATGGGTTTCCGAATATCTTTCGCGCGAGTCAGGCCGTCGCGGTCTATCTGGTTGCGTTGTTCGACCGGGCTACGTGCTAGGGGACTCCAAGACTGGCGTGACAAACACTGATGACTTCTTGATTCGCATGCTGAAGGGCTGCGTACAACTTGGCGCACGTCCAAATATCAATAACACAGTCAACATGGTGCCCGTCAACCACGTGGCGCGAACGGTCGTCGCCTGTGCTTTCCACCCACCTACCACTGGTGTTGGCGTGGCACAGATCACTGGCCACCCCCGGCTACGCTTCAACCAGTTCCTGGCGGCACTGCAAACGTATGGCTACAGCGCTAAGCTTACCGACTACGTTCCGTGGGCCTCCAGCCTTGAGCACTACGTGTCGTCGAATGCAGACTTTGCCTTGATGCCCCTTTTTACCTTCGTAGCTAATGATTTACCGTCGAATACCCGAGCACCGGAGCTAGACGACAGCAATGCAGAGGCCGCGTTGTACGCAGACAAGGACTGGACAGGTGAAGATGTGAGTGCTGGAAGCGGAGTTACGAAGAACACGATCGGCCTCTACCTGAGCTATCTAGTGGCTACTGGTTTCCTTCCGCCTCCCACAAGAGAAAAAGCGGAAGACTCAGAGCAGCCCGTCAAGAAGCTGCCCAAGGTCGATGTCGGCGAGGCGCAGACAAAAGCACTGAAGAGTGTGGGGGGTAGAGGTGGCACAGCTTAGAGATAGATGGTCCATGGCCAAAAGTTCAATGTCGAGTTACGTCGGTGGTTCACTTGCCATGTCATTCTTTCATTGCCGGACATCGGCCAGCGCGGGCGGCCGCAGATGAGCAATCCACTGTTTGTGGACCTTCTACTTGATGGCTGCCGTGCTCTTGCACCTACAGCCATGCTATAACACCGACGCAGCTCGCCAGCAGTAGGGTAGGTCCCGATCTCGGCGTTGCTGGCCCACTCAATGGCCTTAGGCTGCCAAGATCTAACCCTTTTGATCCCAATGAGCCCTAGTCAGCCCTAGCACGTCCGCCAATACTGGCTAGAAATCAGGGTAGAATTTTTGTACTTTATGTTACACCGGCGCGCTGATTTGCACCATAATTACCACACAGTGGAAGGGGTTCCTTAGCTCAGTTGGTTAGGTCCGATTCACCAAAAGCTAAGACATGATTCAATCATGCTAACATACCCCAGAGCGTCGTGCTAATAGTCGTCAATGACAATGTGTACGCGAAGGTCGCGGGTTCGACCCCCGTAGGAACCATTATATGATTTATTTTTGGCATCGTAGGCTTTTGCTGTATGAACTGGTGGTGGTGCTGGCCGAGCTTTTTGCTCCTGCGGGGTGTATTTGGACCTGCCTGAGCAGTTGGAGAGTTCCTCCGTCAAGTATGATCTTGGCAGCTCATCAGATGTCCTGATTGCTCCAGAAAGAGTGTAAGCAACCAAGCTTACTTTTTGACGACACCTTATGGCTGTGCTAGATTGACAGACTATACGTGCGGGGAGGCTGACGATGCGTCTCAGGGTTGTCTTAGTAGCTTAAAGCCTTCGAGGCCAGTCAAGCAGGCAGGATCTACAACATTAAACTCCATTGACACGAGTAGACCTTGCCGAACACTTCGGAGAAGAACAGGATAGGCGCTCACCTGCAACTGTAATTGTATTCTCCACCGCGAGCAATGGCACTGAAGCATGCGAAGTAGTTCGAATCCGATGATGACTGGAGAGAGTTCTCACCCAAGCACGGCTACACGCTCAAGCTAGAGCCGTAGAGGTACAGCCACTGAATGACATCCCTGGTGGCAGAGCGACACAGAAGGTCAGCGAGGGAGATCGGAACTCAGCCACCCTCTGAGAGACGTTAGCTACAGCTCTCGGTTCGAGCGCGTATCTGTTCGTGACCGAGCATCGGTAAAGATCAAGATATCCCGGCCCACCAGGGTGGATTCAGACCAGAAGCCGCCGATGCTGTTCATCCTGCACGGCGGAGGATGGATCTAGGGCACCCATATCATCGGAGAGGCGTGGCTGTTGTAGCCACTGATGCAGCGGCCCGGCCTGGTCATAATCTCTGTGGACTGTAGGCTGGCTCCGGACTACCCCTACCCAATCTTGATCTACGGTTCGTGTGATGCACTCAAGAACGTGGTTGCAGGGTCGGTTGAATTTAGCTTCGACGGCAGCCAAGTGCTGTGGAGGGGCGGATCGAGGGCTGGGGGCGTCATTGCTGCCTCACTTGCACAGCAAGCGCGAGGTACCGGGATCCCAATCGGAGGAGTGTTCCTCAATGTGTCCATCACCTGCGACCCACGACACTTCCCCGCTGATAACTTTGTATTCACCTCAGTGCTTCGGCACTCTGCTTGGTGGCGGCGTGATGAGGCAGATATGGGAGCTCGTCGTGCCGAAAGACGAGGGAAGGAGCCCACAGATATCCCCACTGCTGAACGATCTGAGCGACCTACCTCCCCATGCGATCTTTGTGGCAGGCCAAGATCCGCTTAGGGATGAGGGAGCTGCGTACGCCGGGAAGCTGGAGGCCAGCGGCGTGAAGACATCATTGCCAATCTACCAAGGAGTTCCTCATACCTTCGGCGAGTTTTAGGATTTTAAGATCTCGCAGAAGTTCTGGGGAATCTGCGAGCGGCGATAGTTCTATCTCGCGAGAGTAGATGTTTTGTTAGGCTCGAGACTTGCCGTCCAACACGTCAGCTTGAGCTCTGTTTGGGAGAGGCTAAACCTCAAGGCAGTCTGCACTCTGGGTCGTCCGGCAACGGAGATCCTGATTTAGCGGCATTGCATAGGGGCTGTTCGGCAGACATAGTGTAGAGGTAGGTAGAATCGACTTGCTACTGGAAATAGGAATGGGCAAGAAAAAAGATGCACACTTCACGTCAAATCCTTAGCTGCCAATTTTCTCGCGACAGTATGCCTTTGAATGCAAGCTTTCCACTCTGCAAAACTCGAAGGCAGCATTGACGTCCACTGGTGATTCCAATGGGTCCAGATTTGGATCTAAGTGTCTCCATTTTGGTCGTTCTGATCATCCAATACACAGCCTCGTCCGCGGCTTCTTCAGCCTTGGGGAGTGGAGTCCGCACTGCGGCGCGAAAAGCACGTCTAGAAGTTTCTCTCCAAGCAGTCAATCTCGTGCTGTGGCCGAAATGCATAGCGCGCTCTCATGATTGTACATCGCTCAGTCGAGCTACCGATACAAAGGAGGTAAGCATAGCCCGTCGCAAATTTCCCCTACTGCAAGGACGAAATATCAAGCTGGCACCAGTCCGAGAAGATCATTTGTACTCTTCTACGTGCGGATTAGCGAAAAGGCACAAGCCTATAACCTGAGCGCAGTCAACCCCATGAATGAATGCAACGATTACTACGAGCATAAGTACTGATTGATACCCTCAGATAACCCGCCTTCGGTCGCAATCATGGTGCTCCACAACCCCAACAATTGGCACTGGGTGAATAAGGATGGTGCTCCCTGGGCGAAAAATTGGTTGGAGGAGAATGTCATTGGAATCTCGGCTGAAGACGGCGATGTCTCTGCCAAATTGACCAAGCTGATCTCGATGGATGGTGACGTGGAAGTCAGCCAGCGGAAGGGCAAGGTCATCTCAATTTTCGACGTTGCTCTTAAATTCGAGTATGAAGGCAAGAATGCGGAAGGTGCAGATACCAGCGGATCGGTGCGAGTCCCAGAATGTGCGTATGACACCGAACACGATGAATTTGTTTTCGAGATCGACATCTACAGCGAGACAAAAGAGAAGCAGCCTGTTAAGGACCTGGTGCGCTCCAAAGTGGTGCCACAAATGAGGGATGCTCTCGTGAAATTAGGTCCATCTTTGATCGCAGAGCATGGCAAAGACCTGCAACATCCTCCAGAATCCAATCCGTCGAGCGGCTTTGCTACACCAACATGGCACCCGCAGAGAGAGCGAACTCCTATTCCCAATGCGTCCACAACTACTAGTACGACTGGTAAATCCTCCATCAACACCACCACCGTCACAGCCACAGACGAATTCCGCACGACTGCCGAGGAGATGTATCAGACTTTCACTGATCCTCAACGCCTGGCTGCGTTCACCAGAGCCCCACCTCGCGTCTTCGAAGGCGCAAAACCTGGAGCCAAGTTTGCTATCTTTGATGGCAATGTCTCCGGCGAATTTATTAAGCTTGAGCCACCTAACAAGATCGTCCAGAAATGGCGGTTAGCGCAGTGGCCTGAAGGGCATACAAGCAACCAGGAGATCGTCTTCGACCAGAACGATGTTGATCGCGTGACAAATATGCGGGTCACTTGGACTGGTGTCCCAGTCGGCCAGGAGGAGGTGGTGCAGCGTAATTGGGAGGGTTACTACGTCCGGAGTATCAAGCAGACATTCGGGTAAGTGGCCTCCCTTTCCGTGTCGCTCTCAGCACTGACCTTCGCAGCTTTGGTACCATCCTGTAGTTATACGTCCAGCGGCATCAATCCGGAGTCCTGAGAAGGAAGTGAGAACACACAGCAAGCTCTAGAGGACAGTACGCATGCCTAGCATTGAGGCCTTCTGACAGCCACAATCAGGTACGGACGGCGTAAGCAGCAAAGTATGAAGCATACGAATGAAATGCCAACTTTTTCCACCATTGATACTGCAATAAGCTTTTACAATATCCGTGTGGCAGGTCAGGCTCGCAGGGGTCAGGGGTGTGCAATGGAATGCCTAGGCGTTCGTGCCACTTTACCTGACGTCAGAGCCACCTCACCAGCTGCCCATCAAGTTTTGTACCAGTTCCCGTGCACCGCCACACCTCATCTATTTTCCTGCTTCGTTTCTCGTCGAGCGATCAGCGAGCATTATTTTCCGGTGCCCGTATCTCACCCTTAATGTCGGGCAGAATGTTGAGAGAAGAGCCCCAGAAGCCTTCCAGCAAGGCTGGACAGAGCGACAAAAATGGCCATGATCTCAACACCATCCTCAATGAGGCACAGAGAGCCGATGTCACGCTATTGGTTGCAAACTGTTCTGAGGCCATGCGGTCACTGCTGTTGGAGAACTTTGATGCGGCTGCTGGTCTCGACAAGAAGCTGCTTGGTTCAGGCCTAACAGAGGATGAGAAAATGATGCACGCCGATCCGTCCACGGCAGACGTTGAAGCATATGATAAGGAAAGGAAACTTCAGGAGGAATGCCAGACAGACATCGATTCGCACAAGTCGAAGAGGCTGAAGCGAGATGTCCTCCAGGCGTACGACGAGTGGAGGGAGAAGGTTCTGATGCGAGTCGGCGAAGTCGTCAACACCAAGTCTACGGTCAGAAAGCAGCTGGAAACCCACTCTGAACCTCAGTCTCCACGGCCCAAGGCTCCTGTAATTATCGGCAAGGTTACAGATGTACCGGAACGCGGGACCAATTTGAAGTTCAAGGACCTCTTCCCACCCACCAAGACGCCTCTTACAAAGCTTCCAATGGACAAAAGGACCCTTATCCTCCACGCATTACTCTTGCTTTTGATATCGCTGGAGCACTATAACGCGTACTCGCGCACACTCATGCTCAACCTCACATCGTCGCTCAAATTACCCCTGAAGACATTTGAGCAGGATGAATACACAACCGCAAAAGGGCTCCTCGAGTCTGCAAAGGAACTCAACGCTAACGAAGAGACTCAGAAGAAGCAAGAGGCCAACAAGGACAATCGAAAATGGAGGGTCGGCCTAGCCACAGCTGCTGGCGCTGCGATTCTTGGTGTGTCAGGCGGTCTTGCTGCTCCACTTGTTGCCTCTGGTGTAGGCTCAGTTATGGGAGGCCTTGGCCTCGGGGCAACGGCTGCAGCTGGCTATCTTGGCTCAGTCGCCGGTAGCACTTTACTCGTCGGTGGTCTCTTCGGCGCTTATGGTGGACGTATGACAGGGCAGATGATGGACAAGTACGCTAGAGAGGTCGAAGATTTCGAATTTCTGCAGGTCCATAGCGACCAGAAGACTAGCGAGGACCACGACAAAGGCGCCCAAGAAGCTAGTGAGCACGACCACAAGCTCAGACTTACGATTTGTATTTCTGGCTGGCTCACAGAGAAGCAGGAAGTCACCAAACCCTGGCGGGTTCTGGGCACTGGTTCGGAAGTGTTCGCTCTCAAATGGGAGCTGGAAGCACTCCTCAACCTTGGTCACGCCATGGACGGCATGGTCCAATCTGCCGCATGGGGTTACGCGCAGAAGGAGCTTATCAAGCGCACTATCTTTGCGGAGCTCATGTCAGCGCTCTGGCCAGTCGGACTACTCAAGGTGGCTCGTGTGCTTGACAATCCTTTCAGCGTGGCCAAATCGCGTGCAGACAAAGCGGGTGAAGTTCTTGCAGACGCCTTGATCAACAGGGCTCAAGGCGAGCGCCCAGTCACTTTGGTCGGGTACTCCCTTGGTGCAAGAGTCATCTACACTTGCCTTAAGACACTAGCCGAGCGCAAAGCCTTCGGCCTCATCGAGCATGCGATCATGATCGGAGCCCCCGCTCCTTCGGACATGACGCACTGGCGTGTGCTCAGAACTGCAGTTTCAGGCAGACTGATCAACGTGTACTCGGAGAATGACTATCTACTGGGCTTCATGTACAGGACCTCAGCATTACAATACGGTGTGGCAGGCCTTGAGCCAATTCGTGGGCTTGCTGGCGTTGAGAATGTCAACGTCAGCGAGGATGTTGACGGCCACACTCGATATCGGTTCTTGGTCGGTGCAATCTTGAAGAAGCTCGGCTTCGACGACATTGACCAGAACGCAATTGCAGAGGAACGAGAAGCTCTTGAGAAGATGCTCAAGGAGGAGAAGAAGAACTCACTGCAATCTCAGCGTAATCGGCTGATGCGGCGGGAGTCCTACAAAGGTAAGCCTGATGAAGAGAAAGAGGCTGAAGATGAAGCCTCAGACATGGAGAAGCAAGTCAAGGACAGAACGCAAAAGAGTATGATGGCACGTGTCATTGATTGGTGGTACACTCCGAGGAAGCCTGGCAATACCAAAGATGCCGAGAAGGTGGCAAGCAGCCTACAGCAGGCTGCCAACAACCCGACTGATGCGAAAAACGCAGCGTTCGACACGTTCAAGGATGCTCACGCCGCAACACAGTCTTACACCCAATATGTCACCTCGAAGCTACCGTCGATGCCCGGTGCTTCGTCGATGAAGGATACTAAAATAGCGGAAGGGGCCACTGGTACTACGACCAGCTACGTGAAGGCTGCGCAGGAGTATCTTCCAAGTATGCCCTCATTCGGTGGCAAGAAGCAAACCAGGAAGCCCGATACTACATCGGAAAAGGCAGTAGATACAGCCACGCAAGCTGCCACAGGCATGCAAAAGGGTGTTACAGGCGCTGCTGGTGCCGCCAAGGATGTCATACAGCCATCTGTAAACAACACGCTCAACCCGGCTGATAACCCGGTTGTCAAATCGGCCAAAGATACTGCAAAAAAGGCACCTATCATCCACCAGGCATCTGATCGAATCCCGGGTGCAAACAAAGCTGCCCAGGTCACGTCAGACACTGTCGGGATAACGGTCCAAAACACCGGACAAACAGTCAGTGGTGCCCTGAACACGACTGCTAGCAAGACAACCGATGCTGGCACTGCCGGTGCTGGCAGAGCAGTCGAGGCAGGCAAAGGCGCTGCATCGACTGCTACCAATGCTGCGTCGACCGGAACTGGCAGTCTGACTGATGCTGGCAAATTGGTAACGGGGCAGAACACGGCCTTGAGAGAGACGGACAAATCCCCATCTCAGCAAAAGTCCCAGCAGCAGCAAGCTCAGTCCTACTTCTCACGCGCAGCCGGCTACCTCCCTGCCACTTCATCCTTGCCCTCGATGCCCTCGTTTGGTGGCAATAAACGCGGCCCTCCCAAACTCGCGAAGCAGAACTCCGGGACTGGTGGTGCTCAATCGCCGAAGCCCCAGCCTCATCGCACACCGCCAGGAGTCAAGTCACCTCCCAAGCTGGACCGCATGCCTAGTGCTGGCGCCAAATCGCCACTCCAGCGTACGTCGTCCGGGATGAAGAGCCCACCGCCAAAGCTTGAGAAGAAAGCTTCGGGAACGCAGTCGCCACGGCCTCTGAAGCTGGAACGCAGCCCAAGCGGCCTCAAGAGCCCGCCGAAGCTGGAGCGCGCGACCAGCGGATTGAATAAGGAAGTGACGAACGCTCCGCAGAAAGCAGGCGAAGGGGCAGACGCCGTGAGGAAACAGGCGGGCGACGGTGCAGAGGCTGCGAAGAAACAGGCCGGAAGCTGGACTGACACGGCCACGGGCGCCGTCGGTGGCGTCACTTCTAGGCTTCCTGTGTTTGGTGATGGGAAGTGAGGCAGACCGTTTGTTCGACTGCCTTTCGGAGTTGGTATGTTCTGTCGTTGGTTCTGGCTGACGTCGTTTGGTTTACCGTTGCTCATGATAAGACACAACAATCCAGCTGTTTACGATTATAATGGTATGAGGTTCTTCCATTCACAGTCAATCTTCAATTTACCTCTCTCGTTTGCCGCTCTTCTTTCATTATATCACCCTGGATAACACTGCAGACCCAGAGTGTCTTGAGCCATATGCGCATTGTCATCTCTTCCGCCCCAGTGATTCAGACTCACGGCACCTCTCACTCTGCTAACAACATGTGTCAGGCTCGGACGCCAGGAGCGTCCCTACCAAAGCAGTATCTCGGTACGCATGCCCAACCCCCCAACCAATCGACCATGTACGCGTTCAGCGCCGTCATTCTCCTGCTTGCATTCGCCATCGTGCTGTGGCGAGCTCTAGCGTACTTGCACATTATCCTTAGTCGGCGTGCGGAGCATGCTCGTCCCACTCAGCGTCACCGCGCAGCCTTCAGTACTGAAATCCTGGGGGAAAAGACAGAGCATTACAGTCATGGCGGCAGGAGACCAAGCTGTTCTGATGGAAACCTCCAACAGTGTCTCGAGACCCGTGGTCGAGAGTTTCACCCCAGCAGCGTGCCTACTACCAGCCCCAGGACCGGTCTCTATGACGAGATAGCAGACTTCTCCAGCAAGATGGTTGAGGACCTCGATGTCTACCGCCGACAGCGTGGCACCCGCACACCTGTGCGAGACATCATATCTCCGTGCGTTCCAAGACATGACCGTGGTCATAATGAGGCTGGAAGTCCTCAGCAAGGTCACCAAGGTCCCTTATCGTCGGCTCGTACCTCAATCCAAACCCCACGGCGTCGCTCGCTCTTCACTGAGATGATCGGTCTGGATGATGACTCGTACTCAAACGAGCACAGACTCGCCACGGGCAATCCCACATCGCTTCATCAACGCCGTAGGAGCTCGCACGTACGTGCTGAAGCCAACTGCACTGCCACCTCCAATCCTCTCGAATACAGCCGCACGAACGGACAGGTTGTCGCGATCGGTGCTCCCTCCACCGCCATCTCAAGCAGCGTCTCAAGACAGCTTCAAGGCAGTGGAGGTGACAGACACGCAACTGGTGTTCCCAGCATGGCACGGCCCACCTCCAGCAACGTCGACATCGAAGCAGACTATGTCTCTGTCAACGATTACTACACCCGTCTCACGCCCTCTTCTTCCTCTTCACCCTCCTTCAACGCCTATGGTCCCGGCGACCTGCGCGTCCCTACGCCTTCTTCACCCATACAATCTCCTACGACGAATCCCCGCTCCGACGCGCACGCCAGCGGCGACGCCGCGTTCATCGAATTCAGGCAGGGTGTGCGAGGTGCCGGGATCCCTGTGCCGGCGTCGCTGCAGCGAACGGTGGCAATACATAACGTACATGGAGAATCAGACGAACAGTGCTTGGGAGAAGATGGGTCCAGAGGAGGGCAATTGACGGCCACGCGACGCCGTACGATGGGACATGGGAGATCGATGCGGGTGGGGGAGCCGAGGCTCGTGGGACGGGACACGGCGGAAATCGCGCTCTGGGGTGCGAGACGTGGGTCGGAGGAGGCGAATGAGGTAGCAGAGGGGGCCGGAAGAACGTGAGCGCCCAAAGTGGGTGGTGCAGGAAGTCGCTTGGGTAGGTGACTCTTTGGTGGTGATGGGACTTTCTCGAGTGGAAGGGAATATGGTGTGATGGGCCGAAAGCCTCGACTACTGATGTGACGAGCCGCTGCGGGTGAAGCGAAATGAGGAAGAAAGGGAGTGGAGACGAGGTGGTGACTGTGGCTAGCGAAGGTGAAGATTAGCAACGAGAACGGGGAAAGATCAGAAAGCGATCGGGGACCAAAGGGTCTAGAATAGAAAGCCGTCGAACAAAGAGAGGCTTTTGGCGAGGTTGCTTCGCCGCCTGAACATTCTCTACCAACCCAATCTCATGTCAACTCTTGTAGGTCGCTAGCGCTACTCATACTTCAATGCCTCCTCGATGTCCGCTAGATTATGACAATCAAAGGACAGCAATGGTCCCTGTTCCTCCTGCTCCTGAACCGGCGGATCAGCGGGGACGGACCTCGAACCATACCTCGCGAGATTCTCCCACTGCTGCCAACCAATGTCGCCATCGACAACGCCTATCGCACTCGCCAGACGGCAGAACTCCTGCGATGCGGTCCACAGTAAATTGATCTCCTGTCCCAGATACGCCTCCCAACCCGTGTACGTCTTGCACATGTCCTCGGACCAGAACGACCAGTTCTCGCCAAGCCCTCCCGGCTGGCAACCGCGCGTGAGGGCTTCGTCGATATCATTGACGGTCATCTGGCGAATTTCGGCAACTGTGCCGGGCACTGGGCCTTCGCGCACATGCCTCGGGATGTAAGTCATAGCTGTTTCTCCAGGCGGCACCGGACCAGGTTCGTCTGTGCCGACACGGGCGTCGAAGCGTTTATCTGTGATGCATTCGTGGATGGCACTTGCCATGCTCACCATGGGTCCAATAAGCTCCTCAAAGATCTCCGACTCGGGGTTGCACATGTAGAAGTTGTGAATCCGGCTGATGCAGCATGAAGCGAGTTCGATGAGTTTGATGGCGAGCATCATGACGTGTCGTCGACGAGGGGCATCCCAACGCACGAGAGCATCGAGCGCTTGACGGGCGTGCATAAGGAGTTCCATACACATGGCGGCGAGTTCTTCATCCCGGCCTGTCTCCGCAAGGTCCTTTCGAAGATGTATATCCTTGATGACCCGGATGAGGATCTGAATCACCGGAATGGTCCACACAGCATGGCGAGGGCCTTTTGAAAAGGTAAATTGAATGTAGACAGAAAGGACGTTCTGCATGAATTGCACTTGTAGTCGCCCATCCATGGTTGGCTGGCTGTCAAAATTAGTGCCTTCGAAAGAGGTACTGCAGGAGAGCGCCGCAATCATCTTCTGTACCCAGTCGGTTTGTCTAGGTGTGTTCGACATCTTCTGATTGTCCTGGCGGAAACGCGTGACAAATGCGACGTCCAACTCGCGATTGAATGAGCCAGGTCGACGTGTGAAGAGCAGCTGGAAACGATCTTCAGCAACAGGAAACTCGCTTCTCTGAGGATCTGTGAACCACACGTCTAGCTTGAAACCAGGGAACTGGTAGATCTCGATCTCGTGGACGATGGCTTGAACGAACTGCGTATACGAGTCATCACCTCCGGCGTGGTAGCAACGTAGCCAACTGCTTTTCATAGTCTCTGCTATGTTGAGCAGGAGGCGACGTCCACTCTCTTCGTCGACAAGCTCCTCAATGAGATCTTGGCTATCTTCGGGCCCAGTGAACTGCAATCCATAGATGGAGCGTATGATGTGTCTGACAATGTCAGTTCGGTAATCTTTGAACACCCCGAGTGTCATGTCTCGACCTTGACTGTCACCCATCAAGTCACCGAGCTCCTGCAATGGCAGGTTTCCAGGGTTTCTCCACATAACTCGGCTTGTCAAAATGTGTTCGAACCGTAGTTCGGATGTTGGTTTGAGGATACATTTCAGCCACCGGGAGTAGAGCGATTCTGGGTCCAACTCAAAGTAAGTCGGAATCTTCCAGACGATATGGCTCAGGAGCAAGGCTTCGCACTGTTGGCTTATTCCCGTGTTTGCCAGGAGCCGCAAAGATAACGAAGACGTGGACTCCAAGTACTGGTCCCATCGATCTCGGTTAGTACCAACATCCTGCCGGGCGATGTCAAACCAGATGCTTATGACTATCTCCAATCTCGGTGTAGACTCATCGCGGCTTGATAGTATCGCAGAGACGATTTCACGCGCCGTTCTCATCGCTTGAGCTTGTAATGTCGGAGACACCCCCATACAGACTGCTCTCACCAATCTCAGCATCGACAAATCAAGATCGTGCTTGCGGTACTCAGCAATGAGGGCATCAAAGGCTACCTTGTGAATTGACTGCAGCTTCTCGAAGTGATTTTGCAAGAACTGTAACATGCGAAGTATCTCTTTGAGAAAGTCTGCATCAACCAGAGCTTCAGCATCGGCTGGTACGGTGCAGAGGCTGACAGCAGTCATCCAGTTGCGGAGCATGTTTGCTAGTTGAACCATGACAGGTTGACAGTTATCAAGGTTGTGCTTGTGAACGAAGAACGACCCAAACACTGCTTCAGAGTTCAGTGCAGTGGTGACCTTGCTAGCAAGAGCTCTCCACATCTGATGGCCTAGACTGCTCAAGGCTTTTACTTCGGCCGGATCCGCGCCTTTCACGACTGCAGTCCGACACATACGTGCCCAAGACGCAATCGTGAGATCTCTTACCCTCGAATGACTCGTAGAGAAGTCGAGGAGATTCTCAATCTGAGCGACTCTTGGTCCACAGCCCCGGGGAGCAAAGCTGTATAGCGTCGCGTACAGAGCGTACGTGTTGGTCATGGTCTGATAGACTGCAGCATGAATGTCTTCTTGCTCGTTCATGACACGAGAATAGTTGGGCGCGAGACTGAAGACCAGACCTATGAGCTTGTTCTTTTTTGACAGCGCGTTATTTGAGCTTTCCAGGTCCAGAGATCTTTGTTCCAAGGCTATGGCAACCAGGCGTAGGAATATATCGAAATCGGTAGCACTAAACCCGGGGTCGGTGACAGGATAGTTAGAGACCCGTTCGACTGCTCGGAGGATGTTTGGTTCAGCAAAGAGCTCAACCATATCATTTCGTCCGTAGTACTTGAACAATAGTTGGAGCAGGGTATCTGGGATAACCCAAGCATGATCCGCTGCGAGGGACAAGCATATTTCCAGTGCTTTCAGCCCAATCGCCATACTTTCTTTGCGATGCTGCTTCTTGCCCATGAAATCTTCTAGGAAAGCCTTCAGAGATGGTCCCAGGAGTGACCAAGCATCAAAGGAAATCGTTCGGTGTTTTCTGAACACACCTCTGTCGTCCATAAATGACAATGGATAGATTGTAGGCACGAGCAGCACTGCAGTCGCCAAACATGCCGTAGTAGAATCGCCGCAGGAGGTTTTCACGGCTTCAAGCAGAAGTGTGTCTAGGTCGTGGTGCCGCCCAGCCGCCTCAGTGAGATGCAACACAAGCATAAGCGACTGAAGATACAGCAGAGCGTCAGGATCGAGTGCAATGTCCTCCCAAGACGTCGAGGGTTCACTGAGCTTTTGCAGACCTTTGGTGCTCACCAGCAACTCCAGAGCGACGGATCTGGCTCGTTCCCAATTGGCCGAAGCTGTCCACTCGGGCCCTGTCGTGGCCCGAGTTGCCATAAAGACTTGAAATGCCAATATCATGAATTGGTTCAGCAGACTAAGAGATGCAGAGAGATTACTCGACTCGCTGATTTGGGAGGATATGTAAGTGATCGCTGCGTCCAAATGTTGAGTCATCCCAAGGATAAGGTCTACGCGTTTCGAATCGTTGAATGAGTTGATGCCTTGGTTGAAAAATTCGATGATAGGTTCGACGCTGGCGCATGCTTCGCTAATGCAATTGCTGCCAGGCTTCGTTGAGACAATATCCAGAGCTTCGTCCATGGTTTCTTGGATGAATGCCATGATTTCTGCAGTGTCGTCTGTGCAGCATATTTCACGCTTGCTCTTCAGTGTCCATAGAGTTGTTTCGGCCGCGACAATCGCTTCTGGCAGCGTCTTTCGTGTGACTGCTGACTCTATGACAGCTGTGAGCTTGCCCTCGGTTATGAAAGAAGACAACTCAAGTCTGCTTTCGGCAAGAGGCTGAATGACTGCTGCCGCTCTGGACACTGCCAATTCGATTGTAGTGTTGTGGGTGCGGTGTGCAGGCTGTGGGATTGAGACAAACTCGCTGGTGTGTGCCATGTTGTCCATGGCTTGGCCGGTAGTAACTGGTGCCGATGTTGGCACGGGCTTCGCTAGCTTCCTACAGTGCTGTCAGTAAGGGTCACACATGAAATCAGTATCGGGTGGGGCATACTTTGGCCGTGAGGGAAAAGAGCCGGATGTCAAAGTGCGTGGCTGCGGTGCCTGCTGGACCTCCATTGCCAACCGTGGTCGCGACGATGGAGCAAGACGAGGAACACGCTTTTTCGTTAACGACGTAGGATCGATAGTTTCCAGTTGTGTAGGTCTTTCAAGCATACGAGACCAGAAGTTACCTCGACCGGCGCGGTTACTGTGCCACGAAACGAAGCCTGCCTGCAATCTGCGAGGCGCTATTGGGGCAGGATGGGACACGGACGACTTCAACTGGCCTCGATCGGCTTCAGACCGCTGCTGAAGACGAGCGAGGGTAGCGGCAGTCGAATTCTTGAGGAGTTGTACAGTGTTTGAGATGTTGGGACTGTCGTGGGTCGTTGTCGTTGTGTGGCCATCCTGAAACCGTTGCACACTAGTGATAAATGGTTGTCGCGGGTGATGCTGTTCATCCAGCCTGAAAGCAGTGCTTTGACGTGACTTGGCCCACCTGTGAGTTTGGCGGTTTGTTCGCCAATTACTCAATTCCTCATTCACATCAGCCGTGTCTTGAGAATTCGCTAACTTGAAGAACTTTTGTGTGGCGTCCTGAGGTTTGGCTCTTCGGCCTGGGACCTTTGAACGCGCAGCCACGCGAAGAAACTGCGGTTGCTGGGCATAGCTAAGTCCCATCAGTCCTGGCGCATCGAGGATGCTCAGTTGTGTAGGAACCGATTTCATCTTTAGCCGTTTTGGTTTCTGTTTCGACAGACCAGTGACACCAACGCGATTGTTGACTGCCGGTGTGGTATTTGGATATGGCGTGGCATGCTGTGTAGTGCGGTCTGTCACCCAGGAAGTGTCTAGTCTTTGCTGGCGCTTCTTACGAGGTTTCTGAGTATTTCGACCCCTCGAAGCGCCAGGTAGCATGCGATCGATTGTGTCCTCTTCGACTAAGTCGTCCATGACCAGGTCTTCTCCCTCGGGCTCAGATGTAGGGCGAAGCTTCGAGGCCTGCACTTTCTGCTTGCTTGAGGAATCGCTTTCTTCGCCACCAGAGCTAAAGTCAAGGAGCTCGGGTCGTGCACCTGCGCTTGGTATCGGACGTCGAGGAACGTGGCGAGCGACACCTTTAGCAGGACGCTTGTCTGGAGACCTAACAGACGCATGTGTGCTCGCTTTGCTCTTCTGCTGATGAGCGTCCAACTTGAGCCATGAAGCTGGCAACACACCACGAATCCGGCGGCGAATATGCACTAGGTTTTGTGGTCTTTCGTTGCTGGATGTGCCACTGCTCGAGTCTTCATCTTCTAGGTCGCCACCAGAACCTATTTCCTCAGACGAGCTTGAGACTTCAATTATACGACGCTTGCCGTGCTGTTTGTCGGATGATATGACAGGCGTTGGTGGGCGTCTTGGTGTCGCAGAGACAGGTCCTATTGCTGCGGCCAAGCTCCCGGATCGAGGCGGCGAAGGTGGCATATCGAAAATCGAGAACGATGACTCCGTAAGTCGATCAGCCTCGTCCGGATGCCCAGGTATCTCTACCGATGGGAGAAGTCTTTGCCTGGGGAGATTTTTATTCTGAACAATCTTCTTCCGGCGATTACGGCCCTCTGCGTGGAAAGTTTTGGGTCTGATGCCCATGAGCTGATCCAGATCGCCATCTGAGGCATCATGTGCATTGAGCGTCTGCATAGTTGAGGAAGGCAGTCTCCGAAGGGGTTCTTGCGACTCATCTTCTTCGTTCGCTTCTACATTCTCGTCGGCCGAGAACCGCTTTGGTGGCGACCCCATCGAACTTGACTGAAAAGCCGATTCTGCCTGAGATTCATCTCTGTATTTCGCGATGTTGTAGCGGAGTCGATCATCCAAATCCCTGACACGCACCGGTCTCAGACCACGAGATGCCCACTCTGTCTGATGCTTTACAGCGTCGATGCTATAAGGATGGAGCTGAGCTGCAGTCCGATGCCGCAGAGACCTAAATGTCGCAGCATTCTGCCACCTCGCTGTAGACGATGGTATGTCGTCAGACGCTGCTGATAGTGCCTGTCGTGGAGTGGATTGGTGTGTCGACGCCCTCTCTGGTGATCCCACGAGTGACTCAGGGGGCGAAGAAAGTGGGCTACTACTAGCTTCTGATGGAGGCGGGTGCGGTGGAGGACTCAACCTGATACCCCGGCACACTTCGAGTCCATGTTGGAGTTGAGCTTCTAATTGTGCAACGACCGAGATACCATACCTTGAGCGCTGTGCACCATCATCAGTTGAGGCGCTGTTCTCCTTCTCAGGCTGCTCGGTAGAAGGCTTGCGGCCGGATTCGTGGCTTCGCTTGGCATCGGAGTGTTCGAAGTGAGTCGCTGGACTGGAGACTACCAAGGATGCCGGCAATTCGTCAGACTTTGCGGCATCTTCTTCGACATCCTGCAAGATGGTTAAGTCGTCGGTGGTCGCAGCAGGCTTCTGATCGATCCTGCTACCAGAGAGTTGATCACCAAATGACGTCTTTCCCAGACTTTCTTCGTCTTCATCATCTGAATCTGGGACATAGCCCCGTTCCCTCCAGTCTGCCATCATCACAATTCTCCATGCTTTGTATGACAATGCTGTGGCGTGAAGTGAAATCCTGTTCTATTGAGATTTCTTGTACATCTACACAAAGAGGCACTGGCTCGAACGCGTTTAACGCGTCGTGAAGCTTGGCACCCGAGATGATGACATAATGTACGGCAGCTTGATGATCCGATCCGGCGCGTTTTCGTGAAATAAGGTGAATGAGGCTCATCATCGGTAGCGTTGGCTGTAGTTGCGAGGGTTGACGATGAGTGGCAGGGTACTACAAGCGGTCACTGTTCTTGTCGTGGGTGTCATTGGAGGTACGTTGGGAAAACGTGTTCAGGACCGTTTTTGACATCCTCAGGAGCTTACACCTTCGGGCCTTTGCTTGAGCAGCAGGCAGATGATCGACAGCGGAGGGAGTACGATAACCTCGTCAACTGGGAATATTGCAGTGCTGATATAGCAGGCTTCAAAGGGCACAAGATCTCGGACCCGGCCTCATAGAGGTCACAGCCCCTTCCACCATGCTTCCAAAAACAACTACGGTTCGCGGAACTACCGTCGAGGAAGAACAAAAGACGAAATAAAAGAACAGACAGCAATGATATTTCCGAGAGAGTCGACGACATCTACCGGGAGATGCTACATCGCGGTAGCCATGCATTTGTTTGCGAATGCTCCTCCGAAAGGGACAAAACTCTCCACCTCGGGAACCCCGCGACTTTCGAAGGCCCTCGACGGCGAGCTCCACTGCAGAGACCTTGAACATACGACCATCAATGTCGTAATGTCGCAAGTTGCAGAACGCAGTCTCAGCATATAACAATATTGAAACGATTGTACAGATCCATGCACCTCGAAGCACGGTGGTGCGTTCCGACGGTCTAGAGTCTGGAGGCGTTCTTGTTGACTGCGATATCAGTCAAGCTCCTGAACGAGGGCACCGTTACTCGGTGCCAGAGGTGGCCCAAAACAACGACCAGCGCTTTTGCCGAGCCATTCCTCCGGCACACCAAGTCGCACGCCGTCCTTAGTACTAATCCACCGGGTGTACATCGGGTCAGCCTTCTCGACTTCTTCTTCTTCATCTACCGATATCTCTCCAGCCTGTTTCTCGAGCATGAGAAGTGTTTCTGGCTTTGGAGCAGCCCCTCGTGCTTTAGATGCTTGAGGTTTCAGCTAGACAGACTTAGCATGTTAATAATCAAGCTGTGGCGACACGTACAAGTCGATTGAGAGCCGCCGTCTTTTCCTCCTGAATTTTGCGCTTCGTAAGCTCCTTCCGTTTACGTGCATGCTCATCTTTCTTCATCGCCTTCTCAGCATCCGTGAAGAACTGGTGGACCGTTAGTCTCAGCTTGTTCAATTGTACCATGCTTGCTCACCTTTCGCTGTTGGGGTCCCATCTCCAGAGCCATAAGCTCTCCGCCTTCCATCGCTCTGCGCTGGCGCTTCGTTAAGCTCGCAGGGTCTGGAGTAGCAGCTCCTGAAGCAGGTGTCTCAGAGTCATCATCTTCTGAATCATCATCGTCCAAATCGTCGTCCTCACCAAGTACGTCCTCCTCATTCTCCAAATCTTCCTCTTCGCCACGAGCGTCGTCTTCGTTCAGGTTAGTTTGTTCGCCTTCCTCGTCATCATCACCGGACAGGTCAGATGAGTCCTCGACCTCTTCGTCACCTGGGTCATCTTCCATCTCCTGATCCTCGACTGACTTCAACGGACCAACATTGGCAGGAGTTACAAGCACCTTCGGATTGGTTTGTCTTGCGTTGGACTTTGCGGGTGGCTTCAACGTGATCTTTGGTGCTTTGGGCGGCACGGGAGCGTCTTCCATTTCGACATCGCCGTCCTCACCAGCGGCATCATCGTCCATGTCGTGATCAGCATCTTCCTCATTATCGTCTTCGATTTCGCTCTCGTCATACTCCACGTACTTGGGTCGATCCGAGCCTCTGGCGCTAGCGCGTGGGGGAGGAAGGTTGCGTCGTCGACGAGGTCCATCGATAACCTGACCACCGCCAAGTGTATCGTGGAGGGAGTCGAGCTCATTCGCTCGCATGACTTCGCGTAGCTTGCTGGGCGGTGCTTTGACGGTGAGTTTTAGGCTCTGGCCTTTCCCATCACCGGCTTTCGAGATGGCGGCACTGGATCTACCGCTTGCGGCTCTTCCCCTTGAGCGTGGCGATACTGTGGGGGAAGATGCGACCCTAGATAATATTTTATTGTGAGCTGCATTGTACCTCTGATTATTCTTGAGCTTGAAAGTGGTGAAAGCTGGCATGGTGAGATTGATGCAGGTGCAAATGGAAGTAGTGCAGCAGGCGCGATGTCTTCAGGACCATATTGCTGCAGATGGAAGGGGCATTGAGCGATAATTGTAGTCGTTTGCATAATTGCTGCCGTATTCACGCGAGCCGAGCGTTACTTTAGTCGTTTGCTTTCACTGCGCAACGCCCAAGAAAGTGGCATAGTGACATATTGACCGCGGACCATGGACCGTGGACCAGTCGACCTTTGCACCGGCCTTCGCACTCTTGACAACAAAGGATGCTAGAAGAGGAGCGGTAACTTACTCTTGCCTCCCTGAACGTCGCATAGCGTCAGCTTTCCTGGGGTCGTAGTCTTCTTCTTCGCTTTCGTAGATATCCTGATCGTGGGATGAGTCCTGGGATTCATCGCTCGGATCATCGCTGATCTGTGGTCGCACACGGCGGCTCCGGTCTGCCATCTAGACGGCCTAGTCTCGGCTATCCACAGCCTTGGATTCCTAAAGTTCCTTTCCCACGTCTCCCAGACTGCCGCCTTGAATTCCAATCTGGACCTCTATATTATAAGTTTGCCAATTATCCGAAGCTCTGAACGATGATATAAGGCCGCGATAACTCGAGTCTTGATAAAGACCACCTAGATTGCTCAAGATGTTTCTGGGTGACAGGGTGTATATACCACAAAACCAATATCGGTGTTGAGGCGCGAACGAGGGTTGCCTTCTCTGATTGGTCAGCCTTGCATGTCACCAGCCCTACAGCCTTGTTTCAGCGTGCCTCGGCTGACATCGTCCTTTGCAGACTGCTTGTTGGTCGAATATGCTGTACAAGTAGCCCACTACTTTCTGCTCTGCGTTTCATACTATGCTAGCACATTCAACTAGAGGCTAAGATCGAGAAGGTTGTTATAACCATGGCAGGCGACAACAATGACGATTCGAAACCACAGGTTCCCACCATTCCTTCATGGCAACAGGCGCTACCGCCTACATCCTCACAGAGCAAAGTGGAAGACGAAGCTGGTGTGGCCACGCCAGAGACCGACCTCGATCCTCTACAACAGGCTCGCCATTTCCTACGGCATGAAGAAGTGAAAGATGCACCCAGAGATCGCAAAGTCGCGTTCCTTGAGAAGAAGGGCATACAGGCGAACGAGATACAAAAGGTACTTGCCGAAGAGGGTATTGCTCTCGCGGACGATGCCTCAGAAGATGGGATGAAGACGATACATGACAGCACCGCCTCTTCGCCAGACACTTCAATCAAGGCATCCCCTACACAAACGTCTACAAGCTCCGCAACCACATCTACACCTGCTGTTGGCGCTGCCACTCTCACACCAAAGCCCGACGTCGCCCCCGTAATAACATATCCAGAGTTTTTGCTCAAGCCGCAGAAACCTCCACCACTCGTGACCGTCGACCGCCTTGTCACCGCCACGTACATCGTTGCCGGTGTGTCTGCTCTCACTTGGGGCGCCTCCAGATACCTCGTGGCGCCCATGCTCGAATCCCTCACCAGCGCACGACGTGACCTCGCGTCCTCAACTCTGACCTCATTGCATACCCTCAACACCAAACTAGAATCCACAGTCTCTCACGTCCCCTATATTCCATCTTTACATGCTCATAAAGAACCATTCGACGATACTGCCTCCATCACATCCTCGGACTCCGACCCCACCGAGCTCTTCCACCGCGATTATGGCACACAAACATCTCCGCCCAAGTCGCGTTCTTCATCCCTCTCCAGCACCTCGTCACCACTGTCCGCCTCCGCTTCTCAGACTGCGCGGCTCTTCAGCCTGCACACGTCCCTCTCCTCTCTCCTCTCAAGCACAAACACCACCTTCTCCTCAGACTCGCTATCTACCACGATCTCCGACATGCAGTCCGTAGTCGACCGCATCGAATCCAACTCCCAACCCCTTTACACCTCCTACGACTACAAGACCAGCCCGGCGTTCAACACCAATTCTCCGTCCTCTACTTCGACTTCAGCCTCGAGATCTAAAACAGGAGCCAGTGGCAGCGAAAAGGAGTCACAATCCGAAGCCGCCAAGTTCAAAGCCGAGATCCGTGCACTAAAAGGTGCTTTTCTTAGCAGTCGCAACTTCCCCAGCGCACCGCGGCCACCGGCCATGGGTGCTACCTCAGCATCCTCAGGGATAGGCGCTGGGCGCTACGAGTCGGTTGGAATCTGAAGTGCTACGGCCAGATAACCGTAGCTTTGACGAGTCGTGATCAGTTAATCAGGGTTGTGCGACCCTGAGTGCGACCTGGAAGGCGTCTTCTGCAGGAGCGAGAAACGGAGTCGCAGACAGTAATCGTGTAGAACAGAAATTCTGTGTGGTAGACTATCATATTTTTGCCATATTTTCTCTCAAGTGGTCTCCTGCTCGCTCTACGCATAAGTCTCGAGTATTTAGCGCACCTCGCTTGTCAAGGCGAGAATTTGATTCTGCCTCATGCTCCTCGTTCATAGCATCGGCCTCGCTAGAGAATGCAGATGTAGCATACATACTCTTCCTTCAGGCGAGCTCCATAATTCCAGCGCGCGTTCTACCCTTGAAAGTCATAATGTCTAAACTATCTTTTCCCCGGCACCACTTCTCATCAACGACCGCCCTACCGACTTGGCAGGTATAGGTAGTAACGACCGATCTAGGGTGTAGCCCTGCTCATACCAATCAAACGCTTCACACCAACCATCCACTGGCCACACTCGTCGACCTTATTCTGGTGCACGTCCAGCTGGATCTCCTGCGCACGTGTGTAGTCTTTACCAGCCAAAGCTTGAGAGAGCTCCACGATCTGCCGAACGGTGTCAGGCTTGAGAAGTTCCTCGTTGTTGAGATGATCGTAGAGAAGGTCGAGACGCTTTTTGGTGTCGTTGACCTGAGGTTTAAATGAAGCTGGGGCACGTGCTTCGACTCGCTCCATTTCCTGAGACAGGACGCTGAAAATGGGTTGGGCAGAGTCTGGAATATGAGAGCGGTCGCCTTTGGCTGAGAGAATGGTTAGAAGGACCAACGTTCGGGTCAAAGGAAGAACTTACGGTATTTCCGAGCTGGCGGCGCCGCCTTCTTCTCGGAGCCAGCAGTGCCCGGACGCTCAACATGTTGCTGTGGAGGGCCTCCGGCTGAAGGTGGCCCAGAGCTGAACTGTTGCGATGGCGGAGGACCGGCAGAAAACTGCTGCTGAGGTGGAGGAGGAATAGCTGCGGATGGCTGTTGTTGGTGCGGCGGTGCAGCAGCATATGGGCTCGGGCGTGCTTGAGGAGGAGCTTGTTGGGCAGCGTATGGGTTTGCGGAGGGAGGAGGGGAAGTGAACGATGAGCCCTGTGGGGGAGGTGCGATACCAGGTCTAGAGCCAGGTGGCGGAGCCTGTGGGGTTGACTGCGAACCTGGAGCAGGGGCATAGCGATTAGATGGTGGCGCTCCTGAAGGTGGAGCATTGTACGGAGAAGCGACTCTTCCAATTGGTGGCGATGCAATGTTCTGACCGACTGGAGGCGATGAAACTGGGGCTGGTGGTGCATATGGATTGCTAGCAGCAGACGGTGGTCTATCGAACGACGCCTGGTTCTGCTGACCCGACAAAGGCGAGGCGACCCGTTGAGGAGCACTCGCCTTCGGGGGCGGTGGCAGTGGGGACTTGCCTCTGCTCGCCAACGGAGGAGCCATTGGGGGAGGAATGCCCCCCGGTGCGCTGGGCTGTCCGAAGGGCGAAGCGACAGGAGGCTGCGCCAAATTGGCAGGAGTGCCTCTGCGAGAAGTCGGCTTCGCAAAATCTTCGGGCACATCGTTCCAGCTCGCCATACTCTTTGCCTGCGATGGAGGCGGTAGAGATGGGCTTTGGTTGTACTGTCGCGGCGGAGGAGCAATGCCCGGAGCTTGTGGCATCGAATAACCAGGGCCAGCTGATGGCGATCCTCGAAATTGTGGAGGCGGAGCGTAGGGGTTACCAGGCCCAGAGGAGGGCGCCGCGGCAGGTGGCGCGTATGGATTCGCTGACTGCGTAGGTGGGCCATATGACATAGGAGCTTGTGGTGCGTATGGTGTCGGCGCCGGAGCTGGAGCTCCAGAGAACATGTCCTGTGGTGTAGGATACCCCGGGCGAGCCGTTGACCTGCCTTTCGAGGGAGTGGTACCTTGCTGCATAGCAGCAGCAGCAGTAGCAACGGAAGCCGCAGGTTTTCTCTTGGTCGCTTGTTCGATTCGAGTCCGTGCTACGTCTGCGCCAGGATAAGTGGTTGGTAGGAGGTCAAGATACTTCTGCGCCACTTCGAGTTGGCCAGAGGCAGCCACAACATCGGCGTACTCGAGATATTTGCTGTACAGAGCCTCCAGTTTCCAGTCGCCCGTTTTGGTCAACTCGGGATCCTTGAAGGTCACGACACTCCTGAAAATCGTGACCTTTTCGATGAGATCTTGCAACGCGCGAGCGTGCAAAGAGTATGCCGAGGTAGCGTCCGCATCTGCATTCCCAGACTCTTCGTGCTCTTTGAGCTCCTCGATCCAAATGGAAATAACTTTCTCGAGCTTGGATCCAGCCAGATAACTGAACGAGGCATCTTTGCGGGCAGCAGAGCTGGTAGAGATCTGTTCCGCAAGACGATCGCCCAGAGCTTCACACAGATCAGGGAACTCTTTCTCACTAGCGAAAGTGCAAAGGGTTGCCATAACCTCCTTCCAGTTCTCAAGATCAGCATTGTGGACAGTGTCCCACAAATTCTTGCCGACCACAGAGGCCAGTAGTCTGAGATAGTTTGGGCCACCATCTTGCTTTGCGAAGTACGCTTCCTGGGCCTTCTTTATGCATTTCTCGCCGCCACAGATAGCGATCATGAATGCATCAGATATTCTGTCCTCCTTCAAGCATACATCCAAGGCCTGCTCGAACTTGCCAAGGATAAGTGCTTGGGTGATCTTCCGGTCAGCCTCGGACTCCGAACCAGTGTAGAGCTGGAAAGGATTATTAGTTTTAGTGCCTTTGGTTGCAGCGAGCTCTGACAGGAAATCGCCATCAGCACTGTTGGCCCAAATTGACTGGAAACGCTTGTGACCTCTGCCGGCTCCGGCTCCATTGACAGTTGGCTTCTCGTCGGCTCCATCCGCAGTGAGTCTGGCAGGTGTTTGCACCACATCGATATCACCATTCTCAGAATCGCCGAAGCCTAGATATTTCACAAGCTCTGCACGAGGATTGCTGGATACAAGCGTCTGGATGACCTTCCAGTCTGCCCTCTCCTCATCAGTCTTAGCCGATTCAACTCGCTCGTTGCACAACGATACAAGATTCCCAGAACCGATAGCCTTTTCAAAAGTTTCTGTAGCGGTGCCCACGTTTGAATCAACCTCAAACTTCGTGATGTCAATCTTGGAAGCTCTAGATTTGGTAGAATCGACAGGCCTAACTGTAATCAGGCGGCCACCGAAGCCGAAAACGACAGAAGTTGGTCGCTCGAGCCACTTCGGTGCCTTTTCTAACGAAAAGGAAGACGCTTGAGGTTGTGTAGGAGCTTTGGAAAAGAAGTCCTCACCGTCCGCGGCCTGATCTTGTTCTGCTGTCGTCTGGCTAGGGTTCGTGTTCTGAAGAGACTGGACCTGGATCTTGCCGTCGAAAGACGCAGTTGCGAAGAAGTTGGGGTTATGAGGGTTGAACCTAGTCTGGAACGTCCAGTTGGTCACAACTGGGTAGTCGCCGTATGCAGTTCCAGTTTGCGGGTTCCACAAGATGGTTCGATTGTCCTGTCCACTGGATAGCAGAAGGTCCGGATCCTGGGGACACCAAGAGAGAGACATCACCCCAGAATCGTGGCCACGCAATACCTTCTCTGGCGCATTCGAGTTTCTCAGATCCCAGACGAGGATGATCGGATCTTGTTGAAGCGGAACAGCTGTGATCAGTCTTGTGGGTTTGAGAGGGTCCCACGCGATGGCGCTCGCTGGCTTGCGACCATTGTTGTTGAGCGTCAAGCTCTCTTTCTTTGTCTTCATGTCCCATACTGTGACAAACCCACCGCTGCTGCCAGTGACCAGGATGTTGGACACCTTCTTGTTCCAGTCCAAGCACTCAATATCGTCCGCCCGCGCCGCAGTGCTTCCGAGTCGTATTGGTGCACCGGGGTTGTTCAAATCTGTGATGAACAGCTCACCCTTGACGCCACCAGTAGCGACAAAGTTGGAGATCTTCGGGTTGAACTGCAAAGCCTTAATGGCACCAGTATGAATCTTCTCTGAAGCAATAGAGGCATTTGCGGGGTCATTCGTGATCTTTGCGGCATCCCAGAGACCAAGGGAGCCACTATCTAAAGCGCCGGCCACGATGCCTCGCTCACGTCCTTCGGCTGGGGTCCAGGCTAAGTCGTGGAAACTAGCTGTGGTCAGATAAAATCTACACGAGACTCTGATGGTCTTACCCAGTCTCTGTATTGATCGTGGCAGCCGGCTTAAGCTCCTGGCCCTGAACCTGATCGTCCAGCGCCAAATCCCACAGCTCGAGGCATGTTTCGTTACTGAAATCGACATCGACTGCACCGGACTTGGTACCGGTCGCGACCCACGGTGCGTTCGCATCTGGCGACCATGCAAAGGCCGCAGTTCGCGGAATCTCCCTTAACCGCACCATTGTAGTATTGCCGTAGGGGCTGGATGGAGGGGAGCGGTTGTGGGTTCAAAAGGTCGAAAAGACGGCGGCGCTCAGCATGCAAGGGGAAGAGAGGTAGCAGAAATTCAAGAATATTACAGGAGATGTTTACGCATGTCGTGGGTATCGTGCAACGGGGTTGTAATCTTGAGGACGATCTGGTCACAATGGAAATTCATCCCAAATGCCAGTTTGGCATGACGCCCGCCGCAGTTCATACGGCTGGCCCCTGGGTGGACTTCTGCCCCACAAATTTTATGTAAGTCTTGGCTCTCTTTTGGATGGCGTCCGCAACCTTTTAATGTCGACCGCAGCATTCTCTCGATGATGTAGGAAGCTTGTCAAAATGACGGATGTATCGACCCGGCCTAACAGTACCGTCTATGTCGGCGGCCTAGACACCAAGCTTGTCACAGCCGCCACCCTCTCAGAGACTTTCATCCCGTTTGGCGAGATCGCCAACATTTCGCTTCCCAAGCCCGAAGCGCCATCATCTACGGACGTGCATCGAGGATTCGGCTATGTCGAATTCGAGGAGGCCACTGACGCTAAGGCGGCGGTCGACAATATGGACCAGAGTGAACTTTTTGGACGGGTCATAAAGGTTGCCATGGCGAAACCTGACAGACGCGAGACGAACGAGCCGAGTCTAGCCAGTACGACAGCTGTCTGGGAGCAGGAGGGCTACCTTTCGAAGTATGGACAGGAGGACCGGACAGCAATGCAGCTCGATGCGAACGAGAAGACGGATGATCCTATGCAGGCACTGGAAGACCTCGATGTGGCAGGACCGAAGCCGGTGTGAGAGCCACGTGGCTGGATTAGATTCTTCACACAAACGATATCGCGGCAACGAACATTTGCGGATGTGATCACACATTGACTGATCAAGTATCGCATGCTCTGAATGCTAGAAGGACAGTATACTGGACCGAAACTCAGCATAGATCGACTGGTCAGCGATTCTGGCACGAGACCTAACAGTTGTCTAAAGAACCCGCGTCCTCGGTCCGAAAATCGATAATGGGGTCACACGCGGCTACCCTGCTACAGTTTGCACTATCCGGCGACGAGAGGGCGGGAATATGGATGGGCACCCAAGGCATTGGCAGCACTCAGCAGCCTTGTGCGCACAGATGATAAGAATCGAGAGAGGCGTTCATTGCGAGGACAGTGCTGCAACTGCTGCATTCCATATATACAGAGCATCATATCGCGCGAAGCCTGATACGCCCCTTGTTGCAATTTTGTCGCTTCTGCTTTGCTATCGCTCTTCAGAATCTCCATTTGCCCCGTAGCTCCCCAAAGCTTGCCATTTAGTGGTTGCCACCACGCTGAGGGGTCAGCCGCAGGGTTTTGTCGGTGAACAGCTTGCGGGCCAAGGCGAAGGCTGCTGCAAAAACCGCGAAACTGTGGGAGGGTTTGTTAGCTGGCTTGGATCCGGTATTTGTAGTCCTGAGACATACGCGATAACAACACCGAGAGGTAGAAGCTCAGGTGGGATTCTCTTCAGATTCCTGAGTCGCTGGGTAATAGTGTGTGCTGTAAAAAGAGTGGTGTTAGTTGATGAGGCCGCTCTCTCGAGGTTTGGTCGTACCGCTGTGATCCTCCTCCTATTTAAAGGTCGTCAGTACACTGCCTCAGTTTATGATATGCCTCGAACGAACCTTCGATCTCAGCACCGTCCTCGTCTGGTGGAATGGTCGGGCCTGCAGTCGGAGGAGGGGCTGGCGCACAGGCTGCTTGAAGGCCGTGGCAGCCTGCCGCAATGGCTGCAAACGCAAGATGCGTGCAGTATTCATCGTGTTCGATATGCGAAAGGAGTGGAGAGTAAGTGAACGGAAGGAAGAAGAATGTATCGTCGTCGTCCGTAGGACTGATGTCAAGCTCAGAGCAGCCCAGCAGTCTGAAGCTCGTTGGACGTGAACCAATCATATGCTACTATGACCCACTTTAATCCATCCCAATCGTCTCGACCTCACACCACGGCTTTGCACCCTCAGGTACACTACGACTGCACCTCAATACCTCACCCGAAGCTCGAATACCCTATACCTAGAGTGCCCGTGACATCTTAAAGCCGCCGCTATGCCCGACATCGAGATGCCCGACCCCGAGGAGCTCGGAGGCAACGTTACCAAGCCTTTCAAGTTCGTCACTGGTATGTGGCAGCTTCCCTCGTAGCTAGGATGCGGTGGGCGACTAACAGAGTGTTTTCGACAGCTGGCTACGACGCTCGCTTTCCCAACATGAACCAGTACGTTACCTACGACCGCATTCATGAGTCCTGAATCTCGAGCGACATGAGGGGCGATTCGCTTCGAAGAAGAAATATTGACCGGCTTGTACAGAACCAAACATTGCTGGCAAAACTACGTCGACTATCATAAATGCATTCTTGCCAAAGGCGAAGACTTCAAGCCTTGCAGACAGGTACGAAACCCTGGCTTTCTCAAATCACCTTAGACGAAATGGCGAACCCACGCTACGGGCAGTTGCACCATGTTCCATGCTATACACCCGAGCAGAGAAGCATGCAAGACGCAAAAGCTGACTTCGCTGTGTAGTTCTACCTTGCCTATCGCTCCCTTTGCCCGAACGCGTGGGTTCAGCGATGGAACGACCAACGCGAAGCAGGAAACTTCCCCGTGGATCTCCAGCATTAGACAATCGAACACATTCACGATGTGGATTGGCCACGAGGTCGACGATGTTTGCCCTTGGGTGGGCTCTGAAATAGGCACGTGCATGGCTGATGTAGCTGACGTCGCCGCAGGCTGTACATACTAGCAAGTCAAGGACAGTCTGATTCAAACGAGTGATTCCTGCTACGATCTATTTCTGTTTTCCAGATGCTACTGGCTATTTATTGTGATTTGGCAGCTTGTTTCTGCCGACTGTCGCACTATGCAGGCTCAAATTTATGATCGCTATAGCTTGAAAAAACACTAGCGGAAGGTGAAAGATACCGAAGATGTAGACGACTTTGAAGTCGTTCAAAAGGATTCTCTATGAGCACTGTGCCAGGCTGTTGGCTAATGTGCAAAAGCCCTTCCTTCTAATCGAGCGCCGGGTTGTTATGGGTATTTGCGCCGAGGCCTGAATGCGCATACCGACATGTGTATCCTCATCATGTCTGCCCGGATTTTAGTAGAGCCACACAGCGTGGTCAGTCTCTATGATATGGACCGCACCGGGGCAGCTTTGATCTGCAGGTGCCGGCGACCATGCTGATCGATGCCTCCTCATCGTAAATGCAGCCACGAGCTGAAGCGTGGCATCGGCACAAAGCCGAACAAAGAGGCTTGCTGCGAGGCTGGTCCACATGGCATCCGCCTTGTTGGGTAATGGTCGTGCTGCAGCCGGCAAGCTTCATCGCCTGATGCCGCTACGTCTCAGAGCTTCCGTAAGCTCCGGTCGCTGAGCGAGCTGAGCAGTGGCGTCGGTGTAAGAAAACCAACGTCGCTCCCTCTTAGCCTTCTCTGGCCACTCGGCACGCGCCTCAGTAACAGTAGCCTCGAAGAATTGGTAGCACGCCTTGGGGGCCGAGTTTTGTGTAGGGCGATTATCAAGGATAGTTCCGAGATCTTTCTCGACCCGCACTATAATACCGGCTTCTTCCCAAGCTTCTCTAGCTGCGGCTGCGGCTGCAGTCTTTTCGTCCTTTTCCCAGCCGCCTTTGGGAAGAACCCAGCCCTTACGGGAGCTCGACTGGATGAGCATGACCTTTGACTTGTCGGGTGCAAGAGGGACGACTCCAGCAACTAGGCGCTCGCCCTTGGATCCGTATCCTGGTCTCAGATTAACAAAGCTGCGTCGTCCGCAGAGACGAGGCACTCACGCTGATTATCAGATCCGGTTCTGGACGTCATTGAATACTTGGGCTCTGGCATTTTGGCGGTTGCTATTGTTCTCATAGAGATGGAGAGTTCTGGGGGGACGAAGTCTGCACACTGCAGAACCAGAGCGCCCGGTAGGTGGTAGAGAGCGGAAGATGGGTGATCAAAGATTGACTGCTGGCAAACGGGGTGGCGGCCAGAAAAATACCTTCACACAGACAGACTCAAGTGAAGTGAATAGACGGGCACGTGTGAATAGAGGTAGGCTGCGGCGAACAAGGTGCCGGGCAGCTCAGTCAATGGGGCACCATGGTGCAAAGTTGAAGGGCAAGGCAGTGTGGTGACAACAGTAGTCGGTTAGTCAGTCAAGGCCTTCAGTCCCGTAGGGGGTACGGGCTGAAGGAAGAAGATGACTTGCAGGAAAGAAGAAAGAGGAGGGTAACATGGTTCTAGCATAAGTAAATAAGAAGTGGGAGGGGAGCTCAAGTTGCAGGACCAAAAAACGGCCACCGCGCGAGGGTAGATCCGGCGGTCAGAGGCAAAGTGGAGGACAGCATTTGAACTTGTTTCGCGAATAACAACAGAGCATCAGACTAGTACCGAGCGGATCTTTAATGCGTGGTGCTGCGACCGTGGGAAGAAAGTAGTCGATGATGGAGGGGTTATTAGAAAGAGGCGGTCTTTTTTTGACGGTAGAGGCGCGATCCTTGTCCCACCCGAGCGTGCCTGGCTCGTCTTTTTTTAATGCGCGTCTGCGTTGGTCGTTCGCCCTGCTCGTCATCGGCCCACGTGCCTGCGTCTGCCCTTCTATCTGGCTCTCTCGCTGACGCTCACCATCGCTATCCGCTCATCTTTTTCCCGCTTTACCACTGCCCAAAGCCCCCCGGGGCACTGCTCACGCGAGCTGCTGCTGGCTGCCTGCTGGCCGATTGCTCATGACCGTGGGGGTTCCACCAACCTGATTCCAGGCTACCCCCTACCTCTCGGTATCGCTGTACTGACCGCATTGGCTGGCCCGGCGCCCTCATCTGCAGTGTCCCACGACTCTGACTGACCCCAAGTCATCCTCCACTGTGCGATTTCGACTCGATGTGTCATGCTTCACACATGAATCGTCAGATTGCGCATCCATCGAGCACGAGGTCAAGCACACAAAGTTATACAATATGTCCCAGATCTCGCTATTGAAGCCAATGGGTAAGGCTACGCTGCATCAAACATCTGTCTGTCACGGATTGGCGTCTTGACAAGAGTCTTGCTCTCCGAAACCTAAGTTGACTGGTCTTGCATTCGGCGGCTCGTTTCGTTCCGCTAACAACGTGCTTTGTTCCCAGGCTATCAGCGCAGGACATCATGCGGCTACTGCAAGGACTCCACTGGAAGTAAGTAGAGGTCTGGTGTGCAGCCTCTGCCCCATTAACGCCACTGGCAGACTCGTCATACTACATGCAATGCGAGAACATGAGAGCCGACCACTATCAAGAGTTAATGGATCGTGGATGGAGACGGTAGGTGCCGTAGCTGCTTCGGCAACCACTGTGTTCTGCGTGGTGCTCATCTATTCCCAGTTCTGGGAAGCTCTACTACAAGCCTGACCTGTCACGGTCGTGCTGCCCGCCTTATACCATCCGGTGAGTGCTGTAGGTGTTAACAGACCCCTCTGGCTGATGAGTGCCAGACTGATGTCGTCTGAGTTCAAGGCTACCAGAGAACAACGCAAAGCCATTCACCGGTTTAACCGTCATGTTCTTGGGGCGGAGTATAAGCGCAAAGCCGCTATGCTGTGTCCCGTGCCTCGAGAGTAAGCAAGTCCGCATCGCACGTGCTCAGATACCTGATATCAACAGGCTGAAACGCCAGAAGCGAGACACGTTCGATCTCCCAGAAGCAATCCATCTCTCGGAATACCCCAATGTTCAACGTCCTGGCAGCCGCAAATCTGGGGCGCCAATTGAGCCCGCTCACAAGTTCGAGGTCAACCTTGAGGCAGATAGCTTCTCCCGGGAAAAGTCAGTATCCATTGTTTGCGTCAACTGGCATGATCTAACTCAGCAGGTATGATGTCTTCTTTCGGTACCAGAGACAAATTCACAAAGACCCTGCATCGCGGTGGCCTGAATCTGCATTCAAACGTTTCTTATGCGGCGGTCTAGACCGATCACTGGTCGAGATCGGAGGCAAGACGAAGAAACAGGGGTCCCATCATCAATGTTACCGTCTCAATGGCAAACTGGTGGCGGTGGGCATACTAGATCTCTTGCCGCATGCGGTGAGCTCGGTCTACATGATGTATGATCCCGACTATGCACATTTCGATTGGGGCAAGATCACTGCGCTTCGAGAAATCACTCTAGCAACCGAGGGCGGCTACGGTTACTACTACATGGGGTACTATATCCACTCATGCATCAAAATGCGGTACAAGGGCGAGTTCAAGCCCAGCTACTTGCTTGATCCAGAGAGTTTGGATTGGAACATCTTTGATGAGGCTTACCGTCAAAAGCTCGATGCACAGCGGTATGTATCTCCGTCAAAGGAGCTCAGAGCTCTTCCTGTGGAACCTTCCGGTGCCCTAGAGGCCGCAACCGACTTGCCACCAGCAGAAGCAAAGAATGATGACACCACAAAATCCAGAGCAGCCACGTTCGCCGACGACCAGGATTTGGAACTAGACGAAGAAGACTCTGAGAACGAAGATGCGGAAATCCCTCCTGGAACTATGTTCCAATACAACATACCGGGCGTCCTGACCAAGGACCAAGTGGCTGATTTAGATCTGGGTAAATGGAAGCTGATAATTCGGAACACTTTGGTTGATTTCGAGGCAAGTTTACAGAACCGTCACGTGATCAGAGGCTGAACCATCGTACAGGACCTCCGAGATTGGGGGCAGTGGCAGCTGGATGATCCAGGCTCGATCAAGGGCATTGCTGCGGAACTCGTCGCGGCTACGGGACCGCGGCTCTTGCAGCACTCTGCACTATCTCTCTTCTGAGCAGAAAGCAAACTAGTCGACTGTCCCATTCCCTCACAGTCACGCCAACCTCCGTCAGAGGTTATCTCGTGCGCGATCTGCACTTTGGAGCCCGCTCAAATACTTAACCGAATCAGCCTCGTACAATAACAGCACAAGACCACTCCAGCAGTATCACAAGCGTGGACGTGAGGACTCATCGTAACAATTGCTATGTATCAGGCGGCAAGGAAACGCGGTGCCTTCTTACGATTCATCGTTTTAGCACGGAGGTGAAGGACCGGAGGGCTACGGCGAAGATACATAGCGAGTGGAAAGACGTCCGTTCTTCATGACCAATGAACCCAGCATATTGTCTTTGCGAGTCTTTATTCATGTCCCCGCAAAGATTGCGTCTGTTGGCGGATGGAATCCTGGCCTCGCTGCCTTGCAGGTAGAACCGAGTCACGGAACGGGAAATAGTACGGTGTAGCACGGCATTCCGGGCGACAATGCAGCCCTTCGCATACAGGCAGAGTTTCGACCACACGATAGGAGGCCAGGAAACAAGAGGAGCGATGTCTTGTCTACACCACCAATACGTACTTCCATCTTGAAAGAGGGGATTGCCTTGTGCCTTGCGCAGACTCGTCGGGCGCCCGGAACTGGCCTCTCCCTTCACGTTGGTCTATGTTGGCTATATCAGAGTGGTGTTGGAGTGTCGCGTATTCGTTCACAGCGGCAGTCTCGCGGCACCGTGGACTATTATGGCAGCATTGCCAAGGATCCTCAAGCAGCCGCCTCCTTGGCCGCTAGGATGATTTCGTCCGCGGCTTTCTCGCCCACCATGTAGATTGGAACGGCTACGAAATATCTGCAGATGCGCCAGGGATTGGGTCAGCGGGCACATTCGGAATCAGGGAGGGTATGAGAGTCTCAAGTGGACGGCTCAGGCTTGGGAGACAGGGGTGTGCCGGCGACAAGAGGAAGGGGAATCTGCTCCTGATGCGAAAAATGTACCTCGAGGCCAGCTTGTGGCCAGGCGAGATGAAGAAACGGAAAAATTCACTTACCCCGGGATCTTCGGGAACACACTGGCATCGACGACACGCAATCCTTCGGCTCCCCTCACGCGGAACTTGCTGTCCAGCACCGCCATCGGGTCGTCGTCAGCACCAATCGGGCAGGAACAGCTGGCGTGGTGGCCCCAGGCCTCGTCCTTGATATACTGCTTGATGTCGGCCTCGCTCGTGACATTATCGCCGGGTTGCACCTCAGGGAACCCGCCGCTGCCACCGAGAGCGATCAGCTTATCGAAGGCGTCACGCCCAAACTTGATGCCATCGTACAGCGCCTGCAGGTCTTTCTCGTCGGCACCGCCGGCGGTGTCGCCGGTGTGGAAGTAGTTGAAGTCGATGAGCGGCGTGTCGCGGGGGTCGTTGGAGCGCAGCTTGACGGTGCCGGCGCGGTTGCGCGTGTGCGCCTTGAGCGCTAGCCACGCCCAGTGACGCTTGTCCTGCAGGGCAAACTTGCTATAGCCGTCGAAGTAGCCGACGAAGTTGGCTGGCCAGCCGCTCATGAAGAGGTCCGGCTCCGGGATGTCGTTGCTGCTGGACTTTTGCAGGACTGCGAATGCCGCGCCTGAAGTGCCGTAGACGCCCTTGCCGAGCAAGCCCGGGTTGTTGTAGGCGTCGAGGCAGCCATCTGGCTGTGAGTTCTGGAAAGTGCACTTCTTGGTCAGACTGAAGTCCGTGGTGGCTTTACCGATGACTGGAATCTCGTAGCGGTCTTGCATGTTGGTACCAACGCCTGGGAGGTCGATGAGGGTGGGGATGTCGAATTCAGCGAGCTCCTCCGCTGGGCCAATACCGGACAGCTTGAGAATCTGCGGAGTGTTGAAGGTGCCGCCAGAGATGATAACTTCGCGGCGGGCGGTTGCGGTGCCAGGAATGCCGCCACTACCTGTGCGAGGGGCACGAGGGTCCGCGCGGTATAGGGACTGCCCATGGAGGTACGACACACCGGTCGCATGTGGTTTGTCGCCGGTGGTGGTATCGAAATTGATCTTGGTGACGAGAGTTTGGGTCTGAATGGTCAGAGGGTAGCCGTCGGCGATGACTTTGTAGAGCCAGTCACGGGGAGCTGAACGGGTTTTGTCCAGAGCGTTGATAGACAGAGGGACTTGGTACATGCCCTCTGTCGTATCACGCGCTTTGGAGGGGTTGTTGAGATCGATGGCGAGAGTCGAAGTGAGACCAGTGACGGTAGCCAGCAAGGAGGTGATCAAGCTCTTGCCCATCGCGGATGCTGCGGCCAGGACCAGGGACGCAACCTTCAAGTCTTGTGCAATGAGTTGCAGATCGGTGAGCGAGGTCGCCATCCAGCCTTTGAAACCATGGCCGCCAGTTATGGAATTCAGATATTCGGCTTTCTCAAGACGGACAAAGTAATCCCTCATCTTCTCTGGGTCCCAGGTGTCGTCACCTGTGGTATCGACAATGTGTTGCCAATCGCTGGCATGCGGGTACACCATGATCTGGGCGTGGTGTTGGGTACAGCCGCCAACAACGCCAGAGCGAGGGTACAGAATTCCAAGAGGCTCCGAGCCCTCAGGAGGAGTGGTCCCATTCAGGATCTGGACCCAGATATCTCCATCGGGTGTGCGCCAGGTCATTTTGGTATCTCGTCGCTGCTCCTCGAGATCAGGATAGTGATTGACATAGAAGTTCCACTGCATTGGCAGATACTCGGCAGCAGTAAAATGGAGTGCGGGAACATTGGTGTAGATGTCGTTGATGTCATCGCCAGCATCGAGCACAAGGACGCTGTAGCCGGCGAGTGCGAGACGTGCTGCCAGCGGCCCGCCCCCGGCCCCGGATCCAACAACAATGTAGTCGTACTCATCCGTAGAGTTAGCAGCGGCCACAGTCTCGTTCTGGCGGCGATGAAGTCTCTCATGTGAATGCTGGTGTCTACATTACTTCCGTTAGGCAAATCACAATGCAGCGTTGTCGTAACTCACCCAACCGCTGCAAGACCGGCAACAGAGCAAGCCAAGAGGCCCAAGATGTTCTTCCACAGCATCTTGCCTCGTGGCTCCTTGGCTCGTGGTAATTAGTACTATTGAAAATGACAGGACGGCCTCAGGCCAAAGAGCAACTGGAAAGACAACTAAACAGCAGGTGTGGTTACCTGAATGAACGACAAGAAGCTAGATATGTGTGCTGCAATGGGAACAGCACCGTCAGCGAACTCATCTGCAGCACATATACGAACCACCGGAACGTGCTGGAAAGGTCCGAAATTCCCATGGATGGTGATCATCGCCGCCATCCTAATGTACCATGGGGCGGTCTGCATCGAAACACGCGTAGCTGCATCTGTAGCGTGAGGCTGGAGCAAAGATTCGCACCACGAGTCATCGACTTCGAGGCGTCAAACGTTGCTGCCCACGTCCTAAGCCACCACCTGAGCCAGGGTGTTTGGTTGATGCACCGTGAAGTGGGAAGTGGGAAGCGAAATTTAGCGGAATTGGCGAGCGAAGGAGACGGATACGTAGCTCCGTGAGTACTCCGTACCCCCCAACCTTTTTCGTGGCTCGAGATTCTCCCTGAAGAGAGGCTGCGCAATTACTTGACGTGGTGCCAGACCTGGTGCACGCAGCAATCTCAGGGCCCAGGAACTTACCGGACATTGCGCCGCAAGAGTTGATGTTCTCCTGCTCTAGGTGGTGCAGGGGTGAGGTGATTTGCACCATGCATGGAGGAGGATCGGGCCCGTGGACCAAGCAAGCTTGGCAACGCCGGCGCTGCGGGGGGGCGGCCCCACTTAACGGGACTATAGTCGCCTGGCATTGAACCCGGGCCATGCCAGGGACTAATGTGCTGGACTCAACGTAGTGCAAGTTCTTGAGTCTTGACGAGGACACCTACGTTAGGTACTCCGATACTAGTCGTAGAAAGATTTTGAAACTCCTGGGGGCAGCAGGGCAACCCTGAAGTTCTCTACGTGGCTTGAAGCTAGTCCCTTCCGTGAGAATGACTCTAGTCAGATCACTATGCCTCTACTCTGTACTAGCATGTTCCTACAACATGCGCCAGACCGGGGCAATCCTGGCCGTTGCAGGAAAGGTGGAGGGTTTAAGAAGATCGACGCTGGCTTCAACGGCATTCTGTCACGGTGCAGGACCCCTTGTTCATGCGCAACAGGCTCCGGTACTCCTCTATTCAGAAGGTGAGTCTTTATGCAGGCACCTGCTGTCCGTATTTACTGGATAGAAGAGAATACCAGGAAAAATTGATATACATGAGCGGCAAGTGCACGCTGGAGCTTCACAATTTCAATTCTATACCTGTATAATCTATATGCTGACCACCGTTCATGTTCTTCACAGTGCCTGGCCGACAGGATAGCGCTTAGCATACGGGCTCGTACTGCTCGACCGATCTCCCAGCTCGATTGTGTTGGCATCCACCTCTTTCGACCAGTGTAGGCACTCGGTTGAGTCAGTTCGCTCGTGCTGTAAAGTCCGAATTCGAGGTATACTGTTGGTAGGCGCAAACTTTCCCTGTACCAGGGTACCAGAGAGGTCCGGAGTCGCACCTCCCTTTCTCAAATTGGACCCGGTTTGGCCAGTGCCTCTGCTGGTACCGGAAACCAGTTTCGGTTTCCAGGCTTTGACAAGCTGATAGATGGCAGGCATATTGGCTGAGCAAAGTTAGAACAAGAAGAAATTTTCAGTGATTGAGGGACTTGCCACAAATGATACCAACCTGACATTCCACGAGTGACCAGTAACCGGGGGCGTAGTAGTCGTCTGAAGGCGTTAGCGACCATGTCATCTAATCTTACTCTGCCTCTCACATGTTGGATTCTCGGTGTGTCTGAATTGAACGAGGTATTTCAATCGGATGATGGCAATGATACAAGCGAACAATCCAACTGAAAACATAGCAGCGATACTGATGCGCTTTCTCAGAGAAATTTTCAACCGATAAAGCTGCCTCATGGGCAGCACAATGATGACAACGTCGAGAATTACTGCAAATATCAACACAGCTCTTGACATCAGTTGAATCGGGGGTCTCACTGGAAATCCCAGCCGCTATGAAGCCCTGGAGATGGAAATCATTGCATTGACCTGCCATCTCTCCATGCCATTGCTCCCACATGTAATCTGCACCCTGATTAGCATGTTGTTTGAGCTGCAGAAAGAAAACCCTTACTTATTGGGCGGCACTGAAATAGAGTCGCAACAAAGAAGCAGATTCCGTACCCGGCGCACAGCGCCATGATGAAAATCATGATGTTTTGCAAGTTTCTGACTGGAAACATTCGGTAGAAGAAGAAAAGAATAGAAATCTTGACCAGTGAAAGACCGGCAAAGTAGAAAAGCTCGCCTAAAAAGAATAGCTGCACTCGGTTACCTCGCTGTTCGGTGGCTGTGGCATCAGAAGGCCTACCTCGAGCACGTTTGTTATTTGATGGAATTGCAATGTCCAGATATCGCGACCCAGGCCATTTTGTGCCAGGAACCATGCGAAAACGGTGGGCGGACCTGTGGCAATCTAACACACTGTGAGCACGAGTTGCAAAGCTTCAGCATCTGCTTACCACAGCGGCCAGCATCGTCCAATCGTCCAAGTACAGCTTCCGAGCATTTGTGGTGAGCCTAGTGATGATGCGAACAATAAATGTCAACAAAGCCACTGCACCGATCGTGAAAGCAATAAAGATGAAATCCGTCGAGTGGTCTCGAACAGGTCGTTGGCAAGCCATGGATGAGGCATTCATGGTTACTGGACCGGTTAGCGTCTCCTTAACATCAATGGACCGTGAGCATACTCAGCATCTCTTTGACCGTACAGCTCTGCCTTGCGCAGATTTCGATATCCCGGTTCAGCTCCTCATTGATACAGATACAGGTCTGGTTGAGACCAGCAGCTGTTACACATGGTGATCGAGGGATGTACTCGACCATACATGACAGCGAGCAATTGGGATAAGCCGCGGCCAAGGCAGCCAGATCCGCTGTCTGAGCCACTGTGGTTGATATCAGTGCGGTTAAGGTCAAAACCAAGTGAATAAGGACTCGTGCTGCTGCCATACTGTGCAAAGTGTCAGTGTGGCTGCGTGTGGTTCCGATGATGGCGTGTTCTGTCGGATGGGAAGGCTGCTCTGATATGTGACTTGATGTCGGAATATCCCACGGAACGGTCAGCCGCGTGGTTGGGAGTCTCCGCCTCACGGCCGTTTGTCGATCGACTCCAGTACGCCAAACCTCAGTAGACAAGTGGTAGCACCGAGTCCTGGAGCAGAACCCAGCGCCAGTGTACTGCCATCCTCATCGAGAAAAGTTTTGCGCAAGCCGGACGCCTTCGAGGCAAGGGTTAAACTTTTGTGTCTGGATACTGGCAGTTGCAAGGAAGCTGGTAGTGAAACAGCCAATCGTGAACCAACAGTAGTCTGAGGATAAGAAGTGATACGGAGAGAATCATGGCAGACGTTGTAGATCGGACCCGAGGAACCAGGGCCTTCCTGGCCCGCAACGGGAGCTAGCAAGTATCCCCAGGATGATCAACGCCTAGACTTGAGGCATACATACTGTACCTGCAGCGCTGCTCCGGTCGACAGTGGATGCGATAACTTCAACTGCCACTTTCGCTTACTCTTCTCGACAGTGACCAGTGGCCGAGGCGACCTTCACCCTGAGTGTGCTCACGGGGGACCAAACCATGGTACGATGTCCGATTGATAGACGCGAAGAGGCTTAGGCGATTAAATTCGCCTGTTTACACGGTAATCGCGTGTTCACCCTCTTACCGCTCGACGAAGCATCGGCCCACAGGGTCGCTCGTAGTAGCGAGCAGCTCGACCCCGGTATCATCAGCGTCCCAGTTGAGCAAGCATAAGGGGGCTGCGGAGCATATGTGACACCCCTGGCTCGAATTCCTACGCAGTAGCGTGGTAGTCGAGATATCACAACATAGACTCGTGCCTTGGCTGATCTTTTTGAATCTTACCGCAGTAGTAGTAGCTTTGGAAACAGGAAGCTGTCCTGGGCATGACAGGGAACGTCGCCGCAGACGTTAGCGTGATGGAGCGGTGTGGGGCTAGTCCATCGGCCATGATCATCCAGATGGTCAAGCGTCAGCCTTTCTAACCAGCAATCCCTGTACGTGTGGGGAAGCCATAGCGTGGCGTTCCCTAGGCACTGTCTTGTATGCCAGGAATCTGGTAGCTCAAGCACTTGAGCAAAAGCAGACTAAGAAGGGGCGGCGCACGTTGATTTTGGCCCTTCAGCAACATTCCCAGCACTCATAATGCTGCGCGGAGTAGAGTTGAAGGCCGACATTTCCAAGTACCATCAACAAGAGTCGAATCATCGTGCAGATCTGATGACGGTGAATTGCCGTTGTCCTTGCACTGCGTGATCTGTGTGCGGTCTGTGATCCTGCGGAAGCACCCATTGGAAGGATCAGAAGAGCCATCCGAAGGTTGATTCAACAATAGTTGGGGATCAAGGCGGAGCATAGCCAGTTACCAGGTACGTGGCGGTCAATGGGTGATTCCCAATCCCAGGGATGGCAGCCACCGGCAGTGTTAGTTGTGCCTTTCTGTAGATCACGGGAGATGTGGTACCTAGGGGCAGGAGCCCATCCTACGCCGCTCCATCCCCACGCGGGACGCATGGGCTCAGGCCAAGATCATCGGCCTGCCACCAAGTACTCCGCACACAGTACGTCGAATTGTAGGACATCAATATTGCTCCGAAGTAGTGTGTATCAGGGTTGGATTCGCCGGGTTCCCATGTCTCGCTTGTAGACTAAGCCCAATCGAATCATCCGCGAGAGATTGCTAATACGCGCAGTGCTTCCTTCGCAGTCAATGTTGTGGGTGTGGCGACGTGCAAGCAGGCACACCGGTGTTTGTCACCGGTGGTCATCGCCGGATGATCATCGTTGACGAACTTTTGAAAGGAAGATATATGCCGACGGCGTTTCTTCGACCCCTTCAGCACATGCTAACTCACCTCAGTCACTCCTTTTGATGTGTCCTTGTTGACTCTCCTCTAATATGAGGTTTCTTTCATTCTGTGCCGGTTTGCTCGGCAGCGTTGTCTTCGTATCTTCCTTTCCAACAGCGGCGAATGTTGCCAATCTGGCCAGGAGTGAGGGGCTTGAGGTCCCGGAGGACTTGAACCTCGAGGATATCATCCGCCAAGTGAAGAGTCGGCAGGAGAGACGCCTCCTGGTCAACCCTCTCGATACTCCCGTTGAAGGTGCGCAAAAGTACAAGTCAGCTATTTTCTTGCTAACTGACCAAGCCGACGGCGACCACGAATGGCAAGCTCCAGACTTTGCAAGTGGCGCACAAAGAGGACCGTGTCCGGGCCTTAACGCACTCGCCAACCATGGCTACATCAACCGCAATGGTGTTGCAGGACTGTTGTCATCCATCGGCCCAATTAATGAGGTTTTTGGCATGGAAACGGCACTCGCAACCATTTTGTCTGTGATGGGCACTGTGCACTCGGGAGACCCCCTGTCCTTGACGCCAGGCTTCTCCCTGGATGGGTACCACCCCCGTGTGAGAAACATTCTCGGAAATCTCCTCGGGCTGCTCGGTGAGCCGAGAGGTATCGGCAAGGCACACAACTGGTTAGAAGCCGATGCTTCGCTGACCAGAGACGATCTATATGTCACCGGGGATGCGTCCACGATGAATTTCTCGAAATTTCTTGCTTTGTTCAACAGGGCTGACCAAAATGGTGTTATCTCGGAGGACGCCTTCCTAGATCATTCGATTGACGGTCTTCATGAATGTATTGCAACGAACCCGTATTGTTGGTATGGCCCATACACGGGTATGATAGCCCGAAATGCAGGAATGGCTTTCGCCATACGCCTGATGAGCAACCACTCAACGGAGCATCCACGAGGGATCATGAGTAAGAGTTGAGCTGATTTGTTATTGCCACATACTGACATGCCGCACAGCGCAAAACGTCCTCAAGTCGTTCTGGGGCGTGGTCGACGGAGGCAATGGATCTTTGGAGTACAAGAGAGGATACGAACGCATCCCGTCCAACTGGTACAAGACGCCTGTCGACTACGGCTTAGTGCAGCTGAACCTAGATCTGGTCAGTTGGATTAGGAAGTATCCAGAGCTGGCTTCCATTGGCGGAAATACTGGCTCAGTGAATTCGTTCACAGTGCTGAACCTGACGGACCTGTCTGGAGGCCTCATGAACGTTCCGACGTTGTTAGAGGACAACAATCTGCTATGCTTCGTTCTGCAGATTGTGACGACTTTCGCTCCCGACTCCTTGTCAGGTCTGTTCAGTGTAATCGCAAAGCCTGTGCAGCTGCTGACCGAGACACTGGGTGCGGATCTCCTTGATTTGTCATGCCCGCCGATGCAAGACCTGTCGAACAACGAGAAGCCAGCATGGGACTCGCTGATCAGCTCCTTCGCCGGACCACTACGCGCGGGGTCTGCTCTGTGAGCAGGTGATGTTAGTATTGAATCCGAGGCTGCTCCAGCTGCACCACTGCGGTTATAGTCGGCGTAATGTTTGGAAGGAGATAGTGGCATACCTCCGGTCGGCCGTTCATCACCTCCATGGTCATCATTTAGGCCTACTTCATGGCACTTCCTTCATCGGGCAACCCTTGCTTACAGTCACTCACTTCTCACTGACCGTACTGCGTCCTGCCAACACTGCAAGTAACTGAATGGCCACCGTACTCAGTGTTCACTTACTCAGTGCTCACTCGAGGTCAGCGCGTCTGTCGCTTCAGACCCGCACTTAGACTTGATTGGGTGAATGGGTTTCTTAGGCCGCACTAGCTCTTCCGTCTACTCGCTTCTCGTGAGCACCATGTCGCCTAGTAACCGCTCCTCGTTACTCGACCGGTTTTCTTGGTTAGGCCGTCAACGCCAAGTAGCATTTGGGGCGATGTACTGGGCCGAGTGCGGCTGTTGGATATCAGCTCCTCGTGCCTCGGCCACGATCGGTGTATTGCCCGCTGTTGGCGTACATGACATCCTGGACTCGTAGTGCAGAAAGCTGTTCAGATGCCATGGGTGTGCCCCACCTCGCCATATATTAACTTGGAGTAGCCAAGGTGCTGCCTGTGTTCCATCAGACCGCTATGTGAACAAATTCACCGGGAAGCCTTCCCTTCTCGTCACCACATCTTGAGTTTATGAGGTAGGTTAAGAATAGTGAGCAGATTACTACAGGCAAACAGTGAGACAATCAGTCCATCTGTCTGAATATGGACTCAAAGCTTGACGCTATCTTCCAAAAGGCCACAGCCGAAAACGCCCTTCCTGGCATCTCTGCCGTTGTCATTGATTCCAAGGGCAATCAACTATACCATAAGGCCTTCGGTGTGAACGACATCAGTGCCTCCAGCCCCACACCATACACGACATCTACACCCGCCCTCCTCTGGTCCTGCACAAAACTTGTGACCTCCATTGCCGCTCTGCAGCTCCTAGAGCAAGGCAAGATCTCCATTGACGATCCGGTGTCCAAATATGTCCCCAAGATTACCGACATACCCGTGATGGACGGCAAGGACGAGAACGGTAAAGTCAGAACGCGACCACAAAAGTCCGAGATCACGATCCGCCACCTCTTCACCCACACTGCTGGCTTCAGCTACGACTTTTTCCATGCCGACACACTGCAATGGCGCATCGAGGCCGGCCAGCAACCTGCAGGCTACATGGCCACCGGCAAGAGAGAAGTCTTCGACAGCCCGCTTATCCACGAGCCCGGTTCCGCGTTCCACTACGGCATCAGCGTCGACTGGCTTGGCTTCGTCGTCGAAGCCATCTCTGGCCTTTCGCTTCACGATTATTGCACCAAGCACATCTTTGAGCCTCTGGGCATGTCCAACAGCTCCCCACTCTACCAAGACGGCGTCGATAGACTTCTCGTGCATGTCCGTGGCATGTCCGGCAAGGATCCGCTCACGGCCATGGCCGAGCTCGGCCCCGTCGCATCTTCCGAAGTTTTCGGCGGCGGCCACTACCTGATCTCCACGCTTGATGACTATACCAAAGCACTCGCCGCCCTCATGAACAAGGGCACTTCCCCCACCAATGGCGCCACCATCCTCAAGCCCGAGACAGTGTCCAAGTACGTCTTCCAAGACCAACTCCCCACCTCCGCCTCCCGTGCCGACCTCGTCGAGACCAAAACCACGATCCCCATGCTCAGCAACAGTGGCAGCCTCCTGCCTGGGAAGAAGTTGGGCTGGTCCTGCGGCCTGATGCTCAACCTCGAGGACATACCCGGCGGGCGTCGTCAGAACAGCGGCTCATGGGCGGGCATGGGCAATCTCTACTACTGGCTGGATCCTGTCGGCGACCGCGCCGGCATGGTCATGACCAGCGTGCTTCCCTTCTACGACGAGACTGTGTTGACGCTGTTCGAAGCCCTGGAGAAGGTTGCGTACGGAGGGGAAGTGCCGTCTGGGGCGGAAGCCAAAACCTTGTTTCGCGTCGATGCGTAGGACACTGTGGTAGGCGAAGCAGGATGTGCTACCACGCAGGGACTAGGTTTCAGATGAGGATAGAGGTGCAGAGGGAGGGCGGCTCATCTGAGGCGGTTGGCGAGGAATGGGAGGCCCTGCCAAGGCGTGCTCAGATGCTCGTATAGCCAAGCTCTACCAAAGAGGGTGTGACTCGCATAGAGACTTATTGCCTCATACGGACTGGCCCCCGGCAGCAGGAGCCTCCCATGCGTCTTTCTCGTCAGTGTTGTTTGCTGGACGGCGTCCGTTGCGCGTCTTGCGAGCTATGTCACCACAAGACGAGAAAATACACGGATAGAGGAGCCTGGAGTTGTGTCATCTAGAGCAATCCTCGCGCGTGCAGCGAGTATCCTAAGCTGTACTTGGTTCTCTCGTTTAAGTGGTAAGCTTGCCGAACGTCTCAGGTCTTGTCATACAACGCTGCGAAGAGAGCAAAAAGTCCGGCCAGGCCAAAGTAAACCACCAAGACCGTTGTCTAAGGAGAAGAGCATGCACTGTTTGACAAGGCACGGTAGAATACATCGGTCGTCAATCAGAGTGGCGGTTTGAGGAGAGGCTTGGCATGAATATAACTATACTTGTATCGCTCGACGTGTCTCCAACCTCCGTCTGCAGGGCAAATGTTCTCAAGTGCACGTCCGACGACTTGGTTCCAAATCTACAAATTATTACCCAACGAGGTCTAATCGCAAAGCATGGGATCTCGATGGTGCCTGCGACGGGAGGGTCGGATCTTGAGAGGGCATGGCCAGCCTTCAACATTTCGGTCAACATGAGCATGGCCTTGCCTGACGCATCAGAACCGTTAAGCTGAAGGCGCGCCGAGTAGGCTGTCCATGCCACTAATTAGACCAGTATTCATGCCGTGGCGGCCAAAAAGGGCGGCCGTCAGCCCGTGCAGTCGATCAGCAAGGCACAGGTGACGGAGATGGAGGGCGAGATGGGGTTCAAGCCAAAGATGGATGGGTAGGAGGGGAAAGTGTTACAGAGACCTGCAGAGTAAGTCGTCCGTGCGTGCGCCCGCAACCCGATGTTGCAGTTGACCATCCTAATCTCATAATGATGCTCTGTGGACAGTGGCTGTTTATTGTTGGCGATGAGAGTGGGGATAGATCGGCCAGCCTGGTTGACGCGACGATATTCCGAACAGCCACGCTAGGTTAGCAGGGAGGTTGAGCGTGATTGTTGCGTCAGGCACGTCCGTGATAGCAGCGGTACTCATCATTATATTAAGGATAGGCAAGAACCGGAATCTCGGCGAGAGCTCGCTGTATGGAGCACCTGTGATTATTAGCTTGTAGGAGCAGCAAGAGCCTCCAGCTGTAAAGCAGCCTTCTCGATTATCTCAGCGCTGACTTCATAGTGGTGAGATGCTTGGCGTAGAGCAATCAGGGAAAAGTCCGACATTTGTACCATTGCGGCGGCGAATAATGTGACATTTGATGACTGACAGCGATGAATGCCAATCTCTGTAGCCCCCAAGCCCCACTCCTAATTAGCGATTGAGATGGATCTGCAAACGCGCAACGCGCCAGCAGAAGAACCGATGACGTAGTTGTGTATAGCTGTGTTGCTTCAGCTGTAATGTCCCATAATCTGCAGTTAACCGGGCATGCGCTGGAGACACGGTGTTATACTGCCTTGGTCGGAGCTTCGCTAATGGGGATAGCTGCATAGATCGCTGAGATACTAGCCAATGCTCGCCAGTGCTAGCGAAAGGAAGCGTGTTGATCGGCTTGACATCGCCTAAGATCGAGCTTGCTCAGAAGGTGAGATGAAGGCTAGCCGGCCAATCAAGCAACGTCAGGCTTTGACAAGCGCATTCCTTTGCAGCTGGGGCCACGCGTGAACCGAGACCTAGCACCGCCTTGGCCTGGTGTGACGTCAACCAAAGCCAGCCCGTCCGCACCATTTCGCAATCTTCATCCCATGCCTTGATCAGATTGAGGGACCCGGGTGTTTTTTCTTACCTGTTCACCTCCAAACCGTGTCTACCTCCATATCGGTGGAAGAAGTGGAAGAAGTCGACGACGGCACGACTCCTCTTCTTTGTCGACGTTCCCTCATTATACTGGAAGTCCAAACTGTGCTGTGTAGTTGATAGAAGTGGTCTATCATGGATCCCTCTCAACAGCAGAAGTCTGGTAAGCCATGGAGCGGCACTAACAGAATTCCAAATATCAAAGAATTCGTTGGTGGTCTCGACAAGGAAAAGGCACGTCGAGACAAAGAAATTGACGAGCAAAACTCTGCCGCCAGTAAGCAAGACAAAGTCACTGCACACAAAAATGAGAAGAAGGAAGAAAAGGGAAAGGTGGTTACGGACCCTGTGACCGGCAAACAGGTCGTCATTGCAGATGTCGGGAAGAAGTACATGAAGAATGTCGACAACCCGCAAGTGAGTATCTTGCTAACTTCGGTCAATTCGAAGCTCACAAAAGTTCTCAGCTTTCCGTTCCCAATGCAAACCTCGGCCGAGACACTACCGTCGCCACGGACTCATCGCAGGCCAATCCCGAATATAAAGAGAAGCAAGACATTACAGCACCTCCAGACCCCATCGCGGAGGGAAGCACCTCGGATGTTCCAATCCATGGCGAGAAGACCAACATTTTGTTCCATCCGACGCCATCTGTCAGTTATGAGCCGACATTCAAGGCAATGGAGCAAAGAGCTGGCGGCCTATGCATCGCCATCTTGGTTGCTATCGTCGTTCTGGGCAAGATGTTTGGTGGCGCGTTGAAAGGCCTGATTCCCCTCGGCATGTGTGTGGCCTCTGCTGTCTGGCTTTGGATGAAGGAGGTAGTACGAAGTGGCCGAGAGGTTGAGTGGAGCAGCGAGCAAACAAGAGGCGAAACGGCTACTGCAAACCTCTTGCCCGAATCTGTCGAATGGATGAACTCATTCATGGCCATTGTCTGGGGCTTAATCAACCCCGACATGTTTGCCGCAGTAGCAGATACCCTGGAAGACGTTATGCAGGCATCCGTCCCGGGCGTCATCAATAACGTCCGTGTCGCCGAGATTGACCAGGGAAGCAACCCTATTCGAATTCTCAGCATGAGATCTTTGCCAGACAGCAAAGTTGCGGATTTGAAGCAGAGCATTCATGAAGAGAACAAGAAGACGAAAGACCCCCAAGAAGCCGCCGCTGATGAGGAGGGCGGTGACTACTACAACCTCGAAATCGCTTTCGCTTACCACGCCAAACCCACTGGAACGGATGTGGCTTCACACGCACGCAACATGCATATGAACCTGGTCTTCTATCTGGGTGTGAAGGGCTTGGTCGGGGTTCCCCTGCCAATCTTTGTCGAGCTACAAGAGTTGGTTGGCACTGTGCGTTTGCGGCTGCAGATGACACCTGAACCACCCTACGCGAAGTCTCTGACATTCACCTTGATGGGCGTGCCTCATGTGCAAGCTGGTTGCATACCCATGGTCAAGCGTGGCGTCAACATTCTCAATCTGCCTCTGATCTCTAACTTCGTCAACTATGCCGTGGCTGCGGCTGCGTCAATGTACGTGGCACCAAAATCAATGCAGCTGGATCTCAAGTCTATGCTCCAGGGCGACGATATCACCAAGGAGACCCAGGCCATTGGTGTCATGTGGGTTAGAATTCACCGTGCTATTGGCCTCAGTAAGCAAGATCGACGAGGTTCTAAGGGTGGTGGCAGCGACCCCTACATCAATTTGTCGTTCTCCAAGTATGGCAAGCCCATGTACTGCACTCGCGTTATTACCGATGATTTGAACCCTCTATGGGAGGAGACCGCGGCCCTGTTGGTCACTCCTGAACTTGTCAAGGCAGATGAGCAACTAAGCATCGAGCTTTGGGATTCAGACCGTAACACGGCCGATGATATTGTTGGCAAGGTCGAGTTGTCCATTCAAAAGATGATCCAACATCCTGGCAAGATGTATCCTCAGATCTCCAAACTCAGCGGCATGCAAGATGGTTCTGAGATGCCTGGTGAGCTCCATTGGGAGGTCGGATACTTTGGCAAGCCCAAATTCCGACCTGCTCTTCGCACAGACGGGAAAGACGACAGCCTACCCTCGCAGCTCAAGGACGACCCTCAATTCCAAGAAGACAAGGGCACGCTTGACACCGCAGAGACTGATGCAGTTGCTCACACCCCTCCGGACCCGCTTTGGCCTTCTGGCATCTGCAGCGTTATCGTTCACCAGATCGTCAACTTGGAGCTGGAAAACATCAAAGGCAGCGAAGGCAACCGCAAGGGCCGCGAGTTTGAGCCTGCTAAGGCGTATGGCGAGGCAACTGAGGAAGAGTCAAGCAGTAAGTTCATACACGTCTCCCAACTTCATTCACTGACACGATGTAGAACTGCCTACCTCGTACTGCAGCATTCTTTTCAACGACCAACTCGTCTATCGTACTCGTGCCAAGGCAGTTAGCAGCAAACCGATCTTCAATGCCGGTACTGAACGGTTCATCCGTGACTGGCGGTCGGCGCTCGTGACCATAACCGTTCGAGATCAACGCAACCGAGAGCACGATCCCATTCTCGGTGTGGTTCCCCTCAAGCTTTCCGACCTCCTGACAAAGAGCTCGCAAGTCACACGGTGGTATCCGCTAGATGGAGGGATCGGCTTTGGCCGCATCCGAATCTCTCTTCTTTTCCGCAGCGTCGAAACACGGTTGCCACCCAATATGCTTGGCTGGGACGTGGGTACCCTTGAGTTTCTGTCCGACCGTATCTTGGCTACTGGCTGGACGAACAACACTAAATTGAAGCTACGCACTGGCGGAAGTGTGGGTAAAGTCCCTCGAACCGATTGCCACAAGACCGACGAAGGTGACGGCGTCTACTGGGACATTGCTGCATCGAATAACAAGCAGGTTCGCCTCCCTGTGAAGCACCGCTACAGGTCACCTGTCGTGTTCGAGTTCCACGTAGCCGGCAAGCGAGGAGCTGTGGCATATGCTACTATTTGGCTTCAGCATCTCGTAGACAATGAGGAGACACCATTCGACATCCCTATCTGGACCACTAAGATGGGCAGTCGTCTTGTCCAGAATTACATCACAGAGCGCAACTCTGCGGCCAAGGAAATTCCTGGTTTGGAGGACCTGACCGAAGTTGGGCGCTTGCAATTCCGAGGACGATTCAAGACTGGTATGGACGAAGCGCACCATGAGTTTGTTGTGGACAACGACACTCGCGAGACCTACGAAACTTGGGAGACGTGCCGTAGCGAGGGCGTGCGCAGCCGAGTGGTAGAGGTTGAGGTGCCTGAGAGTGTGCAAGAATTGCATAACAAGTCGTTGACCCAAGGACGAGACATCTTGAAAGCGGCTGATCCCCGAGAACGAAAGATGTGGCTCGGCAAAGACGGTGCAGATTGGTCAGGCGCTTTTGGAGATGATCCTAGAGCATACACGAACTCGAAGCACCAAAAAATCGCGGAACCAGGCTCGGACGATCCGCCTCATAATCCCGTGGTGCCATCGGACGATGACGGCAGTGATGATGAGCCAGAAAGCGATTCATCATCTGATCTAGGCGTCACGGATGCAAGCAATGCACCCGAGGGTGGCTTCAAACGTCGTGGTGGCCCTGACCCTCAGCTCAACGGTGAGGATGCAAGTGACGGTGCCACACGCCAAAGCGTCGACACTGGCTATACCACCATGAGCACGATGAGCAACGAGTCGGCTACATCACCGTCACGCAAGGACAGCAAGTGGCTTGAGGGTTCCGAGAAGCGGGCGGAGAAGCGTAAGCATCGGGGTTTGTCACAATGGACTCCGGCTCGCTACGCGGATTTTGCAAAGAACGAGAGCAAGTTTGGCGTGAACAAGATCAAGAAGAGGTTCACGGGCGGTTTGGGCGGTCGTGAGCCCGGAGTTGAGACCGAGGCTTGATAGCTTGATGGATTAATGTATTATCGCAAGGTCATGAAGTTGGCAAGCAACCATAGCAGGCGCTGACTCTTGTATGTGGCATCGTTTGGCAACAGGGCCATAGGACACCGGACAATAAGTACACTAATTGCTGTTTCATTTACCGCAACGTTGATGCTGTTTGTTGCATGGTGAACCCCCTACCTCGGAAGTGGGGTGGGAAGACCTGAGGTTAGGGGAAGATTATGCAGGTGTTTTGAGAAGCGGCTGGACGCAGCGCATCTGCGGCGTGCCGAGCTCGGTCAAGCTGTTCCAGGGTGCAGGCGATCTGTAGCAGTCGGGTGGTGAAACGCGGGACTTGCGCAGTGCCGATTGATATTGACACTTTCAGTGACACTTACCGCTCGGTATCGAAAGGAGCATTGTGCAAACGGCGATAAAGTTGCTGAATGGAGATAATGCAGGATTTGGTGATCTGGTGCTCTTGACTGTCGTCGAATGTCATCATGAACCACGATGGACGCGTAGGACGGGCTGGGCACCGGCACCTAGATGACCAGCGTGGAGGGGGGTACGATGGCAACCCAGCCGCATGGCGCGCATAATCCATGCCTAAATAAGCGACTGCATTGACGGAGTGGGCTCTTTAAGCCGCTGGTGGTTGGCCTAGCAGCCCCCAGCGTCCCAGAATACCGTCTTGGCGCTGGCGTAGGCGATGGACAGGGAGGCTGAGCATGCTGCCCAGTGAAGCGGTGCCGTCGTCCATCCGGCGCTCCGACTTGTACACTGATGGTACACTGTTCTCTCGCTCTCCTACAACTCTATCAAACCCATCGTCCCCTATATCGTCCCGAATCTTCGGTCGATCGCTTGTATATCTTCATTCGTTCTGTCATTTCGACACATCATAGTAGCAGCAACATCATCAACATTAATGCAGCGATAGCCGCCACTCGTCCACCTACTTCGTTCCCCAGGCGCAATGCGCCTTCTCCAGTTCCTGTCATCAGTCCTGGCCACAGCATGTCTACTCACAACCGCCGACGCAAACTCTAGGTCGAGAAATCCTTTAAACTACCTCAGTCTAATTGAATCTCCTCGGATACAGACACCCTCCGGTCGAGTGAATGCCTTCTCTAGTTTCGATGTCACTTTCGATCTTCATCGACATTCACAGCATATCCGTCTATCATTAGAGCCCAATCATGATATCCTCCACGAAGATGCACACGTCCAGATCTTGGACAAGGATGGAAATCTCAAATATGCCGAAAAGATAAATCGTATGGACCACAAGGTCTTCCAAGGGAAGGCTTTTCTTGTCGACCAGAACGGTCATTCAGATCATGTTGGCTGGGCTCGTCTCACCGTGAGAAGGGATGGTGTCATTCCCCTCTTCGAAGGCGCTTTCACCATCTTACGTGACCACCATCATATCTATATGAAGTCGAATTATATGCAGACCAAGCATGCCCTGGACCCTATGCTGGAGGAGCACGACGATGAGTATATGGTCGTGTGGCGAGATTCCGATGTCAGCAGGGACCCAAAGCACAATGAGCTCCGCAAACGCGAAGGCAATGATATCAGCTGTCGTTCTGATCAACTCGCATTCAATAACGACATCAACCACTCCGTTCATCGCATGCTTAGACGCGATGTAGGCCATTGGGGATCCATGTCGTCACTCAACCTCTTCGGCAAACGGCAAAGCATTGACGGTGGCGCCCCTGGCAACGGCAATGGTGGATTGACGAATCTGAGAGCGAACATTGGCAACACTGCTGGATGCCCAAGCACAAGACGAGTCGCTCTGATCGGTGTTGCCACTGACTGCAGCTACACCAATGAATTCAACTCGACCGACTCTGTTCGCCAAAACATCATCAATCAAGTCAACACTGCTTCGGACTTATATCAGTCGACCTTCAACATCACTCTTGGTTTGAGGAATCTGACCGTCTCGGACCGTGAATGCCCTGGCACGCCTTCCCAGCAAGCACCCTGGAATGTTGACTGCAGCGGTGGATCGATCACTGATCGGTTGAACCTGTTCTCAGCGTGGCGTGGATCTCGCAACGATCAGAATGCATACTGGTCCTTGTTTACAAACTGTCCCACGGGTGCCGAGGTCGGCCTTGCATGGCTCGGGCAACTTTGCAACTTTGGCTCGACATCACAGCGCGACTCTGGTGGGAGCAGCCAGTCAGTGACCGGTGCCAACGTCGTTGCTCGCACATCAACCGAGTGGCAGGTCTTTGCCCATGAGAGCGGACATACCTTTGGCGCTGTCCACGATTGTGATGCAAGTGCTTGTCAAGATACCAACTTTGTTAATTCCGGCCAGTGCTGTCCTCGTTCCGCAGACAGCTGCGATGCAGACGCCAGGTTTCTGATGAACCCCTTCTCTGCCGATGGTATCACCGATTTCTCGCCCTGCTCTATCGGCAACATCTGCTCTGCCCTCGGTACCGGTTCAGTCACTTCATCTTGCTTGACAAACAATCGAGACGTCACCACTATCACTGGCAACCAGTGTGGTAACGGCATCGTCGAAGATGGCGAAGACTGTGATTGCGGTGGCGACGAAGGCTGCAGCAATAACCCGTGCTGCAACCCGTCAACCTGCAGATTCGCCCAAGGCGCACAATGTGACCCGTCTAACGAAGGCTGCTGTACCAACCAGTGCCAATTTGCCGGCGCCGGCACCGTTTGTAGACCTTCAACCGGGCAGTGTGACCCTCAGGAGACGTGCCCGGGCAACAACGGTACATGTCCACCGGACTCAAGAGCAAACGACGGCGATGACTGCGGTAATGGCTTGCAGTGTGCTAGCGGTCAGTGTACGTCACGAGATGCTCAGTGCCGAACTGTCATGGGTTCCTTCACCTCCGACAACGATACCTATGCCTGCAATGGCCAGACTTGTCAACTCTCTTGCGCCTCACCTGATTTTGGAAGAAACACGTGTTATAGTATGAGGCAAAACTTCTTAGGCAAGGCTCTCTTCCATTCGTTGTATAACTCATGCTGACTTTTCCCAGATGGTACGAGCTGCGGAGGCGGAGGACGCTGTGAGAACGGTATGTGCCGCGGCAGCAGTGTTGGAGGAACGATCTCCAGCTGGATCGATGACAACAGGACACTTTTTATCGCCCTTGTGTCGTCCATAGGCGGTATCCTTCTCCTCTTGATTCTAGGCTGCTGCGTGCGAGCCTGCCGACGACGCAGGCCAACCAGAAAGGTTGCCTCGCCGCCGATGGCGCATCGTGGTTGGACCGGTCCAGCAGTACCGCCATCTTACCAAAGTCAGGGCTATGGCCCACAGTCACCGGGGGTCTGGCAGCCTCCCCAGCAGCAGAACAGTTGGGGATATCCACCGGCACCGGCCCCCGCGTATTCGAGTCCTCAAGGGTTAGGGCCGAGAGCAAGCGTGAGGTACGCTTAAGACTTCATTGTTGATCAAAAGCGGAGGCAACGGTACCAGGTGTTACGACTTGAAACGACACAGTCTGGATATTAGCATGGTCTGTCTATTTTGTATATAGCACTTGTTTATAGCATGCTACGACCTTGCATTGCATTTGGATGGCGTTGGACATGTATAGGCACGGACCACAGATAGGCCTTCAGGCCTGGACAAAAGAAAAGAGACGGACGACAACGTTCTATTGGCTAATCATCGGCTAGAACCAGAATAAAACCTCTTCAAGATCTTGGAAGTGTGCGATTTTAATCAGTCTCATCAGTGTGCTTAATCCGACTCATCGCCGTCGCTGGTCAGAGCCCCCCCCCTCCCCTCTTGTTTTCGTTCCCAACAAAAGGGCGTCAGCCATGTAAGCACACTCAGGTAGAGCTTCGCCCTCGATATCATCCCGGTATCCGCTGGAACACTCGAGTGCCTGCAACCCATGTCTCGCGTACTGAGCCTTCCCAATCCAACACCACCAGATCCGCTCGTTTTCCAGCCGCCAGCAAACCCCTCTCCTTCTCGCCCATCATGGCCGCCACATTCTCACTCACTGCTTTGACACCCTTGACCAGCCTTTTGCCTCTCTCCTCCTCGCCCAAGTGCTTCCAAGCCTCGCTCACGCCCCCTTGAGCACCTGCGGCATTGATTCCTGCCAACTCCCTAACAACATGATCCACCAACACACAGCTTCCAACCAGCGTCCCTGTACCCTCGATCGTGACCTTGTTCCCCTCCTTGATCTGCCTTCCGACAATCTGTCCGTTGCCTCCGTACACCCCATCCTCTAACCCAGCGAGCTCGATCGCATCCGTGATACCAATGCACCTTCCACTACCATTGCCGTCATCATGCAAGCCCAGTTGCACGGCCATGTCGAGCACCGCTCGATGCAGGTGAACCCCATCGGCAATCGCCGAGTACCAGACTCCCTTCTCTGCTCCTTCCATCAGCCCTGGCACACCCGGCTCTCGACCAGTGACACCATTCATGGCATTGAACGTGTGCGTCACCATGCTCGCCCCTGCCCTGATCCCCTCTACTGCCTCCTCGTACGATGCTGCGGTATGCCCGATTGCAACCCTCACCCAAGGCCACTTCGCCTTGACCTGTCGAATCAAGTCCGGCGCGCCAGGCAACTCCGGCGCCACGGTGATCATCTTCAACACCATCTCCAAATTCCTCTCGCCATAAACCTCGCCCACCGGCACCGCCGCAGGCTCAAGCATGAAATCCGCACAATGCGCGCCCTTCTTCGCCGGACACAGAAACGGGCCTTCGCAGTGCGCACCCAGCATTTCTGCGCCGCCCGCCGCCACGAAGCTCCTGGGTGCCAGCGCGGGCAGGATCTGCTTCCAGCGCGGCTGCGGCACGGTGGGGATGGTGGCCCACCAACCGGTCACGCCAGCGGATGCTTGCATGCGTGCGCATTGCAGGAGCTTGGCGTCATCTTCCGGGTCGGTGGTGCCCGAAGGGCAGAGCCGCGTGAAGTGTACACCGGCCAGGCCATTGACTTGGAGGTCGAGGTAGCCCGGGGCGAGGATGAGGCTATGGAGATTGATGGCTGTGGTGGAGGAGTCGATGGCTAACTCAAGGCTGTTGAGGTCGATGGAGGTGATGAGGCCTGTGGTAGCGGAGAGGGTGAGGGAGCCGGGTGTAGGTACGGGTGATGACGGGAGGATTAGGAGAGCGTTGTGGAGGGTGATTGTTGGTGGTGCTGAGGTCTGGCTGGACATGGTGGTGGCGGGGTCTGGCTTACTCGCGTCGAAGCGTGAGGTTGAAGATCTAAGCTGTCTGGTAGTCTGTTCTATGCCTGGAACAAGAGGGTGACCTCTACCACAGGGCGGCAGAGGCTCACTCCTTGATCGAAAACGTATAGGCAAGATGACTTTAGATTTGAGAAAGAGGTCAGCTTAGGGTTTGCCTGTGTAAATAGTACAATGTTGCATAGCTGGATAGCGGCGACATGTAAGCTTCAGTGAGAGGTCAAAGCAGGAGCCGGCATGTGCCTCACGCCCAGCATCGTTTCGCTCCGATGTTTCATTTCAGTGAATATTCATAGATGCCAGGTCTTTGGTCATAACCAGTCCGCTCATATGCGTCAATCTCGATCAGAGCCTGAGACGACGAACACCGGCTGTGACCTGATCGTCGAGTTCATGAATACGGGAGGACGTAGAGACCATGGATGCAATCTCTCGTGAAGGCATCCGCTAATCAGCACCAGGGCCTGCCAGCTCCATGGGCTTCACTACATTTGCGTAAAATCCAGTATTTGCGCAAATCTCTCAATACACTCTTGATAGCAATGGGCTTGTAGGTGGCTTCACTCACCCTATCCCCTGCTACAATGTCGGAGCCGACTCCCTTCTATAAAAATTATCAGAGCCTATTACCTCAACAGGCTGATTAGTAGCGCCGATGAGCCTGATCAGGCGTGGCGATGAATCGGGTTAGGAGCTCCAGTGAGCGTAAACAGGAGCGCCAGTGAGCCTTGAGCAGAAACGCCGATGAGGCTAATCGTTGAGTAGCGCAAGGTGGGTCGCACAAGATGGTCGCAGAGCTCTCAGGGAGCATCATGCCCAACACTCAGGACTATGGATAGGTCAGCAGTGCCCAGGAAGCAACAGCGGTATATCCCCAACAGCATCGCGGAGTGGAGAGGAGACACGCGTTGAGTGAGGCTGTGGCCGAGCACGGGATCGGTCTTCACATTGGAGCGGACAACACCCCTACCTTCTCACAAGAGGTTTTCCCACCGGTCTAGGGACAACGTCGCCATCTACAACGAAAGCCGAGACCTGCCCGAGTTCATTATTGCACCACGGCCCCGCGGAGTGCCTCGATTGAAAATTTCGCGAAATCAACCAGATCCAGATAGGTGCACAAGCGACACCTTGGCTCACGAAGATTACGTACGCTGTCGTCCAGTGTACGCGCACGACCGAGGCGGTGCTCTTCGCCAGTTCGGACACGAACAGATGTGAGTGTCATCAACGAAGCCACTATGTATGGCGAGAAAAGAAAAATATCGCGCCTTTGGCAGAACGTATCGGCGTTAATGGACCAACTGGTACGTATGCGGAGATGACTTTTCCCAAGTCCTGTAACTTCGTATTTTCCTGCTCACGGACCCAAGCTGGGCAATACGAGCTGGGGCAGTCCCATCCACTGCTACTACCGTATACATATATACCTCAACGTACTAGATAAGTACTTCCGCACTTGGCACTTCGTCACTTGCGCCCCCCAAACAGTCATCAAAGCCCTGGCCCCCGTGCGCATCTCATCATTTTCCATGTAAGCAAGCCGCCAAGGCAAACTAATCGCCGCATATCGCAGAACGCCTCTCACTAGCGTGCGTGGTTCGCTTGTCAGCAAAAGGCGTCCCACTATAGTTGACTGCAACGGCTACGTCGTACGGGAGTACTCGCGTACACTTGGCTGCTGATGCGTGCGGGCCTTTCTTTTCCGCTTCTGGAAGGCTTCGCTTGCATGATTGAGGTGAGTGAGTCAGGCTGTGGGAGTTAGAACCGACACGGGGATGCAGGTTCAGCCGAGGAAGGGGCCGGGGAGCGAAAGCCTGCAAGGCGAGGCGAGGTCAAGACGGGCAGGGGCTGTGGATGGGTAGGCCTGGCGTTGCGCAAAGTCTATTGTAGCACCGTGGTGGGGGTACGCAGGCAGGGAATCTGTGCATGGTGGTGGAAAGAAGGCATTAGAGAGAGGCAAGGAGAAGTGAGAATGGTAGGTGGCGAGAAATGAAAGCGCAGCTATTGCTGCGCGGTAATTTGTACATTTTCGCTCAAGGACTAGGTTGTTGTACATGCGGGACTGGCTCCTCCGGAGTCGCCTCGACTTCGGGTAACGTAGGTGTCAGATTGATCTCGTTGACCTCGACGTGCGGCTCCTTTGTGTCTGTGACAACAAGAGCTGGCGTGCTCACCGAAGGTGTCGAGGTGGTTGAAGTGTCGCTCGACGAAAGCTGCTGCTCGTCTTCAGCGGCGGTGGCTTCGTGCTTCGTGTCGCTCCCTGTGTCGAGCGTCCATTCCCATCTTCTCCGCTTCCTAGTGCTCGGCCGAGCCTTACTCCGTCTTGTAGCTTGTCCACGCTGTAGTTCGTCAACGATAACAGCCTCGCCGCTTCTGGTCGAGAACCGGGGCCTAGACTCGTCCGATGGAGCTGTGACAGCCGCACCACTTTCGGACCCGCTTACAGAACTCTCATCTTCCGAAGAGCTCAGATCAACGTGCCTCGCCACGTACGTTCTCGTGACAACTTCTTCCTCGCCACCAAACTTGACGCGTTTAGGCTCTGGGAAGAAAACCTTGCGGCCGACGGTGGTGCTGAGGGGGCTGGCACTCAGAGAGGCTCTCCTAACATCTGACGAGATCGAAGAGTTTTTCAGGATGGAGCGGACGCCGATCGGCAGACTGAGATCGTAAGGCAATGGCCGTTTGGCTCGTACTGAAGCAGGTCTGGTGGTTGTCACTGGCGATACGGCAGTCGATACTGGCGAGGGCCTTATACTTAGGTCAAAGTTATATGAATTCGCGAGGGTGTTTCGAGTGGTAGGCGTTGCCATGGTAGTATTTTGAGGAGTGATACCATGAGTGACTAATGACAATTTGGGTCGTTTGGCTGGTGGCATCTGGCGTTGTAGAGAATCTGAGTAAGGTTGTAGAATGGACGATAAGGCTGGCTGGGCGGTTGGCTTCACAGGTGATAAGAGCATGTTGTGTAATGGAGGCCTTGGTGTCTCAACAGGATGGAGAAGGTGCTGACTGGCTCGTGATACGGGGGAAGCGGAGAAGATGTAAGCGGTGCCACCGCGTTGGAAGATTCCTTGGCTGATAGACAGAGCTGGACAGGGTGTCCCTTCTATATTTGTTAGGACAGAAGGGCTGAGAGATGACGCGGTTAGCGGATTCGGGATTCAGGCGAACAAGAGCTGGCTGTGAAGCCCTCAGCCGGGCCAGAGAATAAAAACCAGAGATGGAACTAATACAGCGTCTTCATAAGAGATGGGAATCCATAAACACTTGCAGGAGAACCGTGCCATTCCTGGCGGCGGTTCCGAATTCGAGTGCAGACAAGGTTTGATGCGAAGCACAAGAACCGCGGCTATCTGGCGGACTAATGTTGAGATGCAGGCATAACCGGCTGAGAGAAAACCCCATTTTGCCATCGACAGCGTCTCGAAACGATCGGCCGTCTGGCTCGCGGGCGAAAGTGCTATAATTAAGCTCAGCCACATCCCTGAGAAGCGTTAATGGTTGACGCCTGGTTGGGGTTGGGGCCGGGCCAAGAATGTCCAGATTGCAGTTCGATGAGCGTCTCGCCGTGCAAAAATGCAAAAATAGAACGACTGCTGCCAAGCCCCGGAGAATATCTGTTCCTCTGCCGGCCAGACCGGATTGCACTGCCCAATTCTGCTTGCCAAATATCAATAAGTCCAGGGAGGGCATCACTCCTTGGTCTGACGATGAAACTGGTCGTGTGCCTGGTACGCGAAGATCGGCACAGTGGCTTGACACACTTCGCAGCAGTATGTTGAGTCTTGGTCGTCGATGTCGCTGCCATCCGAATCCCAGTTCAGCTGAGCACTTCCGACACTGTCCGCCGGACTCTCGATGACGCGGAAGTCCTTGAGTACGTCTTCCTGATTGCGCATCATTTTGGCAATATCTCGCCCTCCATCCTTGGCCTCGACCATGTTCGTGACGGCAATGTTGATGAGACTGAGATTCCATCCTTGCCTCTCAGTGTGCAGCATGCGGAATAAGGTTATTAGGCTTTCGAGCAATCTGCCTGCTAATGCGTCCGTGGACTCAGTCAAACTGAAGACGAAGTTTGGTAGCGGAGCTGACTTGGATATGCGGTGAAAAGTCCGCGGTCGGACACCATCAGGTCCAGTTGGAGGGCGAGGCCGCGTTGAGAGGCGTAGTGTCTTTGGGTGTGCAAGCCATCGCTTAGTGGGATGGGCTTCGTCTGCTTCGTCATCGTCCTCGGTAAGATCGACCCTCATACGCCTGATAAGTCGCTCGGCCAAGAGATGTAGCTGCTGCCTGACCTGATCGAAGCTGGAGAGGTGACGCATGTATGAGTCTTCTTGGGAGATTGATAACGGAACCGACCGGGCCTTCTTGACTTCCGCGTCGTCTACACCATAAAGAAGTGCATGCACTCTGCCACCTATGCCTCGCTCCGCACCCGGACCTCCAAGGATCTCCTCCAACAAGACCGCACTCATGCCTGGGAAACGACGCACGTCCCCTACCGAGATAGACTCTCGTGTACCGCCGTAGACGAGACCCTCGTCAATCTCTGCTGTTCTTCCAAGGACTTTCGCTCTTATCTTCTGGGCCAGCTTGAAACCGATTCCGGGCACTTTGCCGATATCGTGGCCATCCATGAATTGCGTTACCGTAGAGATCGGGGATCCCACAGGCTCGTAAGGAGGAACCAAGGTTGTCTGAGCCCGCGGCTTGTTCGTGTTACCAACCAGTTTGCTCAGTGTCTTATTGGTCGATATGCCAACCGTGGCAGTAAACCCGTACCTCTCCTCAAGCTCGTGGCGCAAATGCCTGGCTAGCTGGCTGCCCAAGACTAGTCGTAGCTCGAGCTGGTGTGCATCTCTGTCAAGACTGTCTTCGTCCGCGACCGTGGATTTCTTTCCAGGGGGCCAGGTCGGCCCGAAGACACTAGATGCATCGAAGGCGAAGCCCACAGTCGGGTCATTCCTATCCAAGCAGAAGAATGAATTCTGGAGGTCATTGGGTGACAGAAGGGAGATGTTGTGTTCAACCATATCAGTCACATCTAACCAGACTTCGTCAAATCCGAGGCGTTCGGCCCTGCCACTCCAGATCTGGTCTTTGAGAAAGTTGTAGAGCAATTTCGAGGCGTTTCGAAATCTCGTTAGGTCTTCGCCCAAAACGACAACTGCTTCCGGGCATGTTTTCAAAGCTTCGGTCATCAATTGGAGCTTGTAAACCCCACGTTCACGGGCCTTGTAGTTGCAGGTACAGACGATCTGCTTCTGTTGAATGATGAGGGGAACACTCTTCAAGTTAGGATCTTCATGCTCAACAACGGAAGCATAAAATGCATCGTAGTCAACTATAGACGTGGTCAGGCTTGTACTGCGAGGAATGAGAAGTAAAGACGAGCGGCCCAAGCAAATGCCTCTCTGCCACACCACATTTGCTTGTGGATGTGGTGTAGAGGAAGCTACCGAGGTGACACTCCAGATCAGCAAGAGCTGACCGTTTGTGACCTCGGCATCGAGTCTCGTCCTTGCGCGAAGCGGTATTCGCTCAATTATTGTGTTCATCACTGGACTTACCATGGATGATGACCCGATCGTCTCTGGGTCCACCGGACTTCTGCATGGTTGATCACAATTCATGGTGGCCCGATGTGTCTGGAGCAGGTGCGATATACTTCCACGTAGGACCGGTAGGTAGAGGTCGAGGAGACATGCGTAACAAATGCACGTTGCGAGAAAACCGAAGAAGTTGATGTCGCGCCTCTTGGCGGAAGAAGCAAAGTACCCAAAGTCGACCGCGAGGTCACGTGAACTATATGAGAAGCCATCCTACTATGAGCCATACTTACGATGTCAACACACGATGGACGTTAGGCCTGGATAGACTGTCAAGCGAAGGCAGCTTCGCAGTCGTGTCGTTGGCTTTCCTGGAATGCAGCGAAGCTCACGATGGCCCGGCGACAGCACAGGCCGCTGGCGGACGGCACAGGCCTTACTATAATGCCAGCGATAAAACGGAGAAATCTACTGTAGATTACATCCTAATAGGAGCAGCGGCATCTCATTGAGACTTAAGCAAGCTTTCATCTCAAAGTAAGATAGTGAGAGGCTCGAATGAATATACAGTGGTCGGTTTACGACTCATCTTGGCGGGGCCGACCGGACGCGTGCGGACAAAGCGCGTGTCGCGCGCAACTCTGTCTCCGCAAAACCGTCAACACATCTACCCTGCAAATAGCCCTTGTCGCAGGTATTTCACCAGAAAACAGAAATACACAGTCGCGAATCACCAGCCTTACTCGACCCATCACGGCGCTCGACAGTAGTCACCGTCGATGAATTAAATGTCTCAAGGGCACCCCGCCTACCCCCAGCGAAATGCCTTCGCGACCTCCTCCAAGCTGCCCGACCGAACATTTTCCTCAGCCGGTACCGCGACACAGCCGCAATTCGCGCGATCGGCCTACTCGCGCCGACCAGAATATGCGCCTGGACCAGGAGCGCAGTCTGCGCCACAGTATGGCCAGCCGCGACAGACGTCCATGGAGAAGGAGCAGGATATTTACTCGAGTCTGCCCGACGACCAGCGCGATGAGATTCAAGAGGCTGTGAGTTGAGAACCTGGTGTTTCATGGCCACTGCTTCTTCTAGAGAGAGACATGCACAAAGCTGACTTTTCTTTTCCTTCAATTAGTTTACACTGTTCGACCTCGACAACGACAAATACCTCTCCTTCCAAGAAATGCGCGTCGCGTTTCGGGCGCTCGGCTTCAAGATTCCACGGCCGGAGCTGAAGCAAATGCTGGAGGCGCACGGTACCGTGTCGCCCGCGGTGATGGAGCGACACCGGCAAAAGGGCGGCACGGAACCAGAACACTACCACGTTAGCAGCCTGCTGATATCGCAGGCCGCCTTCGTGCGCATCGCGGCGCAGAGGGTGGCCGCGCGCGACCCGCTGGAAGAAGTGGAGCGCGCGTTCAACCTGTTCGACCAGGATCGGAAAGGCTACATCGTCTTCGAGGACTTGCGCAGGGTGGCGCACGAGCTGGGCGAGACGGGGCTGGAAGATGAAGAACTACATGCTATGATCAACGAGTTCGACTTTGACGGGACGGGCTCGGTTGCGCGAGAGACGTTTTACTCAATCCTCATGCAGTGAGACGGGCAGGTTACGCTTTTGGCGAGGTTTTGAACGTGCCCACGATCCCAAGTTCATTCAGTTGGTTCAGCAGCGTTTTCAACGTACAGGCGTTGGTTGGTTAGGCATGAAAAGCGTTAATCCTTTGGACCTCTTGAAGCACGCGAACGGGAGTCTGGCGCAGGCAAACAGCCACTTTGGGACGACGATCGTTGCGCCCGGCTAGCTGCACAAGATTCCGGCACAGTATCACGCAAAGTGTAAGCAAATCCAGGCATCGAATTACCTGCTTCACCACGAGTCGTCGAGACTGGTGTCCGTCCGTACGGACGGGTGATGTCTATACTACGTCGATACCGTCCTATTCGTCCTTGATTCGGGATACTGCTGTAGCAACTAGCAATCGACGACTGGGCAACGAATCCTCGGTGATATCACCCTCTGGAAAACCAATACATGGAGTCTGAACAATTCTCATATATCACGCTGCCAGGGTTTTGCTGCTGATGGCAGCGTTCAGTCACCCTACAACCATAGCTGAGCAACGCCGCTGAACGGCTCGACTGGCTGATCGTAGAAGATGGTGCTCAGGAGTCCTTCCGAGAACATGCTGCCGCTTGGATCATTATCAATCCAAGCATCGTGGAGGGTCGAGCCATGGGCAAGCGGTTCCAAAGATAGCGGTGAACAGGTCTGTCGTGGGTTAGAAAGAGGTCACGCACTTACTTTCATTTTTCTTGATCGACATCTTTGACAGACTTTGTGGTACATATCTCGTGGAGGTCGGACAATAACTACACTTTCATCGGGGGCCTTCTTAGGTGACCATGTACCGTGTTTGACCTGAGAGTGTTCGTGAAGCAGCGTACAAGCCCGTCCGCGCAAGCGTTGTTGAAGAAAGATGAGTGCGACTGAAGAAGCCAGTAGCTCACCAGTGACGTCATTTGCGCGAGGCCAGGTCAACGCGAAAGCACATTTGCGGTTCTTCATCTTCGGTGGCCGGAATACAAGCTGGCATCTTCTGCAAGTACACAAGCGGTTCTGATAACTGGTTACCACACCTGTCATCGTCGCGTCAAGTCTCCAAGGCCTCAGGCATTTGCTCCTGCGTCAACTGACTCGTAGCAATTGCACGATCAAAATGGGGGACACGGAAGAGACGCCTGCACAGCGGCAGGCGCGAATTCGCCGCCAGAAGAGAGAAGCCAAAATTAATGCGAATGCGCAGCAGAGACTTGATAAGATTACACAACTGAGTGGTCGTACAGCAGATTCTAGTAGGTCTGATCACCAAGATGCGATGTGATGCGTGTTGTTAACTGTGCAGTGCGAGATGAGGCGCCCCCGTCGCCTCCTACCAGTATCCCCTCCGGGCCTCCAGCAGGACCCAACGCCACCACGACCGCGCCGCCTTTCATGCCACCTGCGAATGCCCAAGCCTCAAATCCAGAACAAGCACGACTTCAAGAAGAATACCTCCGCGCTCTTCTGAGGGGTCCGGAGCCCCAAGCAGGTGGCCAAGCTCCAGGCCAAGGCCCGCCCGCTCAGGACGATCCTATGATGCAGATGCTCAGCTCCATGATGGCGGGCATGGGCGGGGAAGGCGCAGATCCAAATAATCCTGGAGGCATGCCGTTCAATCCGGACGATCTCGCAAAGCAGTCAGGCATACCTTCATGGGCTACGAGCATGCTATTTGGATCGCAAAAAACCCCACCTACCCCAGCCGAGCAAAGCACCATGAGAATGTGGAGGATCATCCATGCGGTTGTTGCGGTTCTGGCTGGAATATACATGGTGTTCACAATCAGTAAATCTACGCAGACGTTCGGAGCGGGCCCTCCTGCGCCGGCCACGTTCCAAAACCCATTCGTTGTATTCCTGATGGCGGAATTATTACTGCAGAGCTCAAGGGTGTTAACGGCCGGACAGGCGGGAAAACGCGGACCCGGACTGTGGTTTCAGATGCTCAAGGAATTGGCCGGCGACGGAGCTATTATCGTCTTCATGCTGGGTGTCGCAAGTTGGTGGACAGATAGTACATAACACGAAGAGACTGCCTAGGCCTCTCTACCTTTCCACGCCGCCCGGTCCGCAGAATCGGACATGTGGCCGCAGTAGGGATTCTTCGGCCCCCAAGCGCGGAAGCGCACGTACTAGTCGTGGGTCACGAAATTGTCATCCGGCCCGATGGAGCTACGCACCCAGCGGCAGTAGTTCGAAACTCTCGAGCGAGCCTCACAGCAAGTATGTCATCTCTGGGTCGGCTGCCCAGACCGGTACTTGGAATGCAATTGCAGAGCATTCTTGGCTCGAGAATCGCATGGTGCTAATGGCAGATGACACTTTAGGGCTCTCAAAGAGCCAACCCGAGGCTGCTGCTGGGAGGGGGCCCCGCGGGAGATGGGCATAAGGTGATCCAGTTATAAGCCGGAGGAAAGGAGGGTTTGGGGACCGACGGGCATTGCATGGTGGGGCAGGCACAGACTTCGTCTACCACCGGTCTGGGCGAGGAGAGGCGATGCGGGGGACAATCCATGGCTCGCGTCATTCCAGACCCTCCATCAACGATGCAACGCGGTCACTCGACTGCTGCAGGAGTACGGGAATTGTCAATAGCTCACAAAAGGCTTGTCCACAGACGTCACTGGCCATCTATCCGAGTGCTAGATATACTTGACCGCAATCCCAACGCGTACCCGGAGCTCTTCCTACCTCTCTCCCACATTTCGAAGCTGCCCCTCGAATTTTTTCTCCAATTCTGAGGTTGTGTTTCGTCTTCCTGATCTCACACGAGCACTTGAAGAAGTACACGGTCATGTCTGAAGGCGACAGTAAGCCCGCCCAGGCTGAGCAGGGAATTGAGCAAAAGGGTATCGTGAGTGAAGGCCTTCGGACTGGCTCATTGCAGCTCTGGTGCTAACTCGCAACACAGCCTGAATCACACTCAATCCCTACTTACCAGTAAGACACCTTTCGGACAATCGGAGCTCTTCTTCGGACCGAACTAACCTCTGCTGCAGAGTTCCCAAGGCCTACCTCGAGCGAGGCTCTGGCAAGACCCATTTAAAGGATTTGGCCGAATATGAATCCATGTACAAGGAGTCCATTGAGCAGCCCGATAAGTTCTGGGGTAAGCTCGCTCGTGAGCTCCTGACTTGGGATCGCGACTTTGTGACCACCAAGAGTGGCACACTAGCCAACGGCGACGCATCTTGGTTTTTGGGCGGCCAACTCAATGCCTCCTACAACTGTGTTGATCGTCATGCCTTGAAGAACCCAGACAAGCCCGCCATCATTTACGAAGCCGACGAGCCTAATGAAGGCCGCACCATCACCTATGGTGAACTCCTACGCGAGGTCTCTAGGCTGGCTTGGGTCCTCAAGAGTATGGGTGTCAAGAAGGGAGACACGGTGGCTCTATACCTGCCTATGATTCCCGAGGCTCTCATTGCTTTCCTCGCCATCACTCGAATTGGTGCCATACACTCGGTCGTATTCGCCGGCTTCTCATCTGGTTCCCTTGCTGACCGTGTCAACGACGCGAACTCCAAGATCGTCATCACCACCGATGAGGGTAAGCGTGGTGGTAAGATTATCGGTACCAAGAAGATTGTTGATGAGGCACTCAAGAAGTGCCCGGATGTGTCTGGCGTGCTGGTTTACAAGCGGACTGGTGCAGACGTGCCATGGACCAAGGACCGTGATCTGTGGTGGCACGAGGAGGTCGAGAAGTGGCCTAGCTATCTCCCACCTGTGCCCATAGATGCCGAGGATCCCCTGTTCCTGCTCTATACATCGGGCTCAACAGGCAAGCCTAAGGGCGTCATGCACACTACCGCAGGTTATCTTCTTGGCTGCGCAGCTACAGCAAAGTATGTGTGGGATCTCCACGACGATGATGTCTTCTTCTGCGGTGGTGATGTTGGTTGGATCACCGGACACAGCTACGTTGTCTACGCTCCCCTACTGAGCGGATGTGCCACCGTTGTCTTTGAGGGCACGCCAGCCTATCCCAACTTCAGCAGATACTGGGATGTTATCGACCGACACACTGTCACCCACTTCTACGTCGCCCCCACCGCCCTTCGATTACTCAAGCGCGCCGGTAACGAGCATGTCAACCATGAATTCAAAAAGCTGCGTGTCTTAGGTACTGTGGGAGAGCCTATTGCGGCCGAAGTGTGGAAATGGTACAACGAGATCATTGGCAAAGAGCAGGCACACATCATCGATACATACTGGCAAACGGAGACAGGCTCCAACGTCATTACGCCTCTGGCGGGCATCACCCCCACCAAACCAGGGTCTGCATCTTTCCCATTCTTCGGCATCGAGCCTCACATCATCGATCCGGTCTCTGGCGAGGAGGTTAGCGGCAACGATGTTGAGGGCGTGCTGGCATTCAAGCAGGCATGGCCCAGCATGACGCGAACTGTCTGGGGCGCACACAAGAGATATATGGACACATATCTCAACGTATACAAGGGGTACTATGTACGTCAAACCTGATTCTCGTGAGAGCACAGCTAACATATTGCAGTTCACTGGTGATGGAGCAGCACGTGACAAGGATGGATTTTACTGGATTCGTGGTCGTGTTGACGATGTTGTCAATGTGTCTGGCCATCGTCTCTCAACTGCTGAAATTGAGGCCGCTCTCATTGAACACAGCGGCGTTGCCGAAGCTGCTGTTGTCGGTATTAACGATGAACTGACCGGACAGGCAGTCAACGCCTTCGTCGCGCTCAAGGATGGCACGGACCCTGGTGAGCAGACCCGAAAGGACCTCATTCTTCAGGTCAGGAAACAGATTGGGCCTTTTGCTGCACCAAAGGCTATCTTCATCGTTGATGACCTGCCAAAGACTCGATCCGGCAAGATTATGCGTCGGATCCTCAGAAAGGTGCTAAGCGGAGAAGAGGACAGCTTAGGTGACACATCGACGCTGAGTGATCCTAGCGTTGTCGACAAGATCATCGAAACTGTTAAGCAAGGCAAGAAGAAGTGATCTATGCTCTGGATATGTATGATTTATGCTTGGGAAGGTCTCACGATCGCAAATATCAATACCCAATAAAGGACGATCTCAAATACTGGTTGACTCACTGAACATATAGACCGCTCTCGACTCTGTAATTCCGTGGAAGTGTGCAGGGCCGCAAGGTCGCTGCCGCTCTGCCAGTCAGGCAGATACTGCAGATCGGTGTGCGGAAGGTTTAGCCGTAAATGCCAAGTCTAATGCCCACTTCAGCCTAGTGCTGCGGTGTGTCTCTGCCGCCCCAAAAGCAACCGCGCTCGATCTCCCTGCTACCTCTTTCTCCGTCCATTCCATCTCTTTCGCAACAGCGCGTCGTCCAAGCTGTTCGTGACGTGTCAATATAGGGTCGGTCTTCTGCCACAGACAGAGCTGCCCTGGCACCCGTGTCGCTGTCAGCACTGGTAGCTGCGGTCATATCGCGTCACGAAATTGTTTGCGCAGCTTTACTTCGGTCGCGACGACTATCTAAATCTTGCCTTCTTAATTTCTTACGCGCCTTGTCTAGACCTACTACGCTTCCTCAACCACCGCCATAGCGCGCCGACGCGCATCTACCCCAGGAGCCATGTCGTTCGGGGGTGGTGGCTCGGGGTTTTCCTTCGGAGCAAGTAATAATCAGCCTTCGACCTTCGGTGGGTTTGGCAATAGTAGCAACAACAATACCAGTAAGTACACACTATTTTCTTCATCCTATAATGTCATACTAATGGCCCATCAGGCACGTTCGGTGCTACAAGCAATAGCGGCGGTTTCGGCAACAACACCACATCCTCGAACCCTTTCGGTGGGGGAGCCACTGGAAGCGGTGGAAACACATTCGGTGCCAATACTGGAGGTATGTCTATTTGATCTGCCGCGGCGGTCACCCAGTCTCTCTAGGCACTATTTTGTCTGAGCCGCAAGGCGTCCCTGCACCACCAATCCCATTGTCTGATTCTAAAGTGAAGACAAGTAGCTAACACACTAAACAGGCTTCGGAACCTCCTCTAATACAGGCGGTGGCCTCTTCGGCAACAAGACCGGCGGCACAGGACTCTTCGGCTCGACCACGAATACCGCATCAGGAGGTGGCTTATTTGGTAACACCCCTACCAATACCAACACATCTACTGGCTTCGGAAGCTCGACAGGTGGCTTCGGCACCAGCACTAACAACAATGCTTTCGGGAGTAACAGCAACACTGGCTTCGGCGGTTTTGGCAATACCGCCAACAAGCCCGCTTTCGGTTCCAGCTCTAGCGGAGGTACCACACTGTTTGGTCAAGGTGGCTCAGGGACAACCGGCGGCTTTGGCTCGAGTGGCAATGCTTTCGGAGGATCAGGTACTGCGCTAGGCCAGAACGTCCCGCCTTCGCAGGGCACCGCCGTCGTGCCTTTTGCGCCTACCACAGAGAAGGACCCACAGGGCACGACGCAGAACTTTCAGAGCATCAACTTCATGGAGCCCTACCAGAAGTACTCCTTTGAAGAGCTGAGATTGGCTGATTATAATGCTGGACGCCGCTTCGGCAACGGAACTGGCCAACCTGCGGGTGGCTTCGGTACTTCAAGCACGTTCGGAGGCTTCGGTGCCAACAACACCTCGACCGGCGGCTTTGGATCAAACACGCAGACGAACAACCCCTTTGGCTCGAACACAGCGAGCACGGGAGGTTTCGGAAGCAATTCGTCCTCGACTTTGGGGACCGGAGGGCTCTTTGGTCAGAACAAGCCTGCTGGCGGCGGGCTTTTTGGTCAGCAGCAATCGTCAGGCACTTCAACTGGCGGACTGTTCGGAACAGCAAACAACAACACGTCCTCTAATCCGTTCAGCGCCAATACAACCTCGACCGGATTCGGGTCAAATACTGGCGGCGGGGGCCTCTTCGGAAGCAACAGTACCCAGCAGCAGACCAAGCCTGGTGGCCTGTTTGGAAACACCAGTACCACTACAAGCACACCTGGGTTCAGCTTTGGAAACAACAATAACCAGCAACAGAGCGGTAGCACGGGAGGTGGATTATTCGGCAACAACCAGCAATCTTCAGGTGGAGGGCTGTTTGGCAACAACAATACTGCCAACCAGCAACAGAAGCCGGCAGGAGGTCTTTTTGGCAGCTCTACCGGCGGTGGGTTTGGCAACAATTCGACAGCTCAAACATCGGGAGGCCTGTTCGGGACCTCGTCCAATACTGGCGGCGGGCTTTTTGGGAACAATAATGCCAGCACCACTGGCACCACTGGCGGGGTATTCGGCAATACGCAGTCGAACAGCACTGGCGGTGGTGGCCTCTTTGGCAACAGCGCTGCAAACAACCAGAGCAAGCCCGGTGGTCTCTTCGGCAACAGCACCTTTGGCAACAATCAGCAGCAGGGCGGAGGGCTCTTTGGGAATAACAACCAGCAGCCATCCACCGGCAGCGGCTTGTTCAACACCAATAACAACACCAACAACAATGCTGCTGGGGGGTTCAGCTTTGGAGGCAGCCAGAACAAGCCAGCTGGCGGGTCCATGTTTGGTAACCTGTCCACTAACAACACTCAAGGTGGTGGCTTGTTCAACACATCGACCGGCGGCAACAGTATGTTCGGCAACTCTATGGGCCAAACTCAGCAAGCCCAGCAACAATCTGATGTGAAGCATGCATCCCTACTTGACACCAACCCTTACGGGCAGTCCTCGATCTGGACTGGCTTGCCCGCTCCAACTGAGCAGAACTCCCAGCCTCTCGTGACTGTTTTGACTGCTACTCAAAAATTGAAGGAAAGCCAGTCGAAGCCGCCACCGAACCTTCGCTTGAACCAGTCTCGGTACATGACTCCTCCGCGACGGGGAGGCTATGGGTTCACATACTCCACTTACGGTACTCCCAATAGCGCCGCAAGTACACCTGGTGGTAACAGCTTGAGCACCAGCATGTACGGCAGTCGTTTCACTGGCGGAAGTTTTGGTCGTTCGCTGGGCAAGTCAGCATCTATCAGCAACATGCGCTCATACTACAGCGATGGTGAAAGTGTCTTGGCCCCAGGCGCTTTTACCCCAAGCTCATCTCGCTACTCGAGTGGTAGTATCCGTCGACTTACCATTGATCGTTCCATTCGAGACGATCTCTTCAGCCGGCCCGCTCTGCCTGCTCCAAGTGCTTCTGTTCAACCTAGCCCAACCTCGAAAGTCACCAATGGGACCAACAGTTCTCATGTGCCAGAGGTCACTCAAGAGGCTGTGGGTTCTAAGTTGAAGAAGCGAGTCAGCTTCGACAAAGAGACTACCGGAGGAGAGAACGGCGAGCTCAATGGCAACACCGGTGCTGTTATTCCTGTTGACGATGACGCCGCCACGGTCTCGCCAAATGGCACCATCTCTCCGGTCGAGCAAGCGCCTAACAACGGTCTAACCACGGTTCCAGAAGACCGTGAATCTGAACATGCTCCTGCGCCAAGGGCAACCAAGGACAAGACTGATCCCCAGCCAGGTGAATACTGGATGAAGCCAACCATGGTGGAGATTGCCAGGATGTCACGCGATCAGGCTGCCAACTACAAAGGTCTGCAGGTTGGGCGAACGGGGTGCGGCTACGTCACCTTCGATGGCGCCGTTGACCTCAAGAGCCTCCCCCCCCAAGATGAATTGTTTGACACCATCATCAACATTGGCGTGCGCTCAATCACGGTTTACCCTGAATCTTCCACCAAACCTCCTCGTGGAAAGGGTCTTAACGTGCCTTCCACCCTTCGCATTGAGAATTCATGGCCTCGCGCTCGGGGCAAGCCTGAGGCCTTGGCCAGTGGTCCAGCATTCGACAAGCATATCAAGCGGTTGAAGAATATCCATAACACGGAGTTTGTTAGCTACGATATCAACACTGGTGTGTGGGTTTTCAAGGTCCAGCACTACACCCGATATGGTCTGGATTATGATGATGATGACGAAGATGATTTCCAAAGCAGCCAGCTCTCTGCGCCACCTGAGAGCATCAAGGCTCCAGGGTCATCTGTCATGGAGATTGACAGTGACTACACGAGCGAATTTGGCGAAGATGACACTTTCCAGGGCAAACAATTGATGACTGTCCCGGGAGGGTTCGGCAAGCGAAGTGCGATCGACGATGTTGATGAATCGATTGTTAGAAGCATCGAGCACGACAGTCCAGGTTCTGAGCAATCCACTTTCTCTGAAGACGATGACTCTGACGACGAAGTCACCGGTATGGCCGGTGCCTATCCTGCTCCGAGCGGCCTTGACCTCGAGAGTCCAAACAAGCCTGAGCTCATACCTGGCACTCCCGGTCGGCCGCTGCTGGATATTGATCTCGACGGCGACTGGGCTGAGCAACTCCAGCGCACCATCAGCCCGAGAAAGCAAAATCGTGACGCTCTGAGGGAAGTCCAGAGCAAGGTGTTACTCGATCGAGAGTTTTCGCCCATGAAACCTGGAACAATCGGCAAAAAGGGATTCAGAACGAGCATTGATGTGATGAACGCGATTTTTGACAAGCGTGGGACGCAGACGGGATCCACAGGATTTGAGGTTTGATGACCCCTTTCTTTTCTGTTAAGTCTTTTTGTTTACCCAGATCACTGTTCATGCGTCGTCTGTGCTGCGGCCAACTGACGGACAGCGGAGGATGTGACGGTCATGTGAAAATGACACGATTCTTACATAAAGTAGGTAGTTAGCTGAATGAAACACATTGCTAAGATTTTGGTGTCTTTAGTTTCCCTATGCCAAACGCGCAAAGACCTTCGATCCTAACGACCACGATATGACCGATGCCGACAAGTCATGGCACGCCAGTTTCAAGCCCAGCTTCACACCTGTGGGGAAGCTGATTTTGAAGTCAAACTCTGCTGCTTCGGGTAACGAACTGTGGAAAGGAGTGCCCATTGCACGAAGCCACAACCGGACAATCACTGCCATGGGTCTGAAACCTCAAGAGGTTTGTATACCCCACTCTTAATGCCGAACATTGCTGATTGTAGTAGCCTCTCAACATTGTTGATCTGATGGAGCACGCTTCCATCGAACTCACGGAGAACGGCGTTCCAGAGATCAGCTATACACCTCTTCCGTTCAATGTCTACGCTACCTCACTCTCACCTGCCGCATCTGCCAACGAAGTCCAACTCTATGAGCTCCTCCACGTGCTGTTCGACAACTTTGAAGATTCGCACAACGCCGGTCTCGATGAAATTCAGCGCGAGGACTTTGCCGACCGCATCCGCAAGGAACGCCTCTCGTCATTCCTTTCTGCCGCGATAAGTCAAGTTGATACCGCCGATCTCACTGTGCTTGAGCAGCGAAATCCTTTAGAAGCCGCCCTCCGCCACTTGGCCCGTGGCGATGCCGACAAATCCTCGGACGTTCTCTACAAGTCCCGCAACCCAACTCTTGCCCTTCTTGTTGCACAGGGTCCCAATGTCGATCAGGCATTCCAGGCCAGCATCACAGAGCAGATCTCGAATTGGCGCGAACAGTCCGCCTTGAGTGAAATGGACCTCAATGTTCGAGCTCTCTACGAGCTGCTCGCTGGCAACACGACCGTTTCTCGCGGCATTGACAGCACCGTCGAGCATAAAGCCGTCACTTTCAGCATCTCTTCCCTTCTCGGTCTTAATTGGCTCAACATGTTCGCCCTCAGCCTCTGGTTTGGTCCACTCAAGACTTCGCCCGTCTCGGATATCATTGCCGACTTCGCATCCCAGCTATCCTCTGGCGCGGAGAGCGCAAGCCCCTTGGGTCCCACCGGTGCTGAAGATCCTCTCTGGGTGGTCCTCAAGCTGTATGCGTCAGTGTATGGCAATGCCCGGTGCCCAACGTTCCCCCAAGCACTCTCGGCACTCTCCACACTAGGCACGTTCAATTCCCTCGCACTCTTTCGCGCCTATAACATCATCACCTCCGCTCTCCCAGTCGACATCCAAATCGACGTGGACGACGACGTGGCAAATCAACTCGCTTCCGACCTCTCCTTCGAACTCGAAGCCAAGGCTGACGTCCCCGCCGCTCTATTGGCGCTCTTGCACCTCACCAGCTCCGAAAGCCGTGCCACCGCCGTTGTAGAGCTACTCCTGCGCAACGCTGCGCGTCTACCGCTGCCCCCGACTCAGGGCGAAGCCGCAAGCGCAGAGTGGAGTCTTCTCACGCAGCACCTTGCCGTGCCTCCAGAATGGCTTTACCAGGCGCTCGCCCAGCTCCGTCGTGCGGAGGGTGACGCCGAAGAGGAACTGCGTTTCCTTATACTGGCGGACGAGCGTGAGCAGGCGCACGAGTGCTTGGTGCAGCGTGTCGCGCCCGTGCATGTCGTGGATGAGGATTGGGAGGGCTTGAAGACCGCGCTGGCGCTCTTCGCAAAAGGTAGCGCGCCGGATGGGTGGCGTGACGGCGGGGCGGTGTTTGAGGATTTCTTGGCGCTGGTGACGGGGATGGCGAAGACTGATGAGGAGAAGGCGCAGGTGTTGCGCAGATTGACGCACAGCCTGGCGGCTATGGATAGGGAGTTGGGCGGTGGGAGAAGCGGAAGTGATGAAGGCGTGGAGGACGTGCGCAGACGGGTCAGCGTGAGGGAGATGACTCGTGTGGTGGCTGCGGAGGGGACGGTAGAGGTCAAAGAGCTGTTGGACCTGCCGATCACGCGTGAGGTCAAGGGCCAGCTGGGAAGTATGCTGGCTGGCGAGTATTATCGGAAAGTCATGGCGGGAAGGGGATAGTGTCCTACTGAGGTGGTGGGTTGACAGAGCGCGTGCCGTGGAAGAGGGTTCGTTGTTCCTGTTCCACGGCAGCCCGTTGGACGCAGAGTCTTGGGGCGGCGATTGGGTGACCCTGTGGGAGACTTCATGAAGGCATTTTAGTGGATGCAGGACGGGCAATTGAGAGCGTTGTATGACTAGGATGAACTGCAGCATTGTGTCAGCCAGCCCCTTTGGCCGCCTAGATAGCATGGCGCAGCGCGAGAGCGCGGAGGGAAGCATGCAGGCAAAAAGCATTCCTGTGTATGCGCCGTCAGGCACAAAAGCGGTCAATTGAATTTCTATATCCTAAAGGACTGTTGGTTGGTCTCACGAATGCCTTTTGGTGGGGCTATGTCCTATCCTCTGCTTCGCAAGTAGGCTTTTGAACTTATTTGCATGGATGGTCGTGGCGCGAGCTCAATATATCATATCTAGACAAACGCCGTTTCACCAAATCGTTCGGTGCGTATATCGTCGCCGTTTCTGGAGGTGCTTTATAGCATCAAAGAACAAGTCCCGCCTGCCCGTTACTCGGGGCAGCACGACACGTCGTGGGAGGTGCTGCCGCAGCGTGAGCACTTACGCGGGCTGTTCTTGTAATTGCGATTGTAGGTCTGGTTGGCGTACATTGTGATTTTCAGGGGGCAGCTGATTGGGTGTATCTTGGATAGTCTTCTATCAGGATTGGTCTTGAGTGTTTGTGAGATAAAGTAGAAAGGGGCTGCTGGTGCTCGAGCGAGGTATTTGTATCGTTGGAGGTTCGTGTGACGAATATGTGACACCAACGGGCGGCGATGGGCGAGCCGTTTGAATCACGATCGGGATGCATGGAGGCGTTGCGTGGCGATGGTGCGTGGCAGGTGAGATCATGACGGCGAGACGTTTGATGGCGGCTGTGGTGGATGGTGGGACAACGACGCATGACAGATTGGTGACGGGTTGTAATCGGTAGGGAGGCCGAGGTTGGTGAACAGAAACGTTGATGTCGGGCTGCTCGTGGGTAGGACGCTCGAGATGTCCGTGATTTAATTCTCCTTTCATGTCGAGAAGCGTCCACGATTCCGACCTCGGATGGTGGCAGTGCTCCAGACTCGTCCATGGCCGAGTTGAGCTCTCCGTGCATGGTGACTGACCTTTAGGCTTGCTGCAGTTCAAATGAGCGTGGCCACATATTCGATGCATCAACCACCAAAGTATCATGACCGGCAAAATCCAGAAGCCTCTAAACACGTTTTTCCGCGTAGAGAGATAAATGATGAGCACGGTAGAAAACTCGCCGCGACTTTATGGCAGCTCCGCCAATATTGAGCAGGCTTGAAGCCTTCTTGGAGTGCAGTTTGGCTTAGCCTCGAAATAGTCACCCGGCGGACAACGCACACAATCTTCTGGGACACTTGACAAGCGAAGCAAAAAATCCGAAAGGCAATCAGGCAAAAAGGCAAAAAGGCAAAAAGAACAGAGGAATATGCTCCCTTAAGGGATGTCTTGACCTTTCTTGTGGGCTTTTTTGTGCCTCTTACTTTGCTTTTCTCGTATTCCCCCCCGAAAATATGTCTGCTACGAGTCGCTCGAGATTTATCAAGTCGTATTGTGCGCTGACAATTTTTCAGTGGCATCTAGACCCCAGGACTTATGGTTCTTCCCGCCTAGTTTTCTCAGTAGGTCTGTGCGAATGTTGAGAGAGATTTCCCGGATTGTCATATAAATATGTGGGTGGTTGCTAGGTAGAGAGGCGGGGTGGCTGGAAGGGGAAATGCGAGAGAGAAAGATGATGCATGGTCAGGTGAGGGCGAGGGTGAGGATAGCATGGGTGTTTTGATAGGCGTACTTGGCAATATGTTGCGTTGAGCAGCACAGAATCCCCTGTCGACACACTCAGAGAAATCATACTCATATCGAAGAGCCCCTTCATTGGACAACAAGGCATCGGCTGATGTTAGATCAGTGCCGCTACACGCTGATGGGGCGAGGTACTTCTGTTGCGTTCGAGCCTGTCCCAGCAGCCATAGGGGCTGGTTGCCATCTTAGTAGCCCCGACAATTACCAATATGGTTCTCTAGTCAAGAGCATGGTGTTGGCAGGAAACATTCTAGTACAGGGGTATAGAAACGACAAAGTCTACTCAGTAAGGCGCAAATAACGCCAAGAGATATTGCCAAGGACCATGACGCAGCAGTGGCGCGTTTCTTCAGGCGCTTGAAGTTGGGGCTGCAGCTGCCGCAGCTTGTGCCTAGACATGGCGATGGCCCTTGGAGAGGGGTGCGCATGCATCAGACGGGAGGGGAGCCGTTCTTAGACGCGATACCTATCGACGCACAGCGATGCATTGATAATGATTCTCAATCATCTCAGCATCGTGCACTGCCTTTTCTATCATCGAGACGACGATAATCTACAAGCGCAAATAATAACTTCTTCGTCTTGTATTACGTCGCTGTGGCTGAGCACTTTGACAATCCCCGTCTGACAACTAAGCGTGCCTTGCACTTCCGGGCCCACCCACTCCGTTCTCCGCTGAAACTGCTTCGCTTTCCATGTTCACTTCACCTCTTCTCTATCACCATAGCCTGCCGACTGTTCGTACAGTCACCGATCCAGAGACCGGGCGCAGATACTCTGTCGTTGATACAGGTCGTCGAAATAATCAGTTTCAACGACGAAACACCGTTGCCGTCGTCTCACCACAAACCGCCACTGCCGACCCGCCCGCTGCTACTAGGCGCGGAACCTACGATCCTAACCAGCCTGTTTTCCTTCTCAGCAGATCTTCCACCGAAAGAGCTCCTGCCTTCGACAAGGGCGGCACCATGTCAAAGGTTGTGCGCAGCGTCAAGAATGTCACAAAGGGCTATAGCAGTGTTCAAGTAAAGGTCCGGAATGGTGGGTTCACAACCTCAGAATACGGTCGCAGGGTGCTAACCGATCGCCAGCGACCTCCAACGACCCATGGGGGCCCACGGGCACCGACATGGCCGAGATCGCCGCCCTAACCTTCAACAAGTGAGACTGTCTGGAGCACCCATGCGTGCATGCGCTAACAAGAAACAGCCCAAGCGACTTCTACGAGATCATGGATATGCTTGACAAGAGATTGAACGATAAGGGCAAGAATTGGAGGCATGTCTTGAAATCGCTCAAAGTTCTGGACTACTGTCTGCATGAAGGCTCTGAGTTGGTCGTAACTTGGGCCCGAAAGAATATCTACATCATCAAGACCCTCCGAGAATTCACATACGTCGACGAAGATGGTCGCGACGTCGGAAATAATGGTTTGTCAATTGACCCTTGATCTGAGCTGCATCTAACTGGCTTCTAGTCCGCATTTCTGCCAAAGAGCTTACTAGCCTCATCCTGGACGAAGAGCGTCTCCGGAGCGAACGGTCAGACCGCAAACTATGGAAAACTAGAGTTACCGGTATTGATGAGCATGGACCTTCGCACATTGGTGGTCCAGGTCCTTCAAGCCCCCGCGAAGCGCGCCGAAATCATCGTCAGGATGAGGAGGATGCAGAAATGCGCCTAGCTATCGAAGCCAGCAAACACGAGGCCGAAGAAGAAAAGAGGCGCCGCGCGGGTCAGCAATCGAAGGCTGGTGATATGGACGATGACCTCGCCAAAGCCATCAAGCTGAGCCAAGAAGAAGAGACCTTGCGCGCCCGTCAGCTGGAGGACCAGAATGCTCAATCGCTCTTCGACGACACTCCTACTCCGTCTCAGCCTCAACCGACTGGCTATAATCAAGGCTACCAGCAGCAGCCTGCTGTCGACTGGTTTGGCAATCCACTTCAGCAACAACCCCAGCAGACCGGCTTCCTGAACAATCAGTACAATCAGCCGACGGGTTTTCAGCCTCAGCAGACTGGCTATCAGAATGGGCTCACGAACGGCTATCCCACGCAGCCTGGTGTCTTCGATCAATTCGGCTCGCAGCCATTCCTTGGACAGCAGACTGGGCTTCAGCCTCAACAGACAGCTTTCCAGACGAACAATCCATACGGTGGCATGCAGCAGCAGCCGAGCCAGGATATGTTTGGTCAACAGCAGCAGCAGCCACAACAGCCACAAATGACTGCCGGCTCCAACAACCCCTGGGCACAGCAACAGCCGCCGGCTGATGCTCTCAAGCCACTCCCAACCGGATCCAACAATCCATTTGCTCCGAAGCAGTCATCACCCTCACCTTTCCAGAGAACGCAAACCCAGCCTACACTTGGGACACTCTTCGAATCGCAACCGAATACCTCATTTCAACAGCCTCAACAACAGTACCAGCCCCAACAACCAAACCCGATCACGAATTTCCAATCTCCTCAGCCGACACAACAGCAGAAGCCTCAAGATCCCCACGCTGCTCGTCTGAACGCTCTGCTTGCGTCGGGCGAAGGACAAGACACCTTCGGCAACACTGGCGATCTGCGTATCCCAGCACAACACACCGCACCTGGTACCTTTGTCAACTCGGCTGGTCAAGGTCTCGACAAGTTACGTGCGAACCAGACGGGCAACAACCCTTTCTTCTCTCAACAATTTACAGGTGCACCACAGATGCCGGCCCAAACTGGTCCTGCCTCGGGCTTTGGCGGATATGGACAGCAGCAGAACAATCCGTTCGGAGCCAGACCTGCGGGCCAGCAGAATGGTAGTCTCATCGACCTGTAGAGGCCGGCCAACTCAACGAAAGCGTTACGAAAGAGGGATTCGGAAACACCCAGGCGTCTCCGTCATCCTCAGGAAATTGGTACACTGTCTCCCGACGGCATTTTTTATGTTGCGCTCTTGGTCCTGGGTGTATAGATATCCCAATGATCCGGCATCTAAGTTATCTCCTTAGCTATAAAGTGCTTAGTCTCGTTGCAACGCCTCAAACCTCGTTCGCTCCTTCGCTATTGTCTCTCCCCAGACTCTGGGTCTCCACAACGCGGCTTCTCTGATCCGTTCCCACACGACAGTCCCCAAGAGGTTAGCCGACCTCCTGATTCTCTCGTCCTTGGCCTAAAATAAGCCGACTTAAGCTGAATTGGATACTTGACATCACCGCGCGTCTCCCTGTTCGGAGTACCAGGCGAGACCTGCACAAGGCTGAAACTCTGATCCCGCCTCCAAAGTCGGCATGGATGGCTCACCAATTTCCGATTTACGGATGCCTATTCTTCTGATTCGGGGGCAGATGGCCGCTGTGATATGGGCATAAAGGGTGAGTTCAGAGGCAATTACGTAGTGCCAACCCCAGAACAAGCACAACTATTGGATTTGAAAGGTTCGAGGGCCTGTCGTCAACCCATCCACTGCACTTCGACTCTGCGCGTCTAGAGAATTCTCGCCTTCTAGGAAAACTGCTTGTATACTGCTACAATAATCCCCGAGAACCCCTGTCGCGTGGCCCTACCCCGGACTATTCTTCAGTCGACAGCAAACCTCCACCAGTTCCATCCTCGAATAACGCGCGCGCGCTCAAACACATCTCTACGTGCGATCCACGACTACCCAACCACACCTCCACCATGCTCCGCCAAAGGCAAAACCTCACGCTCTTCTCCCTCTCCCTCGCCCTCGCCCTCTCCCCCCTCGTCACCGCCCTGACTCTCACCTCCCCGTCCCCCAACATGCAAATCAATCCCTCCCTTCCCCTCACCATAACCTGGACCTCCACCCCGAGCGACCCCTCCACCATCTCCCTCCTCCTCATCCACTCCTCCGGCAACATCGACAACCTCGCCACTGACATCCCCACTTCCTCTGGCTCCTACACCGTGCCCGCCTGGTGGGTCCTCGACTACGGCATCGGCTACGAGCTGCAGGCGCAGGCCGGCTCCGGCGGTGACGTCGTCGCCACCGTGAGCGGCCTCAGCCTCGGTGGCGGCGTGGGCGAGATCACCACGGACGCGACGGGCGGGCTGAGCTTCGTCAGTGATGTGGGGATCGCGACGGCGAGTCAGGATGGCCCCGCTTCCGTCACAGGATCGGATCTCGTGACTATTCTGAGCGGGTCTGGGTCGGGGAGCGCGGAGGCGACGGGCAGTGCGGAGGCGAGTGGTGCGGAGGAGACGGGGAGTGTGGCTTCTACCACTACCGCTACCGCGACATCGGGCGAGGCGAGTGAGACGACGACGACAAGCACGGAGAGTGAATCGGGAAGTGCGAGTCGGACGGAGAGCGCGGCGGCGACGAGCTCGTCGGCGGGTGGTGGCGCGGCGAGCGCTTTGCGGGTTACGGTGGGAGGAGTCTTGGGAGCGGCGGCGCTTGCGTTGATGGCTTGAGAGGAAAGATATAGGAGTGAGGTTGTGTGTTGGGGGATGATAATCTACAGCGGCCGGGAGGCGCTAAAATTCATATTCTACATGTTGGCCAAAGTCCACGACATCCCACGTATCGTACAACTCTCCTGCTCTCCGCTGATGCCCCTCGTTATTTCCAACCCCTATGAGACCTACAGTGGATTCTCCTCGCGCGCCCTTCTCAGCGTCTCCTTCGCCAGCAGCTCCTCCTCGACCTCATCCGCGCCTTCAGCCGCATCTCTCGGTCTCCTCTCCTGCCTCCTCGCCGGCCGCAGCCCCAGCGCCGCCTGCTGGTCCCATATACTGTCGTGGCGTTTCGCCCATCGCTGTCGCCGCTCCTGCACCTTCTCCGCTGGCGCGCTGCCCAGCCATTTGCTCCGCAGGATGCGGCGGATTGCTTCGGCCGAGACCTTGAATTGTTGTGCGAGTACGGGGGTCGAGTAAGTGATGGGGTCGGACTGGTGCATATTGCGGATGCCGAGCATGGCGTCGGGCGAGAGCTTGCGGCGTGGGTTCCAGCCGTCATCACCGAATTTGGTTGCCAGGGCCTGCTTCTGGACGGCCCAGTCGGGGAGGTCTTGCTTGGGAGTCGGTGTCATGTCGATGTCGATATTGCGGGGTGGTTTAGACGACCCTCTAGCTGGTGAGGAGCGTTCGATGCCTACTCTAGGCCGTGCTTTGCGGGTAGACGTGTCTTTGCGCTTCTTTTCCTTTAAGGTTTCTCTTGCTTCTGAATCGAGCGTCGGGTTTTGGTCTGTGCTAGACTCTGTCTTCGCCTGCTTGAGTGATCTTTTCAGACTGGCTTTAGACTGTTCCATACTACTGCCAGGTTCTCTCTCGACACTGTGCATGGTTTCGGGAAGAGATTGCTTCGACGGCCGCCTCTGCTTCTTTCGGTTACGTTGGGCGTGTTTCACCTCACTATGACCATCTGTATATCTCTGTTTAGAAGCCAGCTCGGCGATGATGCTGTCCCCTGCCTCGCCAAAAGAGAAAGTGCTGCCATCATTGCGGCGGGAAAGGGAAGTCGTCAGAGTTCGAAGAGGTGGGAGACGGTTGGGGAGGCTTCGTTTGACCAACGACTGGGCAGGTGCACTGATAATTGAGAACAAAAGGCGTCGATTTGCTTGTCGGGACCACGACATGGTTAATAGAGATATGAAAGACGTCGAGTTCGAGCATTAAGATCGAGGAAATTCATCATGCAGCTGACTCGCCAATCCTCCTCCGACGACATATCATGAGTCATGGGGGAATCAATGACCGATTTACCGAGTGATGATCTCAATATCCTGGCCATGTGATTTGCCTTGCCAAAGCAAATGCCATGGATCCATTTGGTCTTCTCTGGCACGTTGCCAGCGAGTCGCAAAAATACAATAGCGCTCGAGAGGTAGTATGGCATGGCCCAATCCATTTCGCCGGCGGGACGAGAACACGAGGACATGCTGGGGTTACACGTTTCAACTGACTCCAGAGCATATGACACTGGAGCAGTCCCATCCCCTCAAGCACTCATATGATGTGTTGGGTGAAGAGTGCCTCGACATACTCAACGAATTGTCGCCACCAGATCCTCGGCCATCTAATCGACCGTCAGAAGGTGCCCCGCCATCCACATCAGACCAGGAACTCAAACCCTCTTCCTCTGACAAGCCCGCCAAACCCAGGCGCGACCTCTACGCCCTCCTCGTCTCTCGCAAGGACTCCCACCCCAAGCTCAAGCAGCTCTACGACGATGCTGCCAGCCCACCCTTCCCTGTAGACTGGGAGCAGATCGCCCGAGGCCAAGACGTCTTCTATCGGTATGGAGGCGCCAACTTGACAGGCCTCGCCTACCAATCTCTCCTTGGAGGCATGGGCGCCGCCCGCGTGGTCGAGACCCTCACCCGCACAGGCGGCTTCAATGTGCGCGTGGCGCGACACCGCCTCTTCGAAACCACGCAGCACATCCTCGAATGCACACGGGACCTGCCCTCAATCCAAGCGGGTGGCGACGGCTTCGCCTCCTCGCTGCGCGTCCGGCTCCTGCACGCCGCAGTGCGCAAACGCATCCTGACCCTGACAGCCAGCCATCCGAGCTACTACTCGGTAGCCGAGTACGGCATCCCGATCAACGACCTCGACTGCATCGCCACCATCGCCTCCTTCAGTGCCACGCTGCTCTTCATCAGCCTGCCCCGGCAGGGCCTGTGGGTCACGGCGCAGGAAGCCGCCGACTACACAGCGCTGTGGCGGCTGATCGCGCACTACACGGGCACGCCGACGGAACCCTTCGCGACACCGGCCAAGGCCAAGGCCGCCATGGAATCGCTGCTGCTGCACGAGATCCGGCCCTCGCCCACGTCCCGCGTCCTGGCCAACAACATCATCCGCGCTCTGGAGAATACGCCGCCCGCGTACGCGTCCCGCTCCTTCCTCGAGGTCAACGCCCGCTGGATGAACGGGAACGAGCTCTGTGACGAGCTGGGCCTGGGGCGGCCGTCGCCTTGGTATTGGGTGCTCATGACAGGCCAGTGTCTGTTTTTCATGGGCGTGTGCTACTTCTACCGCAGTTTTGAAGCGTTGGATCGCCGGAAGGTGAAAGGGCTGCGCAGGGTGTTCTGGGCTTTTATTGTGGAGGGCAAGAGCGGGCTGGCGGGCGAGAAGAGCGCGTTTGAGTTCCAGTGGGTGCCGGATCTGGGGAAAGGGACCGAGGCAGGGCGTGAGGATGAAGTGTCTGACAGAGGAGAGAGCGGAGTGGAGGCTAGAAGCTTGCGGACGCTGGCTGTCGCGCTGGTCGGGCTTGGGGCGCTCTCATGGGTGGGTGTAAAAGTTGTGGGGAGGTTGTCGGCAATGATCTGGTAGCGAGCCTGTTTCGACGGCTGCATACGCAAGCGAGGCTTACAGCAGCTAACAGGTAGCATCTCATGTCCACCTAAGCGGCGTCGGTGATGATGTGTGATTGGATCTGTCCTACGCTTGGGGATTGGGGGATACTGTTGTGCGCATCTTGGATAGTTGATATAGACGAGGAATTAAGCATCTCCGTCGTTGTCATTGAGACCCTGTACACTTCGGTGCTGTAAATGCTACCTCTGTGCTGCAAGGGCGCCGCAGCTGCTTGAATACAACAAGTTGGCTGGAGCACGTAAGCCTGCAAACGACGGCAGGGAAACAAGCATCGCTCTGAGGGGTATGGTAAGCCATACAATCCACCGACTCCACGCTGTGACCCCCTTCGAATAGAAACGCATTCGCTCTATGAAGTCGATAGCGCCTCAGCTTATCGACGCTGCGATTGAGGACTACCACCTTTGTCTCCGGTACCCACGACAATATGCTACCCGGTCCTCTGCCTCGCATGTGTTAAGCCTTAGGCTTCTGGGCATCCCACTGGTTCGCTAGACCATATCAGCCTCTATAGCGACAGCGTAAGCGGCATAGACCGCCCAGGCAGTAGCCACAAGATACCAGGCTTCCCAGACGTACATTCCTCGTGTGAACTTGGCACCTCTCTCCCAGACGAGAGGACGGCGAAAACCGGTGTCGGGATCCTCGGTCAGGTACGAGACGCGAGGCTTCTCAGTGGGCGGGAACATAATGTAGCGGATAGGGGAGAGAAACGCCATCAAGTTCTCCAAACGAAGACCCGGGAAGAGGCCCGAGACAATCATGGCGTGCAGCAAAGTACCCGATGTGGTCTTACTGTAGAGTCTGATCGCCTGCATGCTGAAGAGCGAGATCATGGTCAAGAAGAACCACAGGTGGTTGAGCACGCCCTCAATCTTGTGTAGACGACGAATGCGCTCTAGCATTCGGGGACGCTGCGTGGGATCGCGCTCCCCAAGTCCAATGTCGGTAGCATTCTTTTGACCAGTCACGAGAAAGCCAAGCGAGGCACCACCGACCGAAGACGGCATCATCTCCTGTATGCAAGCCTTGGCCAGATGCATACCCTGCCAAGTAGCGACGATCTGGCGACGGCGGATGTTCTGAATCCCGAAACCCAGAGCCAGCATGTATTCGGCAACTCGGGAGGCAACCACGAAGACGGCGTACAAAATGAGTATTTTCGCCAGTTCCGACTTGCTCGTGGAACCAACGACAGGTTGACCACTAAGAAGAGAGAAGAAGACGACGGTCCAAACGAAGGCTTTGCCTATCGTACCGATGAATGGCTTGGGGAGCTGGTTGAATGCTGCCAGCTTCTGCCAGGGAGTGCTATTGCCCAGCAGCTTGGCGTCGGTGCCATAACCGAGCTCGCGGGCATTGCGCATGCCACCAACAGTCCATCGACGACGTTGTTTGATGTGGTCAACGAAGTTGCTGGGTTGCTGGCCAGACTGAAGGCGCTCGCTGATTGCTGCTGTCCTATAACCTTTGCCGTTGAGTGTCCAGCCGAAGAGGACATCATCGCACATCGAGGTCTCAGAGAAGCCACCAATCTTCTCCCAGGCAGGGCGGTAGAACACAAACCCGGACCCTGGACACCATGCTGCGCCCATCTTGTCTCTGAGGGACTGCTCAGCCTCATGCTGGAGAATGAGATTCTCGTGAAGAGGGTCGTTGAGTGGGATGTTGTAAAAGTCTTGAGGAGAGGTGATCATGGCGAGTTCAGGATCAATGAGCATGTGTGGGACCAGAGCTCGAAGCCACATTTTGTCCGGGATCATGTCAGCATCGAGGATTCCGACATACTGAGCAGCGAACTGTCGCAGCTTCTCAGAAGCCAGGTGACGGATAGCTTGATTCACGTTGCCAGCTTTGAAACCGTGATGCTTGCCTGGGATTTTCGGACGACTGTAATAGTGGACACTTGGGTAGCGTTCCTGAAGCTGCTCGATCTGAGCCTTGAGCTCGGGGTCTGGACCATCATCACTTATCAGGACCCGTAGCTTATTTGCAGGCCAGTCCAAGGTGGCAGCAGCGCGGACGGTGTCCATCACAGTGTCGGTGTCTTCCTTGCAGGTCGTGATAATAACATCAACAGCTGGAACGTTATCACCATGGAGTCGGCGCCTGGGTCGTGACTCGTTCTTGCAGAGGAGTTGGCCTGTGAGCGAGACGAACAAGTCAGAGATAACTGAGACTGCAGATTGTTAGGTCATTTCTCGAGGTTGTCGCTTAGGGTATGGCACATACAGAACTCGATGACCTGCGCAGCAAAGAAGAGTCTTGGGACGACAAGCTTGGAACCATGACTCGCCTTGCACAGGTAGTACAGGTAGCTGACAACGCTGCTGAGCTGGATAGCAGCGATGAGAGGACCGAGCTTGCTGATGGCAGAAGGAGGTCTTGGGGCATAGCTTTGGATGTCGTATCCGTTGACCGGTCTGTTGGGGATCTTGCTGGAATCGCTAGCGGCGATACCGTTCAGAAGAGTCGCCATTGTGCGAAAATACTGGGTGTAATGAGTGTCGGCGAGGTTTCTTTATCTTTATCGAAGTGTGATTGTAGGTGTATCGACTGATGGCTTCGAGGGATTGTGAGTATGAGAGAGTGTGTGATGAGGAGAAGGACAGAGACAATGGACGAGATTTTCTAGTTGCGGAAGGAAGGCAATGGCAGTCAATGACGCCGACGGCAAGCGAGGCAGTGAATGAACGGACGTGGGGATCGTATAACAGTCGAGGTTTCGCTCTGTGCTGGTGCTTTCGATGAGTCTGGTGCCAGGCAAGGCTGAGCTTAATCTAGGTCCTCTGAGGTGATTGTCAGCCAATTCAGCACCTGCCATTGTTGTCCATATCCATAGTCAATGCCTGCGCTCCTCGTCAAGATTGCTGCGTCACCACGACGCATCAATATGTGGGACTCTTTCAATATCTATTCAGATGCCCCGTCTCTGCCACACTCCAGAGTCCTGATATCCGTCGTCCATGGATAGTTTGGTCTTTTAACCTCAGTCTCGGTCTCCAGTCACATCACAGCAGCCCAACCGCAAGCTTTACTCCAAGCTTGCTGGGGCTGCAAAGACATCAGTTATTTGCCTCTGAGCAAACAAGGCTCAACCGACAGCTGCTTTTGCACATTAGCAACCAGGAAAACCCTGAGAGCAATCGGTAAGAGGAATAGCAGATATGGAGTGGGAATTGCTGTAGTCTCCAGCCTCGAGCAAAGACTCCCGAGCAAGATTGTCTGTAGTCCACATACCATAGTCACACCGTACTGGAGCTTCCCACCTTACCAGATACCAAACCATAGCTTCCTCCTCTTCTGCTGTTGCTCCGGTCTGACCTCTTCAGCATGCTGTCCCGAATTCCATCCCGCAGTCCTCAGGTCTCTTTCCGACAGCATCTCCTCGTGCTTTGCAACCTTCCTCGCAGCCACCGCGGGATCCTCTTCTCTCGATAGTCCCAATTCCGCTTCTCTCCGCCGAATGAATATTTCGTCCTTCATATCAGTCACATCCTGTTGGAGCGCTTTCTGCCTGGTGACATCCTCCATAGCCTGCCTGCTCCTATCGTCTACCTTCATTGCCGAAATCATCTTGATTCTGTTCGCGCCAATGCCTCCCGCTTCTCTCTCCCGCTTCGTCAGGCCATCGTCCCATGGGACGATTCCGCGCACATCCACGCCTTGGTCTTCATCACGATCCAGGTCTTCCATGCCATGCGCCCGACGATAGATACGGCGTTTTTGCGCATCCAATATGTTGCGTGCGCGCTCGAATTCGACCTTCTCGGTGTTGTAGTCCTGGTCAAGCCGGAAGACGGAGGCGACGTCCTGGAAGAACTGGAGAGGCTCCTTGAAAAGCGACGAGAATGAGGGCATAAGGTGCCCAAACGGGGAGGTCTTGATGAAAGTCTGTATCCATGTCACGAGTGCTAGTAAAACCAAGACGCCCTGGTATGTTATGTTAGCGCAGCCTCTAAGCGGGACGCTGAAGATATACCATTGTGATCAGAACGTGCCATTGCTTTTTCGTAATTATTGAATGTGCGAGTGTGCCCTCATCGGGGAACATATGTGGATATCTCCTGTTCTTCTGCGCTATTCGCTCCGCAGCCGTAGAGGATTGATTGTAGGCGCCATTATAGGTAGAGCCTCTTCCACGCCCTTGAACTAATCTTGAAGGATGTGAGGGAGGTCGGAACTTGTCTGGCTGCTCGAGAATTATGGGCTTGGAAGAGTCGGCGGACGAGGCGTGACGGCGTGACGGGGTTCGAGAGCTCAGGAAGAATGGGAGTTCTCGTGGTCCAGCTGTTTGTAGTGCGCCTCTGTTAGAGTTGCTAAATGCTAAGAGAAGCTGCCGCGATGCGCGGAGGCGCTGGAAGCTACCCATGTCGGACTTTGTGCGTGCAGTAGCATGCCACGCTTTGCATACGCGCGAGGCACCGTTGCGGAGGTTGAATCGAAGGGCTTGGCATCTACGGAGCCGCGCCACGCATTGAGCTCTAGGGCAGCGCAACGCAATCCGAGACTGGTCTTCAATAATACACTCTTTCACGGGGAAGACGTACGGGCTTTGAAATATCGAGCTATCACAAATGAATCTCTGATTTCACTGTACATTATTTTGCTTGAGTACTTTATGCTCGGTGATCCAGGGCCATACTCCTTCCACTAAGGCATTATAATCTCATCTTGCGATATTTATCCATGTCCAATATGAGATCTATCTATACAGTCTCCAACAAATAAGAGTTCGTGCTTGAGAAAGCCGTCCGTCACTAGAGACCCGTTCTCTGCACCCAAAACTCCAACAGACATAACGAAACCCCAGTCTGAACGATTGCGGTAAGGGAAGAGGAGCACTTCCATTCTGTCCCTTGTACGACGCCAAATGCCAGTTCGCTAAACCAAGGTCGGGAAGACGCCAATTCGTAACACAGTATCGTCGAAATGCTGACCAGTTGCTGTTCGTACAGGATATCGGGCAGTGAAATGACCCGAGGGCCGATGTGTGTTGAAAACTTTTGATGTAACGATTGATCGGAGTCGGGCAGGATATCCATCATCAACGATAGGCACCGCCAGCAGCATATATGCTTGCTGCAGCTGCCGAACTCCACTCGTTTTCTTCGTAAGGCGGTGTCGGCCAGTGAGATGGTACATGCTCATGTTGTTTCCTTTGCTGAATATTGAGCGGCTGTGTCGGAGTAATACTCTGCGGATTAAATTCGACACCATCGCGCTTTGCTGACGGCGAAGGCGTCAGGTACGCTGCCTGAAGAGCTGGGTTACTCGAGAGGTGAGCCAGAGGGAGTCGGTTGTTCTCCGCAGGTTTGCCTTGATTCAGGCGGCGGGCGGCACGATTCGCGGAACGCAGGACCTCATCGAGTAGCTCATCCTCTTCTTCGGGAGTATCGTAGAAGTTCTTGGGAATTGATCGACGATTACGATTGTTCGACGATTTCGAGGCAGGTGCAGCTGTCACTGCAGACGCGGCATCTTGAGACTGGCGCGATTCTGAACGAGGCACGGAATGTGTCCTCTTGAGAGTTGACTGGTTGGACCGAGCCCCTTCAGTCGCCCCTTTGCCATCAGCCTGAGGGCGGTCTAAGCTGTAGCGCACGTTTTGGAGCAAGTTATCCAGATCCGAGAAATCATTCTGGTTCTCAGGAATGACACTGTCAACCATCATCGATGAGCGGTTTGACCAAGGTACAGCCGCGGCTTGGGCTTCAACATCATCGCCGCCTGGTGATGTCAGACCGTGTCTGCCTGAGAAGCGCCGGGCTCGTTTCCTGAGATGTGAGAAGAAGCTCTCTTTCTGATAAGGAGGTGAGACGAGTCCACTAGTGCTGGCATTCCCATTAAGAGCACGCTCGGCATCTTGCCTGTGTGCGTCCGCGTAGTGATTGCCATGAGAGTTGACTGATAGCTGACGACCAATCTTCCCTTTGCTAAGCGTCTTCTCATCCGGTTGCTGGGACTGAGGTTCAGGCTTAGGTGCCTGCTTCGGCAGAGGCTGCGGCGCTGAAGGTGCGTTTGCTTGAGTGCCTTGAGCGTTCACAGCGTTGGGGAGTGGCGAAATAGGTTTGATGGAAGGCAAGATCGGCATGGGAGCAGCGTTATTGGGTTGAGTGCCGTGAGTCCAAGTCGCGCGCTTATTAGCTTGTGGCCGGACTTTGCTAGGAGCTTCAACAGGTTCCACATGCTGCGGCACAACCGGGGCACTCTCACGAGCAACAAGTGATCTCCTGAACCACGACGGCTTCGAATGGAGTGGTGAGTCAGTTCCATCCTTGGATCTGAAACTCAAATCTGAATGCTTTCTGCCGAGAAGGCGCGACGATGACTTGGGCCTCAGTGGGTCGACAGCGTCGGCGAAGAATTCGTGTTCCATGGCCTGCTTTGATGTTGGCCTGTTTTTGGGATCCCACATCAGACACCAAGTAACGAAGTTGGACAGTCCCAGGGGCCAGTGTGGAGGCTGTAGTATAGATTCGATCGCATGTGGGGCCATCTGCTTCGGTCAGCCATGTCCGTAGAGAATTTGAAGGCGGTCTTACCTTGGGGAAAGAAAACCCCAGCTTCTGGGCTAATCTGGTCCCTTCTCTCCACTCACCTCCTCCGACGCGGATGCCGGACTTGGTATACCAGTTTCCGGGACTGCCCATAATTTCACATACTCTCCAAACCTGGTCAACTTCGTTGCCACCTGGGAACAAGGGCTTCAAGGTGGCGATCTCCACAGCCATAGCGCCAATAGCCCAAATGTCGACGGGTGCTGAGTACTCGCCAGCTCGTAATAAGACTTCAGGTGCTCTGTACCATCTGGTGGACACATAGGTGGTATAAGGAAGTTTTGAATGGGTTTCTCGAGCCAGGCCGAAATCGGCAATTTTGATGGAGTAGGTTGGCGGAGTTGAGGGTGGTGTTACGAGTGCCGAGTATCTGCTGAAGGTGGAGTGAGAGTCCGAAGGAGCTGAGGTCGAGACAAGTATATTTTCCGGTTTGATATCGCGGTGGAAGAAGTGGTGTGCGTGGATGTGGTCGAGACCAGACAGAATCTGGTAGAGGATACTCTTGACACTCCTGGGATCCATGACTTTGTGATCCCTTGCCTTCATCAACTGATACAGATTACCATCCATGTATTCCATGCAGATGTGAAGCTTTTTGCTATAGGGGTCGAGAAAGATATCCATGGCAGGTACTAGGTGGGCATGGTTTGGTAGTGTTCGAAGGAAGATGACCTCGCGGAGCTCTAGGCAGGGGGAGAAGGACTCGAAGGTCTTCTTCATAGTCTTGATGGCAACCTGGAAAAGAATTAGTGGAAGCGAACGCCGGCAATCGTTAACTTACCATCGTGTTCCTTCTCGCAATGTTCGAGCCGGCCGTACGTACCCTGGCGAGCTGTACACTGCCAAAACTGCCATCTCCGATTTCTTTCACCACCTCAAACCGGTCTTCTAGCGCGCTCAGGGTATGAGACTGTGCATGCGACCCCGGCCTGGAGCCGTAGTCGGACATGACAGTCATGTTGTGGTCGTGTTTGCGATGTAGTATGTATAGCTCCTTGCTGTTTGAATCACGATGGTTGTGTTGGTTGCAACAGGTAGTCTTGATCAATGCAACATCTTCGTGTACAGGAGATCAATGGCGTAAGTGAGCGGACAGGAAGACCCTTGAACGTTCTTGTCAAGAAGCTCGGACGTGGTCGTGCTTCTTGAGGGAAAGATGGGAGTGAGCGACGGTCAGGAGAAGAGCTTTGTCGATCTGATAGCTGGTACCCGTGGAGGGGATGGTAGGTAGTACTAGTTACGAGTACAAATTGGAACTCAGTGGGAAGGAGTCGAGCAGCTCGAGGTACTAGCAGTCTTGATGGGAGGTTAGCGGAAGGGCGATTGGCGTGGGCGGGTCCGCAGGGGTTTCGGAAAGTGGGTTGTGAGGAAGGACCGTTCCTCCCCCTTTCCTGGCAATTGTTTGGCGTTGGGAAAGCGCGGTATCGATAGCCCGAGGAGGGGGGAATAAAGGGAGATTCCCTGTGTTTAGCGAGAGTGTTGGAAGTAATCTGATGAGGCGAGATGTCGCGTCGTGTGCCGGAGCAAGGGGCTTATGCGAGGACAGGCAAGAGAGGCGTGATAGAGTTGGGAGGAAACACGCAGCGTAGTGCTGGAGAATTCTTCACGCGGGTCGGGGGCTTGACGGGAGTGGCCAGTATAACGAATGTGAAGGCGTCCACATAGTGGACAGAAACAACAACATTGAGCCTGTAAAGGGGCACCGAAGGTGACGGGATGAGGCAGAGGCGTGGACGACGTTCGCTCAATCACAGCGGATGGGCACTTTCGGCACACCACCTGGGACTGGCGTGTCTTGGAATTGCCAGAGACCTGGGCGGAGCGGCGTCAGGTCCATCAGGTACCATAGCCAGCCCCCTCCGGTAAGGTTGCCCTAGTGGCGGAAGGGCCAAATGCCCTGAAGCCCCGAAATGGCATGGCCCTGACTAGCCCACATATCCACCATCAGCCACCCATACAGCGCCCCTGCGCCGTCAGGCTAAAGCCGCTCCGGCCCTCGGGGAAGCGATCTGAGTTGGCTGCCTGGCGTAGCGTAGCAAAACCATCTTTTTTCGTTGGCACCGTGCCTTCGGTACCAAGTATCGATGCTTGTCGTGGTCAGCGAAACAGCTTCGCCATCGCTTCTCCATAGCACACACCGACTCGCTGCGCCGACACGGTGTGGTCACCGCCAAAAGTACCTATACACAACACTTGTGCATTCTGGCAGATGCTAGATCTTGTGCAGCTGGCGACAAGTGCTGCGATACCGCAATTATTCCCGCTCTCGAAGCTCCGCGTCCGAGGCAGTTGAGATCATCACTCCGTGTTAGAACCCGCACCTCCGTGATGGTCCTCGTTACCGCGAATCACAGCGCTGGATTCAAAGTTCTGGTAACAAACAAGTAGACTAGTGAGACGGCCCGTCCACACCATGGTTAATTGAATGGTCCCAATAATGGAGGTCAGCCATACAATAATCGCGCCGCACCTTACCCCCGACCAAAGGTCGCGTCAGGTGAGCTTCAACCCGCGCCATAAACATTTGCGCTGCTCGCGGTTTGTGCCCAAACACCCGGCGACCTGTTGCGATGCCACGTCGCATAGGGACGCCTGTTGCTGCAGGACGACAGCAAGCGATTTGCCATGACTCGGATCCTCGGCCCCCTTGCAAGGCCGTCCATGATTTCTCGTTTCTGGCCCACAATGACGGCACCTGCCGGAAACAGCCTTGATTTCCAACTTTCCACTTCTAGTCCGTGACTTGTCCCTGAGTCTTACCCTTTCCTGAGGTGGACTGTGGGCCACCAGTCGATCCATGATTTGGAGGCCGGCCAACGGCGGCGATCCAAATTTCCTAGACCTTCTCGATTGGCGTATCCTGGCCTAGCCCTTCAATTTGTGCCACGCCTGTGGTCCATCGTCTCCTCCCATAATTCGCCGATGTGTCCCTTCGTTCGGTGCGGTGGGTGGTCGGATTATTGAAGCTGTCACACCGCGAGCATGCTTCTGGAAGACTTCGATCATGGTGTCGCAGTTGCAGCGATGAGTGGGGGCTGGAACCTTTTGTTCTGGAAATCGCTTCGTGCCGAATCCGCAAATATGAGTGTCCTCAGGTATTCTCCTTGGTTTCATTGTGATGCTTTGCAACGAGACGCATGCCTGCAGCTGTTTGGCCAAAGAGCGCCGTAGGGGTAAGCCTCAGACAGAAGATTGGATGTAAGCTCCGCAAACCTGTCGATTCCGCGTGAAAAACGACTACATAGGTCACCAAGCTCATCAGCGCTATGACTTTCGACGAAGCTCTCGTCCAGCACGCTCGCTAATCACTATCGATCCATGTATGGCGGCAAATAGCAGCAGTTCGCAAGCGCCGTAAGGCGCTTTTGATTTGAGATTGTGATGGTCTGGGTCCAGCTCCAGATATGACCGTGCTTGGGGTAGGTTTGACACAATTCAAGGTGACTTGAGTAGTGTAGTATGCCCGAACTAGTATGTATCAGAAACTGCCCCAACAGCCGACCAGATGCGCCGAGAAGTCGTCAGAAATATTCCCCAAAGTACGCCGGGTCCTACACAGCAGTGAAACAACAGTATGTCTGTCTCCTTGTAGTGTTCGGGCGAGACTTATGACAGCACCATGTCCGAGTGAGTACCACAGCAAAGCTCAAGCTGATGCTTAGGCAGGCAATGCAGAAGCGACCGCGGAAGGCCATGATGGTGCTGCTGTAGCAGAGGCATCAACAGGAAGACTACCACAGCCTCGCCGCGCAGCCTTGATGCCAAGACACTCTATGCATCTCATCTGTACCCGCACCTTTCCCCCACCCAAACGTGAACATATCCCACGCGCAGAGGCAGTGACTAGTACTTGCCTGTGTGCAGGTATATGTTGTCCCCCAGGGCTACTTGAGTAATGAACTTAGCCTGTGTTTGAACCGTCCCTTCCCGTCACTTGCCCTTTAGTTCCTTCCCGCAATCGTTTGTGCTCGATTTGGACCGCAACGTTGGGATCAATGGTTCTGCCCATTTACAGTATCAACAAGCTTTCTGAATTATCAAGCAAGTCAGCAGCTATCAGCAAGAGAAGTTGAAGAAACCGACCACTTGATGGCTTTTTGAGCCAAATCCTGTCTTTCGTCTAGCATCCGACTCGCGACCCGTATACGTCTGCCATCACTGAACGGTATGTACTCCGACATACTTCACTTGAATCTCAATTGCGACTCACGGCGTCCGGTGTCATTTGGTCTTGGCAGGCTTCAGTCTACACGACCTGGTCACATCTTGCAACTTCTTCCAAGGCCACCACTGACACTCCCTGCTCTAGCCTCCAAATACTGGTCCGTCGCTTCGCCAACGCTTTTGTTCAGCTCATCTAACTGCTCAAATATCCATCATCATGGTCGGTGCCGAGTAAGTGGGCCTCCGAAATACAATATATTGATCTGACGAACCTGCCAGTGAGATTAGATGCAGCAACTGCATGAGATCCCGAGCTCGCATGACCTTCTCGAACAACCAGCTGAAAGACTACGATGAAAGACGTCGCCGTTCGGCGAGTTCGCGCAAACCAGGTCAAGTCGAAGGACCAAAGTGTCGCAATTGTACTGGCGAGCCAGCTTCCTCGCTCGAATGCTATGGCTGTCATCGTGAACTCCAAGTTGAGGCGTTCAGTAGAACTCAGCGTCGAAACAAGGACAAACGAGTAAACTCTAGCCACAGGGACAATTCTGAAGAAGCTAACGAATATAGTTGTGCCCCCACTGCAGCCAGGAGCGCCAGGACCGTGAAGCCAATGTCGCGGATGCGGTTCAAGAAGAAGAGATTCATGCCAAATTGATCAACGATGCTGTATGGTCTCCTTGCTATCACTCCAGTCCTTACTTAGCTAACTTAACAAGGGTGGCGAAGACTCTGCGTGGGGAACTTCCACCAGGCGGTCGAACCTGCCTTCAATGTCCAACAGTACACTACCATCAACTTTCAATTCTCGGGCTGAAGATGGAGTATGGATCCGAGACCGAAACTCATTGCGAGGCGGCAGTACTCTTCGACGAGGCGATGACGAAGACAGCTCTGAAACGTCCACGCAGCTTGTTGCTTCTAGCATTGGCACAAATCGCACCAATAGCACCTGGAACAATGCTGACTACCAACCAATAGAGCAGTTATATGGTCGAGGCACAAGCTCTTCTCAAACTACCAATGTTGGCTTCGCAAAGCAGGGTGCGGTCAAAAAGGATGCCAAAACTCGTGCTCAAGAACGTATCAATCGCGAGAAGCAGATGGAGCAGGAAAGGAAGCAAGCACAAGAGCTAGCTGACGAGTCAGGCGAAAGCGATGACGATGGCAGTGATGGCGAGTGGGAGTTGTAGCAGGCGAAGCTCAGTGCATGGTCAATAATGCGATGCCTGCGGATATGATAACCCAAAAGCAGAGGGATGCATCGAAGCAAGCCATGCAATATGTCTTTGAACAGGCTGCATATCATGATTATGAACATATACAGGATGGCCGGATGATTGCGAAGCCTTTAGGTGTCAAAAACCTCCAGCCAGCAAGGAATATTGGTGACCAACATCATCATTGTAACCACTTACTATTTGTCCCGGCTTCTTCATTGATGATTTTTGACGGGTGGATGGAATACATATATCCCTACTTACTATCCTGCAGGTAGAACGGCTCTACCAAACCACAGCATGGTGAGTGGCGTACCAAGGAGTCTCTATACTCTCTTCATTTGCGATGACGCAGCGAAGAGGCTTGACGCTTCATAACCGGTGACAGGGTACCATGTGCGAACTCGGTCACTGCAGCCGTGCCGGGAAAAGGAGGTAAAATGTAGCGCAGCTGCAGTACCACATCATCTGGACCGATTGACGAGCTGCCACCATCGTATTCGCCGATAGCAGCCCGCTTATGCGATTGTGGATCGGATGCAAAGACCTTGAACGTGGACGAGGCGAAACGGCCGTGGCACGCGTGGCATACAAGGATATGCAAAGGCTCCTAGCTGGTTCGAGGATACCGGCGAGCTCGCAGCCAACAGAGAGGAGCGCTCAATGAGACGCGGCACGGGTTGGATAGCGAGGACGAATAGAAATGGCCGTGGAAGGACTTCAAACCTGATTGAAACCTGTGAAGCCGGACGGTGGCTCAGCAAGCAGAGGGGCGGCCGAGGCGGCATTGACATCATCGACTTATTTAGCTGCTGTGGCTCTGAGCTTCGGATGGCAATCCCAGGTGTGCTCCAGTGAATTGCATGATCCCACTTTCCTGGCACCTGGCATGCAACCTGCACCTCATGCGGCCCGCATCCACCTGAAAGTGTGTCTGTCGCGAGGCCGCCGAGGAAGAAGGCTTTGCCGAGACGAACTCGCGAAACAGACTGAGAGGAGGACGAAGGGTCACAATTATGAATTGAATGATCCGTTTCCCAGTGCAACACAGACTATTGACGATCCGAGCCATTAGTAGTGACGCATCTGTCAGGTCCAGTAGGCGATCAGGCCACGGCCCCAAAAATCGCTCCATGGCCCAACGTTGGGCTGCTCGTCCGCCGGGCGCTGCCACCTCCCTTCCGCCACCCAATCGAACCCTTTGTCCGCCCACTGTTTAGACCACTGACTTCATCCTAAAGCTACTACCGGTGCATGCTCAGGCAGTGTTACAAGCATCCCTCCCCTTGGGTCCTGTTATTCTAGCCGCTGCACTAGAGTAACGCTCCCAGGCTCTTGCTTGTGCTGGGCGTTCTTTCCTGCGCACTCTTCTGCCCCCACAAACGTTGCTAGTCCTCACACAAGACGCATCATCTGCATAACCTCACCATCATTTGCTGCCTAATCCCGATATCAAATTCCATACTCAATTGATATGCGCTGAGAGACGACCAGATTACGCCACCAAGTTTCAACCGCTGTACAAGATCTCGTTCCGTCGGTAACCCGCATTTCAGGGCCCCGATAAGCCTGATTGCCAACCTAGGCACCAGCACCCCGCCAAATGGTCCTGAGGATATGCGCTGAAGACATCATCGACGTCGACCTGAAGGGACAGTACCCTCAAAATGGCGTATCAGGACCATTTCCCTCCCCCCGACCCGAAGCCTGACCCGCGATATCTACAACCTCACACCCAAACCTCGTTTTCCTCCGTCGGTAGCATGCCTGATCTCGATCAAGTGCGCTCTCGCGACAATCCACTTGCGCAAGATGGTTACACCTCGGATTCTAGCAGATACTCGAGGGCTCGACTGCCTATAAATGAGGCTGTCAACTCCGCTTTCACGAACTCGGCTGCCACTGCGAGCGCCATATCGCCGGAGATCCTCCAGCAGTTGACCTCACAAATCACCGCCAACGTTATCCAGCAACTGAAGGTCTCGAATCTATCAGTCCCCAACGCTTCACCCAACCTCAACCCTGAGACCAAATCTTCGACAGGTGGCTCACCCCCACTTGATCGAGCAGCCGTCTATACACCTCCTTCTCCGTTCATTTCTACCGAAACACAAAGGTCTCCGGGACATAGCGGCCTTGGTGTTGATATGCCCAACGGTGCCAGTCCGCCGCTTGCTGAGAGGCGGCTCTCTCCTCCCCTCAGCCAACATAGCCAGGCCGATGAGGAGCGAAATTTCCGCCCTAAGGGTCCGCAACGAATCTCAACTGGTGGCGATATGACCGTGGTGGAGAAGATATGGGGGAAGCTGGTTGACGACCTGGGGGCGCCCACCCCACGACTAGGCCAATTCCTCAGAGGCATCGCTATGCATCTGATTCAGGACTATGAACCCAAAGACAGTCTTGTTGTCACTCCTGCCAAAATGCAGCGATATTACGAAGAGACAAAGTTGGGCTCGGAATCGTACCCCTGGAAAGACATCTTCGATGACCGTACGTCCTCGATATCCCGCATGCTGCGAGAACTCGACGTGCAGCACCATCTTATCCAAGAGCGACCGAATGAGCGCCCAGATATACCCTGTCTAACACCGCAAGGATTCGAGACCTGGTGCACACTGCTTATCAAAGCGCATCCCGAGCAAGAACATCAAAGGCTGGCCAAAACTGCTTTGGAATTTCCAATCAGCAATCCGGACAACAAAAGCGAGCGTTTTCCAAAGGAGCTCTCCCGGCGCCTGTTTCCAAAACAGAGCGATAGCGCTGTCGAAGCGAAGCTCCGCAAATCCATCTCAGTGCATTGCAATGTCAATCTCTCGAGCAGACATAACAGCGTTGTTCAACCCGAGCAGAATGTCGACAATGAGCCACGCGCTTCCAATGCAGGTCTCAACTCTAACAATGGTGTTCCGCCTACCCCGCGCGACTTACACGCGTCGGCTGAAAATAATCCTCGGGGCCGCCCTCATTCATTCTCGAGCTCATCTGCCACAGGAGGTGCAGTTGTATCGGACGGTGATGACACCCCCACCCCACAACCGATTGAACGTGAGAGGAAGCCTTATGCTGCTCAGCCCGGTGGTGGTAAAGAATACAGTAATACGCAACCACCAGCATCAGCATCCGAGCTGAAACCACCAACGGCCGATGCTGCTAAACTCAAGCGATCGGCCTCGAACCGCGAATCTCGGCCACGGCCTGATGACAACATCAAACCTCGACCTCCGCCCATCTCGGTTCAACAGCAATCTGCCAACACAGCCACTAACTCGGCGCCTATTGAGATCCCAGAATCGCGACATCGGCATCGAAACAGTGTCTATTATAAAGACCCGCCATCGACCAATGGAGGTCCTCGCCGTGCCCGCTCACCGTCAGCGAGCAAGGATAGTAAGTTCTCTGCGCGTTACTCGGAACCGCAAGAGTCCTTCAATACGTTCCCGCCTGTTGGTAGCGCACCCGCTGATTTCGAGCGTGAACGAGACAAGCGTTATCGCGATTACGAGGTGCAGCGCGAGCGGTTGGCTGGTGACCGGTATGACGCTGCACGAATGTCTGCCTATGATCCACGAGACAGAGACAGGGAGCGCGGCGACGTGAGGCCTCGAGGTCAAAGCATAGCCAGTTATGGTCATGCCGAAGATGATTACTATCGCAGTTCTGGTGGATATCCACCGCCTGAGCGAGCGAGAGACAACGGTCCTGTGGGCGGAACATATGGTGTAAGCGCTGGCTCGTATACTGCTCCTCCCGGGCCGCACTATCCTCCGTCAAGTTACCGGGAGGGTCGCTAGTCGAATCTGAAGGATGGATGATGCGTTTGCACAGCGCCCGGCATCTGCGTATTGTGATTCGGAAAGATGTGTTATCATTTGAATGGTGAAATGATTTAGCTGAGCGACCGCGAAGAGGCTTTGATCCCGTGGGATGCTACGACATGTGCAGCGTTCGATAACAATTCCGCACCAGAAATATTTGAGAAGGAAACCCGGGACGGAGTTCAGATATCCATGTATTTATAGTGTTTTCTCGCTGGCCGATGGGCAGCTGGCTTTTTTATCTTGCGGAGTTGATGGAATGATGAAAATCTCAGCCTCCTATTGTTTCTAACAGTCCATGGCCTCTGCTTCGAGTATGAATTATTTCTTCCTTTTACGGTCGTGCTGAGCAGCTTGAGCATGTGGTACTGGTTGAGAAAGCCTCGTCTAGACGATCTCGGTGAACTTGATCTCGGTGGATATACATGTCACGCCAATATCTGGCAGAGGATCCGCATGCGAACATTCGCCTGAATACGCTTCACTCGTTACGCTCTGCGTTGCAATTGGCACATCACATATGGTCGGATTACATCAGCCAGATTCTCGTCTAGCCGAATGGAACAGTGGAAGCCCAAGTATGCTCTGTACCCAAGACCCGAAGGGAGAGTGTCCTAGTCTGCTGAGTTGCCTTCTTTAGGAATGCCAGCCAATCAGGTCCGCGAAGCCAAGATTTTACTGCCTGGTGCTACTGTAGAGGCTACAGTTTCAGGAGACTTGAGTTGAGCTGTTGGAATGAGATGTTTGCGTGAGATTGAAGAATACACGTCGCAGAAATATACCAAGGAGGACTGCTCTCAATCTCTACATCATCCGAGACCAACATGATTAGATGCGTGAGACGAATCTAGAGAGATGAGGATGTTGCTCATCTGATTAGCAAAGCCTCAACTTGGCTTCGAACCCGAGCTTGTGCCTCTTGGGGCGACTTCTTTTGACGTGTGGAGAGATGGACGCAGTTGTGAGTCAGGTAAGAAGTCACTGAGTCCACAAGCCTGCAAGTCAGCCAGCCGTGAAAGGGGCTTCACACGTTCGGTTCAGTGACTTCGTTCCGTAGCCCTGGATGTCTACCTCCACTAGTGAAATGTATAAAGAGGCTCATCTAACCGTGCACACTGTTCACTCCACCACAGCTGCTCAGCCTCCAGCCCGGCGAGCGTGGCACCGAGAAGTGCCACTTGCGACAACAACCCTAGGTCTCGACCGCTGGAATTGGTCTCGGCCTGGTGTGAGGTATCTGACAACTCCCCTAATGTAAAGGGGCGTGCTGACACCAAGAGAAATCACAGGTCGACAACAACTTGCTATCGGCAAGTCCTTCGCTGAAAATGGCTGCGTTGATGAGCACCATTAACGTGGCAGTCGTGCTGCCCTGGTTGATGATAATCTCCGCTGGTCTTGACGTACTCCTCTTCTTCATCGTCATCATCTCCGCTCACAGAATCGAATCCGCTGAGACAGAATGCCGAACCAAGTACAAGAACTTCGAGCTCGCTGCAGCGCTCCAACACGACGACATGCTGCAAACCTCACTCCGCATACTACAAACCTCCCTTGACGTGCTGCAAGCCTACCTCGAGCGCCTGCAACTAGACGTCATCATAGCGAAGGGCCAGAACGAGGCTCTGAGAAGAGAGCGAGGCGACCGCACAGAGGGATATGAGGCTCTGAGACACGATTTCGACCGTCTGCTGCGCGAGTGCAATCAAATCTCAGAGGAGCTTAAAGCCGAACTGAGCAAGGTCAGAGCAGAAGAGAGCAACAGTCGGTGGAGAGAACCCACCGTCATGCAGACTACAGCCGAAGTCTCTCAAAACACAGCTCCTGAGGCACAGAACGGTACGCGACCTCAAGCGGTGGGAACTGAGCGTCGCCTTGCAAGACAGAAGGCATGGCGAAAGAACCAAGCTCTTTGTAAGGCTCCCGATTGCTTCGATTGCCGGTTCCCTCAAGGCTACTGTGCTAGTCAGTAGTCGCGTCATGTATGTTGTCTAGCATCGAGCATATTGGCTGAGCTGGGTACGGATTGGCGAGAAGGCGCAGGTGCCACACATCGAGAGATGTTGTCATGTGCGACGGGGCACGAGAACAGAATTGCAGAAGACGACCACAAAAGGGAATGAAGATCCAAAGACAACGTTGAGTGAGCTGGAGCCGATGAAGAAGATGACATCGCGGTCTCACCCCAGACTCTGGGCATCGATCGATCTTTAAGCGACACTGTGTTTGCATGGGCACTAAACCTAATACATTCGAAGGATGCAACGGCTTCTGATCACCTCTCTGCTTCTTGGCCCTCTTCACTTCTTCAAAGACACTGCTGTAGCTCTGACCATCACTCTCGCTCAAGTTGCAAAGCTTCTGAAAAAAAAAAAGATGGGCTGAGTGTCGGCGAGATCTTGAGATCTTGAGATCTCATCATCGACCTGACTACGCCCAATAAGGACAACAGTGGTCACGTAACCCGGGCGGGCGAGCTCGCTTTGACTTCCCTTCAGCAGATTCTGCGTGCTCTGGCCAGCCGGTGATACCAGGCGCTGCGAAATGCCTGCACTCATGTTATGCCAAAGGTAAAAGCTTCTATCTCTGATCGTTCTTATCTCCACGGACTCTGGCTGTCCGCATATTGTAGCCGCACACTACTGATGCCAGATCCCCACACAACTCTCCGCAATGGCGTTCCGATAGCAGTGGCCCTACGATGGGAACCCGAGTCAACGAGTCAAGCGAAGAGCCTCCCGCAGCTGACTATGGCTCGAGCGGTAGCGAGTCGCCCTTCTCCCCGGCACAAGATCCTGAGAAAGCGATCGAGAAAGAGAGCGACGCGATACAGAATGGACAAGCTGCTCTCGAGCCTGGAATCCAACGTACCCGCACGCGCACTATGGGCAAATTAAGAATGAGAGGGACAGAAGATGACCTTCCCACGGATTGGTGGTTCGCGTCAACTGCAATTCCTCTCGTCGCAGCAACCTTCGCTCCCATGGCCAACCTCCTCTCGATTGCCGCTCTCGTCGTGCCATGGAGAAGCCACACCATTACGAACGACCCTCTCACCCGACAGAGCACCTCGGTTGGATACACTGACCCGCATTGGTGCTATGCCTTGAACATTGCAAGCCTTGTGTGTGGCTTCCTCGGTAACATATTCCTCCTCTTCAACTTTACACGTCGTATCCGGTATATCGTGGCTTTACCCGTTACTATCTTCCTCTTCTATGTCGCTTCCGGAATCCTGATTGCCATTACGGCGTCGATGAATATCTACGTCCCCCCGGAGAAGGGCGACATATATTCCCAGGGCTTTTGGCATGCCGTCATAGCAGCCAGCCTTTACGTGTTCAACTCAATGATATTGATGGTCAACATGGTGGGCTATTTCCTGGGCCACTATCCCCAGCACTTTACCTTGACCGACGAACAACGCAACCTAATCCTGCAGACAATGCTCTTCTTCTTCTGGCTTGGCGGCGGTGCCGGCGTTTTCGCAGCCGTCTGCGACTGGGACTATCCGGATGCACTATATTTCTGCAATGTGACAATTCTTACGATCGGATTCGGCGACTTTGTAGCTCCCAACGATGCAGGAAGAGGTCTCGTGTTCCCATATTCAGTTGGTGGCATCATCATTCTCGGTCTCATGGTCAGCTCCATCCACAAATTTGCTGGCGAGCTCAGCAAGGACAACGTAGTGCGGAAGCATGTCGAAAACCGTCGAGTCAACACGCTGAGCCGTGCCGTGACAGTAACCGAGAACGAAGGAGATGGCAATGTCGAGGCGCAACGAGATCATCTCGAGCACGAGATCGAGCAGCTTCATGGAGTCCCACCGAGCATATCGAGACCTTTCCAACCAGAACAGCAGCGACGATCGCCACTGGACACAGATACCAGGCAAGTGCAATTCCACGCAGCAATGCAGGATGAAGCAACACAGACCGAGGATGAGGAGCCACGGCCAAATCAGTTCTTGAAGTCCACGTTTCGTGCTGTCAAGAGAAACACTTTCCAGCTCGCCGTGCAGGCCATCAAGCCGAAGCAGAAGGCGCTGATCATGCGCGTGGAAAAGGATCGCTTTGTCGCCATGCGGAAGATTCAGCACGATGCCCGACAGTTCAAGAAGTGGTCAGCACTCACAGTCTCGGTCTTTGCTTTTGGTATACTCTGGTGCATAGGTGCGGTCGTTTTCTGGCAGGCCGAGCACGAGACCCAAAACCTGAGTTATTTCCAGGCGCTTTACTTTTGCTACGTCTCGCTACTGACTATCGGGTATGGAGACTTCAGTCCTAGAAGCAACGCTGGAAAGCCGTTTTTCGTGGTCTGGTCCCTGATTGCCATTCCCACTATGACGATACTCGTCTCTGGCATGGGCGATACGGTAATTGCAACCTTCAAGAGAGCCACGATCAAGTTGGGCGATTTTACTCTCCTGCCCAAAGCGGGAATCTGGCATAATGTGGTGCAATCCCAGCCGTGGCTGAGAAATTGGGTACAGAAGGTGGCGCTTAAGAGGAGAGTTCAAAAAGGGATGCCTGTGGGACCAGATCCTGATGCTGTCGATGATGTGCCAACGATAGAGCAACTGGCGTCACAAGAGCTGGATGAAGCGCAAATGACGCGTCGATTAACCTTTGCCATACGTCGTACCGCCGACGATCTGGTTCGGCATCCTGGCAAGCGCTACAGCTACGAAGAATGGGCCGACTTTACTCGACTGATCCGCTTCACGAAGATGAATTCGGAAGAGCTAGAGCGAGATGAAGATCAAGAAGGCGTTGTAGAATGGGACTGGCTGGATGAGAATAGCCCGATGCTCAGTGAACAGAGCGAGGCAGAGTGGGTGCTGGACCGGCTATGCGAAAGCCTTCTTCGCTGGCTCAAGAAGAATTGTATCGGCGGCGACAGTCTGTCTCCCACCGGTGGGTTCCACCTGTCGCAGGAGGAACGCATCTATGCCGGCCTGGGTCTGTCTCGTTCCGACACGATCACTCCCCAGCAGCCGACCACCACTGGACGCTCCACTGGTGCTGCGATGTTGGACTTCTTTACGGGAGAACGCAACGGCGAAAATGCCTACGCAAAGCAGGAAACGATATGGAGTGACAAAGCGCGGCATCGACGACAAAACGCACGACGCCGGTCCAGCGGCGGCGAGAGGAGAGGACCTTTCCAGAAGCTCCACCTCCACACTCGCGCCAGCCCCCAACCGCGGCTGGAAGGCAGTCGTGGAGGTGCCGGCGATCCCACTCTGAAGGCCAGAGCCCCGGGGATTGGACAGACATAGCAGCAGATGCTGCTTGTGTTGGATAACGCATATTCTGTACCACTATCTCAGGCATAGCAGGCGTGACGAGAGGGCAGTGTTTACTCTATCTGTATATTAATTCGTCGCAGCATTGTTTTTACGCCTTTCCATACCATTCGAAGCGGTGCAAGGCATGCCTCTTTGCTGCTGAGTAATTCAGCAAGCTACTTTCTGACACCCTCATATTCTGATGCCCCCCACAGCCAAAACCATTCTGCTGTGTTGCCCTTAGTCAGCCACTACAATATTATACCGCCCAACACGCTGTTCACCGAATTATAGGCATAGCGCAAGCAAGGGGGTGTGGTACGGGTGGCAATGGCGCAGGCCTGACGAGTGTAGAAGTACTGTAATGCGGAAGAGGATGGTGCCCAGGCTCAATAACGCAGCCGCAATAATTGATTACCAGAATTACCAGACCGCTTAGGGGGCTTGGAGGGTTCCTTTCTCCGAATCAAAACGTCTGGATTTACGATTATTTGGGTCTCGGCTCTGAACGTCTATCACATCTCTCCCAAGGTACCCAAGCATGGATACACCACCAAAACCTAGTATATACACTACCTCGGTCAATCTAGACCCTCCTGGCACTCGCTGTCCTCGGATACCAAAGTCTGTGGACACCGGCAGCCCCACCATTGTTTCTCATGGCATTCATAGGTATGTAAGCCGTGCATCACTATTACCAGTCTCACTGGCACATTCGCATCCGCTTAATAAACGATATCCTACCTCGCGTCTTGGCGTACCCATCGCCTCCATGCACCACGACCTACTAGCTCTACTTTGTATCTGACCTGACTCGATCCAATGAGGAATGTCGAGGCTCCTAGCGCGCAGGTAGGATTACAGGTAACAGGTGTCGCAGATCGGACCGCCAAGCTGGACGAAATGCTACCTCGGTCTCGGGGACTATACAAGTAAATGCATAGCTCAGGACCTCGCAAGCCATGACCTGCATTGCCGGCTCGAAACCATACTAGGTGGGAAAAGATCCCATATAAACTCACTCACTTCCTTCAGCTCACTCATCGCTTCCTGTATCTACTTGACAGCCCAGTTGAGATAGCCGTCTTGAAGCCTTGTTGACCGAAGTCATAACATCGTTTGATCTATTCCTCTGCAATACAATGGCTTCGAAATTCGAGGAGGCGCTCACCAAGGCCATCGAGGATGGCACTGCGGCAGGAGCAGCTGCTATCGCCGTTGACAAAACAGGTTCGGCCCTGTCCTGCTCCAGTACCGTTGATGACCCCCTATACTGATGGCGGCTTGCAGGCAAGACTATCTACAGCAAGGCTTTCGGACATCGCGACATCGAGAGGAAATCCAATGACTTCGACATCGACACGACCAGCTGGATGGCCAGTATGACCAAGGCATGTCAACCTCCTTCACAACCACCGCGACATCTCTCTTCCATCAATTGAACCATCCATGTTGCCGCTAACTATGGACCTCAGCTCCTAACAACAATCTGCATCCTCCAATGCGTCGAGCGCGGCGCCTTCGCCCTCGACGATCCGGTCTCTAAGACACTCAAGGAGTTCGAAACCTGCACCATCATCACCGGCATGGACGGCGACAAGCCCATCATTGAGCCCTCGCCTCGCTGCCCCACGCTGCGTGAGCTCCTCACGCACTCTTCGGGCTGTACGTATACCGCAATGCACCCCATCTTGTCCGAGTACTGGACCAAGCACCTCGGACGGGAACCGGACGTCGTCAACAACAACGTCATATACCAGCACTCAAACCCACTGGTCTTCGCGCCTGGCACCGCTTGGGCCTACGGTTGTGGCGTTGACTGGGCGGGCGTCATGGTGGAACGTGTCTCCGGCCAGAGACTTGAGGCCTACATGAAGGAGCACATCTTCGACCCGGTAAGCCCACACGTCTTGGACGACCCTCCTACTTCTTTCGATGGCAAGCAAGCAAGCAAGCAAGCCAGCCCGCCAATCCCGTTGTATAGTCACAAATCCACACACTGACCTCCCAACTCTCATCACAGCTCTCCATGCCCCTCTCAACCTTCCACCCAACACGCAACCCAGACTTCATGGCCAAGCTCGCCATCCGTCCCATGCGCCACCCCGAAACCGGCAAGCTCGTCCCCGACACGACAGGCACCTACCCGTAAGTCCTCCACAAGAACCGCATCCGAGTTCAAGCTGCTGCTCTCGCCGGATCCATCCGAGCCAACACCTCCCCACCTCACACCCAAGTCCCCGTTACAACTCTCCACTAATCCCGTCCCCCAAACCCCATAGCATAATCGACCCAGACGACGACCTCGGCGGCGCCGGCCTCTACTCCTCCGCCCCCCAATACATCAAGGTCCTCGCCTCCCTCCTCGCTAACGACGGCCGTCTCCTCACCCCTAACTCCCGCGCCGAGCTCCTGCGTCCCTGCCTCAGTCCCGAGGCCGAAGCCGTGCTGAACATGGCGCTGTCGGGCCCGTTTGCGCCGTTCCTGGCCCCTGGATACAGCGTTGCGGGCGAGAAGGCCGGGAAGGGCGGGGAGGAGGTCCATTATAGCTATGCGATTGGTGGGGGAGTGGTTGTGAATGAAGGGGGGATTGGTGGGTTGGCGGATCCGGGGTTGGTGTATTGGTCGGGACTGCCGAATTGTAATTGGGTGAGTGCCGTTGTGTTCCTTCCCTTTCCTTTCACGTTTTGGTTTTTTCTGGAGTGTGTTATAGGCTGTGGGGATTGGGTTCGTGCTGACAAAGGTGGAATAATAGTTCATCGATGTGGAGAGGGGTGTGGCGGGCGTGTATATTGCGCATCTGATGCCGGCTGGTGACAAGCCGACGCAAGATCTGTATAGGGCGTGGCATGAGGCAGTGTATAAGATGGTTGGACAGTGAAGAAAAGGGATGTGTAGGAAATTCATCTCAACTCTGCGAGACGAGCTGTGAAGTGTGTAGTTGGAAGATGATTCAGAGTCAAATGATAGAATTTCCTACTTCTCGTTTCAGGTAACATCGCAGATTCTTCTACCATAGCCCAGCTAAGATGTTGTCAACAGCGACCCGTGGCTGGTCCCGGAGCAATATCAACGCATAATCCACCGTGGAAATGTTCCACAGACATGGCTGGGCAGCATGCACTTACAACGTGGTATCTCTGTATAGCGTATGTGGACTATGCCTAACAAGGATACCGCGGTCTGTTAAGCCGACACAATTCTCAGTGCTCCAATGGCTATCGCTTTGCGAGGACGAGTTTGGGAGCCGTCGACGGCCCGACGAGAGATAGTCTTGTAGGGCAGGGGAACGAACAACAAGGTCTTCATGACCAGGCAGAAGCAGATCTTGTGGAGCACGAGATGTAATGACCTTCGTGTGATCGCCTTGTTCCTGACTGCCGGGCGGTAAGGCTAAGCTGAAATTGCGAGGATGAAGCGATGGCCGTGATGTGGACTTGTAATGTTCTCTAGGTGTTGACGGTACTCTGGAAACTTGTGAGACACGCTCATTGAACGGAAGGTGGCCCCAGAGTCTTGGTTGTAAAAGAGGCTGAAGCGCCTTGCGTCGTGCCGGTATTGCAGGCAGTTGGTTGTTAGCAGATGTGAACGACAATCTGTCGGTCACATCAGGGGCAACACTTTGCCTCGTTGTCGAAGAGGGCAACGAGATGTAGCTTCGTGCACTCTTTGCGGCGTTGCCATACGTTGAGATTGGTTCAAGTCGATCCTCGAGCACGGCTTCCATGGGACTGAAGCGCGACAGAAAGTCCGTCTCTGACTGAGCGGGAGTAGAAACGTGTGCAACTTGTGAGAAGAACGCAGTATTGACGTTGGTGGGTACGGACGTGACGGAGCTCGTGCTGCGTCTCGAGCGAGGTCGCGATGGATTGGGACTTCGTCTCCATGTAAAGACTGGATGTTCCTCGCTGGTCCAGCTCTCGATAGTAGACAGCTTTTTCGACGCTGGAGAGACTACAGGGGAGAAGCTGAAACCATCTTGCATACGCTGGAAATCGTGTGGAAATACATACTTCATCCAGGCCTCGTTTTCGTCACTAAGGCTTTTTGGGCTTTTTGAGCCTTTTAGGGGGGCAGGAGACACCTGGAGCGCTGCTGCTGATCTCTGCTGATGCCTGGTTTGCCTTAGGGGAGTCGCCCCTATTGTCACCATTGCCGATCGTGACGAGGATAAGCCAAGTGGTGGTTCGAACTGGCTACCACCGCTGGATATAGCAACTGGCTCAAATATTCGTCGCCTCTTTGCTGGAGGCTCGTTCATCTCGAAGGGAAGATTGCCAGCGGAACCGCCTTTCCCCTGGAGAGAGACGTTCGAGTAGTCGCTAGACGGGTAAGGAGATTGGTGTGAATTAGCCTTGTCCGACCGTGGGTGATTCGGGCTGGGAAGGAACTGCTTCTCGAGGAGTACTTGATCGTCGATAGTGAAGCGCGGCGGAGTCTGACGCGGTATGTGATTATTACTTCCCGGATACTGGTGCGACGACTTTAAGCCTTCCTCTTCACTCACGTTGCTGCGGGCTTCGGAGGCCATGAGCAGTGGCGGTTCCTCAGCTTGCCTGTCTCGAAGATTCGTTCTGCTAAAGGTATGCACATCTGTATAGGACTTGTCATGGTGACCGTTCGTAGCCGGCTCCTTCCGATCACGCTGCAACGTGTCATTAAACGCAGGCACGGTGGTACAATCTTGCCTTGTCTGCTGCTCCGGTCTCGAGGGTGCATCCGGTCCGAGGTCATCGTCCATACGCACTGCGGAGGTGCTGGCGGCGCCGTCTTTTATCACAAAGGGATTAGATGAGGTGGAAATCTGTCTGACCATGGAAGACGAACGGTCTTTTACTTCGTCGAAGCTCTTCAGATCCAGGGCTTGATTGAGAGGAACCAATACATTTTGAGTATCGCCGTGTGGTTCATAGTTTCGGTGCAGTATATGGGCTTGACCAGCGGATGGTAGTTTAGGGCTCGCCGAAAAACGCTGATCGAGGACCATCGGATCAGATGGGAAGGCAGCCTCGGAAGACAGTGGTCTATACACACTGCACTGCCCAGTCGTTTGAGTTTGGTGGATGTTAGAGCCGAGTCTGATGCTGCAGTCCTGGTCTCGTAGACCCGAGTCATAGGAGGGGCTTTTGCCCAAGGCAAGGGCTTGTACTTTCTTTTCATGTCGAACTGGCCGGCAATCTATGGCTCGATTGCGGTGAGAGTTTGTCTTTGATACTCGCCTCCTCCCAATAATGTTTTGCATATCCGACGCCGACTGGAAGGTCATCTGAAGCGGTCGAGCCGTCGATAGGCCTGTCCAGTCTGTAGTATTGAGTAGCCGGCGCTTGACACGGTCTAGAGGGTCTGAAGATGGTGCAACTGGATTACCTCTGCCTTTCTGGGAGGTCGAATGAGCCACGAGCCTGCTCGGCTTATCTTCCCTTTCGTCAGAGAGGTGATGGGAGTGGGGTACGTCGAGGCGAGGGGACGGTAAAGGTTCATTCGAGACTGTGTTCTGGTAATGAGCGAGAGAAGGAGGTGATAACCGGACGGTTCCCGACGAAGGACGTTGGCGAGCCCTTGCAAAGTACCGCTTCTGGGCTTTCTTTTGTGCGTCAGGCCTAGCCTTCGCATGGCGTTGAAGTTTCCCACCATTCCAATTCATCCTCGAGTTGGGCCAAGTTCAGAGCACCACACCGGTCATATGCAGACAGGCTGCGGAAGGTAGCATGATGGCATGGTCGGCAGTGTAACGATAAGGCAACGATGGATTCAATTTGCGCCGGTCAAAGGCGTTGAGCTTGAGAACACGACTTACTTGACTGGGTTCTGTGGTTGGCAGCTGCACGTGTCCTAGAGAAGAGGAAGGTCCAAAACCGCTGTGTAACCCGGCAGACAGGCATAGCCTGCCGCCCTGCTTCGAACGAGACCTCCTACTACATTTGCTAAGATGTGCGCCATTGAGATGCACTGGCTGAGAGATGTTGCAAATGCACCTAGCTCACCGACAGTCTTGTCATGTCGGATTGCCCATCGGTCGGGGTCGAAGGCTCGCGGCCACTGCCAACAGTCCTATCGGCGGTCTCCCACATGCCCGGTGAGCGAGCGACACCACTATCAAGGTAAATGTCGGCCTCGATACTCTCTAATGCAATGTTCAGCAAACATAGCAACGCCCGAATCTGACTGTGAGTTGGAATGAACAGGCGCCAAGACTCGGCATGGCATACCTACCGGAGTCTGTTGCCAAAATAAAATTTGAGCCCATCAAATCATCGAGCTTCACCTTTCTACAGCACACCTTGCACCTTGCACCTTGCAAACAAAATAGGCGTCGATTCGCCCTGAATCGTATCATCTACCTCTCTTGTCGGTGCTGAGTACGATGCATAGTAAGTCAGCCTCGGATACGCCCTGTTTTTATCCTCTTCGCCCTGCTTCATGATGAACAACCCATTCCAAGCATAGTTCACCTGAGACTCAGCGTCCTTGAACGACAACAATACCCATCATCAACCTATCTGATAAGCAGCGAACGAGACCTTGCATACACCCCTCAGTCCACTGTCCACGCTTTCGATCGAGCCTGCAACGCTGACTTGGTCTTTACAGAAAACTGTGGCTAGTCCCCTGATTGGCCGGACGAGCTTGGATGATGCCCAACTCGTTTACATCTCTCTTCCCAAACAGGGACCACCCTGTCTCCCTCCAGATCAATCCTGTCCTCAGCCAAAGCTCTGACTGCAATTGTACTCTGTTCAAAGGACCGACGCTTGCTGATCAGCCCTTCTTGAGTAGTGATCAGTAGCGGAAGAATTGCAGTGTTGCTGCAACCGAGCTGTGGCCGGTCCTTCGGATCGCTACGAGAATAGTCTCGGATAGCCCCAATGCTTCACTTACCGCTGACCACCAGGCAGAAGCGGCAAAGAGTCACCAAAGGCCAGCTGGCATCGTGATCGAGTGGTTGCTATCCGTCCCGTGAGCACCACAAGGCAAACCTCGACCACGCCTTCGAGCGCTCACAGTCGGCCACGTCAACTCTGCAGCACCAAACACCCCACGAGTCAGCGTAACTTGATGCAGTCGCACACGTTTCGTCACTGGCTCGTCACGCCGATAGACGAATTGCAGCGCCCCTGCTGATCACCCGGGCTGGTCAGCATCTCACCATTCGGCCTTTGGTCGCGGGCGGAGACCCCTTAGCGGCATGAAGCTAGTTGGCGACTGGCCTTCCGGGGGCCACATCCTGCATCTCGGCGGGTCACCATGCCCAGAAGCTGCTTCCAACTTTCCCACTCTCCCTCACCGCTCACCCGACACCTGCCCCGTCCCCTCGCTCCTTTAAATTCTTCTTCCCCTTAAGCCTGATAGGTTTTTACTCTCTTCCTCTTGTAGTTCGCCTTTACTGACTTTGACGACACCCTCACCTCCATCATATCTGCTTATGACTCTGTGAACAACTCGCCAAATCTTCCACCGGAACAATCAACATTCAGGCCATACAATTCCAGCCCAAGGATTTGAATCCCAGGATTGCCCAGGACATTCCACAGGATTTTATTGCTATTATCACTCCCAAGGATAATCAACCCCAAGGATTGCTTTTGCTTCAGCAACAACCTCAACCTCAACAATCTAACAGGTATATTAATTTTTCTGCTCTTCCCTCTCCCCACTCCTCATTGCTCCCTCCAACTCGATATCCGACTTTCGGCCACAAATTGGATCGCCTATCCGGATGGACAGCCTGGCTTTGTGCCTCAGCTCTTCTGAGCCCGTATCGACGGCTTCGGCCTCGGTCGTTCTATCATAATGATGTGTGCTTCGGCACTTCCTCGACACCAAAATTTATTCCCCGAAGGATTCCATATGGAGATGCCGTGGACATGCCCTTGGAATGGATGCCGTGGATTCGCTGAATTAGCCTGGATTTCTTGAAAGTCGCTGCCTGAGTAGCTCAACGAGCCGACATTATCGCCACCAACACCACCTCTGAAATATCAAGCAGTCGATGTTCTCTGAAGAGTGTTGCCGGGATCTACAGGTACATGGACGTCGCACCATCGTCTGGAATCAACGCCCGGGCTTTTCAATTTCCACCACCACACCCAGAGACGCCAATCTATTCTCTCGACTTGACTGGAGTGCTATTCTGCATAGACTTAGGACTAGGATCATCGTCTGTGGATATTTTCCCTGTGACTGCACCAGCGAGTGTTGAACCCATCCCGGCTGGATATACACTCCATTTCGCTCATGTTTGTCTTTGAACAACCTCTACCCGTCCCGGATTCGACTCGCTTGTACATCTTTCCCGACGAACACTGGCCGCCTTGATACCCCAGTAACCGCTCCTCCGGCCCGGCAAGGACTTGGCCCAGATGACTGGCCGACTGCTCCCTGATTGTGGACGACATGAATACGAATACTATCTCGCCGGTCTTGCACATGCCCTTTCAACCATTTATGCCACTTCATGCTTCATGCTCACGTACTAACTTATCGTGTCACTTCGCAGACCTTTAATCTCTGGTCTGGATCACACACATAATGATGTCTCAAAGACAAAGAAGCTCGCCCGTATCAGGCCCTTCTTCCACATTCAGGAGCTCTATTCCCCGGACAGCGGACATGCCATTGGACTTTGATGCTTCATACTCATCCCAAATCACTCAACCAGGGATGCAGCACTTTTCTTTGAGTTCTTCTCAGCCTCGCCCACAATTTTTCTCGGACTACCTAGCTGGTGATCACGACTATTCCTTCGGCTTCGACGATTCCATGGCAATGCCCGTCTCTGGTGCCTTGATGGTCAACACCTCAGCCACAGTAGGCAACCCCTCTCCGCCTGAATCCCTATACGACATCACCGAAGGGTCCATCCGCGGATCTTATGGCAGGCCCAGTCCCGTATACAGCGGCGCCGAGTTGTCCGCTGGGGGCGTGTACCCCACTGAATCTGACTACGCCTTCAACAATTTCGACACAAGCTCTCTGGACTGGTCTACAAACCCACCACTGTCACCACCCCCGGAGCCATTTGTCAAGGATATGTTTGAAGTTCCGGACGAGGCTTATAGATCATCGGGAGAAACCGTCTGCGAATATGTTGGCGTTTCCAAGATCCAAGCGTACAGGTTAGGACCACATTTCAGAACGAGGGACCCAGATACTAACCCAGTCAGCAAGTCTGGCCGCTCCCAACCCAGGCCTATTCGACCCTCCAATGAACGCACCAGTTCCCAGGACAGTACCGAGGACGCATCCAGTCCAGGATCCAAGGACGATGGCGACAAAGTCAAGGCCCGTAGCGACCCCCTGTACGACATGAAGCCCGACAAGGACGGGCTCTACCACTGCCCCAAGAAGAACGAATTGAACTGCACCCACAAACCCACCAAGCAAAAGTGCATCTTTGCGTAGGTAATAGACTCCCCTTCCCCAAGCACTAGCTAACCACTCTCCCCTACAATAGCAAATATTTGGATTCACATCTCAGGCCCTACACTTGCCGGTTCGCTAGCTCCAAGCAGGACTGCGAGGATCTCCGCTTCTCATCCAATGCCTGCTTGTTCCGACACGAGCGTGAGGCGCACGGCATGCACAACCATGGGCACAACCCTTACCTATGCAACTTCGCGGACTGTGACCGAGCCAAGCCTGGCAATGGATTCCCAAGGAGATGGAACCAGCGTGATCATATGAAACGTGTACACGGCTTTGACGACAATCAGTCCGCTGCCGATCGCCGACGGCGCAACGGACCCTCCTCGGTGCCCATGAGGCGATCTGGCTCCGGTGGCCGGCCACGTGGGCCTCAGCCGTACTCGAAGGAAGGTCGCCCTGCTGTGACACCTCGCCATGCCCAGATGCTGTATGCTCCTGTGCCGGACTACGCTTTGCCCGTGACCAACGCTGCTCTGGATCAGTTCCAGTATGCACCCAGTCCTCATACTCTGTACTACCACCCGGTGTACTGAACGTTGAGACCTAACATGATGTTTTGAACTCGCCATGGCCATTGCCTGGACTACAGACCAGCCTCTCTGCCGGGTACAGAGACTTTACACGGGCGATCACCCCGCTTTCAAAGTGGACGCAGTCACTTTGTCCTGGACTTTTCCTTTCAAGGCACACCTTCGATCAGAAGAACACCTTGCCCTATGGATCCTGCAAGTCTTGCACAACCCAGTTCAAGGATTATGCCACTCAAGGAACATTCCACAAGGATAACCTGTTCACTGGATTACCCAAGCCGGGGATCAGGAGGCTCAGCTCCAAGCTGAAGAGGAAGACCAGCTCCATGCTGGAGAGGACGAACAGCTCCAAGCTGTAGGAGGAATTCCAGCGTCGGGGCAGATATGGATTGATCAGAGTCAATGTTGTCTCCATAGCATGTATCGGAAGGGATTAGCAGCATGAGAAGGATTCAATGTACTGAGGTGTGTATCGACCAAACTTGTATCATGGAGGAGAAGTATACAAGTCTCGTCCCCGCGGACCATTTTGGAAGTCCTAGCTCGATGGCAGGACAGATGTACCCTGGACTCAAAAGCAACCTGGCCGGCTGTCTCAACTACACTGGATTATTTAGCTAGTTGCTACTGACATTGTGCAAATATCCGTAAAGAACTTGAACCTGTGATTTGGTTCTCGAGGCAGATGTTGCGTCCCGGTACTGAGACACATGTGTGTATCGAGTGTGACAAAGATCTGGAGATATCAAGCGGGAGTTCGTAGATGACGAAAAGCCGTGTGACTCGAAACCATCTCGCTGATACTTGACAGGCCTTCGGAGGTAACCTGAAAGGCCGCGCAACCTGTACTAATAGGCCGTGCAGTCGTGTAGATGCCCCACACCCCACCTATACTTTTTTTTCTGTGCATAGTGAACAATTTCTATTCCCCGGGTTTGACTACACGCTGCTTCAACGTCTTCAATCGATGCCGGTAAGTCTACCTAGACGTCTCGGGCGACCTCACTGACTGACGACCAGAGCTTATCATCATCACCGGCCTTCCAAGCTCTGGCAAGACATATCGTGCACAGCAGATAGCGAATTACGTCTCCCAGCGTATCCACGATGATGCGGCGTCGAAGCGCACCGTCCAAGTCGTAGACTCCCATCATGCCCGGAATGACACATCTTGTGACCCTTCCAACGTCGAAGCCAACCGCCGCCGGGACGAAGTTTTCAACTCTGCCGCTCGAGAAAAGACAGCACGCGCTGAAGAGTTCTCTGCTATTAAACGCGGAGTGTCGCGAGACACAGTTGTGATCGCGGATTGCCCAAACTACATCAAGGGCTACCGGTATCAGCTATGGTGCGAAGCCAAGGCGGCGGGTACGCGCTGTTGTGTTGTACACGTTGCAGCGCAAGAAGATGAGTGCCGGCAGTGGAACGAGGCCCGGTTGCGCTCTTGGGGCAGAGGAGACGAGATTGGGCAGGAGTCTCATACCGAGAAAGGAGACATGACGCAGCACGGCAAAGATGTGATGGGAAATCTACAGCCTGAAGGCCACACGGCCGTTTATGGCGATCGTGTTCTACACCAGATACCGCACAGCCGCAGCTCCTCCACGGACGGGGCCAGCAACGACCATGACCGTCCGCAGCTGCAAGACGATACCATGACCCTCAAGTCCCTCTATATAACATCGCCAAAAGCCCCTCTCAACGCCCCCTCGAACGCTGCCGCCATTCCGCCGTCGAATACTACTACAGTCGTCGCCTCCGACACGAAGGCTTATCTCCCATCAATACCGATCCCTCGACCAGAAGCCACGCCGCCCTATTCTCCCCCCACCCACCTCTCCCTGAGCATGCGCTACGAGCCGCCCTCCCCCTTCTCCCGCTGGGATACCCCCCTCTTCACCGTTCCCACATCGGACACGCACCCCCCCTACCCCGCCATCTGGGACGCCGTCTTCCCCCCTCCCTCCAAACCCACCTCGAGGAAAGCCCTGTCCCAACTCAGCGCTTCTTCCCGCGATGTTGTGAGCAGCACCAATAACAGCACCGGAACTGGCATCGATCCCTCCTCCTTCTCCTCCTCAACCACCAAGCAAGACCACAACAGCGCAGCCGCCGACGACGACACCGTGAAACCCCACGCCGCAACTATCCTCCCACAAGCCACCGCCGCCTCCGCGCTGCAGACCCTCGAAGCCACCACGCTCCAGGTCGTGCGCGCGCTGCTGGCCGCGGCGCGGACGCAGGGTGCCGCGGACGGAGACGGCGGCTCCGTCACCTTCTCCGTCGAGTTTGGGCCGCCAGCGCCAGCGTCAACGTCCCCTGCTCAGGTCTCCCTTTCCACTGTTTCTGCCTCTGAAGAGATGTCAGTCACAATCCCGCCGGGCACGGTGCTGAGCCAGCCGCTCCTGCAGCGGCTGCGGCGGAAGTACACGCAGCTGCAGCGGGGGCGGATCGCGCACGGGCAGGGGTATGTGGGGCAGAGGGGCGGGAGGGCGGAGGTGGTAGATGGGTTTGTGCGGTTTTTGGGTGCAGAGTTTGTAGATGGTGAGGAATGAGTACTCGGGTGAATAGGCGGATGCAGGGATGGATGGATGGATGATGGGGGAACTGTGCATTGGGGAACGGGGGCTAGGGCTGAGGCACTAGTTTGGAAGGTTGAGGATAATGCAGGGAGGAGCTGGCGAAGCTGGCGACAAGACGGCGGCAGAGCCAGAGGAAACCGCACGGGGGGCTCGTGCCTGGTCATACGGCTTGCTGGTAATTGAGAGCGGAGGGAAGTACGAGAAGTTGAATGACCAGACGGGTCTGGTCAACCTGTCTGCATTGTATTCAATCATCTGCTCGTCTACGAACCCGAATGCTATGCTGTCTGCTCAAGTTTCCATGAACTCCTCTCCACACTGGTCTTGACTATAAAAATCAACGCTCTTCAAGCAGAGTCAGGCTCTCGCCATGCAATCTCTAGAGATCTAGCCAATCTCAAAGTGCCTGTAATGCCATCTCCCTTCGTTTGTGCTGCTGTAAACCCAAAATATTAAATATGCCATCAGCGTCGCAAGCATTGATCCAGAGTTGCCACCCTCCCTCCGGTCTTTGTTCGCCGGACGAATGGCCACCAAAACGCCGTTATTGATCAGAGCTGTGGGTGAGTGGATATCGAAAATTCAAAGAATCATCGCTGTCATCAGAATAGGTGTGCGTGTGTGAGTGAGGAATAGCCAGAGAACAGCCGCCGAAATAATCGGCATATTTTCTGGTGCTGTGCCGTCGAAAGATGCCTTTCTGCGATGAAGGCGAGCAACATCATGTCTTCGTCACTGGTTTCTAGGCCATAGCTGCCACCTGCCTGCCTAGCAGGCCGAGAAGGCGAGTGTTGAAGTTGCTGGAGGGCCGTGGGGCAGAAAATAAGGTTTGAGGGCCTCTGGGGTAGCACATGTTAGGCTCCAGTGGACGCCTAGACATCCTCGGCATGTCGCCAAAGGTTGCCTACCGATGTCGCTGATAGTGCGTGCACTGTGGCAAAAGGAAGAGTTGATTGCGAAAATACTCGTTGCCGGTCACAGAGAGACATCGCCCATGTCACGCATCAGACAGGCAATTTGCGCTCGCTTGGCTGCCTCAGCAAGGAAATCTGCTGGCATCTGTGGAGTCATGCTGTTGATTGCTGGCCGAGCTTGAGACATTGAGTTGGAGTGAGGGTGAAATTGTGAGGACTGCTCTTGATTCTGCCCGTAGGCCTGCTGCTCGAAAGGCGACGCAGTCTGGACGGATTGCTGCGAGGTAAATGAGGTGGGCTGGGAATTCGCGTTCGAGCGGCCGAAGAAGGGACTCATGTCGCTAGCGGATGGCGACGGCAAGGGGGCGTTGAAGGCTTGCTGCTGGGACATAGCGTAGTTATTTTGCAGCTGGTGTCGCAGATTTGGTTGTTGAGGCGTGGACGGAGGCGGAGGAGGGTTGAGAGCGTCGTTCGTCGGGCTAGGATGCGCGGTAGAAGACAGACTCGACGATTGAGAGTATGTAAAAGAAGGAGTCGATTGAGATGTAAGCGAGCGTGCTTGATCTTGAGCAAGGCGGGCACTTCGTCTAGGAGAGAAGGCACTCATTGTTGGGCAGGCGGCTAGAGGAGTGTATGTGTGGAAAGAGGAAGGCGAATGCGTTTCGAAAAAAGCGTTTGACCGCTTTGAGTTCGAGAAAGGCCGAAAGCAGGCGGGTAGAGGGATGAGGCGCCGGCTGGCGGAATGTGCTGAAAGAAAGAAGACGTAAAGTTGGCGAAGATCAGCTTTGATGAGCGAATCGGTAGACGAATAGTAGCGTCACAAAACTCGGAACAGAAGACCTGGCTGCTATGACCGAGCCTCGATCAACGATGACACGAGGGCACAAGAACAATACTCCGTAATGTTGTACCGGCTCTTGATGCAAGGTGCCAAACTCGGTGGGGGGTGATGGCTGCCCTTTTCCTGGGGCTCTTTCTGGGGGGGCGTCGGGGGGAACACAGCAGGTGGTCAAGGTTCGAAATCGCTGGGGTTTGGGTGATTCGATGGGGAAAGGGAGGCCGTATGGTTGGAGAAGGATCCGGAGAGGATTGGAGGTCCCCGCGTCAGAGGTCGATCGGTTTCGTGAGGGAACACAGGCCAGTCGCGCCGCAAACGCAAAGGCTGTCGTTGTGATCTAGATCTCAAGAACGGCAAAAGAGCAGGATACGAAGAGTGCGCCAGCGAGGTACAAAGAAAGATCAGAGAAGTGACCTTGATTCTTTTTCGTGTACCATAATTTCGATGGAAAGAATCGGGGACAGACGCGGGTGCAGCGGACGGCAAGTCGAGGCTGAAGATGGTCCACTTCGATCACCCACCGGAGCAAAGCCCGATTACTCTGCCAGCCATCACGCACCTTGATGAGGCGACTGTAACGCTTACGAAAGAACTGCTATCTGGACTGCTGTACACTGTGCTACTGTAGAAGTCACTCGATGGTTGCGTTAGCTTATGGTCATACCACAGCCACATGTTGCTTATGCCACCACCCCAATCTCGTGAGAGTCTGTGTGGAGAAGGCCATAGATGTCTCTGTTGTGGTACGAGATCTTCCCTAGATCGAATGACAACGCCGAGGTAAGGTGTCTAGAATCGTCATTCGATTCTACTCGAGTACCTCTGTACCTGCGCCGTAGTTCCGCGCTTGAACGGGTTATGCCACGCCTAGGCAATCTGCAGGTCCCCAACATGCGCTGCAGATGCGTGCCCCCACGCCATAAGCGAGGCGATGCCGACTCCAAGAATCTGATCCAGCCTAAGATCCTGATCCTGATGCTCTACTGTGCGGACTCTCTGGCATCCTTTGCCCCGTCTGGAGAGTTGGCCAAAGACTCGACTGTCAGCAAACGGATGTGCCAGATTAGGCTACCGGCTGACGCCCCAGGGCCTGGTCGGGATCCCTCGGCCACCAAGACCGAGGCTAGCTCGCCAAGTCTGCCGCAAAAGCCGCGAAATTTCCTACCAAGGTACTCCATTCTTTCCTTCGGACCGATGCCACAAGATTTCCTCTTGTTGAACAGACTCGAATGCGTCTGACGGCATCGACACTGAAAGCATGCCCGACACGCCTGGTGATGGAGGCGACAATGATGCTGTAGACCTCTTTCAAGAACCAGAGGGGTACTATCAACCCGACAAAGCACCCACCTTTACTCAATACACCCTCAAGAATGGCCAGTCTCTCTCGCTGCGTCTCGTAGGCCATAGTCCGCTCTGGGTGCGCATCAGGTTGATCGAAAACAGGTGAGTGCGATGCTGACCTGGCCCAGGGACATCTGCTGTGGAATGCTGCTCAGGTCATAACTTCGTTTCTCGAGGACCACGCCGAGAAGTACATCACAAACAAGGTAGTGCTGGAGCTGGGCGCTGGTGCCGGCCTTCCCAGTCTGGCATGTGCCGCTCGAGGGGCCAGCACCGTGGTCGTGACAGACTATCCTGACCCAGACCTTGTTGCTAATTTGCAGTACAATGTTGACCACTGCGGCCTGGCGTTCAGCAACACACGAGTTGTGATTCATGGTTATTTGTGGGGATCTCCTACCGATGAGATCAAGTCGGCACTGCCTACTGGAGCAAGCGACTTCGATGTCCTGATTCTGGCGGACATCTTGTTCAACCACTCGGAGCATGAGAAGCTGATCAAGACGCTGTCAGAGTGCTTGAGCAAAAAGCCAGAATCAGCCGCCCTCGTCTTCTTCACGCCCTACCGCCCCTGGCTGTTGCAGAAAGACCTGGCCTTCTTTGATCTGGCCCGCGCCAATGGCTTCACCGTTACCAAAATGCTTGAGCATACCATGGACAAGGTCATGTTCGATGAGGATCCCGGAGATGAACTCTTGCGCCGCACTGTCTTTGGGTATGAAGTTACGTGGAGCTCCTCCTGAGCTTGAGCTAGAGTGCTAAGTACTGGATTGTGTACTTGCGGACCTCGTGCCAGTGGAACGGCAAATCAGGCTGTTATAGTACTCTCAGCCTGGATGAAAGGAAAGGGAGAATACCCGCAGTACTCCCGTACCGCAATCACCAGCTGCACGACGAAATCAGACCGGGGAGGTTTCACCAATGCATGCAGGATGCCGTCATTTACGTGTGGAGCTTGGTTATGACCGGCAGCTGCAGTCTGGGCAGAAGCTGGAGTAAGACCAACGTGCACTCTGGGGAAGCTGGTGTTGGCCAGGTGCACAAATCCTTCCCTCTCGCACGTTTGAACTCAAACGGTTACCTCGAGAATGTACGGAGCAAAAGGGAGAAGGCCAGAAGCACCTGTACCCTGTCGGCCACGAGGACTGGTGAACTCAGCTGGCGAGATTTATGCAAGTGCCGAGTTCGGGGCTTTTGAGACCTCGTGGGTGGCCTCCCTGTCTCGACACGAGGGCATTGCAGCTGCTATCTTGCTAGAGAGCCATGTCAGGTTGGGGAAAGCACATTGCAGCAAAAGGAATCTTGTCTTGCCCCACACGCTGCTTATCCGTGCAGCCATCTCCAATTATGTAAAGCGTCCACAGTCGCCTCCTGGTAGAACCGTATTTTCGGGTAGATCTTCGATTGCTGTTGTTGCCGGTGATACATTACTCACTCTGGGGAAGAGTCGCCCGGAGATGCCAGCCTCCGTGTGTGGAGAGACGCACAAAGCTGAGACGAGGTGCAATGTGGAAGAAATGGCAGGGTGACAATCATTAATGGGGCTCAGGCTCGCCGGTTGGCCACCCGTCTAAGATGCGCGAATTTTTACTTTGGGCCTGTCGCCGGACAGCGACAACCTTGACGGTCGGCTCCTATCGTTCTCACGGACCAGGCGGACAGACACGGGACGGTGCAAACTGGCTTTCACACCACGCAAGGTGATTCTCACCCCCGGCCAGCATATGTACGCGTACTTTGCTTTTTCGATCGCGGTACTGTGACATCTCCCGGCTAATTGAGTACCTCCTCGTCTGCACTCTTCGCCTACCTCATCAACCCCTCCACGCACGCGTCCTGGGAATCGTTCTGCCCAGCCTTCACTTCACTTCGCCCTAGCCCTGATCCGTTGACCCGTCACTCATGGCACGAGCGCGACAAGCAATGGGCGGCTCCGTACAACGCGCATTTTAGTCACCAGCGCTACCACGACGACACTTTTGCATCACTGCCAAACTACCTGTCAAACAGTCATGGCCCACGCCTGAATACGCCACTGAGGTTAGCCATTTGAATCTCCACTCGCCAGAATGTGCCTTGCCTACATCCTACGCTTCTGCTGTGGCCACGGCCTCATCATGAGCATCGAGACCTGCAAGCTTGGCCCATGTCCCGTCATCAAGACCAGCGGCACCAAACTACCTCAACAACCCTTCAGATGCTTCAAGTGCCAACAAAGACGCACTTCGGCTACAGCAGCACGACCAGTATCCCGACTATCCTCATGCACATCATCAGTCAGTAGCACAGAGTCTGGATTGAGCAGATCGAGTACCGGATCTGTCGAGCCTCCCACGAGTCCTTTGTTCCGCACAGCTACAGCTCCGTTGCCAGGTGTCGCTCTGCAGCCTGCTGGTACCGTTCAGTATTGCCAGAACATCGTCCGACCACGGTCACAGCCCTCCAAGTCCTTCTCGTTCACCTGCTCGTCCAACACACACGGTGCGCCCGACTTCTATGGCAGTCTACCAGGATTTCTTCCACATCAAGATCATCCATGCCCACCCTGCCAGCTGGAGAATTTGAGAATGGTAGGAGACACCGAAGCGATCACTCTGGCCAAGTCTGAATTTCCTCGCCTCCGAGGTGAAATGTTAGTGCGCAATGGCCGGGTACGAGAAAATTGGGAGAGCAACCTGACATTGGCCAAATATATCGCAGAGAAACGTACAGATGAGAAGCAAATGTGGCACTGGGTCATACGTAAATGGACTCAGGATCTGAAAAAGGTCAAGATATTGATCGCCGAGGAAGACGGACTGGGCTTGTTGGCTTGAGGTAGCAGTTGACGGTGCACTGTTTGAGTACGATCACGATACCCATCATACGGAGCGAAGGCGTACAAAAGGGGACGGACGGCCTATTGATCAAGGCTACTTCGCTTCGAATTTGGGCCTACGAGCTTTAGCGACAGTTTTTCATAATGGTCTGTGACCAAATAATGAAGCAATTTTTCTGACACCACGAGTATCAACGTTCACTGCCTGTGGCGCATATAGCCCAGGGATCGATTGGGCCGCCAAGACCGAACCCCAGCCCCTCGCCAGAGTGCTTACGCTTGGATTGCCATCAGCGATTCAGGCACCACTCTTTCTCTTCGTGTTCCACCATTTGTACTATATCCAGCGCTGCGCGCAGGCCCCGGCCATTCTTGACAAGTCGTTAGAATCACTACCTCCACCATGTATACCAGTACCATCGTGACCGCCGCCCTCCTGGCTCCAGCCCTGTCCTTCGTTATCCTTCCCGATGCCCACGTCTTCTCTCATTTGCCCGAACGCATACCAAGTCCGATTCGTGTCAGCGAGCCTGCCGGGCACGACTCGCGCGTAGGCGACGACAGTGACGATACCCCTCTGCCTGTGGTCATCTGGCATGGCCTCGGCGACTCCGCGGATGCAGACGGGATCAAAGACGTGGCGGCTCTACTGGACGAGATACATCCTGGTACCTACGTTCAAGCTATTTCCTTAGGCAAGTCGACGGGGTCGGCCGATCGCTCTGCATCCTTCTTCGGCAATGTGACAGAGCAGATCGAGCAGGTGTGTGAACAATTGGCTAAAGACAATATCCTCCGCACTGCGCCGGCCATCGATGCTGTAGGTTTCAGTCAAGGTGGGCAATTCCTCCGAGGCTACATTGAGCGCTGCGGGCATTGGGCGCCCAGAGTGCGAAGCCTGGTCACATTCGGCAGCCAGCACAATGGCATTTCCGAGTTCCAGGACTGCAAGCTGAGCGATTGGGTGTGTCACAGCGCCAACGCCCTGCTGAAGAGCAGCACCGTGTGGAGCAACTTCATCCAGTCGCGCCTCGTCCCTGCGCAGTACTACAGAAACATCGACGACTTCGAAAACTATCTGGAGCACTCCAACTTCCTCGCCGACATCAACAACGAGCGCCCGCACAAGAATGCCACGTACAAGAAGAATCTTGCCGAGCTGGAGAACTTCGTCATGGTGCTCTTCAAGGATGACCAGACCGTTGTGCCCAAGGAGTCCGGCTGGTTTGCTGAGGTCAACCGTACCGAGACTGACGAGGCTAAGCGTGTCACCAAGCTACGGGACCGCACCATCTACGAGGAAGACTGGATTGGTCTGAAGCAATTGGACCAGAAGGGGGCTCTTGTTTTCGAGCAAGTCAAAGGCGAGCACATGCAGCTGGACGACAAGGATCTGCGCCGCATCTTTGGCAAGTACTTTGGGCCTGCCAAAGCGAGCAAGAGCGATGAGTGGAGGTTCGAGCTGTAGACAGCTAGCCATGCCTGTCGATTGATTCATGGTAGTTTCAACCACTCTCTTCAAGATCCTGGGCACTCACGTCCACCTTCCTGTCTTTTGCAGAGGTACTGCTTTCGCCTTCCTCGCCATCAGGCTGCTGGGCGCTTTGCACGTCCCACGTTGCCCTGACGAGCCTGCCTCGTCCACTGCTCGTACACAAACAAAGTCGACCCTTCGTATACTTGGAATTCTCCCTCGGCGACACTTGATCCAAGAAAGTTATTATGGCGACTCTCGGAACAAGTCCTGGTCAATCTGAGCGAAAACCAGCGCGCGGCAACCATCTCAAAACCGCTAAAGAATGGCGGTATGCGCTCGACTCGCGCCCTCGTTGTATGAGCGCATCCTCCGGGGCTTTGCAGTTGCAGTCCGGCCTTAAGATGAAGACTTGTCCCAGCTCCTGGTCTTTGTCAAAGACTTGTTGACGCCTGTCGGGTCAACTGCGAGGCTCTCTTCTGCGTATGGTGCATTCGAGAGTCCCGTAGTGAACAAAACGTTGACCAACGAGGGGTATCCACGAAAGGCCGAAATCCCAGCGAAAGAGAGCAAACTTTGACAGCTCATTTGGGAGAAATCGGTTTCGGGTACAGCACAGTTGGATTGTAGACTGTGGATATGAAGGCTCTCGCAATATCCTGATACGACGCATATAGGATGGACCTTCAATTACATGTCTCCTCGTCAGCTTGCCTTTAGTATACTTTGCAGAATATAACACCACTGCACTACTATGTCTGATTCAACCTTCACGTGTTTCGACCGTATCCAACAACTCATGAGACTGTGTTTGCGCCTTGGGTCACATTCCTGCAGAGTCTGAGACGAGTATAGCACCATTGTAGACAACCAGAATTATTAGACATGGTCAGCTCTCTCTGGCTTGTGACTTACGATCATCACCGACGCTCATCTCCGAGATTCCGAAGAGCCTGCTAACGTCAATGAAGATCACTGAGCATGCCCCCATAAGTGAGACAGCGCAAAAAGTGGAATTTGAGTCATCTTATAGATTCAGAAGGCTCACACGCCGCCAATCGCCAATTGCCCGCAATCGTTGTGTCCTCGACGCTCAAACCTGCCGAACCTCATCCCCACGACAGCAGCCTCCCTCGTCAACAGCAGCCTGGCCCCCAAATCATGCTTCCACCCAGCGGCAGCCACCGAACCTGGACCCGCGACGGCTTCCTCATCTCCACCGACACGTCTCTCATCCCACTCGCCGCCGTCAACGCCGCCTTCGCCTCCGACGCCCTCTACTGGGCAAAAGCGCTCCCGGAGCCAGCCCTGCGCGCCGCCCTTGACGCTTCCCTCTGCTTCGGCCTCTACTCGCCCACCGGCGAAACTTTACCGCCGCCGCCTGAATCTGATGTGACTGCGGAGGCAGTTGCTCAGGGCCCGGCGGATGTCGTGCATGAGATCGCGACGCACGTCGAAGGCGCAAAGGGCGGCGGCACGTCGGCCGCGTCCACGGAAAGCAAGCACGGAGTGGCTGCTCAGGAGTCTACCGGGGGCGGGGCGCCGCTCATCGGCTTCGCGCGCGTGATCACGGATGGCGTGACGTTTGCGTACCTGACGGATGTGTACGTGCTGGAGGAGTGGCGGGGCAGGAAACTGGGCGAGTGGTTGGTCGGATGTGTGAATGAGGTGATGGATGAGATGCCGCATTTGAGGCGTATCATGGGTATTTTGGGGGATAAGGGCATGGCGACGTTCTATCAGCGGGTCATGGGACTGGAGATCATGAAGGGGGACGAGGGGCCGGCTTGGGTGGTGCAGCGGAGGGGTGGGGGAAGTAACTTTGCTTGATGTGGATGTTGGAGGGCTGGAGACGCATGATATGGAAGCGACGATGAGAGGGGTATACATCATAGTATCCGATAGCCTCGGGGGGAGATGTACTTCGGAGAGCCCCTGAGACGGCCTTGCAGGCTTCCAAGGTGGGTCTGGGTGCCTGAAAAAGGCTGCCCACCCTTGGTTGAGCTCAATCACTCTGTGCTCACCAGGCAGGGGTCGACAAAACTGACGGGAGGGCTCCTGAAACTCACAACAGACTACCAGCTCAAAGCTCCTGTTATGGGTTCGGGGAGGGCCCCAGTCAATTTCTATCGACTAGCAGAAGCGATCTGCTATAAGTCCCAGGAGCCCGCTCGTAGATTTGGCTGACCCTCCATTGTGTGAGCGAATTCTCGGGGCGGTTTGGCATAGCACGAAAGCACAACCACGGCAAGTCAAGCAGCTTCGATCATTAGATCAATCGCTTATTCACATTCACCGCCCTCTACTTGTCCTTTTTAATTTCAGATTCCCAACCGCTCACTCAACGTCCCAAACCCGTCCACGACCTCGAGTTCCTCGCGATCATGTTCTGACAGCGGCGCGTTCCCCTCTCGCTCCACCACCACGCTCTTCATGGCCGCCTCGAGCGCCGCGCGCACCTCCTGCACATTGTCGCTCAGGAACAGTATCTCCTGAGGCTGGCGTTTCAGGTCGGTCGCGATCTTGCTGTAGCTGGCGGGCGAGTGCTTGGGGCCGGCGTTGCTTATGTCGTACCAGGCGGTTATGAGGGGCCGTTTATCGAGGATTGTGGGGTTGGGTGTGTTGGTCGTGGAGGAAGTGGAGGTGGAGGGGTCCCGGATGTGCTCGAACAGCAGTTTCTGTGCGAAGATGGAGCCGGACGAGTAGATGGCGACTTGCCGTTGCCGAGTTTGCTCTGTGGCTTGGGCTTGGTCAGTGGGGGTGGTAGTGTCCGGCGACGGCTGCTCGAGGGACGCGTTCGCTCCATTCGTGTCTGCAGCGGCAGAGAAGGTGGCAGGGGTAGGGACTGGCGGCGGTGGTGATGGCGATGTTGGCCACCGATCTAGGAAGTCCAGCACGTCCGCGTACATGGGCGTGGAGTACGCGTGCGACTTGTAGCCGTCTTCCCACAGGTAGCCCTGCAGGTTCTTGAGGTAGGCGGCTTTCACGTCGCGGGCGGTGAGGTCGGCGACGTGGGCGGAGAAGGCGTCCGGGTTGGCGCGCGCTTCGGCGGGGAAGGCGTCGCGGTAGGGGGCAAAAGTGGGAGAAGTCCAGGAGGTGGCAAGGACTTTGGGGAGGGCAGAGAGGGCGTATGGGAACTGTGGGGCAGGTTGGAGGGGTTAGTGAATATGATGTTGAGGGGAAAGGTTTGGATAGGGAACTGAGCGAGGGGGTTTGATTGGCAGCTGGCGAGACGCGTAGCCGTACCAGTGTATCTTTGACAAATGTTATGGGGCAGATGGTGCCCTCTGTAGCGGATTAGTCGTTGAGCCGGTCACGGTCAGAGCTGGGTCTTGGCGTACCTATGTCCAGCAGGACGAGTTGCACGCCTTCAAAAGATTGCTTCGGAACGGGCGCCGACTTTTTCACTACCTTTGGGCTCTTAGTCGGGCGCTCCACTTCCACGGTCGCCGGCGGGCTTCGCGAGCGCCTTTTGGTGGACCGGGTGGAAACCATTGCAACAGTTCCGAGCCACGGAGCGGAAGGTGAGCTTAGGATGTGTTTCTTCCTGAGCACGAAGATTGCGAGACAAGACCAAACGTGCGGGTACCTGGCAGTGGTATAGCCAAAGGATTATTGTTGACCTCTATGTCCCCTCCACGGCAAACTTGAAAAAGCAAAGCTCATCATGGTCACCAACGTCGTCGTGATGGTCGGAGGTGGGGAAACTTGTCGCCGACAGGTCCACCTTCGGTGTCGACGCTCCATGCATTCCATCTTCTCAATCTGCATTTGCCTCTGCTGTGGAAGGAAAGGGCAGTCAGTCGTCTTGATGTCGGAATTGTTTTACAAGACTAGTCATCGAGCGCGCGTCGCGTTCAACGAAGCTGAAGTGAACACCTCTTTCTGAGGGTAGCCAACACTCTTGGACAACGCTAGCAGTTCACGGAATGTGATTCTAGATCTTGCCTGATTGTATTGAGTTATACTGTGTCTAGAGCGGCGATATATTCGTCCCCTACTGATCAGCTGCTATACCGCCATGTGATCCCAAAGCTGGACTGATGATCTGTGATCTGTCGTGGTACCCGCAAGGCTGTGTCGACAAGGCTGAGTGTTGCAGGGGTCGACTGCCCACAACACGGGTTTGTGATCATTGAATGAGAAGATTGCTCACGGTGGTGATGGCTCCCTGTTCTCTTTGTCCTGCTGTCTTTATCATCAGCCAACAACCAGGCCCGGCTACTTCAGCCACTACCGATGATTGTGTCAGTTGCTTCTTTGTTTGTCGAGCTCGTTCATGAGCTGAATTTAGGACTGCGCAGTCTCTCAGGTCGTCCGACCTCAGCCCAGAGTTTACACAACGCAGCCTTGACACACGCTCCTGCCATCCGACAACATGTTTCCTCTGACTCTGAGGGTAGTCCTTGCCTCACTTTTCCTCTTCTTCGCCAGCGTCAGCGCAGCAGCGACCCCGACGCATCCGATGGTTCCCACCCGCAGAGATGGTATAGATCCTGGGAACACGGGCTACACTTTCTGTACGCGTCCGAACTATACAGGCGTATGTACATGGTTTTCGCGATTCGATCCGGAATACGGCAAGCCCATCACGGTCAATACACCCGATTTTAGCATCCTGGTATACCCCGGAGCACGGTGCACTTTCTCGGAATCAGTGTACACTCCTGGTGTGTGGGTATCTCATTGGAGGATAACGGGGGCTCCACAGTCTGTGGCAGTGCCAGATATGTCGAAGGTGAAACTGCCGGACGGGAGTCGGAATTATAAGTTCTTATATTTTTGGTGCGAGGTGGTTTCGCTATAGGACTGCAGTCTGAATTTGACGGACAGTCCTCGCGAGGACGGTAAATGGGCCTTGAGATGTTAAGTAACGCCCCATACTCCAAGTACTTCCGATCTGGCACCGCCAGAATGATTATCAAGATGTTGGATTCTCTTGACCAAAGCACCGACCAGAAGAGGCCCAATGAAAGTGCAGAGCATGATCGCCCATGTGACGACCAGAAAGATGGGACCGTTGGGCTCGTCGCCGTAAATTCCGTTGCTTTCTGCAATCGCCGAAATAAGGAAGCCGATCTCGCCACGGGCGACCATAGCACATCCAAGTACACATCCGGGATAGAGTGATAGTGGTTTCACCGGAGATGCCTGGAGAGTTTTCTGCTTCTCATTAAGAACCTTGTTATCCTGCGACTTGGACGTGGGGCTGGCGTCGTTTTGTTGTGGGGACACGCCTTCCTTGGAGGCATCGTTTGGGTCAGGTACCGATTCAGACGTCTCAGCCGGCCCCGGTGGAGAAGCTTCATTGCGATTCGGCGCTGCAGACGAGACTGCGGCAGTACTGTGGGACAGAGGAGATCCTAGATATTTGGGCCGAGGCATTCGCAACGTGCCAGCCAGCCCAGAGAAGCGAACCAGCCAGAGTCCGCATACCAATTTCCCAACGAACATTAGCGTTGTGTATACTATACCTTTCCACACAGTATCTGCTGCAAACATCCGCGAGACGGGGATAGAGAAGCCGATCGATGCAAAGAAGAATGGGCTTAGGATTCTCCGCAACGGCTGGGCCAAGACTTGTTCGAAAACATCTGCGCCCGTGGATCTTGTCTTTTGTTGGCCTTGGATGGCACTTTGTGATGTGGCCATGGTGCCAGAAGACTCGTGAGCATGACCAGAGCCTCGTCCAGAAGACAGGATCTCGGCCGGGGGTGCGCTGACGACGGGCGGACATAGTGGATGCGGTACATGATCGTCCCACCAGGTGATTGTAGCACCGGCGAGGTATGCAGCAAATAGCCCTGACGTGCCGGCATAGATTGCAGCTGTCAGAGCCCCGATCAAAACGGCGATATGGACACCCAGAGGTAGTACCCTTGAACTAAGCAGGCGGCCTAGCTTTCCTTCAGGCTGGCTGGTCCGCAATTCATTGAACCAGATCGTGACTGGCATAGCAACAAAACGAGCTGCAAGTAGCATAACCAGTACCAAGCCTAGGGACACAAGGATAGGTCTTAGCACAGTCACAACGCTGAAATGACTCGTTGCGATCCCCAAGTTCGATATGACCTGAACCATGACGAGTCCTACGACATCATCCATCATTGCCGCAGAAGTCAGAACCACGCCCATTCGTGTAGTCGATAGACCACTGGCAGACAGAACCGAGAATGTTGTGCCAAGGCTGGTAGAGCATAAGGCTGCTCCTGCGGCGAAAGCCTGCAAGGCAGTTGCGCCAACGAGGGAAAGTAAAGCATAGCTGAGTGCTATTGGTACGCATATACCAGTAGTAGCGACTCCGATAGAAAGGAGTAAATTGTCCTTCAAGGCCTTGAAAGACGTGAGCAAGCCTCCTTCGTATACGATTAGGATGAGTCCAAGGTAGCCGAGGTCGACGATGGCTTGCTCAAGATCGTGGCCAAGCCATTTACCTCCTGGCGTGCCCCATGCAATTCCTAGTAAAATCTGGGCTAGAAGTCCGCAGTACAGGACATGGTTGACGAGGTGATTGACGAAATTGAGTAGAAGAACGAAAGAGACTAGAACGAGGATTGTGATGATGTCCGGCTCGTGATAGGGCAGCGCGGCCTCAGTAGAAGCTGGCATCGACTCCGTCCGTCTGCTGGAGACTGCCGCAAGATTGTCCGACGCGAGAGGGACTAACAAGCAGGAATTGCTGAAGGGAGGATACTGTGGTAAGATGATTCATTTGATATGGGTGGGGGTCCCGAGCAGACAAGCCTCACTGCCACTGCCAAGCCTCGGCGTCAGCCTCAGCTTCAATCTTTACTTCAACATCGCTCGTGCTTGAAGAGAGCAACTTGAGATGGTGTCAAGGTCATCATCTAAGGGTGCTGTTCATCATTGCTGAACATGATGCAAGCACATATGGTAGGTCCACGTGGCAAAATGTCAACGCCAATCCTAGGCCTCCGTTTTCTTCGATTACCATGACTCTAGCCGAGGCACCAAAGCACTCGATTACTATACTGTGAGTTAATAAGATCGCTATATAGAGCTCCAAAACTCGTCATTCCACGACAGCTCTCACGGTTGCAGAGGTTGACCTTTGCTTACCTTCGCCGACTGTCGACGCCATTGTGGACACGCTACCAACATGTTGCCACACTCATCCAGCCAGCCCCGAAACACCTAAGGGCCCGTTGTTGACAACACTTCATGAGAGCTACGCCGTGCCGTTGCTTGCTGCGTTCATATTCACCCGAGGTCAAAGAACCGTACGGGGCTGCGAGCGATCTGGCTGAGGAGCAAAGGCATGGCTGCAGCCATGCTGGTCGGCACAGAGTGACACGATGATAACCGAACTCCATGAGGAGCCTGAGAGGTCGACGTCAATCAGTTTTGTTGCACTCAGATTCATACAGCCCCTAAGAGTGACGAGCAGCAGAGCCCGGAAAGCCCGGCCTTGGCCATCCCTCCAGAGCCCCCAGATCCCCGCATTCTACTCCACGTTGTCCTCGCGTGCCGCCGTTGACACCAATTACACCCAGTGTTACCCCGGCTCCCTCCCTTGGCATCGCTTATCGATCTCCTCACCACTGAAATGGTCATTGATTCATACAGCCGGTTGGGCTCCCTAGCCGAGGCTTGTTTGCGCCGAGATGTCTCTCCGCAGTCGCTGCCGGCGGCTGTCTGGTATAAAGGGCGAACAAGACCGAACAAGCTCATGCTTAGCCGCCTTGCTTCTCTTGTACATACAGCTTTCGTCAACTGTGTTCACGTACGCTAGCATCCCAGACGAAAAGGTCGACACAATGCCGGAGCCGGAGATCCAAGCTGAGAAGCACTCTGAAGACAATGTTGAGAATCTTCAGAAAACGGCGACCATCGATACTCTCCACAATGATGAGGCTATGAAGGTGCTGGCCACCTACGACGGTGACCAGGAGTGGACCGAGAAGGAAGAGAAGAAGTTGGTCAGGAAAATCGACCGCCGACTGCTCAGCATCTTGTGTGCCACTTATGGCCTGCAGTACTATGACAAAGCTATGCTGTCACAAGCTGTACTATCGGTCCCCCTCTGTCTGTCCCTGACTAACCCACACAGGCTCTCTTCGGACTTCGAGAAGATTTGGACCTGAATGTCGGGATCCGCTACTCGATGTCGGCCTCAATATTCTACCTGGGCTTCATTGTGGGGGCATACCCAGCCATCCTACTTGCTCAGAGGTATCCCATCGAACGCGTCGTCTTTGGCATTGTCTTTCTGTGGGGAGCCTGCCTGATGTGCACGGCCGCTTGTTCAACCTGGCAAGGGCTGTATGCTCAGCGATTCTTCCTTGGTGCTCTTGAGTCAGGGGTGTCGCCGGGATGGATGCTCGTGGTTGGCGGATGGTAAGTCCATGTGTGTCTTGTCTGAGCTGAGCTGACTAAGTCGGTGAAGGTATAAGAAGCAGGAGCAGGCTCTCAGAATGGGTAAGTTGCTCAACGAATCAATGGCAGTCCTGCTTGAAGCACATTTCGTCCTAGGCTAGATGCACTCCAAGCATCGTTGATCTCCCTCCCAGTTTGAGCCAAGCGACTGATCTAGACGGTCTACAGGTGCATGGTATTCCATGACCGGCTACGTCTCGGTTGTCTCCCCCCTCATCAACTATGGACTAGGCCACATCAAGGGATCTCTATCTCCATGGCGTTACATGTACCTTGTAGCCGGAGCTATCACGATCGTTTGGTCTTTCCTCATTCTGTTCCTGATGCCGCCGGACCCTATCCGCGCAAAGCGGTTCTCCGACCGGGAGCGGTACATCGCCGTAGCGCGCCTACGAGAAAACAACTCTGGAGTCAGGAACACGCATTTCAAAATAGCGCAAGTGTGGGAGTTGCTCCTGGATGTAAAGTTCTGGATGGTGTTTGTCATGGCGTTCACCATGCTTGTGGCCAACGGACCAGTGTCGACCTTCACGCCAATCATCATCCACGATCTTGGCTTCAGCGGCCTCAATTCGCTGTTGCTGGTCATGCCGGCTGGAGCTATCATTGGCACGATCGAGCTGACGGCGCCATACATCGCCTACAAGTACAAAGGCTGGCGTGCATATCTGGTCGCGATCACCGTCTGTGGAACCATCACTGCCTCATTCATCCTCTGGCTTCTGCCGCAGGACAGGACTGGACCAAGACTCTTTGGCGGTACGTTAATGCACTATTCATATATTCATGCCGGGAAATGCTGACACTGTTGCTTGCAGTCTACATTCTGGCTTCGTACGGTGGTGGCTATGCTGTGCTCATGTCGATGCAGATCGCCAACACGGCAGGATACACAAAGCGCTCTGTGAGCTCATCGGGCATGTTTGTGGGCTATTGCCTCGGTACGTGTTCCACCCCCTGGCCCTACTAGCATAACAACTGAGACCCATGAATCAGGCAACTTCCTCGGACCATTGGTCTTCAAGACCGAAGAAGCCCCCAAGTACAACACTGGCTGGATCACCACGATCGTGACGTCTATCGTCTGCGTTCTGACAGCGCTCGCGTACCGCTTCTACTGCGCCTGGGAAAACAAGCGGCGTGACCGTGCCGGCGTCATGGAAGCTTACGAGCATGCTTATGAAGATGACTTGACCGACTTGAAGAATCCGCAGTTCAGGTACACGCTTTGATAGACGTTGGTAGTCAAACCGAAGGCTTCCTCCGAGAGGCCAAGCTGGATAGCCAGCTTGATTTCGATGGATCGTCCCGTTCGCAGAGAAAACAAGACGAGTTGAACATATGCTATGGTCCGCATCTTCTTTCTTTAGCTATTCTCGTTGCAATCGAAGACATGCGTCCGTATAGGCCACTTTCAGCGAAGCAGCTATCGTGATGGCAGTTACTTCAAGTGTTCTCGACTGCGCATTATTGTGAAGCGGTTCGGAATTATGAACGAGCCTTGGTACGTACCCGGTCGTCAATCTCTACAGATACACGTAAGCGAGATACCAGTATCTCAAAGAATGCGACCTGACCGAGTAATAAAGAGGCGACACTAGGCCTACTCAATCTTGTCGATTCTTTCATTGTGACCTTCTACTGAAGCTTGACGAGCTTGACTTTACCATTGCCAGTGGGCCGCTCCGCTCGCACTGGCGTTTCCGATTGGTTTCGTTCTTCGTATCACTTCACGACTCACGACCCGAAAGCAAAAAGTCACCGGCGACCAGCTCTGCTTCTTCAGCTGCGTATTCGATTGCGGCCGGCAGGGTCTCGCCTACTCTTTGCTTCCAGAAATGGCATACTCCCAGCCATGGAAGCGCGTGTCAGTGGCTTTCTCAAGCTGCACGATCGCCCCCAAGATCCGTCACGGTTTTGCTTGATTCCCAGCCGACCATGCGAGCAACCTGTCTCTAACCTGCTAACTACGGAGCCACGAATAGCCAGCATGCCGTCCTTGAATCAATCTCTGGTACGTCCTCGTACGCTGCATACGCTCCGCCTCGGTCTCTAACTTTCACCAAGTGGACCAGTCCACACGCGGGATTCCACACCCTCCATTTGGGGGGCGGGATCGCTCTATCAAAGTCTGTCTCCTTTTTCTCAGTATGTGCTCATCAGCATGATGTAGCTTCGGGCGCAGCACGTACCACTTGAATGGATCTGAGGCCTTATCTCGACGATTGTGGTTGGTGGGCGCTAAACCAGCGACTCCTTACTCACGTCCTCCAGCATTCAACCAGGCCACTGATGAACATATAAGGCCCAGCTGCATTTCTACGTGCCCCTTCTATTGTTTGACAGCTTCTACCCACCCTGATTCAACCGTCGTCCGATCCCACAACTCCCAACTATGGTCAACGACACCACAACTAAGCCCCCCAACTGTGCCGAGATACAGCAATGCATCGAGGCCTACGGCTATGTGAACTATCTGCCCATCATCTCTGTCAATGCTTTCTTCCTTGCCGTCTTCTCCGTGGGCTTCATCGCCCAGTTCCTCCTCGGCTTCCGCCATCGCACGTGGGGATACACCGCGGCCATGATGGTCGGAGCTCTCATCGAGGCCATCGGCTACGGCGGCCGTATTGGCATGCACTTTGACGTCTTCATTGATACCTGGTTCATCAGTATGTGTTGACCATCCTTGCCCAATACCAAAACCAAGTATCCCATCAGAGGAAGCCCACCGGCGCATTCCTCCCCCCGCCTCCCGATTGACCCTCTTTCGAGGACGATTGCCCTCTACCAGAACTGACCTCCAACCCACCAGTCTACCTCTGCTGCCTCACCATCGCTCCCGCATTCTTCTCCTGCGCCGTCTATCTCTCCCTCTCACGCATCCTCTCGCTCTACAACCCTCACCTCTCCCTCCTAAAACCCCGCGTCATCACTACCATCTTCATCTCCTGCGACCTCCTCTCCCTGGTCCTGCAGGCCGTCGGCGGCGCCCTCGCCTCCGTCGCCACCACGAATCACAGTCAGGATATCGGCGTCGACGTCATGGTCGCCGGGCTGAGTAGCCAGGTCGCCGCCACCACGGCTTTCGGAGTGCTGTGCTTGCATCTCATGTGGGCTGTGCGGAAGCATCGGGCGCGCGTGTATAAACATACTGAAGTGTTGAGACGTAATGGGAGGGTGCGGTTGTTCCTCTGGGGTGCGTTCTTCTATCCTTCTACCCCTAGAACCCCTTTCCCACCCCGCCTACCATCACATTTCATATTCCCCCCTTGTATTCTCTTCGACACAGCCCTAACATTATTAAACCACAGCAATCGCACTCGCGACCCTAACAATCCTAATCCGCTGCGCTTTCCGCGTCGCCGAGCTATCCGAGGGTTTCAAAGGCTCGCTCGCCAACAACGAAGTTCTTTTTCTCGTCTTTGACGCCGCCATGATGACGGTGTGTATCGGGGCGCTGACTGTGGCGCACCCGGCATGGACTCTGGGGGATGAGATGTGGGTTGCGGGGGGCTTTCGAAAGGGGGAAGCTGGGTCTGCAGGGAGTGGTGTTGGTGAAGAGGGGATGGTTATGGGGAGGAAGGAGAGGAGCGAAAATGCGAGTGCGAGTGCGAGTGGGCATGTCACGCCTGAGAATAGGGAGGGTGGTGGGAGCATGTAGAAGTTGTGGAGGAGGAGAAGGCAGCTGGCCGAGGTGGTGAGGCGGCGACGAGGCACGGGCTGGTGAACGGGTTCATCCGTTACTGCATAGGTCGCCATCGGAAAGCCATGAACTGCTGGCGGAATATAGTAAACATTGAAGCAAGTGAGGTGGTGACAAGGATCTCGCTTCTTCTACAGCGACACAGCGAGCAGCTTTTGCGTGATGCGTTGAACCCACCTTCTGATCCAGGTAAGCAAAAGGTCTACAAGGATCGTTCAAGGAAAGGCAACATCTGCCAGCTGCGGGAAGCGGAGATACGTCTCTCCGGTACTGGTCAGTGGCTCGATACAGTAATTTTACAATGCCGATACTCCATGCCTCGGCTCAATGTCGACCACTCACTGCCCCCTCCCAGACTGTCGACGCGTCTGAGGGTGATACTACAGAGCTTTCTGGTTCCAGCATGGCTCCCTGATCTTCGAATCATCGTTCGCAAACGGATATGGCTTCAGCAGTTCCAGTCATCATTGGCGTGGCCGATGTGGTCAATCGATCCACCAAGGTCGAAGATGCCCGAGAGCCGGTAGACCTGATGCACCAGGCTATCATTGATGCGATCAATGACACCGGTCTCATAGCACAGGCCACTACCCTCCAGTCAGCTATCGATAGCATTGACATCGTCAATACCTGGACTTGGCCGTATCCTGACCTCCCTGGCCTTCTGTCTAAAAAGCTGGGCGTTGATGCCAAACATCGGCTTCTCAGCCCTCATGGCGGCAATCAGCCTGGCTTGCTCTTCGATGAAGCTGCCAAACGAATTACACTCGGACAGACCAAGGTGGCCGTCGTTACTGGCGGCGAGGCCCTGGCTTCCTGTATGGTACCCAGTCCCGGCATGTCTCGTGAGTGTTGACAGTCTTAGTGACGGCCTGTGCTGCGGCCAAGAAGATCCCACCCCCTGGCTGGTCCCAGCCCAGTCAGGCAGTCTCCAGCGTCTTCTCGCCTACCACACGAGAACTCAAGGATAGTACGTCCTTCTCCGATGACGTGGTCAAAGGCATGCGCAGCAAAGTAACCAGGCCGGCAGATCTCGGCTCAATTCATGATATAGGAGCGCCCATTCATGTGTATCCGCTGTTCGAGAACGGCTTTCGAGCACACCGCAAGCAGTCCATCCGTGCAAACAACCATGAATCCGCCAAGCTGTATGGCCGGTTCGCCAAAATCGCGGAGAGCAATCCCTATGCCTGGAACTATGGCAAGGAGGTGACTGAGGAAACCATTGCCACAGTCAGCAAGAAGAACCGCATGATTTGCTTTCCTTGTCAGTCCAAAGAAGCCACCCCGGGCTCTTGCTGGCTAACATTTGTCAGATCCATTGCTAATGAATGCTTTTAACACTGTCAATCTTGCCGGAGCTGTCGTTCTGACATCCACGGATTTCGCAAAACAACTCGGCGTCGACCAAAGCCGGTGGATCTACCCCTTGGGTGCGGCAGGAACACAGGACAGTGGCGACTGTAAGCAGTCGACTCTCCCTCTCACTTATGCATTACTGACGATGGCAAGTCTGGCTTCGACCAAACTTCCATTCTAGCCCTAGCATATCACGCTCCATCGACGCCGCCCTGCAAGTCAGCAACCTCCAGAATTCCGACATCGATCTGCACGACATCTACAGCTGCTTCCCCATCGTGCCCAAATTCGCCGCAGACCATCTCGGCCTCTCCACAGATGGCTCACAAAAATCACTCACCCTTCTGGGCGGCCTCACCTCCTTCGGCGGCGCCGGCAACAACTACTCCATGCACGTAAGCGGACCGTCCTTGCGCTTCGCGCCAAATTTCGTAAATGCTGATCCTTTTTCACAGGCAATCACCGAAATGACACGTCAACTCCGCACCAATAAGGGCCGCAACGGCCTCATCCTCGCCAACGGCGGCGTCGCGACCTACCAGCACGTGCTCTGCCTCTCGAGCCAGCCACGGCCCACGGGCTCCCCATACCCCACCACCAACCCCCTACCAGACACCATCACCGACGTTCCCGTCCCATCCATCGCCGACATCGCCGAGGGCGAAGCCATCATCGAGGTAAATTACCTACCTTTCCGAATGTCACCCGTAGCCCTTCCTCCTCCCACCCCTTTCCTCCTTCCTCGTCCTTCCTCCCCCCATCCTCGCCCCATCCTCCCTCCAAGACTAACACTCCAAACACAAGACCTACACAGTCGAATTTACCCGCTCCGGCGCCCCCTCGCGCGGCCACGTCGTCGGCCGCCTAACCTCCAACGGCCACCGCTTCCTCGCCAACCACGCCGACGCCGCCACCCTGCAGCAGCTGTGCAGCACGGTGCGCGAGCCGATTGGGCGCGTGGGGCACGTCAGGCCGGATGGGGAGCGGAAGGGGAGGAATTTGTTTGCCTTTGCTGCGGCTGAGGAGGCGGAGGGGGGTGAGATGGAGAGGAAAGGGGTAAGTCGGCTTTGAGGTGAGTTGCTGTTCTTGGGGCGGGGGGTTGTGTTGAGTCGAGGCTGGCGGCTGAGGCCGGCGTGTACGAAAAGTTGGGTGGGAGGGGAGATGATTCCAAGAAAAGTGAGCTTATAGGTGGGCCAGTACGTGATTGAACGAGAGGGCTTCGATGGCGAGTATTGAGTGACGCTTTGCCCAACAACAAGCCAGCTGGGGCTATCCGCGGGTAACATCTTGTTATTACCTCTTAGCATACTTCGTTCAGCTGCGACTGATGTATATACTGTGTGCATCGCCCGCAGCTCACGACTCTGGAGCTAAAGTTCTGGCCCTTACTACATCATTGATGCCAGGTCTGCGGCGCTTCCTTGGTGATCATTTTATACATTACTTTGCTAAAGTCTTCGCAGGCTGCACAGACGGCCGCAGCCTAATTTATAACTCTCCCTTACAGTACGGCTGTATATGGCTGCAAAATGCATGTACTGGCCGAACGCTGTCCAGCTCTTAAGTTCCATCTGGCAGAGCGTGTTTGTTTGTGTATGTAGCCTAGACACGCGAGTGCTACTCATTCAATGATGCGCGAACAGCCTCTCCGGGCAGCAGCTTGCGTCGTGGCTGGAGCTGCCGCAGTGTAGGCAGCGACGGGGGTTGAAAAGCGAAGGCGATGGCGGTAATGGTGCAGTCCTGCTGCTGCGTGGCGGAAATCTGCGGTGGTGTGGAAGATCCAAGAGCGCGTCGAGCTCATCATCGTCAAGGCCCGGCCATGGAATAGAGGAAGTCGAGGCGCGCTTCTTGGTGGCTTGGTGGGGACGTGCTGGGGAGGAGGCGACGTCGACCTGTTGATCTTGATAACCATTGGTGTGCGCCAAGCTAGCTTTGATGCCCTGCTGAGCAAGTCGTGAGAGCAGCTGGTCCTTCTGTGACATTTCTGGAGGCTGATGGTATGATGGAGGATCGGTGGGAGGCGAAGCATGGGTCGCCAAGGTTTCCGCCTGCGTTTCGGTCCTTAGAGAGGACCGCACTATCTGAGTTGTGTCGGGTTCTTCGACGGCTATGGTTGTGCGATCTGACGCGTGAAGGACCCGTGGCGGACGCAACGCGATCTGCGCCATGGCAAAGTCGCCCCCAGCAGATTCAAGGAAAGCGCGGAATGGGATGATATAAGCAAGAGGCATCAGTTCCTGGCCAGCCACAACGTAGCCGATCACAGATTGCTCCCACACCACCCACGAGCCTGAGGTGCCGCGCGCTACGACGGTATTAGAATCTGACCACAGTTCGGAAAGTGTTTTGACTCACATAGCGGCTTCTGTAAGCATATCTGTGTTACGGACATTTCCAAGTCATGTAGGTGCAGCCGTATAAGACTCTGTCCAACTGTAGCCATTAAAGTGCCTTGCGAACCTGCTAGCACGTAGACTTCGGTGCCAGGTTCAGGCATGGTAGGTTGTATGTGTTCGATCATGACCAAGGATCCAGTTCGAGGATCAACATATCCATTCTGGAGTGCAGGGCTGGGAGTTGCTAGCTTCAGAAGGACCCAGTCGGCAAAACTTTGGTAAGGCATATCTCGCGTTGGAAAAGGACACGACACTTGACCACTAATGATTGAGCCCATCGGCAATGCTGTACCGGAATCGTCGCCGGGCTGTGTGTACCCTACAGGTAGGCGTCGCATAGGCGCGGAAGCAATCTGATCACTGAAGTCCCTGAACAAATCCTCCTCACCGGAATCTGATTCACTCCAGTCGGACTCAAGGGATAGCGAGGAGTTGAATTCTGGTGTCGACGCCATGGGAGCCCCCATCGCGGAGGCGATCTTATCCTGGTAAAAGGGGTGGGCCACGGTTATGGCAAATACCTCGTCGCCAACCCACAAAAGTCCACCCAGAGTACAGATCTGGACCCCCTGCAGTTTGATTGCAGCACCGGTCAGATCACTGCAGCCTTGCGGTCCTGATCTCGGTACAACGACGCAGTTGGCGGTCCAGCTTATAGGCCGTGTAGCTGCGAGACGATGTGTAAGCTCAGTCTTGCTAACAATCACCTTGCACGGAAAAGGACAGAGCTTCATAGATTCTTGATTTCGGAAACGTTTCTGTACTTGACGTCTGAGTCGTTCTTGATGCTGGTGGGTATCGCAGCGTGCGTCGTTCCAGCAGATGAGGACGAGGCACGGACGAGCCCGGGCAGCACCATCGTGTATCATCTGCAGAACTAAGCATCTTCTGTCGCAGTATTGTCTGATCCATGTCCAAAGCTCATGCTCGACACGCTCTTTGTGCGAATCTTCCCATAGGCGCAATTGCTCGAACGGGATCCGCATGGTAGGGACGACGAAGCAAGAAGTGGCAATTTTGAAGGCTGGGCAGCCTTCTACGTGATATTGGGTGTCATTGGTGGTGCTGGAGTCGAGAACAAGCGGGATGGATCGATCAGGAAGTTCTAGCTCATGCCCTGCCTTTGGAGTATGTACAGGGACCTGGAATGACTTCAACTGGAATATCCTGCTCAGCGGTGAGTGCTTGGTTTCGCGAGGCTGTGGCTGCTGCTGCTGCTGCGGCTGATCCGACAACGTGGTATCAGGGCGGGTCTGCTCCATCCCATATCCTTCGGAAGGGTCGCGGTCAACATAGAGATCCAGCGACGACAAAAGGTGGGTTGAGAGGAGCAACGCGGGAGTACATGTGCGTGACCAAATAAGGCGTGGCCAAGATTGATGCGTCGACACTGGCGGCTCGCCCACTTGGACGATCTCGTCACGCAGAGCACCAATGACGTTGTAGTACCTAGGCGAGGCGTACTTTGAGGCGGCCAGATGCCGACCATGGCGCAAGCTTAGGGCTGCGGCAGCATGCCTTGGCACCAGAAAGCCCTGGCCATATTAATGCGAACAGGGCTGGAGCGAGTTTACTGCTTGATTGTCTCGAAATCGCATTATGTCGACCAGTCTTCGCCTCTTGAGCGAGAAACCGTCAGACTATGATAAGGCTGAGCTGTTGCATCAGTGTCTTTTCAGTGCTGTTGCGCACAGTCCCCATTTATTGCCTGAAAAGTTCAACGGATACTTAGCGTACTACCAACGCGAGCTGGAGATCGCTCATCCTCACAAGTATGCCAGAGCTCTGCAGCATACGTGGGGGCCATCGGTTGGGCGCCATGCCGATCTTCTCGCGTGTCTCGTCCAAGTCCGGCGAGATCAGAACGCGACGCGAGAGGAGTTGGTCCGACGGTTGAAGATTCAATATGCGGCCACGGATGAGGACGAGCTGCAGCGCCTGCTCGAGCTGAGCATGCGAGTGGGCTTCTTCTTGAATGTCAGGCAGCACGATGGAGGAGGAGGAGGAATGCTCGACTCGCTCAAGAGCTTCCCAATCCAGTGGAGTCCAGACACGCCTCTCAAGGAGCTGATTGGTCGGCAGTTCCCGCGGTCCAAGTGGAGGCTCAACGCCAACGAAAGTCGACTTCATCCTCGCTTTACCGCTGCCTTCATGGTTCAGGTCTGCAGCCTGGTCATCGACTGGACCGACTCCCTGGCCGATCATCTCTATCTTGACCGGCAAAGCAACACTCTGTACCTTTTCCCGCACAAGTCATGCCTGGCAGCATTGCTGCACCATACAGATTGGACTGCGAGAAAGGCACGTCACCCATCTACACCTATTTCGTAAGCAAGCACATCACCGTTGTGTCGACCACTCCCTGGACAGGGAATTGACAATGAGTAGGGCGTCCCTTCCTAAAGCAGTGCTCCATGAGACCGTTCTCTCCCTCAATCTTCTTTTCCCGCACTGGGATCGTGCTTCCAACGAGCTGCTCAAGCAGCACAGGCAGGACTTCCACTGCCATCCACCCTACGAAGGACCTAGGACCTTGAACCTGATGGAGTTTGATATTTGGCGCGATCGTCTCCTTGAACTTAACGATGTTGTCTTTACTTCGCCTCCTGCCAGCATCAGGCAACTCTTCCTTGACCGTCGCAGCCCTCAGCAGTTCTGGACTTTTTGGATTGCTATTCTCATCCTTTTCCTCACCGTTGTCTCGACTGTGGCCTCAGTCTATCAGGCGGTGAGGTCGTGACGGGAACAGCGATTCGCGACATCGACAGCCCTGTTCCTAGACTGATGGGACAATGAAATGTTTCATTGCTATGGTTGAAGAGCTTGAACGCTAGGCCTCATAATCCGCCTTGAACCTATTGAAACCAAAATACGAGACGAACGAACAATATTTTGGCTCGAAACTATCTGGCCAGCCGTTTCATCGTCTCCGCTTGGCTCATCACCTCATCCGCGCTCTTGGGCTTCTTCAACCGTTTCTCACAGCTGTCACGCCACTCGCTTGCCAGAAACACACCGGCATCAGCATGTCGCCGCAGGTCCTTACGTGCCGAGTCCGACAATCCACCCAGACCCAGGCCCAACGTCGCATCATAGACATTCGACCACACATCCTTGGCCTCGAAAAAGCGATAGTGGCCCTTCTTCTCATCTCTCTGCTTCGTTAGCGCGCGGATCAGAGTGTCGGCGTGGTGCCATCTGAAGCCCGAGGAGACATTGTTGACGCCATGCTTGGTATAAAGCGCCCGAGAGTTCTTCTCAGCGCCGGCAATGTTGCCCAGGTTTAGTTGCGTGTATGCCAGCAGAGCCAGCACAGCGTCATCGCTTGGGTCTGATGTCGGAGACCCTGGCCTTCGTGGTGGGAACTCCATGATGAGATCGTGCACGTCGTTCCACCGACTCTGCTGTATGTGGATGATGGCCAGAGTCCACCCAATGGTGCGTTGGACAGACTCGTCAAGATTTCTTCGCTGCGACCAGGTTTGCTTGAGGAATGACGTGGCCTTCTCGTCGTTGCCGCCCTGGTTGTACAGCTCTACCCCCAGGCGTGCGGCCGTAGCAAGCGCGTTGCCGGACAGTGCGGCGACTCGATCCGGGTACACAACCTCAAAGGTTTTGGCTGCGGCTGCGGCTTCCCCTCGCTTTTCGAAAATACCGATGATGGTGAAAGCCTTGTCTTCCATGGTTTCTCGGAACGAGCGAGCCACCACGTGCCGCCACCGCCACGCATTGGACAGTTTACTGACCGCCAACCTGTTCCCTTTCTGCTCAGCGTAGAGCTGGGCCAAGGTCACGATGTTTGTGAGCGACCATTCCCGGTCAGCTTCGCTCATGGTATCCAACCCAACAAGCGGTTCGCTCCGAAGGTGCAGCCCCTCGGCCTCCCACATTTGGTCGTCTTTGCCGCTCTTCCTCAGAACCTCACAGAGAAACAACTGTGCCTCCCTGGTCTCTGCTTGCGTGACACCTTCGTCGACAAACAGCTCCTTCCTCCGTCGCAGCACATGCCTAAAACCGGCCTCTGCCTCCTTGTACTTCTCCTGGTTCAAGAGCGCCCTGCCCTTGGCCAACTCGAACTCGAGCTCTCTCGCCTCCGCTGCCCGGGCACCACTCCGATCATGCCAGCTTCGTCGCTGCTTGGCCTCTTGCTTCTGAAGGTCCTCTAGCTTGGCATACTGGTCCTCAGCGGCGCTGTTCTTTCCGACGGCAAGGTATTGCTCCGCGAGGCGTTGGCGCAGTGACTTGATGGTGCTGGTGTTGGTCGACAGCGTCGCCTCTTGCTCCTGGACGGTCTTGTTGCTCGCCGCGAGGGTGGCGCGCTGGGAAGCTACCTCGGACTGGGCGCTAGCCAGGAGCTTCTTGCACTGTGCAAGCTGGCGATTGACGTCGTCCAGCTTGACTTCGAGAGCATGGGCGGTGGCGGCGGCGGCGGCATCGACGGTGGGGGTGCGTGGCGGTGTGTACGGGGATGACGGGCGATAGGTGCCTGGGCTGAGGTGCGCATGGTGCGGGCGTGGTGACGTGGGCCGGTTCCAGGGTCTCAGTGGCCCCGAGATGCCACACTGCGACCTGAGGTACGCGTTGGCGCTGGACAGTTGATTGAGAGCGAGGCTGATCTGGTGCGAGGGTTCCCACTCTCGGAGGTTGTGAGCGAGATCGGAGTCGGAGAGGGCGTCGACACGCTTGCAGAAGTCGCTGAAGGGTGTCACGGGGACGCCCTGGTAGTGTGCCATGGTGATGGCGGAATGTTCAATGGATAGTGAGAATGTATGCAAACAGGGTGACAGCAGTCAATGAGGAACAAGGGAAAGAGAGAAGGCCTAAGGGGGGAGAAACAAGGCGGCGAGTCAGAAGCAGCAGTTATAGGGAGAAGGTGACTGAGGAAGGGAAGACAATCAGCACTGCCTAGCTGGTGAACGGATTGTTGTCAGACAAGACAAGGACGAGAGGCATCGGAACGAAAAGCAATCGGTGTTCGGCGTGGAAGTGCCACCTTTACTTTACAAGACAGAGTCCCGACGAAGTCATCGATCAAATGTGCGTTTTAGACTGTTTGTATGCTGTGGTCACGATGTCCATTCCAATCAGGGCCTGTTTGGGGGATTTTGGGGTATTACTGGGGGGGGCGGAGGGAAGAGGACGCAGTCAAACAGGCAGGCAGGCAGGCAGGCAGACATGGGGCCTAGCTGTAGCGGAAGCGGATATGGTAGGACAAGGCGTTTTAAGCCAATGCTATGAATCTGCCTGGCCTGGCCTGGGCCTACCTGGACGGGGATTGGTGTGTGGCAAGGGGGAGGTGGGGTGGTGCATGGCGCAAGGGGTGGGGTCGACCGGTGGGGTCGAACGGGCTGGCTGCCTGGCTGCCTGGCTGCCTTGTGTGCGAAAGTTCCCAACGACGGAAGAAACACTCTTGCCCCACACGTTCGCTGGGGCGGGGGAGGGGGTTTGGAAATGGATACATGGTTTGGATTTCTGTCTGTCTGTTTGTCTGTCTGCCATATCATATTGGAACTTATCTGTTGGCGGAGGCAAGCGGGCTTAGCCATGGCGGGACGGAGGTGGCCTGTTTACACTGTTTATACAAGTGTCTCGTTTCCAACAACGTAATTGAATGATGATCAAGAAGAGGAGGACCTTTGGTATTCGAGTCACCATCACACTGACTAAACAAGCAGCTCGAGTATGGAGTGGCAGGTGACTGGACTGCCAGGCGGAACTCGATCTTCCATTTAGGCCCCTGCAGGTAACCTGGCTTTGGGGCCCCCGGGAAGTAGGTAAAGAGCCAAGACTAGGCGGCCACCAAACACAGGCACTGCCGAGCCTAGCGCTCTGACCCCACGTAAGGCAGCCACCGCCGGACCTTGTGCTACGTGCCTAGTACTGTACTGTACTGTGTAAGCTAGCTGTCCACGACAACTGCCCAAGTCCACGGGGGATAATCCAGCTTTCTTATTCTTGTAGAATGTCTTTGAATGGGTAGTATCAGATGATGAATTCGCCTGACACAGCAACAGCAGTTCTTAGGTCTTTTTGCAACTGCCACCACTATCACCTCACCTTGGGCAGTGCTGTATGCAAGTACAGCTTGCTAGCCTGTCCCAGAGGCATGGCATGGTATGCCAAGAAGACCAGTCAGATATCATTCGGTCAAATTCTAGATCATGCCTTGATTCCGCCAAAGACTTGGGGGAACCCGGTCTCTTTGACTCAGGCAGTGACTCACCCCATACACCTCCTTCCTTGTCTCCCTCCCTGTCTCCCTCCCATTCCTCCTAGACTACCGAACGAAGGCCTTTGTCCAGCAGCCAGGCTTCTTCCGCTACGGACACGGTGTCGTTCCAACAAGCTGACCTCCCTCACAGATCGTCCGTTCCCCCTTCTGCAATACCTCACTACTCACCTCTTCCCCCCATCAAGCCCCCCAAACACCGTCCCGCTCACCCTCTCCGGCACCGCATACCACCACCTCCCCACCCACTCCGCCGCCCTCTCAAAGCACTCATATTTCCTCCTCCGACTCTCCTCGGTCTTGATCCACTGATCGGGAAACTGCGTCCAGCCATGCATCTCGCCCTTGACATGGACGACCTCCAAATCCTCCTCTCTGCCCGCGTCACGCACTTTCGACACCCACTGCTGACTCTGGTCGCTCAAGCTGTCGAGTTCGGGGAGAACCAGAAAGATCTTGGCCTGGGGGTGTAGGTGGTCTTTGATGGAGGCGAGCCCAGGGCTGGCGCGCACGTCGCCGCGGCGGGAGATGGGGAGGTATTTGGGCATGAGTTCGTCTTCAATCCTGAGGTAAAGGAGGAGCATATAATGTCAGTAAAGTTTGATCTCTCCCCCCTCTCATCTGCGCTCTCTCTGTCTCTCTCTGTGTGTGTATGGGGGTGGGTGGGGATGTGTGTGAAACAGCAAAAAAGGACAAGAACTTACTTCCACCTTGCAAAGAACCCCGTGGGCGGATCCAAGCCCTCCGGCCTCGGTCGCTCGTCGGGTAGCAGCCGCGCATCAAAACTCGGGTAGAACAACACGACCGGCAGCGGCCAGCGGAACCTACCACGCGGGAACACGGCGTCCCAATCCTTTCCGCCATGATTCGGGTCTTGCGGGCTGTCGACCACACAGTTGAGCGCCAGATTGCCGCCGGAGCTGAAGCCACTAACGGCGACGCGCGTGGTGTCGAGATCTAGCCACTCGGCGCCACCATTGGTGGTGATAGCAGGAGCAGCAACACTGGGACTCCTCCCCCGTTTCTCTTTGTCTTTTTCCTTGTCTTTGTCTTTTCGCTGCTTGCCGAAGCCCATGGCCGCGGCATGCTGGCGGATGTCCTCGCGCAGCACGCGACCCCCTGGGCTGTCGGCGTCCAGCACGGCACGCACTACGTCATCGGCATCCTCGTTGGCGGCTGGGAATGTTGCGTAGGGGCCTAGTCGGTAGTCGACGGATATGACGACGCAGCCGCGGCCGCGGTCGTTGATGGAGGTAGAGACCTGGCCATCTTTCGGGACAGGAGTCTCGCTGCCGTTGTTGCTGGAGGACGGGGCACTTGAGAGTGCCTGCGCCATGTACGCACAGAAGGGCGCTTGCTCGGATGGGGAGCCGAGGATGAAGGAGCCACCGTGAAAGTCGATCAGCACGGGCAGACTTAGAGTGGGTTTGCGATGGCGGCGCGAGGTTGGGTGTAGCTGGTTGGGTTTAGGTCCGGGCCGCGAGATGGAGCTGCTGGTGGTAGAGGGGGATGATAACGGTGTTGCCTCGAAACTGCGGCGGGCAGCGGCCGCGGCGGGAGAGAGTGTCGTTGACGACGTCGGTGTGTTCGCGCCGGTTGTGGTCGGGGTACCGTGTGAACTGCTGGGTCGAGGTTTCTCGATCTCATGGACGCTCCGTGCGCGGGCGGAGGTTGGCGTGGCAGTGCCTGAAATGCCTCCAGGTCGAGGGGAACTGCCCCCAGCGCTTCTGGCCCTGGAGGAAGAAGGCGTCGATTCCGGCGGCGTGTCCTCCGTAGGCGGCAATTGCAAGAAGATATGCACAGGAATGGAGTGGTCGTGCGGCGGACCAGAGGGCAGCTTCAGCACGAACGGCTTTGGCCCATCGTGGCCCATGTAGTGAGAGGTGACTGCCGACGGGACGATGCGCGGCAGGGACACGAGGGCTTTGCGCCACGTGGTAGAGAAGGAGTGAGAGAATACGGACGACTTCTCAGCGCGGTCCTGGCTGGAGCTGCGGGAGGTGGTCTCGTCGGTCGCCATGGTGTGCGTGTATGAGTAGGTTGCGGGACGGGCGCTGTTGGTGCTACTGCCGCTGCTCTCTATCAGGACCCCTTCCACCCAGCCCAGCTCCAGGGGAAGTTGCCGCGCCGCCCGTCGAAGACGCAAATCAAGATATACGTGCCCAGGGATGCGTATGGAGGCTTGCCCCAAATCCACTCCGATACAAATAAATGCACTTTTTAGGCCTTATCCGTCGTTGCTTCCCGAAAAAATCCTTTTTTTCGACCTGTCTATCAAGTCTCAAACGAGACACAGACACAGACACACACACACAAAGACACACGCCGCGCTGAAACCGTAAAGGAAGGGGGGACGAGGGCCACGACCAAGCTTTCAAAGCTTCTGACTAAATTTACCAATCATGCATTCGATCATTGCATTCCCACTCTTTTCTTCACATGTCCATCCCGACAGCAAAGACAGCAGCTTTTCTCCCAATTCCAAGATGAATCAAGGGGTCGAGACGGAGCACAGCAGTTTCTACACAACCGTGTCTCTCGCCCAGAAGCTGCGAATGCCCTGAGTAGGTACCGTCCGTGACGTTCCAACGCCCAGAGCGGGGTTGCCCGATACAGCTTAGCGGGGCGTTGGTTTTACTGCCTGATTCACGTACTGTAATGTGTAATTTCTGACGTCATTTTTCGAGAAAATGTGGCTCGTGAAGCAATTGTAACATATAACAAGTACAAGTAGCTGTGTGCTAAGTAGTAGGTAGGTAGGTAGGTAGGTGAATGTGACCAGGATGTCGATGTCGGTCTTGGTGCGGGTAATAATGCCCCCAGTGAAGACCGGGCCCAAGGTACATGGGGAAATGGTGCTCTAGACCTGGGCGGCTTGTCCGTGTAGAAACTGACAGTGGGTATACTATAGTCCAATGCAGGAGGAGGAGCCTTGAAGTCAGTCATTGGCCATTGTGAAGACGGCAACAGAGAGAAAAGCGAAGCAGATCTGTAGCTGATTAGGTAGGTAGGTCTTGAAACCAACCCCGCCTCACTTTGGAAGCAGAACAAACCTCCTCAACAGCATCGCTCCCGAGCGCTCGCCCATCACCATCATCCAGATCACCGCCCGCCTCCATTCCCATTCACCCGCCCACTCTTGGCGCCACCGCCGCCGCCATTACTCCCTCCCAGCCCAAGCGCCTTACACTCATCGCAATACCACTTGGCGCTCTTAGGCACGCTCTTCAAGCCGATACACTCGAGGTGAAACCACTCTCTGGGACACTGCTCATTGTCGCACGCCACCATCTCGCCGTAGCTGCCCGTCTGACAGTAGCAGTAGCGCTCCTCATCCGCGCCCTCCTCCTCGCCTTCTTCGCCTTCCTCCTCCCCACCCCCGACCTCCATCTCATCCGGCGTCGCCGACGTCGTCGTGCTCATCATCATCATCTGATTCTCCGCCTCCTCCTTCATCCGCGCCGCCATCTGCTGGCTGCTCTGCGGTGCCGCGATGCTGCCGCTCTTCTTGTGCATTCGTTTGGCTGGCAGACCTTTCGGGGACAACGAGTCGTGCAGTCCGTCGTACTGAGCCCGCGGCCGTACCAGCCGCTTGTTTTTGCTGTTGTGGTGGCTTGCTCCGTTCCCGTTGGCGCTGGATGAGTCGGCGTCGCCGAAGCTGCCCACCACTGGTGTCGACGTCTTGGATGCCCTGCCACGCCCAACGCGGTCCATATTCAGTGCCATCACACTCGGGCGAGGCGAGTTCGCACGGGTGGAAAGCTTGTCGAGATCCGGCTTGGTTTTGCTGGCACGCCGCTCCAACAGCGCCGACGCATCACCGTTGGATGCGGTTTCGTCTTCAAGTATGCGGTCCCGCCTGGCATTCGTGCTCTCCTTTGCGTTATTTTTCGCTTCACTGTTGCTCTTGCCCGGCGCCGCGGCCGTGCTCTTGACATCGGGCGCGCTCGAAGACGCGAGGCCGCTGGGAGCCCGCTGTGAGGACGAGGACGAGGGCGGCTTGGCTCGAGAGGTCTCAGCTTGTGACGAGTTCTGTCTGGCACGTGCCGATACAGGACGAACGGTGCCAAGGGCGGGGCTGCGCTTGTAGGCGTCCTTGCCAAAAGTGCCCGCAAGAGGGGACGAGGCAAGCTTCGGCGAGTCTTGTGCAGCATTTACTCTGCTTCGGGTCAGTGACAGCCTTCCTACTGGGGCAATAGACGTACCTTTTCCTCGCAACTGTCGCGCCACCCGCAGGCGCCTTTCGCTTCTTGGTGTTATCTTGCTGGCTCGGCTCGCGAGACATTGCTCGTCCGCCCAGCGCAGCGCTCATGCTCTTCTCCATAGCTCCGCCACCAACTGCTTTCGCTGCCTTCTTGCCCTTGGCAGTGATGCCGAGCCCGGCCACCTCACTGGCACTATCCAGATCCCTGCGCTGGGTCTCCTTGATCGCCTTTTTCTTTGTAGCTCTCACATCTTCGGAACCTTCCACAGCCTCGTTGCGGTGCAGTCGCTGCTTCGCCTTGGCCGCGACAGCCTCTCTACGGCTCTCGCTCCTCTGTGCGACCTCATTGTCGTGGATCAGAGCCAGACTCGCGGCCGCCTCTCGTCTCGTTGTGGGAGCCGTGGTCTTTTTGGTAGGGTTGATGTCGGTGTAAGCCCAGTGCTTGAGGCTACCGAGTCTGGCTTCCTCCGAAATTTCGTCCGCGATATGAGGCCAAACGGTATTCAAGCGGCGAACCTGTCGCGACAGCTCTTCGTTCGCGTTATTAATGACATGGTTCTTCTCGTCCATCGTGACCATGAGTTGTACCAGATTATGACGAAGCGCTGCAAACACCTGTCGCCGGTTGGGAGTCGTAGAGCTAGAGGACTGCTTCGACAATTGTGAAACGGCATCGGCCGGCACACCAGTGACACTGTTAGCAGCGCTTATATGTGGTTCGTCGGTCAGGTTGGTGGTCGAGGCGGCCGTGCTGGGTGGCATTATGGGCAGCGGCGCAGTAGGCTTGTCCGCCTTGCTGTGCTCGAGGAGTTTTTGCAAATTCTCTTCTGGCTGCCATGCTTTGGCGTCCACCTCTTTCAAAAGTGACGTGTGTCTTCTGTAGTCGCGTGGTAGGGCCGTGATCGCATCTGAGAAGTGCTGGATCGCCGGGTAGAAGCCGTGGGGTTCGCTACCACCCTGAACCGAGGGGGGTGGATTCGAGATGAGTGAGTTCTGGCGCAAGGTCGAGCCCTGCGTCTTGGACGTTCGAGTGGGATTGGTGCGGGTCGTGCGCGAGTTACCACGCAGGTTGGAGGTCCCGAGGACGGTGGTGTAGGTTGTCGCCATGGTGGCTGTGGGAGGGAGCTGTGTGCGATCGTCGACAGAGGCAGATCAGTCGTTGACGTGCCCTATATGGGCTGCTCAAAATTGACGAAACTCTGCCACAGCTTTGTCGCGGACAAGCACAGCACGGGCTCAAGTTTTGAAAGGTCAATGGCACCTGAATAGAGGAGACGAGTGGACGAAGTGGTGGTGCGCAGTCGAGACGCCTCTGCGCGAGCGATTCGGATGGAGAAATCGGCCACGGCGAAACATGGGGCCGACGCAACATTGCGCGCCGCTACGTCACCGCTCGGATAGGGGCACTAAGCCATGAATCTCAGGCAGTAAATTCGTTGCTGTTGTCAGCCACCAGCATAGCGTCTTCTTAGCAGAGACATCACAATGGAGGACAGACTACGTAGATCATAACTGTCATTGCATTCGGGGCACCAACAATGGCCCATCATAAGCTGTACTCAGTTCCCCAACGCCTATCAATACACACCCCATCCTCGCAAGCTTTCCACAAGGTTGATCAAGAACAGAATGTTCGTGAGTCGTGCGTCTTCATGACCCTCTCCAATACGCGTTGATAGCGGCACTACAAGCTCTGCCGTCACAACCACCCCTCGTCTCTCTTCGGCATGACATCGAAGCCGATCTTTGGAGCCGGCTCAGCGTTCTTGCTGGGACTTTTCTTCGGACTACTACTCTCGCGGGGCGGTCCAGCACGGACATCTTCCACCTCCCAACCATCTGCCTTTGCAGCAGCCACCCAAATCTTGAGACCATCATGCACACCGCCATAGAACTTCTCCTTGCAGGTTCGCAGACTACTGCCCATGGCCTTTTCCCATCCCGACTGCTTGAGATCGTTGCGCAACGAGTTGCGACTATCAGCATCATGCAGAGATGCAAGAATGCCATTGAGTAGGTCGAGGTGGATGGCAAGGTACTGGGTTGCCTCCCACTCGACACCGCCAACGTAAGGAGCCGCGGGGTGCGGCGGTCTCGGGGCTGGAAAGTGCTTCTGCATATAGCTCAATTCGGGATTGCTGTTCTCCAGAATCGGTACGACATTCAGATGGTGAAGGAAGATCCAAAAGACTTCTTTGGTCACATTGGTCACTTCCTTGCTCCACACGCGGTAAGGTCGGGACATGTGCATCTGCGAGACGAACTCGAGTGTCTGCTTGCCCTGCTCAGGAGCTGGATCTTGCAAAAGTCCCAAAATCTTTCTGGCACGAGCCTCGAGCTCATGTCCTGGTCGAGACTGCGCGGCGCATAGGTGAGCAAACAAAAGTGAAACGACCACTCCCCGAGTATTGTACTCGGACGGTCCTTTCCTCTCTGGGTCGAAAAGCATGGAGAGTAAGCAGGGAAAGAACTCGTCCTCAATCTGCGCAAATCTCTCCATGGCCAGCTCGGTCGTACACAGGGCTTTCAAGCAGAGCAGCGTCTCATGCAACAGATTATCCTCGTGCTCTTCCCGCCATTCGACCTTGGAGATCCGGTAGAAAAGTTGGACAAGTTCATTCATGCCGCCCTTGGTCACGAAAGTGTCGGTCCAGGTAACTGACTCGTTACGGAGTAGTATGCGAAGCTTGTGAAGCTTGCCGACTTCGACAAGCGATGGCTTCTGCACTTCACGCAGGTAGTGAATGAAGTCGCCGGGAGTGGTCGCACTGTCAGGTGCAGCAGCAAGCGAGGCTGCGGACCCCGACGAGCCTAGTGAGCGAGCAGAGCCTGGACGGCTAGAGCTCATGTCAACCGACTTTGGGCGCGTCTTGCTCCGCGAGCGCAAAGAACTGCCTTTCTTTTCTTTTTCAGCAGGCGACTCGGCCACATCGCGTTTGCTGAGGGTCAAGATTCGGCTTCGAGTACGGGAGCGCGACCGAGGTCGCTTGCCATCCTTACCATCACCGTCCTCACTCTTGGGCCGCTCGTCTTTCTTGGTGGGACTTCTGCTCGTTCTCGCCTCGGCAGGAGTGGAGGTACTTGAGGAATCACCGCTCCCACTGCGTTCGCCCCTCATCAATGCGGCCTTCAGCTCGGGCTTTAGATTCCGCATAGTGTTACGCATGTTGTGGGGGATGTTGCGTGCGTCGAGCACCTTTTCGAACTGGTCGTCTAACTCCTGCGGGCTCAGTGGCTGCTGTGTGACTGGTGTGGACGGTGCAGACTCCTTTGACCGCATGTTGAAGGTCGCAATTACGTCCAAGACCCTTGAGGAACGCTTGCTCTTCTCGGGGCTAGCCTTCTGCAGACTTGACTCCTTCTCCGGTACTGCAGGTGTCACTCTGGACGAGCTGGGCCGACTACTACTCTGATCGCGGCTCTTTGGTCGCTTCAGTTCCGGCACATCCTCATCCAAATGCTCGCTGAAGATTGAGCTCCGGCTCGATTTGTGCTCCAGGAAAGGTCTCTGTGGTGGTTTGTAGTCTACCGGGGAAGGCCCGTATCCATAAAAGTTCCTCTGCTCATGTGGCCGGAATTCAGAGTAGTCCCTGGGTGTGTACAGACTGATCTCCTCTTCAAGCGATCTACCCACGGCTTGCGGATACTGTATCGAACCATCGCTCTTCTCTTGCGGCTGGGTGGCGAATTGTCGCCAGATAGGAGTCGGCTCGGGAGCCGCCAATTTTGACGGCGAGACATTCTCTTGGTTGCGAGCTGGCTCTTTCAGATCCTTCCTGGACTTCTTCTTCAGCAAGCCTGCAAGGTTGGTCGATGACTTCTGCTTCTTCGGGCTCGAGGTTGCCGACCGATCAGCGCGGATGCCGTTGTCCTCGGCTTGCCGACCCATGATGAGGTCTCTCAGGGAGACAGAGCTGCTAGTCTTCTTATGCATGGGTGGACGGTTCCCATCCTCCTGTTTGGTCGGCACCTTGGTGGTGGATTGCGGAGGACTCAAGCTGTTGATGTGGCGTTCACCCAGCGGGGAAGGACTAGTGCAATCATTCTGAGGCGATCGTGAGGGCTTGGTTGGACTATTGTCCCGTCGTCGACCGCGTAGCACATCTCCAACCGAAGGTGCTCGGGTATGGTTCTTGCGTGGGGACGACGACAAGACATCGGGATCTTCGTAGATCTGGGCAGCTTGCAACACGCTGGTAGCCATGTTGACGAAAGAGATGCTGTGCTAAGATATGCTTGTACGCATTGCTGTCAATCGAGTCGAGAGCTAGCAGTGTGTCGCTGGGGAGAGTTAAGAGGTTCGTCAAGATGCAGGTCGTGGCGGGTCGCTGTTCCCGATCGAGTGACTCCCACGCGCCATCTGGTCGGCCCGGCAACCACCGTCCGCGACCCAAGCTCCTATAGCCTTGGCACGAACGAGGAATGCAAGATATCGCTTGGAAAGAAAAGAATGCGTTCATCACTCGATCTATTATCACATTGCTGCTGCTGCTAGGCTCTCATCGTAAATGCTTATCATCGCTACTCATTTACCATAGTATACAACATCAACCAACATGCTTTGCGCTTGCAAGACTTCCAGCCGCCCAGACACTAGACATCGAAAAACGTACAATGAGCATTTAGATGGTGTAAACCTCACATGATGCCCTGCCGCCATCTGTCGATGACAGCCCGCTGTTGCGAGTTCAGCGGAGGGCCCATCGGATCCGGCATCATCATCCCGTAAGCATTCCCAACCATCGGCGAAGCCATCTGCGGCATACCTCCGTACATCATCGGTTGTGAGCCATTCATACCCCGATTCATGTATGGCGAGTGATTGTAATATGGTAGGCTCGCCAGGTGCGCCGGCACTGAAGGCATAAAAGAACCTCGAGGTTGGGTAGTCGAAGGCCCAAAAGTACTCGTACGTGCCAGGTGCCCTGGTGGCCCGCCCTCTGTCGGCTGTCGCAAGCCAACAGGATTATGCTGCAGTAGATCGGCCATACTGTGACGCGGCTTCAGTTCCGGCCGGGCAATCTTCATGGCTTCTTCTTTGAGCCGTGCCCTTCGCTGGCCGAGCGTCTCCTCTATGTCGGGCGTCTTTGATGCAGGTATCTCCTTGACAGCAGCATCTAGGCCGAGATGGCTGGCAACGTCCGAGGCAAAGTTGCCGGCAGACACCTTCTCTTTCTCTTCTCTCATGCGCTGTCGTCTCTGTGCAAGGGTCTCCCCCTCCTGCTCCTCCACGTGCGCATCAGTCATGCCTGGCAAATCAAGCCTGAATTTCGACGCTTCATCGTCGTCAATGTTTGATCTCGGTGGCGTCATAGTTTGCGGAGGCTGATAAGGCTCTCCCCGTAGCCGCGCTCGTCTGTGGCTAAGAGGCTCGTTGTCCTCCATCTCCCTGCGTTCCATAAGACCGATCGGGCGATTAGCGTTGACATGCTGAGCTCTGTCCTTTTCGGGGAATAGCACGCCCAGAGGGACATCTTCGTCATCAAAGTTCTCTTTCTCAGCAGCATCAATATCCTCCCAGGCCAAGGTGACATGTTTCTGCTTCCGGGACTTCTGCTGCAACTGTGTCACAGCATCAAGCTCAAGTAGCGTGGAATGCATACCATTGGGAAACGCATCCGCTGCGGTGCGAGTCCGCTGTTTTTGCTGTGCCTTGCGCAGCTGCAGCTCGGCGAGTAGTGTCGTGGGGGCTCCGGAAAATCCAGGCTCATGGTCAGACTCGGAACCCTCACTCGGCCGATCTTCATCTCCCGGAACTTCTCGTGGGGTGGGAAGTTCATCCGCACCTGGAGCAATCGACCGCTCAGTGGCAGCCTCAAGTTCATCTCCACTTAATGCGCCATTGTGATCGAGAGGCGCCGACTCTCTCGAGGTGACGCGACCGTGCGAGAGCTTGTCGCTGGATTTCCGAGACTTCAAGATATTGCTCAGTGAGCTGCGTCTCTTCTTGGTAGTCTCGACGTCAATCTGAGTGCTTTTACGCGAAGTCTTCTCGCGTCCGTACACCTCTCTCCCCAGCTTGCCAACTATAGGATGATCTGTAAAAGCAGAGACAGGTGCATGGGCAGCTGCATCAAGGATGCTGTCTAGCGTTTGCACAGCAGAGCCATTTTTGAGCTGTAGGTTGGGCGAGGTGCTTTGTTGATCAAAGAAAGCGCTAGCCCTGAGCTGAGGCGGCAGCTTCAAGGTGGCGCGAGGGTCAGACGTTGGAGGCTCCTCGCCATCCAGCCACATCGCTGATTTCCTCATCTCATTGGGGATCAAGCTCATAGCTTGTTGCCGCCGCTGCTGTTGCTGTTGAAAATTGGTCTTGGACAGCTTGGCAGGCAGATTCAGCATTACTGGAACAGGCGCAGGGTAGTAGATCATAGATTCGCCAGGTTGCGCTTCCCGGAATGCTTTCGAATCTCTTGCTCGGGGCGGATGGCGCAGCGGTATCTGATGCCGCAACGAGTCATCCCGGTTCAAGGAGCCGTAATGCGTGCCATCGAAGTCAGCAAACGCGGCATCGGCTTGTTGGAACGTGTCGCCCGACGCGGCTGAAGCAGGCCGATCTTCGGGAATGCTGTCTGCAGGGACGGCGAGGTGGTCCGAGTACTCTCCGCTCGCGCGATGTGGCGAGAGTGGACTGGGCTCTAGAACCATATCTAGGGGTCTTCCCTCAAAATCTGGCTCGGGCAGCTGCTGTCCCAGTTTGCTGCTGCGGGACGTTTGACGTTCTACAACACGAGGACCAGAGCGAATGGAGCCTGTAGGAGATGTGATGTATGCTGAAGGAGAATAGCCACCTGAGCGGGCAGTATGGTTGACGCCGACGATAGAGTTCGAGAGGGATATTGTGGACATGACACGATTTCCGTTGCCATTGCGAGACGAGTTGCCGCTGGCCGCAGACGAACGGCGCTCTACCCGTCTCTGGTCCGATTTGACTCTTCGGATCTCATCGTCGAGACTTGAAGTCATGCTGAGACGCTCAGCGCTCTCTTCAAGCCGTTCCACATTCTTCAAGTATGCCCCTTGCAGAGACTGCAGGTCCGGGGTAGGGTGTTTGAGCGGCAGGTGCCGACTGACAGATGCAGTCCTTACAGGAGGCTGGTCCGACGCTAGGGGGTCGTCATGGTTTGTGCCAGACTTTTCTTTTCTAGGAGTTCGCGAGTAGTCTTCGTATTCATCGTCTTCGACCATTTCGTAAGAGGGCGCAGACGACGTGATTGACTTCAGGAGGCCACCCACGCCGGGGGCATCATTGGTTGCAGGACCGACGAGGGCCACTTCTCCAGACAACGACTCGAATTCCAGGGAGAGAGGACGGTTGTTGGATACTCTGGGGAGGGTCGGCGAGGGAGTATCCGCGAGTGCGGGCTGGTCGTGTTCAGTCTGGGCTACAGAAGCATACGCCATGATGTGAGCCGTGCTGATCGCAATCGGTAATCTATAAGTGCCACAAGAGATCGGGCAAGTAGCGCGTGCGGCACGCGCAGTACATGCTGCGACGATCAAACAAGGATGGCAATAATAACACGAGGGAAAACACACAGAAATCCTGGTTAACAACTGCACCAACTTTCCTGGCACACGAGAAGGAGTGGAAAGATCGGGGTGGTCGAAGTTGGGGTCGATCAATCATTTGATCAATCACGATGCCCGTTGCCCACCAGCGCAGCCTGGGCCGGTAGCCGTTGGGGGGCTCCCCGTTGTAGGACCGCATGAGAGACGCTAGCCCGCAGCTAAAATCCTTCTAAGGTGTGGCTGCCACCGCGGGAGCTATCGCCAGGAACTCCAATGGATTCTGCAGCCGGGCACTTTAGCAACTCGTTTAAGCATGGCCCGTGACACCTGGGCCCGTAAGGTCTCGGTCGGGTCCCATCACAATACCTTGAATCCGAAAATAACCCATCTACAATATTTTCCCATATTTTCCCTGCACCGTATATGCACGACTGTCTCTGATATAGGAGTTGGCAACGTAGCGATCACTACACCTGCCAGACTAAAGTAAGACAGGATGGCGACACCCTCCCCAAACTCTGTCGCCGTGCTACCCGTTTGAGGCGTTCGCAGCTGAAGCACTGACACTTTGCTTGGCTCTCAGCATAAGGCGAATGTAGCGCTTCCGCTGATATTCAGCCCTAAACTACTCCTACTCTGTACTTGTGCACACCTTTGCGCAACCACACCCTCGTCTTATCTTTGTGTAGCTCCGGGCTATCGGTCGGCAGTCGTTATCTCATTGTCATGCGCCAGCATCGGGCGCAATAGACGGTGGGCATAATCTCCTCAGCCGAAATTCGTGGCACCTTTCTCGATGCAGCTCGCCAACGAAAGCGTAGGTCGTGAGCCTGATACCTTATCCATAACCCGGTCGGATTAAGCCCACCAGGAGCTTGGCGCACGGGGTAGAGCTATAGTGCGCAATCCAGGGCCATTTACTATCGCTGACGCGGAAGATCGTGAGGCACGGGCAATCTCTGTTATCTCACAGCGCAAACTAGCACAAACTGGTGGTTTCAAGCCAAGAAAAAAGAAGATGTAAACGCTGTTGATTCAAGGTCATGACTGGTCTGCTGTACAAGGGTCTGATACTGTGCTATCATTTTCATGTCTGATACACGATATCAACACTGGTGGCAATCGCTGTGTGCGAATGTTGATCTTTGGCCCCCCTTCAGGGCCCGACAAAGAAACGGGAGCTCTCCATGATCTCCGGGTCGCCATTAGCAAAGTCCCAGCCGATGATTTTGCTGTCCTGGCTACAGCACACGAGTCGGCGGGCATCAAATTGCAGCTTGAAAACACGAGAGACTGATGCGTTATTCGCTTGGCCGTTCGCTGGAGGTGGTGGGATTGGCTGATTCGGCCCACCAGCCTGCGCTGCCGCCACTGGGGGAGGTGCAGCCGGCTGTGCTTGCTGTTGAGCCTGTGGCCCAGCAGCAGCCGCAGCAGCCGCAGCAGGACCGGGAGGTTGGGGAGCGGTCATGGGCTGTTGTGTCGATTGGGACGCTGGTGTCTGTGGACCGAGATTGATCGTGTGTTGGCCACTAAGGTTGCGAAGTTGTTGCCCGTTGTGACTGATAGCCATGTTGTAGGATGTTGTTAGTGACCCGCTGGGTCGATTGGCGTTCCTGGGACTGTTACTGCTCTCAGCTGAAGCGCTTGCCGAGCTAGAGCCCGCGCCACTGCTTGATCGCGGTGGTACACTCAATGACTGCCGATTCAAGTTGCGAGCGATCCCCATGACGTTAGACAGCCCTGCTCCCAATGACGAAAAGGAGCTATTGACCACCTGGCCCATGATGCTAGACGGATTTATCGCCCCTGGGCCATTCGTAGTTGAAGGCGGGAACAGTGCCTGTCCAGCCTGAACGTTAAAGGGGGGCGCTTGGGCTGGACCTGGTGCTGGAAGAGCAGGTGTCGGCGCAGGAGCAGGCGGCACTGGAGCAGGTGGAGCCTGTGCTGCCGGAGGCACTTGTCCCGCAATTTGTTGAGGATGATTTCTTCGGGCTGGCCGTTGTGAAGTCTCTTGTCGTAGAGTCTGCCCGATAACCCAATCGCCTTGAGGATTCTTCCTCCAGATTATAATGGATTCATCATAGGACCCAGACACAATCTTGGCCCATTTGCTTCCACCACCACCAGGAGGCAGCTTGGAACCAAACGACACTCGTGAGCTGCCGAATTCTCCGGCTCGTAGTCGCCGACTGTAGCCACGATCGTCAATCACACGCCCAGATTCAACATCACGTTGGAACTTGACCTCTGCTTCTCGCGCCTGGGCGGCATAATCCGTCTCGCAACCTGGCAAATCAACGAAGCCGGCTTGCACGGTTCTGACGAGGTTGGAGTGACCCTTGAGCTCGGCGACTTCGGTCCCAGCTTCAAGGTCAAAGATGCGCACAGTGTTGTCACTACTCCCACTGACAATTCGCTTGCTGTCGAACTGTACACAGGCAATGCCCTTGAGATGTCCAGGAATAGACTTCACCATTTTGCCGTTGAGCACATTCCAGACCTTGATCATCCGATCGCCTGACGCTGATACTATCAAATCGCCGCTGATCTGTATAGCATTGACGGCAGCTCCATGGCCAACAAACGTCAGCATGTGCGACCATGCCTTGATGGGCTTTATGGAGCCATTAGCAAGCCGGGCCTCGAGCAAAGACGGCTCCATGCTCGCCAGGTCAATCATGTGAGTTGGCGCCCGGACAGTCTCTGTGCCCGGCGCAATTCGAGGGAAATCGGGCTCGTTGGGTGCAAGATTATGTCGATTCCAAACTTTGATCTTCTTATCCTTGGAGCATGTGACAAGGAACCGCTTGTCGAAGCGGAGATTGAGAACAGATTCGTCGTGGGCGGATGGGATCTCATGGAGCTTCTGACCCGTGGAAAACTTCCAGATAATGACGCTAGAATCGCTGCTTCCAGAGACAATGATATCTTCACCCTCGGACGGATCAAACTGGAGGCATAGCACGGACTGCGAGTGCCCGATCAGGGGCCTGCCACGAAGACGGCGCGTTTCCAGATCCCAGATTCGTAAACTTTTATCTCGACTTCCACTGACGAGCCACTTCCCGAAAAATTGGATGCAGTACACGCACTCCGTGTGTGCTTCCATGGGATAGGCAGGATCCGGCAGCTGAAACGTGGAATATCTCCCTTGCAGCCAGTTGTTTTCGAGGCGGTGTCTCTGTTTGTAAAGATACGCCCAGTTCAGGCGTTCTTCGCCCTTCTCATCGGCGACAGTGAGGCGCGATCTCGAGCGCGAATCGCTGTCGTTCCGACCAGTTCCAAGCTGAGCCAACGTTGAGTTGCTTGGTGCTGGATAATACTCCATTTCGTCGCTGGAATCGTGGCTGTGTCGCTTATTGCGACGTTGAGGGGACGCCTGCACGCTGGTCGGGGCATCCACCATTTCCTGGTCGCTGAAATCCTGCTGAACATCGCTGTCGATCTCAATGGCGCCGTGTTGCTCGCCCCAATTGGGAAGGTCCACAGGCGGCTGTCGGCGGTTCGTCTCAAGGAGATCAGATGTAGCTCGCTTCTTAAGTTGAGGCTGCTCGGCCGTGTCACCCGAGACCACTCTGCTCTTTCCTCTCCGGTTTCTGCTTTTCTCGCGGGTTATTGAATCCTCAAACGACTTCAGCTCCTTAGGCTCGACAAGCCAGCCTTGACTTTCAAACTGCTGTTGCCAGAGACGGGTGTCCTGAATCCTGTCTTGCCAATTGTGCGAGGCCAATGAAGCAGTCAACAAGTCAGAAGCACCCAGATATGCAAAGATCTCGCTCGTGATCTCAGGTGGTAACTTTTCAAGCGGGTCCATATGTAGATGCGGCGTCAATCGATCCACCACGGCTGCTATGTTTGAGGTTCGCAGTGTTCGCAAGATCTCGTATGCTATATCCATGCGGTTTTCCTCCGATTGGGACATGATCCATTCTTGTAATCTGTCCAACGCAATTCGGTTGTTTTCATCTTGGCTTGGGGTATCCTCTGAGAAGCCCTCATCAAGGCGGAAGGAGGCAGCAGAGGCCGAGGAGGGAAAGTGCGCTCGGGATGGGTCATCGTAGGGCATCAACGGGTCAGGCTCCATGCTGACTGATGGTGGGTTTCGCACTTGATAGCGTAATCGTGTGATAGCGGACGCTCCAGCTCGGATGCTGTGTTTGGTATAAGAAGACAGGTCTCAATGCCCCCTTGTATTATTTCTGCAGAATGCTCGAGAAGAGGAGGCAAAACAGAAGGTCGTCAATCCGATCGCGAGGAGTCGGCCTCAATGAACGAGCGCTTGGGCGTGGTACGGAATGATCGATGTCGTACCACAGATTCACACCCTCCAACCCGGAAGGTACAAGCAATGGCCTTCGAAGTAGATACTAGATATGACGGTGTACATGATATGCGTGGATGGCGGCGGAAGTCTGGAGTGGCAGACCAGGCGCAAGCGAGAGTTGTTGTTGCCCGAAAGGCTTGGCAGCGACAACTCCAGTTCCCCAGTTCCTCCCGCAGCCAATGACGCAATGGCCCGCGGTCGCTGCCTGCTTTTGTATAGCCCGATCACGAGAACTTGATTGCTAAACCACACCACGTTGAATTGGGTATCTTAGTCTAGTACTGCTTGCAACGCTCAAAACACGAATCGCATGCTGCAACGTCATACTCCGATCCCTTCTTCACCTATCTTTCTTTGGTTCTTCGCTATCCTCCGTTTTGGGTGTCACTGCACCGTCGGGATCCGAGACATTGTCCCAGCTACCCTCTGTTCCAGCGTTACTTTCCCTCTTCTTACCACGCTCACGCATGGCACCCCTTATACGCTGGCTCAGGTCTTGCGAGTCGAGGCTGCTGAATGGTTTCAATCCTTGGCCAAGACCTGCACCAGTGGAGCTGCTCCGACTTCTGCTCTTCGGGGTATGTGGTCTGGATGAGAAGAATCCGAAACTGCCAATATTCATAAAGGTTTCGTTGCTGGGAAGTAGATTGAGAGATCTTCCAAACAATGTATCGTCTTGCTCCGTAGCAGTAGGTGTCTCTGGTTCCGAAGCGCCCTCCAGTCTCGTTTCCGGGATCTGGCGATACTGAGATTGATATGCACCTTCTCTGAACGGATCTGCCACGATGCGGTTGGCGTCAAAGTCGGGAAAAACTTCGGGTCCTAGAGTGTTGATGACATCCGTAACCTTGGCAGAGAGCTCCTTTCTGTGTTTTTGCAACCTGGCCAGCGTGCTTGAAGAGCGAGGGTTCAAAGCAGCAAAGAGTGGCGGAAGTGACTTCACAACATCCATGCCGATCTCACCGATCCTGAGTGCCGCAAAGGTGATGGATACACATAACACCAGGAAAGCAATGGCAAATAGCCAGATAGGTACCCAGTCAGGAACATAGGTTCGTGCCACCATCCACCAGGGGACACGGTAGGTATAGACGCCCTCCCGACGGTTGTAAACGAGCCAGACCGACACAATGATGGTGTAGTACGCGTACAGTGCCGGTGCCGCCGCTATCGCAACCAGCAGCTTCCACGTTGTGATGACATCTCGGCCCTTAATCTTGACGGTCGACGCGGCAAGCGCCTCCCGGGACTTTTTCATGGAGATCAGCTTTGTGACGACGAAGAGCGGCCAGAACATGGCCAGTCCAGGCAAAGTCCCCACGGCAAGCACCACGATTTCACCAAGCCGGTAGATCAAAGTCCCAAGTACAAGCCACCATGGGCGTTTGATAGTGTTTCCCCATTCGACTTGGTGATCCCGGATACCGAGTGCGTGAATTTCTCGGTTGTAGTTAAGCACATCTCGTCGGAGAGCGACCACGCGCGGGTCATCTTTGTAAACCGTATAGCCTTTGACAAGTCTTCGATTGAGCTCGACAACAAGTGATAGCGGAAGCTTCTTTCCTGCGGGATTGTAGAGGCGTCTGGCGGCCTGGGCCAACATGAGTGTCTCGTAGTCCGGACTAGACTGAGTCACTGCTGTGAGGCCATCTTGGACAGTTGCCATCAGGGATCCGACGGCATTTCGGCGATCACCAGCTTTGTAGGCCTCGACCTGGTCTGGATGAACTTCAATGGCGTGGCCGAACTCGATGACTGCTCGCGAGCGAAACTTGTGCGCGTGGAAGTAATTCATTCCGATGGGGATGATCTTAAGTCCACAGTCGGGATTCCGCGCTAGAGCCTCCAGAGCCATGATGGCGACACCTGCCTTGAGCGGCAGGAGATCAGTACGATCATGACTACCACCTTCAGGAAAGATTCCAATGACACCTCCGGCTTCGAGTTCGTCGGACACCGCACTGTAGACTTTACCTTGATCAACGAAGGGAGCGACCTTGAAAGAACAGCCTCCTTCGGCGCCCAGCGAGTCAAGGGCTGCTTGCGAGTTGAATGGTTTCTTCAGCCTGAGTTGGGTGGGGGAGATGATCTGGGCAATTTCGCTGCTAGGAGTCTGGTTACCAGACTTTGGTAGAACTATCAGGCCACCGACTTCGAATTGACCGTTTTCAAAATTGGTACCGCGCCCTTCAATCAGCTCAGGTTTGTTTTCGCGATCCGGCAGATATATCTTGCCCTCGGCAGGCTTCACTTTGTCGAGAGCTCTTCCGACCGAGATAGAACCCACCGCAGACGACATAGCTCCAATGAAGCGTCGTTTGGTGGATTTCTCTGCGATCAACCAAGATATTCTGCGTTTTGCTTCCGTCTTAAAGATGCGCATAAGGATGACAGAGTCGACGAACTGGTTGGCGTGCGGGGCGGCGACGAAGATGACCGGGCCTACTCGAGGAATCTTCCATGCGCCTCTCGGGTGCACCTCGCGGAAGTACAGTTCAATCAGGACACTAAGACTCCAGACGACAAGGTCATACACCCATGGTATGAGCCGACGTGACTTTTGCGTGCCATGTGGACCACGTGCGTTGCGACGTCCAGATCGCTGGACATTGCTCTGATTTGGCATCTTTGAGGTTGTTGATAGACACACGACAGGCCTATGCTATCGTCGACCGTGGCATTTGATCTGAGCAGCTGTCTAATCCCTTGGTATGTCAGGCAGCAGGGCGCAGATATCGGTGGGGTGCAGCGAGCTTGCGGAAGGTGGGGTGGTTTGACGGGTTGCAAGTTGGTTATCAAAGCAGTGGAACCTGGCTAAGGGAAGGTCATATAGCAGCAACAGGGCAGAAGGCAAGTGAGATTAATTGTCGAAAGGAGGAAAAGAATGCAGAAGATGAATACAGAGTTGTTGGGCAGTTAAGCCAGGGTGGGTTGTTGGATGGGTGGAACAAGATGAATTGAGGAGCATCTCCAAGCACGAGCAATTTTGGTGGGGTTTGGCCACTGGCGTTCAAGTTTCTGGGGAAAGAGAACCCGGCACCGTTCTTGACACCTCGCTTTGCTTCTGCCAGCGCGCATCGCTGCTGCGCCAATGGTAAGGCTTCTCTTCTGTATTCGTCAAGCTACTTGTCATCTTCGCATTATTACATCCACAGGTATGTGAGCTGAGGCCTGCCTCAGGTCAGGATACGTGGTCTTCATCCTGGTCAGCCTCATCCAACGGGCGCCTTCGCTCAGCAAGGAGTCTCTCGATCGACTTTTGGGACTCCTCCTCAATGCGCCTCATCCGCTCCCGGAGATGCATCACCTGATCTGCCCAGCGAGTCTCCCACAGATCCTCCACCGAGTTCCTCGCTTTCTCGATGCGGGTCTCGGTCTGTTCCTCCACGCTTTGTAACCGTACTCTTAAGTCATCAATGATAAAGTCTCTGGCCCGCAGCTCCTGTCTGTATACTGTATCCATTTCAACCAACCGTTGTCTTAGGTGGGTCACTTCTCGCTCTTTGAAGAGCATTTCTCTGCGATGATCTTGGTCCAGCCTCCTCATCATGCCAGCATAGTGAAGCGATATGTCGTTTTCATTGTCCATCGGTAGAGGCTTTGGACTCTCGTGCATCTCGCCCTGCTCAGCATTCTCCGCTGCCCGTGTGACAACTGTCAGCTCCCGCGTTCGCGGGAACCGTGGAAAAATGCCTGCGGCACCCGAGCCAATGAAATCGGGCGAACCAGGGTCGTTGTTTTCGTGTGATTCGTAAAGAACAGGTCCTGCAGACTGGCTTTTGCCTTTGGACACAGCACCGCCCGGGTTTCTAGAGGGTCCTGGCCCGGCAGATTGTTGCAATTGAGTGTCCAGTGAAGGTAGGCGCACTCCATTCCTCCTGCGTAGGGGCAATGGCATCCGTAGGGCTTGCGTGCTGTCGTAGGACGCGACTTGGGACTCTGTCGAACGCAACTTCCTCAGGTCGTGGGCTACCGAAAGAATCTCAGGCCCTTGCTTGTAGGACAGGTTCCGGACAGGCGCGTCACCATCATCGACTGCCAGCGCCGTGGTTGGCCTTGAATGATCTGTATCCACTGGCGACGGCATATCGAGCTGAGCAGGATCAAGTATGTCCGCTCGGAGCGTGGTGCTGGGTGTTCGGATTGGAGATGGCTGTCGTGGGGTCATGGTCCCTTCCTCCGCCGTCTCATCCTCGTCGTCGTTGGAGGAAATGTAGTATCGCGCATTGTGTAGTCTGCGAGGTGTCGAGACTGTTTGATCAGAAAATTCGCTGATGCTTGGGGAGACCTCTCTGAAAGTTGGTGAGAGCACACTGCCACTTTCGGCGTCAAGGTAGCCTTCATACGGAGGCGGAGCTGTATCGGTGATCCGTGATCCGTCTCTAGCAATGCGGAAGTATTGACCACCCACCATCAGATCTATACTTCGAGCGTCATCCCCAAAGGTGTTGGTTGAGAGTTTTGTTGCGGTCGACACCACACTGGACGCTCTAGAGTGCCTATTCACACGCGACGCAGCCAGTTCGCGCATATAACTAGGTATCGCAGAAGACGACGGCTCGTCCTGTTGTTGATCATCCACATAGCCGCTCATTCTGTGACCAACCTCGACCGACCTGGAGCGGTCGGGCATCGCTGATCTGTAGAACTGCATCATCCTTGGCGTATCATCGTCGCTTCCACACTGGGGCCTGCGGAACCCTTAGGAGTCGACGTCGCGGGGTAGCGAGCAGCGAGCGTGCTGTTAGCTATAGGGAGGACAAGTCTCAGGCATCAGAATTTCTCCCGCTCCAAAAAGGCGAGCGGAAAGATGAAACCAGTGAGGCTGTGAGAGGGGGTGCTGGAACAAGGAAGGGCCTGGTCTCAGGCCCCGACATTAACCAGGTCCCTTAGCTACCGAGCCCCGGCAATGGCATTGGGTGGGCCTCAAAGGCACCTTTGCGCGATCATGATTTATACGAGTATGCTGTTGTTACACAAGGTGTAGAGACTTGCCTTGACGTACTCGTCATTATGTTCAAGACACAACAAATCTTAGGGTCAACCTCCGAGAAGATCAGGTAAGGCACAACAGGGTGTAGCTCTGGCACCAACGGCGCGCTGACTTCACCCAAAACCCCCCCAACTTTCTTGGCAGTTGTGTGCGATCACAAGGCTTTCGGCTAGACCTCCTTCGTATCGACAGATCATGCCCAATGTTCTGACAGCATCGCCAGTCATTTCCCGTATACATCTGCAACGCCTAACTGAGGCTGCTTATGCTACTGCTTCGACGTGATCTGACGGCAGCAGCCAGCCATCGCCATTGGCGTCCCATGCTTTACGCGACCTCGCTCAGAAGACCTGTTACTACCGCGAGGTGGTTTGGCCTGCTCCTAGTATAGATCTGCCCGGGGTATAAAAGACAAGTTGAGAGCTTGAAAGTTTGAAGCCAGAGTCCGTCGTTTGGAACCTTGCCTTTGGTGTGGGAGTCTGCCTCGTGTACGTTGCCAGCGTAGAGATACCGATCGAGTAGATTGAATATTACTTGGTCATTCTCTTTGAGATGGATGTGAAAGTCGCCCGACCTTCCGAACCCGCCGTGCAGAGCTTTCGAGAAGTGGTCCGAGGCTTTTGACAACGATTCATGGGTGTGGAAGTCCTTTGCCTGGTCCGATCGGCTGACGGTGACTATTGCCATCTCAGCTCCATACAAGCCGGTAGGTAGAGGGAAGACCTCGTCAGCGGTCTTGCTAGCTGGTCTCATGGCTCGTGTATACCCGGCCGACGGCTCTATGGACTGTGGCCACAAGATCGATGTAAAATGGAGATGCAAGCACCCTGCCTCCATGAAACAGAAGAGCAGCTCTGCCCTGTGCATATTTCCAATTCCGATGCTGATGATATACTGTCACGGTACCAGCTCGTCGCCGATGGGGATTATAGGGCCCGGGCAACTCTGATGCTTCTCACGGATACGGGACGGCGCGATAACGGGTTGTCATAGTTAAGACGCCGATTCTCGACCCCCTCCAATGGCCCTGGGAAGCATGAGGTCAACGAGCCACGGGTTATGAGACGGCCGATAGAGCAGGTCCATGATACTCGCGTTGATAAAGAGCGACTCACTCCCATGTTTGAGGTCGGTCGCATCGTAGTATGCACTCATCCGATCGACAACTTCTTGGTGACCAGGAGATTCTATAATCTTCTCACCGTTGTTTGACACGAACCAGTGCTTTCTCATAGCTCCAGCGGCTTCATGGATGTGACCGAAGACATGCAGCCGCGGCTTGCAGCGCTCTACGGCCCGCCTCAGATGCACACAACCGACATCCTCACCAGAGTACGTCTTGTCCAGAATGTGAGCTGGCGGCCCATGAGTGATCAGGATGTCGACGCCAGCATCGGGAACAGGGTTCTCGGCATTCGTGAGGGTGACAGTATCTTCCAAAGTCTTGTTGAAGCGATCTTGCTCCCGGGAATATCCAAAGGCCCAGTTGCAAAATTCTGGCTGATACGCTGAGGCGTAGACCGTAAATCTGGCACCACTCCGAAGAGTAAATATGCGGACCCCTTCAACCATGTACACAATGCCGGCCTCCTGAGCAGTCTCTCCAGTGTACATGGCCTCGAACTCATTCAGTGTCTCGTCTGAGTAATTCTCGCCACGGCAGTGAAGACTACCAAATTCATGATAGTATGGCTTATCGAGAGTCAGATCATGATTGCCGGGAATAACTATTTTGAGCTCCGCGTCACAGCCCTTGATGAGTTCTAGGGCTCGCTGGTGCTGATCACCCTTCCCATTCATGGTGAGGTCGCCCGCGTGTAAGAGGACATCGGCCTTGGGCAGAGGCCATCGAAACACCTCCCTGCTGTGCGCAGCTCCTGGCAAAGCGCAGTGAGTATCTGAGAGTATCAACACCCGTGTCTTGACGCCCGCCTCGTCTGTCATTGTGGAGTTGTTTTCTTGGAACGCAGACTGCACGCGTCGCCGCGGTGTATGTAGATAGAGTCCAGGAGGTTGCCTGGACGCCCAGGACAAGCTAATGCAAGGCTACAATGACCTCGACAATGCGGAGAAGAGCGAATGTGCATATCGCGATGCAGTGGCGGAGTTGGCCCTCCGAGTGTTGGCAGTTTCGTCCGAGGTTTTGAGAAAGGCGAGAAAGCATCTACCTCACGAGGCACGACGCTCTTTCATCGCACTCTGGCATTTCAATTGAAGCAGTGAACATGGCGAATGGTCTAGCACTCCGAAAAGCCGCGCGAGAAGGGCAGTTGAGTGGTACAACAACAGGCCAAGCGCCAGGACATATCCAGGCAAATCTTATCGTTCTACCTGCCGTCGTCGCTCGTGACTTTGAGCTCCTCGCTGCGAGAAACCCTGTACCGTAAGTTATTGTCACTACGAGACATAGCCCTCTTGCTAACCGCGCCAGATGTCCTGTCCTAGCAAAGACAAAGATTCCCGGCGATCCCCATTCGTTCGCTCCAGCCAACCTATTTCTGCATTCCAAAGACCTCAGCACCGTCATTGACATCAGGACTGACCATCCAGCATACAACGTATATGAAAACGGCAAGCTGCTAGCAACCAAATCCGACATCAAGGACGAGTGGACCGATTCATCGGTTGCCTTCTTGATAGGGTGCAGCTTCAGCTTTGAGTCGGCGCTGTGCAAGGCTGGCCTGACTCCTCGGAACATCGATCTAGGTCGCAACCCTCCAATGTTCACCACTAGCAGCAGACTTAACCCGGCCGGCATCTTTACCGGGGCCACGATGGTTGTGAGCATGCGCCCTTACCGACCAGAGGACATCGAGCGAGTCCGGGAGATTACACGCCCATATGTCAAGACTCACGGCGAGCCTGTGGCGTGGGGCTGGAATGCTCTCGATGAGCTAGGCATTCGGGATGTGAACAAACCCGACTTTGGACCAGTGACTGAGTTTCGTGATGGCGAAGTGCCAGTCTTCTGGGTAAGTCGATATTCTTCACCATGCTGGAGATACTAATCAGAACAGGGCTGCGGCGTAACTCCTCAGGTGGCGGTAATGGCCGCTGCCGAGAAGATCCCAGGCAAAGTCATGTCGCACAAGCCTGGTAGCATGCTCGTCCTGGATATTACCGAAGACCAGCTGTTTGCTGCCGAGAATACGAGCATCCAGCCGCTGGGACTGGTGATCAACGGCCACTGAAGGACTCGGGTGATTCGAACTTTTGCTTACGCTCCTGGCGAGCCGGATTCAGGAACCTTTTTAGTGGGCGCATCTCTAGCGCCTCTTTTGGGTCATAGAACGCTTTAGTTTTTCGCAAACTTTTCCCAAACACTGTATACAAGCTGCGCGAACGAGGAGTCTTGGCTCTTACCTTGCCGGTGGCGCTGTAGGCTGACTCCACGGTATCTCGACAATGCTTGGCCTGCTCTGGTGCAATGCTTTCAAGGACCTCAAGCGCGTTGTCTGCTAGTTGAAGATGCTGCTCTCGAATTGCGAGCGTGAGCGTGCGAATACAGCAATCTGCATCTGGCATAATGTACATCGGCTCCACGTGCTTCTGCCAGATCCAATCCGTGGTTGGAAGATGACCTGCCGCCAGAGTTTCGTGGAGAATGTACAGCCAAGTAGGGCGTGGTAGCTCAATGTGTCTATCGTGATAATCGTAGAAGATGTGCAGTAGCAACTCGAACTCCTTTTCCTGACACATGGCGTGGCAGAGGACCGTCCGCAGCCAAAGAGGGATCTCGATGCTGTCGCTTTCGAGTTGAGCCAGTTCTCCCTGACCAGCCTCAAGTTGGCCCTCGCGGATTAGTGCTGCGACATTGTTCTGGCGGGCGAGTGGAGACATCGGTGCCCACTCTCTTCTCATTTTCTGTATTGTGCTCTGGCGCAATAGCGGATCTGGATGAACGGCTAGGACCTGCATAGCTGTCAGCTCGTTTCAAGGAGGAAAGAAAAGACACGATATACCTCGAGCACTGCGTTATCTACGAGGCCACTGGTCGGAAGAAGTGAGCTCTCCATCTCGGAGAGGATTCCCTTCACATTGTCGACTGATCCTTGCGGATCGCAATTACCCAGTATCATGGCCTCGTAGTGCGCGGTGGTAGGTCGTATGTGCCTCACACCGACAATATATTCCAACAATGTTTCGACGGCTTTCAAGGATGCCTTGTTGCGAGCAGTCCAAGTCAACTCCCGCTCGAGGTCCGCAATGGAAGCGTTATCCAGTCGGTCTTGGGATAGCTCGATCTCGCCATGAGAGTTCTCGGTCCACGAGTGCAACGGAGGTTGTGCATTGCTTCGACCAGCATGCGACGGGGCCTTGTACACCGCGAATGGCAATCGGTGTGTGCTCAAGTGGGCACATCGCGGTTTGAAGTGGCTTGCGGCCGCTGCGCCATGATGTCCAAGCCTGGGAGTCGTTGGGAGTGTGCGGGCGAAAGCCGGAGGGCCTATAGTAGCGCAACGAGAGGCCCAAGATGACCGTAGACAAGTACTCGCAATGTGCATGTGCCCGTCATTGCTGGCAAAGCAGTTCGAGCGGTGGAAAAAGACTCAGAAGTTGGGCGCAAGCGACCGCGGTTCACGACAGCCTTGGCGCGTCGGTGCTGCTCAACGTCAACGTTGCTCGTCCTCTACATCTACCTGCCGCCACCCAGCCTAGGAACAGCCTGCGGCTACACAATGCTCATTAAAGTAGCCGGGTAAGCAATGAGCTGTTGTACAGTGGCGTGTCAGTTGTCTCCTGATGAAGCAGTACCTTTCTTCAGAATACCAGGTCGAACCTCATACATCACCAACTCGATCTCTGTGCTGAGTGTAGTGACCCAAGAAAGCGAAGGAGTTATGAATGGTATGCGACAGAGCTGTCCAGGTTGATGACTTGGTTCGAGATGAAGCACCCACTGGTGAGTGTAGCACGTCTTGCTTCTTGAGAGCCCCCGTTGGCCCAGTCATGATGCTGTGAGCAAGCATTGTGTACCCCAGACGGGCATGCATGTTTGCTGTCAGATCGACGAAGATGTTGCTCGAGGCTGGCTTCCAGCACAGTAAGGTCGAAGTGAATGTTTCCCGTTGTACTAGGCAATGCCAAGTCGACTTTAAGGGCAGCCATTTGTTCCTTGCCAACGCAGCCACCGGTTTGCACCTCCATGGCCGTGGGGACGTCGATCTCGTGCAATGATACTACACATTCCCACAGGAGCGCAGTACTTCCAGATACCACGGTGTGCCCCCATCAAAAAACAGCTTGAAAGCTTCTCGTGGCCTTTTCGATGAACCAAGACCACTCCCATCTTTAAAAGTACTCTATCTTCAATAACACCTCATACTTCCAGCATGAGGCTGCTTCCACTCACACTAAGTCTCATATTATCTGATGCGACATCTGCTGCATCGAAGCCCCGCGCGAAGTCTATCACTAGCCGAGAAGAATCGTACCCAAAGTATGCGGTCAAGACGCCACCTCTCGACACGCCATGGACATATGACCTTGGCACCGATCCCTGGCCAGAATATCCTCGTCCACTGATGCGACGATCCGACTGGAAGAGCCTGAACGGCATCTGGAGATACCAAAATGCATCTGCATCTGATCAAGAGCCGCCTATCGGGGCGATTTTAGACCATGAAGTCCTTGTTCCATCCTGCTTGGAAAGTGCCATCTCCGGGTTACAAGGCACTTATACCATCTACTCATGGTTCTCCCATGACTTCCTCGTCCCATCGAGCTGGCAGTCCCGCAAGGTGCTTCTCAACTTTGGAGCGGTTGATTATGAAGCGACAGTCTACGTAGGTGGATCCTTTTCGGGGACGTTCACTTATGACTGAGACCTTTTGAGATCAACGGCAACTATGTGACTTTCAAGCGCGGCGGCTACGCCAGCTTCTCGACAGATATCACAGACCACGTCCACTTCAATAGTTCCAACGCGTTGCTAGTGTTCGTCCATGATCCAACCGACAGCGACGACATCGTGATCCCGATCGGAAAGCAGACCCTGCGTAAGTGCACATACACAAAATGAAGTACTTCCTTTGGCTATACTAATACTGGTGCAGGCCCTAGCCATATCTTCTACACCCCCTGCAGCGGAATTTGGCAGAGTGTATGGATCGAAGCTGTACCCACCTCAAACTACATCTCCCAACTCGATCTCGATGGAGATATGCATGGGAAAGTCTCGCTTCTTGCGCATTCCGCGACCCGTGGCCGGGACAAGGTCAACATTACCATTCGCGAAGGAGGTCAGACAGATACGGCTGCGGCCACAGCTTCATTCGACGCCGATTTCCCTACTGAAATCACCATGCCCTTCACCCCAAAACTCTGGTCTCCAGACTCACCTGTATTGTACGATGTTACCATACAGCTTGGCAGCGACACCATTGAGAGCTATGTCGGATTCCGCTCCATCGCTTCCCAAGAGGTCAATGGAGTTGTTCGACCCATGCTTAACGGCGAGTTCATCGTACGTTCATACCCCACAGCATCAGCTTCGACATATGCCTCCTCTCTAAACGTTCTCATCGGTTCTTCCAGCTAACAGGCCCCCAGTTCACAGTCGGCACACTCGACCAGGGCTACTGGCCTGACGGTATCTACGTCCCACCCAACCACTCCGCAATGGTATACGACCTCCACATTCTCAAAATCATCGGCTTCAACCTCGTCCGCAAGCACATCAAAATCGAATCCGACCTCTTCTACGCCGCTTGCGACAGACTCGGCCTGCTCATCATCCAAGACATGCCCTCCCCACGCCCCCTGCAGACCAAACACTACCCCAACTGCACCTCCCACCCCTACCTCCCCAACGCCACCGAACAAGCCGACTTCGTCCGCCAACTCCAGACCATGATCCACCAGCTCAAATCCCACCCCAGCATCTTCGCCTGGACGATCTACAATGAAGGCTGGGGCCAGCCCCTCTCCCCCACCCCCAACGGCACCTACGCGGAACACGGCCTCACAACGCTGGTCCGCACCCTGGACCCCACGCGCCTCATCACCGCCACCTCAGGCTGGACGGACCACGGCGCCGGCGACTTCTCGGACACGCACACCTACGCCTCCCCCAAATGCGGCACCCCCTTCTACAAAACTCCTTCACCTCCCTACGACCCCACCCGCATCGCCCTGCAAGGCGAATTCGGCGGCATCGGCCACAACGTCAGCGCCTCGCACCTGTGGCCCCTCCCCGCCGCGGTCGCCACCATCAACCAAACGTACGAGCTCGCCGACGACCTGGACACGTACAACTACCGCGCGCACCAGCTGTGGCGGGAGCTGCGCGAGCAGGTCGACCTCTTCGCCTGCTCCGGCGCCGTCTGGACGCAGACCACCGACGTCGAGGGCGAGCTGAACGGCCTGTTGACCTATGACCGGCGCGTGCTGCGCGTCGATCTGGAGCTGTGGCGTAGGGATATTCAGGAGCTGTATGATGCCGCCGAGAGGAGGGGCGCGAGGCCGTATCAGGTTCCGCAGCCCGTGAGGTTTGATATGCGCCCTTGAGGAGAATGGGAGGTTAGGGCGCGGGAGGAGTGGAGTCGTGGGTGATGCTAGGAAGTTAACTTTGTCATTTGGGTCGCGGAGAAACTGGGGAGGGGAGGAGCATTCGTTCTGAGGCTCCTGACAAGGTGCGGGGGTAGTTGACTGGTATGCGATAAAACCCTTTACGGCTTCGGAGGGCGATTCGCGGATTTTGCTAAAAACTTCAAACTGGTTTCTATCCTGGGGGGGGGTAGGCAATCCAGAGAGGGCTTGAGCACACACACCCAGGCGTTGAGGCAGCTGAGGGCGAGCAAGCTCCTCTTCAACGTATGGGCTCTTATTACATGTCAGCCTGGGACAGACACGACACGGCTTCCATAGTCCACGACACACGAGACATACGCCATCCCGAAGGAGAATGCCAATTGCTATGAAACGTATTGCTATACATGGCCCTGAATTAATATATTGCAAGAAAATATCCCTGTGGCATTTCCCTTTGCCCTTTTGGCCGGGCTTTCAAGAGGCCGACTAGATGCCTACTGTGCCGAGCCGCATGGTGCCCTATCGTATCCTGCTGTTTCCCCGGTAGTATATCCTGCGTACCGCCGTCTTCTGCGGTGACACAACCCCGCCAAAACGCCGTCACCGTACCTAACCCTGCGTGTATAGATCTTCCATTTTCCTTCGGTCAAGAAATCGATGCACACCCAAGGACAGCTCATCCGTAATGCAAACAAGCAGGCAATCGATGTCGAGATGCTGCGTCTTCCAGTTCACTCGCGACTCCGCGTTGTCTCTGTCCGCTGGGTGTCAAAGCTGAGCCGTGGGCTACAGTCCACGACACTGCTCTGGGTGGTGTCGTCCGGGGTGCCGTCCGTGACACTTGGCGTGTAGCCTGTGAAGCCGTCGACAACGCTGAAGTCGCTGCCTAGATCATTTGCGTAACTTGGCGGCGGAAGCGAATAAGCAGGAAGAGTTTCGGACCGGATACTGGCACGCTCTGCCGCCTCAAGCTCCGCTGGAGCTCGCCCCTCAGTCCGCTGGTGCTGGAAGCTCGACGAGCCCTCCTCGGCACGCATCATTTCACGTACCAGCAGGTGCGTGTTACGGAGGCCGTTGATTTGCGGTCGGACCACGTCGGCCGACTCGCTTTCCTGGTTGAGGATGAGCTCGCGCTTCTCTTCGTAGTCCGAGGATGCGAACGGCCGTCGGAAGCGTTGGAAGAAGGTTCGCACGCGGTACTTGCATGCCGCTTTGCGATAGAGAGCACGCGTTCTGCGTTCTTCACGGCGAGCTGCGCAGTCGGCTTTGCGACGCGGGTCGCGCAGGAAGATACACTTGCGGCGGATGCAGATACAACAGCCGAAGGTTAGAGCCCCCACGCCAATAATGAGAGCGGCAGCAATGAAGAAGGCAATTTTGAACTGATCTTGGGGCGTTAGCGCAAAAGGCTGGAAATGACTCTGTGAGTGTGGGTGCGCGCTGTCGGAAGGCGGGCTTGCTGCGGGAGTGTGATTCTCTTCGGTTGCCCATGGAGGTCTGCCACCTGCCCACGGGCGTCTGCTGTTTGGCCGTGCCCATGGAGGTCTGCCACCTGCCCATGGGGGTCTGCCACCTGGACGAGCCCATGGAGGTCGCCTTCCGTTGCCGGGAGGGCCATGGTGCCACTGAGGGCGACCATTGCCGCCTTGTTCTTCCTGTTGATCTTCCTTGTCTTTGACTTCAGAAGCTTCTTCGGTGGTCTCCACTTCGGTGGTCTCCACTTCGGTCTCGACCTCTACAGCCTGCACTGCATCGTCATCAGCCTCTTCCGTAGTTTCAGCATCCTCACTGAAGTCGACAAGGAGGGCTTGGTTCTCGTGCTGCTCAACCACCTTTTTTACCTCAGCAGTGCAATTCATGTGAGTCTCGTTTTTGAAGAAGTCGGAATTGATGTGAGTATGATGAGAAACATGAGTGGCGAGCAGGTGCGCAAGCGTGGGGGCCTTTTTCCATGCAGTCTTGACGTAGCACCGGATGGTATCACAAGTAGAAAACTGGGCCTTCCAGATCGACATAATGGAAGCTTGCACAGCCTTGATCTCCTTTTCGATATCGGCAGCGTGGGCTTTCAGGAGGTCCAGTTTCAGAAGCTCGGCCTCGAGGCCGGGGGGCATGTCATGAGATAGGTTGTCATAATCACCGGGTACGACAGTGAGCTTGAGTTCGTCGGACGGTGACCGCCATGAATCTAGGACAGCCTGCGACGTAGAAGTATAAGCATCTAGAGCAGGACCATGAGACAGTCTGAGTATGGACGGCTGGCCCGTTTGGCGGTATGAAAATGCAAGTTCAGTCAGCGCAGCGGAATCAATGTCGGGATTTGAGATAGTAAGGACGACCAAAGACACATCGCCTTCGAGACATGTGAGGCTGCCGGAAGCCTCGAGCCAAGCGAAAGATCCATCTCCACGGGGCGAGGAGAACTGGGTAGGTTGTTGAGATGGGGACGCCAAAGTTAACTTCGCATTGTTAATCCCAAGGTTTATATCGAGACATTCACGGTCTGCAGAGCCAACATCGAGCTTGATGACCTAGGACAAAGCTTAGTGGCTTTCGCAGTAGTGGTAACATTAATGGATTTACCAGCGGTTCGGTGTCGTGCTCGTAGGCAATGGGAACCACCACAGAGACATGGTCGGAATCTATGCCGATCAGCGTGTATGTACACCGAGCCAGAAAGCAACTAACCTATTGTACCAGCAACAGAAGTAACATTGACAACATCAGAAGGAGACGAGGATTTGTGAACCGCGGAAACAACGCCAACCAGAACCGACGAGTAGAGGAGAAGTGGGTGCATAGTAATCAGGTGATCCTCGGACCAACTCTAAAGACAACAATCTGAAACAATTCACCACAGTGGCGACTCAGAAACACACCGTGACACGGTGTTCACGAGCACATACTGGTGCCTTGATGGAGACTCAAGGTAAAAGGGAAGAAACGAAGACACTCGGAGGTCACCAAAGAGAAGGGTGGAAATCTGGGTGCCTGGAGAGGTTCGGCGATAGCGTCTTCTCGGCGGAGGCTGTGCTTATTTTCGGGTCCGAATACGCGTCAACTTGGCATAACGAAGAGTCCGTAAGGCAGCCCCTGACGGAGCATGTTGTAGTGATGTTAGAGGGACGACGTCAAGACATGGAACCATTTGGTGACTGTGGGATCTCGATAGCATGTTTTCAAGACGGGCAGCAGCTGTGGAAGGTGCAAATGCAAGACCCGGTTGCCGGTTGATATGATCACGTGACTTCTAGTAGAGCTGTTTTGCTACATTCTGTATGCGAGCCCAATCGGGCAGTTGCACTTCTTCCTACTCGAGACACAGCAACTCGTGGAATCTCTGACGACGGTGCTACAGACTCAGCAAGGCCAGGGTGCAGTGGCTCTTCGTTCATGTCACTGTGCCAATCTTCGCTGCACATGTGTCAGATCGGCTAAGAGCGCACACTATACCGCTCAGTAGAGTGCAAAGAGCGGTGTTCGCCAGGCCAACGCAGGGAGTGGTGCAGTTGGAGAGCCTCGTCGGCCCCTTGAATACTCCTGTATAATGATCTATATATCCGGAGAATAGAAAACCTCGGTGTGTGCCGCTCGCTCCTCAACGGTGTAACCTTTACGCCGTGGGTCCCACATCCCTCCCCATGGCCCAGCAATCAACCTCATGCGAATGACTAAGCCGGATCGCTCGGAAGGCCCGCACCTTCAAACACTGTCGATGACTGGCAGATGCACCCCTGGACGCCGAACTGCACGTGGCGCCTAGTCCTATCCATCATACTCCTCTTATAGGAACAGGCTTGTTTGCGGGGTCCCAAATAGGATAGTGCCCAAAAGATTAACTAGACCTCAACACTGTCTTCAGACTGTCCTAGCCTGGCGTCTCAGGAACATGTTGTCTGTTTACCAGCAGTGAGATACTCGCACCGTCTATCTTTTCGCCTAGACCTTGTTGAGAGACATATCTCTTTGGCATAGAGCTAATATCTCCAACTGCTTGGAGATCTCTCCTAGACGTCCAAGGACTACCTCATTGCCCTCCACAAAATTGAAGATCGTGTACTTGACTCCTACACGCTTACAAAAGTCTCTCACCAGAGACTGAGCCTCGCGCAGATTGTGGCGGGGCAGGCGAGGGAACAGGTGATGTACTGCTTGAAATTGCAATCCGCCATGGATAAAGTCCAGCCAAGCCGGACAGTTGACATCCATGGTCGTCCGTAATTGTTTCTGCGCAAAGGATTCCGCAGACCCAAGGTCGGTCGTTGACATACCCCAATGAGATAGAGTAATCTGAACATGTAAAGGCATGGTTGCAATGTGGCTGATGAGGACAAAGCCTATGCGGAGAGGCCAGGAAGGGATCGATAGCCAAACCAAGCGATAGCCGAACAGATACCAGTAGCAGAGCATGCAGAAGCCTTCCAAGGGTCGCGTCCACGTACTGCTGGGAAGTCGGGTGGCTTTGTCGGAGATGAGGTAGCCCCACGACAGGAAATAGAGATTGAATCGGGCAAGACCCATGACCGGGTAGTATGTGTATTCTTGGATGCGTACCATGATATCGGCGGCTTTATCCCAAGGAAAGATACTGCCATAGTAGGTTGAGCGGAGAGATTTGCAGAACGTAGACGACGTGGAGAAGAGGGGAACATTCTGAATGTCTGGGTCGTGCTCCTATGCTATGTTAGTAGATAATCATGCAGGAGAATGATGAAGGCACGTACAGGGTGGTTTGGAACTAGATGATGCACATTGTGGCTACTCTTCCACCAGCCCATCGAAAGGCCACAACAAAAGTCTGCGATGAAGATGCCGATCGCAGTATCAATCTTGAAGTTGTGCGTGATGGATAGATGACCAGCGTCGTGGGCGGAGAACATGATCTGATGCCAGAACAGCCCAAGGAAGACTGCCGATGTGAGAGTCCAGCCATATCGGAAGGCCACGAGGAAGAGGGAAAAGAGCGTGGAATATCGCACTAGTTCTTTGGCATAATTCGACAATCGACATGTGTACAAGCCTCGCTCTCGCACCGTTTGATGTAGATCCCGGAACTCGAGTGAGATTGCTCGTTGAGTGGCCGCATCGGCTGCGGGATACTCGCTCTGGTCTAGGTCGATCTCTAGCTGGCGCAGATGGTCGAGAGCAGATGAGTAGGTGTGGTCGTCGCTGTCTTCTCTCATCTGCTTCGTGACGTTGGACCGGAGCTCAAGCCATTCGGGTTGGGGAGTAGTAGAGGTGTCTGGGACATGACTGATGTCTGTTACAACACTCTGCACGTGCTTGTCTTTGGGGCTCGTCTTCGCTGCGACTTGCCCTAGCACCGGTACAAAGGGACGACTTCCGTCGGTTGTTTCTAGGTTGAAGGATGTTCGGGAAATAGGAGGCTCGAGATCGATCCAGGGCTCGTTGATGACACCGATGCGGTACCGACACATCTGCTGTAGGATGTCGACGCTATGGTAGCTGCGCGGAAGAGCATCAGCATATATTCGCACATTCTTCATCCACCGGAGTCCTTACACGGCCAAAGGATCGGTGGCGTCCTTGCCCACCATGTGCAAGATGGGTAGGCGTCCTCCTGGGTGCCGGTCGGCCCATTTGTCTAACCGGAGTACCTGATCATTCGAGATGACGATGAGTTGGCCCTTGTTGATCAAGTCCTCTACCTGCGAACGAGTGAAGACGTCCAGCTTTTGCTGTTTGCGGGACATGATAGAGTGGTACCGGTAGGGAAAACGAACGTCAAGCAAAATACGAGAAGGGCCTGGGGGGTCGTACAAGATAGATCAGTTAGAAGCAAGCCATGGCTGTCAAAGGGGCGTTGGGGCCATCGAGCCCAGACACTCGTGGAGTCGTGGAGCATTATTGCAGCGGGCGACAGCGTGATGGCCGCACATCACTCGCCGCCATGGCGATTCCGACGACGTAGTACTCGGCGCAGCACGCTACGCTGTCCACTTGTGTCGCGGCTTTCTTGCACGCAGCGCAGAATTCCACACCTCGCTAGCAGGGTTTCTCCCGAGCAATGCCCAGGTTCGCACCATCTAGCGGGACATGGCGGTCGCTGATCGGCTCCGTGCGCCAAACATGACGGATGTGAGGAAATGCGGCAGAGTCAAGATGGAAACGTGGAAACTGTAATACAAAAACGTGTCCTACCACCCTGGACGTACCAAGTTTCGATTGCCTGTGTCGGCCTTGGCGGGCCAAGGTGCCGGTTGGCCAGTTCTTCCTTCTGAGGGGCCCATGACTCCATGCTCCTAAATTTTATACGATTCGCGATAGGTCGCCCCTGAGTGCCTGGATCTTGCCCCCCCACGGGATTTTCACAAAGGGGCAGCAGGGTCGTGCAAGTCAACGGACCTCGAGCGCTCACACGACATCAGTTCAGAACTTATGTTTCTTACATCGTACCAGGCTGATGCTGAGATATGGATGCCTTGATTCCAGAAATATTGCGACGGTATTCAATGACGCCTGATCTCGCTTACACTAGGCTAGATCAACAGGGGCACCATCGATCCCCATCTTCTCCGTCTATCTGCGTCTGGACTTCTGGAGCGGCTTGGGTTGACGTCGCCGTGCAGCTGGACCAACCATCACCAGAAACCTCCGTGGAAATTCTCGGCGCAGATTACACGTGCTCCCACCATGGCCGTCAATCTGTGCAGCTGCCTTTAACCAAGTCAAGGGACCGAGGCATCTCCACTCAATGCGCCAGTCACAATTGCAACGGCGCAGTAGTGGCACTGTACACAGCCTCAACAGTCAAGCCTTAGCATGCATCTGTAACGTCTTCGGGCTAGTGCCACCGGTTTGGTGCTTTCCCGACCTTGGTTTGAGTCTTGCGACAGGTACGCAGTACGAGGATTTCATATGATTCTCGTGTCGACTTTCCCTTTCTTGTTGTAGTTTCAGCCTTACGGCAGCGACTTCGACATACTTGCACTGTTTGCACACCACAAATAGTACGATTTCGCGCAGCTGGAGTTCTTGCAGGATTCAAGTCAAACCCCTGAAGCTCGACTCCCACCGAATTGGGCAAAGAATATGATCTCAGACTACACGATATCCTCTTGAGAAAGCCGCATGAAACAGGGCGGGGCCGGAAGACCGAGACATTGCTCCATCTCGGGCCTCTGAGGTACACCAGCCGTACGGAGTCTTTCTAGGCGCCAGCTAAACCCAGGGACGTGAAGCCGACTCTCGCATCTAACACACCACCTGAGAACAGCCCCTCGGGTGACGTGCGCCAGCGGTTTCGGAAGAGCTCTCAGTAAACAGCTCTGTTTGATCGTCCTCAAGCGAGAGAAGCTTGTTCGGTGCGATTTGCGCTTGATTTCAATGTTCTGCTGCAGCACCATATACGTAGACTCCCACGTCTTCTCGCGCCTCGGACGAGTGCTTCGCGTCAGTCAATGACGGAGCAACGCGTTGATGAGTACTTCCAAGAATCCTTATGCATGAAATCGCAAGCCGAGAGTGGTACTGCTATCGAGGCCTCTGAGCGGCAGCTTTCCCCGTTCAAGGTGCTGCGACATGCTCGTCACTTTCAATAGACCGCTTCCGCCCAGATTCTATCCGCCGCAATTCTTGGCGAACCTCGCAATCACGTGCCGCCAAGCCCAAGGCGACAAGGCACGCTAGTCCCCATCTCAGACTCTCTCTCTCGTCATCTAGCAAACCAATCGAAGCCACCCCCATTTCTTCAACAACCAAACACATCTCTCCCCCCAACAGCGTCGCCTGCCCACGATGGTAAGTCCAGCGCCCCCCGCCTTATCACACCCACAACCCAAACCCTCAAGCGGACCGAAAGAAACAAAAGTGAACGTGAACCCTAACAAATCTTCCCCCCTCGACCTACAGTTGCCGCTCGGCCTCCTCAACGCCGCCCAAGGCAGCCCCATGCTCGTGGAGCTCAAGAACGGCGAGACGCTCAACGGCCACCTGGTCAACTGCGACACCTGGATGAACCTGACGCTCAAGGAAGTCGTGCAGACGAGCCCCGAGGGGGACCGCTTCACCAAGCTGGCCGAGGTGTATGTGAGGGGCAACAACGTAAGGGTTTTCTTCTCCTTCTTTTTGTTTGTTTTCCTCTATCTATCTCTCCCTCCCTCTTATCCCTGGAGCTAGACTCCCCCTCTATCATTGGGGGGAAATTTGCGAGCGTCGAAAGGAAGAGAAAAATTAATCTTTGTGCTCACATCAACAAAACAGATCAAATACCTACGGGTGCCAGACGAGATCATCGAGCAAGCCAAGGAGCAGCAACAGCAGCAGCAGAACCAGCAGGGAGGCGGGCAGCGGGGCCGCGGACAGGGCCATCGTGGCGATGGCGGGAGGGGTGATCGTGGTGGGAGGGGCCAGGGTCGCGGCGGACGGGGGAGGGGGAGGGGTGGGCGAGATCGAGGCTGAGAAACTGATGATGTATCTGAGACTTTCGAAACGAAAAAGTTCTCCTTCTACAACGCACGACGCGACGCGACTCGGCGAGGTTTGCTTTGCTTACTGCTACGATCGAGGTGGGTGGGTGGTCGGGGGGACGGGCACAGAGATCTCTGCCTCCGCTGCCGCCAACCAGGCCAAGCAAGCTAACAGACAGACGAAAAGGGGGTTGGTTCAGGAAGGGAGAATGAAACGGCAGGAACCCCAAGTCATTATCGTCGTCGTCATCATCATCATCATCAAGGAATTTTTATTATGTGCGGCCAGCAATCCCTTCCTGGCTGTCCGCTCGCTGGCGTGCGATGGAAACATTGATCGACTGGCCTCGCAAGGCGGCTGCTAGACTTTGCCAAAAGAAACAAAATCCAGCGTCCGCGCACAGAACTCCAACGCTATGCCAGCCAGCTTGCCTGCCATGCACTTAAGCAAGAAAACGCTGACGCCGAAGGGGGATTTGGGCGAAAGATCAGATTCCAAAAATTACAACGTTTCAACAAACCCCTATCTTTCATCTCCGGGTCAATTGATCGACTATGCATGAAAGTGCCTGCTTGGTCGTTAGAAACCAGGTGTCAAAAGAAGAAAAAGTGTCAAGGGTATCGTTCAACAATGCACACTCACTTTTTCAGAGACAATGCCTTGGTTGTACAAGTGCTTGCCCAGACCTCTGATGACCTCCATCTGCTCCTCGGGCGTCAATCCCCACATTGCAGATTCGATAATGCTGCCCGGCGTTGTCTTATAGACAGCGATGAAGCTTTGGTAGTACATGTAGGCGAGGGTTCCCATGATGAATTGGCAGTCCATGCGGTCGGTCATGCCGCCGTGGCCGGGGATGCTGTCGCCGAAATCTTTGATGTTGAAGGACCGCTTCAGCCCGGAGGCGAAGAAACCACCAAAGGGCGCGATCAGGGACGCAAAGGTCGCCAGGACAAAAATGTGGAATTGGATGGGCTCGATCCAGAATGTATGGTCGATGTGGGACCACTCTGGGAGCTGGTATGGCCGCGCAATGAACACTGGATTCGGCTCGCAGGTCAAGCCGCTGAAGGCATTTGCGCCCAGGTCGCTGACAGGACAAGTGAAGTAGGGATACTTGATGAGGAAGTTGGTCAGGCCGTAGCCTATGATGACGGTGCAGATCCATGCTCCCACAAAACCTTCAACTGTCTTCTTGGGAGACAGCTGAATGAGGGGTGTGCGGCCGAAGGTAATGCCACAGATGTAGGCAAAGATGTCATTCGTAATGACTAGTGAGACGGGAAGGAAGAGCCAGATCAGTCCTTCAAAGACGTTATTCATCATGAAATGTGCCTGGAAGACAATGAGGAACAACGCCATGTGCGTCCATGCAAACTGGCGGAATTGGAACTTGTAAGAGCCCTTCTTGAGAGAGCCCACGAAGAAGACGAATCCTACTCGATGTCAGTGTCTCGGTCCGGTGGAAGGGCAAGTCTACTCACCCATGAGGTAGACCATGAAGCTAATGAAGCGATGGTGAGTTGCAAACGGCAGCAGAACCTTGTCCACCAGCAGGATGTGCTTGAAGTAGTACAGCACGCTCTCGCCATAGAGATAGTACATGGTCACAGCGAAAAAGTACCAGTTCAGCGATCTTGTAAGCGGGAGTGCTTTCTTCTTCTGAGGCACTTGCGCGATGGCGATGACCTCTTTGAACGAGATGATCTGGACCACCGTGATGACGCCCAAAATCGCGACATGGCCAGCGGCCAGCAATCCAAAAAAGCCCGCGATCATGATCAGGGTCCATATCGTACGCGTGATAAACGTCTGCTTCTTCTTCTCGTATTCTGACGCTGCAGGTTTCTTCTCGTCTGTCAAGGCATCGCGGATCTCCCGGCGCGGGCTTGCGGGTTCGGAGGATGCATCGGTTGAAGAGCTCGGTCGCCTGGCATCGGCACCGCCGCCGTTGGCGCGGTGTTGGAACTTGACGCTTTTTGGTTTCGCCATGTTTCCTATGGCTATGAACCGGGTGCGAGGTTCAGCGCGAACGACGATTGCGCGATCGGGCCGCGGAGCAGGTGTCTAGGCTGCTGAGGTGCGGAGAGCGCCGGCAGATGAAATGTCCGCAAGGTGATGTTACGTCGTCAAGAATGACCACCCTACGTTTGACGACGTGGTCGCTGCTGGCTGCTAAATGAAAGACAGAGAGCCTTAGCCTGCAACTTTTGCAGACACGTCGTGGGATGAAGTCGGGTTTCCAAGCGGACCGGTGCAGATGAAATTGGCCTCCAGGCAGTCTCCAGTCAGTTCTGCCAGCAGGCAATCAAGCAATCCACGGGTCAGCGTCATCATGCAGCAGCGGCCAAGACCGGCGCCTCTTTGGCCCGGCTAAGGCGGAGGGCCGGCGCCTGTGCCCCTGAGCAACTACATACAATTTCTATTTATTGCTGCCTGGCCTTCCAGCACCATCATACATTCCTGACGGGTATCACGGGCTCCAGGTAGCCGTACCAGTTCGGTAGAGTCCTCTTCATCTCATTGCCCGCTGTCGTCAATTGCAAGTGCTCAATAGCACTACCATATTTGATCAGCTCATCCTCCTTCCACGCTGTCTGCATGATGGCGATTCCAAACGGCATGCCTGTCTCCGAGTGCGTTCCAGCCGGGAGCGTTATCATTGGATAACCGGCTTGGGCTGCGATCTGATATGTTTGTCCCACGTCAGGGGGCACAAGCAGACCGTTCAGCTTTGGACTTGCAGAGTCCAACAGACCGAGGGCTGAATCAATTCCCGCCCTGGTCTTGCTCTGAGTAAAGGACAGAGCCTGGAAATACTCCTCATCGTGCTCGCCCATGGTGTCCAGAGACGCCAGGAAGCCATCTTGCCCTGAGTAAAACGCCGGAATGCCACTTGGCCAGGGATGTCCGCCTTCGCTGCCATCGTTTGCATACTGGAAATCGACAATGTCTTCGAGAGTCCGAATGTTTGTGTTCTCGAGCTCCGAGAGGTACGTTTTGATGTTGTTGTAGAAGTCAGTCGCCACAACGGTATACTCACTCTCATTGGGATATCCTCGCGTGGAGCCATAGTCCCAGTCCCACCCGTCCGGACTGACAAGGGTCTCAAAGTCGAGGATCTCGGTGCCATTGATGACTGTAGCCCCAGCCAATTGCACAAGCTGCATTAACGACAGCAAAGTCTCTTGCTGCTCTTCGTCGGCGTAAATCCAAAACGACTCCCAGGGAAGCCCAAAAGTTGCTCCACTGAGGGCTTCCGTCCCAGACAGCAACTGCACGTACCCTCCATCAGGTGACTGCTGTGCCGATGTATAGTTATCCCGGTCGTCTGGTCCGTAGATCGCGTCCAGAGCATATACCGCGTCTCGCACTGTCTTACCAAAGGTACCGACGGAATCCTGGTGCTCGCTCTCCGGCACTACACCGGCCCTCGACGTCAGCCCCACCGTCGGTTTGATGCCAACAACAGCGTTCCGCTCGGCGGGATTGATCACACTGCCATCTGTCTCAGTCCCAAGCGAGAAAGCAATTGCGTTGGCGGCAACGCCTGCCGCACTTCCCGAACTGCTTCCGCCGGGGTTCGTGGTCAGGTTGTACGGCGACCGCACTTGTCCACCTCTTGGTGAATACCCTTCCGAATAATTGTTCGAACGCATATCAGCCCACTCCGAACATCCAGCTTTGCCGAGCAGAACAGCGCCAGCTGCGCGAAGCTTCGCCACGACGTGAGCATCTCGCGGCACGATACTGCCCAGGAGCGCCAGGCTCCCCGCCGTGGTCTCCATATTGTCCTTGGAGGCGATGTTATCTTTGACGGTAAAGGGGATGCCATGCAGGGGGCCTCTCACGGTACCGTTAGCTCTCTCCGCGTCCATGGCAGATGCAATGGCGAGAACGTCTGGATTGAATTGAATGACGCTTCTGAGATAGTCCTGCGTCTGATAGGTCCGCTGGAGATAGCAAAGAGTAAGCTGGACTGAGCTGAGACTACCGTTGCCCATGGCCGCCTGCATATCGTCTATGGAGGCCTCCTCGAGTCCGAATGATCCACATGGTGCCATGGGAAAGAGGCTTGAGGATTCCGCATTCTCAAGCAACGGAAACAACGAGGCTGTAGTACCAGGCAGGAGGAGCTGTGCGAGGGATAGACGAGCTTGCCATAATATGGCCATCAGAGCACTGAGCCCGGTTCGGCACAACATGATGTGGGCTCTGATCAGATCAATTTGACCGTGGTAGCTCTTCAAGAATATCACGTAGCCTGGCTCGAGAGGTTGTGCACACTTTCCGAGGGTCTAAAGGGTCAGTACCCAGCTGTAAAGAGGTAGAGTCACGTTGGACATCTGTGGCTGGAGCTCCCAGCTTGACTTGCAATGGCTAGCTGCATAGTCTGAAGTCGCATCTGACCTCATGGTTGTTGAAAACTGCAGCACTTGTCACTATCTTGATAAGCCAGTCCGATGCGGCAGGTGCTTGCGGTCCATCGACCCCCCGCCGCTTGGCAGAACAGTACAGAGGTAGATTTCCCCGTCACAAACGTCGCAGAACCATCTACAGGGATACGTGCTTGTAAGTCAGCGAGTAGGATTTGTATATGCAAAGCGAGACTGGAAATCCTAGACAATGATGGACAGCTTGTACGCTCTTGAGATAGCCAAATGGTGGTTTGTCGATATGCCTCACACAAGAAATACCAATAGCTATCCTGGCTTCAGATGTACAATACGGGCGCCCACTCGTACGAAGCTGAAGCTTAGCTATGCGCACCTAGCTACAGTAAAGGGGCTAAGACCTCCATCTCCGCTTCTCATTGCTCAATGATAGAGCTACGCCGCCGCAGAATGTCGTCATCCTGAGTAGGAGGGCCTCTGTAGTGCTTCCGGCCCCAAACGAGATACCAGATGATGGAAGCCAAGGTACCACCCACAAACACGACCGACGCATAGTTCATGGTCTCTGCGGTCACGGGATTGAAGAAGGGGAAGCTAAACAGTGGGGTAATAAGGATGGACCATGCTGAAGAAACATTAGCAAAAGCTTAGGGATTGGGACCGGCGTAGGAGTGGACGTACCGACGGCAACAACGTTGCAAATCAGACCGATGATGCCAAAATTCCAGGCGCCAGCCTTTAGATGCTTGCGGCCAGTGAACAGGTTCACTGCTATAGGCATAACGTACGCGATCGTCAAGAAGATCACACCAGAGCCAGAAAAGGCATTGAAAGCCGCGGTAGACCCGAAGTAGATAAGGCCTAGCAAGACTTCGACGGTCGTGCAGAGAAGCATGGCATTCAAGGGCATATCGAGCTTGGTGTTGACCTTCTTCCAGATACCAGATCCGGGCATCGCACCGTCGCGCGAGAAAGCCCAGATGCAGCGGGATGAGGCAGTCGTACAGGCGGTGCCGCAAAGGATGCTGAGTACGAGGATGGGTACTGTAAGTGCGAACGCGCCGCCCTCGTTACCAATGGCATCTCGGAGAATGAAAGGCAGAGGCTGTGCATTGGGATCATTGATAACATCCTCGAGGGCCGGCAGGACGAACATTAGAGGCACCAGGAAGAGGAAGCCGCAGAGCCAGTTGAGGAACAAAGCGCCACACATGGCCTTGGGAACCTGGGTGGCCGGGTGCTGGGTCTCTTCACACATGCTGAGGATCATGCCGGTCGCAGACGTGGCGTACGCAGCGTGAAGAAGCCCGATCATGAACGACCAGCCATCGACCCACCCAGTTGAGGCTGTAAAGTTGCCGAAGGCGAAGCTAGCGCTGTTGCGGCCATTGTTGGCGATGGCAAGTGTACAGATGAGGATCGCGAAGACGCCGGCGAAAGTCATGTAGATGGCCATGGTCTAGACGAGGTCTTAGTGGCAGGGGACTTTACTTTTGTGACGCAGACTTACATCAAGCAGAGGCAGGAATCTGTTGCCAAGGGCAGTGATCAAGTTGCAGGTGATAGTGATGGCAAGGAACAGGAGGTAGTATTGATACGTCTCCGGAGCCCAGATACCATTACCTTCAGAATCCTGGAAGATGTTGATGCAGCCAATGAAGAAGAGCGTGGTGCCAAAGTTGACGGACAAGGTGATGATGATGTTACCAAGCGCATAAGCCCAGCCACAGATCCAGGCAGTGATTCTGCGAATACTGGGCGGTGAGAGCATAAATGTTTGATAGTAGACACCACCTGCTGTAGGGTATACGGAGGTAATCTCACCAAGCGAGACAGCGAGACATCCGATGATGGCGCAAACACCGCACCAACCCCAAATGACCGCAACGGGTCCACCGCCTGCAATGGGGTAGATGAGGGTGGTAGCCAAACCGTACGGTACCGAGGCCAGGACGAAGGACATGAAAGCTACCTGGAAGGTCGACCGTGAGCGAACGAGCTCGGACTGATAGCCCAGGACATTGAGCAGCTCGTCGGCATTGGCAACTTCGCCGCCGTGGGTGATGCTCGCTCGACCATCCCTGTTCTTCTTAGATTCATACATGGCGCCCTCATTAAAAACACCGCCATTGCTATGGTGTGGATTCTGTGGCGACGCGTAGTCGAATTGAGCGTGCGACATTATGAATGCATGCACTGGGAGCGGGGAAGTCGTGGATGGGGAGGTCGCCTTGGCTAAAGGGTCGCAAAGGGTCGCTTGGGGTGGGTGCAACGACGTTGGGCAGACTCAATGCTTCTCAAGAACTGTCGCCTTGGGTGGTGGTGCTTTGGGGTATACAGACGAAGGTGTACGACACGGGTGAAGAGCGCGTGAAGAACCCAGGAGCGATGGCAGGCGAGGGTAAGCGCGATATTAATTGGATTACCGGGGCTCGACTCGACAGCTTCTCTCAGCCTTCCAGAGGGCGTGGTGACCGAGGAAAGTTTGATCCAGGGCCCGCAAGAAAGAAGCTTGGTAGCTCCACTCCGCCCGCGGCAGCAAAGCAGCATCGCTAAGGCGTGGCGGTTGTGGGCTGGCATGGGTTAGGGCCGCAAGGACTAGCCCTCCAGGCTCTAGTCACAGGCTTAGTGTTGTTACCTTGAGGCCCAGGTGGCTCAGGTTTTGCAGGCTCTCACGTGGGAGAGGGCTGCAGGATTCAGACTTTGTCTCATGACGGCTGCCAAGCTTTCCGGAAAGTGCAGCTCTCGTGTCTGGCACCCACTGGCATTCCGGGGGTTACCCTAGCTGAACAAAGCCCATATCGTCTTTGCCTAGCGCCTGCTGCAGCGTGAACAGGTCCATCTGGCAACGAAGATGTGCATGAAAAGACTCCGCAGGGCCCGCAGCGGCATGTGTTACAGTTCATCTGTCATGGAAATAACGCGCGACACGGTCCTCTAATTTCAATATTTTTTCCTCCTAGAAGTCGAGTGAGTCGTGACAGTGGGCAGTAGAGACCGGTAGAACTGCTTATCAGCCGCGCAATTTTCGAGGGACCCCAGCCAATGGATTATGGGCTCCAGGGCGTGGTAATACGACAGGACATGGACGATAAGAGGCGTACTGGGTAAGCGAACAGATAGCTCCAACCATCACGTATCTTGGGCAGGCGTGCGGGCATTTGACCTGAGGTCACACGAGCTTCCGGGATCCCAAAGAGCGAACTGGTGCTGGCGTCGATACGGCGTAGCTGCGGTAAGCGACGGTCGTTCTTACCCTAACCCTGGGGCGGGGCTCTTGCCAAGAGATCCGCTCGCGATCCTCGACGCGTGGGCTGCGATCTGAAATTCCCAGGGCATGACTTCCTGCCGGTCGTCCACAGTAGGCGAGCCACATTCGCAAGCCGATTCTGTCTCCCATGGCTCCTGAATATGAATGGCATGGACGACGGCGGAGACGTGCACAACTTCTCGGACGCAGACGATGACTTTGACTTTGGAAATCTCCCAGACGACGCGCTTCGGGAACTCGAACACAATGCCATACTCTCGACACAGCAACAGGCTGCAACTGGCCGACTCCCCCACAAGACCAAATTCGAGTCCAACCCTCGTCAATCCAATGCTAATCGCCCGAACGTGCTGCCTCACCTGCAGAAAGCACTGAATGAAAGTTATGAGATTGACAGTTTCGAGACGATTGGAGAGGAAAGAGTGCCGACTCCGATCGAGGAGGTCCGCTCTTTCATACCACAGAACCACAAGCCTCCCAGTGAGGTGACCCAGAGAGAGCAATGGCGGCAGAACAGATTTGGAAAATCTCATCCCAATCCCCAGTTTCGGCCACATGCTCCTACGAGACATCAGTATGGTCAGGGTCAACAGCCCGTGGCGCCTCTGCCTTCGCAGCGAGGCGCCAACAGTCTCAGTCGCACTTTTGGCGCCACCCAAGGTACACAAGGCACCGCCCATCCTGACCTCGATCTGTCGACAACGATGCCAAATGCCGATCGCGATGCACTCTCAGCACGCATCGCTGAACTGCTCAAGGAGCGCGACAGCCTCTTCACGGAGCTCAAACAAGCAAAGGATGATATTATGACCCACAAGGGCGAGATTTTCATCATCAGAGAGAACAAAGACAAGGAAACCAAGGTCTACGATAGGCAGTTGGCAGCTATCAAGAAGTCGATGCAGGATGAGTCCGCAAAGCACAAAGCAGCGTTGGACGCACTGTCTTCGAAACATTCCGCCTTGATGACCGAGTTCGATATGACCAAGGACGACCTGAAAGAGGAGACCCGCAGAACGAAGGCGCTCGAGACGCGATTGAAGGATAAAACTGGCCAGAAAGCGAATAATACTGATATCACACCTCAGAAACACCGTCCAGCTAATTCCCTCCGTGACGGATTTGATGACGATGAGATCATGGTTGTTTCGCCTGCCAAATCTGCCACAAGACGATCCAAGCCTTCGACTCCGACCGCAGCGAACAAACGGAAACGAAAAGTGGATGCCAGCCCTATCAAGCCTCTCGCATTGCGGCAGTCGAATGAAGGCGAACAGCCACCGACCCTCAAAGGTGAGCCCTTGGGAAAAGCGGATCGTGTTGTCCCCGTTTTCCGCAAAGACAAGCAGGCTGAGCGACATCTGAAACTTGTTCAACGGATCTTCAATTACCAGCTCAAAGCCCGTAAGGAAAGGCTGGTGGAGGCCTTGATCCATTACGCTCTCCCGAGTGAGCCTCAGAAAACATTCTCTACGACGATGCTCGACTCGGCTGCACGCTTGAGTGGCCCAACGTTGCCAGTAGATCTTCTCCAGATCTTCATCCAGTTATGGTCCCAGTCCTTGAAAGAGAAATACTATGAATGCGTGCCGATCTTGATCGAGGTGGTCGACTACATGCTCGACATTCACACGGCCGCGATTGAGAAATCCACCATAACGAATCTACTGGCGGTGCTTCAGGACTCGGCGACTATCAATGGCTCCGCTCGCTTCAAGCACTCGCCTGTGTACCGCGGCAATTTTGGCCAATTTCGCCAGACGCCCGTGTCTGCTCTCAATCCTCTTGTTGATAGTACAGCTTGTCTTGGTCTACTATACAAAGTCGCCTGTCTCGCCATAGACTCGAAGCCCCTAATTGACCACTTCTGGCGGTCCATGTCAACCGACTTTGTGTTGATGATGCTGAACTCGTGGCAGCCCATATCGGACATCACTCTTATGCTCCACCTGCTAGCCACGTCTATCTTTGAGGGGACCTTTGGCAACATCTGTCCCGATCCATCTACGCAGAACACTATGGAGACGCACATCATCAATCGTGTGTCCTATCTCTTGTGGGAGACGCCCAAGGTCGATGAGGGCTTTCCCAATCCATCTCGCTCCGATCTCTGTCGATTTCGCCTCGAGTCTCTCGGGTTGTTGAGCACGCTGGCAATCGACTCGTCTATGCCACCCCACGACGATCCACACCACCATGGGTCTGTGCTTCTTGCCTCTCACCCTTCGGCGATCGCGCGCATTGTCCGCTCGCTGTACGATGCGACAGCCAGCCTCTATCTTCTCACCAGCACTGCTTCGTTATATGCTCAGATCATCAATCGCGGTGTCCGGTTGCTGTATCATTTGATGACACAACATGGCGAGGAGATTAATCTGCAAGAGAAGCTGTCTACCGTCAATGGTGGAGTGCACAAACATCGAGTTGTGCTGACCAGGCTCGCTTTCAGTGAAGGATGGCTCATCGACGCCGAAGTGACGGATGAGACCTGTGCCATGGCCACAGCGCTACTTGAGGACAGTGTGACGCCAGATGAGGCGGAGATGATGATCCAGGCTTTCCCAGGGTTCAGTGGCAGAAAACGCGAGAAATCGGGCATATCAAGTCGCGATGAGGACGCTATGGATATCGAAGCCTGACTTGGGGTCTAGGAAGTGTTGGATGGTTGAGGATATCTGCGAAGCGTGGCGTGGTACAGGCTATGTATGATGATTGGAATGTCAATGACTACGAAGTTGATGAACCTTCTGTTGCGGTCCCCCGCGGAATCATCTGTTCTCCCGTGCCAACACCGGCTTACTCACCTTTAAGCTCAACCTCATATCGCCAGTTAATGGTCAAGGACTCTACGATAGCGCCAAGCATGCATCAGCCTCGGCTCCACCCACCTGCATCCAAGTTACATCATTTGCTGGCGACTGGCGACTGGCGATCAAAGCTTTCTACAAGTCGCGACTCACCTCTTGCATTCTTCCAGTCCGGGGTCCGCCTCGCGCCTGCTCTAACGACACTGTCGCATACGCATGCGACTTGATCACCAGGCAAGTCATCACAACTCGCGACGCTCCACCCCATTCTCTGCGCTCTCACACCATGTCTGAACCAACCACCGACGCGATCCCCACGTCCTCCGACCCGCGCAGCAAGCGCCCCCTCAAGAAAGCCCGGCAGCTCCCGCCCTCGGCCTCGGCCTCGGCCACCGCCGCAGTCGCAATCGAGAACCTCATGGCCGACCCGGACATCCCCCTCGCGCTCCCAGACGCCTCCAAGCCCAAGACGGCCGGCGGTCTTGCGCCGCCGCCGGAGATCGTGACCAACGTGCAGGGCAGCAGTGCGGGCGCCGGGTCCGGCGAGTTTCACGTCTACAAGGCCAGTCGGCGGAGGGAGTATGAGCGCTTGAGGCTGATGGATGAGGAGGCCAAGAAGGAGGATGAGGATGCGAGGTGGGAACGGGAGGAGAGGGAGAGGAGATTGAGAGATGAGGAGGCGACGAGGAGGAAGAGGGAGAAGAGGAATAAGCGGAAGAAGGGGAAGGGCGGGAAGGAGGACGGGAAGGGGAAGGATGGTGATGGAGATGTGCAGGTCAGAGACGCGGGTGAGAGCAAGAAGAGCCCCACCGTGCGGGAGGTTGAGCGATCAAAGAATGACGAGGAGGAGAACGAGGTTGGTGGCGCGGTGCAGGAGCACGAGAACGGCATCACGATTCACGATGACGATTGAGAGAAGCGAGCGAGTGTCAGCACACACGACTATCTCTCAAAGCCCTCAGGCCCTTCCTCCTGCCGAGCAAGTTGATATGACCTGGGCAATGCGCTTTGCCTCAGCAGCTTCAACGAGAACAGCCTTCCTCGCCCAAAGAAACCGCCAAGGTGGTCGAAATGATCTAGGCAACGGGTTTTGTCTCACTAGTCTCGAACAACTACCAGATCATCATCCCACTGTCCATGGCGAGCACTGTGGGTACTTGGGGAATCAACGAATTGAAAGTTCGACCAACGGAACCCGAAGACACAGAAGGGTTCTTTGGCACTGTATCTTTATGGCGCTAGGCGCTGAGTCTAGCGCCCTCGAACGCCAGTCTTCACAGGCACGACAGTCCTCAATAGCCGTTCTACAACTAATGAACATCCCGCAATGCAAAATACGCTTCCAACGAATGGTCCCAAATGTACGCCATATACCCAGTCATGCTCAACCTCATCCTATGAGTAAGGCTTTCAAGTCAACGCACTCCCCCTCGAACCCAAGCGACGCCTCTCACACGCCCGTAGCGCGCGCCACGCCAACTCCCGCTCCCGCTCGCGCTCCTCCGTCAAAGTCAAGTCATGCCTCCCATTCATAAGGTACCTGACACGACGCTCCGACTCCTCACGCTCCTGGTCTCGGTCCCACCCCCTCTCCTCCTCATTATCATCACGACCCCGTCCAATATCCCCATGATGCCCCAGCGGCGTCCCCTCGCTTTCCCTCACAACCCTCCTTTCCCGCGGCCCCAAGCCCACACCCAAGCCCACGCCACCCACCGGGCCTCGTTGCCTTCTCGATCTCGCAAGCGGCTGCTCCGCCCTCTCCCTCTCCGCAGTGCCGATGTTCGCACCCCCACCAGCAGCACTCGTTTCAACACCCTCACCGTAACTGCCTCCCTGCGCCGTCTGCGCCGCCGCCCTCTTCATAGCCCTCCAAGCCTCATCACCATAAGGCCTCTGCGCTCCCGCTCCCGCTCCCGCACCCGCACCCGCGACCGCCTCCAACTCCCGCGGCGGCACACTCGGCGTCGACCGCCGCGGCACGGGCAGCACGTCGGCAAAGACTGCGCCACGGGCACGCACCTCGTACCTGCACCGCGGCGACTGTCCGTTGTGGGCGGCGCCGCTGGCGTTGGTGTTGGCGGGGACGTCGAAACGACTCCCGACCCCCCGCAGCGTTCCCTGGCGACGCGGCAAGCCGAGCTGGTGACGCAAATTGAGAGTCATTTGCGCGAGGCTGGCGTGGAGGTCTTGGGTGGTGGCGGTGGGGAGGCGGGGTGAGTTGGTGAACTGCCGGAGGGGCGCGGCCGGGGGCTCGGTTCTTGTTGTGGTGGTTTGGGCCGGGGGAGTGGTGGGGTGGCACGGTGTTGATGGGCGTCGCGGTGTCCTTGGTGCGACGGGCTCGGGTCCGATGGCTTCGGACCGGTCGATTACCTCGATGTCTTCGTCGGGGGCGTCGGAGATTTCGGAGGAGGTGATCTCCTCCCAGTCGTCTGGGGTGGAGGGGCAGGTTGCGGTGGAGGGAGGCATGGTGAAGGTGAATTTGTGTAGTGGAGGGTGTCTGGACAGTGAAGGCTGAGGTTGTGGAAACCCAACAGTGAGATATATATGTATATATACACACTTGGAAGACAGACAGAGAGACGAAGACGGGGATCTCCAACGGCACTTCGCGTTTCTTAAGTAGATACTGATCGATATTGATGTTGATGTTGATATTGATGCCTACCGTGAAAACTAATGTTGTCGCTTTCTTTCAGCCCGGCTGGCCTTCTATCAGGCATCCATCACGATATTCATGGTACACTATGTCAGCTCCTCGTCCACTTACCAAACGACGAGGGAAAATTCTGCTCTTTTGTCCCTGCTCGTTGGCTCCGGGTGACTCACTGCTATTCAGACACACGCTCTTCTTCTGGTTGTTCATGCTAGCTAACGAGAAAGCCAGCGACCAACTGCCTCCACCGCAGAGGGTAAAGTCAGTGAGAGTACCTGCAAACAGACTCCACATATGTTTACCGCCTGTTTGAGTACCTCTTCCTTCGCCCCCCTCCCCCTCTCATCCCCTCCTCACAGCCCGATCAACACCACTAGCCCACCTCAGACACCTCTCCAGCGCCCCCGGCACAACGGCCCACCACGCGCCGACACACCTTGCATAGAACGGCAGCCTCAACACGCCGCCCTCCCCCCTCTCCACGTACCACGTAATCCACCGGGCGACATCCTTCCCCTCCACCACCGCACCCATGAAGCGCGCCCACCAAGGCAGTCTCGTCATGCTAAACAGCGCCGTGTCCATCTGGCCCACCTCAACGAGCAGCGTCTTGACGTGCCGCCGCACGCGCGAGTCCGAGTGCGCTTGGATCTCGTGGAAGAGGGAGTTGTGTAGGGCCGACACGGCGGCTTTGCTGGCGGCGTAGTCGGAGAGGTGCGAGGGGCTGAGGTGGGAGAGGATGGAGGAGAGGGTCACGATGTGGCCGCCGGTTGGGGAGGCGAGGATGTGGGGGAGCACGGCGTGCAGGAGGTTGAAGTGCGAGGCGACGTTGGTGGTGAGGGTGTTGAGGGCTTGTTCGGGCGCGAGAGTCGTTGTCGTTGTCGTTGTCGCTGTCTTCGTGGTGCCATTCGACGATGACGAGGGAAGCAGCGGCAGCGCGTGGATGGGCAGCGCGGCGTTGTTGACGAGGATGGTGGGTGGGCCGAGTTTCTTGACGATGTTGGCGATGGACGTCTGTACCTGCGCCTGACTCCCTACGTCGCACTGCTCCCAGAGAAGGTCGCCCGCGCCTTCCATAAGTTCCTCGGCTTCGCTGTCGGCGGACTTGATGTCCAGCACGGCTACTTTGACGCCGCGCATGACAAGGGATTCCATGAGTACGCGGCCGAGACCGCTGCCACCGCCGGTGATGACGACGACATCACGCTCCCAGTCGACGTCGCGGGGTGCGCCGAAGGTAATGCGCTGGTTGAGGTACAGCAGGATTTCCACGACGCAGAGGAATGCTGTCCAGTAGAGGGTGTAGAAGGCGATGGGTTCCTTATGCTTGTGCACGGCGGCGATGCAGAGGTAGCCGATGAGACATATTGCTGGGTGGAATACCGAGCGGCCGAGGATGTAGATGATGAGGTCGAGGTTGATGTATGAGAGGAATGGTTTGACGGGTTGCTGGCTTGCGGCCGGGAGGGTGGTGTAGACCGTCTTCTCGGGCTCCGTGCCCGGGATGCCCATTGTGCTTTTGGAAGTCCTCGAAAGTCTCACGAGCTAGACGGAAGCTGTCCTTGCACTGCTGTCTGTACTGCTTTCTTGCCTTTGCCGTGAGTGAGCTGACGCTGTGCTTCCTGCTGATTATATACTAAATCCCTGTACACCAATGCAGCGAGTATGCAAGTGCCAGTAACGCTTCCGCCTGAGGTCGATGTTACAAGCAAGCGGCGACATGGTCAGAAAGTTGAAAGCTCTTTCAAACACATCGTGTGGCAGATGGTAGGGGTAGGGAGTTGGGAGATTCTGCCAATCACGTCGCACGAGGCTGGACTGAGCTAGGAGTTCTGAAACTCGACTTGTTCGCATGAGTCGCAGTGTCTTCTTGTCTTATACCCAGGAGCCAGGAGTCAGAAGTCACGAGTCAAGAGATTTGCATTGTGATGAGTGGCCCTTCGTATCTAATACACTTTTACTGAAGTAGTCAGGTTGAATGCCCGCCGGGCCTTTGCCTCCCGGGTATCGCTATGAAGTCGCATGTCGACCCCTTAATATTCGTTGTAATCATACAGTCGTGTAGCTTGCTGGACTTGTTTAGATGCCCATGCCGGGCAGCTCATCCAGATAACCTTCCTCATCACCTCTTCCATATTCATAAGGCTTCTCCATCGAAACCTTCGACTCTTCGTATGCGAAATCGCTTTGCACCCAGTCTACTGCTCCGCTCCCGGTCCACTCATGTTCTCCCTCAATCTCGAATTCGCAGCCTTGAACAGCGCATCCATTACCTCCTTCCTTGATGACGGCAAGATCTCGCAGCTGTCTGACATCAAATTTAAATCCTTGATCGCGTGGTATTGGCATGATTCTTGGATCCTCATCTCTGGGTCTGTCGTTGGCGGAAATATCGGGATAGAGCGTCAGTGGGACTTTCGACGTCTCTTCCGCGTTCACTGACGGATACTTGGGCATGCCTTCAGCCTCGCAAGCGGGATCAAATGACGTCGAGAAGGAATTCTGTTCTGCCGTAGTCATTGAACCCACGCCCGACCCTGGCTGTTCAGAATAGGGCTTGTAATTCGCCATGGATGTAGGATCAATCCGCCGATGCATTGATCCATCGCTGATTCCATTCCCAGAACCTATTCCCGCCTGTTGCATGAACATCATGATGTTTCTGATCGTCTCCTCGTCTTCGGCCTCATCGTCACCATTTTCGCGTTGCTCTTTGTCGGCAAAGTACGCAAGTCGACGACTTCGAATGAAAGCCGAGTCTGGCATTTCCTCGGCTTCGTCAGAGACTACTGAATCAGCCTCTCGAGGTTTGTGTGCGAGGTCCTCAGGGCTGAACATGGAGACAAAATCTGCAGCTTTGGAATGAGGCGGTGGACGCTGAAGCAGTGAATATTGGGGCCATTCTTCACTGTCCGTTACGATCGTAGTTTGCGTGGAAACTTTCGGTTGTATGATATTCATCTCAGGTGCAGATGAACCGCCTCTCTGTCCACGACTGGCCGAAGATATGGGAGGCCGGAGACCTTGTGGCCACAAAGAGTAGCGGTAAAAGGCTTGCAGCTGAGCATTGTGTGTTGCTAGCTTCCATCGCGGCATTCGTGAATCGTAAGGGAACAGCTTATGCAAAGCCTGCAGATGGGGACCTCTTGGGTACTGGAATGTTCCCAATCGAATGTACGTATCTCGCTTCCTCAGCCACGTTCCACCTGCCGTAGAGATGTCCCAAGCAATCGGCAGGCCAACTGGTTGCCACCAGTCTTGTGGGTCCAGCCTTGCATCACCAGTGAGCAAAGTATTCGAGAGGTGTGGTCCAGACAGTGCTCGTGCGCGTTGTGCGCGCGTTATCATGTCAGAGTCAACTGATGTGTGCCGGGTACCTCTCCAGTGTCGCTGTGGCGGTGTCGAGCCCTTAAAGGTGCTACGAAACTCTTTGGACGTATGGGTATTATCGTTCGGACAGTAGGGCCCTTCGTTAGGATAGGGATTTGTGCAAATTGAAGCCGTTTCGACATCCATCGTTGTTGATTTCCATGAGGGAGGAGTACCCCAGCCATCGCCCTTTGAGTCACGCGGATCCGTTTCGGTGTGACTCTCCTCGAAGCCAACAGAGTCCCATGCCTCAGGATGCGGCTGTGCAGGCTGGGCAATCTCTGCCCACGCCTCGGTCGCTGCCTCATCGGGCTTGACAGGACCCTGAGACGATGCCGTATCTCTATCAGTGTCCTGATGCCATGCTTCAGCCCGCTTCGCCCAATCATCACTCTCGTTGATGGCAGCGGGTGCGTCGGTCTTGACATCGTGCTGCTCCGGGATTTCGCTTGCAACAGCAGGAGCTTGACCAGACGATTGCTCATGACCCGTGGCCGTAGGAGAGGACGACTTGCGCTTCACGACTCTCCTGCGACCCTTCTGGCGGGTTCTGATAATGACACCAGGCTTCGGAATGGCGGCCACGATTGCTGTCTCTGTAGAGGTAATGTCGGGATTCCTGTTCAAGGGGTAAGGAGCTCGATTAACCCAGAAGAGCTCATTTGCAAGTCGATACTCATCACAGTCTTCCGGAGCTGGTCTTCTGGGATCGAAAGGATATCTTTTGTCATGGGCTGCAAGGCTCGGATTGTTCACGACGCCTCTCCACCTCCCTTGACGGATCTTGTTATCACGCCACTGTAACCAGCGCCCATCTTGCGTTGATATGTCCCAAGCGATAGGATTTCCATTGGAGTCGAAGCCTTGACGCAAGCAAGTCTCAGAAGGAGAGCAGATTGGCCCACTATCACTGTCAGAGCCCTCTGCCTTCAGCTCGCCAACATCGCCCGACCTTTGCCATGTTTTCGCTTCGATCCGAGCCACCGATTCACTTCTGTCCTCATCATGATCCTCGTTATCACTTTCTGCCTTGACTTTCCGTGTTCTACCACGCTTGAGATGACGAGGTTTGACCTGAGTACCTCCATCATCTTGAGTCAGCTGGGGATTCGGGCTTCGGCGACGATGTGAGGGCTTCGAGGGTGGTGATGGATGCGACCATGGTGTTTGATCTAACGTACCGGTTTCTATCTTCTCACTCTGGCCAGGAGGCTGTTGTTGGATCTGTTCCTGATTCTCACCCTCATGCTGGTCGTTCTGCATGGAGACTCCCTTCAGCGCCTCCTTTTCCTTGGCCTCGAGATCTTGCTTCATTCTCCGGATCTTCTCCCGGTGATGCTCTTGGTCTTTACGCAGCAGATCGCCACGCTCCTCAACGACATCCAATAGGTCTTCCGTTGACGCGTTGGGACCGCCGACGCTAGAGATGATACTCCAAGCTCGACGGAACTCGTCTCGAATCGCTACGATACCGTTGTGACCCACAACGCGAGCAACATTGTGATCTACCTCGAACGGGTCCTCAATCGCAAGGAGATAACGTTGTCGAACATTCTTTTTCTGATCCGCCCACTTCGCCTCGGTCCAACCTTTGTGATATTTCTTCAGAATGCCGCCTCGTGAACGAATAGATATGACATCGTTCTTGAAGTTGAAGCCTTCACGTGCTGAATAGTACCAGAAGAAGCCTCGAAGGAGGTGACCCGTTGATTCTCGATTGCGGGGTTGCTGAGCTTTATATGCTTCAATAGTGGCCTGATCTTGCCAGAACCGAATATCGAACTTTCCTTCGAACTTTGGCACAGGCTCGGGGTTCCATGAATCTTGGGTGATAGCCAGGTCCTGCAGATTGGGAATGACAGGGGGCTGAGCAACGTTCATGAGGTAATGTAAGACCATGAGGATGTAACCGTAGGACGACAGCGTGCCCCAGTAAGGGGTATTGATATCTCGAATTTTAGCCCAAGCTTTTACGAAAGTGCCGATCTGGGCAACGCGTGAGTCGTAGAGGCAGTACTCACGCAACAAACGTGTGTTGTGGATGGCCACAAAGTTGGTAAAGTTGATGTCACATTGGATCCCGCAGTCGCCAGTAAACTCCAAGCTGGGTTGCTTGTTCTTTGATGGGGATGCTGGCAAGATCACTTGTGCTGCTGCTTCTTCAGAGGAGAGCTCTTGCAACGCAGAGGCGATGTCTGACATACTGAGGTCAGGTGGCGTGTCTGCATGTTGGTTGACAGTCTTTTCTTTCAATGCCTCGGCAGCTTCCAACGTCTCTTTGCGGTAGGCGCGTAGGTTTTCGAGCAGTTCTTCGTTAGGTCGCTCGCAAACGCGCAAGATCGGGACCCGGGTCTTGGTGAGCAACCTGGCACCAATGCCAAGATCGAGCAGGGCGCCTTCGAGCCGAAGTGCGACTTCGAACTTGTCGTCATCCGTTTCGGGATCAATGACAGCTTCTAGTGCGGCACTTGCGGCGCCCTGTTGCTGCGACGAGTCGACCGAAGGATTGGCATTGTCGTTTGGTGCATCTGGCGCATCCTTGTTGATGAGGTCGATCTCCTCTGGGAGTGCTAGCAAAAGGTCCATATCGCACTGCGCCAAGCCGAAGCCATTATTCAAGCTGCCATAGCATCTCAGGCGGATTTCACCGACGGCAATGGATGGATATTTCTCGGCGAGTGATTGCTGGAAAATAGACTCTAGGTGGCGACGAAAATCCTCCTTCAGGATCTGCTCATCTTGCTTGAGCTGATATTTTTGGCGAGTTGCAACTTGAGCCTTGTTCAGGTAGTCAGACTGCGCCATAACCTGCTCGCGAAATGCTCGTTCCTTGTCATCGTAGCTTGGAAATGGACCTAAGAAGCTGGCAGGTGGTGCTGTTGGTGAGTAGAGGTTTCCTCCAGGGGCTGGAGGTCGCCGAAAGTTGTCATACGATTGCTGGTGCGCAGAACGAGAGTTATGGTTAAAGTGTGGACCACGACCGTGGTGCCCATAACCGTGCGGACTTGAAGGCCCTCTGTGGTAGAAGTCTCTGGGGGGTGCGCGGTGGTAGGTGCTGCCACGAGAGGGAGGCTGATTGAAAGCCTGAGGAGATACCGGTGACATTGGCTTTGCGGTGGCGGCAGGCTGAGCTTGGGAACCAAGAGGTGGGAAGGAGTCCATAGAAGGTGGGGGTGACTGGAAAGGCGGAGACATAGGTGCAGCATACGGGTTCATGGAAGGGGGTTGCGTGCCATAACCAGGTCCTTGTCTGGATCCCAGAGAAGGGCCACGGCCACGACCACCACGCGGACGCTGATTAGTTTGGCTTGCAGCATCATTCAACTGGCCCCAAACATGAGGGTTGAAGCCCGCGCCTGGCGGTTGATCAGCCATCACCGGTCGCGATGATGTGGGGTGGATTTGAAGATTGAGAGGCCAGACATGGGAGTTGTGAACTGTGTTACAGTGTGTGTAGTGCTGCTGCAATACGGTGCGGTTGGTCTGGAGTTGGGGGGAACGAGGTTGGAAAGATTTTACAAAGTCGAGAAGGTCGAGGGACGATCAAAAGTAATTTGTAAATGGTTAGAAGGTACTCAACTTGATGGATGTGGATGGAGAGCATCGAACCTGAAGTTGACGACTGATGCACCCATGCGGATTGAATGCTCATTGGCTGTCGGCAGAGCTGCCTGATTGAGCGCCCCGCAGCTGTGACGCTCACTGCCAGCGCCTCGCTCCCTCGCTCCCTCGCGCGGGTTCATGGAATGTAAACCTCACCCTTGACAGTGCCAGCATTCGTCCTTTGTCCTTCGCAACGTCTGCTGCTTCTCCCCGGGGAATGGACTCATACCCTGATAAGCATTCCATTCGCCCTTCAACCTAGTGCGCGATCTGTAGCTATGAACCAGCCGCCGCCCGCGACCGCGGTCAACGGCGCACCTCCTGCGGCTCGACCATTGCCGCGCAAGAAGCCTGCCGGCGCTGACGGTCTCTTCAAGCCCACCAACAACCAGAAGAAGCGCTATCCTCTCGGTGCTCCTCCAAAAGCCCTTGTCCGACCTCCATCCGGCCGTGGTGCCAACTTGCAGCCAGACCTCAACGCAATCAATGCCTTTTCTAACGCGAGAACGGAAAACACCAAACCTACTCAGAACTCCCTGCCGCAGAACGTGCCGGTCAGAGAATTCAAGCTTGTCACCTCTAAACGAGAGCTTCTCGATGGTTTGCGCTATCACCTGCTCCAAGTCGATGACAAGTTGCCGCTAGACATTCGCAATGAAAACGATTTCACTAAGCCTGCGCGTCTGCACCGCCGAAACCCTGATTGGAAGACTCAAGTGAAGGAAGGTGACGAGCCCAAGGAAGCCGATGCAGAAACCGAGGCCCTCAACAAGCGCAGAGATGCGCGCCAAAAAGAACGAGAAGCCAATCTTGCCCAAATCGCTCCTTCAGCGAACTCGAACCGCAGAAAGCTCTTCACCAAAAAGACCGCTCAAGTCTATCACAACGACTACACCGAGGAAGAGAAGCGTCGCATTCAGATGAATTACGAGGAGAAGTTGCCATGGGTTCTCGAGGACTTTGACAATAGACACATTTTGATTGGAAAACATAATCAAGGGTCAATGGGCGTGTACGCCGCATTTGCTCACGAAGCATCGGCCGACGGCGCAAGCTCTAGATTCAGATTACTTCCTATCGAAAAGTCCTACCGATTCGAGAAGCCCAGCAACGTTCAGGCAAATGTTGATTTTAACGACGTCTTCAACGCTTGGAGCAAGAAGAAGAACGTCGAGCCCGAGTTTCTTATGCGCAAAAGGGAGGCCCGGAGACAAGAGATTGAGCGAGAGCGAGAGGCTAAGATCAATAGCAAGCTCTTCCTGGCCGACCAGAGTCTTGCTATGACACGTGAGGGTGAGGATGCAGATCTTGATTTCGAAGATGATTTTGCCGACGATGAAGAGGGGGACATGTTCGGCGACAAGGACGAAGACGAGAAGGCTGCAGAGAAGAAGGTCAAGGAAGACCATCTAAAGGCAAATATTGGGTGGCAGGAGAAGGACGAACGCGAAGTCGAGGCTAGCGAGCACAAGGAAGACGAGTCAGAGCGGCTGAAAGGTATCTGGAGTGGCGCTATGCGCTCTAAACTGGAGAAGCGGGAGCGTAATTACAACCTAGGAAGCGATTCCGACGATAACTCCTCGGTGAGTGTCATGAAAGACTGCTCCTTTGCCCTGACAAAGCTAACCTTGTACAGTCTGATTCCGAAGAAGAGCGCCAACGCCTCGAGGCAGAGAAGCAGGCCAATCTGAAGAAGGAAGAGGAAGGCGGCAAATCTGCTCTCTCGTCTGGTGCCAACACGCCCTCTGGGCGCAAAGAAAAGCATCCTGCCTCGGATCGTGAGGGTGCCATGAAGAAATCCAGCTCTTCCAAGAGCTTGAAGCGCCCGGGCTCACCCAACCTCTCCGATGCATCCGGCACCGATGCTTCTACTGTACGCAAGAAGAAGAAAAAGTCCCACCACTCCTCGTCACAGGGCCCGACGTCCGGCGGCTCTCGGCCCATGTCCCCAGACGGCTTGCGACCTCGTGGTGCCGGCTCTGATACCGACGGCGGCGCCATGTCAGACGGCACTCGGATTAAGATCAAAGTCAAAAAGCCTGGTAGCCCAAGCAGCCCCAACTCGCCTCCTACCTCGCGAGCTGGCTCACCGGCGCCAGGCGCTCGCCGCAATCTCGAGACAGGTCCGCTGCCAACAACAGAAGAGATCCGCGCGCGGATTCCACCCGAGGGCATGGTGGCCAAGGACTTCATCGGCCTATATAAGACACCGACAGATCCTGAGCGTAAAGCCCAGTGGACGGCTTTTATTAGAAAGCTCATCCTTACTAAAAACGGCCGAGTGTATCTCAAAGATGCTGCGCCACCTCCTGTCCCGCCTGGAGAGGCTGCCATCAAGTCGGAGAACGCCAATCCTGCAGGCTAGAACGTTGTGGGGAGCCACTCGTGGATTGTCGCTCGCGGCCACGCCTATTCAGCGGACTTCAAGCCATACGGCCAGTTCTGTGAGAATGGTAACCAGAGGGCTTGATGCCAGGTCTTTTGGGGAGACGATGACCCGCATCGAGATCACTCACACCTCGCACGAACAAGCCAGTGATGCTGCCACTGGAAGAGTAGTCACCTCCTGCAAAGGAAGCTACGAAAATAGCTAGAAATACGCTGGTATCTTTGGGGGAAAAGCACTTCATGGGGATATCGACGTGATGATCAGCGCATGAGAGATGGTTCATGCTGAAAGAATGGCTGGCTAGCTTACTCCTGGGCACGAGTGCGAGAAACACTATCAATTAAAATTCGTATTCAGGGGTATCACAGGTTTACATGCTGGCTCGTAAATCTACAGTACTTGTAGTCGATGGGCCTTGGCTGTCGGCCGACCACTCGAGCGCCAGGGTACTGCAGCATAGCAAGCTCCAGCGCTTGCTCATTCATTCATCCATTCATGCATTCATTCATTCCACCACGAGATAACGCTCCGTCACCCTTCTGGCCGCCTCCACATCTCCGCTCAGCGCATATGTCGTTGCTACCGCATACGCGGCCTGCATGTCCAAGCCATCAGCCCCGTTGTCTCCCCGACCATCGATCTCCATGTCATCTCCCACCTTCTCCTTCCCCTTCACCTCCCTATCCTCATCCTCCAACACCCTCTTAAAGCCCTCCACAGCCAACCCCCCCAGGCCCAACATGCCCCAGCACCTCGCGCGATTAAACGCTATCTCCCTTCTACAATCCGCCTCCGCCCCACTCCACCCCAGCACTTGCTCCATCTCCCGACCCCACTCCATCCTCGCGCGAGCGTACTCCTCAAACAGCGCCATCCCCTGCAAGACCCAGCTGTGCTTATTGTCGGCCTTGAAGCCCACTTTGAGCGGCTGCTGCAGGTAGCACAGCGCCATGGTCAGCAGCACGAGCGGCTCGCGGGGTCGCAGCGCGTTCGCGCGGTGCAGGTAGCCCAGCGCGGAGGTGAAGGCGCCTTTGGCGTACACGAGCTGCCCGTACAGGACCAGGAGCACGACGTCCATTTCGTGCGTGCGCCGCGGGCGTGGGGCCCCTGTCGTGGGGTCGGGCGTGGGGTCCCAGACCGTGAGGAGATCGTCGCGTGGGCGACGCATGAAGTCCGGGACCGGCCCGTCGACTGGGTCAGCGTAGTCGTCGTGCAGCTGGTGGTCGAGGGAGCTGAGGTGGCGGAAGAGCAGGCGGGAGGGTTTGTGGGATTTGGCGACGTAGGCGTTGCGCATTACGCCGGCTTTGCCGTCCGGGTCGGAGGAGTAGGGGAAGAGGCTGTGCATAGCGTTGAAGAGGCGGTAGGCGTCGGTGGCGAAGGGAAACTGTTGCAGGAACCAGGGGAGTACGGTGCCGAAGAGGACGATCTGATCGCGGAAAGCGACGGCGCAGGCGAGGTAGCAGGCATGGATCTGGAAGAGGGCGGCCGGGGTGTGGGACCAGACTGCTGACAGCGTCGCAGCTTGCATGATGTTGTAACTGTCACGTTTGGCGTTGGGGAATTCGGCGATAGGAAGGGTAGTGCATAGAATGGAGTATTGCAGAAAGATATCGAGCCATTCCGTCATGGAGATTTCGCGGTAGGTCGTGGGTGGTATGAAGGTGTTGGCTTGGGGCTCAATGGAGGGAAGTGGCTGGTCTGCTTCGTTGCCGTCTGCTTGAGGGGTGCCCGAATCTGAGCGACGTCGAGAAGCCCTGGCAGCGGCCTGCGCATGCCTTTCCTTTGGACACAAAACTTCGTTAGCCCTGAAGTCGTTGATCAAGCTTTTGGCACAGCTCATCCATATCCGTGTGGCAACGCCATCGCCGCGTTTCATCATGTCATAGTTGTTGAGCATGTTATTGTAAAGCGGCCGGATCTCGTCCAGCTTCTGTGGTTTGTCTTCAGTTGGAGTCGGCTCCCGGGGCGGACGCTTAGACTGGCCTCCCTTCCGTTTGTGAAGTCGTCCTCGTGGTTTGAGGAGCTCAAACGCATTCAATATTGTGCCGTCCTGGCGTACCTTGCCCTGACGCTTCTTCGATGGGTTGGGTCCCGGCAGCTTCAAAGCTGTCTTCAGAGCGTTTTCTGCAGCTTCACGATTCGCACGATCTTCAAATCGCTCGTATTTGCGGACCCCGGCAGTAGTCGGAGGCGCCCGGTCAGCAGCCTCTTCAACAGCCTCGCAAGCATATCTGACGGCGTGGAGCTTTTGGCCTCGTTCAGTTAAGATCCTGGAGACATAAGTCTTGGCCACGATTGAGTCAGCATCACAAGCCAGCGCAGACTGGAAGTGTTCCATTGCACGGTCTTTCTGTCCCAGAATGTACGTGCTCGTGCCAATTCCAATCCAAAAGTCCGCTTTTTTGACAACGTCAACACGGAGCAGTGCATCGAAGTAGCGAAGAGCCTCCCTGTGCTCCATGGCTTCGTTGAGGGCACGAGCAACTTCCAAGAACTCTGAGCCGAAGTGAACGATGTTTGCATCTTCGCTCACATCATCTGGTTCAAGCCACTCGAAGTGCGCCAGCGCCTCCTCACGCAAGTCGCCCTGGCGGAGTCGCAGTATACCCAGCTGGGTCCGAAGCTGCATTGGGAGTCCGAGGCCGTACTGCTCGACCGTGTAGCGACCTGGGGTGAAGGATCTGATTTCCTGTCGTCTGGGGTAGTCCTCGGCATCGAACTCTCTGTCGTCGCCATCCACGTTATCCCAGAAAGTCTCAGCCGCTCTGCCCAGCAGCCACCGGGAGAGCTTCTTCAGAACTTTGATCGAAGAGGACAAGACTTCATCCCTATCTCCTTCTCGCAATGAGAGCAGCTTGACGTACATACTTACGTCGGCCCATTCGAAAGCGTCCGACTCATCTAGACCGACAGATCGATAGTACTGAATTGCTTCCTTGTATCTGTTGATGGCCACATCGTTCTTCTGCATTCCGATGCAAATATCAGCGTAGAGACCCAGGGCATCTGTATTATGTGGCATGGCTTGCAAAATCTTGTCGACAAGGCCAAGGGCCTTCTTAGGCTTGCCTGCTTCCCTTTCCACGACGGCTAGCTGAAAACGAGCATCTTGATCGTTATTGTCGAGCTTGAGTAGCATTTTCAGAGCATACTTGGCCTGGTTCAGGGCGATTTGTCGAGCATAAGTGGCTCTTTCGAGGCAGGCCTCGATAACCATGTGCCAGACAAAAGGATCTCTCCAGAAGCAGTGTGCTCCCGCCCACAAGGCGGAAACCGCATTGAGGGTATGGTCTCGGGCAAACCAGATGTCAGCGAGCAAAATATGAGCATTGAAAACCTCTGGATTAATCGCAAGTGCCTGCAGGACAAGCTCGTGTGCAGTGTCGAGGTCGCTCCTGAAGCTGAAGGCGTGCATGGCCTGCTGGAATAAGACTGTGAACTCTTGCGACGGCTCAAGAGGGGCGTGTGGGCCAAGTTTCTGACCCTTACTCCAGCCTCCACGCTCACCTGTGCGTTTTTTGATTGTAGGGCGTCCTCGTCGTCGACGGGGTTGCGGTGGGTGGATACTCGGCACATCAGATGCCGGTGCGGTGATTCCATCACTCTGCTCGTTGACTGGAGTATCAGCATCATCGGCAGACGAGTCGTCGGATGACCCAGGTGTAGAGGGATCCTCTTCGCTGCCGGGGGGTGAGGAGGGGTAGCTGGGCAGCTCGATGGTGGATGAAGCATTGACACCTAGCCCGCGACGGGGCTGTCTCATTTTATTACGGCTGCCATTGCCATCGTAGTTTTCGTCATTCTCGCCGTCTTCGTCACCGTCGTCGACACCATTGTCCTCGTTGGGACCTCCCCTGTTGAAATCAACGCCGAAGGGATCAGGAGCTGGGATGAAGCCTTCGTATATCCTTGGCATAGCCGTTGGTTCAAAGGTGCGCAGGTGACTGACCCAGCCCATGGCAGTCCATTGACCGCCATCAGCCACCTCATTTTGATTCGGAGGGACCGTATTCATGGTCATGACCTGGGCCACCTAAGTGTTGTCTCAGCTGGTTGAATTCCAGTCGCTTTGGATATCATGTTCCTCGGGTTGGCAAGCCATATGTCAGGGGGTGATGCTGACTTCAGTAAACAGTCAACGTCATGAGAGAGGTTTTGCCACTATTCGTGCAGACAAGAATTGACGGTTAAATGAAAGGGGTCAATAGGCTTGATGGATTCTAGAATCTATACTGAAGACGCCTCGCGGGTCACTCGGCTACACGCCAATCACATTGCAGACTTTGGACTTGGCCTCGTCTGCCTTTGAAACACTCGTAAGATTTCTGCCAGGCCTGTCTGCGTCCTCAGCTGCAACTACTTCCCTCTCCCTCCACCGCGTCCCCACCGTCCTGTCTCATCTTCAGCTTGTCGCTCCCTTTCATCTCTTGCGTGTTCTGCCTGCACCTTTGCCCGATCCTCGCTTCAAGCATTTGTACTGGCTGCAACTGTTTCGACCTTGCTACCTCAGCGTTCGGCAAGGCTCCCCTCCGTACCCTCAACAGGCGACCGACGATAGGGCACACCTCTCGCACCTTCGCCTCCTCGCCTCTCGCCTTTGGACCGGTTCCTATTGGCTTACTGATCCACCACACCTCGTTTTGCCTGCCCCAAATCACTTCATGAATTGGCAAATCTGATTGAGTTACTTGTTCATACTTTTTGTTCGGTTTGCCGGTCATTCGATCCACTTGGCTACGACAAGCTGTCGGACGCGGGCTGCGCAACTGTCTGAACAATGGCGAGCAATATCATAGGGAATCGCAATAGCACTCCCGAGGCCTCGAAGCCGACCCTTCGCCCTCCCGCTTCTCGAGCTGTGGCCGCCTCAGGCTCCCGCGACATCCGCTCTTCAGCAGATATGACCAGCTTCCCCTCTCCTCTGTCTGCAAGAAATATCCGACCAGCCTCAGAAGTCCTGTATAATCAGCAAAATCAAGGCTCGGTGGACGACTCCAACAAGGCAGGCGAGCAGTGGATTCAAGATATCGAGCAGTACGAAACCATGCTGGAAGAGATGGCTGCAGCTACCCTGGACCAAGACTTCAAGGATGAACTGAGCGCAATTGAGCAATGGTTCAAGGTTCTCAGCGAGGCTGAGCGAACCGCTGCAACCTATGCGCTCATCCAGCAAACCACACAGATGCAGCAGCGCTTCTTCGCCCAAGTGCTCAATCAGATGTCCAAGAGCCATCCCATTTCCGGAGTGCTGTCCCCAGCCAACTTTGGCGAGAAGGATCCCATGTCGAGCAGGCTCAGTGATGCCATGTCGAAACTCAACGTTGAAGGCTCGAGACATTCAATGGGCCGTCCACCTGTCTCTCCGGCTGGCAACAAGCGCAACTCCGGCCTCGACCAATCTACGATTCATGCCATGTTTCCCGACGCCGCAGCTGCCATTGCCCAGCAGAAAGAAGCGTACGCGCAGCAAACTGGGAATGCACCACCCTCCAACCGCAACAGCACTGTTGATCGAAGCTCCCTTGCGGCCCCAACGATTCAGGCTCCTCGAGAGTCCAAGACGGATAGCATGAACTGGAGACAGCCTCTGAACCAGAATCAAACACAGACCGAGAATCGGCCCAAGTCATCTTCGGGACAGCAGCCTCAGCAGCAGCCACCGATGGGTCAGTTCTCTCAGCCGCCTCTATCTGCTAGCCTTCGGTCACCACGCCCACAAGGTGGTAGCATCCAGCAGACTACCCTGACGGCTCCTGATCATCACGAGATGCCTATGCTATCGCCTTATAATGCAGGTAGTTGGGCGTCCATGACCAATACGCCTATGGTGCCCAATTTCACTCAGGCTGGCAACCAGAATGACATGATTGCCAACGCCACTGCGATGAAGCTTGCAGCCCTCTCCACCGTCAATAACCGAATTGCGCTGGACGATGTGAAGAAGTACCGGCGTGCGCGGTCCAATGAACCACATCCACCGCTTTCTGCAGGACTACAGGCATCTGGCATCCCAGGCATCAACACCATCATGGTCAATGATCAAGGCCAAGTGCTCAACCCGCAGCAGGTGGCCGCTCTGCAGGCTCAGCAAATCGCTGCTGCGCAGGGAAGACGCTCACGGCCAAACTCGCCAGGCTTACCGAACCATACCAGTCCTCTTCCACCTAATTTCTCTTCCCCTCAGCATAATGGCTATCTAGCTGCATTTGATGGCAGCAATCCGATGATGAGTCCCGGCATGGCTGGATTGGTCGCGCCACCCTTGGGTCAGTTCGGCGTCGCTGGTGACGGCTACCTATCTGATCATTCGGAGATCGCTCGTGGGCGTTCTCCACGAGGTCGTCGCGGCAGCTCGAAGCCACCAGAGGATCCTACTGATCCTGGTCTGCTCGAGGACATTCCATCTTGGCTGCGCACCTTGAGACTGCATAAATACACGGACAATCTCAAAGATTTGAAGTGGCAAGAGCTCATTGAGCTCGACGACAAGGGCTTAGAGGCTCGTGGCGTCAACGCTCTTGGCGCTCGCAACAAGATGCTCAAGGTATGTGTCTCGCTACCGGCGGTGTCGCAGGCGTTGCTAACCACCGCAGGTGTTTGAACAAGTCAAGTCCGCCAAAACGGATGGTAAACTGTCCATGTGATCTGTGGAACAGCCAACGGGTTGGCATTCCTCCATGCATGTTGTGCGGATTGTTTATGCGTCGATGGCGTGAAGGAGCGAGCGAGATAATTGGACTTTTTCCGAACGAGTTCAGCAAATACCCGAGTGTTCTGCTAGTTGGGACCTTTGTGCAAGCTATCTTGCCATCCTGGCCCAAACCGGCCTTTGTGGCAGGATGGTTAGATCTTGCTCCATCAATGCCTACTTAATTGAGATGACATGAGACATGATCCAATGTGTCATGCTCCTTCGTTAAGCGTGAGATTGACGAAATGAGAATAGTCCTCTCACGAATTCTGCTATCGGACCATATGATATGCTATTACGATACTGCCCGCTCTTCGTTGTGTTTGCCTTGTTAGGCAAAATAGTTTCTCCAGGCAGTAAATGTGAGTTTGCCAAGGAACGGGATCTTTATTGGCAGCCACCGCCGCAGATGTGGCTGGCAGGTGTGATCGTACGTCAACATTGCTTTGTACATACACAGAGTTATTCCATTGTGCGCCAGTAAGCCTCAAACTTGTCGATTGCCGCAAGGCATTCGTACTGGAGCCAGGATCCAGAGTCTTGAGCTGCTAAATGCAGCTGGCTGCAGGGCTGGCGTCGACCGGTGGGAGCCACCGAGCTATCTCGGTCAGATATGCCAATAATGCACAGACCCAGACAATGCCACGACGTTGGTACCACATGTCCAGAGCTTGAATGTCTGACGACGCCCTATCCCGCGACACGGAATCTTCCACGTGCTCTGTGCCAAACCTGCCAAGCTGCCCCACGACCCTTGGGGCTGGTCAATCTACCTCCGCCCTTTTCTGCAGTCCTGGTTTCCACATATGTATAAGTTCACCCTCGAACCACAATACATGCAAGCAACACCCCTACCCGCACCGTTCTATCAACGCCCAGAATGGCACCCGAAAAGCCCGATCAAGCTATGAAGAGCACCGGCAACCCGCCCTGTGGTACAGGCTGCTGTGGGCCTACAGCTTCCCTTCATTCGAACAACTCTGCCTCGACCACCGACAGTACAGCTTACTGTGACGAGGCCGAGAAGTGTGATGGTCAGTCTTTATGGCAATGAATATTGCCCTCGAACTGATAGTATTGGTTACAGAGGTCTGTATCAAGGCTGCTGCTGCTCTTGAGTGCAAGCTCGCTTGCGATGCAGAATTCGAAGAATGCTCTGGCAGTGACGGCCAAGATAAGGACAACCACGATGGCCACGATCACCTGGAGAAGCATGGTCACAAGCATGATGAAGGCGGCCACCATCCTGATGAGCCATGTGTCAGCCACATCCAGGCGGCTATGGACAGGTATGCCGCCTACCTCGAGTCTGCGCGTTGCATCTGCCGCAGTGCTATCGAGTCCTCTGCCAAAGCTAGCCAGTCCTGTGCTACCGTTGCTCCCTCGCCGCACTTCATCCTTCCTCACGGCCAGTCTTCCGCTCATTCTTATGGCAAAGGTTCTGGCACTCTGGCGAAGCGCACCAGGACGAAGCCAAAGGCCGATCGCTGTTATTCTTCCGCTATCGGCAGTATCAATGGAGGTCATGATCACCACGTTTCTCCTGACGCCGCTGAATGCCACGACCATGGGCATCATCACGACTCTGACAAACCGACTAAAGTCCCGCCCGCAACTTCTGGTTCTGTTGGCGACATTGAGAAGATGGCCGCCGTGCGAGAGCATGTCCTCTTCAACGTGACCGGCATGGACTGCTCTGGCTGCGCCAACAACTTGACCCGAGCCCTTGCAGCCGTGCCTGGCACTGATAACGTCAAGGTTACTTTTATTACCAACACGGCTGAGCTCGATCTGGATTCTACTATCACCGCGATTCCCACAGTGGTCCGCCTGGCAGAACGGGCCACTGGCTATAAGCTAGTCACGTTCGACAGTGACAATCAGGTACTGGACCTCACGATGGACAGTAACAGTGCGAAAGCCTTCCAAAGCAATCTACCAGCTGGAGCCGAGTCCTGCACCAGGATTACCGGGAATGTCTACGAAGTCAATTATGATCCATGTATGATCCGCGCCAGAGACGTTCTCGAATACTCTGGTGGCAAGCTTGCCCCTCCTCGTGCAGACAAGTCGATTGATGCTGGTCATCGCAGACTCCTCTGGGTCTTCTACCTCACCGCCGCAGCATTCATTCTCACCATGCCTGTTGTTGTCATGGAATGGGGCGATTTCGACACGATCCCCCATACAACCGTGCTGATTATCTCGGTTGTGCTTGGAACACTCGTCCAATGTATCGCCTATCCGGAATTTTACAAGCCAGCCATCTCTTCTTTGATCTACAACCGAGTCCTTGAGATGGATATGCTCGTTGTGATCAGCATCACGGCCGCTTACGGTTATTCTATTGTAGCCAGTGGACTCATCTTCGACGGCCGACAGCTTGAAACAAGCCCGTTCTTTGAGACCAGCACGCTACTCATTACCTTGGTTCTCATGGGCCGGCTCCTTGCCGCGTGGGCGCGCAAAAGGGCGGTGTCCAAGGTCTCCCTGCGATCGCTACAGGCCTCTACTGCTGTGCTAGTAGATCCCGCTACTGGCAGTACCACTGATATCGACGCCCGCCTGTTGCACTTCGGAGATACCATCCAAGTGCTCCCACATTCGCAGGTTGTCACGGATGCTGATGTCGTCAGCGGTATCAGCGAAGTCGACGAGTCTATGCTGACAGGTGAAAGTTTGCCCATTCATAAGGCACCGGGCAGCAGCATCATCTCAGGCACTGTCAACGGCTCTGGCACCTTGACAGCACGTGTAGTGCGATTGCCGGGTAAGAATACCATCACCGATATTGCAAACCTGGTCGAGCAGGCTCAGAGCTCGAAGCCAAGGATCCAGGATCTGGCAGATAAGGTTGCAGGGTACTTCATCCCCGTTGTCTGTACAGCAGCGGTCATTGTTTTTGCTATTTGGCTTGCGGTGTCTCTGAGAGTACGTAACCAAGCAGCCGGCCAGGCGATTGGCACCGCGATCTCATACTGTATCGCAGTTTTGGCCGTTTCATGTCCTTGTGCTCTCGGATTGGCAGTACCTATGGTCCTTGTGGTCGCTGGAGGGATCGCTGCTCAAGGAGGCATTATCATCAAGACCGCGGATGTGACTGAGCGCGGCCACAAAGTCACGGATGTGATTTTCGACAAGACAGGCACACTCACGGAAGGCAATCTTGACGTGGTTGAGGAGACTGTGTTTGACACGGATAACGGCACTGATGTCCTCTCGGTCGTCAAAGCTCTTGTGAAAGACAACAAGCATCCTGTCTCGGTAGCCGTTGCTGCTAGTGTTCAGAAACGCACCGGCAATACTGTCCCCCTTGAAGACCTCACTTCCATTCCAGGCTGCGGCATGTACGCGATGCTGAACGGGACGTCCGTTCGAGCTGGTAATTCTCGATGGCTCGGTCTTGATGGCCATCCGACAGCCATCGAATACAAATCTCGTGGCCTGACTCTCCTGTGCGTCACTTCTGGCGAGGATAAGCAGCCTCTGGCGATATTCGGTCTCAAATCGGCCCTGCGCCCTGAAGCACACAACGTTGTCGCGGAGCTTCACAGGCGCGGTCTCTCAGTCCATATCTTAAGCGGTGACAGCACGCCTGTGGTTGCAGGCGTTGCAACAACCCTTGGCATCCCGCTCTCGAATGTCGCTGGCGAGCGCTCACCAGCTGAGAAGCAAGCATACGTGTCAGCCCTCATGTCCGACAACAAGACAACACTGTTCTGTGGCGACGGTACCAACGATGCCGTGGCGGTCGCTCAAGCCAGTGTCGGAGTCCAGATCGAGTCGACCTCCGACGTGACCCGTAGCACTGCCGATGTTGTGCTCCTCGGTGGTCTCGACGGCGTGGTATCCTTGTTGGATGTCAGTAAAGCAGCCTACCGACGCATCCTGTTCAACTTTGCTTGGTCAGCAGTCTACAATGTCCTCGCGGTGCTGCTGGCAGGCGGTGCATTCGTGCGCATTCGCATCCCTCCTGCTTTTGCTGGGCTTGGCGAAGTTGTCAGCGTGATGCCAGTTGTGGTTGCTGCGCTCACGATGCCTAAGGTCAAGAAGTCCTCGATCTCTGCTGCGACCTCTTGAGCACGCTTTGGATGCATGTCTGGAGCTGTCTCCTTGCGCGTCGACGTCCTCGCGTCGGCTTTGTCCGTCCTGTCTGTATCTCAACGAGCAGACAGCGCCGCTCTTTTCTTTTGGTGTCCGGTTGACCACCACTGCTGGTCCTGGGCATGCATCCCCCGGCTGTAATCGTCGTACCCCATTCCACCGGCTTCTGCAGCCTATATATTGCAACTCCTATCTGGGAACGCCTGAAATCTGTCAGTCTCCCATCTTCGGATCGTGATAAAAATAGACCAATGATCTATACATGCGGTTTTTGTAGAACTATTCACGTGGTGAGGTGCAGAGTCCCTTGACCTAAGGTAAGCGAGTGCAGGCTTACGCCGTAAATTACGTGTAAATCAATGGAAAACGCAGCCAATGTATTTCGTAAGTAAAACAGATCTCGGAGACAGCGGAATTACGAAGTACCCATTTCGGAGTGCTTCGCTGCGACTTTCAAGTAGCCACAACTCCATCTCTTCTGCGCGGACAGAGATCGCAGTGTTCGGACGACTACGAGCATAGGCCCTCCCAACCCCTACCAGAATCCCCGTTGAAATCGCCTCTCATAAGGCCGATCCCAGCAATGCCACCCACCGCCCAAGAAAAGTCCAACCTCCTGCACCCTCTCGTGCCTGAGTCCGTCCAGCACAACACCCGCGTACGTGCCCCTCGAACACCCACGTCGTGGCGTCGCTCCCCACTAACAACTAATGGCGACACAGACACTATCACAGATCCGATCCCTGACCTCCCTCGTCCTGGGCGTCGCCGCCGGCATCCTGGGCCTCGAGTCGCAATGGGGGTTCCTCTTCTACTTTGTCTCCAACATCTTCATCTCCGGACTGATACACTACTTGCTGGCGCACGGGCAGCCTGGTGAGTACTTTGCCGGTTCCGGGGTGAGCGAAGATGGGAGAAGAGATGGCAAGATAGCGAGGGTGGGTGCGTGGCGGGACATCTGGCTGGGGAGCGGGCTGTTTGAGGGGTTGAGTGGGTTTGTGCTTGGTTGGGCTGGGGTGGGAGGTGTTGTGCGATGAGGTGTGGTCTGGAGTGGTGAAAGATTGCAGAGAACAGATCCCGCGGGATGTGCTGGTTCGATGGGGGCCGGTCGAACCGAACTGAACGGCAGCCAAATGACGCCCCGTCTTTCTCACACGCGCAACTACTCATAGAGCTCATGCAAAGCATGGGGCTGCTTTGTCCTCCGACGGAAGCATGGCACGACAGATTCTGCGGGGAGCTTGCACCCGGACATCACTCGCGAGCTCCTTCCCACGAATAGGTCAAGGCCAACGACTGACTTCCACTGAGCATATGCTGGGAGAACGTCGTTGCATCTACCAAAGATAGATGCTCCTGTGGCTGCTGTCCAACGGTAAATACTCGTGGCACAAGGCAGACCCTGGGGTACGTGCACATATGCACCAGTCACTTGTGCTGGGTCATAGTCCATAGCAAGCTCGTATTGGCACACTCCCCACGACCGGGATGTAACCGCAATTATCAAGTGACAGGATGATTCACATATCTTCGTACAGTTATCCTAGCAATACATATTGCACGAGGTACTAGTGTGCTGATAGCACATTACAACCTGGTATTCGCGAGGTTGAAACGGTGCTATATAACACGCCCGAAGTTTTGCCGGTGCCGACACGATTCCAATCCTCGCCAATCTTTCTTGCGGTTCCAGTCAGAACTGTCACTTCACCTCCAGCTGTACTGGCAATCGCTCACCAGTCTATGCGCCTGTGCTCTGCTGGGACCTCGCTATTTTTGCCACCCAGCTAATTCTACGGGGCGGTCCCCGCTTCCAGCGACACCTGCCAAAATGTGTCGAGTCTGTGGGCGCATGATCAAGTGCATCTTTGATTCCATGCCATCGCGAGCATCGCCATCCGCGAGCAGGTGAGCTAAATGCCTTATTTAGATGGCTATCGACATGCTGACATCTCCAGATCGTTCAGCACAGCAGTCCGCTCAGTGCGGCCGACGAGACCGCAGCATGCTTCCTCGAAACAGCTAAATCGATCGACGTTCAAGACGAACTCGTCTTCTGCTCACCTTCCACCAACATACCTCCTCCCCCTCCGCTCCCAACTGCATCAAGTAACGGCCATCCACCAAGCCGCCTCATCCACCTCTGATCTCCAGAGTAACCACCCACTCATGCCACCCACCAGCCTCAAATCACAGGCCCCCTCAGAAATCGCAACTACGCCATCAGACTCAACAACCTTGCGTTCCCCTATCTCGGCCACCAAGCCCCTCGTCCTCTCAAAATCCATACAGGCTCTTCTGCCGGCACTGCACGCCCAACGCCCACACTACCTTACCGTGCACGTCCACCGCTTCCCCTACCTCCTCACGGCCGGCGACCTCGTGCGCCTCCCCTTCCACATGCACGGCGTCTCCCCCGGCGACATTCTCCGCCTGAACCGCGCCTCTCTGCTCGGCTCGCGGGACTTCACACTCAAGGCCGGGCTGCACCACACCGAGAGCTACGACGCGAAGCGGACCGGCGAGCCGAATTATCTGGACGAGAGGCTGTTTGAATGCCGGGCGCGCGTCATGGGCGTCGAGAGCCAGCCGATGGAGATCAAGGAGAAGAAAAAGAGGCGGAATCGCCGTGTGAGGACCGTGAAGAGCAAGCATAAGTATACGGTGCTAAGGGTCATGGATGTGCGGGTGAGAAGCCTGGAGGAGTTGAAGGGGGAGGTGGGCACGCAGTTGGTCCTTGAATAGATTGGTGCGAGAGAGAGGGACAGTGATAGAGACTCAGAACCAGTCAGTCCCCGGCGCGAGCTGTATGTAGTCCAGGGTCGTGTATCACAATGTACATCTTTCCAACAATTTCTCCTCTAAAAAGTCTGAGCCGAGCAACAGCATCCAGTGAACAGTGAACAGTGAAGAGTGGAAAACTCTCCTTTCATCCATTCATTCATTCATCGCAAACAGGTACCGAGTCACACCAATCGTAGCTATTTCCCACATCATATCTCTTTGCGTCGGGATCTGAAATCTGAAATCCCACAGCGTTCCTTTCATAAGCTCAAATCCGAAAACCCCACGCCGTCCTTGCCTACATATTCCATATCGACATATTCGCGAGTCCAAAACTCACAAAGTGCGAAACAAAACCTTCCACAATAAACCCCAACATGTCATTTGACACATTCATCAAAACCCTGCAGGTCCCTTTTGCACAAAAGGCCCTGGAAGTCAATTATCCTTCTCTTCGTTACCATACTTAGGTAACGACCCCGTGGTCATGGATGTTGCGCTCACATTCAGCAAACCGTCCCAAGTAAACGCCGGCGCAGTCCCGAGAGATGGTTCGTTCCAGCACAAAGGCAGTTGTGACACGAATAGGACACGAGGAATATGTCTCTCCCTTATCTCTTTTCCCTTATTTTCCACCATACCACCATGAGATGGAGAGAGACGGAGAGTAAACTCATTCACCTGAATCCCACGGCCGGGAATGTCATGCGATCACGCAAGTTGACCTTGAACTCGAAGATGCCTTCTTCCGAGCCGGCAAATCTGTGTTTGCCATCGTCGTCAGCAAAATGCGCGGGAACTCAAAAGGAGAACAGAACCTGGATTGAGCAGGGGCAAAAACAACTTACAAGCTTCTCCCATCACCGCTCCAGCCGATCCCCGCGGTGCCCACGCCCATCTCCCTGACCACCTCCGCCACGGACGCGCTTGGGCCCGCCCGACTACTGCTGGCACCTGCGCTTGCCTGCGCCAGCATCCGCTGTAAGCCTCCGCCCGCAACCCAGTTGCCGTTGGCGTCCATGTTCCGTTGTCCGCCGCTCAAGAACATCATGCGAGCCAGCCGCATTTCGGTTTCTGATGCACGTCCCGCCAACTCTCCGACCGTGCGCGTTGTGCGAGGGCCTATGGTAGGGGAGTCTCTTTCGATCGGCCGTGCACCGACTACACGTGTGCGCGGCTGGTCGCTGGGGTTGGAACTGCCGCTGGCGGACATGCTGGCGGCACGCACTCTGGCCTCGTGTTGGCGGACAAGGCGTTCGGAGCTGGCGCTGCGCTGGATCGCGTTCTCAAGCGCTTGAATGTCCGAACTGGCGGATGCAACGCGGGTTTCGGCACGCCGGACCTGGCGTTCGAGACTCTCGATGTGCGCGGCGCGTTCCCGGCGGAATGCCTCGTGACGCTGGAGCGTTGCGGAGAGAGAGTCAGACGATGGCAGAGGCGATGCCTCGGTCTCCTCAGCTAGCTGGGCCGAGGTGCTGAATGTGGGCAGAGCAGATGTTTGTGCGGAAGAAGCTGAAGAATCCGGGTTCTGCGACACGTTGCTCAGCAATCTCGCGCGGACGGACTCTAGTCTTCGAGCACGGCTGGTGCCGGAGAGAATCTCGTTCTCTAGGTCTCGTGACCGCTGCTCGCCGAATTGTTGTTCGTTGGCCAGCTCTCGCTGGAGCAGTCGGTCGATTGAAGGCTCCAGACGATCGTCGGCTTCGGTGGCAGCTTCTAGTTCCCGCTGCTGCGACTGTAATAGACGGTCTTGGGTTTCGAGCTGACGTCGGAGGAGATTCGACAGTTGTCGCTCATCGGCTAGCTGCCGTTCCAATTGACTGCCTAACCTACGCTCAGCATCTAGGGCTGACTCAATCTGTGCCAATGTTGGGCGGTCTCCGCTGCCAGATGTGGTCTCATCCGTCCGGCGTGCTGTTTCCAGCGCAGACTGGATGACATGCCACGGGTCCGATGTTGGAATGTCAGACGTCCTTGGCTGAGATGTTGAAGCACCACCGGAGGGCGTGAGATCATTTGTAGACATGGAAGGTGTATCCTCATCATCCGTCATCCGGCCCGGTGAAGCTGAAATTCGCGCACGGGGACTATCTTGAGGAGCGAGATGGCGGTTTACGGTGGATTCAGAAAGAACGATAGAAGTCCTCCTCCGCGGCTGGTACGACCGATAGCCAGTTCGTGGATCCGGTGAAGGCATGAGACGGACGTCCAGATCCCCGCTACTGTTTGGGTCTGCGAGATGACTGGGCCTGAAACGAGGTGGAGATGTATAGTTGACGCTATATGGCGAGTGATGTTCAACGTCGTCCATGGTAGTTTCTAGAGCATCGAGGACCGATCGTTCCCGTGCGTCAAGATCGAGGCCACGATGGTATGACATCAGATCTTGCCGCCGTTGACGGCGGAGCATGAATCCTGCGCGAGTTTCTTCGAGCAGATTCCCTGTGCGTAACGTCTCATCCGGTATACCTCGCATTGATCTTAGACGCGCCAAATGCTGCTGTTTCAGCCTATCCTTGATCGGAAGATCGCGATACATTTTCGGCGTTGTGTCTTCGACAGTGATTATGGTAGATCTCGCTTTGTCGAGCTGCACGACTTGGCGTCGCATAAACATCTGCCTGATGTCTGCAATTCCTATTCGACCATGGTCTTCAGCCCAAGCGAGCATATCCCATGGCTGAGGGGAGAAGGCCATAGAGCGGACACAGCCCCAAAGAGTCGGTCTCGATGACCTGAATGTGCACAGAATTGATTCTTCCGGGGCGTAGCTTTCATCGAGGAGTAGGCTTGTATCAAGAACTGTGATAGCTCCTCCTTGAGATGATGCTGCACAGAGATGTCCGGAAGGAGAGAAGGTTACCGCAAAGCCATAATCATCGTGGACGTCGTCTCCTGTCGGTACGCATGGGATAGCGAACGGCCGCCAGTCGAAATTCGGGAATCGCGACGCTGGCTCTTTTGACTCAATAGGCTCGATCTTGCGCCTCCTATAGAAGTAAACCTTGTCGGAGTCACCGACCGCAGCAAGCAAAGTCCCGTCAGGAGATAAGGTGGCATAGTTCATAGGCACGTCATGATCCAGAGTAGCCAGCACCTCTCGACGTGCCAGAGAGAATATCTTGACAGATTTGTCATTGTTGCTGATGAGAACGATGGGCTCCGGCTCGGACGCTGGCTGCTCCCGCACGAGGTGAATGCTCATCGAGTTAACGATTTCACCCCCCAATACATCAACTTTTAGGTCGTGTTGGAAGCATTTCGGGAATCCGTCCTCCGAGACCAGCTTAATGAAGGCGCAGTCGCCATTCTGTTCCCCGCCAACGCAGACCCATCCATAATCAGCTGCCAGACATCGCGCTTCGAAAGGTATCGTTGCTAGGAGAGTAGAGCGGTCGGTCTCGAGATCAACGGCGTAGACGTCGAAGTCATTTACATAGAAGATGCGATTCCCGTCGGTCACGCTCACAAGATGACGCAGCTGATGGTGGTGCACCGAGATCTTGATCGGATAGAACCTGTTGTGACTGACGAGACTCTCCGTGCTTGACTGGCACAGTTCTTCCCCGACCGAGATGGTCATGTTGGCCGGCACCAGCCAACACTCACGTGCGAACCAGGGCTCTGGCTCCGAGGGGCTGCGCAGCAGCTAGAAGGCACATGAGAACAGAATTCGCGAGGGGTAACGGAGTTTTATGTCACATGAAGAAGAAAGAAGCCACACGAAGAGGGTGTGTCCTTCAATCCATAATGCCTCTTCAGTCGGATGTGGTATGTGGTGTTGTGATGTCAAGCGAAGCGTTTGGAGGCCCTCATCTGCACCTGCAATGCCCGCCCGGAACTCTAGTAGCGACCATCGGGATCGGCGCGGCTTAATGATTGTCCGGGCTGCGAATTTTCGACCCGATTTTGCCATAATTCTATGAGCTTCGAATCATTGACGTCCTTTACAATCTCTCCATCACAACTCGCATCCATCTCTCTTGTCTTTGTATCCCTACGTCTAATCTTTTGCATCGCTCCTTCTTTTGCCCTTCTAGAAACAGCGTCAATATGATCGCCTCCCGTCTGAGTCGAGCTGTAAGTATTCACGTGCCTCCTGATGTTTGCGCGACTTGTCGACTAACTCATCTGTAGCTGCCTCGCGCATCACAAGCCTCCCGCCTTTCATCCATCAAAGCTCCCAGATCTTCAGTCTTCTCCAGATATGCCTCGACCGAAGCCCCTGAAGGCACCGAGAAGGTCAAGGGCCAGGTGATCGGTATCGATCTCGGTACCACCAACTCTGCGGTGGCCATTATGGAAGGAAAGCAGCCTCGCATAATAGAAAACGCCGAAGGCACAAGAACTACACCTTCGGTGGTCGCGTTCGCTGCCGATGGTGAGCGTCTGGTTGGTGTCGCTGCGAAGCGTCAGGCTGTCGTCAACCCTGAGAACACGCTCTTTGCGACCAAGCGTCTTATCGGTCGCAAGTACTCCGATCCCGAGTGCCAGCGTGATATCAAAGAGGTGCCATACAAGATTGTCCAGCACACCAACGGTGATGCCTGGCTCGAAGCTCGTGGCGAGAAATACTCGCCATCCCAGATTGGTGGCATGGTCCTGCAGAAGATGAAGGAAACTGCTGAATCGTACCTCGGCAAGACCGTGAAGAACGGTGTTGTCACTGTCCCGGCCTACTTCAACGATATGCAGCGTCAAGCCACCAAGGATGCTGGCCAGATCGCTGGTCTCAACGTCCTCCGTGTTGTTAACGAGCCTACTGCTGCTGCCCTTGCCTACGGTCTGGAGAAGGAGGATGATAGCATTATCGCCGTCTACGATCTCGGTGGTGGTACTTTCGATATCTCTATCCTGGAGATCCAGAAGGGCGTGTTCGAGGTGAAATCGACCAACGGTGACACCCACTTGGGTGGCGAGGATTTCGATATCACGCTTGTTCGCCACCTCGTCCAAGCATTCAAGAAAGAGTCTGGTATTGACCTGTCCAACGACCGCATGGCTATCCAGCGTATCCGTGAGGCTGCTGAGAAGGCCAAGATTGAGCTGTCGTCTTCCCTCCAGACTGACATCAATCTGCCCTTCATCACTGCCGACGCCTCCGGTCCCAAGCATATCAACATGAAGATGAGCCGTGCCCAGCTGGAACAGATGGTCGACCCCTTGATCAGCAAGACCATTGAGCCCGTCCGCAAGGCCTTGAAGGATGCCAATCTCCAGGCTAAGGAGATCCAGGAGGTCATCCTGGTCGGTGGTATGACTCGTATGCCCAAGGTCACTGAATCTGTCAAGAGCATCTTCGGCCGTGATCCTGCCAAGGCTGTCAACCCGGATGAGGCTGTTGCCATCGGTGCTGCCATTCAGGGTGCTGTCCTTGCTGGTGAGGTCACTGATGTCTTGCTCCTCGACGTTACTCCTCTGTCCCTTGGTATCGAGACTCTTGGCGGTGTCTTCACCCGCTTGATCAACCGCAACACCACCATCCCCACGAAGAAGTCCCAGGTCTTCTCCACAGCTGCCGACTTCCAGACTGCTGTTGAGATCAAGGTCTTCCAGGGTGAGCGTGAACTCGTGCGCGACAACAAGCTCCTGGGCAACTTCCAATTGGTTGGCATTCCTCCTGCTCACCGTGGTGTTCCCCAGATTGAAGTCACCTTCGACATTGACGCCGACTCGATTGTCCACGTTCACGCCAAGGACAAGTCCACCAACAAGGATCAGTCCATCACCATTGCTTCGGGCTCCGGTCTGTCTGACTCCGAGATCCAGAACATGGTTGATGATGCCGAGAAATACGGGGCTGAGGATAAGGAGCGCAAGGCTGCCATCGAGGCTGCCAACCGTGCTGACAGTGTCTTGAACGACACTGAGAAGGCCCTCACCGAGTTTGAGGACAAGCTCGACAAGACCGAGGCCGAGGCCATCAAGGAAAAGATCAGTGCTCTGCGCGAGATTGTGGCCAAGAACCAGAGCGGCGAGGGCAACCTCTCCGCCGAGGATATGAAGGCCAAGATTGATGAGCTCCAGACCACTGCGCTCACTCTGTTTGACAAGATGCACAAGGCCCGGTCAGAGGAGTCCGGCCAGCAGCAACAGACACCCCCCGAGGGTGAGGGCGAGAAGAAGCCCTGAAGACGGGGACTGTACTAAAAGCGATTGATTTGGATTTGTGATATCCCCTTGTTTAATACATCAGCCACATGCAGCCCGGACGAGAAAGCTGTAGCACGGCCTATGGTCATTTGACGATTCTGCTCACTGTCTTGCTACCATGGGCGGAGCCTGGGAATGGCGTGCATTAAAAGCGGAAGGAGCTTTGGACGAGGCTGTCCACGGGGCCGCGACGGGAACCACTTGATGACTCTGGCATTCGTGGTTGAGGTTTCATGAGCGATGTCTCCGCGAGAGGATTGTGTGTAATTAGTACCATTAGCTCATGGTGTTACAATAGAAATCTCTGCTCCATGTCATTTTTGTGGCTCTTGTGAAGACGACTATAACATCTATCTACGCACGCTGTCCATTTTGGGTCAGGGATGCGAGGTATGGTGAGCAGTACGTACGCAGGATGACTGAGGGTAGCACAGCGCAAGGGGTTTGAAATTGCAAAGAACGCAGTGTATGCGCACTACATCCTTGTGCGTAAAGTGAGATACAGGACGGCTAATAGGCGAGCGAACGAAGCGGTGGCCGCATCTATCCCAGGCAGGATGTGGCGCTGAGTGAGATAGGGTCGGATGGCAGAACGAGGGGCCGCCAGCACGTTATTTTATTAGGGATGCTCGAAGAGGATAGAGGCGCCTATTCTTGGATATAGAGCGGAGATTTTGTACGGAGGTATGGGATACTGCCACAGGCTAGGCGAATAAGCGACATTCGCCGGTCCCCTGGCTTTCGTTCAGCAGTTACAGTCGCGGTCGCGGGAATGTTCTTTCTACAACTTAGGGCAACTACACAAGAGTTGCGAGCGGGAGAACCAGTGCCCGTTGGACAGAGCTGGCTGGGTTCGTTCGACAGAGTATGATCTGGGGATTGGTATGCGGCATCCGCCATAGTGGCACCTACTCGTTAAGACTAACGGAATGCTACTGGTGATAGGGTGGGCCCCCCGGGAACCTAACCGAGCGGCAGCAAACGAGAGCGGTATTTGACGAAGACGAGACGGAAAGTCTGCCACTCAAAGGGTACAGAGTACGTACTCACTCTGTAGAGGGGCGGGTCATGATCTCGTCGTACTTACTCCGTATAGCCAGCAGACAGCCTGATAAGCGGACCTGGGGCTCCGGTCAGATAAGGACGAATTGGCAGAGAGCAAAGAATGGCCGGTCAAGGCGTATGATCCGGAGGGGGCTTTGAATACGGAGTGATGGGGCGACTTTGCCAGCAGCCATCCAGGTGACTCGCTGATGAACTGGGTAGGCATGGTACCGACTGCCTACGATAGGTAGAGCGTGACAGACTCTGGGAAGGATTATTGACTTTTACCCCCGTCTTGATTGTTTTACTGCGCTGGAACTAGGCTGCATCGAGGTTGACAGGTATTCCGGTATCATGAATTGCTCGTGTTGGAGACGGCTGGGCCAATAGACCGATGCTCACAACAGTAAGCTATCGGTGCCCCGAGAGTGGCTGATTGGGCTTGGTCACGTACACGGGCTTGGGAGGGCGTTGGATGGCCCATGGCGCAGGCTGTTTGGGCTCATCCGCAGGGCCCAGTTCCAGTTCCTCGAGGGGGTTCGGGGTACGCAACAGCCTGGCGCTGGCCTCTAGAACTACTCTGGGTATTTCCTTTGACTCAACCTTTTTAATTTGTCCAACCCTGACTATTTCCAAGGTCCAATGACATAGCGCCCTCGCAATCCATCACAGACTCCCGAGTCGCAGCTAAGGGATCATAATACTCGCTAATTCTCCTTTCCCGTTCGTCGCACACAAGCCACTTGACCTCACTGCACAGCTGCCTCATCGCTCGCTCCTGTTGCTATCGCGCCTCCATCTCTCGACCTTCTTCTTTCTCTTTTTCCATGTCTGTTTCCATCAAAGCTCGACGAGAGACTTTCGCGATCCGCCACGGTTTTCATCAGTAATCACCGTCCGAAATCGATCATCTCCATCGCCATTTCTCCACGAAAGCAGTACTCCTTCATCACCTGACTGGGTCACTCCCAGTATGGCGTATCCTCCATCGCATATGGACCGTCGCGGCCCACCAGAGTCATCGAGCGTATATAACAATGAGGTACGTCTGCCATTCACTCTCCTCTAGCCCGAACTGCGATCGCAATCTCCCACCGAGGCGCCACGTACTGTGTCCGGATCTGCGCTCGTGGTTTGATGCCACCGAATCCAAAGCTACCGTGGTCTATCGGCGCAGATTTCACCCGCAAACACTCGGGCTTCCTTCATTGGCGTCACCACAGTGGTGCTCAGCCCAGCTTGCTTGTTTCATCCTTCATGTGACACTCCACGCACGGTATCATCTCTGCATCTCCCCATGTCCCCTACTATTCCTATCTGGGAATATACACCCTGGTCAGCCCAACTTGGCGGGAAATGGTGCCATGGACTAGTCCTCAGCATGACCAAGAGCAACCAAAAGTCCGGAGGCCGTATCACACTTGGCTTAGAATATTCTCCCATCACTTTTCGTTTGTTGTTCTTGTTGTCCTCTTTCATCCAGCTTATCTTAATACAATTGATGCTGATAATGGTACCGCAGAGACCAATATGGGGTACTTCATACGTGCCACCACATCAGCGGCCATACGGGCAATCACCGCTGCAACATCTCCAGTCACCGCTACAGCACTCTCAAGCTCACGCCAACCACACTCACCACTCAGCTACTGATGAAATGGAACCTGAAGGCTATGACAGTGATGTCTCTGCCACGGCGTCTGACAGGTATCGGGCCGCCAGCCCGCCCGCCATTCCCGCCAAATTTCCCGTGGCTATGGGCCGACTCGAATCATCAGAGGCTGTTGACGCCCGATTAAGGGACTTGAACCACGTCGAAAACCAGAATAACGCCAAGCTCGAGCGCCTACGCGCCAAAAGAAAACGGATGGATGAAAGAATCGCCCAAAAGCGCGATGTTCAGGACCGTAAAATCAAGGCCATCATGGATGCTCGTCAGCGCCGTGATAGCGCCATTGCTGCTCGGCGTGCCCGAGAGGATGCCGAATTCAGACGCGTTATGGAACAGGTTGATGAGGAGGAGGATCATTTGCGCCGGCGTCTGAAGGCCTTGAAGAGAGGTTTCCCAGACGAGTCGCCAGTCCCAGCTGGGCGCAGCATTTCTACTGCTTCGACTTCACCTCCAGGTCCGACCTACTCGACTATTCCACCACCAGCAAAGCGACACCAGTCAAATCCTCCCGGCCAAACTCAATCACCGTTGCTGACTCAAGGTGGAGCTCCTCCCTCTCAACCTACCGCTCAAGCCCCTTCCTACTCGTTCTACCAAGGTGGTACAAAGCCGTATTCTGTACCATACCACAGCAGTTCCGCCTATAGCACTGTCCCGCCTCCGCCTGCGACGCACGCTATTCCTCCGCAAGTCCCTTCTCAGCCATCGAATGATCGATCCCCTTTTGGCATTAATGGCCGTCCAGCATCGCCCCTTAGCAGACCACCTCTCACCACACCGGTGCCACCCACGTCTGCGCTCTCGACGGCCCCACCACCAAGACAGACCTCATCGACGTATGATACGCGCCCCCCACCACCGACAGCAGCCAGCTCCGGCTTCGCCACCATCAACGCTCCGCCGCCAAGTTCTGGTTTTGCGACTATCAATGCCCGCTCTGCTGCTACACCACCCAGCAGCAACAGTCCCCTCGCGCGGTCTGAACTCGACCATTCTAAGTCTGCACTTACTCCTTCGGCTCACCCCGAGAATGCCACAGGTGCCAAATCTTCGTCCGCCAATTCTACACCCGCCGCAACCGGCAAGAGAACGCCCTCCACAACGCATCCATACCAGATGTCAGAAGCCTTTGCCAATCGGCATCACCATTGCGAACGGGTGGATGATCTCAACCGTGGTATTTGGACATCTCACGGCCCCGGTGGCACACAAGAGCACCCCACAGGCCCTCCTGTCGAGATGTACTTGCGCTGCAATCACGACAACTGCCGGCGCATCGACTGGCGTACTGTTCACGGCTTACAATGCCACATTGTCAAATCGCACGAGCAGCCAAAGGGCACGATTGGGAGTCTCGAAAAAGCTTTGGACAGATATGGTGTACCGGTCAAGGAGGTGGAGGAATATGAGAAGGAGCATGGAGAAGGGATGGGTGGGACGATGGCTGACCCGAAAAACATGAAGATTAAGAACAAGACGAGGGAGGTCGGAGGAGGGCGCAAGAGCACGCCAGGGGGCTCCGGAGTGGATCCAAATGTTCGGCCCGCTGGGTATAAGCCCTCGCCAACCGCAAGCCCAACGGCCATGCACTCCGTGCCCAGATTTTCAGGCCCAGGTCATTCGCCTGTGAGCGCTTATGGAGCGCAGACCACGCCGGGAGACCACGGAAGGCCCTATGCACCAACTACAGGACCAGCATGGAACAGCGTCAACAGCGCGTATGGACCGCCCAGAGCCACACCAGTGGTGGACACCAATAAGCAGCTACAGGGAGATGCAGTAATGAAGGAAGCACCGGCTGCGCCGCCTTCGAAAGCGCCCGGCTCTGCGTCAGGGCCGCAGCCGGCGACTGGCCAGTCTCGACCAGAGCAAAAGGCGTACGAATTTGTGCCCAAGCCATTTGAATACCCACCTCGACCGCACCCGCCAACGCAGCCAGCTGGCGACAGAATGAGTCAAGCAAGCAGCACACCCACGCCCACATCTAAATGGGGGAGTGCAGGCAGGGAAGTTCGGCCGACGCCGACGCCGACGCCTTCGCAGCCCCTACGCTGGGGTGCACCTCGGAATGGTGAGACACAGGCGCGGCCTATAGGCCACACGTGGGAACCTCGCCCATTGGGTCCTGCTGAACAGAAGCACGAATCTAAGAAGGATGCAGCAGCTTTCGGGGACGATAAGAAAGTCCCGGATGCCGATACTGTGATGGGTGGAATGCCCAGCCCTAGGCCCGACGCTGTGGCCCCTGCCAAAAGAGAAGATATAGCCCGAGAAGAAGCCCCTAAGGAGCCCGAGAAGGCAGCTGAAACCGCAACTCCGTCTGCAATAAGTTCAGTGCCGGCGCCGGCGCCGACTGCAGCCGACGATGCAATGGAAATCGATGGCGTTGAAGATAAAAAAGAAGCACCCGCCGAATCTGCGCTTGTACCATCCGCAGCTACTGAACCAGCACCTACATCTACGCTGGACAAGCCTGAAATTACCGAAGCGAAGGAAGCTACTCCTGCTGCTAGTGGTCCTGCAAGCGGCACACGCTCCGCGCAATCACCACTGATCTCCAACAAGCCTCTCAGTGCGCCGACCAGTGCAAAGCGTGTGAGTCGGCGCTCGAGCATGGCGAGGAAATTGTCTGGAGACAGCGGTGATGGACAAGCTAATGCTGCAGCTGTGCAAGCCGAAGCGACGACTGACGGCGCTGATGGTGAGGTGGCTGATGAGAAGAAATCTCTTGGTGAGCCGGTGGAGAAGGCAGAGGCAGGCGTAGAGGAGGACGGGGACGACGAAAGCATCACGGTTGCGTCAAAGGATAGGGACAGGAAGGACGACAAAGAGAGCTTGAAGGAGAAGGAGAAGATGGAGCCCCGAACGCCGCCGAGACGGGCAGCAAGCGGGAGATTCACGAGAAAGAGTAATCGGTGAGGACGGTGCTTGCTAGGGTAAGGTACAACAGGCGGGAGCTGCCCGGTCATTATCGGTCGAGCGTTGGTTGCAAGCAATGGAGTTGGGTTCTTCAGGGTAGGGTCATACTGGAACCCTCAACTGCGGGACCAGCGCATGGGCGTCCTTATGTTTGTTCGAGTGGTGTGGTTGTGCCGGACACAGCGATTTTAATTACAACGGGCCCCAGACCGAACCGTCAATAGCATAGTCAGAGTGTACAGTAATTGTGCGACTCCCCTGGGTCGTGCGGCAGGCGACGGGAAAAGAGCACATAACCATTTGATATAATCCGCTAATGAAACAAAACTGGCAGAAACAGCACAGTACATCCTCGACTTGACCTTGTATGTCGGCAGCGCTGGAGCGGAGGAAGTCCAAGGGCCACTCTTGGCACCCGGGCAGGTGGCGGGGAGAATTCTGGGCATCTGGAAAAAAAGCTGACTTTGGCCATCCACCACTGACTGACTCTATTGTCACCACACATCGACATCCACAATGCCTCAAAACGAGTATATCGAACGCTGGCAGAAGCAGCACGGCAAGCGTCTTGACCATGATGAAAAAGTGCGGAAACGTGAGGCCCGCGAAGGCCATGCACAATCCGAGGCGGCGCAGAATTTGAGAGGCCTCCGTGCCAAACTCTACCAAAAGAAGCGCCATGCAGAGAAGATCCAAATGAAGAAAGCCATCAAGGCCCAGGAAGAGCGCAACGTCAAGTCGGCGGCCCCCAGCGAGCCCTCGTCTCAGCCTCTGCCCAACTACCTGCTTGACCGATCGCAGGCGAACAATGCAAAAGCCCTCTCCAGCGCCATCAAGAACAAACGAGCTGAGAAGGCGGCCAAATTCTCCGTGCCTCTGCCCAAGGTCAAGGGTATCAGTGAGGAGGAGATGTTCAAGGTGGTCAAGACGGGAAAGAAGACGGCAAAGAAAGGCTGGAAGCGCATGATCACCCAACCCACCTTTGTCGGACCCGACTTCACCAGAAGACCTGTCAAATACGAGCGTTTCATTCGACCCATGGGTTTGAGATACAAGAAGGCCAATGTCACCCACCCCGAGCTCGGTGTCACCGTGCAACTACCCATCATCAGCGTCAAGAAGAACCCCCAGAACCCGCTCTCGACGCAGCTTGGCGTCCTCAGCAAAGGAACTGTCATCGAAGTCAATGTCAGCGAACTTGGTCTGACCACGGCTGGTGGTAAGGTGGTCTGGGGCAAGTACGCGCAAGTCACCAACGACCCTAGCCGTGATGGCTGCCTCAATGCAGTTCTCTTGGTGTGAGAAGTCGGTTGGAGTGGACAAACTACTTTTACGACATCTCTCGGTCATTCGTCTATCAATACCCAGTCTCGATGAGCAAATCCGTGGCAGCAAGATCTCTTCAGACGGTCTCCTGGAATATCTCGTGCTCGGCATAGCCCATCGCCCGAACCGCCATCTTGGCGCTATCCAACAGCCTCTCTTTCAAGGGCTTGAGATCAGTGTCTTTCTCGAAGACATTGCTCCACTTGGCCATCACGCCATACGTGGCTTTGAAGTCCCATACTTTGAGCACCCGCCAGATCCTCAGAATCTCATCAGGCTTCAAGGGGATCATGTTTGGGATGCTCCAGAGGAACATGTATGTGATCTGGCCCGGTTTGGCAGAAGTGGGGTTGTGGGCTGATGGAGCCGGAAAGATCGCATCGGCTGCGAACAGGGTGGGAATCACGGTGTTGGGCGGCGCAGTATGCATTACCTGCGAACCGGGGAAATGGCCGCCACAGATGATGGAATGAACGCCCGGCTGCAGCTCAGTGACGGGTTCAGAGAGCATGCGGAGTGTGGCGGTGGGATGCGATTGTCGGTTCAGCCAGACTGAGTCTGCAGCGGTGGTGTAGACTGGAACCTTGAAGGTGGAGGACCAGTCCGCCCATGTCCTGACAGTGTGTTAGCTCAGCTGCAGAAGCACAGCAAGGAGCAGGAGGATGTGCCTACGTGTAGAAGTGCGGATGAGAAATGACAATCATCTTGATGCCTCCCAGCTCCTGAATCCGCTCGATCGTCTCTTCATCCAGATATGCAACCAGATCCCACAAGATATTTCCATGGGGTGTCTGGATTAGTCGAGCGCTCTGCCCGATACCGAACTGCATACACGGTCAGCCCACGCCTGCCCCAGAGACGGTCAGCGGGGTCTTGCCTTTGGCTCCGTCCAGATCTCCCACACGTTCTCATCCAGCTTGACCTGCTCGAAGACGTTCTTGTACTTGTTCCCCGCCCCATCTTCCTCCCTGGCTGCTTTCATCTTTCCCAGAGTTGTCCATACCTGGCCCGTGAAAGGCACGAACTGCCGCGGATCCTATTGCCAGAAGTTACAGTCAGCCTGGATAATCGAACACACGCACGCACGAGACTTGAATACCTCGCAAATCCTGCACGATTCCATGCCTACGTCCTCCGTCACCTCGTACTGCGCGCCACAAGCTGCACATATCACAAGGTCATCACTCGTACTCAGCTGCGGAATCGGAAGGTCCATCTTCCTGCGTTTAGCTTGAGGTGAAGTATCGGAACCAGCGGACCCCATGCTGCTGGAGATGTCTTCCCAGCCCTTTTCTAGATCCGCAAAGCGCTCCGCATCCGGGGATTCCCCTTTGCACGATCAAGGAGACGCCGATATTGGACCTCCGTCAACGAACCCCGAGAGCTCAAGAGTCCCAAGAGGCAGAAAATTATCTCACGAACAAACGGACAAGACGAGCGAAGACAAACCAGAATTACGTAGCTCACTACTGTCCTGGGACAAGTGCCCAACGCCGACACCCGGTCGATTTAGGCGGGAGGCGATCGTGCCGCCACGCGCGGGCAAATCCATGTGTCCGCCCGTGTCATGCTACTGTATTCACTTGGCTTCGCTTCGCCTCGTATCGGTCTGGGGAAAGCAATCCAATGCCAGGCATGCATGAGCTGCAGCGCGTTCGAGGGCACTCGGAGGCGGACAAAGACCATCCGTTTTTGAATTGTAAGCCGTGGCCTCCTTTGGATACGGGACTCTCGAGCTCAATCGGCTACTTACCCTCGCTACCTGGCATGTATATTTTGGTCCCCAGTCCCCGCCACGCTCTCGCTACGGTCAATGGTTGACCGCCCCCATCTGCGAGACACCGTCAACATTTTTGTTGATACGGTCGCAACTGTGTCTAGCAAGATGACAGAGCACGCAGATACTTGAAGCTCGTTGAACCAGCTTTGACAACCGAAGATGCTCCTTCTCATCCATTCGGTCTTGTACGATCTCTCAATTATGTAGGATATACAACGACCCGCCTCGAGATCGAGCCTCTTGCGCGAGTACCCGTCGGTCCTTGCACGTCTCTGCAGCCTGCAGCCAAGATCCTGTGGGAGCGCAAGAGCCTTCCGAACTGGGTTCTTCAAGCTACGGCCGAAGCCATAAATATACCAGGTGTTCTCTCAACCGGCTACTCCACGGGGAACATACAACATTAGTCAACCATGGTAAACTCTTCTGTAGCTGTTCACACGGCGATAAGTCCAACGCCCACCGGAACATTGCCTCCCTGCGCCTGGAGTCCCAGATGAACCCTACGGTCTGATCGAATGGATACTCTATACTGTGACGATCCGGCTGCTGAACCGGAGACACCATCTATTTATCTATTATTCCTTCCTATTTGTGTCTTCGGAACTTTCACCTCCGAAGCTTTCCATCGCAGAAGCCGAGTAAGTGGCTTCCAGGAAAGAACTCTATCCTTTAGCAGACGTGCAGGCCAAGTACGGAGCCAGGACATACTGCATCTCCGTTGACATCATGGACTCTCGCCTGCCACGGCACGCCGGCAATCACCAGAACAGATTCACTCCTGAACATCCCTGCTCTACACCAATGCTCTTGTTGTCTTACTCCAGATCAAATTCTGGCACTCACATGTACAGCGAAGCCGTAAAAACGACGTCCCGTCGAATCATCTCCCTCGCACGCTCCATCTTCTGATACAGCGTGGGATCCCCCACCAGCCGCGCCGCACTCATGACCTCCCTGCACGTCTCATCCAGCCGCGTCACCACGCGCACAATCGTGCCCTCCATGATGCGGTGCTCCTGCACCATCTCGGCAATCTCCTTGAAGCTGACGCCGTCGGCCCAGTTATACACGACCTCGACGAGTCCGAACCTCGGCCGGCTCACAAAGTCGTTGGCGTCGTCGGAACTCAGAATCACCTGGTGCAGGATCTGATAGTGGTTGACCTTCTCGGAGATGGCGACGATGGCGTCGACGCCGCGCTTCAGCTTTTCGGTGAGTTGGGGCTCGACGTCCGTCTTCTCCTGAAACACAAAGGCCGAGAGCAGGGCGACGATTTCCTGCGGCGTGAAGTCCGCCAGCACGTTCTCGAGGATCAGTTCCGTCAGCACCAGCTCGTCGGCCGAGTGGATCTCGCAGGCGACTTTGCCCTTGAGCTGCACGCGCGATTGAGCGTCGATGAAGCCCAGGTCGGAGAGGACGTGCACGCGTTGGTTGTAGTCTGGGAGCAGGGAGAGGTTTTGGTCCGACATGAGTTGTCGGAGGGAGGCGATGGTGGTCTTGATGAGATGGGCGTCGTGCTCCAGTGCGTACTGGACGACGGGGTACGGATCAGTTCTTGCGGCCTCGTGATTTTGAGAGAGAGAGAGAGAGAGAGAGGGAGAGAGACAGAAGCAGAAGGGAAGATTCCGGGGGGTAGGGGCAGCAAACTTACGTGCTTGAGGAAGTCGGGACACTCGAGGCACTTTGCATTCTGTGCCATGTCCGCCACCCGTGCCCGCTCGGCGAGTAGTTCCCGGACCGACAGTTCGTTGACTTTGGTCCACTCTTGTTCGTCGTATGCTTTACTCGTCCAGTCCGCGTAGTCCTTGAGGAGCTCACCTTGGATGAACCGCTCTTGTTCCACGCTGGAATTGAGTATCGCTTGCGCATCGGCCTAGATTTGGGAACAGAAATTGGTAAGCATGACGGTACCTTCTTTTGTAAATGCAAAACACAACACAGTACGAGGAAGCGGGATGAGGAAGGGGGTGTTTATTTACCTTCACACGGGTCTGTGTGACAACTTCAACGTCCGCCAGGGGCACGTGCATCGCCGTGGCTTTGATCTTGAGTGGGTCCTGGGGGAGCGTGGCGAAAAGGGGGCGGAAGGCTGGGAGGTAAGGGAGGAGGACGTCGGGAGTGCGTTGGGCGTCGAGGTTCTCGAGTGCGAGGACGCGGACGCGCGGGACGGGCGTGCCTCTGATGACGCCGTCTTCGAGGAGGATGCCGACGGTGCGGATCTGGTCCTTCTTGAAGACGATCAGGCGCAGTGTGGTCCAGAGGCGGCGGCCGACGGGAGAGGCGAGGATTTTCTCGTACGCTTCCTTGGTGAGGCGCTCGTATTCGACGGCTGAGGCGTGGCAGGATTCGAGGTCGATGTCGCAGATCGGGCAAGGCTCGCGCTTGATCTTGTCCAGGTTGGCTTGTGAGAGGGAGATTTGCTTCTCGTGCTGAGGGAGCAGGGCCTGGGTGGCGTTCTCGCTGAAGCTGCGTTTAATCATCTCCTCGATCTTGAGGGCTTCGACGCGCATCAGATTGAGAATCATGTTGTAGTGTAGACGGAACTGCGAGCGGAGCTTGGTGGGCTGGCCGAGGATCATGGCGCGAAGCTCAGCGGCTGGAGGAGCCTCGCTTCTGCCGCTCGAGACAATGATCACCGTTCCCACTGTGTCGAGCCCGCGGCGGCCGGCACGTCCGGCCATCTGGGTGTACTCGCCTGGAAGGAGGTTGCGAAACTCGCGCCCGTCGTGCTTGCGATAGCCAGAAAACACAACGGTGCGGGTCGGCAAGTTCAAGCCCATGGCGAAAGTCTCGGTGGCGAAGAGAACCTTGACCAGCGTCTGTGCGAAGAGGATCTCGACGATTTCTTTCAGAATAGGCAGCAGACCTCCATGGTGGACGGCAATACCACGCTCCAGCTTTTCGCGCAGTTTTCCGATCTGCGGCAGTGCACGATCCTCGGGTTTCAATCTTGCGACGGACCTCTCTATCGTCATGTGGATGGCACTCTTCTCGGCAGCTGTGCAAAAGTCTTTGCTTCCCAAGGCGCTGGCGTTATCTTCGCAGCGCTGCTTCGAGAAAACGAAGATACAGGCAGGCAGGAGGTTGTCTTTCTTCAAAAAGTCCACGATGTTGACAAAGACATTCCGATCTTGACTTGCGGTGGTGCGGCCCGCGCCTTGGCCCCCTCTACTGATGTTTCCTTGACCACGATTCGAAGACTGACCGCCTCTGGCGCGCTGCTGCGGTCCTCCGCGTTGATTGTTTCCTCCACGCTGCGGTGGGCCACCTCTTCCTCTCTGCGCAGTAGAACCTCTCGAAGGGGCCTGAGAAGCAATTGCCTTCTGCTCCTTGATCTTGTCTGCGCCGGTGAGAATATCATTGGCAGACTTCCAACCTCGTTCGATGAATTTGCGCTCGGAGTCGACAATCTTGTGCATGCCTTTGTCGGCCCAAAGATAGTGCTCAAGAGGAACGGGACGCTTGGATGTTGAAATGACATAGATGTTCTTCTTCTTGGTGCGACCGACCCACGAGGCAAATTCGAAGGTATTGGGAATAGTTGCAGATAGGAGAATGAGGTTGATGTGGTCAGGCAGCATGATGATGACCTCTTCCCAAACAACACCCCGCTCTGCGTCGTTGAGATAGTGAACTTCATCGAATACCACGAACTCGACATCGCGGATGAGGTCTGCACCACGATAGAGCATGCTTCTTAGAATCTCGGTGGTCATGATGAGGCAGCTAGCTTCAGGATTTATCTGGACATCTCCAGTCAGAATACCAACATCATCGAACTGCTGCTTGAAGTCTCGGAACTTCTGGTTACTAAGGGCTTTGATGGGTGAGGTGTAAATCGTCTTAGTCATGTGCTTCGCTGACAAGGCAATGGCGTACTCGGCGACGACAGTCTTTCCTGCTGAGGTATGGGCAGCAACGAAAACAGAATCCCCGCTTTCCAGATGGTATACTGCCTCTTTTTGGAAGGTATCGAGTTCGAAGGGCCATGTTCGTGCAATATCAGGAACGAGCTCGTTGAAGTTGGGAATGTCCTTATTGACATCGACAACGTGAGCCCATTCTCGCCCTCTTTCACGAGCTGATGATGCTTTGAGCTGACCGTGTGGTGCGAGGGAAGGGAACTCGACTGGCAACAGCTGGTCGATATCCAGATCATCGTCGACATCTGATAATTCTTCGACTGGGGATGCCGACTGAGCGTCAATTGCGCCGTTGATATCACCATTCGCAGTGGGTTGACTTATTGGTTCATTCTCTTCCAGGGTCTTTTCCACGTCTTCGGTTTCGGTGTCCTTTTTGTCCAAGACTAAACCTCTTGTGAACCCTGGTGGAATCTTCAGAAGACCGTCGTTACTACCAAAATCGATGATGCGATTCAAACCGCTTGGCTTCTTGCCCTCACCTTCTTCTGCCTCGGCCTGCTCTTTGTCCTCAAAAGCTTGGATTGCATCAACGCCGTCCAGACCTCCGGGCGCGAACGGAAAATAGCCAGCGGCACCTCGAACAAAATCAGCTCTGTTGGCGGGCTGTCGGAGCATCGAGGTCGAGTTCTTGGCGGTGGCACTGGTTGCAGGCACTGTGACTTCCTTGTAACCAGTGACCCGGCCCTCCAGACCTTCTCTAGTGAAGCGGGTCACAGTTCGACTCTGAGTCGGGGCTATTTGGCAAATTTCGGTGTAGTCGACCTGACTGTCCCATCGTTGCTGTAGCTTGTTGAGCCATGCTGCACTGAAAGACGTAGGAGGGGTAAGGAACTGTAACTCTAGATTCGCCCTGAGTTCTTCGGCAGTGGGGCGTTTGCTTTGATAGGTTCGGATTGGTAGCACTTCGTCGGTCGAGGTGTCGGCCATGCTTGCTGTCATAATTGAGTTGAGCCAGCCCGAGAATAGGCTTCTAGTCTGATAAATTTGAGAAGCTGGACATCAGGGCAGCGCTGTAGAGACACAAAAGACCAGACGGTGGTGACGCATTGACGCCTTGAATTTATGTCTAGCGCCAAGACAAGGCATCGAGCGTGGGTCTCGCTCTCCACATTCGTCATGGCACCTTGATCACTTCGTTTTCCCTCGCGTCGCGTCTGCTGGGCTTGAGAGGCCTCTCAGTGCATCAACGGTCGAATCGAGACCACAGTCTTGTTCACTGCGCTGTCTAATTAAGGGGAACAGTACGAACCAAATCAAGACGCGTTCCCCAGGGGCTCATCTACGCGTTGCACTCCAAACTGGGACGAGCCATGCAGTGTTCTTCGGACAATCTAGAGCAGGCTGTGGCATTTAAAGCGTTGTGGCAGCACTAGCAGCACTTTCACCATGAGTATTCCCAGTGTTGATGCACAGTCATTTGTCTATCCTCAAGTCCGAGGGGTTTTGAAAACGAACAAAACCCAGAAAGATGGCCAATTCAATGTTTGCTGGAGCGCCAGATTCTGGCCATATGATGAGGCAGACGATGCGCCGATTTTTTGTCTCTCCAACAAGTCAGATATGACTGTATGTCGGATCTCGCAATCAAGCGAAGGCTCCAATATCGAGGTCCTTCGACAATTCGAGGCCACAGGCCCTGACCAGGAAGTCGCAGACTATGATCCAAACGGTGATGATCAGTACTGCTCATGCGCCTGGGCCTACATCTCAAAGGACGAGCCGCTGCTACTTGGAGCCGGCAATTCTGGTTTTATCAGAGTTTTCGACATTGTCAAAGGCAGTCTGAAGACGACGCTGGTTGGGCATGGGAACGGTGTCATCAATGAGCTCGCCACTCATCCCAAATATCCTTGGATCTTCGCAAGCGCCTCTCTCGATAAGAGCATACGGATTTGGGACTTGCGACGATGGAACTCCAAGCATGAGTCGCCGACAATCATAATCTGTGGTGCTGGCAACGGCCATAAGGAAAGTGTCCTTAGCGTCGGCTGGCACGATTCAGGGCGCTATCTCATCTCCGGTGGCTTCGACAACCGTGTCTGCGTATGGACCATTCCCGACTTGTCACCCGAGTCAGCGTTCTGGGAAGAGATATCGCCCGCGCGAACACAACGCCATTCGGACCAAGTACGAATCATCCATTTTCCACACTTCGTTACTCTGGCTATCCACCGCAACTACATCGACTGCGTAAGATTCTGGGGCGACAACATCCTCTCCAAGGCGACGGAAGAGCATAAGATTGTCCTCTGGAGAATGACTGGCTTCAACTCCCGCCTGGAACCCCCCGACGACGTCCTAGCACCGAAAGCGGAGGAACACCTTGACACCCGCAACGGTTTCATTAGACAGCTCAAATCCGGAGGAAACGGTGTCACCAAAATCATCACCGATCCATTCTACCGCACCAGTCTCCCCTACCAGCGCCTCCTAGAGTTCCAGGCGCCGCACACCCTCCCTTTCTTCATCCGCTTCGACATCCTCAAACGCTCACCCACCTACCCCGACGTCCACGACGTCCTCGCCATCGGCAACACAAAGTCCACCGTCCAATTCTGGGACCTCGAGGCCCTAGAACGCGGTCACGACTACAACGTGGGCGGCGGCGGGCGCGGCGGCCGCCGACCCCGCGGCCAAAGCTCCCGTAGGGGCGTGGCCCAGTCCATTCACAAGGTCGGCAGCCGTCGCGCCCAACTCTCTCTCGAACGCAGCGAATCCGCCTCAGCCTCTTTAGCCAGCGTCGGCGCAGACACAGGCACCGGCACCGGCACCGGCGCCAGCACGCCCGCGTCCCTCTCCCCTTCGCGCTCCTCTCCGCCCCTGCGCTCCAACTCCACCGACGCCACCTCCATGATATCCGACACCTTCCACCACCAGCAGCAGCAGCAGCTTGGGCTCGGCCTCCTCGCCCACCCCAACCTAAGCCTAGGCCTAGGCCTAGGTCTCGACAACACAACTACCGACAACGCGCCGCCCACCCTCGAGCCCGCCGAGGACCGCGTCCGCTTCCCACTGAACCACCACAACACGCCCCTTAAGAAGGCGCACCGCGCGGTCGGGTTCGGCAAGGAGTTCGAAAAGGACTTTACGGCTCGGGGCGTGGCGTGGAGTAACTGTGGGCGATGGTGTGTGGTGGCCGGGGAGACGATCGAGATGCTGCATGTGGAGAAGGGGAAGGAGCGCAAGTTGGTGCAGATCGGGGCTGCGGTGCTGTTGGGGCGGGACTTGCCGTACGTGAATTGAAGATAGAGGATAGAGGCGTGAAAGGGGCTTTCTGCGACGCGATGGACACTGTTGCGTCACTCACGTCAGGGGACATGGGCCTACGTCGGTAATTTCAAGTATCGTTGTAGTCTTAGCTTCATTCAAAACTTTCTGTCAAGAACCTCTTTTCCTGGCTTCGTATCTCATTGCTCATGGCCCATCGTGTCGGCGCTTTTGTACAAATACAGTCATTCCTAGCCAACAAGTGCCTATCGCCCCTCGCCAGCATAAAGATTTTCAATCAGTCAGTCAATCAATCATAGAAAAACTCCTTTTACCAGGCGACATGCCCCGCCGCACCCTCTAAGCTCGGCCGTGGGCAACCACCTCGGCGTACACGTCCTCCGGCAGCTCCCGCGCAATGATCAGCGTCTGCTCAATGATCTTGGCCGCGTCCAGCATGGGGAAGCTCCGCAGCAGTTTGCCTGGACTTGCGCTATCGTACAGCTTCTGCCGCATCAGAAGCAGCTGTGCAACCACGCAGATGACGTTGAGGTGCACACCGAAGGCAAAGAGGAAGTCCCACAGCTTCAGAACTTCAGGGAGCGGAGGCGTGCAGGCGCAGAGGGTGAGGACGGAGGGGAAAGCATAGATCTTGGCGGGGAGTCTGTGGGTGTCGAGCAGATAGGCTGCGAGAGTGGGTTCGCGATGGGCGAGGATGCGGTCGATTAGGTCCAGGCCGGCGTGCACGCCGGACATGGTAGGGGAAATGTAGGTTGGTACGTGTTGGGTGAGGAGGCAGGTAAGGAGGGAGTAGGCCTGGGCTTCGGAACGAGAAGCATAGAGGAGGGGTGCGGACAGGACGTTGACGCCTTGCACGTAAAGAGTTTGTTTTATGGAGGCGGATGTAGTGTTTTGCTCGTCGTGTACGCGCCAGGCAGTCGCGTTGAGGACACGGGTGAGGGAAGCGTTGGTGACCCGACGTTGAAAGAGGGCGTCGGTGGCAAGGGTACGGAAGACATCTTGCTGGATTTTGTTATATGCAGGAGATTGGCCGCGATGGATGAGAGCGAGGTATTCTTCCGTAGGGAATGGACCGATATTGAGAAGGGCAAGCCAGAGGTAGATGCGGTAGTCGGACATGCCTTCTTTTGTGGCTGTAACTCCAGAGGATAGGATAGAGCTACGGAGCAGCGTTATTGAGTCGGCGGCTGTTGTGCCCGGAGGAGGACCATCGCGAAAGGTCAATTCCAGACTGCTCTTGCGGGCGTGAGAGGAGGCTATTGAGTGGTTGGTGGGCTTGCGGTTCGTCCGCTGCCGCTCGACGGGTACAGGAGCATCGCTGATTGCGCGGGCGCGGGAGGGCATGACGAGATTTGTAGTTGAGGTCGAGGTCAATTGTTCTTTCGACGGTTTTGTGCCCATGGCTGCTCGTCGAGCACTGGCTTGAGTGGACAGCTGTGCATGGGATTTGGTACTACGGAGTGCTCGATTTGGTTTCTCTGGTGATTCTGGCAAACGGAGGGATGCGGGGTCCGGCTGAGGGAGCACACCGCGTTTGTGTGGTGAGACGGAGTGTGAGGCACTCATGATTGCAGAGCTGGGAGTGTGAGGAGTAGTCAATGAAAACTGGAAAAGCTACAAGCAGTGAAGGATGTCAACGTCACGAATCAGCAATGGCTCACAGCTTTGGGTGCGAGAACGCGAGACGCGGTGGCTGGAAATGGATCGCGTCTGGGCGAGGCTGCATATAGAGGTGGGGAGGTCAAGCGGCTCTATGGGTCTGGGATCGCTATCGACTTCTGTCCGCTTGGATCCTACGCAGTCAACACCCATATGAATATAAATAAGTCTTGAAGGTCGCCAGGCTCATCTGCTACGTCAATGAGCCATCTTCTGATCAACAGTTTCGATAAGCATGGCGGACACGAGCGGTCTTCCACTTCCAGCTGGGCGAGCTCGGATCGAAGCTTTACCCAAGACGGCTCGCCCGAAGCAGCGACACCGCCTAATCTTGGGCTTTATGCCGCCCTCAAGCTTCTCTTGGGTTGGCGGGTGGACCACTGTACCCAAGCCCTGCAGTTCCTCCCCACCTCAACCTGTGGAATGCTGAATTTTCTCGGGGTCGGCGGCCCATACCAAAGCTGTTCGACTAATTATGCAAGAGATGCACATGGAACCTCTTAGCTACAGGTAGGGTCATAGCATGCTGAAAGAGCTGCGCTTGGTCTTCCCTCCTTACTGTCTGCTGCAGTCGTATTGATCGCAGCTATGATTCGAATATGAAGCCCTAGATTAAACCATCTTCCGTGGCTCCGAAACGAAATGCCTGCCGGTCCCGTCTCCGAGACCACCTCGCTCCTTCGGAAACCATCCTTTGATGCGGAAGGCCTGTCAGGCGTCGCGGGGGCAAAGGACGCTACCCATGGCCAGACGGTCGCTGAATACGGCACGAGCGACAACGTGGAGGCGGCAGATCTAAAATATCCAGACGATGAAACGACATGGCAAGAGGAAATCCGATATCTTGCCAGAAATTCTCCGCCACTGATTCTAACATACCTGCTGCAGTACTCATTCAGCCTGGTGACCGTCTTCGTTGCGGGCCGTCTTGGAACCGAGGAGCTAGGTGCAGCGTCTCTGGCTTCTATGACCGCCAATATCACCGGCCTCTGTGTATACGAAGGGCTTGCGACATGTCTCGATACCTTGACTTCGCAGGCATACGGCAATGGGAAGAAGCAACTTGTCGGTCTGCATATACAACGAATGTGCGCCTTGATGTGTCTGGTTACCGTGCCTATAGGTACCATCTGGCTTTGCTCGCCTCTTATACTGCCACATCTTGTACCAGAGAAAGAAGTTGCGCTGCTTGCGGGCAAATTTATGCAGATCTATCTCATCGGTGCACCTGGGTGGGGGATCTTCGAGGCCAGCAAACGCTTTACTCAGGCTCAAGGCAACTTCAATGCTTCGCTGTGGGTGCTCGTCGTCTGCGCTCCATTCAATATCTTCCTGAATTGGCTTTTGCCCTTCCAGCTCGGCCTCGGCTTTGAAGGCGCGGCACTTGCTGTGGCTATATCAAACACTCTCCAGCCCATCGTCTTGGCGCTGTATGTCCGCTTCTTTGCGCCGGCCACACTGGAATGTTGGCCCGGTATACAGTGGAAGCGGATAGCACAGAACTGGGGACCCATGATTCGCCTGTCGATTCCGGGTGTCCTGATGACGGCTTCTGAATGGCTGGCGTTCGATATTTTGACGTTTGCTTCCAGCTATCTTTCCGCCGAGCACTTGGCTGCGCAGTCTGTTGTCATGACTGTCTGTGTTGCCATCTACCATCTCCCATTCCCAATTTCAATTGTTGCCTCGACACGTTTCGGAAACTGGATCGGTTATGGCGCCCTCAACGCCGCCCGGAAGACGTGGAGAACGCATTATATGCTCTTCATTTGCATCGGGCTCTGTGACCTTGCGCTCTTGACATCTCTGCGGCACGTGATAGCCGGTGTCTTCACATCCGATGAAGTTGTGAGAGCTATCATAGTGCGCGTCCTGCCCATCGTGGCCTCGGCGCAATTGTTCGATGCGTTGCTAGCCATCTCAAACGGGCTGCTTCGAGGACTGGGCCGCCAGAAGATTGGTGGCTGGATAAACCTGGCGGTGTACTATGTTTTCGCTCTACCGCTCTCGTTTGTCCTCACCTTTGGTCCTCCCAAATTGGATATAGAGGGTCTTTGGATCGGGCCTTGTCTTGGACTCGGGCTAGGCGCTTTCACCATGTGGTCTTATATGAAACTCACGGACTGGACCAAAGCGGTCGAAGACGCTCGGGCGAGGGAAGAGTGATGAATCGTGTGTCTGTGTCTTCTGACCCAATCTGATTCATGAGCTCACGTAGAAGCTTGTAGCCGAGAAAGATCAAAACAGTATCCATCGGCTTTGGGTTCCTCTTACTCAGCCAAATTGGCGCATCAGCACCGAGATGCCGGACGCCTTGCGAGCAAGTAGACAGCACGACATTTTCACTACGTGAGCAGATCCACAGAATTCGCATACACGATAATGCCGGCTGGAGCTGTGATTACCCTCAAACCTTGGCTTCTTCTCATTCCCAAGTCTCGGTGATTCCATCCTCGCTTCGCAACGTCCATGAGACCATAAGGACTGCCAAAATGAGACCAAGGGCAGCTAGGCCACCAACCAGAGTAGTACTTATACTTGACACAATGCGAGTCAGCTGATACACTCCTAGCTGACCTCAGGCTCAGATGGAATGATCAATGAATAAGTTTCCACTTACAGGATGACAACCATTCACTGCTCACCCTAGGCTGCGACCACACACCTCGTGTTTCGGTCAACAAACGTCTTCCATCCTTTGCTCCTACTGCCCGCTCCCACTTACAACCCTATAAGGTACTGTGTCGCCAATTCTTCCAGCGAGTATACCCTTAAGTCAAAATGGCAAAGGACATCGACCTGGCAGCATACCTCTTGAAGCGCCTGCGGCAGCTGGGTGTGCAAGCCTGTCACGGTGTGCCAGGAGACTACAATCTGATGGCGCTGGACTATGTCGAGCCAGCGGGTCTCAGGTGGGTTGGAAATGCCAATGAACTGAGTGCTGGCTACGCGGCCGATGGCTATGGCAGAGTCAAAGGTAAATGACAACTCACCTCATATCTGCGCCAGACGTCTAATTGCCAACAGGCATCTCTGCAGTCTTCACAGCGTTTGGAGTCGGTGAATTGTCCTTGATCAACGCCATCGCCGGAGCCTACGCGGAATACTCGCCTGTGGTCCACATTGTGGGCACGCCTGCCCTTCCAGCTCAGGAGAGTGGCGCCTGCCTTCATCACACCCTCGGCGATGGAAGGTTTCGAGTGTTTGCAGAAATGGCGGCGAAAGTGACAGTCGCACAGGCCAACCTGGTGGATCCTGGCACCGCCGTTGACGAGATCAATAGAGTCCTTGCAGAATGCATCCGTCAAAGCCGTCCGGTCTACATCGAGTTACCGACAACGTCCGTCAAAATCAAGGTGCCATCATCTGCTCTCGAGAAGCCATTGAGGTTGAAAAAAGCCAATGCCGGTGAGGGACTTGAAGACACGGTCGTTGACCAGATTCTGGACAAGATCTACGTGGCAAAACAGCCGTTGATAATCGTCGACGGCCTCACCCGGCGCTTCGGTCTGACCGAAGAAGTCGACGCGCTGGTCAGGGTCACCGGCTTCCCGACCGTCAGCACACCGTTCGGCAAGGGCATACTAGACGAAAGCCTTCCCAGCTACCGTGGTGTCTATGCCGGGGTTGCCGACAAGAACACTCCCAAGTCGTGGGTGGACGCACGCGACCTCGTTCTCAAGTTCGCACCCCTGGACTCAGATGTCAACACCTTCGGGTTTTCTACACTCACAGATACTCAAATCACCATACAGTTCCACAAGTACTCTGTGGAGGTTGGCGGAAGCAGTCAGCATGCGCAGCACCACAACCTCGATATCAAATCTCTGCTCCGCAAGGTTCTGGCTCGCCTCGATCCAGCCAAAATACCGCGGTATGATGCCTTTTCTAACGAGAACGGAGGAGGCCATTCCTCTAGACTCAAATATCCGCCTTCGACCAAAGCTGAGGATGCCTTGACGCAGAATGTGTTCTGGCCTCGCATGTCTGCGTTCCTACGGCCCCGCGATGTGATTCTCACTGACGCGGCTACATCACTCCTAGGGATCACAGACATGATCTTACCACCAGAGAGCATGATCATCAATTCAGTCATGTGGGCGTCCATCGGTTTTGCGGTCGGTGCGGCACAAGGGGTGTCAATTGCTCTGCAGGAAATGCTTGCAAAGGGCACCCGGTCGGCGGGTCGAACAATCCTTTTCGAGGGAGATGGCAGCTTCCAGATGACAGTGCAGGCCATCAGCGACATCATCCGCAATCGACTGGACATTATCCTATTCGTGATCAACAACGATGGCTACACGGTCGAACGCCACATCCACGGCCTCGATGCAAGATATAATGATATCCAATCATGGAGATACTTAGAGGCGCCGAGCTTCTTCGGAGCGCCCCAGGACGATCCATCCTACCCAGTTGTGACGCTCCAAGTGGCTACTTGGGCAGAGCTCGACAAGATGTTGGCTGATGAGACGGTCCGCGCTGGCAAAGGTCTGGTGATGGTGGAGCTAATCTTTGGACGATATGACTGTCTTGAAGTAATGACCGAGCTGCTCAGATCAGCGACGAAGAGGAATGGCGGTGAGACGGCGACTGAGTTCGAGGCCATCAAGTCTTCGCCTGGAGAGAACCCACCATGATGAAGATGTACGTACCTTTGGACGGAGGCCCCGATGTGGTGCGAGAGACAGCCGACAACGCGACCAAGGGACGGACGTAGCGAAGACGGCCAAGATGGACTTCGCCGCCCCCTTCCGCCTTCTTTGCCTTCTTGCCATCAATCATCGTCCATGTTCCGTCTTCCGTTTCCCATTTCCTAGACGTCGGTCCAGCCGTCTCAAACTTTCATTAGATGCCGATCGGGCTGCAAGATCTGATAGCTAGTCTCGCAAAACCTAGCGCTGACGCCAATCAGAAGATGGCCTGGCCTCGGTAAGATCGAACCCTGAACGGTGGGCCTGTGCTGGGGGCGAGCAAGGTTTTCTGGTTTGGAGGCGTGATCCCAGCCGAGCTGAAAACGACGTCTTAAGGCTCGTAAAGTCCAGAAATGCTGCTCAATGGCCTATGCCCTGGACCGTACTCCGTACCACTCAGATGAAGGCTTGTCGACACTCCAGCTGATACTGCCACCCACAGGCCGTCTTTGGAGGACCAAAAATTCCTTTCATCGGGCAAAGGCGTGTACTCGGTGCTGTCAAAGGCGCAAAATCTGGCCGGGCCTGGCTTGTCAACAGAACCTTGCTCCCGCTCTTCGCCGTTTGACTCAGCTTACAGTGGCACAACCCACAGCTCGTTCTGTCCATGGCAATTTGACAGCTTATGTCAGTGCGCAGTGGTTTGCGCCGTAAGTGGTGCGATGTTCATGATCCCCGCTCCACGTTCGCGTGCCTGTGATGTCTGGTGACGCTGCGCCGGTGTCCAACAGTCCACATCATGCTGCTAGAGGTGGCTGCCGGCTTTTGTCCAACGCACAGGCCGACCGAACCATAGAGGGCGGTCGCGCTCGTCTGAAGCTCGGTTGGCGGAACAGTCTGGCTAGTCTAGATCCGCTTCCCGCCACGAGGCCATGTTGCTACTCGCCATGGCTGGCGTCCCGTGTTGGTATATGTATAGTAGGTGGCATCCTGGTTGATTACTGACCGAGCAGGGATACTCATACGATAGGAGTGGACGGACCATATTTCTCCTCGTGCAATCTACCATCTGTTTCTAGGGTTCAACCTTTCGATTCCTCGCCCTCTACTTATGTCACTCCAGCAATCATGGCTTCCAATAGCATTTTGCTGCCGGTAGCGGACCAAAGCCCATCAACAGCGGGAAGCCTCAGACAACTATCTTCACTCTTTCCCGCCGCCCCAGAACTGCTGTCCCTCACCGTCGGCATCCTTCTGGGAGCCACAATCTTCTCTTACCGTCGTCGGAGATCCGACCACCAACGCCAAGACCTGGAAAGCATTGCCGTTGCGCGCGAGCCAAAGGACCAGCTGCCCACTCCACCCCCACATCCCCTCCTATCGCTGCCGCAATCGCCGCCGCCGCCCCTATATGATGCCCAAAGCACTAAACCACCGCCACCCCCATCCGCATTCACAGACCTCCCACCACCCCTCCGTACGACCCTCCACTCTCAGGTCGGCCCCCCCGTGACCAGCACCGACCTCGCCTCTCGGCCCTGGAGGCGCGTCACGTATCCTTTACCGCGCCACCCCTGTGATCCGCGGGCCACCGAAGTCCACGTCACTCAAGGGGTGCAGTTCTTCCTGCAGCCCGAAAGCCTGCTGCCAATCGATGGCAACGGCGACGGCGACGCGGCTGCCTCCGAGAAGCAATCGCAGCAGCAGCAGCAGCAGCAGCAGCCACGTCAAGCAAGGCAGTGGCGGAAACGCCGCATCATGACATTCGAGGCCGTCGCCAGGGATCCAGATGAGGAGGAAAGTAGGGATGGTGGCGGGAGACGTGCGGCCCCCCCACCGTCCGGAGACGATGCGCAGGTCGCGGGAATCGGTGCGGGCGCGGGCGCCGCCATCCTCGGGTTCGGGACTTCACCGCCCGTGGTACAGGAATCGGTCGTCGTCAACGTCGTCAGCGAGGCCGACATGTGGGCTAAGATGCGAGGCGTCGAGATTGAGATCTAGTTTTTAACTCCGTTGAGCGAGCAGAGCAGGGCGTTATGGGGAGGTTGATTTGTGGGGGAAAATGAATCACGTGCGAATATGGCTATCCTAAGGCATAATGCATGCGCGGTCTTTGGGAGTATGGCAGACAGCGGGAAAGTAGGGGGCTCTTCATAAAGCATTTTTGTATTTGGTCATGCTTTTGACGCTCGAGCGATGCGCCAGGGGGGGGGGGGGCGGCTCGTCTATTTCTGTAGCGGCCTCTGCTGACGCTTGGCCATTCTTCATATCGTCCATTTTGGACGTCTTGAGAGACAAATCCTCTCTAGCATAACGACAAGTCTACAACGCTCGCTGCTCTATCGACGTGCTCCATGACACATGACCGTGACGACCGCCGCCACTGCAATGTTCTTCATCAGGCGCGGTCTAGCGACCGAAGCCAAACCAGCCCTTCTTCTTCTCCTGCTGCGGCTGCTGCGGTTGCGCCTTCTCGGCCTGTACGTCCTTCTCCACAGCTTGTCCATCGATTGCCGCGTCCTCTTTTTGATGGCCAGGATATTGGATATAGTTCCACGCCAGATCGAAGAACAGCGGCTTAACAGGGATGGGCTGCAGTCTCGGAGGGTAATTGACAATGTTCTTGAGGTCGACATCGTCGTGGTAGACGTTCAATTGTAAGGTTTCTGCCAAGGGGCGCTGAAAGACGGGCGCACTTGCGGTGTTGGTCTTTGAAGCCGAGTTGGAAAGATTTTTGAGCTCGGTCAGGCCACGGTGGCGTGTGACGAGGGCGGAGAGGTGGGCGGTTGTGATGGCGATGGTAGATGTGGAGAGCTCGACTTTAGGGGGCGATGACTCGGTGAACTCGGGAGAAGAAGAGGGCGGCAGAATGGATGAGGCGGTTTGGGAGAGTGTTAAAGCGCGGTCGAAGAGGGCCAGAGCGTTGACGACTTGGCCGTTGAGGGCGTGAGAGCGGCCAACGGCAAGGCACTTGAGGGCACGAAAGTAGGCGTATTTGGCGTCGAGCTCGCGGACGAAAGCCTCATCGGCGATGACGCCAGGGAGTTCCTTGACTGCATCGAGCGATTGAAGTATGGATTCGTAGAGGGCAGTGCGCTCCCGCAAGCGAGAGAGCTGACGCCCTGTGCTTTCGGGCTTTGGTGTGTGACCCTTGCCGCTCTTGGACTGCTTTGCTGAGTGTTTGCGCTGCTCAGGCTCGAATTGAAGGCCGTCAGAGGGACCACAGAGGACTCTGTTGCGTCCAATGCGGTATTCTATGACAGCGTAGTTGACAGCTGTGCGTGTAATCTGTAGGGATTGTATGCGACTGTCGCCAGAGTCGATGCCCTCGGCCATGAGCTCCTCGATGGCTGATTTGGTGGCATCCGCAGCATCCTGCCTGGCCTCAATGACGTCGTCATAAGCGGCTGCTAGGTCGGTCGGAGATAGCTTCTTGTCTTTGTACTCTTCAAGCTTTTCGTTCAAGATACTTTCATTGGCAATGGCTCGACCGAGTGCTTCTGAGATGGTGGCATCCTCAAGCTTGACCTTGCGAGTCCGCCACGTGATGTGAGTGGGGGCGTTGTGAGAGCCAGACTCTGTCTGGGTTTCGTTCTTTGCGGTCTGGAAAGCATGCGAATCCAGCTTGACGAGAGCAATTTTGGTCGCCGCCTCATCGTCCGCAAAGCTTTCCACTGCAATCTCCTCGACCGGCTTAGTGCGGGGCATCTTGAGCTGGAAGGCCGCATAACGGAGACTGGGGTCGATGATAGCAGACAAAAGGTCCTTGTAGACATCGCTTTTTGCGGCCTTGCCCAAAGTTGTGTATGTTATCCTTGGAAGGGAGTAATTACGCAGACACGCTTTCCATTGTGACTTCTCGAAATTGAGACTGCCTTTCAGCATGAACAAGTAGGCCTTGGCCTCGAGGACATCAAGCCCAGAGGCTTTCGCGTCGCTCTCATCAAGGACCGTAACAAGATTCTCGGCGTACGCGATCGCCCGTCTTAATCGAGACGCAATCTGCGTCTTTGTAGAACCAGGCATGGGTTTCTGTGTGTTCTCTGGGGACTGGGCAGACTTCATGGCCATTGCACTGGCCCAGGCCCGCTCCGCGCTTGCAAGCAGCAGTTGCACCCACTCAGCATTATCAGCCACATTTGCAGAGGTGACAGGAGACTTGGGTGTGTATTTTCGCCCTCTGGGTGTAGCAGCGCCCAGTCTTCTTCTCAGTGCGTGGATTTTGCGAGTGGCTTGGGCGTGGTAGGCATCGTAGTCGCCGCTCAGCAGAGCACGATCACGCTCCGAAGTTACGCTGCGGGTGATATTCATGGCGACCAGCGTTGGGAAAAGCGCGGCCGTTGTGTGTTCGTGTTAGATTCCCAGGGTGGTCATTTTGAGTGCAGTAGTAGTGGGGTGCGGTACGGCGTCGGATAAACTTGTGGTCCGTGACCTGTGGAAAGTTGTCGAGCCCGCTTGCCGCAACAGCTGCGTCAATACTTTTGCACTCTTCAGGTTTCTCGTTAGTTCATCTCCTGCACAGCCTCATCTCCTTTGTCAATCGATTGCTGTCATGGTTCTGGGCATGATAAGACCTACGTCTCGTGCGGCTCTGCGGACCGCAAGAACTAGTTTCGTTCCCTTACGATCTGTTGGAACTCGCTTCGTTAGCACACAGCCTCCGCATCTACGGTCCAGAAGCTGGAAGAGCAGCGCATTGCGATGGGGTATCGCTATCGCCGGTATATACTATTACAATACGAGCCCGGTCTTTGCTGAGCAGCCACATCACAGTGGGTTTCTTTGAAATCAAGCCCGGACGACGAAAAGCTTACAAATAGTGCTAGATCTATTGAACCCGAACGTCGAAACTGTCGATGAGGACGCAGAGACGTCTGCACTCGATGCGCTGATTGCTCGCCGGTCAAAAGATGCCCAAGAAAATCATGAGGCGTTGGCTGCCGACGCCTCGGCCAGAATTGGCGAAGAAGTAGCTCCTGCAGACGGTCAAGGAGCGGCTGAGCTGGCGGAGGAAGCGCAAGGGGAAGGTGCATTCAACCCAGAGACCGGTGAGATCAACTGGGACTGCCCTTGTCTAGGCGGTATGGCGCATGGTCCTTGCGGTCCGCAGTTCCGTGAAGCTTTTTCATGTTTCGTTTTCTCCCAAGAGGAGCCCAAAGGCATGGACTGCATTGAGAAGTTCCAGGGCATGCGAGACTGCTTCCAGGAGCACCCGGAGGTATACAAGGACGAGCTCATGGATGATGAGGAGCTTGACGCTGAGCTGGAAGCGGAGAAACAGGAGCTGGTTAGCCAGATTGCTGAGAGACGCAAAGCCGAAGAGGCAGCGGCTACATCATCTCACAGGCTCCTCGAAGAGCCAGCACCCGCGCCAAAACGAACGCACGAGTCCAGGTCTTCTTCTGCTTCCGAGGCCCACCCCAAGCCTGCGGATAGCGGCTCCCATACACCTCGGACGCAGCCGCAATCACAAGCTTCGACATCAGCAGGCTCTGACCCTTCTGGCGAGCCATCGCATGAACAGGTGACAGAAAGGGGTCCTTCAAAAACGATCAAACGGCCTACACCATCGCCAGTGAGCCAGGAAGGAATCCCGGAAAGCGATGAGCTTATTCCCAAGGCCGCGCATGATGCCCGAGCAAGCAACGGCGACCACTCCAAGTCGGAGTAATGCCAGTAATGTTTTCCAAAGTCCTCTGCATCAGCGCAACTTGGGCATTTCAAGAGTGTACAACAGATAGATGTACCGATAAATGGCAGGAACCGCATCCTCTCCTCATCTTGACCCTACATACTATGCACTTAGTCTGGTTCCATCGAATCGCGAGTTGCTAAGAGGACAGGAGATTATTGCAAGACTCTTGGCAACAGCGAGATGGGGTGGTGGCCACAAAGTTGCGAGTTCGTCCACGTGGGAGCCTAATCTTAGCATGACTGGAATGCTCGCGCGGGTCGGGAGCTTCGCAGAGCTCAAGGTCAGTACGCTTCTGGTGCTCTGGCTGCTTGGGGGCGGTGAGACGAGGAGCTATGGTACTCGTATCATGTATGGAAGCTCGAGATGATATAGGGAGATTGGACGCGGCAGCTGTAGATCACTGGTAGTGCCGAACAACAGCAGAAGGGGGGCGCCCGATTGGCATATCGCGAGACCTCGCCGGCAGGGACGGCCCAGAACCAGACCCGAATATAGCGACTGCAAGTGTCGATGGCCAGTCGGCAAGCCTAAGCGGGTTCCTGGTGCGGGCACTTTGCATCTAGCTGCAGAAACAGAGCAAAAATCTGCCAGGAGGGCGCTTGTTAGAGCGTTAGAACTAAGAGGGAGGGGATGTTTAGGGGGCAGAGCGCCAATCATAGCTCAAACAGCGAGCCCGTCAACTTGTAGCCGGGCTCGCCAGGCCATCCCTCCCTCCTTCTTTCTCCATCCGCGCTCTTCATTTGTGCCACTGTCGATTCTTGCATCCTGCTTCTTCTTCCCTCTCTTCCATCCTCGCCCTTCCTTTCCTCGCCCTCCGAGGGTTGTTAGAGTTGACGTCTCACTGTCACGGGGTGATTTGGTCTCTTTGCTCGCGACAAAGAACAGAGCGTGACTTTCTCCCCCGCTGTTGATCGAGCTCTTTCAATTCCGACTTACCCCTGGTCCTAATCACCGCCACGTCCTCTTCGCCCGCCATCATTCGTATTTGCCGCGCAATACAAGACGTTGTTGCTAGAAAACAGCTCTGCCACACAATCGACATTAAATCACCTACACTGTCCATTCGACACCTAATCCGCCACAAAAAGCTCCCGATCTTTGTACACAGCACGTCAATCCCCACATAACTAAGCAGCCGTCAGCTCACTTGGCCTGTCCTGCCATATTGCCCCAGCAGGCAACACAACTGGTATATCACGTCCAATCTTTCGACTCCATCTTCTGACAGTGACTTATCAGGCATACAAGCTTTTGGTTCCGTTTCTGATACCCCTCGATCTTTCGAATTTGCGATCCTGTCGACTTACATTCAGCCAACGCTGGCCCGCGACGCCTAATACTCTAATCACACGCTCCTTCGACCTCTACATAGAGCTCCTCAATTCGCTTCCTTGATTGCCGGACCAGCTTTCTGGTTCATTTGCGTACAGCATTGTTCCATTCGATTGCACATACATCACCCTTAGAGAAAAAAACATGAGTATTGACGCAGGCGGTCTTGCTCAAATGACTTTCCAATCCCCTTTCAACAACACCAACATCGGTGTCTCCGGACCGGGCTTCGCGTCCCGCGGCAAGGCTTCGCACATCAAGCGCTTGAGCGTCGCCCCTCCTTCCAACATCTCCACCATCGATGAAACCCAGCAAGCCAATAATGTCTCAACTCCTCGAACCAGCCGTGGTCACCTCTTAGCCGGTCTCCGCACGGCCCCCAAATCTGCCACCGTTCCTCCTGCTGCCAACGGACTGGAGCAAAGCCGTTATGCGGATCCTCAGTACGATGCCGGAAGTCGCGTCCCGCAGACAACCACTGCAGCGTACTTTCCTCAGGCACGCAAGATGAGCGGCAACAGCAATGGTGCCTACCGTGATCAGAACAACTACTCCTTCCAAGAGCAAGTTCTGGCGCCTCCCATCCTCGATTTTGCTCCTCAGGGTGGATTAGACGGTATTGATCCCGAAGAGTATGAACAACTAATGGCTACCAACCGTTATCTTGCCCTCCAGCAGCGACAGCTTCAACAACAGCTTGCTGAGATCACTTCCGCTGCTCAGCATTTGGGTCACTTGAACCTCAATACAGGCTACACGAACAATGCCCAGTCTTACCAATCACCTGTCAATTCGCCCATGAGCATTTACACCCAGCAGCTCCAGCATGGGCTTCAGCCTATTGTTCAGCCCGTCGCTGGCAGTCCTGGCGTTTTCTCCGTCTACAATCCCATGACTGGCCAGTCCAGCTTCGTGTATGACAACGGGGCTCAGCAGCACACGGGTCCTGGAAGCACCGAGAACTACCGAGTATCCTCCCCCCAAGCCGCCCCGGTCTTTCAGCGTCAAGCCTCCGACCCTTCGGTTCCTCGGTCTCAGATGAGAAGCGTGTCGCCACCCAAGCCGACGCCCTCGCCCCAGAATGATGTTGAGCCTCTGCCTCCTCCATCGGCTAACGCCTTCCGCCGTGGGCACCGCAAAAACCTCTCATCGGTGAACGTCAAGACCACTGGTGAGTGGACACGCCCTACTGGTCCACGCTCGGCCGGTGTGCCTCAAACCCCTATGACCGGCACTTTCGCTCCCGGCCACGGACGTGCTGGTGAGCATCCTGTTCGCCAGCCCAAGGGTCCGCCGCTGCTGCAGGAGCTCACGGAGAAGCCCACGTCGAAGCATGAGGGAAGCAAGAACTTTGCAACCCGCCAACGCCGTCGTGCTGTCCATGACTTGGTGAAAGCTGGTCGAGAAAGACGCAACGACGTACGTCAGCCCGGCTCTGGAGCTGGCACTCCTGGCAGTGAGAACGAATTCAACTTCTCTGCCTCGGGTTCCGACAGCGACTCTGTTCTTGCGGGCAGCACTAGCCTGACCAGCCGGCCCAGCATCGGCAGTCTGGGGGTCGGTGCAATTGGATCTGAGCGCAAGGAGAAATCCCGCGACCGATCCTCTGTCGATAGCAACCGAAGCCTTAGCGGCGATGAGAGAGCATTTATTGAGATTGAAGCTGCGCGACGTTCCACTCCGCTGCTCGTCCTCAGCAACGCCGAGAAGCGTAGGAGCGTGGTGATGTAGATGGAACACCACTTACCCACCCCTCAAGGGCAGAGCCCGCATCCTTTGAGGTCCTGCATGTATTGGACCTCGTCCGATCGTTACCCAATTAACGAATTTAACGACACGGTACCCCTGCACAGCTCTTCTGAGCATTGCTTTTGATGAGTGTCATGAGACTCCCGGTTCGGGTTTCCTTTCGCGTTCTACAGCAAATGAGCTTGTGATTTTGTGTTCAAGTTCAATTCGTCGATGTGCACGCACGTCAGACCCGACCATCCTTTTCAAGAAGACATTGCGGAGAGCACCAGAATGTGAAAAAGGCCTGTTGATGCTGATGCACGGATTGGACTTGGTCAGGGCACATTCATTATTCGAAATCGTCCATCGAGGGCCGCTCTTAGCTGTTCAGAGGGCACCTCCTGTGTATAGTTAGTACCCGCACGATAACTCAGCATGAAGCCCATTCATAGCTGCAAATGAAGACAAAACCTTGATGATTGCAGTAATGGCCATGTCTAGACCCTAGCCACGCAGACTCGTATGCCTCCTGCCCCAGACAGCTTGGCGTGATGCAACCACGGATTGGCTGTTGTCATTGATCTACACTCCTACTCAGATAATCCGCCTCCACCACAGGACAAACTCTCACACCACCGCCGCCGATACAAAACGCTGCCAGTGATGCGTACGTGCCCTGTTCCCTTCATTGTAGCTCTCACGTAATTATCTCATTCATAGCTACGCTGCATGCGCTTGCTCGTTTACTCCAAAAACGCACATATAATCCTCCGAAGATTTCCGCATCTCGGTCTCACGCGCTCAATGTCTGACCCCTCGTGACCACTACCTCGTCTCATCTGCGCCCGATTTCAGGCCCTCTCCAAGCAGGATAACTCTTGCTCATCCAATCCATGGCCATGGCGGGGGCAGGTCCAGCCGACCGCCCCATCCTACAACGGTCAGGCTCCCCAGAGCACGCCTCCACCGAGTCCGGCCGCTCGCCTCTCTCGGCCCATGCTCCTTTCCTACACAACCTCTCGCAACGCTTTCGAAGAGGCAGCAACGTCAGCTCGAACACCTCTGACTCTCAGAGCCAGAATGCGGAGAAGAACGATGGCACAACTACTGCAAACCCCAAACAGCAAGAAAGGGCACGTGCCGATGCTTCAAGGGCGGCAAAGAGATACCTCATGACCATCGTACGAAATGATTGGGAATTCCCACCCACAGAAGGCGGGGGACAAGATCAACAACAGGGACCTGACGCCAGGGAACCTATATCCTGGCAGCTACGTGACGATGGCTCCGAAGATGAGCTGGATCGCGCGCATCCAACGTCACCCACGAAACGGCGCCCTAAGGCCGACCCATACCGCTTCGAAAACCCCGATGCGGTAGCAGACTACGTCCGTGAGCGGCAGGTTAAAAGAAGGAAAATTATCCACGAGCAGATGTCTTGGAACCACGGCCTCCGACATTGGGTTCAGCAGCGCGATGCGTGGACGGGAGCGGTTTGGAGGGATTCGGCTGGGGCGCGAAAGCCTGCATCAGAAAATCAGGATGCCATGGACACCACACTCAGTGCTATCCTCGGAAAGGCTGACATTCCGGACTCTGAAACCAACACCAATGTCGACACCTCGCCTTCGGTCAGTGCCGCCGACATCAATGCCGCGACTGCTGTTGGTTTCGCTGCCGCCGCCGATAGCCACACGCCGGAGGCCTCCGGAGGCACGTCCGTAGACAGTCTCGAGCCGGCAACCACCGCCACTACGGCCGCGACAGACGTAACTTCCACCGGCGTGACTACGGCCAAACCCACCAGTGCCATCCCCGCAAACGAAAGTGAACCCGATCCAGAAGCCGAGGGTCCTTATCTTCCCGTGTACCCGCCGCTGTTCCCTGAAGACAACGTGCTGCGCAGCCGCATCAACCCCAGCGCGTACGGCACGATTTACGGCAAGATCGTGGTGCAGAGCCTGACGCCCAACATCCCGATTCCGCTGCCGGACATGGTACGCGCGCTGGTCAGTGGATGGAAGAACGAGGGCCAGTGGCCGCCAACGGGGACGGCGCCGGAGGCGGCGCGGAAGGCTGGTAAAGCGACGGCGGGCGCGGGCGGGGCTGGAGGGACAGCATTTGCGCGGTGGAGGAGGGACAGGGGGCAGAGGAAGGCGAGTGGTTTCGGTGCGGCGGGTGCGTTGGTGGAAGGAGCTGGATCTGGGAAGGGGGAAGGGGCTGCGGTGGGAGCGAATGGGCATAGGGCCCGGAGGAGTATCAGCAGTGTGGTCAGAAGGGTTTTTGGCACCGAGGCGGAGGAGCGGAGGAGGGAGAGCGAGGTGGGCTTGAGTTTGGGGTTCGAAGAGGATGACGAGGCGGAGGGACTGGGTGCGAATGCGAGTGCAGTCGCGGACGTGGATGCAGATGCAGATGGGAATTCTCGACTAAATCGGGGGCTGCTTGATGAGGCCAAGCAGGTGGTGAAGAATGAGCCATGAAGGAGATATGACGACGACGACAACCATGCGGATGCAGTGATGAGGCACCCCTCCGGTTTCCTTGGGATAGCCATGTGTCTGAGAGGCTTGTTGATTATTGGTATGAACATACGATATGCATTCTTCGTATCTTTTGTGCTGCTGCTCTTCCCCCCCCCCCCCTCCCCCCGGATCCTCCTGCTGCTGTCGAAGCAAGTCTAGCTCAAGATGGCTGTCTGTTGGCTTTCTGGCGGCATCAATCTGCTGTTGGAGATGTGTCAACAGAAATGCTGCCGAGTTCGTGGGACATGCATCCATGAACTTGTATATAATTGCAGAAAGGGGAGCGAGGTGCTTCAATCCTCTCCCAAGGTCACGACGACAATGGAGTTGTTGCTGATCTTTCACCGCCCCAAAAGACGATAGTGGTGTGCTTTCTCGTATGCTGGTTCCTCTCTAAGTCCCCCAACTACGGTCGACTAAGTCCAGCCAGATACAAAGATCCACCCTCGCGTTGGAACCATAGAGACGAATCTATCTACCTACGAGCCAACGCGCGCAAGAAGAATGAACTCCTCGCACGCCCCAAATAACGTTTGTGTGCTGAACGTGAAGTCTCCGGGCCGAACAAAGCTGCTGCAGGTGCAGGTGCAATTGCGATTGCAGTGTACACACCGAAAGACCTGACCCGAGCGTACGTACGCGAAGGGCGTATAGGCAAAAGGGCGCGTATTCTGCGGCACAGGACCCCGCCATTGGAACTTTGGTACGCGGCCCGCCCAGTCATTAACCTGGAGTCTTGCTGCCGCTGCTTGTACTATTTGGGACGAAAGAAAAGGTGCTCTTTGACTCATCGGTGCAGACTTTTCTCGCTGTAGACAAGCAATACGGAGTCTCTGCTTCGAAGTTGGCAACGGTGGGAACTGTAGATGAATATTTAACCCCACTCGAGTTAGATATTGTCCATGAAGCGACTGATGATATATTCTGCAAATCGAAGGGCAGTGATGAAATGCAATGGGCCAGTATCGGCGCAAAGGTACCCTTCGACCCAGGTCAAGAAGGCGTGCCCATGCCCACCCACTCACAGAGGAGTCTGCGTAAAGACGCAGGCGCACTAGGGGATTGAAAGCATCGACTTTGAGTCAGCAAACCCCTGGCAACCTGCAAGCTCGGATTGTACCCACCGTGGCTGCTTGCTGAAGCAGTGATTGGTTGTCGTACTCGCATCTCTCTAGGCAGGCCTCAGGCTACCGAGTACTGAGTCACCTTCTCAACCACACAATGTATGTCAGAAGTCATCCGACGGGCTAGCCGCCAACAAGGGCGTCATATTGGGGAGAATTGTTAAGCAGGGAGGTGGGTGTATGACCGAGACTAGTCAACAAAGCATACCGTGGGAGCAGGTATAAAGATGGCCTTAGGACCGAGCCTGAGGCATGGCTGTCTATACAAAACCAAACACCGAGGAAAGCAAACCTTGACCCCACCGTGTTAAAGCCGAATCTGGTCGCACTCTTCACCATATAAAGATTCCTTGCGAAGCAATCACTCAGCACAAACTCAACAGTCAATATTCCCTCGCGACTCAGCTTACCCGGGATCCTTGTAGGAGTTTGGGGAACGCCTAATTGTTCAGAATCCCCTGCTTATTCTCACCCCACGCCATACCCTCCAGTGGAGCAGCTGAGTATAGGGTATATTTAGTCAACACCTATGTCGTACGCATCTGTCACCGACTCCCTACTTGCCTCTCAACGACATTCTCTCCCAACACCCAAGCTCTCGCAAGAACGCTCTCGTGCGCATTCCCAGACGATGCCTTCCTCAGCCAATGTGGACGAGAAGCATGGCGACGCCGCCTCGGTGCGAAGCACTTCAACCATGTCGAGCCTGAAGTCATTGCTTCACAAGAAGCGTGATAGCACCAGCAAAACCATCAAGCCTACACAGGCGCAGAAGGCTCACCAGAACAACACCACACACGAGGCTCGAGCGGCGTACTTTGCGATGAAGTAGGGCTGTCGATCTGGATCAACATGTATCGTATTGACAGTGGCTCAGATCGTGAGATCGCGTGGTAACCACGTGTTACATGAGGGTTTTGGCGTTTTTCGATAGTTGGGACATGGTTCGACTGCAATGCTTGCGGTGCAGTCGATATGAAAACATACCTCGGTGATAATCTGAATAGACAAGCGCAATGATATCAGACCTTAATAGCATCTATTTTGAAATGCCTTGGGGATTCTCATAGTGAAGAGTGCAGCAGATGGTGAAAGTACGTGTCGAGTCGTGGTGGGCGGCGGCTTCCAGTGACTACCACTGAGCGCTTGATGCACTGAGCGCTTGATGCACTGAGCGCTTGATAGACATACCAGACCAGCCTAGACGTTGACACGGGATCGAGCGCATGTCTTAAAGGGCGAAAACGACTCCTGTAAGTAAGGCGCCATCAGGTCTCTGAGGGATGTGCATGAGAGTAGAAGTAGCCATCGAGTAGGTGAGGGCCGATATCAAGATAGAGACACTTGATCGCGCAAGTACGAATCTCGTTACCGAGAAATAGGGAACTGAGTGGGTGTGTAGCTCGTTGTCCAGATCACATTCCGCCGTGGACAAAGATAAGCCACATTTTAGCGCCTGGACATGGTCAGTTGCGTTTCAGGATGTGCAGGCTCCTGGCAGTTCAGGCCAGCGGTACTCGTCGAAAGAGGGGGGGAGAATGTGATTGAAGGTGTGCGGGAGCGGCCAGCCATGATATGGTGTGGACGTCAAGTGCTGAGGTTCCCAGCTGGCATGCACGACGTACAAGCTGTCGGATCTGGCGTTTGACGGCGGCGTTGACGAGAGGCTTAGGCCCATTGGCGCCATCGAGCCACGAGATCGGGGCGGGTGGTGGCTGTGGCGGTGGCTGTGGCGCATGTGTGGCTGAAGCTCTTCGGCGCAAAGCGTGGCAAGTGCGAGCTGACCCCCGCAGATTCTTGATCTGCTAGGCCGAGTTCCAGCCTGCAATAGGCAGTCGCCGTCGCACTCGCGTCTCACTCTGGCACTCCACCCCCAACGCCGAGCAGCCGTTGACAGCGCTATCAGCATCTCTTGCAAGCAGACTGACGCTATTCCAGACTACGGGGCTGGGGTTCGCTGCAGCAAAGGATTGTTTGTCTACCACTAGCCACGAGTCGACCCTACCAGGATTGCAAGCTCGATAGGGTTTCTCGTGAGTTGAGAGCCTGACCGATGCCTCCCGACACACGCCCGAATGACCGACGCCTGTCCAAAGAATGCCCAACTCTAATATTTCCATGTGATCGGCGGTGTGCCATACTCAAGACAATTAATGGGCAGCTGACGGGGAATGGCGACTGGCAAATGGCTGATCACAACTGTATGAAGCTGCAACATTCAATGCAGCACACATGCTGGCTTGAAGCATTCAACAGTCCCGGATGACACACATCTCACACATGCAGTGTCGCTTCTGCAGGCCGGAGAGAACGAGGGTAGACCCTGTGGGTGAGAAGGCTGGCCGTCCGCCATACTCTCAGCGAGGACGAACCCAATGAATTACAGGGCTAAAAACAAGCGAGAAAAAAAGGCATTGTGTGGCAATTCCCGGGACATTCTCTCCTTTGCTGGCCACCAGTGAAACCGCGATGGCAGACGCAAGGCAAGGGAATGCAACGAAAGCAACCACTCAGAGCTGAATCTGGCATGGCCGCGTTCCATAGGCGAACGCGTTTGATAAAGCAAAAAGCTGAGACAGTCAGGAAGCAGGACAAGGGGCGCGTAAGTTTCAACTCCCTGCCGGCCCATGCCTCAAGCTGCGCAATAACAGGCCCGCTGCTCGATCTGCCCGGAAGTTTAACTGGCCCAACACTCGCATGAGTCCTTTGGCGCGCCCCGATCAGCCCCGCTTCGACGGCTGCGCCCCCCTTCCCAGGCTGCCACCCCTAGCCAATCAATTACCCCTTGGCTCCCTCCCATGCCACCTGGTGGACAGGCAAACGGCGCACCCAGACCTGCACATGCTTGGGCCAGATGATCCAGCCTGCCCACAGGCTGCCAACCGTGGCCATGCGCCCCTCTCAACCTGACTCGTCCTGTGTGGGGATACGCCGTTCAAGGAGTGCAGCATGCCGCCTCATGGCCAACCAGTTTCTCCCTGGCACGGTGCCGCCGACGGGCGCGAAACAATACATATTTACACTTGCAAGCGCCAGCTCGCCCCAGCTCCCTCGCGGCACTGAGTGACATTCCTCAGGCTGATTAAAGTGAATCACTCTTCCTCATCCTCATCTCTCTAGACTCCCCTTCCATCTCACGACCCAGCAAAAGCCGTTGACAGCCAAGCCGCTGCCCAAGTGCTGGAACCTACTGACCCAGAACCTCTAGTGGCCAGGCCATAGACTTTACCCCTGCTTACGCGACCCTTGGCCCAAGACCAATCCGTCTCTCTTCCGAGCAGAGTCACTTATCGATTATTCCCTTATCGATCTAGTTGCCGTGCCGGTTCCGTGCTCCAGACTTCGTCATTCCAAAAGGCGACAGCGTGGAACCTCAGGGGACGCGACTCGAGACCTTACCGAACCCTCTCAGACACCAAAGGAGTCGACTATCCTAGGCTGGCCCTAGCATACCTCCTGGGAGAATTGCCTTCTCGTATCGATATTCATACTCCGTACATCCACTTGGCACGCTCGCTTCCCCCCTCCTGCAGGCCAGGCATTTCACATTTCTTTAATACCAACCACTCGCATCTTCGAGACATTTGGGCCCTTTGTCGCTTTTGACAGACTGTCCATATCTGTCACTCGTCCTCAAACAAATCAGGTTCCTTTGATCAGGAACTGTTCTCTCATTCTACCAACCTCTTACCACATACACTCATTATGGACTCTTCATACTCGCAGGCCCAGAACCGGGCTGCTCTCGACGAGTTTGTCCGTCAGCCCGTGAGGAGTTATATGATTCAGCACCTAGCGAAGCAGGCCTCGCAGGTTATCCGCTGTGAGCAGCCTTCCAACACATCAACTCTTCCCACACCGCCATCCACGCCACCTTCAGATCCCGCTCAGCATGAGAACATGCCTGCTCTTCCCAGCTTGGAAGCATTCATCACATCTCTTGTCAACAAGTCATCCGTCCAGGTCCCTACCCTGATGACCTCGCTGGTCTTCCTCACTCGCCTAAAGGCTCGCCTCCCTCCTGTGGCCAAGGGTATGCGGTGTACCACTCACCGCATCTTCCTGGCTGCTCTTATTCTGGCGGCCAAGAACCTCAACGACTCTTCACCCAAGAATAAGCACTGGGCCAGGTACACCTCAGTCAAGGGCTACGATGGCTTCGGCTTTGGTCTTCCCGAGGTCAACCTCATGGAAAGGCAAATGCTCTACCTTCTCGACTTCGATACCCGAGTTAGCGAACAGGACCTCTTCGACCACTTCGAGCCTTTCCTGGCACCTATCAGATTCCAGCTTGAGCTTCAGTACGAGCGATCCGAACTCAACAGCCACAGGCACTGGCAGTCCACTTCCTCGGTCGACACTGATGTGGTCGAATCAATTCGCCAATCCACGCGCGCACTCACCACCAAACAGCCCAAAGCTATCCACGTGTACGACTCTCCTCACTCCATCATCGAGGACGATGTCCCTGGCGGACGTCATGCCCGCAGATATCACAGCAACCAGAGCTCTCTGTCTCTGCCCGCTGCAAGTCATAAACGCGGCCCCTCACCCTATCGCCACGAACGCTCCATTTCGCCGCCGTCGATCCGAGACTTGCCTCCCTTGGTACGCTCCGGTCACTCTTACTCCAGCTCCCGATCATCTTCAGTTGCACCATCGTCTCACTCGAGATCATCCTCCTTGGCACCCACCAACCGAGGCACCCCTATGACCCACAATAATTACGTGGATGAGAATATCGCCATCTTCGATGGGCAAGCTAGCCCGGATAGCTACCAGTATACCGCATATGGCAAGGCAGTCGCTGCGGCCAGACCGAACCTGAAGGGCCACCAGATCAGCTTCTATGATCAACAACCCAGCAAGAAAGTCAAGTCGGAAGGTCCCGCTCCCGCGCATCAACATAGTGTGGGCAGCGTCATGTCGAGGCTCTTCAATGCCGGTGCGACCAGACTAGGCCGAACACCTGTGCAAGTTACATGAGTATCGGAGCTTGATGCAATTCACACATTCGACTGGAGATAGACACGGTCTGAATGACTGCAACGAAAGTGACGGACGACAATTCATTTGCAAGATTTCTTGGATACCAATTCCAATTACTGCTTCTACAGCGCATGGCGATGGCGTTTTCATTAAACAACTACTATTCAGACCACCAGAGGATCGAAATTTGGGAGGAATCAATTTTCGAGGGCGGATCACCAGCGTGAGCCTCGAATCACTTTCTGGCAAATGTGTATTTTATCAAGGGAGAAGGATCAATCTCGTTCCATTGGCACAGGTGCTGAAATGACGATGATGAGACCAATGGCAGACGAGACCCATTAGCGAAGCAATTCAGCCCATGATACCCTCAACCTCCATCTCAGCAGAGGAGGCAAAGAGTGGCAATGCAATGCCATCTAAAACTTCAGATGCAGACCCTTCCGAAACCTGTTCTTCCCACCGTAAGCTTGCTCCTGAGTTGCCAGGGAACCGTGAGTGAACCTTGCTGCATGCCCGTGGCTGAGTACGCAGGAACAACATGACGAGATGAAAATTCCGCCGGTACCTGCAGTATCACCGTGCCGCTTCTGCAGGCTGCATGGTTGCTGCTTCCCTCTAACCCAATGCAGCAGCTGGAATAACTCGGAACCACACAAAGTCACTCAACCCAGCTGCGCATTTCGCCTCAAACTTGCCATCACCATCGACTACCCCCAGCGAGATAGCACAATCTCGACCGCTGACGAGATCACAGTCAAGTGCGCAATGACGACGACCACCCAGCCAGCTTTCTAAGCGAAGCACGCCTGTCTCACGGTAGCAGTTTCACATAGCAATAGCCCAGCACCCGCCTCCCACCTGCGGCACCTCTGCAGCAGCCAAGTCCCACTACAATCAGCTTCCGTCGTCGCCAATGCACAGTGGTATGCGCATCAGCAACTAGGAGATATATGTCCTGCAGCTAGGAGAATACACATCGCTCATCACTGCGCCACCAAAGACCTTCACCAACCCTGCACTAGAGGCCTGGTCGCGCGGATCTTCGCATTACCTTTGTCCTGTACTCCGTACCTGAACGTCTCCCTGACGCCGGACGCAGCGCTCTGACACAGCCGGCACAAGCCTAGCACCTCGCTACCTCGCTACCTCGCTTGGACGCCTTTGACGTGAACTACGGAGCACTGCTGTGGCAACTCGGAAGAAATTCATCGACCACCTAAGCCGCGTTTCCGGCCACATCTCGCAGTCTACCCACAGGCCACGGAGTACGGCTGTTGAGACATGCCGGATCACCGTGTCGGCAACGTGGACCACTTCACGCCCACGACACACAGCTCTGTTCCAGCCTCGCTCGATCCTCGGCAGGTGAAGCTCCCACCTAGCTTTACAGTCTGTATCATTGGAGCTAGTGCTGGCATTGGTGAGTACATTGCGTATGCCTTCGCGCGGGCTGGGGCAAAGAGCATCATCATCGCGTCTCGCACAGTGAGCGACTTGCAAGCTGTCGCGGCACGTATTCGAGGCATCAACGCCTCGGTGACGGTCGATGTCCAGCAGTGCGACGTTGCCTCTGCCGCAAGCGTGGCTGCGCTGGCTGTCGCTGTTACGAATCTCTATGGGCGCCTCGATGCCGTGATCCCCAACGCAGCCTACGCACCGCCCATAACCGGCATGAAAATGACAGAGAACAGCCCCGAACTAGTGCAGCGTGCATTCGACGTCAACGCCATGGGAACCTACCATGTTGCACACTACTTCGTGCCTCTACTCCTTGATTCTCAAAATGGAGCGAAGCTGTTCCTGGCCGTTGGCAGCATTGCAGGCTGTATCCGACAGGGCATCATCGCAAACACGGGGTATACAATCTCGAAAATGGCACAGATCCGCATGGTAGAGTATTTGGGCGAGCAGTATGGAAGAGCAGAGGACGGCGGACTGCTTGCCCTTGCGGTCCACCCGGGCGCTGTCGGCACCAAAATGGCCGAGGGCAACACGCCTGACGCGTTCTTGCGGTACTTGACAGACGGCGTGGACCTGTGTGGTGCGTGGTTGGTGTGGGTAGCAAGCAGCAGGGCCAAAGGAGAGCTGCAGTGGCTGACGGGCAGGCTCGTGAGTGCCAATTGGGATGTTGGCGAGCTTCTAGAAAAGAAGGCGCAGATCGAGAAGGGAGATCTCTTGAAGTTTGAGTTGCTTACCCGGTAACGACGAAGATGATACAGCCACTTCTCAACCGATGCCTCCAGACGGGTGTTCCCTCAATGTCAACGGGGGATGGAACCCTGAGAGACTTCGTGGCGCAACTCGCCTGTTCCAAATGCTTGGGATTAAGCACCGAAAAGCTTCATGCTTTTTGGTTTGCTTCGCACGCCCGTTGCTGGTCATTGCTTCTGTCATCTGTTCCGAGACATTGCGGCGAGTCTGGTACACTGTGCTGCAAGCTTTCTCTGGGGGGCGTCTGTGTGGGTCCTCCCGCTCCTGGAGCCCCCGGCGCGCCTGCAACCTACACGGGACAGCGAGGGATGTACAACATGCATGCATGCAATCATCGTGGGCCTCCGGCGAGATGGTTGCAGCCGTTAATCTGCGACACTGCACTTTGGCAAACCAAGTACGGTGTACCGGTCCAACAACGTTGTTTCGATAGGCGAGAGACACAGACAGCGACGAAATTCATTTGTAAATTGGGATCGCTACGATAATTTGCTGCCTATTTCGTTTCTTTTCTTGGTCGGCCTCCTCTTTTGTTCGGCAACACTGAATACGCCCTAAAGAGGCGCTACCACGTGCACAGGTACCCGCGTACCCGGACATGCGTCTCAGAAAGCCGCCAGAATCCATAAGTCCAAGACAGCAAGCCACCGCTCGCTATCTGAAACGGTAAACCTACCACGAGCGTTACCTCTAGTCTCTTGCTACTGTCGACCTTGTCCCAATTGGGGCAGTCTACCGAGCTTGAACATGCGGTCCATGCAGAGCTTAGCAAGGTTTGCGCCAGCAAGCACGCCGTACCCGCAGGAAAGGCCAAGAAAGAGACGGCTTGATGAGAGTTCCTAGGGAGGCTACTGGAGTACTCTGTTCGGAGTATGTTGCGCAGCCAAAAGTCGTTCGGCGATGATCTCCTGGAGAGGCCTAGTCGGGGTTTCGAGATCGATCCCGGCCCCCTCGCCCGAACGTCACGGAAGTCATGAAATCGCTATGAACTTGCAGGGGGGAGAACAAAGGACAAAGCGTGGCAGGAAAGTTTACTTTGGGGCATTTTGATGAGATTCGGAGAGGCGCAGAATGAACCGAGAAGTTCGAGAAGGTCACGGAGTTCGGAGTCGCGGGCGCGTGTGGCTTGGAACAGCGAGAGTCAGGGGTCTGACTGAAACGGCGGAGAGTGGGCTTTCACGAATCTAGATGGGATGGATGCCCTCGGGGGGGAAAAAGGACTAGGTTGAGAGTTGACGAGGTTTGATGCTGAGACAGTGGTACCGAGTGTTATATTGCAACAGCTTAACTGGTTCGCGGGTTCGAGTGCTAAAAGGGCTTCTGGCAGAGATTTTGCTGAGATGAGAATCTGACTAAAAATATGGGATCTGAAACGGTTTCTTCGAGGTTTAGATAAAAAGGAGGTCTGTTGATTCCTTGGCGAGAGGTCAGAGTCTGGAAGTCGGCAACGCGAAGCTGTGAGGCTGGAGAATACTCCGTAGTGGCTGGTGGTAAGCTCTGTGGCGGTGTAGATGGACACGGGCGAGACGGGGGTGCTTACTCAGCGGGGGGAAATGGTGCTGCACTCAGTCGAGAGGATACCGCTGAGCCGATGCCAGCAGTTCAAGCAAGCAGCACAAGAAGTCGATCATTGTTGAATGCGCATGCTTGCCAATCTACCGTGACTAGATGGTCTGTAATGAGCTGCGTGTGTGTGTGTGAAAAAAGCCCGCAGGCAATCTTTCTCAGTGTCATTCAGTCACTCTCGATGCGTCGAAACCAAAAACCTCTACCCATATGGCTTCCATAGAGCAGCCCCTCAGATTGGAACAGTCCATGTCTCGGACGTCAGAGTAGCTGCCTCTCACGCAAGATTTTCCGCGACCGCTGGCTTCACAACCACTCTCTGACAAACCGCCGAGTCAGCCAACGAAAAGCGGCCCAATGTCACGCAGCCCAATGTCACGCAACCCAACTTTACACAAAGCTCATAACAAACAGGTAAAAGAAAGGAACTGCCATCCAACCGACTCCGGCCGTCTATTGAAGCCTCCTCTCTCTGACCCAGAGACCCCAACATCAACCTTTCCCTTCCTCTCTCCCTTCTCAACTCAGCCCATCCCCATCCCCTACTCCCCCACCTCCTCGCCGTCCTCCTCCTAGGGGATTTAGGCGTGCTGGTGCTGTGTTGGGGGCCTGTTGGGGGAGGCATCGGTGTGATGAGAACGGGACAAGGGAGGGAGGAGACGTAGGAGAGAGGGGCTTGGGAAGGGGGAGGATGCCAGGGGAGAGGGGAGAGAAAGCAATTGGACGGAGGCTCAAGTTTGCTTCATTCGTGGAAGCTGATTAAGTCGTAACCAAAGACTCAGCAACGAAGTGTTGAGTCTTAATACATAAGTTTGTTTTTCTCACCACGCGCGGAAGCCAAACAAAAAGTCCCACGGCTATCGTCAAGGCTTTTTTATCCTTCGGTGCAAAAAAGTGCCTTATGGCCCCGTGGACCGTGTGGCTTCAGCGGTCATAGATCAGAGGACCTTGATACACCAAGTTCCGATTCGCGATCTTCCAGCCGCCGTCCCCCTGCCGCTCCCACGTATCCTCGTACCTCCCCGTCGCGTACAACACCTCTGAGCCGTTCTGTATCTCTGCCGGTTTGCTGGGATGGAAGTAGTGGCTGGCGGTGTAGTACGTCACGGAAATCGCACTGTCCTTGGCGCAGCGGACGATGTACTGCGTGCCGAACGAGTGGTGCGTGGCGGCAAAATTGTCGAGTCCGGCTGCGATGGCGGCCTTGATGTTCGTGAGGCCGACCACTTCGTTGATGGGCTCCGAGTAGTTGGTGCGGACATTGGGCGTGAAGATCCTGTCAAGGGCGTCGAAGTTGCGCCCGTCGACGGCAAAGGGGTAGAGGGACAGGGTTTGGCGGATGGCGGACTCGGTGTCGGGGTCGGGACGGAAGGCCAGTGGTAGCTCAGACAGCTGCTGCAGCGTTGCTGGGCCGGGGGAGATGCTGGGGCATGCAGAGAACGCTGGGCGGTTCCAGAAGCCGAGGACTTGCGCGTTGCTGCCCAAGGTAAAAGAAATGGCGGTGATCAATGCTGGGGATTTGAAGTGCATGGCGAAGTGGAGGTGATCGTCAGGCACAGGGTCAGCTTCATGGGAGTCCAAGTTTATGAGCGCGACAGCATGCAGTTACGAAGACATTGGCTTCAGCACGGTCAAGACAGGACTGATCACAGACCTTGCATTGTGCTGTGTATAGTGCACGACACACATAGCATCAAAGGGGCCTGAGGACTGCATATCCGAAGCCCAAAGAGCGATGAGCTGCACAAATAATTTCCCATTGCAGTTGACAGGCGCTTCAACTTGTCAATATTGCCATTGACAGCGGTTGAAAGGTCGTCAGGCTTTGGAGAGCTTGCCGAACACTCTGACCGATGGGACGGCGCGGATGACCACCATAGAAGTGACATAAATAATGAAAACTCGAAAGGATAGTCTAAGTAGTCGTCTGACGCCCTTGCCTTGCTGTCTTGGCCTTTTCGAACATCTTGAAGTCATGTTTGACTCGTTTTGACAGCGGGAGTCGCTCGCTGGACCCGACCCAGCTACGCCATCACGTTATTAGAAGACCCGTCGTTCCTCTCAATCCTCTTGGATTCTCTTCCTGGCACATGCTCGAATCGAGCAAAAAGGCCCGCCGCCCGTCTGGCTCCAATATGAGTCGGTCTGCAGCCTCGGCCCCTTGCATATGCTACCCAGCCAGAATTGTTCGCTAACATACGCTTGTGACGCCGATCCACGCATGGAACGCAGCCAGGATTTTGCGATATACTCCAAGCATCCCGGCCCGCTCGGGAGGCTGGAGGCTGGACGCGGAGAAGTGGAATGCGAACAGGGCTTGTTGTGGTCCGTATCTCAACTTCCGGTAAATCATCAGTCCGCACTGGCCAAGTCAAACCCTTTTTCACGGAACTGCCAGCCCCTTGCTGTTAGCATAGAGCATCCATCCTTGGTGCTGGCTGGAGAGTGGTGCGGTGATCAGGTCAGATGTTTTCCCGGACACGGTGATCCGCCAAAGTAGCATGTCCATCACGAACCTGGCTACCCAGAGTGCCTCTCAGCTCTGGCCAGGCGACCTGTGTATATCAAAATGATGCTCTCGATAGGAACTCTTCCTCCGAGTCATCACCATCTGCCCACTTGGAGAACTATATCATGATGGAAAACCTGACTACTGTAAAGAGGCAGGATGTAGTCGTGCCACCGTTCCAACCAGACTTAAGTCAATTGGCTCTTTCGGTGAGTCTTCCTGCGCGGCTTCGGATTTTGCACTGATCAATGTAGGCTCTGATCTGGATCGAGCTCGTCGCCTGTTTCTTTTTTGTCACCCTACGCACTTGGGTGCAGTACCGCAACAGCAAGAGACTATTCAGCAACGACTGGCTGATATTTGCGGCAATTGTCTGCCATGCTGGTGCCGTGGCAGTTTGTCAGCTCGCAATTCCGTACATGTACGATATCGAGAGGCTCAAGCTGGTGCTAGAAGCTGGAGGCACGCCTTCTACGCAAATGGTGGCCAGCGCTCAGACCTTCTTGCAGTTTCAATTCGCGTTATTGCTGCTGCTTTGGACCACACTCTGGCTGGTGAAATTCTCGCTGCTGATATTCTTCTGGCGTCTGTTCGAGTCAGTCCACACCAAGGTTCGAATATTCTGGTACATCATGTTGGCCGTGACCGCATCGACCTATATCGTCACGATATTCGTACAGCTCTTCGCCTGTGGATCGCCTCAAAACTTCTTCAAACTGTGTGAGTGGACCGAAGAATTCCCCAAGAGCATAGTGGCTAACACCGCTGTAGCCGGCTGTGCGGACTCCTATCATATGTATCTGTCGAATCTTGTCTTCCTGTTCTCGGCCGGAAGCGACATCGCTGGCGACGTCTTGATTCTTCTCATTCCTTTTCCGCTGCTCTGGAAACTGCGAACGACGCGACAACAGAAGGTTATACTCGTCATCATTTTCCTGCTGCCCCTGGTCCCGATCATCTTTGGCGTTTTGAGACTGGTTCTCTGCAACCCTGTCACAGGAGTAGTGAACGTCATCCGGTTCCAGCTTTACTCGCTGCTCGAAAACACCGCAGCTATCATCACCGCATGCCTGCCATCGTTAAGACTCTTCGTGACAAGTTCACGCAACAACAGCAGAGCCACAGGGACTGTTTATTATAATGGGGGCTCTGGCCTGTCACGAAGTGCGAAAAGTCGAGGCCACGACCAGTCAGGACCCGTCCGTCTCGGTAGCTCCGCAACAGAGCAAGACGGAACACCATTTGACACCAGGGCATTCTCAAGAGTAGAGTCAGAAGAGGAGGCTGGTATCTGCGGAAAGGGGATGATGATGACCAGCCTCACAGGAAGAGAAGCATCTGATGTCTCAGATCCGGCGGTTGATCTCAAGCATACCTAGAGCATAATAAGTAGGGCTGGACTACAGACTATCACATAATGAAGAGAACCATGCTCTGGACTTGTAGCGGGATGAAGAGAGAGGGTCGTATGGGACAGTATCCATACCATCGCGATGATAAAGACTCGAAGCAGATTGGCTTATGTGCGCAAGGCTACGTCTTTCCGAATACAGCTAAGCCAAGCAGAGCTCGCCAGCCTTGCAGCACTACGCAATTTTTTCCCTCTGGCGCTTGGGTTCCTCCCCGCATGCGAAAAAGCCGAAGCGTGCCCAGCGAGATCGGGGAGCTGCGCTTGACCGTGAGTGAGATGGTACCGCACCAGTTCCCAACCCGCTTTTTTCTTCTGGTTCACCCTGCGCAGTACTTTCTTTCTGACTCAAATACCCTCGAGACAAACCTTTACTCAGGTACATAAAGGTACTCTGTCACTCGATTCAGCATATATCAACCTCTATCTCTCCCATCGCGCCCGTCTCCATCCTAGCAAACGACCTTTTCTTCACCGCCCAATATGTGCCCTCCGGCAGACGACACCCAGATCAACGGCGTCAATGGTCATACCAATGGCACTAATGGATGTATGTAAAGCTGCTGTGACAGTATCTGTCGACTTGTGACTAATTTCAGCAGCCCGATCAGAATTCGTCGGCGTTGACATCACACGAGCTACTCCCAGACAATCAAGAAACCCATATCAGCCAGTTGGCGATTTCCTCAGCAATGTCTCCCGCTTTCAAGTCATTGAGAGCACTCTAAGAGAAGGCGAGCAGTACGTCTCGGAGCAACTATGACACGGAAGCATACTGACACCCTTCTCAGGTTTGCCAATGCCTACTTCGACCTCGACAAGAAGATCGAGATCGCAAAGGCCTTGGACGAGTTTGGCGCCGACTATATCGAGCTGACCTCTCCCGCCGCTTCGGAGGCGTCTCGCAAGGATTGCGAGGCCATCTGCAAGCTCGGCCTCAAGTCCAAGATTCTGACACATATCCGATGCAATATGGAAGATGCCAAGATTGCTGTCGAGACTGGTGTCGACGGTGTCGATGTTGTCATTGGCACTTCCTCGTTCCTCCGCGAGCACTCCCATGGCAAGGACATGGCCTACATCAAGAAGACCGCCATCGAGGTGATTGAATATGTCAAGTCCAAGGGCATCGAGATCCGCTTTTCATCCGAAGACTCGTTCAGATCTGATCTGGTCGACCTGCTCTCGCTTTACCAGGCTGTCGACAAGGTTGGTGTCAACCGTGTTGGTATCGCCGACACTGTCGGCTGCGCTTCTCCCCGACAAGTCTATGACCTGGTTAGAACGCTTCGTGGTGTCGTGAGCTGCGACATTGAGATCCATCTGCACAATGACACGGGCTGCGCCATCGCCAACGCTTACTGTGCTCTCGAGGCTGGCGCTACACATGTCGACACCTCAGTCCTTGGCATCGGCGAGCGTAACGGCATTACATCTCTTGGAGGTCTTATGGCCCGCATGATTGCCGCGGATCGTGACTATGTCAAGAGCAAGTACAAGCTCGAGAAGATCAAGGAGATCGAAGAGCTTGTTGCCGAGGCGGTGGCCGTCAACATCCCATTTAATAACCCCATCACCGGTTTCTGTGCTTTCACCCACAAGGCCGGCATCCATGCTAAGGCTATCCTGGCGAACCCCAGCACATATGAAATTATCGATCCCTCAGATTTCGGCATCAACAGATACATCCATTTCGCTTCTCGTCTGACGGGTTGGAATGCTATCAAGTCTCGTGCTCAGCAACTCAACATCGAAATGACTGATGCGCAGTACAAGGAGTGTACTGCCGCCATTAAGAGATTAGCAGATATCCGACCTATCGCCATTGACGATGCCGATTCAATTATTCACGCCTTCCACCGCAATATCGTGGCTGGCAAGACCAACCCGGCTGGCTCGGTCCTTCTGCCTAATATGACGGACAAGGAGAGAAAGGCGCTGGAGGAGAAGATGCAAGAGGACGCCGCTGTTCCCGAGAAGAGAGCACTCGATGAGGTTGTTGATGACCAAGTTCACACCGAAAAGGTCGTCAAGAAGGCCAAGGCTAACGGTATCGCTGCCTAATGCTCCCATTGTTACTCTACAGAGAAAAGGCGACTGTGGGCGGTATTGGCTTGGAAAACGGAGCGGGGATCCTCACCAGGCACCGATATGCCTTTGCTTTGCGTGTTACATGTAGCATGCTAGAGACGAGCAGATGGCAAATGGACGAACAAATCTTTGCTAAATGCACCGAGCAGCTGTCATCCCATGTTCTTCATTGGATTCTTGAGGCGCATCACAGTGGTAAGATTCGTAATAAAAACCCAGTACCCCGCCGTATTTCGTATTCCATCACGATAGCCGAAAACCGAGCCTGAAGGACCCATGACATATAGGTCTTTTTCTGAATGCAACCGTTCGCTGCGTTGCGTTGTTTCCTGAGACACCCACAGCCGCTCAAGATGGGCTCGTCACCATTACCCGTGAGCCTTCAGAGCAAGCTCAAGCAGCCGACCCAAGTCTCCCGGCTGAAGAGCTTCAGCAGGACGTTGGATCTGTGAGTTTCACATGCTTTCTGCCTGCGTTCCGCATACCAGAACTGACCATTCTCAGTCTGCGCAACCTCATATTCCTACTCTTCGTGCTGCGGATATCGAGGAAATCGTTCTACTTCCTGCGAGGCTATGGCTTCTTCGGCTCCCTCGTTTTCTTGTACCGCGCCCTCCGCAAGCGCACCTACCGGTTACTTCTCAAAGCACCCGGCGTCCGTGGCCAGGTGGAAAAGCAAATCATAGCAACCAGGAAAGACATAGAGTCAAGGATCGCGTCCAATATTCCCTCGACGACGCGCAACGTCATCCTTCCCGCCGAGCCATGGACCGCAGAACATCTCCGTAGCGAGCTCTCCGCCCTCGCTGCGGCCAAACGCACCCGGTGGGAAGAAGGCAAAGTTTCAGGTGCCGTCTACCACGGTGGCTCTGACCTGATAGCGCTGCAACATGAAGCCATGCAGCTCTTCTCCGTCTCCAATCCCATCCACGCCGACGTCTTTCCTGCCGTCCGCAAGATGGAAGCCGAAGTCGTCGCCATGGTCCTATCACTCTTCAACGCACCTCCAACCGCCGCGGGTGCCACCACCTCCGGTGGAACCGAGTCCATTCTCATGGCTGTTCTCTCTGCGCGTAACAAAGCCTACCACGAACGCAACGTAACGGCTCCCGAAATGATCATCCCGCAAACCGGCCACGCAGCTTTCCAGAAAGCGGCCGAATACTTCAAGATCAAGGTCCATCTCGCTCCCTGCCCTGCACCAGCCTACACCGTTTCTATTCCACATGTCCGTCGCCTCATCAACCCCAATACCATCCTTCTTGTGGGCTCTTGCCCCAACTACCCTCATGGTATCATCGACCCAATACCGGCCCTCAGCAAGCTCGCTCTCTCACACTCAACCCCCCTGCACGTCGACTGCTGCCTCGGCTCCTTCCTGATCCCGTGCCTCTCGGCCGCCGGATTCCCTGAGCCCGCCGGGCCCTTCGATTTCCGTGCCCCGGGCGTCACCTCCATCAGCGTTGACACGCACAAGTACGGCTTCGCGCCCAAGGGCAACAGCTGCATCTTGTACCGCACCCCGCTCCTACGGCAGTATCAATACTTCGTGGCGCCCTCATGGTCCGGCGGCGTGTACGGCTCACCCTCAATCGCAGGCTCCCGACCCGGCGCGCTGATCGCCGGCTGCTGGGCCAGCATGCTCTCCGTGGGCAAGAGCGGCTACGTGGCAGCGACCAACAAGATCGTGGCCACGCGCGCCACGCTGCAGAACGCCATCACCGAGCATCCGGACCTCAAGGACGCGCTGCAAGTCATCGGCGACCCCTTGGTCTCGGTCGTCGCCTTCCGCGCCAAGGATCCCGCCCTCGACATCTACGAGATCGGCGACGCCATGGGCCGGCGCGACTGGCACTTGAACTCGCTGCAGGACCCGCCGGGCTTGCACGTGGCGGTCACGCTGCCGATGTGCGCCGACGGCGTCGTCGACGGGTTGATCGCCGATCTTGTGGCGTGCGTGAAGGAGGAGAAGGAGAAAGTGCGCGACCGCATCAGCAAGGGCGAGGCCATCAAGAAGGGCAACACCGCGCAACTGTACGGCGTGGCGGGCAGTCTGCCGGACAAGAGCGTGGTGGAGAAGGTCGTGGTTGCGTACCTGGACACGCTGTACAAAGCCTGAAGCCTGGAAGTGAGCATAAATAATAGCAGACAAAACAGGAAATGCGGTGCAAGCGAGAGGAAGAGAGAGAGAGAGAGACTTCGACGGGCGGCCATGTGATGCTTGTCTAACGAGTCAATACGGAACCAAAAAGAGACAACGTGACTCGATCTTATCAGCTTTTTGACAAAAAGCATTGATTGTTAGCGATGTGTGTCTGTCTATACACAGCAGCACTGTGTGCACATCGGTAGCTTCTCGCACCACGTGTAGCTCACGCTGGGAGCACTGCCGTGGCATCCATCCATCATGTCTCGCGCCGCCCTCCCCATGCTCAATTCGTTTTCACTTTTTGGATGTCCGTCAAAACACAAGCTGCTTGGGTGCTCTAAAAGTCGATCTATGCCCCTTGATCCCCGGCAAAACCATGTCGCTGCTCGAACCATAAAAACCTCGAGTCGGGCACAACCCTCATGCCGGCCGTTCGCTCTGATCGCCATGCATGATACAAACACATCAAGGAAAGGGTCAAATAGTAGTTGGAGTGAAGATTCGTCGTATCAGCTGGTAAACGAGTATAGGCGTTTACATGATAATGGATGGTACTGCTGGCTGTTAGTTTGGACAAAGATACTGTTTGATCTGACTCACCCTCGACGTTGGCCTTGATGCTCTTGTGAGGTAGCACGCTGCCACCGTTGACGTAGATCTCATCGCCAATGGTTACATCGTCACCGAGCACGGTCACGTTCTCCAGTCTAGCCCAGCGGCCGACAGTAGAGTGCCAGCCAACGATGGTGCTCTTGATCCAGGCATGATCCTTGACCTTGCTGTCCTCTAGGAGAACGCACCGCTGTAGACGGACACCGTCACCAATAACGCAGCCAGGACCAATGACGACGTTGGGGCCGATGCGGCAGTTGTTGCCAATCTTGGCTGTCTCGTGAACCATGACGTTGCCGCCATAGACGTAAGGCTCGCTGTTGCTGACAAGCTTCTTGGGCTGGCGCTTGGCCAGTGAGGAGAGGTAGAGGCAGGTTCCGCTGAGAAAGTCTTTGGGCTGACCAACGTCCATCCAGAAGCCTTCGAGGTCGAAGGAGTGTAGCTGGCCGTCAGCGCAGATGGCGGGGAAAGTCTCTTGCTCAATGGAAGTAGGTCTGAGCTCGATTCGGGACAGGACCGAGGGGTTTAGGATGTAAAGACCGGCGTTGATGCGGTTACCAACGTACTCGACGGGCTTCTCAACGAAGCGATCAATCCTGGAAGGGTGGTTGGGCGCATGCACGACGACACCGTATTTGGAAGGCTCCTCGACCTTTGTAACAACAATGGTGCCCTCATCTCCGTGCTTCTTGTGGAAGGCGGCCAGCTGCTCGAACGGGTATTCGCAGATGACATCGGCGTTGAGGACAAAGAAAGGGCTGTCATCCTTCCCCAGAACCTTCTCAGCCAGCTTAAGTGGACCGGCGGTTCCCAATGGTTCCGACTCGATTGAGAAGTGAATCTTGATGTTGTATTCCTCCTCGTACTTCTTGAGTGCGCTCTGCATGGCATCTGGCCGGTAGTTCACCGCTAGGACCACGTCTGTGACACCGGCAGCGGCCAGTGCTGATAACTGGTGGCTAATCATGCTCTGATTGCCGAATTCGACAAGCGGTTTGGGCAATGTCAGGGTCAAGGGCCTCAGACGGGTTCCGAACCTGAATCACTCATTAGCACGTCGGAGCGAGGGCATTGCGAGGGCGTCGCGTGGTGGAAGTGAGACACCATGCAGAGATGACTTACCCGCCAACTAGAATGAGAGCCTTCATCTTGAATGTGTGTGAGAAGTTTGAGAGAGGACAAAAGTGTTGTTGCAGCTGCTGCGGCCGTTGCGCGAAAGGTAGATGAAGCTGGTAACAAAGGAGTGCGGAAGGTGGAGCGAAGTGTGCGGTTCACGTTTTGAGCGAGCGGACAGTGCTCCAAAGAGACTTCTCAAGGAATGGCTAGACTGTGGTGTGCAAGTGATGAGGGAAACAGCGGTCAGGAGTCTGGGTGCTTGTCCCAATTTGAAGACCAGATCTAACTTAGGAGGCAGTAAAGTGCAAGTGTATGCACAGTGTTCGCCGCTTCCCGGTGCACAGCAATATCTGAATGCTACGTGTCCGTTCCGGTTATCGATAGGGCAAGGCTTCATACCCCCTGTTTACCCTGTTTACCCTGTTTCCTCGCTGTGCCGCGTAAACCCCGCCAAAGAATTTCCCGGGCAATTTCCAGGCAAAATTTCGCTTGCCTTAACTGGCCCCTTTTACAGAGCCCGTGACCACGCCCTGGATCACTAACTTCGTAGTCGCGGTATGCTAGCCGCGCTTTTGCACATAACTCGCAGCTAGAGTCGATGTCGAGAGATTCTGGATTTCCTTAGTCTGCGAGCATACAAAGACATCGGTACGGTCTGGAACAGGCAGTGGGAAGCGGTTCAGAAACCTTACTTCACAGCCACATTGGACCGATCAAAATAGCACCTTGAGCTGACGCCACAGCCGTTGTGTTTCTCATTCTGCATCAGCTGATGCCCAGTGATTTTCGAGCTCTCCCTTCTACTCAATCTATCACGTGGTTGTACACTGCCCATGTCCTCACTTGACCTTGCAAATGCCCTTGCAAATGCCGCAGCCTGACTCTGCATTCCGCTCTCACCTCATGTGCTTCTGCATGTCCGCGAATACCGTCTCGGGGATCATGGAGCTGGAGCTATACCTAGTCGTAGGCTGTGTTGCCCGCGGGTTCTTGTTAGCGGCTTCAATCTTCAAAGAAGGTCTGGACGGCGCCGATGCACGATGCAAAAAATCCAGGTCCAACAGGGTTAGGAACTCTTACCTTCCTCCACTTCTGACTGGTACTGTAGATGGCTGTCAGCATTCTTTTACTCAACCCGCATGGGAAGTGACTTATCTTCATGAGCCTCGGCCAAATCCTCTCGCGCTTCCTCGATGTCGGAAGAGCTACCACTCGCCAGAGCCTCGTTGTATTCCTGTTGAGCGTCACGAACATCGTCGCCTGCTTCACCGATAGACTCGCGGTCGCTGCCTGACAGGTTCGGATCAGCCTCGGGGGGCGGCGGCGCAATGCCTGAACCGGCACCATAACCGTACGGGTCGCCACCGGGAGGTGGTGCCGATGCGTACGTGGTACTAGTGACGGTGTTGTTGTTATCGTCTTCGGTCATCTCATGCGCGATCCAAGCACCACCAGCTGCACCGAGAGCGGCTCCTCCTAGACCGGCAACCATGGGGTTCATACCCTTCTTCTTCTGCTCTTCTTCGGTGAGGTATTGACCTTGAGGGTATCCAGGCCCGGGAGGATGACCGTAGCCCTGCTGAGGATAGCCTTGCTGCGGATAGCCATAACCTTGCTGAGGGGGAGGACTGAAAGCACCGCGCGACTGATCGTGACTAGGATACGGTAAGTGATATCCTAAATGACTAGACTGTTCTGCTTACCCGTAGGGAGCGCCTGGCGGTGGGGCACCATATCCCGGACCAGGTGAGAAGGCGGGCGGGTCCCACTGGGTTCTACCGGTCGCTTGCTCGACGTAGTACCTTCACCCACAGTCAGCTCAGATGTCATATGTCCAGCGACAGCAACATTACCAGCGGTTCGAGTTCTGGTCCCACTGTTGGGTCCATCCTGGAGGGAGCTGCGGGCCACCCGGTGGCGGACCATGACCTTGAGGTGGTGGCGGCGGACCTCCACCGTAGCCTTGATGACCTTGCTGGCCGTAGTAGGAATCGGACTGGCCACGAGTCTGGTCGTCTACAGAGAGTCAGATGCTGTTCGATAAGTGTGGGCATGGGAGGTTTTTACGTGGCTTGTTCTTGTCATCGTCCAACAAATCGTCCATCTTCTCTTTCAACTTGTCGAGGAAACCCATCTTGATGGTGGTGTCGAGGTGATGAGGGGCGGAACGGTTTCGCAGAGTTCAGGAGTGTTGATGAGTGAGTTTACCTACTGGCTGGCGAGGTCGAGAAAGGTGCAACTCAGAAAGAGGATGCAGTGTTGCCTAAATTGAGCAGGTGCGGGCTCGTCGATCTGGCAACAGTTAAGAAAAACAGAACTGTGACTTCTGGCAAACAAACGAAATCCGACCCAAACGCAGCTACGCTCACCACTTGCTCACTGTGGCCTCACCTGCTTTCAAATTGACAGCGGGGCATTGTAACTGCCTAAGCCACCCCCCCACCGCTCAAAACGTGCCTCAGCATCCGCCCGAAATGGTTATTGCGTGCACGGATCCTCATATCTCACGCATCTGCACGCCGGGCAGCGTCTAGGGTGTCTTTTGACTCGTTGTACATGGTCACACTATATCCATATCTTGGCGCAAACGGTGCGTGTCTGCGGTTCATTGGCTGCACAAACCCGTACCCAGGTGCAGATGAGCTCGGCGTCCCAGCGAAGCCCCTCTATGCCCCTCCATCTGCGCTCTGAGGATGATGCTAAGAGCCCTAAGCGAACCGCTGCTCTAGGCGAGAGGTAAGTGTGTATACACAGCCACATCAAAGCTACAACACAGCGTAGTCGGGGCACTTTGTGTTGGTTTTCAGCCTGGGCTTCGAGCTGACCCATATGGCGGCAAGCTGGCCCTTTGCGATAAGCCAATTCCGGTGTACGAGGACCATTTATCAATCAAACCGGTACTGCTCCGCAGAACCTCCCCTGCGAAGAATGTCAAGGTAAAATTTCTCGCTCGCCAATCACCCGGTTGCCAAGATGGTCAAGATTCTACATACTCAACCAAGACCTCCGGCTGAATATTCTGCGTCTCCAAGTTACAGCCGCTTTCTGAGACTCCAAAAGGTTCGCGGACGCATGTTCTGCCGCCCAATAGCTGTTATATCGATTGTGGTGCGTGGTGCTCCGCGTCCAAATAGGTGCTGACAATATGTGACTTTTTCTACTTCGTGTAATCTTCCGGAAAGGGAATTAATGCACACGAGACTAGGGACAAGACCCTGGAGCCGTTGATTTAGCCACCATGCCAACGCCAGAGTCCCTTTCTATGCTCATGCGAAGGACAACGCTCGGTAACATTCACCGTTCGGGCGGCATAGTCTCGGTCCCGCTGCAGAAACTGCTGAGAACGACATCACCGCTCATCGCAGAGTCATCATTAGAGGTAGGTCATCAAGACAGAGTAGAGGCCTCAACAGGCCCGGCCCGACACGACATCCAATAGGAGCCGAGCCTCATCTTCTCACCAGGTCTGCTGGTTCTGTCCGGAAGTCCTACCTCAATCAACATCAGGGTCTTTCTGAGCATCTTGCTACTTCAATGCGTGGCCACATGTAATCATACACTTGGCCTACTAATGCTTGCACATGTCAGTCTTGGTGTTGGTGCCGGCATCGGTGCCACTCTGCCACCGCTCAGCACGAACAGCCCGCGCTGAACCACAAGTCAACAATCCAATACATATTTCGATCCTTACATCACGCAGCCAAACTACAGTACCGCATCAGCTCTGACATGAAAATGCATTTCCACCTCCTGACCCTTACTCTCGCACACTCGAACCCAAAACCCGGGCCACGCAAGTGAACACCGGGCCGCAGATCCCTCATTTTCTACCAGCTTCTGACATGTGAAAGTCCCGACAGCCCATCGAAACCCACTCGCTCCCACCAACCCCTGCTCTGAAAAAGCTACCAGCAGGCCACATGCGAAGTCAATTGCAACCTACCAGATCTAGTCCGTACTCCGTACTCCGTTCGTGCTCTCTGGCTCCTTTCCCAGAAAGCCAACCGCACCACTCGGTTCTTTCTACCCCAGTTTTCCCATACACCACTCCGTCCGGAGGGACACGCTACCGGCACCATTTCCCCAGAGATCTGCACCTGGCGGTCCTCCCCGGAAAAAGTGTTGCGCTTGGGTAGTCCGTATTTAGGCGAGACAAAGCCCTCCTCTACTCCTACTCCCACTCATCCTCCTTCCTGGGGTATCAAAGTCCCGAGACAGTGGCACGCGACCGTCCTCAACACCTTGCTTGCTCTTTCGACTCCCCCAATCCTCTTCTCTCGTCTCGCACCCCTACTGCCATCATTCAGAAACCATCATTGCGCACAGCACAGCCAGCACCAACCGCGCTTCCCTGACCGCTGGGGACCCCCAACAAAAACACCAGCAATTCCCTGACATGTGACAAGAGATCGTGTCCAACCCGCCTTATAATTCTTTGATCCCACCCCCAGTCAATCCTTTTTGCTCTCCCCCATCGACATCACTTCACCCCAGCGATGCTCGCCATGTATTTGTACGACGTTGTCAACCTTTTATGATTCGAAATCTTTATCTCGCTACAGTACATGAGGGTGCTATGCTAGCTAGCTAGCTACCTGTCTACCTGGTTGCTGGTCCACACTAACCGCTTCCTTTCTCCTCCAACAATCGATGAAGCCGACTCTCGACTCCCTTTCCTTTTCCCTTGTTTCTTGACTCCAGCTAGATCTACAAAGACACAGCGATGTTGGCACCAGATGATCGAACTCATCCCAAAAGAACCCATCCGAAAAAAAGACTCGAAGCGACGTTTGTGGTGTGAAATGGAAATGGCCAGGGTTGATGTATGTATTTGCAATGCTAATCGGAGACGCCGTTTCGCTACATGACATGACATGACATTGACAGGCACACGTACAGGAACACAAAACTTTCCAAAAGATCAAAAACGCCGCAGACGCTTGTGTCGACATCCCCGGGGGAGGGGTAGGGTGGGTTCTCATGGTCTCGTATGCCCATATCACTGATGCTAATGTTACAGCTTTCGCCCTCCGCTCACGGTCTCCTGCTGCTTGGAATTAGTGGTCTAGCGACTCGCCACACTTGGTTCTGGGTATCAATAAAGGCAATCCCTCGATCTACTGCGTGTCGTCAGGGAGCATCATCCTCCCTTTCTTGCCCTTCTTGCTTCGGGCCCTTGCCCCATCCACATCACCCACAAACTCTACCAGCCAATCTCGCACAGCCTTTGTTTTCTTCAGCTGCAGGTCGGTTGGGTTTCTTAGATTGCTCGCCGTATAGCACCCCTGCAGATCGTCATCATCGACTTTCTTCCGGAATAGCAAATCTAGTTTCGTCACATCGCCTCTGAGACTCTGTCCATGGACCTTGCCACGGTACGAGCTCAGTGCAACGTGCTGCAGCAGGACAACATCCCGCGGCCGAATCTCCTTGACCGCACGCCGCAAGTTACTCCGCGCACCAGTGGGACTGGTGATCTGCTCGGCATCATCACGGTCCCGCCATCCGACATGCATGTTGGGCGGCATCCACAAGGTGACGTTGAAGCCAGTCTTGGTGTCATCGCCGACGGTCAGCTCAACGAGCTCCTGCTGCCGAGGCCGGTTGTAGGCTTTGCCAGTAGTGACCCGGCGAGGCAGGGAAATGGCCAGCACTCCAACGATGAGGTTGACCGTGACGGTTTGTGGTTGAATGGAGTTGAGGTAAGCGGCATTAGGAATGAACGAAAGATCGGTAAGTTTGTTTGGGCGAGGTGCTTGGCTGAGGCGCCGTTGTGAGGGTGTGCGAATTATGCCGCCCCCGGGGGTGGTTGGGGCAGGAGCCATGTCCTGGGAGGACTCGTATATTGGAGTCTGTGGCGGCGCATCGAATATCGAGGATTTGTCGGTGGATGGAATTGCCTCATGAATGGTGAAGGAGTGGTTGTAGAAATCGGCCAGAGCTTCAGGTGAGGAATCGGTGGAGATACCGGATGGGTTGGACTCGTCGCCACTAACATCACTACCGGGCGACTCCTGAGCCACGAATTCTGACGGAGCAAAGAATTCGGTGTCTTGGGTATCGGCAGCCTCAGTTGGTCGAGGACCTATCTCGAGCTTGGGGAGAACGGGACGCATTTGAAGTTTCTCGGTATTGAGTTGACGCCATGAAGCAGTGAAACCTTTGGGGGTAGAGGAGTTGGAATTCGCAGATTGGGATACATCCTCAAGGTGAGTGACGGGTGAGAGCGACTTCTCACTCCAATCGAGCTTGGACTGCTCCGGAGCCCCAGCAAGGACGATCATGCGCGTCATAAGTCGAAAAGCATACGCAATAGTGAGGGACGACTGCAGAACGGGCTAGCAGGGAAAGAATGATGGTGATAAGCCGCGAAAGTGATATCGCATAATCGACAACGTCGATAAAGGCGGCGTGGGAGGTCGACGAGATGATATAGGACGAGCGGTGAGGAAGGGGGGAAGGTGGCGGAATGGCGCGGATGAAGTTGCGAAGTGACGGCCGGCTGACAGACAGACGCGCAGCGATAGGAGCGGTGCAATCCAGGGTCAGTCCAGGCCAACAATCACCTTGGTCTAATTTTTCGATTCTTGCCGGGTCAGCGTCGTTGATCAATTAATGTCAAGAAAATATCAGGCAGAAACCCCAGACTTTCGTGTTGGTGCTGTCACGGCCCAACAAAATCGAGAACGAAAGATTGGGAGTGCTCCACCGAGCCTTGCAGTACCCAATCACCGAGGCCTTTGCTAAGCATTACCCCAGAAAAGTGACCACGGTTGCCCTTTCACCGAATCACGAGACCGAGAGCGGAGCAGTCGGAGCATTGCAGGGCCGATTCTCCCACCAACCGATTCAGGGCAGAGCAGGAACCCTTGGAGCAGCCTTGGAGCGCCCCCAAGATTTACGAGATACGCACCGAGTCAATCGTGTTCCGTGTTCGATGTCACCGAATTCAGTTTCCAAGTCCGGCTTCACGAGCTCGCTGTTTACCATAAAATAGTACATAATGTACCCCACAAAAAGGTTGCAGCGCCGGCTACCTCTTGGCGAGCAATGTTGCCACTTCCTCTTTACGCCATTCAATTTCCAAGCTGTTGTCATACACCTGGCTGACAATCGTTGCCATCCTGTCATGGGCGTGAGCGTACCGCACGTTGCATTCCTCAAACACGCGAGCAATCAGGCCCTTGCTCAAATTGGTTGGGTCGTCCACGTCTCCGAAATGCTTCTCAATGCGTTTCTTGAGCGTGTCGACGCCTTTGCGGACCTCTTTCGCGTCGTAGCTGCTGAGGATTTTCTTGGCCGAGCTCCTGCTGTGACTAGGCTTGTTCGAAATGGTTGCGAGGCTGTCATGCGTCTTCATCAGAGCTTCGGTGCTCTCCAGAAAGTCCAACCACTTCCCAAGCGGTCGGCGAATGACAGCATCAGTATACTGCGTAAGGTGTTTGTACAGGTCGTGCTCAGCTCGATCGCGCCACTCCTGCAGCACCACGTTCTGATGAGTTTCCACTTCCTCCATGTAATGGTTCATGTTCTCAATCAACAAGATGTGATAGTTCAGCGCCTCCTTGTCTTCCGGGTCGTTCGTGGGAGCACCACCTTGTGCTGGACCGCTGCCGCTGCCCGGGCTATCCTTGGCAATGAAGCTCAATGACTCCCACATCGCTTTGAGAATCTTTCCATAGGCGTCGTTGAGAATGAATCGCAGCTCGAGGCTCTCGTTGTGGTAGAACTCCTGAGGGATCATACTCTCAACGGCTGCGCTGAAGACTGGGAACGTCCGCATGAACGGGATAACGCCCTTTCTCTTGCTGACTTTGACTTTGGTCTCTTCGACAGCCTTGACCTGGTCCTCGATAAACTTGTGGAAGAGACCGGTGAGACGGTCGTGTAGTGCCCGTAGTGTCCGTGTGATGTACTCTTGGTTCGTCTCTTCGTAAAGGGAGATTCCTCTCTCGAGAGCACACAAAACACCCACACCTTGCAGTTGATCATTACGGAGTACCCACTCCATCATTGCTTGAAGATCAGTCGCCCAGAATGAGTAGATGCCTTCAACAGTTGACTGCACTTGCTTGGCAAGGTCGCGATCAGGATCATACGGTAGTTGTGTGCTCAGACTGGGCAGCGATCTTTGGCTGGGCGCTTTGGAGCTGATGTTGTCAAGGAAATCAACGTTGGATTGAGAGTTGAGGTGGAAAAAATGCACAATGAAGTTTTGCTCCTCCGCGATCAACTTACTCTGCTCTTGCAGCACATTGTCGAATACCTCCCACGCATCAGGTTTACTGTCGCGCTTCTCGCCAAATGTCTGCCGGAGCGCGCCCGTTTTAACGGTCTTGCCTCGTTTAACAGTGAGTCTCCGGGCAGCCGTGGACGCAATTGAGTCGTCCGCTTTATCCTTCTCTTGATGTGTGAACAAGATTTCGCTCTCCTCGCCAGTGGGAGCCCTTGCTCCCTTCTTCTGACTTGCCAAATGGTCGCGGAAATTTTCCACATACGCACCTTTGATATTGATCTCATAGCTAGAAATCAGCGTTGACCATTCGTAATTGTTGACTTCCCGGACGAACAACATCATCGGGTTATATTGCCAAAGATCCTGGCGTGAGGAAAGCAGGCCAGGGAGCGAGAGCGAAGTTACGGAACTCGAGGCGAGACTTCGAGAGTTCTCCTCACTGGTCCTTTGTTCAGCCTGCTTGAACATTGTTGTCATGTGCTGGTTGAAGCGGCGGAGGAACTGTAGGGTCTCTTCGCGATAATCTTCCTTCTTCTGTCGAACGGCTCGCATCTGGCCAATCTCCTGATCGGCATAGACACCAACTCCTGTCCGGTCGTTGCTGGCTGTGGCAGTAGTCCGGGTCTTGTTTTGCCGTATCTCGGGGTCAATAGTGAGGAGAGCTCGGTAGAGCATCAACAGTGCCTGCTCCACGGCTTGAACACCATCATTGGAATCAAGAGGCGCTGCTTGCAAGGCCCGGAGATCCGAGGAAGAGATCGTAAGTGTCTTGAGCAAACTATGGAGCTCGGCCTGCAGCAGCTTTTGGTTAGCAGTCTGAACCTGCAGACCTTGAGATTGAGCTTCAATGTATTCGATATCTTCAGCCAATGTGTCGAGTTCGTGAGAATACAGCGTAAGGAGGCCGTCCATTTCCTCACATTCGGCTATGGCTTTGTCGAAGGCTTTGGATAGATCTTGAACTCTGACTTCTTGTTGCTCGACGTGACCTAGCCAGCCGCTTGCTTGCGCTCGGCCATTCTCGCGTCGAATCGCTGTCTCGAAGTCTTCGATCCTTTGTCGTTCCGAGAGCCTGCCTTCCCAGCCGAATTCGCTCAGTATCTCGTTGAAATCTGCTCCCCTTCCCTCCATCACGCGCGGGTCCACGCCAATGACAGCGCAGTATTTCTCGATCTCGGCCTCGTGCTTCTGGCGGCGCTTACGCTGGGGTGAAGCAGTCCTTGTCTGCTCCGTCGCCTCTGCGTTTGTCTGTTCCGCAATGCCCTGCTCTCGTGGCGCATCGACAGGTTTGGGGCCGCTGCCGGCAGTCTTAACACTGTCGTCCGTGGCTGTGCGCTGTAAGTGTACTTTAGGGAGGAATGCGTTGGCCAGCGGCGTTCGAGGTCGTTCCTTGTCCTTTTCGGGTAGAGGGCTTGTCACGCTAGGTGTTTGGCTGCCAACGCTGTCGCTACTCATTCCTCTGAACAATGGTGCAGGCACCACGCCAGTGATGCCATCAGGCTCATTTGAGTTCTTATCTTGTTGCGCTTTCAGCCGGGCGCCCGCACCACCCTGTCGGGGCTGGAAGGCGCTAGCTGCCAGTGCCGCTTTCCGAAACTGATTGGCGATGTCTTTGGTGGACTTCTTCTTAATCATAGGCCCGAGGCCAGGACGATACTCCTCTTCCTTCTTCGGCGACAGTTCGCCCGCCGATGACCGCGTGGCGGCTTCTGGCGAGCTTACCGCCGAAACAGAAGGCTCGGTGGAGCTATTGGGTATGGGAGGAGGCTGAAGATTAAACGGAGGTTTCCGATCAAGCTCTTCGGCTTCATTTCGTTTGACAGATTTATCTGAAGTGTACTCCGCAGGCTCTGCTGTGATGTCAGGCTGCGATCCAATACGATTCGTCTTCTGTAGAGGCGGCTCGTCGTTTGAGATGGCCCCCGGTGTTCCGAGAGGGGTGACGAATTGGCTTGCTGGTGTACTCTGCAATGATCTCTGGCTGTTGCTGGCGTCTTTGTTGCTGCCGATTTGTGGTGGGAAACCCCCCGGTAGGGCATCATCAAGGACTGGCGGAACAGGCGGAATAGAGTCCGGCGTGCGCCTATCTGCAGCTGTAGCTTGACGAGATGAATTCGAGTAGTCGCTAATGGCGCCAATAGATTCTTGACTTTTTGTAGGCCCACTTCTTCTGCCGGTACCATATTGAGCCATAACTGGGAGCGGAACCCCATTGACCCTTCCAGATGGCGTCTCTGGCCGCTTTTCAACTTGTGGCAGCGATGCTGGAGATGCTTTTGGGCTTGCCGAGGGACGAAGTGGCTTGGGCATCTCGGCCGCCGGAGCAGGTGGTTTCGAAGGTGGATCGTTATATGACCGATCAGCCAGTGAACGCTTTCCGATATCTTCGTTCGGTGCTGGCTGAAGTTGGTAGCGAGCCGGTGACTGGGCAGGCTCCTGAGAAGGAATCCTATCTCCTTGCCGTGTTCCAGGACGATACTCGTTGCGACTGTATGCTCGATCTCGAGCCGGATCGGCCTGGTTCATGGCTCTACTCGGTGCCCGTGCGGCTAGAGGAGATTGCGGCCTTGATGTAGCAGCAGCAGGCATCGATGGAGGCGTAGGCACAGGTGTAGGAAGACCTTGACTGGTGCTTGGGTTTGGCGAATGATTCCTCAGTAGCGGGGTTGTACCCGGCGTACCATTATTGAGCAAGTCCAGCTCCGATGGAGCGAATCCGACTAGTTGCGGCAACTTACCACCAGTATACTTCTTGAAGATCTTCGTCAAACTCGCAATAAAGAAATCCTTCTCTTTGGGCGTCGATGCCTGCCAGTAGTAAGGTTTGCCGAGACTGGCGAGAAAGCCTGTACCGCCAGCCCATTGCTTCTCCATACTCTCTTGGTTGTTGCTTGGTACATATGCCACGTATGACTGGATCGCGGTGAGCTCGTCTAGGTTCCAGGTCTTGCCGATGGAAAAGGAGCCATTGGGATTCTCACGCGCCTTGTGGACGCGAACTTTGCCAGATCTTCGTACGGCGACGAGGATAACTCTGTTCTTTTTGTTGGCCGCAGGGGAGTTCGGTGGAGGTGGAGATGAAGGGTACATGGCATCCTCGGTGATGCGCACATGTGTTATATACGATTCTAGTTGGGTGCCATCGGGATCGCGCTTCGCGAAGCAGCTCTCGATTATCCTCTTCTTCTCATCCTCGAAGCGAGCAGCACGGTCTTGGTTGCTCATAGCATCATCACCGAGTCTGCCGCTGATCCTTCCGAGAGAACCGTTTCGCGTGTCAGGAGTTCCAGCGGGGTTGGAAGGACGGGGGCCGTAGGCATCGGCGCCTCGCTGCTGGTTCATGCCGTAGCTCATCGTAGTCGTAGCTCATGGTCCGAGAGTCCTGGCTGCACCATCTCGAGCTGGTCCGAGTAGTAAAAGGAGATTGAATGTGGAACTGGACCTGGACTCTGACGAGGTCGTCTCAAGTGTTTAGAGGTGGCCCCCGAGATGCCATCACGGTCATGTGACCTCAGTCTCCAGTCAGTCTCCAGAACGCGGCGACACTGGCAGCGAATGACCGTTGCAGATCTCTTGGCAGAAAGCGTTCAGTAAAAAAAAGTTGCAAGCGATTGCCGTTGATAAAACAGTCTCATTTACAATCTGTGCGTTGCTCTACGGATCCCTCGCGCTCTGGGCCTAGCCGCCGACACGGTCCCGAAGCCTGTACTCACTATGAGTGTCACCGGTGGCGACACTCTGTCGCCTGCGCTTCTGTCGCTCGTCAATTCCTTCTTGAATCAGCATGGTTTTGAATCTACGTCCAAAGCCTTTGCGAAGGAACTCAAAAAGAAAGGTCTGAGCGCGGAAGCCGATCCACACGCGGAAGGCCCGAAGACCACACTGGAACAACTATATTCGGGATGGAACACAAAACCTTCAAGCGCAAGCGGCTCTAAGAGCTCGTCCATTTCAAGTTCGTCTAGCTCAAGCAGCAGCAGCGAAGCCAGCGACGACGAAGCCACAAGCTCGTCCAGCAGTTCATCTAGTAGCTCGTCATCTTCCAGCTCCGAATCAGAATCCGATAGCAGCAGTAAGCGGAAACCGAAGACGAGAGCGGTCAAGCTACGACAGAAGAAAAGCAGTTCTGCGTCAAGTTCTTCCTCCAGCTCTTCCTCCAGCTCTTCCTCCAGCTCCTCATCCTCATCTTCATCCTCCGACAGCGACGCGGACGATGAGCAAGAAAAGCCTGCGAAGGTCAAGAAAGTCGTCAAAAAGGTTGTTGCGGAAGTTCCTGTCGCGGCGAATCCTTTGAAACGCAAACAGCCTGAAAGCTCATCTGATTCCTCAGCATCCGACTCAGAAGCGTCATCAAGCGTAGACCCTCCATCCAAGAAAGCGAAGACGACCAAAGACAAAGCATCATCTGTTTCTGAATCATCTGCATCAGAGTCCGATTCACAGTCAAGGGACGACAAAACTGCGACCCTGAAGGAAGCAGCCGCCACTAAATTGCCCCCAAGCTCAGACTCCGACTCTAGTTCTCAAGAAACGGACTCCAGCTCAAGTTCAGGCTCGGATAGTGAGGCGGACCACCAAACGCCGGTGGTGAATGGAGCGTCAACCAAACCGTCAAAGGCAGCGCAGCTGATCTTAGCCGACTCGAAGGGTCGATCCGGCTCATCGTCATCCGGAACCGTCGTTGGCGATGACAGAACCTCCCCAGAAACGGTGGAGCAGCCCAGCATGCACCCCGCGAGACAGCAGCTCATGAACGGCGACAAGAAGAGGCACGAAGGCGCCCGACCAACGCGACTGGCGCAGATGTCAGCACAGGCGAAGGGAGATGAGCACCTCAGCAACGCCTACATTAGTTACGACTACGCGGACCGAGCATACAAAGATCTGTCGGTCACCAGAGGCAAGGGCTTTACCAAGGAGAAGAACAAAAAGAAGCGAGGGAGCTATCGAGGAGGCATGATTGACATCAGTGGGGGCAAGGCGTTCAAGTTCGACGATTGAAGTTATCAGGATACCAACAAGCAACGAGAACGACAACTAGACGATAGACAAAAACATCCAAAGCTTTCTACGGGGCTGATGGGTGGCTTCAGCGTGGCGTTGAAAATGCGAGATGGGTGGCGTAGCATGCATGATGGGCTCAGGAAATATAGATCAGGGACCCTAAACGCAATAACGGCAACCCTTGGAATATCAATCAAATATTCCGGGGAAAAGCACAGCCAGATCCAACCATTACTTACCCATCACCTCTGATCTGACCTGATAATCAGTTATCCCCACTACGCCGATGTGAGTATTTGGTGGTCGTCAAGGAGTGAATCATGCATCTACACATTACTTCGTCTCAAATCGAGTTGTTGGGTTCGGGGGATCCTCCACAGTCCCCGCCACGCCTCCGCGTATATTTATATTTACTCATGGTCTCATTCACTGCCTCTTGGCACTCCCCTCATTCCCTCGCGCCCTCGACCTCTACAGCCAAAAGTCATCACTCCCCAGCCCCCTCCTCTCAATCAACGCCAACGCGCCCGCATTCCTCTTCCGCTGGCTCTGACTCGTCCCATTCACGGGCACGCCATCCGTCGTCTGGCCGTACTTGGGACTCGGGTAGTTGCCGTAGCAGCCGTACTCATACTGCGCCTGGTCGAGCAAGCCGCCGAGGACGTCGAGGTAGGTGCCGATCTCGCACCAGCCGTCGTCGCGCTCCTCACACTGGGGGTAGGATTTGTAGAGGGGAATGGTGCGCTGCGAGAGTGTGAGGTGGACGTACGTGGTGGCGGTGCCGTTGGTGTCGTAGTACGAGTCTAGGGTGTTGTTGGCGCCGGGGCTTGTGGATGGGCGTTTCGCTTTGACGGGGTATGGGGTTTGGATGATCTCCCAGACCATGCGGGCGCCGAAGGGGGTCTAAGAAGGTTAGTCGGTGAGCGGAAGGGGATGATGGTGGGAAGGATATCAGGCTTTGCAGGACTTACCATATGCGATACGGTAGCTTGCTGGTTTTGGGGCGGTCCTGAGGTTGGCAGGGATTGGTTGAATTGTCGAAGACCCAGAGCAGTGATGATGCTGAAGATGTTGGTGTCGTGCGAGAAGTCGAAATACAAGGTCTGGTTGAGAGGGAAAGTGCTGTTCATGGTGTCCAGCGTAACGTTGGCTTGAGTCGCACCGGGTACAAGATCGTAGAGACGGTTCTGAAGGCGGGCATACTGTAGTCGATGAGCACCTCCTATTAGGAGATTACGTGTAGAGGATACTCACAATCTCTTCAACGTAACCAATTCCAACTCCACGACCAGTAGGAGAGCCAAAGCCGTTGTTTCCATAAAATTGTAGGTCAATGGTATATTCGAAGCCTTGCCATTCTTCGTACGTGAAGAGGTCGCAGAAGGCGGAGTAGCCTATCAGGTCAGCCACACAATTGAGCCACGGACTCTCAAGTGAACGTACCAAATGCTACTGTCTCATATGGACAGAGGGTTTGAGCCTGGTTGAGGTCAGTCATTACGGCCGAGATTAGCGGGAGTATCTTACATTGTAAGTATCAGCCACGGTCCAGTTATAGCCGCCGGATAGGGCCTTCAAGCGCTGGGTTGCATTGGCTAGATATTTGTTCTCCCAAATACGGCTTGCATTGTTGCCACCGGTACTGACGTAGGTGTTGCTGTTGTTGCAACCAAAATATCCCGCCAAAGAGTTGTTGGAACCTGAAGGGATCTCAAGAATAGGCTCAAGGGTCACGTTGTTCGTCCACTCCAAGCCAAAGAATCTGGACAGGCGAGTTAGATTTGCTGTTCACTACACAAGGGAGCAGGCGAAGTCTACCCAGCCATGAAGTTTTCTGCGCTCTTCAACATTCTGTCCTGCGAGGTAGTGCGAGCGATGATTTTCGTGCTGGTGTTGTACAGCGCACCATAGCTGTAATACGACTGTACACCAGAGTCGAAAAGCTCTTGACGGCCTCTGGGGACCAAGATTTCGGCACCAAGGTGATATCTCCAGTTGTTCAGGAAGGAAAGTTCTCCGGACCAGCTTGCAGTACCATTGCCGGTGATGTTCTGAAGCTTGCTACCGAAGGTTGAGACAGACGAGTCGCCGGTCGGATAGCGGGAGCCATGACGGTGCAGGATGTGGGCATGGGTGAGGTTCGCCCCCGGAGGGAGAGGATATTCATCAGAGCCGAAGCCAACGGGATTCGGGAAGTACGGGCTAAGCTGCCCTAGCAGCTGGAAGATGCTCTGGTTGTTGGTATTGCCAGAGATGGGCAGGGCGGTCTCAAGAGGTGTTGGCGGCACGTAGCTCATACCCCATGGTCCAGGATTGCTCAGGGCGAGAAAGGGTGGCTTGCCAGTGACCGTTGGACCTGGGTACACCTCTGGCGTTGTCTGAAAATAGTCCGGGACAGTGGCTGAAGGGTGTTCTGAGGACGACGCCTGCCTCAAGTCTAGCACGCCAGCACTGGCAGCTCCGACAAGCCAAAGGGTAGTTAGGAAAGACATGGCAGCTGTAGAACCAAGTTCACAAGTTCTCGACAACGGCTGTTCAAGAAAATTGCCTGGACAGAGCCGAACGCCGGACGAAACAACTGCGCAACCCACCTTTTTGTAACTTCCGTCAAGCGCAGCTTGGATCCTAACCTACGCCAGCAACGGAAGAAGCATGCATGGATATCGGCGCTACCGCACTGCAACATCACCCAGCGCGCAAGCTGCGTACGAGAGCTCTCAAGCCAGCATGCGAGACCTAGAGCTCGAGAGCGTTGGGGACCAGTCGGAGCACCCCGCAACGCATAGTGGTCTTTGGGAATGATGTCAAGCTTGTATCTAGGGCCAAAGCTTGGGGAGCTTAACGAAGCTTCCTGCTTGCGGGGTTCAGGCCAGGCACGAGGGGCACGAGGCGGGTACAACGGCTCTTATTCGAAGATCTGGGGACCTCCGACTCACAGCCCACACACTGGGACGCTCCAGGCGTGGTTCGACTGATCCCCGTCCAAGCCACCCGCTCAACGAGGTCGCACTATGCAGTCAGCGATACCGGGCCGCTTCGTATATCGATATGCAACTGAGCACCATCTCACGCTACAGGCAGGCACTTGGCAGTTGTTCTATCAACAAGCCGGCTTATCCTCGGAGCTCACCTTCTGCAAGTTGAGCGCCACATCCCTTTCAGCATATTTAGATATATATATCTCCCTCTGAATATCACACTGAGACGCCTCTGTTCAACGCCAGTCTAGATGCTAATGCATAATCACTGACACAGCATACGCCGTAGAATCATAAGCCTCATCTCAAGGCCCTCAGCCGCTCTGCCGTCTTCCACCTTCTTCACCAGCTGGCGAGCCCTTTCTCACGATCAAAGCCTCCCCGGAGCTGACTTTTCGGCTTTACCAGTTTTCCCTGTAACACTGTATACCGCACAATGTTTTCACAGTCCTCTGGCCGCACTCGCGCCAACCAGATCCCTTGCACAGCTTCGTCCTTGATCTCTTCCTCCTTGGGCTCACTTGAGGAGATAGCTTTACTGCCAGCTCTTCGATAGATCATGACATTTGCTGAATATTTGTGGCCGCCGACATGGTTGATGAACTGAATAGGCGATTAGTTACCACTGAATAAGAGGAGTGGGAAACTGCACTTACATAGATTCCAACACCCCCGGGTCTTGAATCGTGCAGATCCCGGTGTAGACCCATCGGTCGTAGGATTCGCTCGAACTCTTTCCGTAGGAGGGGCGCTGACTGACCACAGCGGGCGTCGCGGGTCTTGTGGGAGCACATCAGGATGAGGGCACGGTGAGGAATAGGTCGTGTGGAGAATTGAGAGGCTGCCAAAGGTGGGTTTATGGTGAGTGCAGCCACGTCGACAGGTTCTGTATGCTGTGACCCATTGGTGTGTGATGGGCCCATTTCGAGAGGCGTTGAAGCGCCATTGGGGGTATCTGTTGAGGAGTGTACGTCACTCTGGTGCGGCTCGACTTTGAGGCCATCCAGAGGTGTTCGGTTCGACACCGAGTTGGCAACGATATTCTGCATCAGATCTGGGACTTGTTCGGGCTTGACATTCTCGATGAAGGTCCAGGATGGCAGCAGCATGCAATCAGAGCCTTCATCATGGTCGTGTTCGGAGCTGGCAGGCATGTTGCTGGCGGACAACATCACCTTGCCTTGTCCTCGTCCGCTACTCATCTGAATTTCTTGACCATATTTACCCACGGCTTCCATGACGCTGCCTTTCTCATCCGTGACATCACGCACCCAATCTGTCTTGCCCGTACCCACGACGAGATGGGTGTCCCAGCCCTTGACTTGGCCGAACAGCTTATCATCTTCATCTATACTGAACTTGGCAGGGTAATGTACCGTGCACTCGGAACAGTCGTGGAGACACTCCTCTCCATCTACGGCCGGATCTGTTCTGGGAAATAGAGCGTCCTCAGACTTGGCTGTTGAGAAAGAGCCAGCATTCTTGACGTTAGCTGATGAACCTGTGGGAGTCAAAAATGACCGCCCACGTTGAATTAGCGACTGCATCGTTTTCAATTTCTTGGTCATGCTGGGCGGAGAAATGTGGCGTTTGGGGTTTTATCAGATTGATAGACCCGGTGGGGCGGAATGATTCCCTGCCGGCTGTGGATGCCGGGTGAGCGATGCCGGAATAATTTAGTCAGAAAGATTGACGTTGCATAGTAGGGCACGATTTCTTGTCTTGTTGGGACTAGCCGATGACAATGAGAGGCAGCAGCTGATCGAAATGATGAGTTCCGCAAGGACTGGTCGGTTAGATAGAGATTGTTCAAAGCATCGACCACATTGTCGGTGTCTGGCATTCGCTCATACAGGGAGGCTGTTCGGGGCAATTATTCGGAGAGCGAGCACTATCACCGAATCTACACATGCAGGCTGCACATACCCTTGTAGACCATACGCTCTTAGGCTACAGTTCCGAATTGCGCAAGCATGGACTCAGGCAGAAGCTGCAAGTACCATGAGGTTAGGCATGGGGTGTTGGGGAACAGCGATGGCAGAATTCTTTTCCGGGCAAGCTCGAGATCCATGCTAGAATCTTTGTCATCGAGTTCATCATGGCTCACAACGGGATGCTGTATTCTGAACATCGGGACTTTCATCTCGATATGGTCACAGTCCTTTTTACTGCACTGTGATGTCTGTACCACATTTTTGGCGAGTCAGCCCGGAGAGACGCCCGAGCGACGGCTTCTCAGGGCAGGGAGCAAACTCTGGTTAGCATCGAAGCAGCTGGAACTCCAAGGAAGACTTGGCAGTCGGTAGCCTTGCGGGCGAGGCGCTGGCTGACCAAAGAACGCCTGCGCTGCGGCAAGAATTTGAAAGACCCTCTCCTCTCGTCGGTCGCCCGCACTCTTCACTCCAGACTATCCAGCAAACCAAACATAAATCAGTCCTTCACTTCCCCTCCGCTCTTGTTTGCGACGTCCTGTTGCCTGTCACTGGCCAATAGCCTCAAGGAATCTGCCAGTATCCGATCTGCAACCATTGCCGCTATCCACACCACGAAACAACTAGATCTATAGCACGGCGACTAGAGCCCTGTGTCCTCGGCAAAGCAGCCCCTCACAATGGTCAAAGAAACAAGATTCTATGAAATCCTGGGCGTATGTCAAAACTTCAGACAAAACAATAAACGGCCTCTAATTTAATCTAGGTCTCAGTGGATTGCACCGAAGCCCAGCTCAAGACCGCCTACAAGAAGGGCGCTCTGAAACATCATCCTGGTATGTCATACTTTGTCCGAGTGGGCATGCGGCTCTAACCTCGATCCAGACAAGAACGCCCACAACCCAGAGGCCGCCGACAAATTCAAGGACCTGTCCAAGGCGTACGAAGTTCTCTCCGATCCCCAAAAGCGCCAGCTGTACGACCAATTCGGCGAAGATGGCTTAGAACAGGGCGGAATGGGCGGCGGCGGCATGGCTGCAGAAGACCTGTTTGCCCAGTTCTTTAGTGGCGGCGGTCTCGGTGGCGGCTTTGGAGGTATGTTCGGCGGCGGCATGCGCGAACAGGGCCCCAAGAAGGCTAGGACCATTCACCACGTGCACAAGGTCTCGCTGGAAGACATCTACAAAGGCAAGGTCTCCAAGCTTGCCCTGCAAAAGTCTGTGATCTGCTCGAGTTGCGATGGACGTGGCGGTAAGGAGGGCGCAGTTCGCACATGCCCAGGATGCCAGGGTGCTGGTATGAAGACCATGATGCGACAGATGGGTCCTATGATTCAGCGTTTCCAGACTGTTTGCCCCGACTGTCAAGGCGAGGGCGAGACCATTCGCGACAAGGATCGTTGCAAGAAGTGCCACGGTAAGAAGACGGTAGTCGAGCGCAAGGTTCTACACGTCCATGTTGATCGTGGCGTCAAGACCGGCCATAAGATTGACTTCCGCGGTGAAGGCGATCAGGTACCAGGAGTGTTGCCCGGTGATGTGCAATTCGAAATCGAACAGAAGCCTCACGCGCGCTTTCAGAGAAAGGATGATGACATCTTCTACCGAGCCGAGATCGACCTGCTGACGGCGCTGGCGGGCGGACAGATCTTCATTGAGCATCTTGATGATCGGTGGATGACGGTCAATATCTACCCTGGCGAAGTTATCACACCTGGAGCCATCAAGGTTGTCAAGGGCCAGGGCATGCCTTCGTATCGACACCACGATTTCGGCAACTTGTACATCCAATTTGATGTCAAGTTCCCCGACAAGACTGATATGCGAAATCTTGAACTGCTCGAGCAGGTTCTTCCACCACGGATGAAGCAATCTGCTCCACCTGGAGACGCTATGAACGAGGACTTTGACATTGAAGATGTCGATGATCGAGGTCACGCCCGAGCGCAGGGCGCAGCAGGTTTGAACGAGGATGACGACGATGATGTGCCCCCAGGAGCTGAACGTATGCAATGCGCATCCCAGTAAGCGACCGACACAGCTACAGCAGTCTTTAGCGAGAAGCAAGGGGGTCGAGACGAGGCACACGACACACACCATCAAAGAGGGTGGGATGAAGCATGCATGCATAATAGCATTTTGAGGCGTTGGACGGGACGGGGCGATCTGCAGTAGCAGCACAGCGCTCCTGGCGTCTAGGAGATTGAAGATGTTGCCATTTTCTATCAGCGTAGGGGATGCTTCCAAAGCGGCATAGAAATGAGCATTCACGAACGTATGTTTGTTGGAGGACAGCCAGGGTCTGGACATTCGAGGCAAGGTATGACCTCGGTCCATCAGACACATGGCCGGGGACGCTAGACAGCATCTTCTAGATTGTGCCAATACACTCACGAGCAGAGTCCAGAGCATTTCTTTGTACCTTATGGATATCTAGTGGTGGTTTGCAGGGTGTCTTCCAGGGTTTGGAATTGGCGGATCATGGCTATGGCATTTCCACCGGTAGAACGCCGCCCATGTCACGTGGAGCCAGGGGCGGTGACTTGGTGCGAACTGCTCGCGAAAGAACCCCTCGTGCAGCAGGCTACTCGGCCATTGGGCGGATGGACCACTTTTTATCATGACAACCTCACCCATCTGTCCTTCGCTTGTCTTTGGTGATGAAATAAGGCATAGCATCATGTTGTGCTCGTCGAGATTCAGATGCAATTCCGACTGGTCTGCCAGTGATCTAATCGGAATCAGGAGAGTTCAGCGATCCCCTGCTCCCAACGGGGTTCATGATGAGCACGCCATTTCCGGCGACCTTTCACATCAAGCATGGCTCTTGTGAGACTCCTCCTGCCACTCCACACTCTCGTTCTTTAGCCTTTGCTGGTTCTGGGCAGAACTCGTTTCTGCTCGTCGGTACTATCCTGTTCCCACTTACGGGAGTTCTTTGTACAGAAAATTTCCTCCCGCCCTGAAAGAGTTCGGGATGGTCGACGTCAGGCGAACGGGCTGGTCTTGGCAGCTGCGATTGCACCATCGGACCCCCAAATGACCTTATATCCTCCACGCCCAATACCTGCCAACCCATCCTTCTGTCGTCCTGTTCAGAGCAAAGAGACAAGGAGACTGGCTTAGACTTGCTTCGCGAGCTTGTCGAGCTTATTTTCTGCCTCGAATTGCTGCTCCGATTGCCGATAGGCAAAAATCCGAGTCGAGGACTGGCTAGATTCTCGTCCCTCCCCCCCGGGTTCGCCCCCGATCTATCCAAGTCAAGATTCGTTGAGAGATAGCCGCGATCACGACATTGCTTCCTTTTTCCTTCAGCTTCCTGGGGAATTAATCCTTCGCCCATTCCCATCAATCTCAGTTTCGCTCTCTTTTCGCTGTCCAGGAACGCTCCCGGTGTGTCAAGGACCTGAGCGTCGTACACCGCTCGGCCCCCGATACGCTAGACTTGGTCTTGTCAAGCCACGGAGTCGATCTTTACCGCTCCGATACTATTTTCCAGGCTCAGGCCCTCAGCTCCGAACGCCATTGTTGTTACCCTCGTAATCTAAGCGAAACGAGTTGCAGATATATCATTGGGTTACACTTCCCAAACTTACGCTCACTACACGCTTCCACCTTCGACTGCCGCCGCCGAAGTCGTCTCGCCATGGCGTCGTCGTCGACCAAAATCGGCCATGGCCTTGCGAAGGCTTTGCGCATCCGAGTGAACGAGCGCCAGGCTCAGGATGATGCCCTGACGCGGGGCGAGTCCACCTTCTCCCACGGTTCTGGAGACACATACGTTGAGGAAGAGCCCGGCGCGATGGATTGGATCAGGGAGTTGGTCCCAGAACCCTCATTCTACCCCAGATACGCACGAAATCTGTTTCCCTTCACCAAGTGGATCATGCGCTACAATTTGCAGTGGTTGATTGGTGATCTTGTCGCTGGCATCACCGTGGGATGCGTCGTCGTCCCTCAAGGCATGGCTTATGCGAAGCTCGCTGAGTTGCCTGTCGAATACGGCCTATACTCCTCTTTCATGGGTGTTCTCATCTACTGGTTTTTCGCTACCTCCAAGGACATCACTATTGGGCCTGTGGCGGTCATGTCCACTATTGTCGGCAACATCGTTCTCAAGGTCCAGGCCGAACATCCTGACATCGAGGGCCATGTTGTTGCGAGTGCGCTGGCCATCATCTGTGGATCCATCATTACCTTCATCGGCCTCATCCGCTGCGGCTGGATTGTTGAGTTCATTCCCTTGGTTGCCATCTCTGCCTTCATGACCGGCTCTGCCATCAGTATCGCTGCTGGCCAAGTCCCAAATCTGATGGGCATCAAAGTTGAAGGCTTCAACACTCGCGCTTCGACGTATCTGGTCATTATCAACACACTCAAATATCTCGGCCACACCAAGCTCGACGCCGCAATGGGTCTGTCTGCCCTAACTCTCCTTTACCTCATCCGATTTGCTTGCACCTATGCCGCGAAAAAGAACCCGGCCCGCGCAAAGACTTTCTTCTTCATCTCTACGCTGCGCACGGCCTTCACCATTCTCCTCTACACTGGTATCAGTGCCGGTGTCAACATCCATCGCCGAAAGAACCCTGCGTTCTCGATTCTCAAGACTGTCCCGAGAGGCTTCAAGCACGCAGCAGTCCCAACTATTAACACCGACATCATCAGCTACTTCGCAAGTGAACTTCCTGCTTCGGTCATCGTCCTTCTGATCGAGCACATTGCCATATCCAAATCATTCGGCCGCATCAACAATTACACCATCGATCCTTCCCAGGAGATGGTCGCGATTGGTGTCACCAACCTGCTTGGTCCGTTCCTTGGCGGCTATCCCGCAACCGGATCATTCTCGCGAACCGCTATCAAGTCAAAGGCCGGTGTCCGCACCCCGTTCGCTGGTGTCATTACCGCCGTCGTGGTACTCTTAGCCATCTATGCGCTTCCCGCGGTTTTCTTCTACATTCCCAATTCGTCGCTGGCTGCCGTCATCATCCATGCCGTTGGCGATCTGATCACCCCTCCCAATACCGTCTATCAATTCTGGCGGGTGTCTCCTCTCGAAGTCATTATCTTCTTCGCTGGTGTCTTGGTCACCATCTTCTCCAGTATCGAGAACGGTATTTACACCACAATCTGTGTGAGCGTGGCAGTGCTCCTCTTCCGCGTGGTCAAGGCCAACGGTCACTTTGTTGGCAGGGTCAAGATTCATTCTGTTGTAGGTGACCATCTCATTGACGAGAAGGACACGCAGAATGTTGGGCCGCCCGGCAAGGATCAGCAGCGCAACATCTTTTTGCCATTGGACCATAATGATGGCTCCAACCCAAGCGTGGCCCCAGAGCAGCCTTATCCCGGCATCTTCATCTACCGCTTCAGCGAGGGCTTCAACTATCCTAATGCAAATCACTACACGGATTATCTCACCAATTACATCTTCACACACACGCGCCGCACCAACCCCGACTCATGGCCTCGACCCGGTGACAGGCCGTGGAACAATCCTGGTCCGCGCGCTGGTAAATCCGAGCCTGATCAGTCGCATCTTCCAACTCTCAAGGCCATTGTACTCGATTTCTCGGCCGTCAACAACGTTGACGTGACATCGGTGCAGAACCTGATCGATGTTCGCAATCAGCTGGATCGCTACGCTGCCCCGAATGTTGTTCAGTGGCACATTGCTTGCATCAACAATCGCTGGACCAAGCGTGCGCTCGCAGCGGGCGGTTTCGGATACCCGACGCTGCCAACCCACGAGTATAGCCGTTGGAAGCCAATTTTCAGTGTGTCTGAGATTGGCGGAACCACATCTGCCGCAGCCGAAGCGGAAAAGGCGACCAACAAGGCCTTGCGCCGCAGCTCCTTCGCCCACACAGACATTGAGCAGGCCGATGGGCCCACTGCTAGAGCGCTGGAGAAGGACGCCATCAACATCGAAGAGCACGGGCACTACAGCCCGGATGGGTCTGACATGAACAAGGTTCTGACCAGCAGCAAAGCTTACAAGAAGGTTACTCCTGTCCACGGTCTGAATCGACCTCTCTTTCATATCGATCTTACGGCTGCTCTGCAGGCTGCAATCGCCAACGTCGAAGCGCAGTATGGCTCGCAAGCCTCAAGTCCATCTGACCCGAAGCGCGGAGTCGGTACCCAGTCAGACTCAGAGAGTGATGATGTTACGAAATTGAAATGAATGCTAGAAGGATAACAGACGGATGGACAGATTGAATAGATTGAATAGCACATATTTGCAAGAATGGTGCAGTTGGGGGAGGAGGCGTATCTCGACCAAGTAATAACCAAATGTGTTCTTCAACGCTGTCCATTCCTATCTGCCCTCTTTTCTGAAAGCGGTATCTGTCGTACTCGGCTGCCTTGATCCTGGTTGACTGCTCGCAGGAGCTCTAGGTGAGTGGCTCGCTTCCATGGCGTGCTGGTTTCAGCCAGCCTCATCAATTTGACGGGGATATATATTCGCATCACGCCCGCCCAGTGACCAAACTTCAGAACTGTCTGTGGCAGTCTTCAAGTCACCGTTGTACGATGAGTACATTGATCGACAGCCAATGATGCTGTCCCTCCCTCCACAATGCTCTTGCTGCAGGGCGGAGACTGGGGTCGGCGGAGTTGTGCACCGCTTGGACGCTCTGTTTCCGCTCGGCCTGCCGCTCCACTATCACCTCCCAACACTCTATCGCTGCTGTTCCTCGTGATAAGTAGTCGTGCGACTTCTACTCTTTGTTCTCAACCTCTCAGACTCCTTCCACAGGCTGGCTGCTACCTAATGCTGCCCATAGCGGCGTAGAAGCTGCAATTCCCCTGCTCTGGTTGGCCTATCTCTACTCCAGCCTACACCGGACCCACCACAATGGCGGAGACGACAACCCTCCCCATTCTGCCCACGGCAGCACTTGTCTGCACTGTGGCCCTCGGTATCTATCTTTCCGTTATATTCCCTATCTTCCTACACCCTCTCCGTCACATCCCAGCGGCTCACTGGTCGATCCCGCTCTTCGGAGACTGCTGGATTCTGTACCAGCGTTTCCGCAGTCGAAACAATGCCGTAACTTATGCTGCTCATCTGAAGCATGGCGAGGTCGTTAGGCTTGGACGAAATGAACTGAGTGTCAACTGCGTCGACAATGGCATCAAGACCATCTATGGAGGTGGGTTCGAGAAGCATGCCTGGTACCCGCAGCAGTTCGCCAGCTACGGCGTCGTCAACATGTTCTCGACAATGCACCATGCTCCTCACTCGCAGAAGAAGCGGACCATGGCCAACGTTTACTCCAAGTCGTTCATCGCCGCTTCGCCTCAAGTTGCTGCCAATTCAAAGACTCTGATCACCACGCGCTTTCTACCCTTGATTCACTCCTTGGCTGAGTCAGGAGAACCGGTCAACATGCACGATGTTGACAACGCCATGACCATGGACTTCATGTCCGCCTATCAATATGGACTCGCAAATAGCACCAACTTCACTCAAGACCTTGCTCAGCGCCAATACATCCTCCACCACTACCACTCCCGTCGGCCTTACGAGTTTTACTCCTCCGAACTTCCTTGGCTGAAGCCAATGGGGGAAAAGGTTGGCATACATCTGGTGCCCAAGCTCCTCGACAAGGCCAATGACATACTGGAAGACTGGGGTCGCAACATGTGCCAGGGCGCCGATAGCTGGCTGTCGAACCCTACAGACAACCCCGGCGACGAGCCCGTGGTCTACAAACAGTTCAAGCAAGGCTTGACCAATCTCCGCACCAAGAGCCCTGACGCCGGTAGAGCCAAGGAGGACCTTATCCTTCCTACCCACACTATCTCTCAGCAGGGCGACGACACACCCTACGAGGTATACTCCGAGATGCTCGACCACCTCGGGGCGGGCCACGAGACCTCGGCGGTCGCCCTGACCTATCTCTGGCACGAGCTAGCCCAAAACCCCACTCTCCAGTCCGCCCTGCGCAAGGAGATCCGCACGCTGAACCCGCGCATCACCTGGCCGCTCCCGCCCGATACCTCTCCGGAGACCTTTACGCTGCCCTCCCCAAAACAGATCGACGCCCTCCCCCTCCTGCAAGCCACCCTCTGGGAAGTCCTCCGCCTACACGCCCCCATCCCCGGCATGGAGCCGCGCGTGACGCCCCCCACCCCCACCGGAACCACACTAGGCTCCTACAGCGGCATCCCCGGCGGCGTCCGCGTCTCCGCCATGCCCTACTGCCTGCACCGCAACCCCACTGTCTTCCCGGACCCGGAAACCTTCAACCCGCGCCGCTGGCTCGCCGACGGCCAACACACCCCACCCGCGCTCCTGAAGGAGATGCACCGCTGGTTCTGGGCCTTCGGCTCCGGCGGCCGCATGTGCATCGGCAGCCACCTGGCCGTGCAGGAGATCAAGCTCGTCGTCTGCGCCTTGATCGGGAACTACGAGGTGAGCGTGCCGGAGGGCGGGGATGAGGGCATCGAGGCTATCGACGCGTACACGGTAAGGCCGACGAGTAATCGACTGATGGTGAATTGGAAGGTGGCGCGTGTGTAGGAGGGATGCGATGCGTCGGTCTCGGTGGTTGTAGTGAGGGTAGGGTAAGGCTGTGGTGGAGTAAAAGACTGCGCAGCGCTGCAAAAAAGGAGAGATGGGAAAGGGGCCAGGGCGGACGGATATGGGTTTATTCTTACGTTGAGGGCGGAGACCGTACACCGTCAGTTAGTCAGTCAGTCACAGCAGCGAACGCCACTTCTACAGTCCGGTAGCTGAGGTACTATAGCCTACAGCGTCTTCGTGACCTAGACTTCCCTAAATGAATCATTGAAGTCCGTGCGAGCAGACATCACAGTTCCAATCTGCTCGCACGCCGGTTTCCTTTCTACTGCTGCTGGCGCTGCTGGCGCTGCAGGCGAGAGTCCCAAGAAAGGCCGGAGAGACATGCATGTCGACAAGGCACGCGAGGCAAGACGTGTCTCTCATAGCTTGAGAGGTACTACTCCTTGCTGACATAAGTGCTTGACGCGGCCCAGCATCTGGCAAGTGTAAAGCTCTGTAGCAGGCTGGGCGCTCTGTCTGTCAGCAGGAGAAGACCGAGGTGGACGCGTCGGCCTGTAGCTCCATTGTCCTAACGACGCAGACAGGGCTCGTTGCGACATGACATGGAATGATGTGGTGCTTCATTTGAGGACCAGGCAGCAACGCCTTCAATGCGTCGTCGTCAACGCATCACTACCGAGGACTTGATGGCTGTCCCACCGAGGTTCCAGGATTGGGGGGTTAATGCACCGACGGAAGTCCAGGCTGAAGTGAGTCCAACTATAGACCGGATGTGAGAACGTGATATTTTGTCGCATAGAATAACATGCAAATGTCAGTCATCTACTATGGATGAGCTGGTCCCCGCGGGCCCCGTCCGCTGAATTGGCCAGCAGTAAGAATTACCTCCGGCCTGTATCGCAACTGGCCCCCATGCACAAATATTTATGCGCGTAAGCCCCATTTCGATGGCCTTCACTCCGCCGTCGGGGACCGTGTGCTGGGGAGATTTCGGCCGATTCGGCCGATTCGGCTGACCATTGAACCTGACCTCGTGTCCCTTACCGGTTCTGATTGCTGTTGGCCTGTACGAAGGCCGTGCGCTATTGGGCCGCAATGCTTTGACATTGACCCGGGATAAGCCCTAAAACCGTGGGCGAGGCGGTAATTAAGTGCCGGTTATAACACTCGTGTCTTGGGAACTAATTCCACTCGTGCTTACGAGTTCGAGTGCGTTGCGAGCAAATTGATCGTAAGATACTGGAGGGGATGTAAACACAAGGGTAGAAGCATCTACGATTGGTTGTTGAGGGGCAATATGGCGATCAGGGCCCGATGAAGGAAGACCACCTATCAACCAGAACGTCTAGTCGAGCAGTAAGGGTCTCAAGGGAGGCCTAAGGCCGTATGCTTTTTGAATTGTTGTATCGACGCGCTCCTGAGGCGGTAATCATCGTGTGGAGGTGTCTCAGGAAGTGTAGTCAGCATGTTGTCGAGAGGTCTGCCAATAAGTGATCAAGACGACCAATGGTCTGATAACTTATCATTCGTAGACCCTGAGTGCTGATTCTGGAGATTGGGAGCTCCGTATATAAGCGCCTTTCTGGGCCGGTACGCCTTAATGCCTGTTTCGGACGAACAACAATGTGGGCTGGCCCCTAAAAGATGCTGACCATCTTAGTGGGAGCCACGTGGGTGGAAAGAGATCTTCACCCAACACGGTGGTCAACGTCAGATCACTTTCCTCGTTCGGTGATGACCACACGAGTGGGTACTGCACTCAGCAGGGTCCATTTCGTATCGAGGGGGGATGGTCTGTGCTCTGTACAAATGTACTTCTGCTCGGCCATTACCCGTTGGAAGTATCCACAAGCTGTCCAAGAGTCCCTCGCGAGCCAAGATAGGGTTCCAGGACAGGAACGACTGAAAACGCTTTGGCAGCGAGTATCAACCACGATGGTAGCAGAGTGAACAATGTTGGCTTAAGAGGTATGAATAGACAGCCACTGCCGTCGAGGTGCCTATTTGTCCCCAGAAACAGCCGGAGAAACGGCATATGTGCTAGTTGACGTTTTGTTGGGGCAAGTGCTCCATGGGGCCGTCAGGTGCTCTGGAGAGTGAGCTGTTACAAGCTGTCTTGGTACCATGGTTTGTGATGGCCTCGATGGAGAATCGCTGCTTTATCGCGAACGCCTGAGGAGCAGTTCTAAGGTCTGACCAAAAAGGTCTGTTTCGTAGCAAATACACGAAGAAGCTGTACGATAAGTCCCAGCTCTCAGGAAGGTGCAGGTGGATTCGTGGAGCTGAGCTCTCCGCAGAGCGACGCGGCGTAAGGATGTGAGCTGGCCACATGTAGATTCCCGGAAACGATTGGCAAAGCCAGAAAGACTGTCAAGTTCGGGTAGCTGTCTGGACGAGATCTAACCATGTGCGGACAGGGACCTGGACAGGAGTATTGTCGCGGCCGTAAGGATCAACAATGCAGCTCGGACACCTGGTCAAAGTGGTGCGGCTCAACGGTTTGAAGGCGACTTACCGGCAGGCAATATGGGCAATGAAAAGTCTGACTGGCTGGCGTTCGAAGCAAGATACGCTTTGAGATCCTGGTCCAACTTGATTCGGTAATCTTCAGGGTTATATAGATGATGTGAGGCGAATCAATGCTTTCTTAGGTAACGCCGAGGGAAGGTCAGGCCAGGGATAATCGCAGACGGCCAGTGTTGAGAAGTCTCGGGCTTGACAACCCATGCTCACGCAAGAGGCAATGGAAGCGTGGCGTGCTGACAGCCATTTGAGTAGAATAGGGCTGCGAGGCGGCTACACCGTGTCTGAGCAGTAGTCAAGGGTTCTGCCGTTAATTGGCGGAAAAGATAAAGGTCAGCCCTAGGTAGTTGAAACAGCCGGCCTTACATTCACGCAGCCAGGAACGTGGCCGAGAACTGGCGAGAAAGGATAGAGGAATTGCTTACATTATCCTGGTAGCCACACCGCATGCGCTCGCAGCCCCCAAGATTTCGTGTTGGCTGCTGGCAACTGAAGCAAGGATGTCAATCCGAGCTGGACTCACAGTGAGAGCCTGGACCCCAAAAACACGACAAGCAGTTAGCCATCGTATGTAAGAGCAATGGTTTGAAGGACCCCTGGTATGCACCAGCACGTTGAAACTCCAGCTGCTGTTTCGAAGCAGGCAGACAGCGTGCCATATCTCCTAAGAAGGAAAGTGGTGGAAGCGGCAGTGCTGCCAAAAATACGCAACAGCCATGGCTTGGCCATTTGCAGGGGTACCACATGGCATGGCGAACAGAAGGACGGTCAGACAGATTAGAAAGATCTGGGAAGCCTTCGAGAAGGATGCTGTTCTGGGTTAGCGAGCGCGAGGGCAGTGCTGGACTTGCTGTTTTGAGCTCGATGCAACGCTGATCAACATCATACGAGATCGCTTCTGGTTAAGATTTGATGCAGCCCCGCCAGGGTTGAGTCAGCAGGAAGCTGGAGCCCAGGCCTTTCGGCATTACCAAAGGTCCGCAGGGCAGATCTGGCTTCGCAAGGACTGGCCTCATCTGATAGGCTCGCATTGCAAGAGTGGTGCCCCCTTCGATTTGGGTTGCGATGTGTACGCCCAATCAGATGACGATGAATCCGACAACAACCCTGCTACCCGTTTCGACATGCTGACGGGGAGTTTGATCTGATTATGACTGCAAGATTCTCGCGGAAACGTGGCAGTGTAGATACCGTTGCAATCTGGCCGCTTCACGGTGCTCGTGTTTGGAAGGATGTCCGATCTCGAGATTGGCAGTCACAAGTCCACGAAAAGCGAACGGCGACGACGAGAACGTCGGCAAGGCTAGGAACGACGAGGAGGGGGAGCTGTGATTTTGTGCATGTCACGCGAAAGCCGGGCACTCGGGCTGTAAATTCGTCCGGAGACAGCAGGAGCACAAACACCGTGCCCGAGTCGCTCTTTCCCTAGCTCGAACAGCACTACTACTGCATTGGGTTTAGCCAGGACGGAGAAGTCGGACGAGTGCCTCCTACTCGTTCAGTCGGTTTGAGTCGCGGCCGAGTCTGCACGCCTGGAGAAAACTGTCCGCAAGTCGCTACCCATACTGTTTTCGGACCCGAGCTCGAGCGTCTGGGAATCGTGTTCGTCTGGCTCAGCGTATCGCATCGCTTGCTCGGCCGTAAAGCAAAGTCCTTCCTTCGGCTTTGTGGTTCATGCGCTGGCCTCGCGGACCTTGCAGGCACAGTGCATGCTGGGCAGGCAACCAGCAATTCTGCTTCAGCCTTTACGCCCGTTGTAGAGATATTCGGCGTGCTGTGTATGATCGACGCCTGGTCAATGTGGCTGATTTTGTGCTGAATGCACAGTGCGAAGATCAGGCAGCCAAAATTGTCCATGTTTGGGGCCAAGATCTTGTACGCAGATTGCAAAGCCACCCGTCGTTTACAGCCGTATTTGCTCGAATAGTTTACACCCGAGAGGGAACACGAGTGCGAATGCGAGCTTGGCTAGCATTGTACAGTACAATTCTACGACAAACCTTGCGCGTCAACTAGTGGCAGGCATCACCTTTCTATCGTGGCTCAATGCTGTCGCGTCTCAGGCACCACTCATTTCGACATTGCAACGGAATGTATGTACGAGCTATACGAAATTATGAGCCACGTGTACCTGATGTTTGACTTGGACCTTGGCAGGAGTATTAGTGACTGGAAGGAATGAATTGGAAACCAAAGGAAAACAAAAGCAGGAAGAGGACGGCATGGCTGTAACGGGAATCTGGCACAGTAATCCAATGGTCGAGAACCACTGTAGCAGAATTTCTGGTTACAAATTCAGAGATGCCATAGCAACGGAGAGAACAGAGTGCATGACTGTGCTGCCTGAAATGGAGCTGACACAGCCCGTCAGATTTTCTCGTTTCGCGGAGACAAGCAAAAAGCAGCGAGGGAGACGGAGACAACGTAAGGGCGGTAAGCGCGTGTACAGCGTACGGAGGTACGGACGGAACGCGGTGTCGTTATGCAGCAGGAGTCATACTCGGAGACAAGTCACAGGCCCGGGGCCCTGGTGGGCCGTGGCCCAGGGGAAAGCCACTCGCAACCCTATGCACACCCCTGTCGAGTCTTCAACGGGCAGTGTCATCAAGCCTGCTCGGCCGCGTGCTCGCTCAGCAGCTTTGGTCCGAATCCGACCCAGAACTCAAAAAGACAGCTCCACTCGGGCTGGAGTTACGCTGGTTCCTCCATACGACCCGCAGCCTTACTTTCGCATAACCCAAGATACAACATTTACAAAAGAGGCCTCCCCTCCTCCATCCGTCAGCCTCATCTTTGTTCATTCACACTACACACAAACAACAATAGACACAACAGATCCTCAACCACCAAAGAGTATCTGCACCGTGATCGACTTGGCTCACATCGAATCCACACTGCAAGCCACAACGCCCTACCACACTAGCAACTCTATGACTCAGGCATCAAACAAAATGCCTTCGTCTATTACCTTTTCCACCGCCCACACCACCAAGGGTACCAACTCTATCTACACCCGCCCTCAGAAGAAGCAGAAAATGAGCATCACTCAGACCTACTTCCTCGCTCACAGTGCTCGCGGTAAGCTCTCCAAGGAGGCTGCCCGACCTGACCACGACCTTCGCCTGTTGGTTGGACATGCCAACATGCTCGACTCGCTCATGCTCGACCTCTCCCGGGCCGAAATGGAACAGGAAAACTGGTTCCACAAGACCGTCTCCGGTGCTCACGACGAGGAGGAAGAGGAAGAGGAGACATCACACGTGGAGACCATCCAGGAGGAGCCCGAAACCGACGACGAAGAGGCTATGATCACTTCGGTCGAGGTCGAGGATATGGAGGAGGATGATGAGACCGACTCTGAATTGGCTCTTACCCGCACACCCTCCCGACACTCCCCTCCTGCGCTCACCATGGAAGTCGACTCGGACTCAGATGATGAGAGCATGCCTCCATCACCACCTCAGCCAACGATCGATGCGCTGAGCGTACAACAACGACAAGCCATTGCCACTACCTCGTACTACGACACCAAGAACGCCTCATTATCACCAGTCGAGAGCGAAACCTTTGAATCAGAAGGCTTCTATCTCCCGTCGAGACAACAACCGACCATAATCGCTGCCTACTGAGCAGGTTGATCGGTCTGTTTTCTTTACTACTCGACTAGCGATTGAGCGATTCTAGCGACTTTTCTGCATGGTGTCACCGGCATTGGAATCTACGGTATTTACCAACATTGGAAACAGAACAAAAGCCACAAGGCACCCCGCCTGTGCAAAGAACACAGAGGCAGACGCTCGGTGCCAGGGAAGCAGAAGTTGCGACTGAAAAACGTCGGCCTGCCGAACTGCATTGGACCCGTCTATCACTGCGCATTCTCTCCCAGTGAGGGCCGCCTGCGTGGGCTTACTCTACTCTACTATGTATTATAGCTCCCTCATCTTAGATCGAGGTCGAGCCAAAATCACACCAGATAATACAACTTTTTTGAGAACACCTCAACCACTGTCTTCTTCTCTCCTCGTAGCAACACTCATCTACCGTGACACACCCTCTCGCACCAACATGCTTTCGCGCCCTGCAACTTTTTTGGCTCCAGCGCCAGTTCCAGCCGCCGCGCGATCGTAGATCCTTGAACCGGGTCTAGGCTCTATCGGGGATTGGGGGCAATCTCTCTTCGTTACGGCCGCTTCGGCCGGTCGGGCGACCCTTCGTCTTTCGTCCCCGGAGGGTTTTTTTGGGCACTTTGGTGCGCCTTGCTTGGGCCCTTCTTCGTTGGTTGCTACCCTTTTGAGCACCACCCCGCTGATCCATCCTGGGATTTCGCATCATATCCCAAGGTGTGCTATCTAATCTCCCAATCAAGAGCCCGCATTTCCGGCTCGCACCTTGGTGCGGCTTGTTGCTGACATATTCAAAACGGGGCCCGCGCCCACCGCACCAGCACGGTTTGCGGAACATTTTCTTCTACCATTGTGACTCTTTTTTTCTCCCCTGGCGTTTTCTCTTGATTCTATAATCGGGATTACAAATGAACATCCATCCACCTTTCCCACCCCCCTGGTGGCTTTCCAATGCTGCTTTTTCGTTTGCTCGCAAATTGGGCTTTGTCATTCGCACGTCTTAGGGCTGACAATCTACTGTACGAGGTGCACACTCACTGGCACGTGTCCGGATAGGGTCGTCGTATAGTGAGGCTTGCAGCCTGCAAGAGGCCTGAAAGCCCAAATATGTGTTTTTCGCCCCCATCTTTCTTGCCAGGTGCGGCCGCCTATGTCGATCCGGATTTAAGCAAAAGGTGTCACTTTCTAGTACCCGGTGGTGCGCTTGCCGTTTACAGAAAATGCTTTCATCAGCATATATCGCGGGCTGACTCCCTCTCCAACTCATCGAGATGCACTCTCTGGTGGCTGAAGTTATTTTCATTCATGCGGTGACACAATTCCGCCGCCTGCGACAGATGTCTGCCGCGATGGCTTCTGCAGGAGCCGTGCCCTCCCCTCAACGACACTTCATGATGTTCGCTGAGTGAGCTGGCGGTAACAGTGGATTCCAATGCCCCAGCTGTTGCTTGAAGCAAGCAAGGCCAAGCGAAGTGACCTCGTATGTGAGTTGTTGTGGGTACTTTCATTGTCGTTCGTCCGACTGCTTGAGCCCAACCGGTCTGTAGTAACAATATCCTCTCCAGAAGCTGACTTGCAACCACATACCACAATAAGGTGGCTGTGTAACAGTACAGGCACTCCAGTCGTGACGGTGCTTGATAAGTGCATCTTGCTGCCGAGTCAGCAATATTATTTCATTCTTGACGGTGCTCAATGATCCAAGCCCTTGCCTATCGACACGGGACAAGCTACACTCATCAAGCCATCGTCACGAGGATGTGTCGTTGACAGAGCGCCACTCGTGCCAACTGTTTCTCTTGGGGTTGTTCAGGTGGGGTGTTGACAGCTCCTGTTGCTCTTTCCCGACGCGAGTTCGCTTGCCGGAGAGCAGGGTAATGCGATCCGACTAGCGAGGTTGAGAGTCCACCGCACTCCGTCGACAGCTCTATCCTTGTTGGAACACTGCAAAATTTTCGAGACCAGAGCACTGCATCTTCCCTTGAAAGCATTACAACATTTGCTGCTGAAGGGTTTTCCTAACACGGCTAGGACTCTTGATCATTGCAATCGTTGATTGGTTGACTGCACCGTCTCATTCAGCACTGCGTCTGCTTCGTCATCCAGCCACCATCATGACTCTCCCGTGTCACTTACCCCCACCATGAACTTCACGGTTGCAGATGGCTATTAGGCAGAATCGCTGCATCGCCAACGCAACGTTTCACAAGGCTGTAGCATCGAGATCGTCGCCGCCGACGACATGATCCACGAGATCGACGATGTGAGGCTCTTCAAGACCTTCGACCTGACCCCAAACAGTGCAAATACCTCAAAGGTATGATCTCATCTGAAGAACTGCAGCCTAGTACGCCTTCCGCGTGCAGCTGGTCGCCCCACCCAAGCCTACGCAAGGATGCCTTCCATGCGTCATCTAGCTTCCTTCCACGCAGCCATATGCTTGTCTATCGCTCCTCTCGGCAATCTGCTACTAAGCAACATTGGACTTGCTCAAGCGTGAGAAAGTATGCAACGGCCCCTAACCTTTCACGGGCAGCACGAGGTTAATGCCGCAGTTCTTTGATGCTACAACCGATCTTAATTGGTTTGCAGACAGCCGTTGTACGATGCACTTTCTCCTTACTGGCTTAAACAGCCCTGCTACCGCTACCACTACCTGTCGTGGCAAGTACCACGGTCCGAGCACACTCAGCACTTGCCGATGGGCGTATACTCTGCCACCGGTATGTGTCTGTATCAACAATACCAACACCTCTTGCCGCTTCAACAGGTGATAACGCTCTCGGGTGGTGTATAGAGACTGTGGGCAGCAGCAGCCTCGCAGCGGACTAGTTTCGAACCGTCATGTAAGACATACTCTCAGCAGAGTGTGATCTGTCGGTGCCATCAGCCATGGACAGTTTTCTCGGTGAGCGTTGCATCTCACTCTGATGGCCTGGAAAGGCAGAGAGTGTGGCGCTACGGCGTGGTCCATTGAGGCCATGCGGTTCAACTCGCGAGAAAACCTTTCTATTGCAGACGAAATCTGCCGTTGTTTGAACCCTTAGGTCTTGTGAGCACTGTCAGAAGACAATCTCATCCGAGCTACCACAGCATAAGGCTCAGTCGGTTGATCTAGTACCGCTCACGACGAGCGGAAGCAATATCGGCGCTCGGCCACGGAGTAGGCCTTCGGCTTTCCATGCATAGCCCTCGGTCTGCGGTGATCAGTGAACCGCTTATGGCTCACTCCTACGCGGGCAATTCTGACTTGCACACAACGACTGCGAGCACTTCCGGAGCAAGAATCAACGATAATCTGCAAGTTAGCCGGCACCAGGTCGATGCCGTTGCGTCTTGAGACTAGAAACGGTAGGTCTACGCACCTTTGCTTTATGACCCGTAGACTCCCGATGTCGATCAACCTTTGACCAGACATCCGGCACTACACACTGTCGACAGTGTCGCCACAGCCTTATGCACTCGCTGGCTCGTCTTGAGGCTCTTTGGCCGTTCGTTGCCGATGTGCCCGCCTTGTCCGCCTCTTCCGCCCGAACCGAGCCACACATACCGGATCAGGATGCGGAGCGGTCACACGTGCGCAAATTCACGGGGAATCGCACCATCAGCTACGCTTTGTACCTAGAGGCACGCGAGCCGATGGCCAGGGCCGTGTCACGAGCGACAGGCTGGATTTGGTACTCGTCGCCGCTTCAATGCCTTTGAAAGCCGCGATACAGAAGGGTTGAGGCTCTTACAATCCTGAACACGGACCTGCGTATTGTGGTAAGGTACATTACTTTGTTATGCAGAGCCGGGCAGCCACTGCAGTTATGCCAGTGTCAATGATGGGCAGAGCTAAATTCCTACTCTCATCTCCGTCCTCCTTGAAAAGGTCACTTCGATATACAGTCCCGCAGCGGCAGCGCAAGGCTGTACCCCTTCAACGCGGAGGCTGAGAAATTGCCAAGAATACGGCACCGCATACCACCGAGACCGCACCCCTAAATCTTTGGCAACGCAATCCCTCGAGTTGGGCCACCTGCGAGTGCGCTGCGTTTCGCCGCATCAGGGCCTGCTGAGCCCCCTCGCAAGTCTACTGTACCCCGAGTGTTAAATCTTGGTCGCCCGCTGCCTCGGTACGCCTGCTACGTCCAGTCTCCAGGCGGCGAGTTTATTGCCGGGTCCCACGACAGGGGAGCTGGGGGCGCGGCGTATCAGACGCTATACCGTACGAGCAGCAGCAGCAGCAGCGGAGTCGACGCGTGTTTCACAAGACCTTGGCTTGAATCGATCCGCGATATTCGCATTGCGAGACTCACGAGACGAGACTCTCATACATCGCTCGGCTTGGGATAGTGGAGTTTGCTAAGAAAGGTGCATTGCCTTGCTACATACATACAGTGTTGACGGCTTGGCGGGTATTGTGCACGTTTGGTGGAGTTGATCATTATGGCATTGGCGTTGGCAGCGTTGGCAGGCGTTGGCTTCTGAGGCTGTGCCTCCTCGCTGCTGCTATGCGCGTGTGATGGCTTGGTTGGAAAGACGTTGCGTGTCTCATCTAAGTTGCAGGGTTCAAAGCCACAGCTGCTGTTGAACAATGACGATACCGATTCCGCGAGCGTTTTTGCTGGAGCGGTCTCCTTCCTTATGCTTGTTAACACTGACTAGCAGCCAGTATGCCTCTTGGCTCATGGATGGAGGCCTCCATGTGTACTGGTGACGTAGATGGGCGTCCTGTAAGTCTATCGTACCAGTTGGTTCTCGATGTCGGGGATGTTTGAGTCGGCTGATGCCGTGCGAAGCTCGCTCTGGAGGTCGAAGGGTGGAGGTCGAAGGGTTCCAGATCAATACCGGCTGTTATGCTGCGGCTCAGCAAGGCTTTTCGGAGAGGCTGACGCTCTAGAATTAAGACGTAGAGCAACACCTGTACGCCTGGCGAGGATACACTGGATGACGGGGAAAAGGCGTCGAGCCATTGAAGACTCTGAGTACTGTGCTAGCCGGTGCGATATTCCTTTGCAGTTTCCGAGACGCCCATACAAGCTAATGCTACGGGTACTGTCCACGGACATGATCGAATATGTTGATCTCTAGAAAATGCTTTGCTCTCTCGCTGTGAGTGTTGTGCACTTCATCTTGGACACACTTAACCTCACGGGACCTCTTGTATATACGCCGCCGGTACATTTCCCTTCTCCCCGTTTTTCTCTACGTCCGCCCAGCCGTCCCCTGTCCCCATACTGATGAGGATGAATCTCTCCCCTTCTACCATATCGAACTCTAGCTCGCTTTGGGCTTCATAGGCGTACAGCGCTTCCACATACTTGACCTTCTTGGCTCCACGTTTCGGCGCCACCGCGGGGCCTTTCTTCTTCACTTGTTGCGTAGAAGCTAACGAGGCGGTGGATTCGGAGCGGGAGGAGGCCGGGCGGGGCGAGTGCGAGACTGAAACGCTGGCAGATGGTTGGAATGGCAGCTCTTCGAGGTACGCTGTGGGGACTAGCCCTTCGAGGCCGAAGCCTGCGCGGATTCTGGTCCATCCGCCATCTGAGACTCACGTTAGTATACTCAGGGTTCTTGTAAAAAGGCTGTCGTTGAACCGAGTCGCGGCAAAGGAAACCTAGGACTCACCATCTCCCTCGACAATCGTCACTTCCTTGCCCTCCTCAACGGTCACCTCACCCTCATCACGCTTCTCATATGGGTACAGCATACGACCTTTTCGCTGGCCGGTTGGTGAAACTGGGCCATCATCGGGAGGAGCGCTAACATACGCCGCTGGCGGAGGAGCGACGATACGGTTCCTTCTCGTCCCTCCCGCGGCCGCAGATGTTGATGTGGGTGTAGCTAGTGGTGAGCTAGGTGATTCTTGGGTTGGTGTGGTGACAGTCGTACTAGATGTCATTGACGCCGTTCTCGGAACCGTGCCAGATACTGACCTGTTGGCGGATGTAGCAAAGCCAGAAGACAAGCTATTCATGGTATCCTGCCGTGTTAGGGATGGCATTGTACCATTGGTCGCGGTTGCCGGGGGCTGTTGGGGTGCCTCTACAGCAGCTGTTGCAGCAGCTTGTCTTTCTGCCTTCAGCTTCTTCCTCTCCTCTTTCGTCTGCTCTCCAGGACAATCCGCTGGGACCTTCATCTGACACTTGCTGTGACATGTGAAGCCACACTCTGTACAGATGAAGCCTTTGGCTGACAAGCCCCAAATCCGGTCACCGCAAAGATCACAGTTTGTAGGTATCTTGAACGTTTCCGACTTGAAGGGGTGACTCTTCCCATACATGCTGAGGTCGCCCACAACGCTGGTAACCGTGCTAGTCTCAACCTCTGCGGTCAAACGTTTTCGCTCAATTGCGTGTAGATCTTCCTGCACGGCGAATTGAGATCGCAGACAGTCAGACTCATCACGCTTGTCCTTACCAGCCCTGATGTTCTCACGAGCACGCTTCACATTTTCGAGCTCCCTTTGCTTAGCTGCTGTTTCCGACTTGAGCGATTGGGCAAGTGGTTTAGATTTCAAGAGGATGTTTCGGAGGAAGATTTTCGATGTCTCGTCAACGGCCATTGCATCCGAATCCAGCCAGACCGGTGAAGGCTCGAAGACGAAGTCGGGAGGATCCTGCCATTGTACGGCGTTATGGTGGCAGAACATGCCCGAGTCTAGAGCTGGATTATTTCGGGGGATCTCATTGGAGAGGTGGGCCAACTGGTCCGTACTCCTTTTCAGCGCAGCAGTCTCTAGGGCGGCTGCAAGAGACCAAATAGTATTCAGTTTCGATACCCGAGTCTCGTTCAAATCCTGTAGAGAGTCGAGAAGTGCAGGAACGTACTGGTGGTAATAGCATTCCTTTAATTTATTGGTGACGTTGATGCCGATCAAATATGTGTTTTTGACGTTGTTCATCTCCATCAACTGCTGATTGTACGAGTTCTGCGCCTTCCCCTTTGACGAATCGAACGAGCTTTCGATCTTCTTTCTCTTGCTCTCGACATCTCCACAGCTGGTGTCGTACTTTGTCTTCATTTTCTTCAGGTCAGCATACGAAGAGTCCCTCTCTTTGAGCAGCTTAGCCTGATAGTCCACATGGCTTTTTCGAAGCTCTTCAAATTTCTGTTGAGTGTACTGCAGTGGGTTTGCGACTTGGCTGATGAGGTCAGAGCCTAACCTTTGATGTTCGCTTGCGCGGGCTTCGAGCGTGGACAGTTGGGTGGTCCAAGTCGTGAGGGATGCCGACTCGAGCGACCCTGGTGTCAGAGCAGGGTTGTCGCCCACGCTCAAATTGCTGGACCGTTTGTTCTTCTTCTCGTAATATTTCTTCGCCAGTGCTGTCAGCTTAGCACTGTAGTCCTTCTCAATAGCGGCTCGCTCATCGTAGAACTCCTTTATCTCCGCCAGCCATGAAATACCATTGCTGACCCAGTTGTCGACCGGCTTATAGCCATCCTTGAGCGCTGCTCCAAAGCTGACTGTCTCGACTTGTGCCATTGTGGGGGCTGCGAAAGGCGTGCGCAGAGCGTAGCATGCTCAGTAGGGAGATGGACGCATCGGGCCGGCCACGGGCGCAGCTCTCACTGTTTGTTTCGCGTTTAATGCGTCCAGGGCATGGGCGAGAGTGACACAGATCTCTTGGAGAATCGCGAATGCAGGGAAAATGGACGTTGGGTTGCAACCACTGCCCGCCGGTGCTCCCCCGCAGCCTTGGTTTAGCCGGCCGGCAAGGCTGGATATAGGCTCCGCTCGGGTGCTCAGAGCTAATCCTAAAGGCGATTAGGCGACGGTTACAGTGCCCCACTACTGACTTGACCGCCCGCTCGGAGCGTGCCTGAAGTTTTTGGAGCGGTTGTCACAAAGTCGTTTGCAGCCTGCGCTCGAGAACACTTACATCTTTTTCCATACCACCATCTCAGCCTTCATCTCGGTCATCGTTCATATCTCGACGTACTTGTTGGAGGTTTGCATCGATCGCTACTACACTGTCTGGGTGCTTACACCCTCAAGTACCCCGCCATACGCGACACCTTCTGCACACTTCACGACCACGTTTCGAACATAACTGGACTCGAACTCCACACACTCCCGCAATGTCGGCTGAAGGCGCGCCGTCTGGCGGCTCTCTAGCTGACCGCATCTCAAAGCCTGATGACACTGCCTCCGGTAGATCATGGGCCGACGAAGTCAACTCTCCAGCAGACGCTAATCCGCCGCCAGCCAAAGGCGAAGACACCAAGGAAGCCGCTGATGATGTTTCAAACACTCAAACCGATGGGGCAGGCGAGCCTTTTGGCGGCGGTAGCTTGAATGAACCTGCGTTCGATGTTCAGGTGAAGCTTGCCGATATGCAAGCTGACCCAAACAACCCTCTCTTCTCTGCGACCAGCTTCGAACAGTTGGGACTGTAAGTAGTATGATATTTTCCCCGACTGTTCTCTGACACAGGCGCAGGAGCGAGAACATCCTCAAAGGCGTGGCTGCTATGAACTTCCGCAAGCCTTCCAAAGTCCAAGAGAAGACTCTTCCTCTGCTCATCCTCGACCCTCCTACCAACCTCATTGGCCAGTCGCAGTCCGGTACTGGCAAGACCGCCGCCTTCGTTCTCAATATTTTACACCGCATCGACCTCTCATCCGAACAGGCGCAGAAAACTCCCCAGGCTCTAGTCCTCGCTCCCAGCAGAGAGCTTGCTAGACAAATTCAGGGTGTCGTGAAACTCATGGGTACCTTTGTTGAGGGCCTCGTGGTCGAAGCCGCCATTCCTGTCGATGCTTCGCAGCGCGCACGCAAGATCGAGGCCGCTGTGGTTGTTGGCACCCCTGGTACAGTCATGGACATGGTACGCAAGCGCTCCATGGATGCTCGCAACATCAAAGTGCTTGTGCTCGATGAAGCCGACAACATGCTTGACCAACAAGGTCTTGGCGATCAATGCATTCGCGTCAAGAAGTGAGCTACCTTTTGACGATTTCTACACCCTACTAACTCAAACAAGCATGCTACCCAAGACCCTTCAAATCGTGCTATTCTCTGCGACCTTTCCCGACAACGTCGTCGAATACGCCGACAAATTCGCCCCTAATGCCAACCAAATGACTCTAAAGCACGAAGATCTCACAGTGGAAGGCATCAAGCAGATCTACTTGGACTGTGACAGTGACCAGGCCAAGTACGATGTCTTGGTCAAGTTCTACGGTCTTCTTACCATCGGCTCGTCGATCATTTTCGTCAAAACTCGAGAAACTGCACTTGCCATTGAGCAGCGCATGACTGCTGAGGGACACAAGGTTGTCTCACTTACAGGTGGTTATGAAGGTTCGCAGCGCGACTCAATTATCGACGCCTTCCGTATGGGAACCGCCAAAGTCCTCATCACCACCAACGTCTTAGCTCGCGGTATCGATGTGCAATCAGTTTCCATGGTTGTCAACTACGACGTCCCGGAGAAATGGGTGGGTCGAGGCAAACCCGAGCCAGACCCACAGACCTACCTTCATCGTATTGGTCGGACTGGTCGCTTCGGCCGAGTCGGCGTGGCGGTCACCTTTATCAGCAATAAGAGAGACTGGGAGAACCTGATGAAAATCCAAGAATACTTCGGAGTGGAAATTACTAGAGTTGCGACGGAGGACTGGGATGACCTGGAGGAGCAGGTGACCAAGATCATCAAGAGCTCAAGAGCCGGCAGCAACTTCCAAGGCGGTGCGAAGATGGTAGCTTAAGCTCTGCATTCGAGAGTCGCTATTCAAAACCCCGGCAGGGAACTCTTCGACCCATCGAAAGCTCACCGGCCTCTGCTCAGCGGACCGAGTAGGAGACCGAGCTGAGGCCCGAAGCTATCGAGTGTACCCCTTGGAAGAACGATGACAGCATCGTGAGCAGAAACTTACCGGCATGTCATAGGCCGGAAATCGATGGCCTTCGAAGGGTGAGATAGAAATTAGAAGGAAGAAAAGTCACCACCATGGATGAATGATGATACCCACTGCTCGAACGATATTGAGCATTTCACCAGTCGCAGCTTTTGGCGAGTAGCAAAGCCAACCTTTCGAGACCTGTTCTATCTACTTCATCGAACCCCGAAGTCTCTGCGCAGTCGATATCAATCACGCCGACAACCTGTAAGCAATGTAAGCTGCCTGTTCTTCAGCCAACAAAAATGGACTGACCTTGCCGTCAACCATAATAGGAACTACCACCTCGCTTTTGCTGTCACTATCGCAAGCAATATGTCCGGGAAAGGTCTCGACATCCTCGAGTAGCAGCGTCTGCGCCTTCTCGGCCACCGTCCCGCATACGCCCTTGCCAACGGCAATGGTCTGGCAAGCCACCTACTCAAAATAGCCACATCAATCAATCAACGAACATCTGCTGTTCAAAGAGAATTGCTCCTACTTTACCGTGAAAAGGGCCTAGAACTAGCTGGGACGGCTTCGCCTTGTCCACAACGTAGAAGCCACTCCAATTCACCGACGAGGATGGCGCCGGCAGAGAATGGAACAGGTGCCACAGCAGCGAGGCAGCATTGGCCGTGTTGCAAACCCAGTTCCTTTGGTCAACGACCAGACCTTCCATGGAGGACAGGACTTGGTCGTACGCATCTTGCTTGCTCGTGCCGGCCTCGAAGTTCGAGGCATCGGCGTGTACCTACCCAGAAAATGTGTTGGACTGGATGTCGTTTTTTGCAGAGGATTGGGAAAAGGCCAGCTGCATGCAAACCCCTTATGCGACCTGTGTCAAAAGGCCTGACAGAGACTTACCATCTTGCCCGCCAGTCCTACCGTCTGCCCCGACTGTTTTCCACTTTATGTGACTTCTTCTTCACGATATCCCTGCTTGAGAAGTGAAGCAAGGCTCAGGATTGTTAGCGGGATGTGCATTTTCATCTCGGCCCCGATGGCGCGAGATGCGGGTCAACGTCAGCCCGGCTTCCCCTCGCCGGCCGCCAATCCTACCAAGCAGGGGTGTAGCGCCTAACACTCGGACAGGAAAGCTTCGCATATCAAGCGTATTAGGTGGTCCAAGTAGAACCCTCACTATGTTGGTACGCAATATGTAGGCTTTCGGAGCTTGCAGCAAACGCCGGGTGGCCCTGAACAGCTTCATGAGGTCCTGAGATATATATGAGGAGTAGACTGATAAGCTTCAACTGTCCCTCCCTTTGATATTCTACCCAACTTCGCTTGCTCGTCTTACCGTTGCCATGTCCTGTGCTGGTTGCTTTACCGGTGGGGTCCGCGATGGCAAGCCCAAGGGCACCTATGAGCAACTCCACGGCTACCGCACATATATTGCGAAACCATCAAAGCCTCATCTATCGGGCAGCAAAATCCTCTATCTACCCGACTTCTTCTCCCACAAGCTCGTGAACAATGCTCTTCTGGCCGACGCCTACGCCGAAGAGACAGGCCTCGAAGTCATATTCCCCGACATCGTGCGCAACGGCGGAGTCGATCCCTCGTGGATGCCCGTTTTCGAGCCTCTCATGTCCGACACCACGCCCTTCTGGCAGAAACTCTGGTGCGGCATCCTCATCATCCCGCTGCTGCCCATGATGATCCTGGGCGGGCCCGAAAAGGCCTACCCTGAGATCCTTCGCTACGCCCGTGCCGTCAAAGCGTCCCTTCCACAAGGTGCCAAGCTGGGCGTCGCGGGTTTCTGCTGGGGTGGCTATGGCAGCACGCACCTGTGCAAGGAGGCCGCCGTGGAGGGTGGCACCGAGAACCTGATCGGTGCGCATTTCGCGGGCCACCCTTCGCGGCTGGATGCGCCGAAGGATGTCGTGGATGCCATCACCCAGCGCAATGTGCCGTACTCTGTCGCGGTGGCGGAGATTGATCCGATGTACGATGCGAAGAAGGCGGAGGAGACGGAGGCGAGACTGCGGCAGGATGGGGTTGAGTCTGGGAAAGATGGCAAGGTCTTTGAGATCAAGATCTACAAGGGCTCGCATCATGGGTTCTGCTGTCGGCTGAAGGAGGGCGAGGATGAGGAGAATGCCGCGGCGGCGGAGAAGCAGGCCAGTGAGTGGTTCAAGAAGCATCTGACTTGAGTGTTCAGGGGAGGCACAAGCATTGTAATTCTGCCTGACGGGCAACGTAGTATACCAGTTTTCAATGACCAAACCAGACAAACACCACTCTACCCACGCTCGCGGCCGTGCCACTGCGCCTCCAACTCCTCGGAAACTTCCCAATCCCTGATCCTGCATCCACTATCATCCAACAGCCCTGCGTTCGCCCTCTCGCCCGCGGTCTCAAAGGTCTGCAGCCACGGACGTGCCTGCTGCTGGTCATCCTCCTCGAGTCACCCCTTTCGGCAGTGACTGGAGCCAATGCCAAACCTTGTCGCGAGCTTGCGCTCGCACTCGCGCTTCCTGTCGCTCTGCCTCGGCGGCGCGCTGTTCCGCGAGTTTAGCGCGGAGATCCCGCCGCATCTTATGGTTGCGGACGAAGGAGGCGGCATCGTGCCACCAGTGGCGTTTCCAGGTGGCGTTGCTGGTGGCGCCGGAGGAGGAGGGGGCGAAGAGGGAGGCGTGGGCGTGGGCGGCGGCGGCTGCATTAATGGCAGCGACAGTGACGGCCGCCACGCAGCGGTCGTCCGCTTCGAATTGGCGGCTGAGTTCCTGGTGGGTTTGGAATCAGGGCTTCTCGGACCAGCTGTCGGTTTGCGTCGAGGGAGACGACATGATGAATAGGTGTTGGTGACGAGAAGGATGGTGGTGAATGTTTGAGCTACTCGGAGATGGTGTTCACTTGGTGTTCACTTTCAGAGATGAAGACGAGGGGATTGTCGAGTTGGGTGACAAATTCTGATGACTTTCAAGATAGACACAAAGAGAATGGGGAGCATTATATACCCATTCGTTCTCATGATGCTGGAGGTACTCACCAGAAAGTACTCACGATATACGTTAGGCAGAGTTGTAAGTGCTCCCCTTGTATCACAAATGCCAGACACTGAGCTGGACTGTTTCAGCTCTGCAAGATACAAACCAAAGAAGAGCTTGGACAGCGCTACTGAACCTCACCAACGTAGCGACACTCTTGACAGTGGTAGATGAAATCCAAGCGTGACCTCCTCGGGTGTACCGACTCGCTGGGCTTTGCTTCGGCTGCTTTATGTGGCTAGGTGGTCGAGACATAGCTGTAATCGAGAGCAGAAATGTCCCGGAGCGGGCAGTTGTACCAGGCGGCGTTCGTGATTTCTGCGACCTCTTGAGCAGCTCTCAGAGCACCCATATCCTAGCTTGTGTTAGATTACTCACGAGAGGCCGAAAAGTTCAAAGTCATCAACCTCCCAAGCCAGCGCTGTGGCGCACCCCATAATTGCGGAGATGTTGACCTCGGACGCAATGTAGCTGCCTGGAGTGATCACGGTGCCTGACGGAGGCTGAATTAAGGTGTTCAGGAAGGGTGTGATTTGGACTGTCATCGCTTGGTTATGTGTGAGTATAGCGTGGATGCAGCGAACTCGTTCTTGGTCACATATGCGCTTTGATTCGAGGCCCTCGTCAACAATATTACTGTCATCACCTGTGATCTGATGCTGTGGAGTTCAGACAATGGGGGCTAGGTTTGAAAATGGGGATCACATCTCTGGCATACTGTCATATTTTGTATCCAGCCAAGCAATTCCGCCCGCTGTCGGGAGTGCTCGAAGGCGAGGTGGGTCTGGGATGGTGCTACAGTATCTGTGGTGTAGACAGTAGCTGTAAACAGCGGTAGTCGCGGGCAACTCGAACAACCGGTACTTTCTTTTATTTACAGTCCCGACGGCCATGCGTTATTTGTGCTGGTTATATCACTAGTATCATCTTTGTTGGCACCGTGTTTTCACCTGATATCTGCGGAAGAATAGAGGAGTCTCGGGAGGGGAACGGCGACAGGCTTGGGTATTAGACGCGAGTGATGTGAGTTCCTCCAAGAAGGCCTGCAGGATGTTCATGTGCCTCCTTGTACCTTGCTGCCAGAAAAGAGGTGGGAAGCTGAGATAGTGCAAAGAAAGAAAGGTGTGCATCATTGCAACTCCAGAGGTGCAGTTGTGAGCCACTGCAGACTGCAGGGGGGCACAAGGGCATGGTGGGGAATTTCCTTTTAGCGGCAGATCATGTCGCGGCAGGCTTCAAGTCTTGGCGGCGGGTGTCCAACTCAAGAAGACGCGACCTAGTTTATTCAAACGCGTGAACTGTCATCAGGGAACATCAAGTCTATCGACATTCAGCTCTTCCGACAGTACCATGCGCCGTCAGACACCTCCTTGTAAGCGCGCAACATCGATTCTGTTCGTCTAGAGGGCGGGACCGGGAGGCGCACGGACGGGTCTTCCTCCGAGCACCCCTGGACGGCCCAACCTGGCACTGTCGCAGATCTTACCATTCCTCACCCTGACGCTTTGAGCACACCCGCGCTACATCGTCGCCGATAGTCACAGGCGCATTACGAGTTCGGCGAACAGACCATGCCGTGGCGCCCTCTGCCGCTGTCTTATGCAGTGGCTGTGTTTCCCTTTCAGCCCTCGGAGTCGGCCGCCGAGTTACCACTGCAGATAGGTGATCAGATATATGTCATCGAGGAAGGTGGTCGCAATGGCGAGTGGTGTAGAGGCTATCTCGTTGCGCCTCCCTCCCTCGTCTCAGCCCTCACTCCCGAGGGAAGGACCGCCGGCGATGCCAGAGTCTTCTCTGGCATCTTTCCAAGATGTTGCATCGAAATCCGCGAGGAGTTAGGACAAGTCCCTTCCCACCACCCAGACCCCGAACAGTCTGCCAACGGCGATAAGCCCTCAGCACCGGTGCCGATGCTGAAGATTGGTGATGAGAGCCCAATTTCATCCAGCGAGCCTTTGGTCGACGAAATCTCCAGTTGTCTTCGCGAATGGTACGTCCTACATCTGCCGGATCTGGTTCTCCAACGCCAATATCAACTCCTGGACGAAATGGCCATCATAACCAGCCGCTTGGATTACGCCCGTCGACAACTGCTACATGACGTTCTGACTCTGCGTGAGAGGACTGCTGTTCGAGAGCTTGCTGTATGGGATTTGGTGCGCGGCAATAAGATGCTGAACGGTGAAGTAATTGTTCGTGATAGCAGCCAACATGGCCGACTGCTCACCGCATCTGATTCGGCCATTGAGATGTCCAAATTACAGTCCATTATGGGTGCTCTGAACGAGCCCCCGGTTGAAAAGGTCGAAGCCACGAGTCTCAACCATGTTCTCCTCGAAGTCAAGAATGTGACAGGCTCCGAATTGGATTCCGTGATGCTTAACTTTGCTCTCTATGAAAAGACAGAGGACGATAAATTTTCTGTCTACTCCGAGACCTACAGCGCGCCCGCTTCTTCAAAGTTGAAAACCCTCTTTGCGGATTTCAACGCACGCGATATTGCCTCGGACAACCGCTTGTTTCTTGTCGTCAAGGCTGTGGCCCCAGAACCTCCGAAGCAAGCCCCAAAGCCGTCACTCGACCGTCCGCAGTCGAGGAATGGCACTCTGGGAAGGAAGGAGAGCATTCTAAATCGACGCAGATCGAGCTTGATGTTCGGTTCGAAGCGGAAGGCTACAAACGAGAGACCGCAGGTCGGTCCTAACGGTCGCATCATCCGCGAGAACCAAAACCGTGCCTCAACACCCAGCATCCCAGAAGATGGAGAAGAAGAACAACTCCCGAAACCTACTGGACCACCTATACCTCGCACCCTCGGTGTCGGCATCATGGATGTCGCGTACGTATTGCGCAGCGGCCAAGAAGCCGATGATCTGGAGATGTTGCTCTGGGCATCGTCTAACCGTAGCGAGGAAAATGTGAGCCAATTTGATCCTCTGGTTACACCATTCCTGCGCTGCAACCCGCAAAGGGGAGTCGCCCCATGCAGTCGTATAGAGCGGATCAAAGTGTGTCTTAGGCCTTTGGCAGCCCCGGACGCCGAGACCTTGATAAGAAACAATCCAACGTCAATGTACATGGTCTGCCGGTCCCGCAAGATGGGCTTCTCAGAGGCTCCTTCTCAGAAACGATCGGACATCTACTTGAACTTGTCAAAAGCGAACATCGTTAACGGGGCCCAACTATCACATCCAGAACTGGGGCCAACGCCGATCAAGGCATCGTCTCTTCTAAATCTCCAGTTGACGATGGAAGTCAGAGATTCCACGGGTCGACGGGTTGAGCAGTGTATTCACGTCTCATCGAATAGCGCTGGCGTGACTGCATTCCGCACAAATGCGGCCGAACTTGGGTCAGACTGGGATCAGACCGTTTGCCTTCGAATACCAGCAAATCGGGTTCCAGAATGTCATCTTGTTCTAAGCATTGCTGACGCGCCAGATTTCCCATTTGCGCTGGCGTGGATGCCATTGTGGGACAAGCATGCTTTCATGTCCGATGGGAAGCATCAGCTCATTCTCCACTCGTACGACAAGAGCACTTCAAGCATCGTACGCGGTCGTGGAGCTTATCTATCGTTACCCTGGGACTACAGCAACTATGCTGCCGGCCATGATGGCGTGCGAGCTCAGCTAGCGTCGCTGGAAGTCGGCACGAAACTCTCCAGCACGGAGTATTCTCAAGATCGCCTGCTTGTCAGCTTGATCAATTGGAAGCAAGCGTCGTCCACGCAGTTGATGGACATCCTTCAGAAGCTCGTGTTCATCCCCGAGATTGAGATCGTCAAGCAACTCAACGATGTTCTAAACGCTTTGTTCGCCGTCCTGGTCCACAAATCTGGGGAGTCCAAGTTCGAGGATCTCATCTTCAACGACATTGTCTTTGTACTTGGCATCGTCCACGATCGGCGCTTTAATCTTGGTCCTTTGGTGGAAGAGTACGCCGAGAACCACTTCAAGTCTCCATTTGCGGCATCATGCCTCGTTCGCAGCTTTACTAGACTGCTGCAAAGTGTATCGGATCCGCAGAGCGCGCGTGACATGCGAGCGCTCTTCAAAGTTGGAAAGCAGTTCATGAAGCTCTTGATGGCCTCATACCAGCAACGACGAAATAGCAGACAAACTAAGGACAACGACAAAAAGCATGAAAATTTCAAGGAAGACATGCAAGCTGTTTTGTTCGGCCTGCAGATGATGCTGCGCAGTGAGACTGCTGCCCTTGTGGGAAGCAAGACACTTCTTGTACAGAACTTCCCAGGCTGGATTCCGGAACTGCTTTCGACCTACTCCAAGGACGAAGTCATCAAGATTGCCATTGCGTTGGTAGAGGCGGGCGACGAAGCAGAAGGCAAGCTTGCCCTATACCGCCTGGTAATGATCTTAAATTACACCAAGCTTGAGGGACTCTGGACCGACCCAAAGGACCGCTCTATACTGATCAAGCAATGCCTGCGGTGGCTCAAACCGCACTGGACATTTAATCATCTCACAGTCGATTGGCACGAGCAGGTGCGCCTATGCTGCTCCATCGTGGCCGAGTTGTGCAAGCAGCCAACATCACAGCTCCATGAATTTCTGCCCTCGATCATATCGACCTACTGTTACATCGCGACACAGCCTAGCATCAAGACTCGGACACTTACAATGCTCTTCCCCAATTCATATCCGCTTGCATCGAAACCGTCAGAGACGAACGAGCATTATGATGAGGCATTACTTGAGCTGTCAGCGTTGCTGTCCACTTTGGTGGACAAGGTCAAACCCAGCTCTTTACCCAAGGCCATTCGCAACGAAGGGCTCGATAACTATGTTTTGTCGACTCTGACCGTATTGCGTTCGTTGCTCAATAATGATGCCTACCCAGCCTCGTGGTTGAGTCTGCACACCTATCACCACTCTTCGGCCTTGAACGTGCTTCGGTATCTGGACTCGATTTTAGCGGCGAATTTTGTGCCCACACCTGAGGATGCTGAGAATTTCGACATGCAGCTGTGGAAGATGTATCTTGAGACGCTCCTATGGCTCATCTCGTCGTCTTCGCTGACGCTCGAGTCGTTCCCAGAGCAGAAGCGCAGAGCGGTGTGGAAGATCGCAGGCGACATTCGTCAAGCCGGTGCAGATCTGCTGCGGCAAAGCTGGGAAGGCCTAGGATGGGAGACGTCGGCAGACGATCTCAGACGATACAACATTGAGAAGCTCGGCGGTTATCAGGTCCAGTATGTACCTGGCCTGGTGGCACCCGTTCTTGAGCTGTGCCTGAGCATGCACGAAGGCCTGAGAAAGGTTGCGGTGGAGATTTTGCAGACGATGATCGTCAGTGAGTGGGCGCTGAGTGAAGACTTGGATCTCATCGAGACGGAGCTCATTGGTGCGCTCAATACGGTGCTGAAGGCGAAGAATCCCAACCCCAATGAGGCCATGGCACGGAAGCTATGGGTGGGAGAACTACTTGACTTGTTCTCCACGATTGCCAACCAACCGGATGACGCTTTATGGACTGCGCTGGAAGAATTGGTGGCCACGGTGGACGAGCTCATCGATTTGCTTACCATGACCGATGAGGAGCAGGTGACCAAGTCGCCGGTCAACGAAATTGACCATGAACTCGAGCGGGCACGAAAGAGCATTGACGGAGTCAGCGCATCACGGGAAGGGCGGGAGTACGGAACGCACGCACTGGAATGCTACAAGCAACTCGCAGGAGAATATGAGAGAAGCGGTGATTACAAGAGATTGGCAAAGACGTATCGAGCCATTGCCAGGATACACGAGGCACGAGCGTCGGGGCGAGCAACGAGCGCGATGGGAGGAGCCAACGGGCATCACCTGGAGGAGGAAGATGATGAGGATTAGGGATGACACATGGATAGGACTGGATACCCCCTGTTTGTATGGGAAGAGAGCGACGGATTGGTGTCTGGGCCTCAAACTCGAGGGGAGCTGTCCTGCAGCTCGTAACGAGCTCCTGCTTGATCCTTAGCACAGCTGAAACACACTGCGGCAGCCACTTGGGGGCGGTTTGGCAACAGGCGGCATCAGCGACCGGATTGGCCTGACCAGGCTCCGACGACACCGCCGAGCCGCTTCGTACGTGTTTCCTTTAATTTATTAGCCGCGTCGATTGCGATGTTCTAGAAGAAAGCGAAGGAGCTTTGGTAATTCCAGGAGAACTGGTCGACACTGACCACAATTTCTTGCAAAGAGAGTCAAACCGAGCTGAGGGCACAAATAGACCAGAGCTTCCAGGCAGAGCATTCAAGCGTTGTGGTTGTGAGCTTATTGTGACGGTGACCATGATGAGAAGATAGGCGGTGACTGAGAAGACGTTGATAACTCGAGCACAAAAGAACGAGCAGAGAGCACTGAGATGTAGGCGATCTACTCCGTACGGATATGTCCCCACCACAGCTTCCGCACGGTAAAATTGGCGGCGACGAGCATGGTACTTGCCAAGGCAGCTGCGGCCGGGAGATCGCCGACGAGTCCCTGCAAGCTGCAAGTGCGACTGCTGCGCGACCGCTGCTTCCAGGGCCGCGCTGTACCTCGTCTTCCATCGCTTTTCCAGAACTCCTGATATTCCCTTCCCCCATCCACCAGCCTACTGTTGCTCCCTGACGACTGCTTTTTCACGATTTCTTCTGTTTTTGAGATACCCTAGCCTCTTCACTTAGTCTACGGCACGTAATAATACTTCTGATACCCTCATCCCCCTAATCCGGCTTCCCGACACACCTCTCCGAGTACTTCGACCGCCCGCCGCACAGTCACCCCACAGCGACAACGACACTGTCACATCGACTTTCTTCTCTTTCACGAGTACTTTGGTGCACCTACTAGTGTTCTACACCCGAGTCAAAGCCATTCAGTCGCCCGTCACTTCAGGCGCACCTTCAGAGCAACGTCACAGACTGCCCGTCTCGCTCCTCACCACTCACCGCTCTGCCACCTTCACAAGCCGGACTTGCTCCTCGATGCGCGCTTCTTGCCCCTTATCTACCTAACTAGATGCCTGTACGTGGCATCATCCTCGCGATTCAGCCACAGACAAGCCACCCTCGACCTTCACGACCATCAACTCATGCTCGATTTGCTACAGAGCACCACCAACAGAGCTTTAGGCACTTTGAGCAGCTGCACAATCAATACTAGCCCAGGAAAGATTCCCATCACCCGCATCTGGAAGATCGCTACATAAAGAGAGGACGAGATCAGCAGATCCTGTGTTGACAAAGAAATCTGACGACACCCCCTGTCAGTTCGACCCGCCGCACCGGCTCCTATAGCTCCTGGAATTCTCCTACTCTCCCGCCCTGGGCCAAAGAAAGCCGGTCTTTCAGTGCCACCTACATAATCATCCTAATTCGACCGTCCGAAAGCGACATCGACTGTCTCGGAAAGGAAGGGATTGCGTGCCAAGCTATCATACCGCACGCGTTGCCCTTGCGTTGTTGTGTTTTGCCGCATTCCTGGTCCATGCTTAGAGCAGCCCCTTCCATCGCCAATTCCACCTTGGACACGTCGATATCCTCCTCGCTCCCTGCTATCTCAAAGGTTAGTTCTCTTTATACTTTTTCCTGGCATGTTCTATTGTCATGACCGCGAATAGCTGCCTCGCACAGCGATCTTCAGGTGGATCTTCCCTCACTAGCAACAGCATTAGACTTCTGGAGTCTTGTCCCCCGTCCTGCTCGCTATTTCCTCTTGCTCACACTTCCGCTCTGCCCGGAAAGGTGCTAACCAACAATCATGCAGGACTTCCACAGTCTCGATCCCTGTGGGACAATCGCACCCTGCTGGGTGTCACAAACTGGTACAACGCCTCTCCGCTTCTGCCTGGAGCAGGAGGTATGGAGATTGGCGGTCTTCTCAACGCCCGTCACGCTGCAGCCGCAGATGCCCACATGAGGCAGCAACTACACCAAAATATGGAGTTGGACAGTCAAACCTATGGTCTGAGCCAGTCTCAGTCCCAATTGGGTCACCATCACCAGCCTCAACTTCACGACCATGGGGCCATGTCTTATCACTCGATGCAGCAACAAGCCCACGGTCAATCCCAGATCTACTCGAGCAATTTCGATGCGAGACAGCAGAACCTGAAGGAAGAAGCGCAGCTGGACGATGATTACGCCTCCATCAAGTCCAAAAACGAAGGCGTTTCCAAGACTTTTGCCTGCAGCACTTGTGCAAAGTCCTTTGCCCGCAGAAGCGACCTTTCTAGACATGGTTCGTCCATACACCATGGTCGGCCAAGGGCCAAGCTAATTCATGTTCAGAGCGTATCCATACCAATGACAAGCCGCACGCCTGTGACTACGCGGGCTGCGGGAAACGCTTCATTCAACGTTCAGCATTGACAGTAAGTCGACCTGCTCCATCTTATTCGATGCACCTCCACTCATCCATTTCAGGTACACATGAGGGTCCATACTGGTGAGAAGCCACACGAATGCGAAGTTTGTCACAAGGTGCGTTGTCCAATCGTTGAAAATTTGCCTCTTACTTATCATCGATACAGCAATTCAGCGACTCTAGCTCCCTGGCCCGCCATCGCCGTATTCATTCCGGCCAACGCCCCTATCGATGCCCCCACAGCTCCTGCCAGAAGACATTCACGCGCAAAACGACCCTCACACGTCATCAGAGTGCCCATCGCGATCCTTTAGACCAAACCTCGCTCGATTCAACCAAACTATCGAACACATCAGCCTCGTCTCGTGCTACCACCGAGTCGCCCGGCGAGCGTACAATGTCCGTGTCTCCGGGAGCAGAATTGCCGCCATTGGTCCACATGCAACGATCCGGCTCCGACCATGGCTATCTGCCGCAGCCCTCGTTGCCACCCCACATGCGGAACGACTTCTCTGCGCAATTCTCCCCGCGCTCGACTCCATCAATGAGTGGCCCATCCCTGGCTAGCTTCACCAGCAATCCGCAGAGCAAACCATCTCCGACCTCACACCCGAATGCCTATGGTCCACCTCAACCCCTCGAGCCTCCAGCAAATGGAACTGCCAGTGGTAGCGCCTCTCCCCACATGAACCCGCTCAGCTGGGGCTCACCCAACCATGGCACGCTTCCTAGCCCAAATGCACTCGGGAATTACGATTACCCCGATGCTGGCTTCGGTGGCCCCGCCCTCTACTATCCAGGAGGCAGCATTCGTCGACCACAGAGCACAGAGCCCGAAGACTATGGCATCCGACCGCGCGGCTCCCATGCTCAGGCCCTGGCGCAGGCCCATAACGCCGTTTCCATGCCAATGACCACTGATTGGTCTACCATGCCTGTGGGCATGCATGACATCAAACAAGAGCGGTTTGTGATCTAGTACCGTCACGAACTGGCCGAACTCTTTGTTCCCATCTATACGCCTTTTTAGGCAACCGGAGAAGCGACTCTGCCTCTCCGTCTCGTTTGTGAACTAGACATTACACGAATGCGTCCGCATACTCGGCGAGATTCGATTCTAATTGTACGATAGTGATGACCTACCATTTCTTATTTGAGCTCGCTGGACTGAGCTGGTTTGTGGGACTGCGGAACTACGCAGCGAGTGGGACTTTGGCACGCTGGGCTATGGAGGAGCAAGGTGGCTGCAACAAGGTCCGGCTCAAAGGTGTTCACTGGAAGCGAAATTAAAACCGAACTATTATGTTCTGTACTTTGATACCACCTTCGTTCAAATGCAAGGCGCTGGGGACGGACTGGCTTGCGGTGAGAGCGATGGCTCGCACGGATGAACGGGATGGAGGGAAAGGGTATTGAAGCAGGGGCGCGGGCCAGAGGTCTACCCAACTGCGTGCATCGTTACTGGCGTTCAAATGTACGCGGCTTAGATCCTAGCTTTGACACAACGATGAGACTTTTACGATCTCCATCTACTCCTACTACTTACTTGGTGCTCACGATGTTCACCTTCAACCCACTGATCATCATCGTCTTCTTTCATGCAGGACTTGCCTCGTTCGATCACTTGGATTGAACTTTATAGAACTTACTTGGGCTAGAAAGCCATGTTAGTAAGGTAGTAAGGTAGTAAGGTAGTAAGGTAGGCAAGAAAAGTATGGCTTGTTTTTTTTTTGAATTGCTCTCAATTGGCTCTTAGAAGGGAGAACTCAAGAGAGAAGGGGGAGGGAGGGGGGGAGCAGAAGTATAGCATAGCATTATCATCACGTCGTGGCCATCCGGGCGAGCCAGTGAGCCAGTGAGCCAGTGAGCCAGTGAGCAAGGAAGTATCTCGACAAGTGTCTCGACAAGTAAAGAGTTATGGTTGTGTGTGCGGAAGTCGCCAGCAGCTCTTTTCATCTTTTCTCATCTTTTCGTCTTTTCATCGGACAGCTCATGTCAAGTGTGTGTCCAGCGGAGCAAGGAGAGTGGCGGGCTCAGTGCCTTTGCCTGGGTTGCGTCGTATTGCTACTTTTGTCTGCTTGATCTGCTTCGTTGGCTGGTCATGAATTGAGGTGGGGTGACAAGGGAAGAGGAGGGGGAGGGGGAGGAGGAGGAGAGGAAAGGGAGACAGAAGGGGGGAGGATTGGGTGGACTGGATGATGATGATGGTGGTGGTGAGTGGTGGTGATTTGCAAGGGATGAGGCGGAGAGTATGGTGCTGGTGCAGTGCTCGATCGAGACTTGCTAATTGAGGACGATGGGTTTAATGGACCATGGTAATATGGTCTTGACGGTATCGGGATCGTGGCCGGGATCCTCACAGCGCACGACAACGCGTGAGGGACTTGCGAGTGCACAAGGCTGGGCTAAGTGGGATTTGAGCGATGTTACGTGAGGCAAGGTAGAGTCTAAAGTTTTGATTTTCATTTCCGCAATGAAAGGGCGAACTGCCATTTCTGTCTCTTCCGGGCAACACTTTCCAGTGCCGTCCAGAAGGGACAGTGACCGCCCCGGTGTTGTCTATGGTTCGTAGAGTGGCCGGTCTGTAATAGTGATGGAAAGCAGGGGGTCAGAGGTCGGATATCGAAGGTGTAAGGCGTTTGGCGACGAAGGTCCGGCTTGATGAATCAGGTCCAGTGAGAGAACAGCACTCTCTGATTGCGACTAGACATGAACCGTTGTCGGACTTCGTACGCGTGGGTGTAGCTGAACGGGCGCATTGCTGGTCGAGACGATTACGATTCGGCGTAGAAGGAGTCCATGAGCTTCTTAACGGTAGCGTGCTGCTTTGTAGCTTCTGCCACACTCTCGTTGATCAGCCGCAAGCAGGCCTCATTGTCTTTAATGTCTGTCTCGCCTGTGGCGTCTTTGTTGTGGCCATAGTGTTGAATCTTCTCGCATTCGTCGCGCACTTTGTTGAAGCCGAGGGTGGCGGAAGAGCCCTTGAGGAAGTGCCCAAGTGATGAGAGCTTTTCTAGGTCCTTGTTTTGGCTATGTCAGGTCAGCAAGGGATGAAACAGGAGCACTTCCTTGTGAATGGATTGGGACAGACAGCCAGTGGGACAGCAAAAGAAGGCTGGGACAGAACATACATCTCCTTCTCCATCTGATCAAATGTCTCCTTGGCTTGGTCAAAGAAGCCAAAGACTATGGACTTGGAGAAGTCTCTATCGCCTTCTTCGTCCATTTCGAGGATCTGGGCAAAGGTGGGCACGTCGACATTGTCGCCGAAATCAAAGTTGTCGAGCTGGAAGAAGCCGGATTAGCTGCTATATTCGGACGGCCACAAGCTCATGGCGGACAGCGCATGGTTTGATCATGACTGTAGAAAGCACGAACCTGATCAGCCATGATATGGTAGTGTCGCGTATGTTGTTGTGGTAAGCTTCGCACTCGTCGCAGCTAAGAGCAAAGGGTTTCCGGTAGGCGGGCGCTTATGGCCAGCGAGACGAGCAGCAGGAACAGCCTCCTCTGTATCCGGACGAAGAGAGGGGTGTTGATGTCCTGCGCTCTACCGAGGAGAGAATCCTAATCTGTTGGCGGCGGTAGTCAGCGTCTGTCCCATGGCAAGTGCACAGCGGCAATCAATGTGTGTGTGTGTGTGTGTGGCGTACCAGCAGTAACGTATTTACTTGCGCAGGGGCTGGCAAAGTCAACGAATACAGTGAGTAGACGCAGGACAAGGTGCAGAGAGATGCGGCGGGGTGATGAGAATGGGTGTGGAGGTGTGGTGGGTGGGATGTCTTGGTCTTGGGTCTTTTGTGCGGACGACAAGACAGGATCAGCGCAGGCAACGTAAGGCTGGCTATTCACAGGTAGAGAGCAAAGGGCGACAGGCAAAGCTACGTTGAGATTGAAACAATGCCCAACACAGCAGCGAGGTCGCATAATAGATGGCTCTCGGGGAGGATGATCCAGATGCAGGGACCGGGTTTGAGGCTAAAAAGTGCTGGGGCTATGATGGCATTGCAGTGGTTCGAGGGACGGAACGGGGAAGGGACAAGAGTGCAGATCACTTCTGACATACCGAGAGCTGTAGCTGTGAGACGGGAGGAACGGCAGAGAAATTGGAAGCAGAGCTCAGGCTTGGAATCCGGACGTAGGTCGATGGCGGGCGAGGCGAGTGCGGTGCGGTGCGGACAAGCCTCGCGATCCCAAAGTTTTCGGCCTTGATCGGCGGCGGGGACCGGGTGACAGGGGTGTGGTAAGAGGAGAAAGAGACAGACGACAGGACGGATACCGGCGTGATAGAAAGTGACAACAGCGGTGAGCTTGCAGGAACCGGCAGTAACCAGCAGTGCGAAACAAGGAGCTGAAGGAGAAAAGGATCCAAACACGCGAGTCGGACGAGGGCGAGGGAAAGGATCGAGGAGGACTGGTGGTAGACGATAAGACCCTCGAGCTTTTCTCGTTTTTCCCTTTGAGCAGCAGACTGAACCTTGACCACAAGACCTTGACTACCAAGCCCTGTGCTTCTTGTCTCGCGCCTGCTTTAGGATGCTTCGCTCCCCGCACTGCTGCCATTGTTCAATCCCACTCACGACCCAAAAGCGTGGTAACCGTGATGTTGCCATAAGCTTACTGCTCGCCACTGTCCTTCGTCATCTACCGTGTCAGATATTGGACAGAGCAGCACTACTGTGTACGTCGTTGACCAGCTCTTTGGACTACAAGACCCCTTCCCAGCGCGACTGAAAACGATTTGCAATCATCATAACCGAGGATCCGGGAAGGGTACTAGTTACTACGACCATGTCCCCATTATTCCTCTTTCTTCGTACTCCCACCCCTCCCTCGTCTCATTTACTTCTGCTCGATTCCACAGTACCCACGCCCGTCGTGCGGCAGATCGACACTCACTAGCACCAGCCAGGACTGGGATCAAGCTGCAGCGATCGCAGCTCCCACCCGCACGCGCCCAGCGACACCGCGCGAATCGGGGCCTGCCCCTGGCCCGGGCTACTAGCGCTGCAACAAAGGGGAGGAGGGGGTGGGCAGAGGGGACAATGCTCGTAAAATAATCATCAGAAGCCAAAAAGACGTGACGCCGCTTGTTGGAGGCCGCAAGGGAATTCGTGGTCATGGACTCGTCGTGTGGGAGGGATGCGAGGTGCGGTCGAAGTTCCGGACCCTTTGCGCTGCTCGCTCGTAGAAAATGCTCCCACCCCCCTGTCGGGTTTTCGCTTTTTTCAGGTTCGCTTTTTCGCCTTTGGCCTGCAAAGTGACGTAGCATGAGGTCACCGCTGCAGGCGGGAACTGAAACTTCACCTCAACGTCCTCTGTAATCAGTGGCCCTTTGATTTTCAAGTAAAAGCATCAAAACTTGGGCGTTCTGGACGAAACTTCCTCTTGGAGGCCGTCTCGCTCGGGTGGCCCGTGGGCAGGTCTTATGCAAGGGAAAAAAACAACAACCGTGGACTGCAAGCCCATGCTGGGACCAGGAACCTGCAGGCCTGGCGGCGCCGACCCCAAGAAAGCGCACTGCCGGGGGCCGGCCACTGGCCACTGGCCACTGAAAGCTTTGCCTGCGCCATGACGCACCAAAACGTGGTTCAGCATGCCACTTGGCCTGACTCGTGTAGCCGGGCCCCTGCTCTGGTTGCTCTGCGATTCTCTCCGTGTGGTCCGCTGCGCCCTTGACCACTCCACTGCATGGTCCTAAGGCACTAGTCACAAGAGCAGTCTTCGCTTTTCACTCCATCGCCCCGCCCCCCGTCATGACGAGCGACAAAAGAAAAGAAAGCACAAGGAGAGAAAGAAGACCCCCACCCGTTTTGAGTAGTCGAAGTGCCTTGCAGCCTCGCTGGCTTCTCACGCTAGCTCGGATGGCTGTTGGATGAAGGGCTTCAATCGTTTGCAACTGGCTCTAGGGACTTTTTTGGTCTTTCGCTCGCTTCAACCCAAGTCTAGTAACACATGAGCCGGCTGCGTCTTTCCTGCCGGTCAGCTGCATGAATCCGCCAGTCCCTACCCAAAAAGCCCCCCGTCAGATAGCCAACGCCATGTGTGCTTACTGGACCACCCGCATATGCAAACAATGTCGGAGCAATCCCACTTGCCGCGGGTCACGCGCTAGCCTGTAGTCTTGTAAATCGACTCGGCAAGCCGCTTGACATTGGCGCTTGTGATGCCGGCCACCGAGATGCGGCCATCCTTGGTTGCATACACCGAGTGCTCCTTGGCCAACACCTCCATCTGCTCCGGCTTCAGGCCAGTGTAAGCGAACATGCCGATCTGGAACTGGTTAGAATCTGTGGACTGCTACCCTCGACCTGCCGTGCACTTACCTGGTTCGTAATGTGGTCCCAGTTCTGCTTGCTGCCAAGCTTCTGCAGGTTCTCCTTGAGCAGAGCTCTCATCTTGATAATGCGGTCCGCCATGCCCTTGACCTCGCCGAGCCACTGCTTGTTGAGCGAGGGGTCGTTGAGGATCTCGGACGCGATGCGCGCACCGTGCACCGGAGGGTTCGAGTACAGAGGACGAACCAGAATCTTGATCTGGGAATCGAGACGTTTCTTCTCTTCGGCGGATTCGCACACGACGGAGAAGGCGCCGACACGCTCACCGTAGAGACCCATGTTCTTGGCAAACGACTGCGCAAGAACCATCTGGTGGCCTTCCTCGATGAACAGACGGATAGGGTATGCATCCTTGTCGGTGTCACCGGAAGCGAATCCCTGGTAGGCCATGTCGAAGAAGGGGAAGTGACCCTTCTCTTTGACGACCTGCGAGATCTGCTTCCACTGCTCGGGGGTAGGGTCGATGCCGGTAGGGTTGTGGGCGCAGGCGTGCAGGAGCACGATGCTGTTCTCTGGAGCAGCCTTGAGGTCGGCCACCATGCCGTCAAAATCAAGACCGATGGTGTCCTTGTTGTAGTATTTGTACTGCTTAACGTCAAGACCCGAGTCGGTGAAGACAGCCTTGTGGTTGGCCCAGCTGGGAGTGGGAATGTAGATGGCCTTGCCGTGAGGATAGAAGCGCTCGAGGAAGGCTCCACCTATTCTCAAAGCACCAGTGCCGGAGATAGATTGGGTGATGGCAATGCGGTCCTCCTTGATAGCAGCCGAGTCTGGCCCGTAAGCTAGCAGAGCAGCCGCCTTGGTGAAGGAAGGCACACCGGTGATGCCTGGAATGAATCAGTATAGTACATAGCCACAGCTGGCTTGTACCTACCGGCATACTCCTTATCAAGCGCCTTTCCAACGACCTTCTGCTCAGCCTCGCGAACAGAGGGAAGAACGTAAGGCTTGCCCTGGTCATCACCTATTACCCGCGATCAGTTGATCATCATCTGATGCTTGTTGCTGGGCTCTTACGGTAAGCACCCACGCCGAGATTGATCTTTTCGGAGAAGCTATCCTTCTTGAAGGCTTCAGTGATACCGAGGATGGCATCAGGAGGGCCCTCCTTGACGTTGGCGAAGGTCGAGGCTCGCGCAATCAGGGTGACAGGACCGGCGGAGCTCTGCTTCGCGGCAGCACGGACGGCAGAGCCGCGGAGAGTGGAAAGCATGATAGAGGAAAGCTTAAAGAACTTCTAAAGAGTCCAAAAGTGATAGTGAGAACCGTGGAGATGAAAGAATGTGATGGACTGGTCAAGCTGTCTCCCCAAAAAGAAATGTTGCAGCTTCACAACTTCAGGGTTCAAGCGCAGGCTGTCGGAGCACATCACTCCTCAGACCGGCATCGGCCGACTGGTAGCGTACCTTGGCAGGGAAACATGGAGAGAGCTTCACAAACGGGGGAATTAGCCGGTGGTCCGGAGACCCCAGAGCTCCCCAAACTTCGAAGCAATTTTTACAAACTCATGAGTTCCCCAGGTTCGGAAGCACGATAGTGTGTTCTTGGAGTGCTAAGCTTGTGTAGCAGTGCTTCGATGACCCTGGGTCAGGAGATCGTCGTGACTCAAAGGCTCGACAGAACTAATGCGACGGCTTCTAAGACTCACAGCAGTTCACACCTAGGACCCTCTGCTGTGAGCTCAGGGGAGCCTTCCGCCAATTCTATTACCTCCTGTGCAGGGTGTAGCGATCTTATCCTCGCGCCTATCAACAGGGCAGCAATGAAAGAAGTGGCCTTATTACGACATGACAAAGGCATCCCCAACGCCTCTGTTCGAAGGCTCACCATGGGAACCAACTTGCAAAGATAATGGCACATACTAATCTGCAGTTTCATTTAGGCTATGGCTAGTCTACCGTTCAGTGCTTGCTTAGAGGCCTTATTTGATGGCCCTTGCTCGCCCTCGGTGGCTGTGTTCCAACAGTCCTGTGGCATAAACATACTGTGTGCCAACTCCGCCTCTGCCAATCAATTTCCCAAACACCTTGCTGTAATCAGAGTCGTTCCGGTACCTTTGACGTGATCTCGTTGCCGTAATACACCGTGGCCGTCGATGTCTTTCTCTAGACAGCTGCGGTTGCAGCCTTCTGAGCAGTCAATCTGGCCTTTTGCTTCTCAGCCCATTCGCGGCTGGCTTGTCTACCTCTTTCTGCAGCCTCAGCGCGTGCCTTCCGAGCAGCCTCCTCCTTCTCCCGCTTGTCCTCTTCCTGCTTCTTCAGATCAAGCTTTGCACGAGAGAACACTTCCTTGCCATTGACCTTCTTAACCACTGTTGGCACAGCTGGTTCTTCCTTAGGTGGAGCAGGCTTGGATGTCAGCGAGGCCACTCTAGGGACGTTCGCGGCAAATTTCGGCTCCCGAGAACCACCGCTCGAAGCTTTGGAAGTGACGCTAGCGCTCCGCCGGATCGCCGAGTTGGCTTCGGACCTCACTTTCTTGATGTCAAGGTGCATGGACGATGGTCTCTTAGTTGTTCCTCCACTCAGAGGCTCAATGTTCTCCTTGTTGCCACCACTAATGACTCGGCTTAGGCGTGCCTGGCTAGCTTTGTTTTCGCGAGGAACAACGCTGGGCCGACCAGTCATGGAAGGAGCTGGGCGTGCTTTGAATTGCTTTTTCGCCTGCTCCTCTTCTGCCTGTTTGAGCTTCTCTTCGCGTTGTGCCTTCATTTTGGCTGCATAGACCTCGCCGGGAAGGCTGAACGTGGACTTGGTCGTTGGTTTGGTCGACTTTGCCGGTACGAAGCCAGGTCTGCTGGTTGATAGCGAATCACTAGTCACTCTCTGTTTCGGTGCGTTTGGCTGAGGCTTTATTGGTGAGTTTGAGAACGACATGGTGGCCTTTGGCATCTCTGAGGTGCTGCTAGCAGCTGCCGAGACGAGCTTATGGTGAGGCTTGACGATGGGCTGCTTCGCGACTGGCGCCTTGACAGCAGCCTTAATGGTGGTCGCTGGGCGCGAAGTGGTCCCAGTTTGCGCGGCCCTGACTGGCGCAGCTTTCGGCTTCGACAATGCGGTCTTTTGTGGGCCAGTCTTCCTCGACGGCGACTTGCTAGGAGTCTTACGCAACGGGCTGGGCGCTTTCTTTGAGCTGGTCGGGTTTATGGCTGCCTTGCTTGTAGTGGGAGGAAGAGACTTCACAGGTGTGCTGATGTGTTCCTTCATAGGTGATTCGATGCGCAGGTTGTTGAGAAGGGGTAGTTCGCCAGAGAATTGTTCAATGGCATCTTCAAGAGCGTCCATAGCTTCAACCGAGTCTTCGATGCGCGAAGCTGGTCTTGGAGATCGGGAATGTATTTTCTCTACGAAAGAGTCTTCTTCATGATCGAAGGATGCCGCGCTGAGCTTGCCGGGCGACCTGCTCTTGATTGAGTCAACGAAGGAGTCGTGCTCAGCGTGCATAGTGGCAGGTACAGGTTCATAGACTTCAGAGACGAATTTCGGCGGTTTAGTACTCGCGGAGTCTTGACCAGATGGCTGGATCAAAGGTTCGGTAATCTCGGGGGTCTGCATTTCTTCTAGAACGGGATCTAGGCCTGTTTCTGAAACGGATGGTACCACGGGGTCAGTTGTTTCAGATTCTGCAGCCTGCGCCGTATCTTGTTCTCCTGGAAATGTGACAGTCTCACCGACGGTCTCGGAGGTGGGTGCGACGGTAGATTGAGTCGTAGAGGTGGTCTGTTCCTGGAAGACCGGCTCATCTGCAGTGTCTTTCTTTCCCTTGCCCTTGTTTCGGCTGCGATCCTTCTTCATAGTGGTAGATGTCTCTTCGGTCACTTGCTCTGGTGCGACGATGTTCTCTTCGGTGATGTCTTTGAGCGCAGGGCGAGGAATGTCGTCTTGGTCGACTGCGAGCTCTTGATTTGCCTCTGCGTCTTCGTGGATAACGAGACTTTCATGTGAAGCTTGCGCTCGAAGAGCGGCTCTGGTTAGGCGCATGTTGATTTTCGCAGAAAGGGGTCGTAGACAGATAGATATGTTTCGTTGATGTGGAATGCTCAAGGGGAAGAGGAGACAGGTGTGGAAGGGATGAAGGTCTAGATGCGCGGGCACGCTGTGTTGACGCGTCTGTTACTCGGGCAACTCGGCGAGGCAATCGCGCCAAGCATCATGACAGCAGCAAGTGGAGCCCCGTGAGGCAGCACGTCAGTCTACCACTGCACTCGCCTGTGTACTGTACAGGCAGGCCTATTCATCGAACACTACCCTAAACCGTCGTGTGAAGTGACTTCGCTTGAGATAGATGAATGAGTTGCCACGGCCGTCATGTCTCGACCGAGGGCGGATACTGCCCCAAAAGAACCCCATTCGGTATCACTAAAAGGTAAGCCCGGTCTAAAAGGCCGACGATAGCTTTTTACAGACGCCCTGACCTGTCTCGTAGTTCTGAGGTATTGAACCAACATCGTACCTGACCGAGATGTACCACTGATCCGCCACAGACTGTCTCGACCTACGCTCGCCTTCCAGCATCCACTCCCCGCAGAGACGACTCAATCATTTCCCATCTCGCCTACGGCCTCTCTCGCCTATCCATCTAAGGAACAGCCCGACCAGACATTCATCCTCAGCCACAACCTGTCTCTACCGCCTTCATTCGGCTCTGCTTACGTGGGCGAAACTTTTTCATGCTCCCTGTGCGCCAATAATGAATTGCCGTCAGATCCCAACTCCGGCAAATCCGTGTCCAACATCAAGATTCTGGCTGAGATGCAGACACCCTCCTCGTCCATCCCATTAACGCTCAGCACACCTCCTACCAGCCAGCCAACATCACCTCACCTTCCTGGCTCCACCCTACAGCACATCATCACCTTCCCCTTGAAAGAGGAAGGCACTCATGTCCTTGCCGCGTCAGTTTCCTATACAGAAACGACCCTCACGCCCGCCCCAGACCCAAGCGTTGCACCCATTCCTACTTCGTCTCGTGCCCGATCCTTCCGCAAACTCTACCAGTTCCCTACCGTCCCGTGCCTCAGCGTCCGCACAAAGGCAACTGAGCTTCCCAGCATCAGCGTGCCTGATAAGACCGGCGGACCCTATGGCCGCATGCCGCTACTGCGGTACACGCTGGAGGCCCAGCTGGAGAATGTGAGCGATGCCTCGATCGTGCTCGAGGAAGCGGCGTTGCATGCCAAAGCGCCTTTCAAAGCGGAGGGCCTGAATTGGGACTTTGAGGCTTCACCATCATCGGAGTCGTCAAGTCCGGCCTCAGGCTCCGAGAGTGGTTCAGGCGACGAGGAAAAGCCGGAAGTCGAAAAGCCGATACTGGCGCCGAGAGACGTGCATCAATTGTCCTATCTGCTGACGCAGCAACAGCATGTGGCAGAGGGAACGGAAGAATTGAAGATGATGTTGAAACGGGATGGGAGGGCAGTACTGGGCCAGTTGAGCATCAGCTGGAGAGGCGTCATGGGTGAGAAGGGGACTTTGACGACAGGGAATCTCTTGTCGCGGCGGAGGCCGTAGAAGACGACTCCACTGAGACAGACAGCCCTCATCAGGACGGAACCGAAAGTCGTCTGGCTAGGCTGGCCCGTGCTCTGCGATGAAAGCTCTCTCGGCGAGATTTACCTGTGCATATAAATGTTCGTTTTACCGGAGACTGGAGACTGCATATTATGTACAAGGATAACAAACATCAAAGCGCACCTGGCCAGTGCTAAGAGACACATAGCTAGATTGCTGCAATGTGCCTCCGAAAACGCCACGAATGAAATCCAGATTCCAAAACGCCCAATACTCCTGACTTTTTGATCAAAACGCCGTGTCTGTGTCTGTGCCGCCCCTCCCCCTGCGCAAGATGCATCGCAGCTTCCTCCTCCTTGCTCATCTACTAAACTGTTGCCAAAATGCATTCCCAAATCCATCATCGCCGCGAAGAGTGCGCCGCCAGACGACCTCCCTCATGCATTGCTGTGAGGCTCGCGATATTTGCTCGCGCTTCCATCCGTCACATCAGTCCTTTGGACTATGCATGCCCAAGCCATTCAACCCCCTCGCCAACCCGGGACTCTGAGGCGTACGCAACCGTTCCACCACACCCGTGGACCGCTGCCCCTCGTCATCAGCCGCGCGCCCGAGCATTCCCCCACTCCTCGGACTCTTGGGGCTCCCCACGCTGCCCTCGGTCGGCATTCTCTCGTGCCTGGAGGGCCCGGACCTGCCCCACGTCGTCCCGCCAGCACCACCTCCACTACCACTGCCCTCCTGCCAGGCCTCCTTCCAATTGCCATTCAGCTTCGGCAGGCTGGGCACCCTGCTCGCGCCCTTCCTGCCGCCACCAACGGCCTCCTTCTCACCAGTCCTGAACAGACCTTCCTCGAGATTCGCGGGCACGCGGCTCGTGATCTGCCGATACTCGCGGCCCTTGGCGGCCGCAGGCGGGATATCGGGCCTCTCGCTGCTGGCACCCGGCGCAGCGACGGGTCGCCACTGATGGTTGCTCGTGTCGTTGAGGACATCCGCGCCGGGCGCCGTGGCCGAGGCACCGGAGCCGCTGGTGCTGCGACTGCCGAACACGCCGCGACCGCTGCTACCCGATGGCCCACTACTGCCTAGATTCGGCATGCTGGGGTGCCGCATGCCCATGCTTCCCATGCCCCAGCGCGCCTTGCCGCCCCTCCGGGCTTTGGCCAGGATGATGGCGTCGAACAACTGCACGCGCGCCCTCTCCTCGTCGCTCAGGCTCTTGGGATTGCGTTCTCGCTCGCCCACCCATTCGACCCACGCCATCGTCTGGCTCCAGCCCTCGACAAACGCGCCGTGATCGCGCTCCAACCCCTTGACGAAGCCCTTGAGGTCGAACTCGTACAGAGAAGGATCCGGCTCGGTCCCCTTCCTCCTCCCAGTCGTACCAGCACTCTTCCCGGGCGCCACAGGCAGCAAGTGCCGCCGATATGTATATACCAGGGCGGCGAAACAGCGCACGAACGCGGCGCGGACCTGGTCGGGGTAGAACGCCGCGGGACACACGACGCTGATCTGGCCGGCACAAGCGCCGTGCACCACGAACCCGCAGCCCGTGCAGCGGAAGTATCCGTCCTGCGCCTTCTCGTCGCAGAGCACGCAGGTCGACGGGCCCTCGTGCGCACGGTACGCCAGCTGGTGGCCTTCGACCCACTGCGCAGTGGCCGAATTCTGCGCCGGCTGCACGTGCATGCCGGGCATGATGGTGCTGGCGGCGAGCGTGGATTGGGCGTAGGTGCTGGGCGCGTAGGTGCTGGGCTGAGCATACGGGCGGGAAAAATCGTTGGGCGTGATGGAGGCGGTGCTGGGCGAGGAGCCGTGCTTGGAAACGGGGGAGTTGTTGAAGGGGAGAGAGGCTTTCCGCCGCATGTTGGGCAGGTGCGTGCTGAGCCCCGAGATGGAAGGGTTGCGCTTCGAGTAGCTGTCGAAGTGACCCGAGCGCTTCTCGCGTAGTGATGTCTGCAGAGCGTAGCCGGAGTCGTTGCGGGAGACGGGTGTGAGAGGCGGAGGTGGGAAATTGCTGTTGACGGGGGAAGAAGAATCGGGCTGGCTGGGTTGCCGAGCGGTGGATGAGGTTCCTGGTCGGTCGAAGCTTTTGCCTCGAGTGGGCCCGTTGGCGAGGAAGGCGTTGAGGATGGGGGCGCGGCGGATGGTGTCAGTGGCGGCTTGAGGGCCGAACATGGTGGAGCTGAGGCTGACGAGTTTTGCGAGGTTGGTAGACTGTGCGATTGCAGTGAAGACAGAGGGCTGGTCGGCGGCGAAGGAATTGTAAGGGTACGTTTCCACTGCATAGGCCGGGGGCCCAGGAGGGACGCCAAAGCTGTGATGGTGCGGTGCTGCGAGGTGGAGGAGCGACATCAGCTTTCGCCGGATTTGTTTCGGCAGGGCTGGAGGATGTGCAGTGCTCTGCAGCTCGTTCTTGTCGAGATCCACCAGCACGAAGTCATCCTCGGGTAGGTCCCATTTCTCGTAGCTTCTGTCGATACCGCAGATGTATGGACAAGGGGCTTCCAAAGCCTGTACTAGGCGATTCGGTAGCACGGGGATGTAGACGCCAGCCCACTTGAAAGGCCAGATCAGTTCGAGGATGGCCCTGCTGACCAACTGCAGCATGGCGGTATGGGATGAGAGTAGGATAATCCTCGACTCGGCCAAGACGTATTCCAGCAATACGATGATGTTAGGGATTGTCAGAGCTCGAAAGAGCGGATATAGATCGGTGGTGCGTGCCCCGGGAAGCTCGTTGGTAGCCTCCTTTTTTGCGTAGAGATGCAGCTCTCTGATGGCGACGTCAATCTGGGTCTTTGACGAAGACGGGCTGGGAGCGTCACAGCACAGCACGTGGACGTAGCGTTCCAACGGCTGCCACATACCCACTCGAGGCGAGCTTGCGGGTACGCGCAATATGGTGCCGTCATGCATTGGGACAGCGATGGCACGAAGCCACTGTCTCCAGAAGGGGCTCATGGCTGGATCTCTGCCGAGTATCCCGAATGCCCTGGGAATCCACAGTCCAGAATCGCCGTCTGTCAAGCCATCAATCCTGTTAGCTGCGCCATGCCTCAGAGGTTTCAGCATATCTGCCATTACTGCTATTCGCTCCTCTACAACACTGATCTCTTCTTCCAGTTCTTCTCGGTCGTCACCAGTTGTCGAGGGCAACTGCGCGAGCAGCCGGGACAATTTCGCGCGCTCGGCAGCCAATCGCTCAGCAAGAGAGGAGGCCATTTCTCTTTCAGCGTCGGTCATATTGGCCCGTCGCCACTCCTCACATCGCTTCTCCAGCTCGTCGGCAGTGTTTTGCTTCAGCGGAATGTAGACTATGACACAAATTGCCGGTATTTTCGAATTGTCTCCAGCGGTCATACAGAATTCGTGCCATGTTGAAGGGGGCCGAGAGTCGGACGATACAATGTTGATGTCATTGGGAAAGGCGAACATAGGTAGATACTCGGGCAGTTTGTTGCGTTTGGACATTTCTTCAGTCATGCTGGATCGTGGATATTTGTCGAGCAGGACGGGTTCGAACTTGCGTTGGAGAGGATGCTGGGCTGGCGAAGAGCGAAGAGCTTCGGGGTTTGGTACGACAGAGTTGTAGCTGCTGACTCGTCTTGATGTCCGCGTTGAGGTACGGTGAGCCATTGAAGGCTGCCGTTTGGTGCTCGACATTTCCTTGAAAGACAAATGCCGCCTGACACTTCCAAAATGACGGCTGGGGCCATTTGGCATCGGTTCGAGATCCTGAGGAACGATCTTCTGAGTTCGCGGCTTTGTACGGGAGGCTCGTGATCTAGTCTTGCTGCCATCTGCGAAGTTGAGGTCGAGAAAAAATGATTCTCGATCCATAGTGAACTTCTGCATGGCGTTTTCAAAGTCGCGGTCGCTAATGGCAGTGGACTCGCGGTTGCCATTGGTAGCTGGAGTAGGGGACGCCTTGATGGTCGCACTGCTCCGGTTGCTTCGCAAGCCAGATCCATTCTCTAGGGCCAAGATGGAATCTCTAGCCTCTCCGGACAAGTCTGAAAGTCGCTGGTAGGAATCTTTCCTGGTGTGCTTTTTGGTGCTTGGCGACACCAAGGCAGTTGGGGCGGCAGCGGCTTGTTCAGCATCAACGTCCTCCTGGATGGTTTGGTCGGCAGTATTGTCGCTGCCATTGGTGAAGGATTCGTGCTCATCATACGACCAGCGGACTGGCTTGTAGGCATCTAGAAGTTGCTGGCTATCAACGCCGGCAATCCAGAAATAATCAGCCAGGGGCAGGGATGAGGCATCCTGAGGTCGCGACTTCTCAGGTCGAGCCATGATCCAGGTGGCGAAATGGCTTGATCAAGATGTGTGGAAATGCGTCGCAAATGAGATGCAATGGACGGACGTTAGGGGTGCATAATGTCGCTATTTGAAGATATAGGCAGATACAAGGCGCCTTTGGGGTGTGAGTGTTGGACTGGCGTAGCGCTGGAATCTGCCAGATCAAACGCACTGACCGGCGTCAATATTGTTCACAGGGCAAACAACAATCGAGGTCTCGATGGCAGTTCGTGTCGCCCCTTGGCGACAAGAAGATAGACCTCGCACAGTCCTCTTCAGGAGTCTCGTCGGTAACTCGGGACCAAGGTGCCGGATTGGCGTTGATTTTCCCAACCAGAAAAACCGTCGACCAGCGTTGGTAGATGGCAAAAAGTCAGAAATTGGGGGTCTTGCTGCTGTCTACACTGTACAAGATGCAAGTGATGCGAAGTGGGTTGTTGCAGATGACTGGCGATAAGCTCGATCGAACGTCGAAGACTTCTGCATGGGTGTCCGACACGTCGTCGAAGGCTATCTCAAAAGGCTGTCTAAGTTCGTATGCTTGGATACAGGGGTCAAGCATTGATGGTGGTAATTGGTGGGGACGAGATCGCCTGAGCTAGCTGTAGTGGGGAGCAGCTTTTTGATCAAACACCACCGTCTCGCTCTCACTGGACTTCTGGGAACTCCTGGAAAAATTCATGGTGTGCAGAGTACGGCCCAAAAGGAGGTGGGATGCATGAAAAGGCACATAATCACCGCCATTGGCGACAATTGAGCTGCTCGTGCCCTGCATCGCTATCATCCCCGCGCCACAAAGGGGTGAAAAGGCGCTCCCCCTCGAGACTTTACTATAGCTTAGACTCATGCACCCAAGTCTTTGTGGTCAATCAATTTACGCTTCTGGACCACGAACCTCGCGTCGGGTTTCGTGTTGAGTGCATCGCCTTTCTTCCTCCCTGTTGGTTCTTTGCTAGTCTGACACTATCAATGCCGCCGTCGGCCTGCATCCTGGCCCGCGAGGCAGCGTGGCCACACTCATTTGAGTTGAAGATACCCCTGACTCAGACGCTCTGCTCGCCAACCTCAATGCTAGCCCTGCATAAATAAAAATGTTCCACAGCATGGGGCGACCCTGAACCCCCGGGTATCGGGGCCAATAGCATGCTCGGGGCCGCTCGAGCCGGTATGCTGTGCGAGTTTCGGGTCTTTTTTATTTCAGGCCCCATTCCCTCCATCGCCTTTCTCAAGTGGCCGACCGATGATATGGGGTAGACAAGCATTCCCAGTCAGGTGGAAACAGCGCTGATGGCTTGCCTGATGACTTGCATGCAAGTATGCCATCAGAGGTTCAACATCACACCACGGCAACCCACTTCGGCTTGACCAAGGTGCCGTGGTGTCAGCATCAATATGTATAACTACTGTTCGCAGCCATTAGATAGCCATCTTCTTCTTCGTCCTACTAGACAGTATCAAGCGAGCCCCAACCAACTTGAAAGCATCACCAACACCATACAAAATGACATCGCAGCTTGGCCTCCACCCATCCTTCGCGGTCATCCCTCTAGTATCGCAATCACTTACCGTCTTTTTCGCAGGCGTTGAAACGACGATCTTCATATCATTTCTTAGAGCCGCTGAGACCGACCACGCTGCGGTGCAGCGCACTGCACGATTGTGGTGGAAGCAATGGTTGCCCTGGGGCCTTAGCACTATATTTGCTGTCACCCTTCCTGGCATCTGTGCAGGAGTGTACGCTGCTCGGCAACTGCCATCCGACTCTCTGGAATGGAAGTTGTACGCCGCCGGCGCAGCGTTTGGCAGTGGCCATTTTCTGGCCGGTCCAACCATATCCAAAGTCATCGACAAGATCTGTGATGAGGAGGTGGAGAAGAGTTCCGAGACCATGAAGTACATCAAGCGGTGGCTGCAGGTTCATACCGTCCGTACCCTGGCCGCCGACATACCGGCGTTGTTCTGTTTTGCCTACTTGGTGTTCGGAAAGTAGGTTGTCTCATTTCTTCTCGAAGCTCGTTGGCGCGATGACGAGGACCACAACCAAGCTGGCAATGATCAGAGACGCCGCCACAAAGGCAACAACGAAGATGCTGCCTCGGCTGGCTGGAAATTTGCCGCGAATGATCCAGTGCTGGGATTCGAAATAACGATGGAATCCAATGAACAAGATCAAGATCGAAATGCCTAAGAAGGTTGCTCCCAGAGGTTTGCCGACGTGCCGTAGTCTCGCTGCTGCTCCCTCGTCAAATGCGTTGGAACCCACCGAGGCGGTCAGCGCTATCTGCGATACAGGGCTGCCGGCGGGTGAAAGCAGTAGGAGCTGATCTAGTAGCGTCGGCCCAAGCTTCTCTAATGCTGGAGTATTTGCGGCGATCAGTTGTTGCAGGAAGGGGACTGATTCGATAGGTACGGATTGTCCGACCATGGGGGAGAAGGGCACTGCAGCGACTGGGTAGCTTTGCTGGCGATTAGCAATCGTGGTGTTCAAACGGAACAGCTGGGTGATGGCGATGCCGATGCTGGCAAAGGCAAGACTAGTGCGTAGCCAGGCCAGAAACGTCCTCTCCAATGCCAGATGGTCTCTTGCAACGGATCCCTTGTTCTCGAGCTCGACCGACCCATACTTCTCTGCTATGCGCTTGTACCACGGAAACTTGTCTTCGATCTCATCCTGGGACGCACCCGAGCCACGTTGGTTGTTCCTGCGGGAGTCTGTAGCACGACCATTACTCGACTCGGTATCGTCGTTCGTGTTATAATTTCGGCCCTGGGAACTGTCGGCAGTTCGAATCGGCGTGACCTCGTCGCTGGAATTTCGTGCTGTCCGAGACATTTGGGATCGAGATGTAGTGTTGGTGTCGTCAGAGAAGCGAATGCTCGATTGTCTTTGAGGCGCGTCACGCGGACAAACAGCCGTCGGACCGGTGGGATTGTTGGAAGAGGAGGGAGATTCGTTGCTGCTTCCCAAGACAGACTCGTGTTGTTCGGCAACGGAAGCCATGATCTCTGGTTCCGAAGTTATGGTTCACCTCAGGCGCTTGTGTGGCCCAGCTATCCAGACCTGATTTGGACTGGCCGAGTCAGTCGTCACGGTCGGGACTTGTGGATGTTAAGCCGTAGTCCATAGCGTCCAGTCAGGTATCGCAGCGGGGGCTGACCGAGCGAACGCGGTTAGAGACCCAGATCAGAGGTATTAGATCATCGACTTGAGTTATTGCGTGCTTGGGAGGAGTTCCTAACTGCGTGCACTTTCGGAGCTTTGCAGGGCAGCGACGTAGCGGTGGAGCTGCTGCGGGCGCAGATGCAGGCAGCAGCGGGGAGGCTATGGGGCGAAGATCATAGCTTGCCACTAACCGCGAACGTCTTTAGCTGCTTGCTAATCGGCGCCCGCCCATCATTGTTGTACCGTTTGACTACAACCCAATACCTCACCATCATGACCGTCGACGCAACTGAGCGACAGCTACAGAGCTTGCTGGCCAAGCCCACAGTAAATGCCAACAAAGACTCCAAAGCTGCTGCTGCCATTCCCAAGCTAATACCGCGCGGGCCGCGGAGGTCATCAACGAGAACTACCGATGTCGAGCCGGCTCCCAGCACTCCTGCGCTCGCTGCACCTTCAGGCAAGAATGGAGAATTCGTACACCCGGCCAAGCGTATCCTCTCTCCAGAGGATCACCGCAAGTTTCTTGAGTCGAAGACATACATCCTGATCCAGGCATGGATTTTCAACCTGGCGGACTGCGTGCAGGGTAAGAGGACTAGATCTTTTGACGGGGCGCCTCTGTCAGAAAACATAAAAAGAATAGACAAGGCTCTCGATGAGCTCGATGCCCTGCAGCAACAGTATCCAGCGTTCGACACAGGATCGAGGTTTGGAAATCCTGCTTTCCGCGATTTCCATCGAGCCGTTGTTCGCAATCTGGACCGATTGCACACACAGGTCCTCCAGATTGAAGATGAGGCGGCTGCAGAAGAACTCTCGGTGTATTTGGCCAGTTCTCTTGGGTCTGAAGAGCGTCTCGACTATGGCTCTGGTCACGAGCTGAATTTTGCCATGTGGCTACTCTGCTTGTACCAGCTGGGCAAAGTCACCAGCGAGGATTTCCCCGCTCTTGTGCTGCATACGTTCTTGCGCTACTTTGAGCTGATGCGGAAGATACAGAGTACCTATTACCTCGAGCCAGCCGGCAGCCATGGTGTATGGGGCCTGGATGACTACCATTTTCTGCCCTTTTTGTTCGGGGCCAGCCAGCTCACTGGACATGCCTATATCACTCCAAAAGCCATCCATAACAATGTGATATTGGACGAAGAAGGTGATGACTATCTCTATCTCAATCAAGTCCGGTGGGTAGACAGTGTCAAGACTGTCAAAGGTCTGCGCTGGCACAGCCCCATGCTGGACGATATATCCGGCGCCAAAAATTGGCAGAAGGTTGAGGATGGTATGAAGAAGATGTTTGTCAAAGAAGTCCTCGGAAAGCTCCCCATCATGCAGCACTTCCTCTTTGGGAGCTTGATTCCAGCTACCAAGGACATGGGGCAGCTGGATCCCGAAGTCCTCAAGGCACAGGCTGAGCGTATGAAGCATGTCAAGGAACAAGGCCATGAGCCTGACTACTGGGGCGACTGCTGCGGCATCAAAGTTCCTAGCACCATCGCAGCAGGCGAGGAGATGAGGAAGCGGATGGGCATGGGCGGAGCCTTACGACCAATACCGTTTGACTGAAGGATCGGAAAAGAACGGCTAGTGGGTTAGCAGCTCGTCTGGCGAGGCGTACCGCAAACGCTGTTGCTATGCATGACCCACATCAAGTATCACAAGATTTATGCTCAACAACACCTAGCAGTCCAATGCAGTTGCTCGCATTCACCGGTCAGGGCAGCCCAAGGCAGTCTTTGGCCCCATAGACCAATCAGATCACAGCATCAATCCTCATCCCACTTACGAAAGCAGTCTTATGGGATGCGTTTGGACAGTGCCAACAACTTGAAAGGACAGATGGTCTGTGCTCTTGTAAACCGAGAAGTACACCCAGTCGTCAGGCAGGTAGGTAAGAGGGGTAGATCAGCCTCGTGCCTGGTTTGTTGTGGGCAATAGTCTGGTTCAGACCACTGCCCCTCCATACTGTACCTCGCTCCTATCTCGACTTCACTTCACCTGCATTCACTGTTATTTCACCTGTACTGTCTCCCTGTCGTACCCTGGCAGATCGAGTAAGTGAGCTTCCTTCCGGGACGACACTTGTCCAACGACTTGCACTCCCTTCTTGCCACAACCACATACTCTCGTCCTCTACTTTTGACGGCCGTGCGTCTTTCCGTACTTCCAGACTAACCTGAAGCCCGTCCTTGCGATCATGGCGAAGAACAAAAGCACTAAGAAGGCTCAAGCCACCAAGAAGACTCAAGCCAGCAAGAAGACTTCAACTATCCCGCTTCCTCCAGCCATCTACATCAATGACGCCAGTCTCTCGGATGGCACTCCCGACTACGCTCTAGCCCTGCTCAAGCTGTTGCCAAACTATGCCTACGAGACTGTTTCCGACGCTTTCAACACACAGGCTGCTGTCAATCACCTTGAACGCACCAAGACAGCGAAGGCCGTTGCGTGTTTCATTGATCCTCGAGTTGACGGCAGTCTCGCCGAGGCCGCGAAGCACGCCAATATCATCAAGCAGGCCTGCGTCAAGCATGGTCGCAACTTCGTCTCCATCAACATTTACAACTCAAGCGTCTTCCCGGACGGCCTAGCCAAGGAGAAGTCCCTTTTTGCCGCTAACCACCTCGATCATGCAGTGAAAGACTATACTAGCCCAGCTAGTGCTGCAAAGGAGATTCTGAAGTGGCTCTGTAAGTCTTGCTCTCCACATTCTTCTGAATCATCACACTAATGACTCGATAGTCAAGACTCTGGCACCGATCGAGACCATCTACCTCATCCCCGACGCTGAGATGAAAGCCATCGACACCAAGAACTTCTCTGACTACGCCTATTGCCCGCTTGATGAAACGCACCTACGCGGCAAGGACGAGAAGGTCCAGTTCGTCGCCGTCATCACTTCTAAGGCTGTAGTTGCTCCGGAGGGCAAGAAGCTCACGTGGTCTGTGGCCGATAAGAGCGGAGTCGTATGTTTTTCTCTTCACTCTTCTCGCGTGCCTCGTATCAGCGTCACTGATATCGGATAGGCAAACTTCTACTTCGTCCACCGTGGCACCAGCTCTCAATACACCTGGGACTGGGTTATGGCTCTGCAGCCTGGTCAACGCGTCGCCCTTCCGCGCATGCCCTCCGTCCTGGTCACCGAGCCGCTTGGCAAACGCGCCGCCAAAGCCCCGTTTCGTGCCGTCGGCTACACTCTGCTCGTGCCTGCCACCGCCCTCATCCTGGCCGGAAAGGGCATCAAAGCCGTGGGCAAGAAGGCGTGCATGGGCAAGGCCAGCAAATGGGTCGCGCGCGACGACGCGATCGTGGATGGCAAGGGAAAGGTGAGAGAGCGCAAGGCTGGTGAAGCCCCGCAGGTCAAAGGCAATACGCAGCCGGAGTGGGAGAAGGTGTTGCAGGACAGCGAGGAGGACACTGCCCCGTGGCGCGTGTTCGATGAGAAGGGCATGATGCGCTGGGACTGCGTCGACGAGGACGCCAAAACCGAGAAGGGAAGTGTGCACGGAAGCGACAAGGAGGCGTCGCTGGCCTAGGAGGGCATGTGTCCCCTTGAACATCGATCTGTGGCGCAGAGAGTCGTTGCGTTGTGGTCCAGCCAGGGTCATAGAGCTGTCTGTGGCTCTCACATCTCCTTCTTGCCTGATTCTAAGAGACGTACGATCTCGACTGACCGAAATGACCGACTGGGGGAGAAGGGAAGGAGGCTGTCCACATTTCATCCAGATAAGGCCAACGAGACGAAGATGGCCATTCCCATACCAATGAATACGCCTGTCTGGCTGGCTGAGGAGTCTCACATACGAGGAATCAAATCAAGACAGCTCCAATGGCTGCAGGCCCCCTCCCCTCTTGGGCTCGTATATCGTGATCCTGAAAGTCCAGAAGGTAGTCGAACCACCCCTGGAAGTCACTGTGTCACGGGCCGGTCCGCGCTGGGCTACCTGACTACGGCGGTGATGTGCTATTATCCCTTCAAGGTATCGGGTGGTTGACTCGATTACAGGTGAAGGACAGTGCTAAACATGAACAACCATGGAGAGAGTCTACTGGAGACGGGGGCCATGAAATTGTCACTTTGCTTGAATGTTGATACAGATGGGCCTCTTCTAGCAGTCAGATTACCTCAAATGCATCCATCCCACTTGGCCCGTATGCAAGTCTCTAGATATCGGACTAGCCCTTAGGGGAGATCGCAAGCTTATGAGTTGTTCCTAAGAACATCCATCTCATGTCCGGAGAGATTGACCATGGGCCTCTCCTGTTCCATACCCGCCCCTGTTAGCTGCAACTACGGCCCCTGCCTGCCTCGAATGATCGTTCCTATTTTCCGGTGCATCCCGACACCATAGGTCTAGCGAGTGTGCTATATAAAAGGACCAAACACCTCCCTGAAAATGATGGAGAAATGGTATCATCAACTCGAAGTGCTTGACTTGACCTGGGCTCAAGTGACTGGTTCTTGTGGTCAATTGTGATTGTTCTTTGCTGTACTCTGGTTGGTTGGTTCGTTCATCATAAGGTCGTGAATTCGTCACCAGCGACGAGTTACAAGTCTGGACTGGCCCGGACCCAGGAGCTCAACTCCGTAGGATGCAACAGGGTTGGAGTATCCACCGTACATCGTCGACACTGGGATATCGTACATGGTCCTCGACGTGGGCGAGCTGTACGAGTACGAATGTGGCTCTGTCTTCGCACCATAGCCGTATAACCCAGCGCTCTGGCTGTGTGACAAGCCTGGGCGACGGGTCCTGTAGCTGTGAGATTTGTGCGAAGGCTGCGAGCCGTAGGCAGAGTCGTAGGGGTCATCGAACTTGTACGAACGCGTGGTGTGGGACTTTTGCGGGAGAGGTGTTATGCTCTCAAAGCTTTCACTGCTGTCGTTATGGCGGTTGGCTTTAGGCTCGCCCCTCGGCCGCACTTCCGTAGTATACTCTCCATAGAGCTTGCGGTTCAGAGGACGAGGATGACGCTCATTCTCAGACTCTTGTGAGTAGTAATGATCTTCCATAGGCTCGGGTGATGCAACACGGCGAGGAGATTCGGCACGAATGCTAATCTCTTGGGCGCTCTTCTCAAGTTCTTCCATACGACTGGAGTGTTCTTCCTCCCATGCCGAGTCTGCTTTGCGTCTTGTTGGGCTTTGCCACTCTTTTTCTCGGCGAGCAGAGGTCGGTGCCGCCGCCCAAGGACTTCCTCGGTCTCCGATCTCAACAGGCGAGCGTCGGTGCATCTCTTTGGCATAACGGCCCTTGCCTTCTCGGCCGCGAGTGACAGCACTGCCGCCATACTTGCATTCCCGGCAATCGCCCTCCTTCATATAGTGGTATCGATCGATCTTTTTGCATCTCGAGGAACCGCATCCCTCGGTATGCTTGAAGGTACAACCGCAGCCATAGCTCGTCTTGGTTCGGACGCACATGTTGTATTGTTGAGAGAGTGAAGGGGTTGAGCAAGAGAGTTGAAGTCTAAATCAAAGGTGTGATTCTTTGTGGCCAGAGTTTGACCAATATGATGCAAGAGGCGTGGGGACCAAGCTGGGGCGATGAAGATCTCCGCTCAAAGAAGCAATAGGAGGCACAGAGGAACACGAGAAGTTGCGATGCGGAGTGCAGGACGGTCACGCAAAGGTCGCTGATGTTCCTGAAGAGTGACGTCGAGGTACATGCGTGACAGACCCAGGTCACTAAAGGATGATGAAGGTAGCCATGGCTGACATGCGGCTCGTTACACTTATTCGGAATCTCGCAGCAACGGAAGGACAAGTTTCGGAAGAGAAGTATGGTGGCAAACGCGACAGGTTGAGAGAAAGCGCCTAGAGGGATGTGATATATCCAAACGGGACAGAAGTCAGAGGAGCCAGGTGGGGGGGAGGAGTGTGATGGTCGTTGTTGCCCGGATCATGCTGCTGAGGTGGAGATGGGCAGCGATCAGGCTTGGAATCTCCTTACCTTGAGGTGCGAGAAGGCGGTCTCGCTCCTCCTGGCCCCTGGAGGAAGGCGGATCAGCCCCGTAACCAGGAAGGACTCTTAGTCTCACGTTCTGACTATGCTTCGCCTCAGCACTAAAGCGGATTCCTAGTGGCCTGTAACAAGCCATCGGGCGACGGACCAGGCGAGACTGCAGGTGGGATGCATACCGGAAAGGTCTATACATGCAGCAGACGACGACGGCGTCGGCACGGCGAATGGTGCTCATATTTCAGAGGTCTCGATCATGCAGCGACTCCAGTTGGTCACCAAACTCTGGGCCAATGCATGACCCTGTGCGACCCGCCCGACAAACCTCAGCGTGTCTGACGGCAGCTGGGTTCCTCGGGCGCTGCCTAGTGCCTGTTTCGTCGCTTGCACGGTGCTTTTCACTGGCTCATAATGTTTCCGCAAAATGCACATTGGTCGCAAGACCTGCTTCCTTCGTTCGTCGTCGTCGGTACTGGCTTCATCGGGCGTTGGGCGTCCTTGCGCATTTGGGGCTGCGAATAGGATACGCTGTTGCATTATGAGATCCAGTGACTGCATCATGTTGCGCGGGACTTCAGAACATCCCAGCCCAGTGGCATACGTCCTACCTCTCTTCCACGCAGCGAAATAAGCCGTCGCAAAAGCGTTTGTAAACCTTTGCTGACAGCTGCAAGTCCATGTAGACAGCCCACGTCAGAACTTCTACTATTGCTCGCCCCAAGAACTGGAGGCTAGGGAGTACCTAACAAGGTCATGGCTATGCTGAAGTCTATACTCCGTATTATTGCTGGTCGCCGCCTTAGCGAACCACGCGAACAATCCTCGCTTCACTTTGACTCTATCCGGGAATCGTGCATTTGCTTCCATGGATTGATGCCGTCGACTCCCCGTCCAGGGCTTCTGGAACTGCCTCGAGAAAGCTACTGCAGCTCGGAAAATCGGCAGAAGAAGCTGTGGAACTGGTTCGGTATGCATGAGAAGGCTTCTATCAGACAGATTTGGAAGGACATCATGCCAGCTCAGAATCCATCGTTGATTCCTCGAGCCCGTTCCGCCTCCATCCTCTCGTTATTCAACTGGAGCCACCACTTGTGCGTCTCGTTCGTCGCCGTCTCCAGAGTTTCGTCCCACGGTTTTGGGCTGAGAATATAGTGGATGTTCTTGACTTGGTCGTCCCTCCAGATGGCGTCGTGGACGCCTTTCATTCGCAACGTCTTCAGAGCGTTGTAGACGTACGGCAGTGCGACCCACCTCCCATAGAAGCGCTCGCCCAGCAAGCTTTGGTCTGCAAAGTCGTAACTGCCAGTCAAGTCCCCGTTCTTCAGCGTGTCCAAGATCTTGTCGTAAGTGCCCTTACTAGGGTTGACCACCTGAAGCCCACCGTTCGGACACGCTATGCCAGCTGTTGGGGGAGCACCCTCCGTCTGAGCCTGTGCAGGCGTGCTGTGCTGAGATGTGAAAGCGCAATTCTCCGGGACCCAGTGCTTTGGATAGTGAGGTTTCTTGAACGGGTTGCATGCGCAAGCGTGGCTGGCAGCATATACCCTGTTGCCGTCGCCATTCATCTCGGGTGGATCCAATTCAAGGCCCATAAGTTCGTCCATATTCTGCAGCACCAGCATATCGCTGTCCAGCTGCACAACCCGGTCATACTCGGTCAGGCTGTATGGAGCTAGCTTGCTCCAGCAGTCGTAGAAGCGAGGATCTTGAGCGTACTCCTTGGGCACAGAAGGCAGGAGATAGGGGATTTCTCTGGCTATGATGCCCCTCCTCTTCAAGGCTTCGTGCCCCTCGGCGGGAAAAGAGTCCGTGTATAAGGCAATCAGTGGGTACTTGGTGTCGTATTTCCTTAACGAATATTCAAGCGTGAGCAGTCCTGACAGGTATTGTGTGTTTGTGATGAGAGTCGTCCACACTTTCTTGGACTGGCGGCCTGAGGTACCGTTGCTGGTGCTCTGTGAATTTTCCATAGTGTTCGCCGTAGCTCAGCGTTGTAACGACAGACTCTATACCGCGCCGACAAGATGATGAACCTAGAGCGACTCTACGTTCTCCTGATTGCAAACGAATCTATATATATGAGAAAACGAACTTACCTGAAGCTACTACAAACCCAGACATGGCGCAATGGTCCGCCCACGCAAAGTTGTGTGCCTGGGCTGTGGGCACCCAACTGGAAAACGCTTGTTAAGGGCAACGTGCCCCGGAGAGCTTCGGCCCTTCTTAACCACCGCTTACCAGTCATCGACGTCATGATCAACCAGTTTTTCGGCCGGCTCAAGTACCATATCTCCGACTCCATTATCTCAGTGAGAAGGCGTCAATGACTTGCGCTGAAGGGCTTATGCGTCTTCTTCTTGTCCGGGGATCAGATGCACTCCAAGCATGCGCTTCGCCAAGGGGTGCATCGCTTCGACGGTCACTTAGCTGAGCTTCCGGGTCATGTCCGTGGCACGTGCGAGGTAAGTCTTGAGGGCGTGTGTTGCACATAATCTCACATTGGATAGTCATGTTGCTCATCAACGCGACCATACGCTACTTCAGGTAACCGTCGATGAAGCGCCCTCGAAGTCGGTCGGCCACAGCAGCTACAAGGGTTTTGTAGCAGGAGTGATTTCCGGCGCCGCAAAGCTTGCAGTGGGACACCCCTTCGATACGATCAAAGTCCGCCTGCAAACGTCGGACAAGGGTCGTTTCCAAGGGCCCTGGGATTGTCTGCTCAAAACACTGAGAAGAGAAGGTTTCAATGGTCTCTACAAAGGAGCTACACCTCCACTACTTGGGTGGATGGCGAGCGATTCAATTATGCTGGGCAGCCTCACCATCTATCGGAAGATCCTATTCGAGCATGTGTTCACGAGCCATTCCCCTCGCTCGCGGGGATCTTCCGTCCACAGTGTGAACGAGCAGCTGCCAGCCCTTGGACACGGGCTTGCTGGAACCCTGGCTGGATGGACTGTGTCGATTATCGCCTGTCCATTTGAGCAAGTCAAGGGGCGCCTACAAATTCAGTACGCTAAGAAAAGCGAGCGGTTTTATAGTGGTCCAATCGACTGCACAAAGCGTGTCGTTAAAGCTCATGGCATACGAGGACTCTATCATGGCTTAGTCGCAACGACGCTTTTTCGCTCATTTTTCTTCTTCTGGTGGGCAAGCTACAACATTTTCACCAAAGGCTTGCGACAACACACATCGCTTTCGACTCCTGCCATCAACTTCTGGGCGGGAGGGCTTTCAGCCCAGATATTTTGGTTAACGGCTTATCCTTTCGATGTGGTGAAGCAACGGATAATGACCGATCCATTAGGAGGGCCGCTCGGTGATGGACAGCGCCGGTACAAGAACTGGAGGTCGGCCGTGCGACTGACGTATAGAGAAGCAGGCTACAGGGGGTTCTGGCGAGGGTTTATACCGTGCTTCCTGCGAGCATTCCCGGCCAATGGCGTTGCTCTTTTGGTCTTCGAGGCGGCAATGCGCATGTTGCCAGATTAGATCCAGCTCTTACTATGATAGAAATAGAATGTACAACAATAAAATAGCCCTCAGCTGCTGGATGCATAATTACTGCCCCCTTTAGTCTTTCTCGGTATAGATAAGATGTTTGTATGGCTCCTGGAAAAACCAGCCTTGCCAAGGCCTGCAAGACTTCAAGTTGCGTCTTGCTCAAACAAAGAGTCTGCAACTTTTGACAGGACATGCATGCTTACACCCTTTTGTCTAACGGAAGCGAGCATCATCAAAGGATCAACTTCAGCCTTGCCATTGTGCGCCAAACACGAGCGAACCTTGCGCTCTGGGCCGCTTGAAAACATCGAAAAAGAGGAACATGGCGAAACAACCTGCCCAGATTGTTCTACATCCACTTCGAAGCGACGGCTCGGCCACTTACACCTCACCCAACGGTCTTCACACCATCACAGTCGGCGTCAATTATCCAGTCGAAGTGCCCTACCGCTCGGATGAGTTGCCGGATTCAACGCTGGTCGAAGTCAACTTGCGACCAGCCAATGCCGTGAGCTTGGTCAAGGAACGGCACGTTGAGTCCCTAGTGAAACAGACACTTCAATCGATTATTCGGCAAGAGGAAACACCTCGAATGCTCTTGCAAGTCACACTTCAAATCACTAGCGTCGAGGTCGATGAAGACCTACCAGGTGGGATCAAGGCAGGTGGTCAAGGCGAAACGTACCTTCCAGTCCTGGCATCAGCCATTAATGCCGCAATAGCTGGTTGCCTGGACGCTGGAGTACAAATGAAGCAGATTGCCGGATCAGCACTCATAGGGGTCGGTTACGACGGCACGTGCCTTCTGAGTCCCAGGGTCAAGGACAGAAGGCGATGCCGAAGCATGCATGTGTTCGCGGTAGATGGAACAGGAGGTGTCGTGCTTGCGGAAAGCGAGGGAGCATTCAAGATGGCGGATTGGACTCGTGCCCTCGAGACCGCGAGACTATTGGTCGAAGGCCAGGGGGATGGTGTTACGGGAGTTCTAGAGGGGCTACGGCGGGAAATAGGGGAGGGGAGGGAGGAATAGACGGCAGCGGAGCCTCATGGACGCTCGAGATACAACCAGAAGGCCCAGGCGAGGCATGATGTGACAAGAGACCCCCGAATCAGCGCACTCTGCAACAGAGTGATACTGATAAGACGGTCTGGCGCTGCCTAGTGACCGTTATGGCTCCAGCGCCGCAGTGACAGCGACATTACAGGCATTCCAAGGTGTTTGAGGTGTGGACAAGCGGCTATTTACAGAGTCCCCTGAAGTCGGACCCGCCGGGGGTTGCCCCCACCCGCCACGGGCTGTTGAGGAACCCTAAACCCACCCCAATCCACATCGCCCCATCGGCACAACCCCTCTCGCGTCGCGGGCTCGCATCGAGCTCCGATTGCTGGGATCCCGCCTCCTCCAGCGTGCCGAGCTTCTCAGCATGCTTCAACCTCTTCCCCGAGGTCATGTCAGGGCAACGGGAAACATCTTAAAGCAAAGTTTCCTCCTGCCACAGCCGTCATGTCCGAACCAGTGCTCTCTACAGAGTTCAATTACGTTCAACGCAGCAGGTCTGCGATTGATCCTTGACCATCGATTACTCCTTCAATCCATCGAGTACATAACTGCTCTTGACTAATCCGGGTTCTCCTTCGGAAGCAGTGTAATAATCCTGCAAAGCACGCCGTAGCTTGTCACGGAGTTTACGATCCCGAAAGCCGCACACGACATGGCAACCTCCGCATCCACACCTCACTGTCCACCTCCGTACCACAGCATACCGTCGCCTAGGCATTCTTCTCCTTCTATGCCACAGCATCCTCAGCAAAATGGCCCAGAAAACACAGTCGCGAGTGTTGGCGAGACGATTTTCAAGCAGTATGCCAAACAACTTGATCCCATAGACCACAAGGCACGACCGACGGACGAACCCTCCTCGGCCCCTCCTCCACTATCTTCGAGCGCCGAGCTCACCAGTCCAACCCTCACAACAGCATCGAAGGCCTCGCAAACCACGCAGCGGTCAACTCCCCGGTCTTTCCGGATACCGAAGTCCTTCCTCGGTCATAGAAAGAACGCGCGTTCTACAGACGTTCCCAATATCCCTACGCAGACAATCCTGAAAGCCCTGGCCTCCAGGCCTGCCGGACCCCCAACGGCCCCGATGACAGTGCCAATGCCCTCAATCCGTTCAGCCCTCGATGATATCAACGACACCTCCTCGAATGGCTCCAACTCGCCGTGTCCGACAACCAATGTCACCGGTTTGAATCTGAATGGCATGCCTGCGTGGTCGCCGACCACCTCGGCGCAAGTGCTGAAGTCGCCCTGCTATTTCCATCAACGCTTTGATGGCGCCGTCGATCTCCAGAAGGTTGTCGATGAAATGTCCATTGAAGACGATTCCTTTTCCCATTCTCGTCTGACGCAGACTGCCAACGGTGTTCGCGAAGTCGCCAAACAGTTGCAACGTAAGCCGCTGAAACGCGCAGTTCGTACTGTCATGATAGTCACCAAAGCCCGGGACAACTCCCTCGTACATCTCACCCGCGACCTAGCCGAATGGCTCCTATCCACGCCTCGCTACGGTAAAGACGTCGGCATCACCGTCTACGTTGACTCCAAACTGCGACACTCCAAGCGCTTCGACGCTGCTGGTCTTGTTGCTCGCGACAGCCGCTACCAGCACATGCTCAAATACTGGACACCAGACCTTTGCTGGAGTTCGCCCGAGAAGTTCGATCTGGTCCTGACTCTCGGCGGCGACGGCACCGTGCTCTTCACATCCTGGCTCTTTCAGCGTATCGTGCCACCAATTCTCTCTTTCTCCCTTGGCAGCTTGGGCTTCTTGACAAACTTTGAGTTCACGAACTTCAAGCAACACCTCGACCGCATCATGGGCGATGGTGGAATGCGCGTCAACCTCCGCATGCGCTTCACTTGCACGGTATGGCGCGCTGACACGTCTCCTGGCGCCGAGAAAGGCGCAGTAGAAGAAGGCGAGCAATTTGAAGTCCTCAACGAGATGGTGATCGACCGCGGACCGAGCGCCTACGTCTCAAACCTGGAGCTCTATGGAGACGACGAACTGCTTACTATCGTCCAGGCCGACGGCTGCATCTTCTCCACCCCCACAGGCAGCACTGCATACTCCTTGTCCGCCGGCGGCAGCCTGATCCATCCCAGTATCCCCGCCATTCTGCTGACGCCCATCTGCCCGCACTCCCTTAGCTTCCGGCCCATGGTGCTCTCGGACACGCTAAGCCTGCGTATTGCCGTCCCCACGAAGAGCAGGAGCAGCGCGTACGCGTCCTTTGACGGCAAGGGCCGCATCGAGCTCAAGCAGGGCGACTATGTTACCCTTGAGGCAAGTCAGTACCCATTCCCCACCGTCATGAGCGGCGGCAATGAGTGGGTGGAGAGCGTGCAGCGCGCCCTGCGCTGGAACGTTCGCGGCGCCGAGCAGAAGGGCTGGAGTGAGGGTGACGATGGCCTCGAAGGCGAGGAGGGCGGCTGGGATATCGACCTCGACCCTGCAGGCACGAGCGGCACCGATAGTGGGATCGGCGGCAGCGTGGATGGCGACGCGGTGGCATTGGGCGACAAGGGAAATCAGAGTCCAGTTGCGATGGGCAGAGGAAGAGTCAGTCTCTTGAACATGTGAGGCGCCTGAGCGGCTGTTCGACGAGGCTGGCGATCCAGACATCACGCGGCTCTCTTGTGGAGCGCAGCTTGAAGAACAACACAGACGCACAGGACTGATTATCGCCGCCTTTTTTTCTTGCGACAAGAGAAGGCTGGAGGCTGCAGGCTGGTCCTGGCATACTATCTGTGTGGAACAATAACCGCGCCCGATCTAGTTTCCCTTATTGTTCAGGAGGACAAATGTTTACACCACCTAGCTAGCTGTTCGCCAGATGGGTGGGTCGATCATGTTACGAAGTCACGACAGCGCATCAGAAGAGCTAGAATTTGTATATAGAATTGCATAGAGAACGAGAGTTGTTGGGCGTCGGAGTCGAGTGGGCTCTGATGAGAAGAAGACTGATTGATTATACATTGCTACTTCATATCGTGCGTGGTAGCTATAGTATGGGTGTTAACGTACATCGGGTCGTGAATTATCTTGCACGTGCTCTGAGAGGATTGACCTTGGACGCGCGAGCTCTTGCGACCGTTCTTGATCGGGAAGCTGCCGTGCGAGGTCGATGTTTGACGCCTGGGTTCAGGCCCACCGCTTCTTCCAGGGCATCCATGCCTCGATACACACGGGGCTTCAGCTCGGTTGACAGAGGCTTTTCGGGTTCCAAGAATTCCATGACCGGGTCTCTCACTGCGGCGGATCTGTGTTGTCTGGGGTTTTGCGGAGCCTCAGCAGACTGGGAGAGTGTAGTAGCACGTGGCGGGCGGTCGGAGGTCTGTGAATGTGCAAGAGGTAGCACTTCGGTTTCACCAAGGTGAGACCTGGCGTTCGATGACCTTGGTGCTGCTGAGTGTTTCATAGCCTCTTCGCCTGCCAGGCGGAGGTAGTTCTCAACGGCAAACCCGTCGATTCCAGCTGCGCGAAGAACAGCCCACTGCACATCGCTGACCCCAATGTTCTTGTTTTTGGGGGCCTCAAGCCCGCCAACAGCAAGGATCTCTCCTAGTCCTGCCAACGCATTGCTGGATCCTCGAGGCTGTGCGACTTCTTGGAGCCGCTGCATTGATGCGTCTAGGTGCTTCTGTCGGTCGATCTTACTGGCTATCAGCTGATGTGGGATGTTCGAGTCGCGGAGTAGGTCCAGCATTTGCTCGTCGTGCTTCTTGACGCCGTGTACAGCATCAATGAGTACGAAGACTCGCCGCAACTGTTTCCGCCTCTTAAGATATGTCACAATCTCAGCACCCCATTCAGTCCTGCTGGCGTAACCGTACCCTGGCGCATCGAGTACAGCAACGCGGGTATCTGTCTGGCCTTTCCAGCCTCTCAGTGCACCACCTGTGGTAGGATTGGTGGCAGATAGACCCCATGCGTGCAATAGCGCGGTCTTGCCCGGGCGAGGACCGACTCGATTAAGGCCAGGACTGTCGAGCACGGCGTTGAGAAGAGATGACTTGCCCACGTTAGAGCGGCCGAGGAAAGCCACTTCGGGTACTAAGACACCAGTAGGGTCTTCATTGTTCTTGCGCCATTCAGTCGCGGTCCACAGCTTCCTCGGGGGGTGCTGTTTGAAAAACCAGCGTGCGGCAGCCAGCTGCTGATCACTGGGAGGCGTGGTGTCCCAGTACCAGGATTTCGAGTTGATAGCACGCCGAGATAGCTGTAGTGCTAGGACTTTGTTCCTGAGTCGAGCTTTGACGGCGAGACGACATGATGGGCAAGGAGGGCTAAGCATATCAGCACAGAGAATTACCCTCCCTGCACTGGACACGAACAGCTTCGGGAAAACAGGTCAGGTCGTTCCTGCAGGCAGTAAAGTCGCCTGCGGCTACAACCGAAGGCTTGTTCATTTTGGCGTTTCTCTGGGCGCTGATGCTGCCCGCGGTGCCCGGGCACTTCAACCAGAAGATTCGCCGACTTTACCATTCTTCAAGACTCAACCAACTCGAGTTTTCCCTGTGATCTCTGCGCGAGGATAATGATCAGCGCCGTGCTCGTCTTCAACAACAACGGTCAGCCCCGGCTGACCAAGTTCTATACACAGCTAGTCAGGGCACCCCGCTATCGTTTCAAGCACAGTCCCGCTCACCAAGAATACAGGACACAGCAACACAGCAGACACTACTGAAGCAGATTTTCGATCTTGTGGCTGCTCGACCTGCATCCGCATGTAATTTCCTGCCCTTGCCGCCCCTGCTCGCTCCCAACGGCAACGCCTCATCCCCAGATGTGCCTACCCAGATCACCTACCGCCATTACGCTACCCTCTACTTTATCCTCATCTCTACGTCCACCGAGTCCCCCCTTGCCCTCATAGACTTCATTCAGGTGTTCGTCGAGGCACTCGATCGGCTATTTGAGAACGTGTGCGAGCTGGATCTGATCTTCGGCTTCGAAACCCTCCACGCCGTCCTCAGCGAAATGATCGTGGGTGGAGTAGTTGTCGAGACAAGCCTCGAGAAGATTGTGGACGGAGTCAGGGTTAGTGAAGGCACACAAGGCCGCCGGAAGGCTGTCAACGCAAGAGACTCCGGAGGCAGCTTAGGGAGAGGCTCTGGTTTTGCTGGACTTGGTTGGAGGACTGGTACCGGAAGCAGCTGGCGGTAGCGTCAAGCTGTACCATTCCGCCTAGTTCGAGCCACGGCAAGACATTCACTCGACCTGTGTCCTAACGACCGCACTCAGGAGGTTCGTGTCGCCACGATGCCGTGTACGCGACAGACGCAGCAAGCAATCGACCCATGCCCGATATTAATTGCGGGGGACTTATCCCTGCTGGACCAATATTTAGCCTTCAATCAACCTTGCCAGATCTGGTTTTAGGCGCATCTCCCGCGCCTGTCAGGGGCGTATCGGGCACATGCACACCAGATTGGCAATACAGCCCGCCTCTCGAATTCATGAACACAATTGATGTATATCACGGTTCATCAATCTCGTACTTTTCGACCATCGGCAACTATGACTCGTCGGACTTCCAGAACTTGACCCTGAATGGACGATCCTTACGATTTTGATAAAGCCTGGGACGATGTTCTCGAAGCTTTCGAGCGTACGTCCCGGATCAAGCTTCAGCCAGGCGTCGTTCTAACCACCGAGAACGTCATCCAACAGCTCAAGCTGAAGCGTGATCACGATGCGGAAGCCAGCAGAAAGTATCAGGGCCTCAAGCGAACGCTCAGCAGAACGCTGGAATGTATCAGGACGCTTGGGTTCGTGGCATCTAAAGATCAAAGCGGATTACTCGGACCTTCAAATCTCGTGTTCACAGCGATCGTCTTGCTGATCCAGGCTGGTGACTCCTACCGAAACATCTTCGACAATCTTGACGATTTGTTCGAGGAATCTTCTGATGTTCTTGAGCGATTTGACATCTACCGAAAAATGGAGGAAGTCGATTCGCCCCTGAAAAAGGTTGTTCACGAGCTTCTGCAGACCATGTTGTCGATCTGTGCGCTATCTATCAAAGTCTTGAACGGTAACAGGCTTGTCAAATACCTCAAGGCGCTCGCTTTCAACGACGATGAGGGTGTCAAGGCGGAGCTGATCAAGCTGCGGAAGTTGGTTGAGCGCGAAACGTCCATGAATGCTGCCTTGACTTATCGTCACGTCAAAGAAGGGTTTGAAGGAGCCAGTGAAGGTCTATCTGGCGTCCGATCCGCAGTTGACCGGATCGCAGATGACTTGTCGCGACGAGAATCAGAAAGCGTGGAAAACAAGCAGATGGAGCTCATCAAGAATACTCTTGGCACTCAACCCGATGTTGACCGCCAGCTCGAGATATACAAGAGGCACAGATCTGAAGTGGTTCCGGGCACTGGCAAGTGGTTGCAAGAGACTGAGATGTTTCAACAATGGGCCGATAGCACGAGAACTTCCAGCAACCTGGTCTTGCTTAGTGGTGATCAAGGTTATGGCAAGAGCTTTCTCAGTACCACCGTCATCCACGAATTACAAACACACTCCAGCCGAGCCGCAACCTTCGAGAAAACTTCGAGGACATCCGTAGGTTATTACTTTTTACAGTCTCGGGGTAGGAAAGGGATGCACGGCATCGACGACGAGGGTATATCGATTGACAGAGTCTTGAAGACACTGGCGTCGCAACTGGCGCAGGACCCTGTATATCGCAAGAATCTTGCCTTGTCTTGCGAATCCTGGATAGAACCGGACAACGTGGAAGAGCTGTGTTCTTGTTTACTGGATTTCTGTTACAAGAGCACAGATGTCTTCTTTCTTGTTATCGACGGCCTGGACCACGCAGACGAGAGAGCCTCCAAGATGCTTGCTTCAATTTTGAAGACCGTCTATACGCGTTACTCTCCTCGCCAGAGGTCACGGGTTCGCATCATGCTCACAGGCAGAGTGAAGACGGTGCAGGATCTCGTCCAAAGAATGCCAGAATTAGGACCAACCATGGTGAACCTCGATTTGGCTGCTCAGACTGGCACTGATGTGGCTCTTTTCGTTCAGGATCGGCTGGATAATATGTCACTCTTGGAGGGTTCGTCCGACTCTGTCAAGAAGCTTCGGCAGGAGGTATTCTCTACGCTCACCACGAATGTCAAAGGCGACTTTGTGCATGCTGGTCTGTTGTTGAAAGAAATATCCACCAAACAATGGCCGGCTGAGATCCGTGAAGTTTTGGCAAGTGCGCAACATGGCGGACAACGATCCGATACCATCGCTCGCGAAGTTACTCGGTGCGACAGCACGCTATCGGCACAACAGATCCGAGATCTCAACGTTCTGCTGCTATGGGTGATGTCTGCGCGGCAGACATTGACGATCGATGAACTCGAAGCAACGCTTTTTCTCTCGAATCGAGAAAGCTCACTAAGATCCCTACGAGATCAAATCCACGAAAAGTACTCGACCTTCTTCCATCTCGATGAAACTCTTAGCTCTACGCGGGTGTCCTTGTCGTCGGACTCCATTCGCCAGTATTTTGCAGAAGCTTCTCGGCATGAACAGCTGGCAGTCCTTACGTCAAGTAGGATACAAGAGGTAGAAGTGAAGATAGTGAAAAGGTTCCTCTCCTCGGTCTGCGATGAAGAGCTCTATGCCAAATTCGATTTTGACGATTTCTTTTCGCGGAAGCTCAATTTTACAGCGGCTTCTGTTCACGTCAACCTGGAGACTGCCGGTGCGAGTCTCCTCTCCGGCTGTCTGCAGGCCTTGACGAGCCCTGAAAAAGAGACTGCAGAGCTTGTGGATTATGCGGCGACTCATTTTCCGAAGCATATGGCAGAGGTTGACCTGTCAATGACCAGTCCGGTGGCAAAGACCGATTGCGGTAGATTGCTTCTCCTACTCTTCACAGACCAAGAAGCCATTGGGCGATGGTGGGACTTGCAGAGACTCGAAAAGCAAACGGATTGGTTCTTCGCCGACGACAACGTTGACATTAGCCTTTCATTCTTCCGAGACACGGCCATCACAAGGACTTTTGGTGAAGAGCACATGCGATGGGTTAAGTCGCTCATGTCAAAGTCGTCTCCAGATTCGGATCTGCTAGGAGAAGTTGTGAAGTACCTGGCGCGTCACTTGTTGACTGCAACTGACGACATCCCTGACATACGATTGTTGTTCTCCTGCCTGAATGCGTATAGGACCATGTTGATGCAGCGAAGGGATCCTGCCGTGCAACGCACAGCTGAACTCAAAAACTACCAAGTCTCCTCTGAGGTTATCGTTGAAGTGTTTACGTGGATTGCTGCCACGCTCGGTGATGTCGACGAAGGGAAGAGCTACGAGTGGAACAGAGCGTTGGCGGCCATGTTTTCGGAGTTCAACCACAATGATGCCGCCATAGCTCAGTACCAACTTACCATTCCGCTCAGCGACGATGGGTGGAGCTGTCGATGGGGCCTTGGTATTGCCCTTCGAGAGCGAGAAGAATACGATGCTGCCCTTGAGGTCCTTGCAGACGTCGAACGGCGGATAATAGACGGCAGCGCCAAAGAGAACAGCCCCAAAAAGTGGCTGCGCAATATCAGGCAATTAATGGGTTGGTGTTATCGTCAGCTTGGGAGATACGATGAAGCCTTAGCGATCTACGACAAACATATACGCGAAAGCCGAGAGAAGGGTCTCACCGACTACGGGTTCACATTCGACAAAATCCGAGTCTTTTATTACAGGGAAGAGTTTTCGTCGGTTGTCGAGATCCTCCGGTCTCTGCGGAACAGTATTGATCCAAACTTCGGTATTCAGCGCTCTAGCAGACTCCTGCATTGGTTATGCGACGACTCGGACTTCGATTCGATCCTTGTGGAAACAAGTAAGGCCACAAAGACTCGAGACTATCTACGACGACTCTTCACAGAAGCTATCGACGACACCTATCACCCGTCATACTTGGCGAAGAATCCAGAAGAGCGTGCCAGATACCGTGTCAACATGAAGCTTTATCTGAGTATGGAAATGTGGAGACGCGCACACACTGAAGAGGAGGAAGACGATGTAATAATGTGTTGGGAAGAGCTCACACAGGAGGCTCGCGCTATCGACAAGGCCGACATGATCATTGCACAGCTCACCAAGCGACTCGCAACTGTCTACCTCCAGCGGATGCGAGAGTATACACTCGAATCGGCGGATGCTCAATCGCTACTCAAGAAAGCCATGGATCTTGTGGTAGAAGACACGTCACAGCAAGACGCATGGGCGTCATCAGTGTCACCAGTGCTGTTATATGCTCGACATCTATCCGTACTTGGACGAAGCGACCAAGCACGTCGGTTGTCGCGAGGTTCTGTCAAGGTCGCTCTCGATTTGTTGACCGACGAAGATCCCGAGAACGACTGGGAGGCATATCTGCGCCTTGCCTATGTCCTCATGTACTGTGGCGACGATGAGGGAGCCCTTGCGGCCTGGTCTTTCTTTATGCCGCTTCATGTGTCCAATCGCTCCAAGTCTGCAGGCGGTGCACCGGGATACGAGTCACCACAGGCGTCAGTGCTGGCGTCGCAGAATGCTACGAATACTACGGATCATGCCAAGGTAGCTTGCTTGGTGGTCGAGGAGGCTTCTACCGATGATGGCGATCCAGTAGAGCCCATCTCTGAAAGTAAGACCAATGGATCTGCCTCAACAACAGACAAAGGAGCCACGACCGACGCCAAATGGTGGCAGAAGGGCTGGGAAGGTGATCTTGACTATGGTTGTGATGGATATTGCGGCGTGGACTGGGCATACTCGGATGACATGTACGTGTGCAAAGATTGCCTGGATGTTATGTTCTGCAAGGACTGCATCCAGAAACTCCGTGTCGGCTCGCTCGAGGACAATGTCTGCAATCCGAAGCACCGGTTCCTTCATGTCCCTCCGTTTGATATGAACGAGGCACAGCTACGAGGCAAGGACTATCTCCGGGTCAAAGCTGAGAAGGTCCCTATCGCCCAGTGGCTGTCTCAGGTACGCAAGGACTGGGAGCTGGAGGACAACGATACCCAGAGCGATCATTGATGATTCCCAAGGCGTGTTCTGTCTGGGATGCAGTGCCCAAAGAATTGAGATCTTGCCTCGCCTGGTTCCCACGTCTATTGACGCTCAGCGGGTCCTGTCACTGTTACAAAATCCTGCTCTAGCAATTCGATGAAATTGAAGTCGCCGCTGTGGAAGGTTGGAACTGAGATTGAGCCAGCAGAGTGGATGTGCTCTCAAAGTCCCCCCAGCTCGGGCATCAACATGTTATTCCCTCACTCTTTTCGAGACACGAGACATTGTTGAGGCATTAGTCAAGTCATCTGCAGCAGGATTGGGGAAGTGGATGTCAGCCCTCGAGGACACGACGAAGACGAGATCTAGAGCATTGAGACTGAAGCCACGATGAGGCAGTGCGGAGGTGTACAGTGCACCTATGGCAAACAGTGTGCGAGCTCTCTCATTGGCTGGGACGGGCTTATTGAGGACGAGAGAAAGGCCGCGTCGGCGAATAGTTCCTCCCGTCCGTCGGCAACACTTGCAGCACGACGTCGAAGAGGGGAGCCGCAAAACTCTGCTCTACACAATACACACTGCGAACCCCTGTTGTTTGAGGGACACGCACACTCTAACAGGCTTGACCCGCCCCAGGAGCGCCGCTTCCAGGCTAAGACTTCCAAGAGAAGCTTAGGCGAGGAGCTTGAGCTTACGATTCCTCACTTACACTTCCGCTCCTCTCAAGACTCGTGCACATGCAATTACGGTCCAATCGGTTCTACTGCACATTGCTGCAGTCGTGTATGGGGTCCGGCGTCGTGGTGACGTCTCCGCTCTCTGGGTCCTGTGACATGCCAAACGTCCACCGAACCGCACGCCGGGTGAATCATTACGACGCATGCATGATCCTTCTCGATACACTGGAGCTACAGCTCAGAATCAACAGACGGCAACGTTACAACCGGTAACATGTCTGGGTTCAAAAGGAAGCTCGCTGCTGGCTTCAGGCCTAGCATGCAGTGAGCTTGTCATTGCCTTGTCGAAAGCCAGACTAGACTAAACTGCCACGCAACTGCAAGCAGGGGAGTTTGGGCGACAGAGGAACCGCCTCCCATTCGTCACCCAGTGGCCGAACCCGCATCTCTTCAAGCATGCCCCCCGCAATATTGTCACTTGCTCGACTGCTACCTAGGCCTACTTGAAGCTAGTTGCTCCAGCGTATAGCCTTTGAGCTCAAACTCTTCCATCGACTGGATGGACCCGAGCGGCAGTCTAGAAGATCATCCAAATCTGCAGCTCGGAAATGGAATCTGATCTCGCGCACGACGCCACCCCACCGCTACACTTGGTCAACTACTACTTAACTCCTGCTGCTCCCGTCTGAGATTTGCAGCTTGATCACCGCACTACCTCGTGCATATTCTACCCACCACGACCGAGTCGCAACAGCTTCTTGGACGAGCGCAATCATGGGTCTCCTCTTCAACAAGCCTCCTGGTGAGGCGGGCTCGACCTTGCCCGCCATCATTGTCGGCATGTTCGTCGCGTTTGGTGGCATCCTTTTCGGTTACGATGTAAGGACGACATGTAAATCTTGGCTTTGCGAGGTATACTGACAGTCTCACCTCTAGACCGGAACCATCGGCGGTATCTTGGCCATGAACTACTGGAAGGAACACTTTAGCACTGGATACATCGACGCAAAGGGTCAACCCAATGTCGATGCCAACCAAACATCCGAAATTGTGTCTATCCTGTCTGCGGGCACCTTCTTTGGCGCCCTACTGTCCGCACCCATCGCCGACTATCTGGGACGACGACTGGCCATGATGTTCAACACCCTCGTCTTCACCTTTGGTGTCATCTTGCAGACCGCCGCCACCCGAATCCCTATGTTCGTGGCTGGCCGTTTCTTTGCGGGCCTGGGTGTCGGTCTTCTCAGCGCGACCATCCCGCTGTATCAGTCTGAAACTGCCCCTAAATGGATCCGTGGCGCCATTGTCGGCTGCTACCAGTGGGCTATTACCATCGGTCTTCTGCTGGCTGCCATTGTCAACAACGCGACCAAGGACCGAAACGATACGGGATCCTATCGCATTCCGGTCGCCGTGCAATTCGCCTGGGCCATCATCCTCTTCGGTGGCATGCTGATCCTCCCGGAGACACCGCGCTTCTTGATCAAGCAGGGGAAGCACGAAAAGGCTGCCAAGGCACTCTCGCGTCTGCGGCGACTGGATGTTGACCATCCTGCTCTGGTCGAGGAGCTTGCCGAGGTTCAGGCCAACCACGAGTATGAGATGTCCATCGGCACCGCCTCGTACGTGGCTCTCTTCAAGAAGCCCATTCGCAAGCGTCTCTTCACCGGCATGGCGCTTCAAGGTCTGCAGCAGCTTACTGGTGTCAACTTCATCTTCTACTACGGAACGTCCTACTTCCAGAATTCGGGCATCGACAACCCGTTCACGACGTCGGTCATCACCTCGGTCGTCAATATCGCCTCCACCGTTCCGGGTCTTTATTTGGTTGAGAAATGGGGTCGCCGTCCTTTGCTCATGTTCGGTGCCATTGGCATGTCCGTCTGCCAGCTCATCGTGGCCTCGGTCGGCACAGCTCTTCCTGACGACACGTCTGCAAACAAGGCGCTGATCGCCTTTGTCTGCATCTACATTTTCTTCTTTGCATGTTCGTGGGGCCCTTGCGCCTGGGTCGTCACTGGCGAAATCTTCCCCCTCAAGGCTCGTGCCAGAGGTCTCTCCATTACCACCGCCAGCAACTGGCTTCTCAACTGGGCCATCGCTTACGCCACTCCGTACATGGTCAACTCCGGGCCGGGGAATGCCAATCTTGGATCCAAGGTGTTCTTCATCTGGGGCGGTTTCTGCTGCATTTGCATGGCTTTCGGTATGCCTCTCTTTCCTGTTCCTGTGAAACAAAGATTAACAAACTACCAGTTTACTTTTTCATCTATGAGACCAAGGGCCTCTCTCTCGAGCAAGTAGACGAGCTCTATGCGAAGACTGCAAAGGCCTGGCAATCCAAGGCTTTTGTTCCCACGGTGGCGTTCACCGAGGTTGCCGAGCTTGGGAAGACTGAGGGTAGGCGTTCTACTCTCGCCGATCTTGAGCTGGAGGCTGGTCGCCGCAAGAGCTCAGCTGGCGTTCATCACGAGGTGGCGGAGAAATACTGATCGCTCCGAAGAGGCTCTTTGCTGGGACAATTGACTGGGATATTCCCTGGGTCAGGAACGCGATGGGCTCCTGGGATAGTCTCTCAAGCACATTCGCGTGCCTGGCGCTCAAGCGACGTAACTATAGGGATGATATCGGCTGGGCAGCCAATGCTAGCAAGCTTATGCCTTATACCGTGTGCAGCAAAATCTGTTGCGTTTTTACCGCGTGATTCGCTCCATGCTGCCTCGAGGCTGCCTGTAGATTCTTAAACGGTCTTAGTTCTTGCTGAAAAAGTGGGACCATTCTTATGAAGCATCCTTCTACACCTCCTCCTCTTGGATCTCACTGCGTTCTCATCATATATCTCTTTCTCGGTGACAATCCGAGCACAGCTCATCTACACTCGCTCCACTCACATGGCCCACAAACAAACGAGACTTGACGGGCATCAAGCATGCGATGGCCGGAGCCTGCAATGCTACCGGTAGTACCGATCTAGAAGGCGATGATGACAAGCCGCGATCCCGCTTCACGTACCGCGACCTCCGCCTCCTCAGCAAGGCCTCGGTCGAGTCGCCCCTTCGCGTCATCACGCTGATTGATTTCGACTGCTTCTACGCGCAATGTGAGTCTGGCCGTCTGGGACTGTCCCCGGAACAGCCACTGGGAGTCCAGCAGTTCAAGCACGTCATTGCCATCAATTACGCCGCGCGAGCTGCCGGGCTCAAAAAGGTCGTGTCGGCGGATGAGGCCAGGAAGAAGTGCCCTTCTATCGTCCTCCAGCATGTGCCGACGTGGAGACCGGGTGACACGACCTGGAGGTATCGGGATGATGCGCTCCAGCATATGGACAGTGACAAGGCTTCGTTGGACTATTACAAGCTGCAGTCACGGGAAGCCATGGAGGTCTTGAAGCAGACCTTACCTGGGCCGCAGCGAATTGAACGGGCCGGCATCGATGAGACGTACGTCGATCTATCAGCTCCGGTCTACGGCATCCTCGTTCAGAGGTACCCTGAACTAGCTGAAGATGGGCAGCCCCTTGATGCTTGCTTGCCGCCCGTGCCGATGTCTCCCCTTGATTGGGAAGATTCTGCAGTTGAAGAAGGCCAATCCGTCGATGTTCCGCCGCCGCCACACGACTGGGACACCGTCTGTCTCTTCATCGGCGCTCAGCTCGTGCGATCTATCCGCAACGCAATATTTGAGAAATTGCAATACACATGTTCAGCAGGCATCGCCCGCAACAAAGTCCTCGCGAAACTCGGCTCCGGTCACAACAAGCCTAACAAGCAAACAGTCATCCTCAACTACGGCATTTCCTCCTTCTTAGCCAGCTACAAATTCACCAAGCTCCGCGGACTGGGCCGCAAGCTAGGTCGCGAAGTCATCGATGCCTTCAAGACCGAACAGCTGTCCGAACTCGCATTAATCCCACTCTCGACCATGCGCGCAAAGCTCGGCTCATCCGAAGGCACCTGGGTCTACAACGTGATCCGAGGCGTCGAATACAGCGAGGTCGTCTCGCGCACCCAGCTCAAGAGCGTCCTGTCCGCAAAGACATTCATGCCTCCCATCACCCGCATCCAGCAAGCCGAGCCCTGGCTCGACATCTTCGCCGCCGACATTGTCGCCCGCCTAGAAGACCTTGGAGGACAGCGACCCAGAACCATCGCCGTACACGTCCAGGTCCATGGCCCACGGCACCCGGGCCGCTCAAAGCAGGGGCCTGTACCCACGGGCGTCAAAGTCGACGCGCACACCCTCGCCAAGCTCGCGAGGGACCTACTCGCGGCGCTGGAGAGGGAGGGCACCACGTGGCCGCTCGTCACGCTGAGCGTCGACGTCTCCAATCTCCAAGAGGTCGAAAAGGCCAGGACGTCCATCTCTTCGCTCTTGGCTGCGCAAGGCAGGATTAGCAGAAACGGCGAGTCGCCGCCAGTAGCAGTAGCAGAGCCCATGTGGCGGCCAACAGCGACGCCTCCTCCACCAAGCAAACATAGGGCGGGAAAACGCACACTCCTCGACTTCCAAGGCTTTGCCGGTGGCGCTACTGGCAGTCCCTTTGGAACCACCAAGAAGGCACGCCATGATGCGGGTGTACCGTGTCCGCCGCCCCTCTTAGATGGAACTGAAGCTGAAGCTGAAGTCGACAATGGCAGACGAGAGCGAGATTCGGCACCAGCAGCAGCAGCAGCAGCAGTGATGTCCACAGCAAACACTGGCACGAGTCCCAGTATTGGAGGCAGAGGTAGAGGCAGAGGCAGTGGCGCTGCTGCGGCCGTTGAGGCAGGTGATGCCGATGACGATGCCAATGCCGACGAAGACGAAGAGGAGCAGGCGGAGCAGGCGGAGCAGGCGGAGCAGGAAGGAGGAAATGGAGGAGGCTCCTATCTCTGCCCGACATGCCACGACTCGGTGCCGGAAGCCGCTGTGCTGGAGCACCTGGACTGGCATGCTGCGATGGAATTGCAGGAGAATGGGCTAACTTGACTTAATAAAAGAAGAGGCAGAGTAGCTGGGGGAATTCGTCAGGTGAAGAGGCGTGCCTGTGGCTGTGTCTGTACTGGCTCACAATGAGGGTGGCATAGATTAGAATAGGACAGGTGTTTCATTCGATGGCCTACCCTCTTACAAAGAAAGTCCCCAATGATGGAGAGGAGACAGGATGCTATGAAGGCCGTTCATTGACGCCGACCTCGACATTGACGCTCACATCCGCATCAGTACGCGCGGTGGTAGCCTTCCCAAGTCCCTCTTCCTCCTCCCGCTCGATCGCTTCCAAAGCGGCCAGCGCCGCCCTCTCCTCCGCCTCCGCCTCGCAGGTACAACCCTCAGCCACGCTGCAGACCTTGCCCTCGATGTGAGCCTCACACCTCCACGCTCTGGCTGTGCAGTCCACCTCGCTCCCCTCGACTCCGGGCACCCTCTGCTGGCAGCTGACGAAACTCACCTTAGCAGGCCGCTCTTCTCTTAGCCTCACCCTCGCTTGGCGGAACTCGACGTCTCCTTCTGCAGCCACGCGCTGCACGATGGCCATCAAGCCTAGCTTCCCCAGGGTGGAGTCGCATGCCTCGAGATCCCCGCCGGAGTCTACAAAGACGGCGCCGATCAATGACTCTAAAACATCCGATGCCCATTTCGGTGAGTCTAACCTCAAGAGTTCCGCCCACGGCCAGGACTTGCCGTTGCGTAGTGCCTCTGACACAGTTTCCTGGACTTCGCCATAGCGCTCCAGGAGCGCCCTTCGCTGGGCTGCAAGACCCTGGCTCGGCTGACGCGCCAAATAGTCATGCAAACACTTCTGCTCCTTGACTATGGTTGTCGTAGGTTTTCTGGAGCGCAGATCAACATGCACGTCCGCGACCTCAATCTCCCTCTGTGCTGCTGTCGTGAGGAAGGCGAAGATCTCTTTGTTCACCAAGGCGTGGCGAGCGAGGGTCATATACTCCTCGCTGAAGTTATGCTGGCTATGGTATAGGCGCCGCTTGACGAGCAGGTCGATGATGGCATCACCGAGAAACTCGAGACGGTCATATGTACCAAGGGCGGGATTGGCGGAAGAGTGATTGAGAGCTTCGGCGAGGAGTTTTGGGTTATTGAAGCTGTAGGAGAGGAATGCTTGTGTGTGTAGGAAGCGGTCGCTTTCGAGGTTGAGGTATTCTGTGGACGGTCTGGCGAGCGCTATTCCCGCGACATCGACGCACGGCAACTTCCACGTGTACTCGGGAACGAAGAGCTGGAGAGCCTGTACAACTTTGTCGAATTCGGCAGCATTTTCGTCAAGGTAGGCAACGCCGAGGAGGGCCTCGATCACATCAGCCAGTATCTTGGTGGAGAGTTTGCGGGTTGGAGGTTCCTTTCTTGGTGCCAATGTCCAACTATGGGCTGAGAAGGGCTCAGTTGTGATGAAGGTCTCCAATGCCAGGTCAAGAGTACTTCGGTGAAGCCGGGCGTTGTTGATGATCCGGTCCATAGCGACACTCAAGGCTCCTTCAGGCATCTTCGGGTTGTTGCAGAAGACGTTGACTGAAGCCATGAACTTCAGGACCACATCACCTAGGTACTCAAGGCGTTGATAGTCGGGATCGCCAGCCACTGGGGCTGTCAGTGCCGTCATCACAAAGGGGGCATCGCTAAATGATATGCTTTGCAACGGGCCTGCTTGTGCTTCACGTGCTCGCAATGTTTGTTCAATGTAGTACATGATCGTAGGCATATAAGCCATGGCTCTGGCATAACCAGCGGGTAAAGCAATGACGGTACACTCCGCTACATGTTGCCGTCGACGTATCGGCTGGGGTCGAGGCCCCCTGGGTTTTGTGGTGAAGTCTATTAGACGGTGAAGGCGGACCACATCAATAAGACCTTCAGATTCTGGCCCACCTGACAATTTAGAAGGCGTCCAGAAGTAAGGAATGCGCTCATTCTGGTGAAGTACGAGAAATTCGTCTCGAGTATCAAACAACCTCACCTCTGAAGCAGGCGAGAGTCTGCGGCATTGCCCAAGCCAGCCGTCCAATTCCTCCCCACCTACATCCGGTACAAGGTAGTATGGAAGTCTGTAGGCATTGGAATCAAGACCTGGTAGTCTTCGACCCAACACCAAGCCATATAAAAACTTTGTAGTTGCGGCAGCTTGTTCGTGCAGAATGTCAGAACTGCCAGAAACAGGCTCGATTTTGATTGTTAGCTTCCCTTGCGTGATCGTCTGTAGATCGCATTTGATCTCGTGAGGCAATGCTTGCGGCAGGAGTAGAATGAGACTGGGCAGTCCGGGAATCTCGACCCTACTGGCGTGTAATGGGTGCTTCAGGCAAAGAGCCTCGCGCATCTGCTCCCATGGCTCCATTTGAGCAGGTACTTCCAGTAAACTCTCACGAGTCTCAATTGAATCAAATCCTGGCGCTCTTCTGCGCCGGGCCTCAGCATGAATGGGCATCAAATGCTGATTGAGAAGCCCTGCCTGGTACAGTTGCTTGTATGCCTGGAAAGCAGCATCCTTTTTCGCTAGGGCTTCCGATCGCCGAGGCCACAACGAACACGCGGTCCGCACGTCTTGTGGAAGGTCGGCGGGTAATATGACTTTGCATGATATCTGGAACGCCGCGATTTCTTCCAGAATGTATATTGGGGATGGCGTCTCTTCACCATGACGTTTCAATGTTGCGCAGAAGTAGTCAAGCAGCTGTCTTGCGTCGTTGAACTCGACGAGTGCTTCTCCTGCGGATATGGGCGCCTCTTGGACACTCTCTCTGACCTGTTCCTCACGAGAATTCATCTCTTTTCTTAGTCGGTCTTGCTCTGAGTATATCTTCTTCATCTCCGCTTCGAGCTCGGTCCACTGGATCTGCTTTGATACAGGCAAGCCCGCGTGATGCATTATCACGTACTGAGAATCTGGTCGGCGAGCGCGCCCACGGCGTTGTATGTATGACTTGTTGGTCTGCGGATGGTCGAAGCAGATTACTAAATTGCAAGCCTGTACGTCGATGCCCTCTTCGAGAACTTGGGTGGCGATGCAAACGTTCTGCGTTCCAGCACGAAAGTCAGCAAATGCCTTGCTCTGGTGTTTCTTATCAAACAGATCCGGGAGAGATCTGTAGAGCGCATTTGATGAGCCAACGAAGGGAAAGCATCGGTACTTTGCCAGTGCTGGTTCCTCGCTGAGCACATCGCAGAGTGCGTACGCTGTGGATCTTCTTTCCACGAAGACAACGCACGCCGCAGCAGCAGCAGGGTCAGCATCAGTCAAGAAATCGATCAGTGCAGTGACTTTCGCAGTGACAGTCCGCTCACTGGGGGCAAGGTAGCGACCTCGCACAGGACTCAGAATGCTTGCCAAGAGAACGTTTTCGTCGTGATCGATCATGAACAGACAATCCTTGTTCTGCTCTACCGAAGACTGGAGCTTCTCGATGCAGGCGACAATGTATCGATCAGTGGCCCAGGATCCAATGCTGTCTTCCATATGAATGCCGTTCTTGAGCATATCCTTCAACTGGATTAATACAGGCGGCTCTTGCTTCTGGCGAAACTTTGCGAGCTTTTGCTTGTCCTTTTCTGAGGTTGACCGCTGAAGCTTGATGATGGTTGGATCTTCTTCGATATTGTAGTTCCGGATCAGATCCTCGACCAGAGGGATCAACGTGGACTTGGTGTTGTTTGTCTGAGTAAAAGGCAACGAGACCAGTTGGGGTAGGTGCACAAATTCGCGGTACTGTTCCACATTGGTAGTGGGACTACGACATACGGCATCGAGGTTGCGCTCGAGCTCTGAGATGAGGGATAGATCATCGCGGATCATAGGACTTGCCGTGAGACCTAATACGTGCGGCAGCGAGGGTGAGCCTTGCGCATGGGTCGGGTGATACTTCAACGTCATGATTTTGTTGTAGGAAGTTTTTCCGATACAATGGTGGGCTTCGTCGAACACCAGCAGCGAAATTATTGACAGAGAGAGATAGTCATGCTTCAGCGCTTCCAGCAAGATGGCAGGAGTCGACACGATGCCGTTTTGATTTAGAAGAGCAGCCGTCCACACCTCTTTCGACGCCCAATATTCTGCGTTGTCAGCTCCAGTGATTAAGCGGAAGGTGTAGGTGGGAAGCTGGGCACTAAGAAAGCTGTGTTGTTGCTCCGCCAGCACTTGGCTGGGGGTTAGTAGCCATATCAGCTTGTTCGGAGTTCGTTCCAATTCCGCCTGGATCCGCAGGCGAGCACTCGTAAAGTATTAGATCTGGGAAGTGGGAAGTCGTTAGAACCGTGGACTCACATCTGGGTTTTCCCGCTGCCCGTATCCATGCAGACAATGATGTTCTGCTTCATGCTGAGCTCAAACATCTCGAGCTGGTACGCTCGTGAAATGATGTTCTCTGTTGGCGAAGCTGCGCTTGAGCCAGAGTCTTCTGCAGCTGCATCTTGGTCATCTAATACTGATGCCATTGAGCTATTCGATAGCCTCGCAGGTCGGGCTCTGTCGATGAACGGTGGCCTCGCCTGGAGATCTGCAGAAAGCGTTGCGGGAAGATCTGGCGATAAGTTTCAGGACGTACGAGTCGTGCAACAAGAGTCCGTAGGCACACATGAGCAACAGCCTTGCCACAGAGGCGATGGCGAGCACGATGGTGACAGCTGGAATGAGGCCGAGTTTGCCTGCTCCGCAAGGCAGGCAACTACGCTAGTGCTGCATTGCCGGTTGCCCAAGCAGAGCGCCAAGCAGCTGCTGGCACTGCATGAAGACGCATCTCGATGCTTGGGCCACGAGCGCTTCCAGTATGTCTGGTTCCATGAAGTGTCACGGTCAGTCAGGATGCCACGTCAGAAGCGCGCCTGCTCCGCCAAGTCCGAAACGGCTTAGCGCGAGGAGACAATCATGATACGAGTACTTGTATTGCACTATCTGGTCAAAGCCATGGCAACCATCTAGTATAGCTATGTGGTAAGAAACGCCAATGGACGCCAATGGCTAGGTGCATTCATTGAACGAAGACACAGGAGGAGCACCGAATATCACCGACGGTGCCAGGCCGTTGCGCCAAGACCGGCAAAGAGTGCTGTCCATAGTAGCAGATTCCTCAAGGCCACGCCGAGTCTGGCCTTGATGATATCGTTCGTCCTCTTGGTGAAGTCGACACCAGCGTTGGAGCTAGGGAAAGGCTCTTTGGGCACCTCCTTTCCCAAAAATGCACATAATGGTTCCCATCCATCCTCCACGGTCCATTCCAGAAGCCGCTCCTTCGGCACGGCTCCGCGCACCATGGCAGCATGCTCTTGGTTGACGCGCTTGGCCTTGCCTTGGACAGCATCGGCGAAAGTGCCATACTCTGATGCAAAGAGAGCAGGGTACATAAGATCAAAGAGGAAATGATGCAACCAGAAAAGCTCCCCATTGAACCAGAGACAGACCTTGAGTAGCGGAAGTTGGCCAAGGGCCACCAGATTCTTCATGACCGACATCTTCCATGCATCGAGGTCAGTTCGGCGATTGAGGATGATTTTGGCATTTGGGTAAGCCTGAGTCAGCTCGACGGCGAATGCTGCAGCCGCCGAGTCCGTGACCGCTTTGCAGTGTCCAAGGATTTGATCAAACTCGGTGGCGCTGATGAGAGGCTGCTCGCTCGCTCGGGGGGATCTAAACCATGGGCCAGAAGAAGGGTAGTATTTCCTTCGCACAAGTCGATTCCAGAGTGGTACGCCCGGGAGATCAGTCACATAGTCATATCCGTGATAGGTGGGATAACCAAGGATCTCTAAGGCGTCTTTCAGCGATTCGGTGCCGGACCTAGGGAGGCCCACGGCAAGCACCTCCATGGGCACCGTGCGCGTTCGTGGCACAGGATCTTTTCGTTTGTAGACAACATTCTCGAGAAAGTAAAACCACAGCGAGTTGGGGCTCATCCTGTATGACAAGTGAAGGACAGATGTACTGCAAATTACCTTGTGGAGGGTACAGGTGGCCATTATAGGGGGCCACGGCTGTCCACGTCATTCTTCACTGAGGTCGCATCTATAGCGGACGGCGGAGGTGTAAGTCGATCAACACTTGCTGAAAACGGGTGGTGTTGCGGTTGCTTTTGGCCCCTGAGGTGCTGACTCATCAGAGCAGGACTTCCCAGAGTTGCTGGCCACACCGTCCTCAGCCCAGGCCACTTCACGACTTCATCATTTCTGGACGAGTTAGGACGGCGAGAACCTGAGGTTGGGGGAGGTGTGGTGGGACCTCCATTCGGCCACCAATGTACTCCGTACCACAGTCGAGAGCAGGCTAAGGGTAGCGAGGAATTAGGGGCATGAGGCTTGGCGATCCCATCGTGAAACGCGCGTGGGGATCGTATGCCGAGCGCTTACGTCGACTCGTCCATCATCGCGTTTCAACCACATCTAGGCCACTGAGGCGCCTTCACCGTGTCCTCTCCGAATTTCCACCCCCAGCTACCCTTCCCTCTGTCGCCTCCGAACCCTAGGTAAGAGGTTTCATCGCACCAAAACGGCCTCAGCTGTTGGCGCTACTCCTTTCGAGGCAAGGACACGCGTTTCACCACTCCTTCCTTGTTGCCTCTCTGAGCGAGTTGATACGCGGTTCGGTCAACATCCGGGAGGTTTGGGCTCGAACAATCGCCTTTGTGATGGAATTTGTGTTTCTCACGCCTACCACTTAATATCTATTACATCTCCTGGAAACCGTTCCGACCCTTGACCATCCCATCTCCCTTCGTTCTCTTACAACTCGCCAAACTGAAGCACTTTCAAGCCCATCCGATCAAACCGTGCCATTGCTTTCGACATGAACGTTTTCCAGCAATACCCACTTCAAAAGAGGAAACGGCAGATCGATGACATCAGCGACGGCGACGACGACTTCCAACATCCGTTCAAACGAAAAGCTCCATCCTCCCTGGCGATTAGGACAACGCCACCGAGGGCCGTCTCATGCGGCGCCGCCTTCGGCATCTTGAACCTTCCCGCTCCTCTGACTCCCGACGATAGTTCCGGGGACGAGAGCTTACCAGGTGACAGCCAGGGTCCAAGCTCCTCCGTGCACCGCAACACCTCCGGTCTCAACCATGGGTCGAGCAATACCACCACGTCGATGAAAGTGCACATCTCGCCCGGCCACAACAATGATACCGACATGATACTCTCCTCGCCCACCAGACCTCATTTCGGTCGAGCCCGCTCCAACGACCTCGTCTCTCCCCCTCGCCTCACGACCAACAATACCGCGTTTCTCAGCCCACCGCAGACCACCAATCCTCTCAATGATCGAATACCGACCCCAATCGACTCCTCCTTCGACATGCGTCTCAACCACATGCCTGCCGCGCCCCGACACCAATTCCCTCCCAGGCGCAAGTTCCTCTCTCCCATGATGGAGCAAGAGCCCTTTGGGGGCCCACCCACACCCGTGGAGGACACCATGGGCATGCACGCCACGTCAACCCTCGACGCAGATGTCATGATGGGCTATGAGCAGAACAGTGACAGCATGAGCGGATTACGAGTAACGTGCGACGATGACGACGCCATGGAGCAGGACACGGAACCGCAGACATGTTCCCAGGACAGACTTGGACTCGACGGCCACGCGAGCCAGGACCAGGGCAGGGCGCAGGCCCTGGAGGTCAAGATCGCGAAGCTGCACATGGGTTTCATGCCTGGGTGCAGCAAGTGTGCGTCCAAGGTCCCCGGACACTATTCACACGTGTATTGGGAGTCGAAAGACGGCACCAAGGTTTTCCGCCCTTGATGACTCGTGCTTTGTTGCAATTCATTGTACCATTACATTATCATTTTAAGCATGGTGGCCGAAGCACGGCGTATCTGGCTGGTTTTTATGATACACAGGAGGTTACGAAGAAAATGAGTCGCGGCTAGAAAGCTTGCGTTGCCGCTCGCTATGCACCATCATGATCTATCTACCACAGAAAGAATAGTCTTAACCCATTTTGCCGTCAACATGCCCATACGTAATGCCCGACCAGATGCTCGTAACAGCCAGAGTTACCGTGCCTGCCATCAAGACCACTTCCCAGACTCACGCCGTCGCTTCGACATACCTGATGCCTCAGTGCAATGTCACCACTGTGCGTAAGCCCCCCGTAACGCCAGACAAACCACGGATGTCCTTTCCCTTGTTTCCGTCCCTACACCGGAAAGCTCATCTCCAGCCACCCCAACATCCTCCTCTGCAACTCGCGCAACTCCCCCTTATCAATCCGCCTCTTCCCCTCCCACACCGCCTCCCTCTCCCGCCCCTCCTCCAACACCACCAACTCATGCCGAATCGCATAGAACGGCACCCCCAGGCCCCTCAACTGCCGGTCAAAATCCCCCGCCAGCGCCAGCAGCTGCTTGTACACCTTGGCATCGTAGGCCTGGAGCTCGCGGCGCTCCGCCTCGAGGTCACGTTGCATTGACGGCGTGGCGGTGCCGGTGGCTGGGCTGTTGGGCACGGGTACGCCCAGCGAGGCGAAGATGCTGGAGAGCTGCGCGGAGGAGGCGTCGCGCGAGGCGTGCTGCGAGACGATGGCGGCGCGCTTGTCGTGCCAGTCGCGTTCGTGCGCGTGCTGGGAGGTGATGAGGCGGCGGATCTTGGTTGCGAAGGTGGCGTCCGGGGCGAGGTGGGTCATGACGTGGGAGATGGCGGTGGGCCAGTCGGTGATGGTTGAGGCGTCGGGGACGGGCGGTTTGGGCGGTTTGGGGGTGGAGGTGGAGGAGCGTTGGAGACGGGGGTCGAGGGTTGTGGAGGGCTGGGGCGTGTTGGCTGCGGAGCGTTGAGGTGTAAGTGAGGGTTGGTAAGGGTTGGGGGTCGATGACTTTAAGGGCTGTGGTTCCTCTATCGGGAGGCCCCCGAGGCCGGGTAAGTTAGACGCGAAGTTGGCGGATCCAGAGGAAATACTCGTTGCGTATGGTCGTCCATCTTGACCTTGATTGCTGTAACCCGCAAGGCTGGCGAGGAGCCTTCGTACCTCTTCGCTTTGTGAGGTCATAATGGATCCGCAAATGGGTGTGTCGGGACGAATGATCTTTTGATCAGCCGCCCGAGGGATCTCACAAATAGGCGCATCCTCTCTAAAGAAAGGCCTCCTTAGTCGTAAGAATATGGCAAGATGATCAGATGAAGCATGAAAGAAGCATTGAAATCTTGGCAGGTCCGGCGAAACCAATCTCCGACGTCATGAATTTGTGAAGCTTCGATTCGCGCATCAAAGGCCTCTCACACCACTCCTTTACTACCACTTCGTGCTTGTACATTACTTCTAGAACATGACAGTGAGCCGGTAATCCTGTACATTAGTTTTCCTCCGACATATACGTGGCCATAATGTCTCGGCGTCAGCCCTCAGATACCTTTACTCGCTTCACCTCGAACTCGATACACGCTTCGCAGAAACCGTCCTCAACAGCTCAGATGAATGGCACGGCGCCGGCTTCAGAAACGCCTCAACAGAAGGTAGCAAGACTACGAGCAGAGCTCCGTGCGCAAAGAGAAGGCGGACAACCGAGCTTCGGCGACAGAGTAGTCATTGGAGGCCGCAGATGGGCAGATCGACTACATCGAGGGGCCACTTTTGCCCTGCTAGGCTTTACTGGCATCACCGCTGTGGTCGCTGTTTATGGAATGTTCAGTCTCGTCACGCACAGCAGGCGACAGAAGAAAGCTTTCATCGATAGTGAGCTGGACAGACTTCGAGCCGCACAGCAAGCATTTCTGCGCGGCGAGGCCGATGCGGAGCAACTACACCTCCTCGAACAAGAGCGTGCTGGTGAGGAAATGGCGGCGAAGTGGAAGGACGATCGCGAAAAACAGAAAACTCGGGGTTTGTGGCAGAAAGCCAAGGGTGTGTTTGCGGGCTCGGGTCAAGACATGGGTACCGAAACACCAGAGGAGGCTGAGCGGCGCCAACAGCGGAAAAGCGGCAGTCGAATATTGGAAGAGGCTTGGGTGGAGTCAGACACGAAGCCTGCGGCCGTCAGCAAGAGTACAGTTGCAGGTGTGGGTTACGATTCGAAAGGCCGGCCTGTGCCTGTCAACAAGATTGAAAAGATTGTCAGAACAGCAGAAAGCGAGAGGAGGACTGGAGAGAGGGTAATTGAAGGGCAGGGCGCGAAGGGAGGCCTGTTGGATGAGGTTGCTGGCAACGCCGCTGCTGCAGCAACACCAAACGGCAGCGGCTCCTGGTTTGGCTGGCTCGGAGGCAAGAGCTAAGGGACTACCACTTCTTCCCTCATGTGTCATCAATCAAGACTTTTAGCCCAACCATCCATGTTGGTGTGTGGCCTTGGAACGTGTCACTCAGTGGCCAACTTGTAGTGAAGCCCACCAAGCTTTCCGGAACCGTCGAACTTCCGCTTGCTGAGCATATCTGCTTCGCTGTCCCTTTTTTGCACCTGCCCGTTTATCCAGCTTCGCCTCGCCGTTGAGTTCTCGACAGCTGCAAACATGGAAACTACCTCAAATCTCACTGCTCAGGCGGCCAGGCTGTCGGAGGAGCTCACTATGTTATCCGAGCGCTGCGGTCACGACTCAATCATCAAGGACATCACCAACATCAGTGGAGAGCTGACCATGCTTTCGGAGACTCTGCAAGTACTCCATGAAGCTATCTGTGCCAATGAGTCTGCCTATACGACCGCCTTTCGGCAAGACCTGGAAGAGATCGCCAACGAGTTGCACATGGTCTTCGATGAAATTCAAGAGTGCTCTTCTCAGCTGCAGAAAGCCGACTCGCCATCTTACTCTGCAGTCAGCTGGTTCTTTCGGAAGGGTCGTGCATCCAGACTCCAGAAGCACTTGGAAGCTCTAATGAGCACAATCGTTGTCATGCGCACAGTCCTTCATCATGGCAAGGATTATGGTATCCAGACGTAAGTCTTTGTGCCATTGAAGTTGGACATATGGTTGGTTTACTGATTGATACAGTTCCCCAGGCCGCCTCGCAGAATCTGTTCCGCACACTATGTCTGAGGACCGGGCCATTCTCGAATCAGTCTTTGCAAAGAACCGCAACGCCATTGTCGACCTACACAGCCTTAAGGCGAATCGCAGCCACAACCACTCTTCGTCCACCTCATCCGACGTTCCACCCGAGCTCAGCCCCGGTGCTCATGGTCGCAACCTATCATTTGCTACCGGAGTCGATACTATATCAGTGCAAGACGTTCTCCCTCCACGAGTTGGGTACAAGGAGGAAAAGCGTAGCGCAAACGAAGGTCTCGCCCGTCGCTTCTCTAAACGTGTTGGTCTGGGTATCCACAAATCCCTCCTGGAGATCAAGGCCACCGAAGCAGAGACTGTCCTACGCAAGAGATGGATCAGAGCCGACATTGGCAAGCCGATGCCATCTATTGCCGAGGCATCAAGTGCAACTGACGGGAGTACCGTCACCAGCACGGACGCCGAAGCGTTTCGAAGTGTTCCTGAGCCGGCCACCTCGAGGAAACGGACCAACAGTCTCGCACTCAAGGGCTCTAGCATCGGCAAGTCTCTCAGCCGTGCCATTCGTGGGCTCTCTATAGGAAACAAGCAAGTCAAGGACAAGAATTCCAAAGAGAACAGTCCTGTCAAAGATTCCGATTATATGACACAACAACAGATATTAGATGAGGGCGATCAACAGGACTCGGTCAACGCACTCAAGCTGAAGCTTTCGAAGCCGGATCTGATGACTCCAGATTACAACAAGAACTTCGAGAACGGTGTCTGACAGGCAGATTTTCTTACGAGGCTAGGGAACATGACAACGGCGTTGTCTGATGCTTCTCGGGTAAGCAATATTCATCCTTCACGTTTGCAAGACTTTCTATTGTATTGAGTCTATTGCGAATTGGTACGAAGAGGCTCCAGTACACTTTCGTGCTTGAACCAGGCTTAGCTTGCTTAGCATAGCTTGATTGCATATGTAGGCTGGAATGAGGACGTTTGTCAGTATTCCGCACGACCCGAGTCGTACTTTACGCTGTGGCTCTTCCCAACCTACCAAGTCCATATAATCAGCCCCAAAATCCTCTTTCTTGAACTTGACACCTGGGTCGTCCTTCGTCCACGCCTCTATCTAGTGGAAGGCCGCCTAGGATATTTTTTGTAGTCAGCTGGGTTACGCTGCTGCTACAATCGTCAGCCTGCTACCCATTCTATTCACTGCTGTAGTGATGTCCACGAGGCTTCATGGACCTCTCCTTCACAAATACAGTCCTCGACTTATCCGCATTGCTACATTCCCACGTTTCCCAGCACAGCCTGTGTTTGAAGCTCTATCCCTCCGCTGCAGCTGTCCCTCGACATCACCTTCTTCGTAACCAAACAAACACACACTCACTCACTCACTCACTCACTCACTCACTCACTCACTCACTCACTCACTCACTCACTCACTCACTCACTCACTCACTCACTCACTCACTCAC